TCTCTGCGTCTCTGTATCGACTATCGCGGCCTCAATGCCATCACCGTCAAGAATCGGGCCCCTCTTCCTCTCATCTCTGAAAACTTGGATCAATTGCACCGGAAACGAGGAAGCTGGGCGGGGGACGATAAGCAACGTGCTGAGGTGATAAGCGTCGTTGAAGGGCGGAAGGTAGAAGAGCCGCGATGAGTTGCCAGAGCATGTGGTGCGGGAAAGTCGGATGCGAGGTTTAAGGCTGCGTGTTCGTAACACCAGGCCACGACCGAAGCACCCTTAGCCCACGTCAATCGCCACCTTGGTAAGGTTCACTCAGATCCAAAGTCATTCGATGGGTCTAGTGACGCCGTGCCCGTACGAGATTCATTGACTCTTGTGGTTTGAAACTCTCCGCCGAGCGAGAGCGCCTCGCCACGGAATCCGAGCGTATCTCTTACGTTGGTGGGCTTCTCACTGGCGCCGCTCGTTCGTCGTGGCCGATCCACACAAGCCCGGCTTGACGCGCCTCACTTTCAACACTGTCAAGGAGCTGTTTGACTCCTTGAACACTGCCTTTTCTCGAAGTGACGATAACGTCGAAGCTCGCAACGAGCTCAAGAAGTTGCAGCAAGGGAAGACGTCCGCATCCCGTCATGTGGCTGCGTTCCGCGCCATCACCGCGCCTCTGGATCTGACAGATGAGACCAAGGTCTTCGAATTTCGTCGCACCTTGAATCCAACTTTATGTTCGATCCTTTCCTTGTCCAACCCATCAAAGAAGGACTTTACTCAGTTCTGCGAAAAGGTGGTTCAGTGTGACGAGAACTTGCTCGAGAACGCCCAGGATACCCCTGGTTCCCGACTCTTCGCCGCCATGGAATGCCTTGTACGCGATGAGCTCTGCCGAGCTGCAGGTCTTGAAAGACTACCTCGGCGAACAACTTGCCCTCGGCAATATCTCTGTGTCCGAAAGCCCCGCTGGCGCCTCGGCTCTGTTTGTCAAGAAGAAGGATGGGTCTTTACGTCTATGCATCGACTATCGCGGCCTCAATCGCATCACTGTCAAGAATCGTGTGCCGCTGCCACTCATATCGGAGACCTTGGATCGTCTTCACGGGGCGAAGGTCTTCACGAAGCTCGACTTGCGCGGCGCGTACAATTTATTGCGCATTGCGAACGGAGATGAGTGGAAAACCGCTTTCCGCACGCGTTACGGCCACTTCCAGTACAATGTCATGCCGTTTGGATTGACCAACGCACCAGCCTCGTTCCAGACCATGATGAACGATGTCCTGCTCCCTTTTCTCGACATTTCAGTGGTGTGTTATTTGGACGACATTCTGGTCTTCTCTGATTCCCAAGCAGCTCACGACGTGCATGTCCGAGAGGTCCTGCAAGTGCTTCGCGAACACTCCTTATACGTCAAGCCAGAGAAATGCGTCTTCGACAGCGACACAGTCGAGCTTTTGGGATATGTTGTCAGTTCCAAGGGTATCAGCATGGACAAATCAAAGGTATTGGCCATTCTCGATTGGCCAGCTCCACGATCGGTTCACGATGTTCAGGTGTTCAATGGATTCGCCAATTTCTATCGTCGCTTCATCGAGGGATACAGCAAAATTGCCAAACCGGTGTACGACCTTTTGAAGAAAGATACGGGACCCTTTGTTTGGACTGAAGACGCTGCCGCGTCGTTTGGACTATTGAAGAAACGCTTCACCACGGCCCCAATTTTGATCCACTTCAATCCGGATAAGGAGATCTTCATCGAGACCGATGCTTCTGACTTTGCTCTGGGCTGCATTCTCTCTCAACATGGTTCCGACTCGCTCCTTCACCCTGTTGGCTTCTTCAGCCGCACGTTCGCGCCAGCTGAAATCAATTACCAAATCTACGACAAGGGGATGTTGGCCATTGTGGAAGCTTTTCGCGTGTGGCGACAGTATCTTGAGGGCTCTGCTCACACTATCACGGTATGGACAGATCATCGCAACCTTGAGTACTTCAACACTACACGAGTACTCAATCGTCGCCAGGCACGCTGGGCCGAGACTCTTGTGGACTACAACTTCACCATCGTCTACCGCCCGGGCGCTCAGCAAGGCCGGCCCGATGCTCTCTCGCGTCGTGAGGATCTCCGCCCTCTTCGCCCTGGACAGCTTGTCTTGAGTGCCACGCAGAATTCGATCTCTGCTCTCCCCTCTTCCCTCAAAGAGCAAATCATGGCTGCCTACACTACGGATGACGCTGTGCAAGAGCTCTTGGCCGCACTCTCCTCAGAAGCTCCGGCCTCCTCTGCTCCCGCGCGCAACTTGGACAACTTCGAGCTACATGACGGCTTCTTGCTTGACGACTGCCGAGTTTGCGTCCCCGACAGTGTGGATCTGAAGTTGTCCCTATTGCGCCAGCACCACGACAGCCCCGTCTCGGGTCATTGGGGAGCATTGAAGACTTTCGAGCTCCTTGCTCGTTGTTTCTACTGGCCAGGTATGCGCGCGTATGTCAAACGGTACGTCGCTTCTTGTGACACCTGTGCTCGCACCAAAGTGGTTCGACACAAGCCTTATGGAGAGCTGCAGCCGATGCCTATCGCTGATGGTCCTTGGTCCTCGATATCTCTGGATCTTATCGTCAAGCTGCCACCTTCCAATGGTTTCGACTCCATCCTAGTTGTTGTTGATCGGTTCACCAAGATGGCTCACTTCGTGCCCTACCACGAGTCTACCAGCGCGGACGGGTTTGCACAGTTGTTCCTGGATCGGATCTTCGCCTTGCACGCCATGCCTGTTTCCATCGTCTCCGATCGCGGCTCGGTATTCACATCTCAATTCTGGCGAGCGCTCCTCAGTCACTTTGACCCCCAAGTCAAGGCTCTATTGTCAATTGCCTACCACCCCGAGACTGATGGGCAGACCGAGCGCGTCAACGCTATCTTGGAACAATACCTCCGATGCTACTCCAACCATGCACAAGACGACTGGGTGTCTCTACTCCCGACGGCCGAGTGCTCCTACAACAACGCCCATCAAGAGTCCATCAAGACCTCGCCTTTCTTCGCTGCATACGGTTATCATCCACGTTTTGGCTTACACTTTGGCCACGGCTCTGACACTCGCAGTGTTGGCAGTCTCGATATGACCCAACGGCTGCGGGATATTCACGCCGAGCTCAAGCTACACTTGCAAGAGGCTCAGGAGTTGCAGAAACATCACGCTGACACTCACCGCCTTCCGCAGCCCAACTTCCAAGTCGGCCAACGAGTGTTGCTGAGCAGCAAGCACATCCGGTCCGATCGGCCTTCTTCCAAGTTGGATGCTCTTCGTCGTGGGCCTTACCTGATCACCAAGTCTTACGACGCCCGCGCCTTTGCCCTTCGACTTGACCCTGGCACCAAGATTTTCAACGTCATCTACCCCAAACTATTTGAACCTTACCATGAAGCCACCAGCGACGTTGCTGGTCCTGGTCGTGTTCAGCTACCACCTCCACCCTTGGTTGTCGGCCAGCATCTTGAGTACGTTGTGGAACGAGTTGTCGATGTACGCCCTCGGGGTCTTGGCTTCCAGTATCGCATTCGTTGGGAAGGTTACGCCGACTCACAAAATTCCTGGCGGCCTGCTCGTGAGATCTACGACTCTCTTCCAGACTACGTCCGCGAGTTTCACCAGGGCCATCTCAACGCTGTGGTTCCACCCTTCGTCCAGCTTCTATGATTCGAGACGAATTCCTCGAGGGGGGAATTCTGTCACGCACTGACCTCGTCGCACTGTGATCTCGTCTTCATCCGGCTACTTAGCCTCGTCTGTCTCACTCGGGCTCCCAGCGCTCCTAACTTCCCGCTATCACGATGGCACCTGCAAGCTCTCAGCGCTACCTCACGTTCCGACGTATCCATTCCGATTGGTTCTCCATGCCGCTTGGCTTCTCTGTGGCATGGTCCGTGCTCAGACACGTTTCGCTCGCTAGCATCACTCGGTCTTCGCCAAGGTCTCCATCGGCAACTGCCAGTGTTCTTTTCAGGGTCTTTGCCATCGCCCACTTCTATCTCGTCTGTTCAGTTGCTTTAGGCTGACAGTGTATAAAAGGAGCGCTTCTCGCACCTTTGTAGCATTGTCAGCAACATCAATTTACATTCAATACTATCTTCTGTTTGCAAGTCTCTGTTGCCAAAACCACACTCTTACTACGCTCCCTGTCTCCAACGGTACGCCTTGCCTCGTCTAGTCGTGATCGTTACAGTGGCGGTCGCTCGCAAGCCGCGAGATATTTTTGCCCACTTTCGGAGTTTCAAAGCATCTGAATGGTATGATTTCATTCTGATATGGAGTCCCATTCTTCTGAACGGCAGACTACCACAATTTCTTCTTGATGGCTGGCTTGTCTTTGTTGAAGCTGTGCGCCGGTCTCTGAAAATTAGGCTCCAACAGTCGCAGATTGATGAAATTGAAGAGCTCTTTCGCCAATATGTGGAGCATGTCGAGGTAGAGTACCTCTCGGATGCCAGCACCTCTCTGAGCGTGTGCACCTCGCAGCTGCTTTCTCTTCTTCACGTGGCCCACTATATACGCTCGCTAGGACCTACTTTTGTCTTCTGGCAATTTGTAACTGAACGCTTCATCGGCACGCTGGACGCCATGGTCACGTCAAAAAGCAAACCGTTCGTATCCTTGCAAAACTGCCTAGAAAAACAGGCACTTAGTACAATGGAAGGCACTTGGCAACGACGCCGCTCAGATCTCTTCAAGTGTCTCCCCTGTCATTATGAAAGGGCAACCCAAGGTGCGTTCACAAAATAGCCAACAGACGGCTCTGCTTGCAAATTGGTACACCAACAATGGCATTGCTCAACGTTCCCAACCACTTGGTCCGGACTACTCAGTCAAAATGTGGGAACGAGGCGAAGTGGCTATTCGTCAGGGCACCACTAAGACCTTCATAGTCAAGTGTGCTGCAACAAGCAGTTCGAAAGACTTCCGTTCACGAAGCAAGGTCGCGTTCAGTGAGCCGACGCATGAAGCGCCTGAGGTTGACGACAATGCGATAGTGAGCTATGGGGAAGTTCTCTATCTGTTTGAACACGATAGCAGGCATTTTGCGATCATCAAGGTCTTGAAGACCAAGTTGCCGTGCGGCGCAAAGTCTCTCAGCAAGCAAGGACATATATTGCAGGTCATTGTACCAGTTTGCCGTCTTCTTGGACCAATTGGCCTATTTTGGAGAACAGAGCTTGACAAGAAAAGAGCGGGCAAGCTGGTTAAGCTAAAACGACGCTTACGAGAGCAGAAGCACTCTTTATGGGTAGCCGAGAGCTATCGAATCCAGTATAAATAGCTTCTAGATTTGATTATGAGCCGATGTTGGCCTCTGTTCACTTGATAACAGTGATTGACTTGTGTGTTGTCTGCCTTTTAGCGTGGCTCAGTGATCCGCCTCTCCATATCCGCTGGTTTTCCTCCGGTGTGCAAGTTTGGAAGTCGATTGGCTCCGGTAATCCGCTGTGCTTGGAAAATTTCTCACGGTAATCCGCCGGTTGGCTCTGGTACACTCCGGTACTTCTATATATTTTTTTTTTATATATATATATATATAATTATTGGATTTTCCTCAAAAGCGACAGTGACAGTGACATTGACACCTTTTAGGAAGTGTTAAGCGAGGCGCACAGGAACAAAAAATCCCATTGGTGGAACTCGATGGAAAACGCGGCGGCTGCCTAACCCTACGGGCGCCGTGCTATAGAGGGCCCATGGGCCGGGAGCATCGCAAGTTGCCACAAGCCCAAGAGACCGCTGCGATACAAGCACTCTGGGCTTTCCCCCCTTGGTCGAGAGAGTCTTGCCTTTTGAAACCCTCAAAACCCAGCTAGCGGCTCCGACTCTTTCTCTCCCTTTTCTTTTCGGCTTTGAAGGCCATAGTCTGTCTGTGAGACCCTGCGCCGCAGCATCCATGGGTATGAATTCCCGCAAATTGACCTTCCTCTGAGCGTTCTTTTTTTCGTATTTTGATGCTAATGATGCCTTTGAAGATCAACAGAGTAGTTCAGTAGTTTTGAGGAGATGCGCGCTCTGTAGCCAGCAGAAACCCCTTGAAGAATTTCTGAGTGCGACTGGACGTCAACATCTCGAGAACTGTCGCGCATGCCGATCGGTAAGTCAAGACTCTTGAGTAGAAGGTCTTTGCTCACAAGTGCTCAGCGAACGGCCAGGAACAAGCAGCGCTCTAGGACTCGAGGTATGAAGCGCCCTTGAGAGTAGTCCTGCAAGGTTTGCTAATATCTTGGCAGCTCGCCAACCCGAAAGCAGGATAGACATCGCCGACAAGACATGCACTGCCTGCCAACAGCAGATGCCGAGTGACGAGTTCCTGGGCGCCACGGGTCGCCAATCGTTCGCCCATTGTCGCACGTGCCGATCTGTAAGCGAGTGCTACTGCCTTGATCGTATCGACATTGCTGACACCATCCAGAGAATTGCTACAAACCAGCAGCGTGCCAGAGCTGCACGACGTGGCATTGGAGGAGCGCAGAGCTGTAAGAGTTTTATGCATTCACTATCACAGAAATGCTAACGTCATTGAAAAGCTCAGCGACAGGTCCTTGCCCGACCTAACTCAGCGTCTAAGACTTGCACGTTATGCAAGTTGGAAAAGCCTGAGAGGGAATTCGTCGATGTTACAGGTCGTCGACCGTTCGCCCGATGCCACACGTGTCGAGAGGTAAGACGGAGATGGTGCATTGGTCAATTGCTTGCTAACATGCTGCACAGAGGTTAACACGTAACAGACAGCGTGCCAGGGCAACAGCAAGAGTCAGAGCGAATTTGCCATCCCATGTACCGGCAAGCGTTCTTGAATGTGCAGGGTCAGTGTCTCGCATGGGAATCGATGCAGACTATGTACCGGAGGTCCACTCCATTGGGTTGCGCGACAGACAATGTACTCATTGCGGTGCCCTCCACTTCGAGTGGGAGGATACATCCAATGGTACCGGCATCTACCTAAGCTGTTGCCACTACGGCCAGGTGCAGCCACGACGAGTCAAAGGACCGCCGGCACCACTCGAACGCCTGCTACACGGAGGAGATACGATCTCGAGCACTTCAAGAACAACATTACGGGGTATAACAACGCAATGGCATTTACATCTATGGTTTACACGAAAGATGATCGACTCCCAGCTGATGGAGGAGGCCCGATCCCATTCGTTGTGAAGGGTCAATTGGCTCATCTGCATGCTGCGCTCTTCAAGCCAGCCAATGCAAAAAATGCTGCTTTCGCTCAGCTGTACCTATATGACCCTGAAGGCGCAACTGCGGCACGTTTTGACTATTCTCAGACAAATAAGAACGGTAAGCTGCGTAAGGATTTGTTGACACTGTTGAGTAAAACGCTTCAAGAGTGTCAAAACCCATTCATCGCCGCGTACCAAACAGCGCATGAGGTCGTTGAGCAGTGGCTTCGTGAACATGAAACGGAACAACTTCGTCTCAGTCTCACCACACCAGATTTGAGACTGGTCATGGAAGAAGGAAGGGATCGTCGACGGTACAATTTACCAGTCGTCAATAAGGTCGCAGCAATTCTCCCGGACAGCGGCCGCCTCAATCAAAAAAAGCATCATCCTTCACGAACGCAATGAAGATGGAGGACTGAATGACCGCAAACGACATGTCGACCCGTGTCATGTCGCATACCTGCCACTGGCTTTTCCTTTGATCTTCCCATACGGAGAGCCGGGTTGGCACTTCGATTTGCGTCGAAGGGATGTTGAAAACCCCATGAGGCAATTGGAAAAAACCGTCTCCCAACAAGAATTCTACCGATGGTTCCTCTTCTCGCGACAGCGTACTCCAGCAGGTCACGATCTTCCACCTCTGTCGCACTACGGTAGGCTGTGCCAGCGGTTCGTTGTGGATGCGTTCTGCTCGATTGAGGACAATCGCCTCCAACTGGTTGCGAATCGACAACACATGCTGCGTGCAGAACTGTACTCTGGAGTCCGGGATGCTCTGACTGTAGGCGATCGTGATCTTTCCACGGTCGGTCGTCGCATCATCTTACCAGCTTCTCACACAGGAAGCGACCGGCACATGAGCAAATTGTATCATGACTCTATCGCCTTGGTACGGGCGCTTGGACCTCCCAAGTTATTCATTACGATGACTCTCGATGCGAATGGGGAAGACATTGCTAGGAATCTTGATCCAGGTGTGTCCTCGGACGACGACCCCATGTTGGGCGCTAGGGTCTTTGAGTCTAAGAGGAGGAGTTTGGTCAACAATTTGACCAAAGTCTTTGGCAAGAAAAACTACCAAGGTATGGTCCAAACGGTAGAATTTCAGAAGCGGGGTCTACCGCATTGCCATACACTCCTGTTTCTTGGTCCGGACATTCGATTTGATGACCCATACACCATTGATGAGTTCATCTCAGCAGAAATACCCGACCCATCGTCGCCGTATTATGACAGACTTCTGGAAATCGTGTCTCGGTGCATGGTTCATGGACCGTGCGGTGATTTGAACCCCCATGCTCCATGCATGCAGCGCGACAAGCATGGTAGAATGACATGCAGCAAAGGGTTCCCCAAACCATTTTCTGAGAGCACCGCAATACTCGGTGATGGCTACCCGCACTACCGCCGTCGGGACGATGGCCGCTACATTGTGAAGACAGTGAGAGGTGTCTCTCACAAGCTGTCGAATCAGTGGATCGTGCCATACTGCCCATGGCTGCTCCTCACGTACAACTGCCACCTCAATGTGGAAGTGTGTGGCTCTGCACTTGCATGCAAGTACATCCACAAATACATCTACAAAGGCGCCGATCGAGCCACCTTGGAGATCACTGACACTTCCAGAGTGGATGAGGTAGCTCTTCATGTGCAAGGGCGGTATGTTGGACCGTGGCATGCAGCCTGCCGAATATTGGAGTTTCCCATACACTATGGCTTTCCCGCTGTCGAACAACTCACGCTACATCTGGAAAACGAACAACCCATCAGTTTCCCAGACAACGTCACCCGCGAGCAACTCGAAGGGATCATAGCAACCAAGCGGACGAAATTATTGGCTTTCTTTGACTACAACGCTCAGCATGAGGATGCCAGACACCTGTTGTACCATGAATTCCCCCAACATTTCGTGTGGGATGATAAACAGAAGCCTTCAAAATGGCAAAAAAAGAAAACAGGGCAAACCGGTGTCGCGCTTGGTGCACATCCCGTTCGGCGCCGGGGAACCATACTTTTTGCGTTTGTTGCTGACGAAAGTGAGAGGGCCAACAGCGTATGTGGATTTACGTACATACGATGGAATCATCTACGGCACTTTCAGAGAGGCCTGTCTGGCACGTGGCCTGCTGGACTCTGATGAAGAACTCATGCATGCCTTCGAGGAGGCGAAAACGTGGGCAACTGGCAAGAAGATGCGCTCACTATTCATCACAGCACTGCTACATAACGAGATGCCGCATCCTCTGGCTGTTTGGGAACGGTTCAAGGAAGATCTATGTGACGATCTGCCGCGGTACATGCAGCGACACATTATCTATCCTGAAGATCTTGAGAACCCACACCTTGACTATGGATTGTATTTGATCTCCAGAGAGTTGCAGCAAAACGAGGAGACCTTGGAGAAATTCAATCTACCAAACTATCAGTTTGCTTGGGAAAGTCAGTCAGCCGGCAACCCTCTGATAGCAGAGCAACTGAACTACGATTGTGATGAGCAAGCACGTCTATTGGCGACCAGGCTGCAGCACTTGAATGAAGGCCAGCAGTATGCATACACTTGCATCACTGAAAGCATCGACAACAAAAGTTGCCTGAGTTTCTTCGTCACCGGTCCAGCTGGAACCGGCAAGACTTTCCTCTATGAGACGCTTGCATGTCATTACCGGTCAAAAGGTGAAATCGTGCTCTGCGTTGCATCCTCCGGCATTGCGGGAATCCTGCTACCGGGCGGCACCACAGCGCACTCACGGTTCCGCATACCGTTGAAATCAGGGCCAGGGTCGACATGCCGCATTGGGAAACGCTCCGAAACAGCCGAACTCCTGCGACAGGTCAAGCTAATCATCTGGGATGAAGCACCTGTCCAGAATAAGCACGACGTCTTGGCGGTGGATCACACCTTGAGAGATATTCATGACAACGCAGACCTCTTCTTTGGCGGTACTCCTGTTGTCTTTGGTGGGGACTGGGCACAAACACTGCCAGTTGTCCGACATGGTGACCGAGAAACTATCGTCAATGCAACGCTGCAAATAACCGACTTTTGGGCGGATGTCAAGGTGCTACACCTCACAGAAAACCAACGAATGCATGACACACAAGCCAACCGTGATTGGAAACAATATCTGGCGGACTTGAGCTCAAACGCTCAAAGTGATATTGAAGTACCTTCAACCATAGCTCGCTTGGTTGAAGAAGACGCCTTTATCGAACGAATCTACCCGCAACATGCACTGAAAGCTACAAGCAACAATCACGACTTCTTCGCTTCACGCGCCATATTGGCACCACACAACGGTTCAGTGCATACGATCAACCGGAAGGTTTTAGACCGATTTGAAGGGGAAGAAGTGGCCTACGATGCTGCCGACAGTGTCGAGACAGAATCGCAAGATCCCTTCTTCACGACACAAGCAAATCCGGAATATCTGGCCACCTTAGAGCCAGCTTCCCTACCTCCGAGCTGCTTGCGTCTGAAAGTGGGCGTCCCGGTCATCCTGATACGAAACATACGTCCCAGGGATGGGCTCTGCAATGGCACCCGTCTTGAGGTGGTAAGGCTTGGCAGATACCTAATCAAGTGTCGTGTGTTGACAGGGACACGAAAGGGTCAAGAAGTTGATCTGTTCCGCTTCAAACTCAACAGTGACGAAGAAGAGTACTCTTTCGTCCTGACGAGAAAGCAATTCCCAATTCGTCTTGCCTTCTCGATGACTATCAACAAATCTCAAGGGCAAAGTCTAAAGCACGTTGGCGTTGACCTCAGACTCCCTTGCTTCGGACATGGTCAACTCTACGTTGCATTCTCGCGAGTCACAAACGTGGAAAATCTGTGTACTTTGCAGGACACAGATCAAAACTTCAGGACAAAGAACGTCGTCTATCCTGAAGTGCTGCTCGATCAACTAGCAGCGACGCAATCTGAAGATGAAGAGATGGCAGAGTAGCAAGACTACTCCCTGTGGAATACGTCGATGACTTCATCTCAGACTCAGGCCATTCTTTCGGTCCTGTCAAGCCCCGAAAGCGACGAAAGATAGATAACTCTTCAGAATAGTATAATACCACAAGTGTTATTCAAATGACATAATTCATAGTAGATATCAATAAGCAAATTATTAATTTGACGCCTCCCCAACGGGGGGGCCCGCACAGCTAGTTTTCCGTAGGGAGTGCGCACTGGTCTTGCGCAGAAAGTAGTCTGCCGCAAGCGGTCCTGTAAGTGTATGTGTGGTTGCAAAGCCGCGTACAACAGCCTCCAGAGCCCCTCGCAAGAGGATAGCTGTACTGATGTGGAAAGCGGTCTTGTGAAGTGTGATAGAGATTTTAGCTTATAAAAAAAGCTACGTCGTGCTCAGCTCAACTACCGTCCTCCAATAAGTGGGAAGCAAAACAAAGAATTCACCCGCACAAGATGTCTCCACTTGTCCACACCGGACAACGCATAGTGGCATAAGGCAATTGGCTGGTCACAGAAGACACAGGTAGAGTATCCTCAGGTAGCGCCCGTTGACTTTGCTGATGACAGCGTTGACAATGCGCGACACGAAGGAGACATGTTCTTGTGGTGGGTCGACAATGGTTTCCATGATGTCAGCAACGCTCGTGTGAGGCCAACGCAGCCATATGTCCGCCTGTTGAAGTTTGTGGTCGCAGCATTCGAGCAGTGCATGCTGAGGAGTCTCCACAACATCGCCGATTGGCTTGCTTGCCGGGTAGGAGCGTTCGAGCTCATCCCTATGCCTTCTGCTTCTTCTATTGACCATGAGCTGATCGTTACTGCCGCGCATACGCGCAATCCGTCTGCCAGCATATCCGTCCTGCATCTTGACATAAGGCCTTCGCTTCTTGAAGTCCTCGAACGAGACTGGTGTGATGTATCTATATAGCGCGTTGTCGGCACATTCATGCACCCAGTCCTCATAGTGCGTCTTCCAGAGCGACTCAGTAAAGTCTTTGCGGCACGTTGGAGAGCCGAGAGTCGCACCGGAGCCAATGAGAAATTCGGGAATTTGGCTGTACCACGTCTTGCCTGCACTATCGTCTTGAGCATTTATCTTGGTTTGTCCAAAAGCAAAATGGGCGAGGCGATTGTCGGTGAGGTTCTCCAGGTAGTCTGCAAACCCAATGGCAATATGCTTCCTCCTTTCTGCTACAGGTAGAATCGCAAGGTCCACAATAGCCAGCAATCGTGCAGCATGACGCGTGAGGCCAAAGGTTGGACGACACCAGTCGGTCTGCGCCTGCTGCATCGCTTTGAGTTCTTCTAATCCGCCATCAAACGAGATCCCGGCGCCAAAAATGACATGACAGTCGACAGAGTTGAGGTAAAGCGCACGCAGTTCAGACAGGCATATATGGCCAAAAACCTTGTTCAGTGACCCTATTTGGGACCTACCAACTCTGGCACGCTCCAGCATGCTAGCAGGTCGAGCGGCTGCTTAGGTAGATGCCTAAATACTTGTAGGAGGCACACTCTTGAATGAAAGCGCGGGCGCTTCGGGGGTCAGCCCGGGCAAGGAGAGCTCAATTGCACCGAGTCTTGCTTTAGTCCTGCCATGCAAGTGCACTTGGAACTGTGTCTTCTCGGTGTTGATGAGCATCCAATTCCGGCGGCACCATTCATGCGTCTGCAGCAATTTGTCGTTCAGGTCCTTCATAGAGTCAGACACCAACATAATGTCGTCTGCCAAGAACATGCAGCCAATTTCTCGGTCGGCTAGTTTCGGCGTATGCGGATAGCTTGTCAACTCAAGGCCAGCCATGTAAATATTGAAGAGAAGTGGTGATAGAACGTCGCCCTGAATGACAACGTCGTGGATGTCGAAGACATCGATATAACCATTGTCTGTCTGTATACAAGCTTTCTTGTTCGTGTACAATGCCATGATGGCCGTCGATAGGCGACTCGTGAGGCATCAATTCCTCAGCTTCTGCATGAGGACACGACGTTCGACCAAATCGAAAGCTTTCCTGAGGTCAACGAAACAGGTGACGAGCGGCTTGCTGTTCTTCTTGTACGTTTCCTTGATGATTTTGAATGTGAAGGCATTGTCACATGTGCGAAAGGTCTTCGGAAACCACCTTGACAGTTTGGAACAATGCGTAATGCATTGCTCCATGCCGTCAGCTTGAAGTTTAGAATTGTCGTGAAGAGTTTTCTGAAAATTGGTTGAAGCGTGACTCCTTGTAATTGTCTGCAACCGTCATGAGTCCCTTGATCTTGTAGAATTGGGACGATACGACCAAGACCCCAAGGAACAGGGATAGAAACCGATGCCAGCATGTCATTGAACAAATCCGCCACTTCATAATCATTCAGCTCTCTGACTTCTTGCACAATTATGCCATCGAGACCAGGAGCAGAGCTCGTTTTCAGCATCTTCTTGGCAACCGCGACGTCAGCCGCAGACCGAATCAGGCCTGCATGCGCTGTAGCGCCCACATAGTAGTAAATGAGTAGTTTGGTGCGCGTTGACTTTGACATTTAAGCGAGACAGGAGAAGCAGCAAGCGATCAAGGGGGTAAACAGTCGAGTAGCAGTAGCAGTTGCAGTAGGGACACAGTAGAGACAGTAGAGAACACTCTAAGCCACCGACTCAACACGCGGCCCTCCCCCGTATCATCACCGCTGCCTCCTGACCCGGCTCTTGCTCTTTGTGTGTCATCCTCTCTCTCGGGCTATTTGTCACCCGAGGGAAAAAGAACCGCAACCTCCCAACTGCCAGCTAGCTACCCATCCACAGCAGCTACACGGCTCAGCTAGGCCTTTACCCTCTCCCGACCTGCGCTCTTCAGGCATCGCAGCTAGTAGGATCCGCGGACAGGCACACACCCGTCTCTCATCGGTGCGTCATCTTATTTGGAAGCGCGAACGAAGAAGAGGCCCTCCTCTCCCTCGCGGCATCGTCTATCGCGCGTCTAAGCAACGACTCTAGCTCAGAGGCCTTTGACTCTATCCATATAAATGGCTCGTGTACGCTGGGCAACGGTGCGACACCCAACAGGACGCTCACAATCCATCCTCCGACGACTTTCGATTCGTAAACGTTCAGGTCACACCAATACAGACGCGCATCCCGATTTACACGATATCGGCCAGAACTTTGGTGATAAAAATGAAGCGACATCCGGTGGCGAGGATACACCCGAAGAGGCGCCGAATGTCAATGAGCATCGAACCATCTATGTCAATATTCCCGTCGCCAAGGAGGATTTAGATGAAGAGGATGGAACCCTCAAACACACCTATCCGCGCAATAAAGTGCGAACGGCAAAGTATACGGCGCTGTCATTTGTGCCAAAAAACCTGTGGTACCAGTTCCACAATGTCGCCAATCTTTATTTCTTGCTTCTAGTGATCCTACAAGTACGCCCCTGTATGCCTCCCAAAATGCACCTACTAACAACAGATCTTTTCGATTTTCGGTGCAACCAACGCTGGTCTCTCTGCGGTACCGCTTATTGTCATTGTTGTCATCACAGCCGTCAAGGATGCCATTGAAGATTACCGTCGAACGGTGCTCGACAATGAGCTCAATAACACATTAACGCGTACCTTGCAAAATTGGCACAACGTCAACGCGACAGATGAAAACATCTCGCTATGGCGACGCGTGAAGAAGGCAACCTCCAAGGCCATCCGCCTGATTGGTGCTCGCCGCAAGGGCGTGAAGGGTGATCCGCTTGACTTGCGACAAGTCCAAACACGACCTTCGCAAGAGCAAGGACGGTTCAGTGAGGATATTCCTATGGAGCGCATCACATCAGCGCGCGGCATGGAGTCTGTACTCGAAGGCAGCTATGGCAACAAGTACGACAACAACTTTGCTCCGGCGCATCACAACTATGGCAGTGTGATTGACCCAACACGACAAATACCAGGCAAGGCCATATGGAAGAAGAATTATTGGAAGAACGTGCGTGTTGGTGATCTCGTCAAGCTACGCAATGATGATCAGATTCCTGCAGATCTCGTCGTCTTGTCGACCTCTGAGGCAGATGGAGCGTGTTATGTCGAAACGAAGAATTTGGATGGTGAGACAAACCTCAAGATTCGTCATGGACTGCGTGCCGCTTCGAAAATCAAGACTCCCGCGGATTGTGAAGCGGCTGGATTTGCCATTGATTCTGAGGGACCGAGTCCGAATTTGTACAACTACAGCGCTTTGGCTCGTTGGCAAGTACAAGATCCAAGTAATCCACATTTGTTTGAAGAGAAAGTGGAGCCCATTTCCGCTGAGACACTGCTGCTGCGTGGGTGTAGTTTGAGAAATACACGCTGGGTCATCGGTATCGTTGTGTTCACTGGTGATGACACTAAGATTATGCAAAATGGTGGGCTGACGCCCTCGAAAAGAAGTCGCATCGCGCGCGAGCTCAACTGGACTGTTGTATGCAACTTTGGCATTCTTTTGGTCATGTGTCTGGTGTGTGGTGTTGCAAATGGTATCTACCTGCGTGATGAATCGAGTACATTCAACCTATTTGACAGAGGTTCGCAAGCCGGTGGTCCTGCAGCGGCTGGTGCCGTGACCTTCTTCACCTGTCTCATTCTTTTCCAAAACTTGGTACCAATCTCCCTGTACATCTCCATTGAGATTGTCAAGACCCTACAGGCATTCTTCATCTACTCCGATGTGGACATGTACTACGCTGAGCTCGATTATCCATGCACACCCAAGTCCTGGAATATCTCAGATGATCTTGGACAAATTGAGTATGTGTTTTCCGACAAGACTGGCACGCTCACGCAAAACGTCATGGAATTCAAAAAGTGTACGATCAATGGCGTTGCATATGGTGAAGCCTACACGGAAGCTATGCTAGGTATGGCCAAGCGCGAGGGCAGAAACACCGAAACACTTGAACAAGAGCAACGCGAGCGCATTGCAAGGGATAAGCAAGAGATGTCCAAGTTGCTACAACAACGCATTAACCCATACTGCAACGAAGAACAACTCACCTTCACCTCAAGTCGCTTCTTGAAGGACCTGAACGGCGCGTCAGGCGAACAGCAACAAGCTGCGTGTCACGACTTTATGCTTGCTCTAGCACTTTGCCACAATGTCCTTGTCGAACGCTCTGAAGAGCAACCGAACCTGCTTGACTACAAGGCCCAGTCTCCCGATGAAGCTGCACTAGTAGGGACAGCGAGAGATCTCGGATTTGCTATGCCTGAACGCACACAGCGTGGACCGATTCTTGAGATTGATGGTCGTCGACAAGAGTATATCCTCATGGATGAGCTCGAATTCAACAGTTCTCGCAAACGCATGAGTGTCATCTTGCGCATGCCAGACAATCGCATCGTTTTGTATTGTAAAGGTGCAGACAGTGTCATTTACTCGCGCCTGGCGTCATCCGAGGAAACGAAAGTCAAGACACAAACGGCACAACACCTTGATATGTTTGCCAACGAAGGTTTGCGTACACTCGGCATTGCATATCGTGAAATTTCGGAGCAGGAATATGCCGTTTGGCATAAAAAGCACGAAGCTGCTGCAGCTGCACTGGATAAGCGAGAGGAACGCATTGCTGCGTCTTGTGACGAGATTGAGCAGGAGCTCGTTCTGCTTGGTGGTACGGCTATTGAAGATAGGCTGCAAGATGGTGTGCCTGATGCTATTGCGTTGCTCGCTGAGGCAGGCATTAAGTTGTGGGTCCTCACTGGTGACAAGGTTGAGACGGCCATCAACATTGGCTACTCGTGCAACTTACTGGATGTCAATATGGATGTGCTCGTGCTCAAAGTCCCACGCAACCAGCCAGAAAAGGTGGATGAAATCCTCTCCTCCCACTTAGCCAGCTTTGGGCTCACCGGGTCGCAAGAGGAGTTGCTTGCGGCCCGTAAAGTACACGCGCCACCCACAGCAAATCGTGCGCTTGTCATTGATGGTGATGCGCTCAAGCTCGTGCTACAAGGCGAAACACAGCGTCGTTTCCTCATCCTATGTAAACAGATGAAGGCTGTCTTGTGTTGCCGTGTTTCGCCAGCGCAGAAAGCTGAAGTGGTCAAGATGGTCAAGGATGGCCTTGATGTGATGACCTTGTCGATTGGTGATGGCGCCAATGATGTCGCCATGATTACGCAGGCTGATGTCGGCGTGGGTATCGCTGGTGTCGAGGGCAGGCAAGCTGTCATGTCTTCTGATTATGCGATTGGCCAGTTCCGTTTTTTGACCAAGTTGTTGCTCGTCCATGGCCGTTGGTCTTATCGACGCATCGCCGAGATGATTGCATGCTTCTTCAATAAAAATATTGTCTGGACGTTCACCCTCTTCTGGTACCAAATTTACGATCAGTTTGATGGCCAGTACAACTTTGACTACACCTACATCTTGCTCTACAACTTGGCCTTTACCTCGCTGCCCATCATCTTCATGGGTGCTTTCGACCAAGATGTCAATGCTCGCGTATCGATGAAGGTCCCACAGCTCTACATGCAAGGTATCTTGCGCCAACACTGGACGCCCTTCAAGTTCTGGACGTACATGCTCGACGGTCTGTACTCGTCCGTCATCTGCTTCTTCTTCCCATACCTCATCTGGAACAGCATGAACCAAGGCGGCTTCGCAAACCAACAGGGTCATACGATCGATTCGCTCGTGGAACAAGGAGCCTTTGTCGCAGCGCCGGCGATTCTGACGGTCAACACCTTTGTGCTCATCAACATGCAGCGTTGGGATTGGCTATTCCTCCTAATCTGGTTCATCAGCAATGCGCTCTTCTGGGCTTGGACAGGCATCTTCTCTCAGTTTTCAGCGAATGCGCAATTCTACCAGCTTGCCAACCACGTCTTTGGCTCCCTTAGCTTCTGGGCGTGCTTTGTCTTGACGACTATCGTTGCACTGCTGCCGCGATTCTTCATCATTGCCTACAAGTCGCGCTTCGCACCAAGTGACTCCGACATCATTCGAGAGCAAATCAGGCTCGGCTACTTTGGCGATGACAAGGCTGACTTGCATACCGACACGAAATCAGACTCCATCTCTTCTTCTGTGGGTAGCAAGCAAACTGAGTTCAAGTCGCCTACCGCAAAGGATGGCGTGGCTCGCTCCGACAGTACGGTAACCGGTAACCCCTTTCGCGATACTCAAAATCCGGAGTTCGATCCGAGCCAGAGTTCAGCGACAGCACCTCCACATGCACATACTCGACCGCAAACAGGCATGTCCATCTTTGACGACGACTACAACCACTCACTTGACGGGAGTGAGCCGCAACGGCAAGATGAGTCGCGCTTCAGCGTGCGTTCATCACCGAGTACGCGGACATCACTGAGTATCGAGCAGCCTCGCAAGACGGCAACTCATGAACAGCCGGAGTTCGTGGCGCGCGGTGTTGTGACGAGTTTATCTGGTAATGAGCTGATTTTGGCTCAGCCTGTCGAGCAGGTGCACTTCCCTATGGCGAAACCACAACCGACGACGGCGGCTCAGCGGCAATCGGCGACTTGGACCATGTCAAGTCTAGCACCGGCAGCTGTTCCGAGATCACCCTTCTTGGGCAGTGACTTTGAGCGGATTCCTAGTGCACGGTTACAAGGCGTATAGCAGGAGCGGAGTTTTGGAATAAAATGTGTTTGTAGATGTTTGTCCTAGATAGCTTTCCATACTTACCTCATCTGTTTACGTGTAAATTCAGAACTAAACTCATAGCGCGTATGCTGATATCCTAGAGGATGGACGCTGTCCGGCAGCAGCAGAAGCCGGTCTCAACGCTGGCGCCACGGACGGTGGACGCTGCAGCGCTTGCTGAGAAGCAGGTCTCAATACTGCAGCTGCAGAGTGAGGCCGTTGCACATCTTTGGATGCAAAGTTCTGCAGCTTACCGGCCTGCTTCCAAATAGACTCAAACTCTTGGACGACACGGTTGAATGTGCTGCGTGCACCCTTCTCCTGCACGAATACCGCAGAAGCGCCCGCCGAATGAGATTGACACTCGATGCGGAAGCATACTGGCCGCAGCTTGAGTGCATTCTTCGCACCAAGGCGAGAACGAACAAAGCCTTGTCGGCGATCTTCTTGAATACCTTGGATGCCAAGATTCGCTTGTTCCCATCGACGCAGGCAATCCACCACTTCACGCTGAAGCTTGGCGGCACTCAGAGTTGTGTCGAGAGTCTTGCTCGCTGGTTTGATGTTGAGCAATCGTGCAAAGAAGGACTGTTTCGGGAAGTCTGGAGAGTGAATTGTTTGCTGTGGTGCAGCCTTGTGTAAGTCAGCAACATGCTTCTGCTGCTGTGGCACATCCTGCGAACGCGACTCTCGCCCTGACGTACCGCGTCGTTCAAGATTCTGAAGTCGAGGCGGTGAGGGTGCGTGTCGACGCGCGGCAAGATTGACAGGCGAGCCATGCGCTGTTGGATGGCCGGGCGGACTGCTCTGATAGGCTGCAGGAGTCGACGAAATAGCTGGTGCCACGGCAGGCGAAACCTCATCTTGCTTCGGTGCACGCGGGGCAGGCCTGTCAGCCTTCAACATAGAGAACTTTCTGCCAAACCAGTTGCGCATTTGACTGTTGCCCTTGGCCGGTTCCACTTGCTCCGTATTCGTATTTGAATCCTCACCCAGCACTCTGCCTAGTCTAAACGTCTTTGCCAGCTCGCTCGGCATGCGTGTGTACGTTGGTGCAGACACAAACCGCCTCGCAGCGGACTGCTTGGTGGTTGTCGTCTTCTCAACAAGACTCGAGACACGACCGGTCTTGTCTTCAATAGTGAGCTCTCTGCGTTTCCCATTAGGGTACACAGACAATGCAGCACTTCTTGCAGCGGCAGCTGCAGTGTTGTTCGTCTGAGCGGCATCCAGCTCGCCAAGCGCAGCACGCGGTCCACTAGGTCGTGTAGGGTAAGAGTAGCCCTTGACTGCCTTGGGTCGCTTTGGCTGATCACCCAGGATGAGGCCGAGATCCAATGCGCGAGCTTCTTCTGCATCCGCATAGCGATCCTCTTCGAAGATTCGCGGTAGGAAGATACTTGCTGCTTCTGAAGATTTGTGGGCCCTTTGCTTGTGAGAATCGGTTCGACCAAGTGGTGGCTCAGATTTCCCTGCAAAGACGTCGTAGGGTGGGCTAGGTAGTGCACGATCAAGCGAGGTCCCATCAGGAAGAACTGTGACCGTCGGTGAGACTGGCCCGGCTGTATTGAAGGCAGCATCCATCAGCTGACCAAACTCTGCAGAAATCTTGCGGGCCGTTTCTTCGTCCAGTCTTCGTTGCGCCTGCGTTATGTTACTTGGTGCTCTACGCTTCGGTGGGCTGACGCGCGGCAAGGCAAAGTTGATGCTTTCTTGTGGGGCCGCTGTTGTCTTGGGCATGGGTGCTGAGGGTTGACTCTGCACATCAGTCTTTGTAGGTCGACCAAAGCTGACGCCTCGACGGTGAGAAGATGCCTTGGATCCTCGACTGGCATTCTTTCGATGCTTTGCACGCCTCGCTGAGGTACCACTCTTGCGAGACGCCAGACTCCGTCGCGACGCAGACTTGACCATCTTTGTGACGGGCTTGTAGTCTTCATCGCCACTGTAGTTCTCAAGTCTATCGTGCCTGTACTTTTCAAGCAGACAGTAAAAGGTCTTTTCTGCATTGGCCTCCGGTCTGAGCAGTTTCTGGATGATGAGCTCCTTAGGCGCTCCACGCCAAAGTGTCTGTAGGTTCTTGAGAATCTCCCAGTCTACCTCACCGGCAGTTCGTACCGGTCTGCCAACCATTTCCATCGCAAGCGGTTTTGGTAGCTTAGGCCCGCCAGACTTCCTGTACATGGCCAGAAGTGGATGATTTAGAATCTCTGGCATCGTGATGCGCTTGTGAGGATCTACCTCGAGCATTCGCGAGATGAGGTTTTGTGCCAAGGGCGAGAGAAATGTAGGCATGGTGTACTGGCCTGAGCGTACCTTTGCAAGCAAGTTCATGACGACTTCGTCATCAAACGGCAACTGGCCGGTCAGTAGAGCAAACAGGATGATACCGCATGACCAGATGTCACAAGGTGCACCATTGTAGTGGTTGCCCGAGATGATTTCTGGACTTGCGTAGTGAGGACTGCCGCAGGAGGTCTGAAGCTTTTGACCCATTGGTTCCAGCGCTGCCATTCCAAAGTCTGCGACCTTAATATTACGATTGCCATCGAGGAGCAGGTTCTCTGGTTTAAGGTCGCGATGGCAGATGTTGAAGCGATGGCAGTAGTCAACCGCGTTGAGAATTTGCGTGATGAAGTCGACCGCTTCTTCTTCCGGTAGACGCCCGCGTTGAACAAGGTATTCGAACAGTTCACCGCCCTCAATGTATTCGAGGACAAGGTATAGCTCGGCCTTGTTCTCCCAAACATCGTAAAGACGCATAATGTTTGGGTGCTCAATGAGCTTCATGATGACCACCTCTCGGTCAATACCGTACGGTAGACCGCCAACTTTGTCACGCGGTCTGCCTTGATCATCTTTACGCACCGTACTCGCGCTCAGCTTTGGCACAATCTTGACTGCCGCGAGCTTTCCAGTCACGGCGTGCTTGGCCAAGCGGACACGACCTATTATTAGCATGAGCTGGGCACGGCGAGGATTTCCTTACCACTACTTCCTCGTCCAAGGGTCCGTCCGAGACGCCAGGGTCCGATATGAGCCTTGTGACGCCGGGCATCGCTGCCTGTGCTGTTGATTGAGAATTCAGATATCTGCGAGACTTGACTGATGCGCTTGTCTGCTTGAACCGGTAGCGGCTTTGGTCGTTGCGACATGCTGCAAGAGCACTCTCCTAAGAATGCGTCGCGTCGTGTAGTAAGTCTCTCTCTCTGGTATAGTGTTGGTGTAACTATCTGGTAGTCAGAAAGTGTTTATTTGTTGTCGTCGTTCCTGGCGCGGGAATTCGTGTCACGCCCGAAAATTCCTGGACAAAGGGCCAAGGCCAATGAAGAACGAGTCTCTATGTATGCTTGCCATTGCTTGGTCACTGCTGAAGTGGCCTTCCCTTCAAGTGCGGCAAAGTCAACAGTGATGATCTCGGATCATGCATATAGCATGAAGAAGAGGCAGGACAGATGTTTATAGACGTGCACATGAAAACCAACTTCGTGCTAGGATTATGTTCTGAATCATGTATATGAGTATCATATTTGCCTTTTCGACCACTGAGTCTACCACTGACGCTAAGTCACGATCACCGGCTTCCTCGGCAGCTTGGCACTGCAACTATAGAATCTTGGAACTTGGTAATAAGTTTGTATAGCAAATGCGGCCGAGCTAAGCTCTTCCGGATATTGAGTATTATTCACGCGGCTCGGGCATTCCTGTCAGGGGTCACTTATTTTCCGACGCGACGCGACTTTGTATTGCAATTTGGCAACCACAAATTCGACATGAACAACCTCAAGACTAGTACTCGCAGATACTCTTGAAAGTATCTGTTCGCTACCATTCCTGGGTACTGCCATGACTTTATGAGTCTCGTCGGGACGGACAAGTTTCCCGCGTTTCCCAATGTCGAGATGTCCGCACGATCATCCTGGGCAAGGATTAAGAAATGCTCTGTGTGTCTGCAGCTCGGCGCATGCATATGTATCAATGGCGAAGAAGTCATGAAGCAGTCAAGGAAGCGTGTCCATATAACATATCTCCGGAATGGCACAAAGACTGTTGGACCCCTAGGTAGACACTAGAGTCATTATTACAATTATCTTTAGTATACACAACCAATGCACATCAGGTACAAATGATCAACCCGTCACATCAAGACGGATCAACCTTATGGTCTTGGCCAACATCAGACTGACCACACTGCTTGACCAGTATATGCCGCTTTAACGCATCCTTGCGACTAAAGCTCTTATCACAACTCGGACACGGGAACGGCTTGATTGCCAGATGAATTCGTTTATGCCGCTTGAGATCGTGACTCCGTTGGAAGCTCTGTGGACACTGATCACACTTGAATGGTCTTTCACCAATCGTTACCGCATTACCCGTCGTCGACGCAATCGTTCCAGATTCTGTCTTTGCTTGAGGACCATTTTGTGAGATGGCAGCATTTGCTTGAGAGGGTGTCGCAGCATGACCTGTTCCGTGTTGTGACACGGAGCGGTTTCCTGCTGGATGCACCGATGCACCAAGGCCCGGCATACCTGGTCCACCACGCCCGTAAGGCCCTGGTAGTGATTGATGCTGTTGTAATGAAGGGTGGAGTTGCTGTGAAGGAAAATGCAGAGGATGTCCTGGCTGTCCTACCATATGTTGTTGCATGGGAGCATGAGACCCTGGATGGCCCGCCATACCAGGATGTTGTGGCTGCATTGGAGCAAAGTTGGGATTGCCGTAGGCACCGCCACCCATCTGACCGTAGGGACCGGCAGCATATGGCGTCACGAAGAGGGAGGCGTCATGTGAGGCATCTCTCGCATGGCCGCTAGGTGCCGGGGAGGGCTGCTGATGGTGATGCTGTGAATGTTGTATGGGCGGCGCGCCTGCGTACATGCCACCGTAGGGAGCCCCAGGATAGCCGGGATAAGGCGCGTAACCAGCTGGCGGCCCGTTATACTGCGGAGGAATACCTTGACTGCCGGCTGAACTGGCTGTTCCATAATTGCCCATGTACATCGGATAGCCATGTGCATTCGTGTTGGGCGCACCATATGCCTCTTGCTGAGAAGCCTGTCCGTTTGTGTTTTGCACCACTTCGTTCGCTCCGTTACTGCCAGCTGGCCCACCAGGGGACATCCGGCTGATTGAACCATTTGGGTTGTGCTGCCTCGCTGGGGGATAATGTGCGTAAGCTGGTTGTTGTGGCGCACCATAGCCAGGCGGCGCGGATGACAACTGAGAAGGTTGCCCGCCAGGATTGTATGGCCCATGTGCTGACTGGACGGACGGGTGCTGAGCATGAGCATGGGGCCCTCCCTCTGCTTGTGGCCAGTAATTCAGATAGGCGGCATTCGTTTGTTGCGAATGTTGCTGCTGATGACCATACTCATGCGACGCCGGCTCATTCTGTAGCATACCGGCATGGGAATCATACTTCAAGCTGTTGTTGCCGCCAGCATGTTGCTGTTGCTGAGGCGGCCTGCCTTGTTGCGATACAGGGGAGAATGTCCTAGTAGGCATATTGAAGGGCGGCAACTGCGACGTCATTTGCCGCCGTGATGTAAGGCCCTGATCCTGGTGTCCATCTTGCGGATTGGGGAGCACATTCAATGTCGCAGTAGCAGACCCCTTTTTGTTGTTGTACGCCATATTACCCTATGCGACTGCTCACAGATCTTTGCGTTGCACAAATAAATCTCCGGCAGTAGCGCACAAAGGTCTTCCGGTATATGCGATCTCCTATTCTATGCCTTGATGACAACTTGATGCGGCGACGAGGCCGCTGTTGTTACCGGCGCCTTGGGAGTGTTGACAGGTCGCCTTACCGGCCTGTTGCACAAATAGCAAATATAGGGCGTTTTTGGGCGGGCGGGAGGTGGTGTCACTTGTGTGTGTGGTTGGTGGTGGTTGTTGGTAGTGCAGGGAAAAGGAGTTTTGGTGGTGGATCGGTGGCAGACTCGGCGCAAATCCATGATTCACTTTGCGCGGCCAATCGGCGCAGGCGCAGGCCCGTGGAGACTCGGGGGCCGTTGACGTTGAGCGAGCGGCCAGTGCACAGAGTGTAGTTGATGGTCACTGAGAGGCAGTCTCTGAGTAGTCATGACTGTGAACAGATCAACGCGTCGATACATCAGCCGTTGAGCCATGTAATCGGAGTCGCGACTGATCGATAAATGTCCGATGTCCACTTCATTGCGCTTATTACGCCAACCGACGTCGGGACGCCATCAACCGCCACGACCACTTGCGGGCCACAGCTGTCAAAGACACGCTGCCAAAGCTACCATATGCGGGCCAAAGCAGCTGCAGCAGAGTCATTAAGCTGTCCCGAGTCAAGATGTTGAGAGTCTCCAGATCTGCCTCAGAGACACTGGTTAATCTGTTAGCCAATTTGGCCCAATGGTTTCAACAGCTGAGTCTGAGAAGGTTTCGAAACAAATAGACCGCTTGGCAGCTACATTTGGTCATATGGCTAGATAGCTATAAGTGCACAATAAATAGAATAAGACTGCACTACTCTGCGGTAGTGGCACCCGAAATACCCTTCTTCGCCTGAATGACCGTTGAAAGCGCCACGAGTGCAGCGCCAACGCCCGACCCATCCTTGGCAATACCAATCTTGAATTGCTCCTCTTTACTCCTGCCCAGTACCTCCCGCAAAGCTTCACGCAACATTGCCTCAAACTCAGGGTAGAATTCAATCACGGAACCATCGACACCAATGTTGTACGTCTTGCCGTACGAGAGCGCACCCGTCGACAAAGCGGTCGCTGCGATAGGGACAGCAGACAGACGAGCAGCACGACGACCAATAGCGTGGGAGATAGCACGTACTGCTTTGCGCGTCTCGGGTGAATCTTCCAAACCAATATCGTCCTTGAGCACATGGGAAACAGCTTGCAGGTCAGAGGTCATGTCGTTAGCGAGATCTGACATGACGGCTGTGTCGAGTGACCAGGCCTCGCCCACTTTGCTGGGCTTCGTATGAGCCACGAGTGCTTGACGGAGCAACTCACCAAGGAACATGCCTGATATACGCTTCTCAAACATCTGCATGCCGACATTGGGGGTAATCTTGTCCAGGGCCGTGTCGTATGGACTCACAGGAAGCACGTTGAGGTCATTGTCAAACGATCCCCACTCAGTGTTGACGACCATTTGTGTTGGGTTGCCCGGGATTGTGCTCGCATCTAATTTCTTGATCTTCTTGATGTCTTCCAGGTACGCACCGTTCGTTCCAGTGCCAAAGATGGCACCCATCGCTGCACCACCTTCCTCGGGCGAACCATATGAACGGGCCATGAGGGTGCCAACGGTGTCATTGACGAGTGCCACGACATTGACGGGGATATCTCGTTTATTGAGTTCGTCTTGTAGCAATTCGACGACATCCCTGCCAACAGCAGCTTTGATGTCGAAGCCCTTCGTCCAGCGAAGCAGAATTCCCCTGTCAATAGCAGTCTGCGTCACGGGGAATGAAAATGTAAAGCCGAGACGAAGGTGGTGGTCAGACGAGGTGGCAGAAAAGGCATCTTCGTGGTGCTCGCGAACAAACGCCTCCACCTGCTCAGCAATAAAGCCAAATAAGTCCTCTGCCTTTTCAGTACGCTGTAATTCACGAGACACGGGCGACTTCTTTTGCCTATTCTCAAAAGTACCGTCTCCGTTCAGTGTGACGGAACACACGCGTAAGTTGGTACCACCCAGGTCAAGGGCAAGATACGTGCCAGTCTCTGTGCCATCTGGGACATCCACAACATATGTGGGGATCATGGCAAGCGGGAAGTCATTTGAGCTAAGCCCAATTTCAGCCTGTCGTTGGTATTCCTTCACGGCAGTCTTGAGTTGCTCAGTAGAGAAGTCGAATTCTTGTACAATCTGACAGTTAGCGGAAGAAAAGCAGTGCCAAGGACGGACCTGTGATGCTTGCTCGGCGGTCAACATCTTGCTTGCCGCGGGTATGAAGCTGTGTAGGACGAGGAAGAAGAGTGGGATGTAGAGGAAGAGTGCGAGCCGAGATATACGGATACAAGTCGTTGTGACAAGGCTTGCAGATTGAGAGAGATGGGCTGTAGCTGGCTGGTGGACAAAGATCTGGCCTCCCCTGTTGGTCGTGGTAGAGCGTGGGGTGTCTTGAGCTGCTTCTTCTGCTTCCCGCGGACTTGCGAAAAATGACGCAGAAGCAAATGTGACACCAAATAGCTGCTGCGACTCCCAAACCAGACTCAGCGTGCTGCTGGGAAGGAGCTGCCAAGCATGACGATGCAGATCTTGTCGACACAAGCCTGGGTAGGGCTGCTAGTTGTTGCTGCGATTGCTGTTCGCTCCTACAGACGAGAATCCTTAACTCCGTGGGGCTGTATAGTCGCTCTCTGTACGGGTTCATTCTATGCTCTTCATCCCAATAGACCACTCATACTGTTGCTTGCCTTCTTTTTGACAGGCACAAAGCTCACAAGCTGGGGCCATGATTTGAAACATGAGCTTCTCATGGATCCAGCAGCAAGCAAACAGCCAGATGCTCCAAAGAAAAAGGGTCGCACATCGATGCAAGTGCTTTGCAATAGTGCTCCAGCTACTATTCTCCTTGCTATTCATTCCATCACAACTGTTACTCATAGAGAACCTGCCTTGACTGCGTCTCTAAATGATTTACTCATGGTAGGTGTCATTGCACAGTACGGTTGCTCTGCAGGTGACACATTCGCCTCCGAGATTGGTGTCCTCAACGACGACTGGCCTCTACTCATCACTACCTTGCAAAAGGTACCACGTATGCTGACCTGAAGCGCGTCGCTGGACTAACAGCAGCCGGGACGAATGGCGGAGTATCACTGCTTGGAGTACTCGCCTCACTCATGGGTGGCGGTGTCATTGGCGTAGCTGCACTCCTTATGCCTGCACACAGCGTCTACACGCGTATGGGCTACTTTTGCATCGCCGTTGCCTCGGGCTTCTTTGGCAGTCTGTTTGATTCCATCTTGGGGGCCACAATGCAGCGGACCGTGTACGATCAGGAGATGAAGAAGGTGCTTGAAGCACACGGTGGAACAAGCGTGCAGGTCAAGGCTGATACTGAAGACAAGCTCATCATCATTGGTAGCGACATTCTCGACAACAATCAGGTAAACTTGGTGAGCGCTATTCTCACCGTTACAACAGCAATGACAAGCGTTTATGCCCTCTCCTTCATCAAGAATAGAATGTTCGCAGCTTGAATCAGCTTCACAGAATCAACACATCTCCCCAGCCTCAGAAAATCGAAAGCGACCAAAGGCAACCTCACCAATAAAGATCCCAGCTAGCACTGCCAGGAAGAAGCCCATATTGCCTGTCATGACTGCCAACATGAGCAAATAGGCAAGTCCGGCCGACAACACTTGGAGCAGTCCACGCGACACGTCCACACTCCACCTCCAGGCAGGATACTTGCCAGTTGCAATTCGTATTGCATCACGCGATGCGAGAGGTCGTTGCTGTACCATAGCCTCCTTGTCCGTTGACACGGCCGTCCCTAAACCTTCACGAGCCACTAGCGCGTCGCGCACTTCATTGGCATAACCGTTCAGTCGAAGGCGTGCCCTAGCTTCCGTCCATGCCCCAAACGCAGCCATTGCGCGATGCAGAATACCCAAAGCAATCAGTAAAACGAGAGCGCCTGCATAAGCGCCTAGAGAGGTGGGTGTGAAGCCACTCCACCAGAGTGCATCGCCCGTTCCTGTATGAAAGGTCATCATAGTCATGCCGGCAGCGTCGCCTGTTGTATTCTCCGTACTGCTCATATCGGCATGGTCGTGGCTCATGCTGCTTCTCGCCAAACTGTCCCTTTAAGCTTTTAGGATGTGTGGGTTCAGGAGAGTCTTTGAGATGAAGCTTGAAACGTGTCAGGATACTTTTAGATATTGGATAGCATATGAATAGTGCTGTCCACGCTGCGACAGCGCAGGATCAGCGCAATTATAAAATGCCTCACCCCTGGTCAATGCTCGCTCATTTCTTTCGAGTGTTTTGAGGAAATACGAGCGCAGGTGGTCAGTTGAGACGAGAAATTGTATTATCGCTAGAGGAAGAGTATGACTAGCCTTGATTCTCAACGTGAAGGTAGACGGCTTCTCTACCAGATCCCTTCTTGACTGCGAGCATATCGCTTGCCCTGACCACCGCAGTACGAAGCTCCCTGGTCATGGCGATCGGTCCACATGCGAAAATGCCACTCTCCCCCTGACGCTCGTCTTGCATAAGATGCTGTAAGATTGCACGTTGAAGATTTGGACGTCCACAGACGCGCTGAATCTCTTCACGTCTGGACTCTTTCTGGGTACAGCAACATTGCTCCGACTGCCCAGCTGACTGCAACAGAGACCCGTACTGTGTGATTTCGTTTGAAGCGAGACTGCTCGCGGTCGAGTGACCCTTCAAACCAAAGTAATCCAGCCCACTCGTCTTGACTTCCTTGCAGGCGCATGTAGAAAGGCCAGTCTTGAGTTTGCTGCGTTCCTCAGCAGACCACTTCGCATCGCATGTAATGTGAAGGCGTACGTCCAGCTCAATCGAGTGCTTTGTCGCCTGGCGGAATGCTTCTTCAATTTGGTCCTCGAACCAGCTCAAACAAGCTTCTTCCTTCACCATCCAAAGCACCTGCACACGTCGACAACATCCAGGGTCTACCATGAGACTCGTCAACAAACTCATTGTGAAGCTGGCACCGACACCACCTGCTACCAGGAGCACCGTATCAAAGCAAGCTGGCGGCAGGTACATGCCTCCATACGGTCCTTCGAGCGAGTATCGCATTGTAGAAGAGGGTGGCAATTGCTCATCTGTACGATCATGCAGAGCACGCGTCAAGCCATGTTTGGCCCTGAGGAGGAACACAAGTTTTCCGGACTTTGGTTGCGAGTTGATGGTGAAGGGATGCGAATGGATGCCAATCTGGTAGAGGGATAGGTAAGCCCATTGCCCTGGCTTTTGGAATGGCAGTGATTGATTTGGGACGGTGACTCGAATGGCACCACCGGGTAAGGCCTCGATGATGACGCCGTCATTCGTCCATCGACTGCGCATACAATTCAATCGTGAACCAATACGCAGTGATCGGTCTAGGAAGAAGAGCCCAGCAACAACATATAGCCACAATCGGCTAGGAGGTGTGACGTGTCGACCAACAAGAATGGATAATGCCACCATGCTGGTGATGTGAACGGGGAGCCAGTAGCTGTAGAAACGATTGCGGATAAAGCTAATGGAGGTTGCATTGATGAAAATGAGGATGCTCCAAGCAGATACGCCCCAGATGAGCACGGCTTGGCCCAGGAGTTCCCACTGACTCGCCCAAACATCGTAGTACAGCCACTCTCGCAGGAAGTAGCCCATGTGCATTGTTGTCGTCATGAGCATACAGAGGGACACATAGCGATGAAACACATTGATGCGCTCATGTGATGTGGCGAAGAGGCAAGCGACAAAGTTCTTTTTTGCTGCTAGTGCAACGAGCAACACGAGCTGTGCAAGACTGAGATAGGCTGCTCGCATTGAAATGGCCTCCCAAAACACGGGTATGGTCGACCAAACTTGAGACAAGAGGCAACTGAGCAGCAATATGGTGTAGATGGCACAGACATTGAGCTGGCCTTGTGTTGGCAGCGTGAGGCCAAAGAAGGGATATTGAAGATAGCTTGCTTCTCGTATGATAGAGACGACGGAGAAGTAGCGGCCGGTGCGCGCCTTTTGAGCAGAGCTGCGACGTCTTCTTGCAAGAATGATTGAGGACCATGAAGCAGCTGCGCCAAGAGTAAAGAAGGAAAGGAGGCAGAACCAAAAGATGCGACCGTAGAAGTAAGCTGCAAAAGGCGCAGACCCTTTGGGCACGACGCCCATGTTCATCGACTTATCCATGTTCTTCAAGCGCCAATGGTAGACGCGCCTTTAGCGCAACGAGACTGATCAAGTGGTCAATGTGTAGAAAGCAAGACGACGATTTGAGACGAGTCATCAGACCGCATGCTCTGGAGTGCGCTGATTCCGGACTCCTGCACACCTCTGCGTGAGGCCATGCACAGTCGGAAGCAGACGATTGAGTTGGGAAAAATCGCGCAACGCGAGGCAACAAACAGACAGGGGTCCAAGCGGATAGGCTTCTTATTCGCTCAACGCACCGCCAGGTAGGTGAGGGATGCTACGCGGCTGTAGTGGTTGAGAGAATAGACGGCGGCCTGCTGGGTGAGATACTTAAACCGGGAAGAGTCCTGCTACTGCCTTCATCGTAGCCAACACACTGTCAAATTTAACCAGATGGTCACGCCCACCACGCTGCTCAGCTTCCTGACTGTTGCAGGCCTCGCAGCAGGACACTTCACCCTGGATCAGCCACAGACACGCGGGTTTGATGACGACAGGGAGGCAGCCGGTCCCTGCGGTGGATTCAGTGCCATTGAAAACCGTACTCCATTCAGCATCAGGGGTGGCAGCTACCAAATTGGCAGCCACCACGCATCGGCCACTGTTCAGCTTCGCTTCTCTACCGATGGCCAGGATTTTACAGGGGAAGCTGTTACATCGTACACCACGACGGGGCTTGGCACCGTCTGCGGGCGATTGCCTGGCGAGCTCTTTGCCAATGCTGGTTTTGCAGTCGGCCAGAATGTCAGTATGCAGATACAGTTCCAATCGACCAATGAAGCACATCCCTTGTTCCAGTGTGCTGATCTGACCCTCGTGGACGATGCAACAGAGACAGGATCCTGCAAGACTGGCACCAATGTCAAGATCTCGAATCTGCAAGTCAATGGAACTTCCTCGCCGGCAGACATCTCTTTCAGCAGTGCCCCGACTCCGTCTGCCACGCCCAGTGCATCTGTTCGGACATCCGACGCTACAGCGGCCTTCTCGATCACAGCCTTCGTCTTTAGCGCATCTTTGCTCTCCCTGGCCATTTAGATTCTCTTTCATCAGTATCATTATACAATTAGTCACGAACGCTACCTTCGCTACCTGCGTCTCCCTGTATCGTCTCCATCTTCGTCCCTGCGTGTATCATGTGCAAATGACACCTTCTTCAAAAATCGCTTGATGCTTTTGATGGGGCTTCTCCCCGTATGTTCATCATCATCCTTTTTGCGCACAGCAATCAATTGTGGTGCGAGTAGACTTGTCCGCTCATCAGCAGTATTCAGCGCCGCACCGAGCGAACCGCTCCGTTTTGGTCGATCCCAAATCACCGATGCAGATTCTTCATCTTCACGCGTATCGCTCGTGGAGCGTGAACCATAGTCGTCTTGCCAAGGCCAACTCGACCGACTTTCCCGGCCCAATTCACCAGCGGAAGACTCACTACGACGTCGTGTCGTGGAAGGTGATTTTGGCAGCCAGGGCGATTCTGGGTTGACGTCGTAGACACCCGGAATGGCAATTTGCAAACCTGGATCATCCTCATCCTCACTGCGGAAGCGCCAAGAGAGACCAGCGACACCGAGGAGGAGTAACACGACGCCGAGTATTACGAGACCAATTTGCAAGGCTGTCAACTCTGCTGCTTGCTTGTAGTAAATCAAACCATCGAGAATCGTTGTGATGTTGTAGATGGAAAAGTTGAGTGGGTAGAGGATGGAGGTGGTACACATGCGTAGACCGCGATTGAGGTAGTAGAGCTGACTGAGTGCTCCAGCAATCAAGCCAACCAGGATGGCCCAGGCCTGCCAATGGTTGAATTGGTTGATGCCATCCCCGAATGTCTTGACGAGGAGTTCCACTGTCAGTTTTGCGAGTAAGAGGCAGTGTGATGCCATGATGCCAGCAAGACAGCCCAGTGCTGCTCCTTGCACAAGCCTCGACTGTGGTGTCTTGCCACCTGCGGTACGAGATGCAATGGAGACGGAAATTACGATGCCGAGAGCAAGAACAAGCTGGAATGACATCCATCCCAAGAAGCGAGGAGCTTCAAATAGATGAAGGAGCTGTTCCAGTGTATGCGAAGGCTCCGTGATGGCGCCAAAGATACCAATCAGTGTTGCGCCAATAGCCACCAGGATTGTACCGACCCAAGCGAGCCAAGTGAATGGTTCGCCCAGCATGAGCGTCGCCAGGACTGCATTATACACGAGTCCACACGCATGCAGTGGCGCAAGGATAGTGAGTGGCAATGCGGCAATTTGTACGGTAGAACCAAGCAGATTTGCCAGGATGAAGATGGTGAAGCCTATCCGCCACATGGTCTTTGTATTTCCCTCTTGTACACTATATGTCAGCTGCTGCAGCATTAAGTGCTAGACGGACTGTGCCTTGCGTTGCAGCGTCAAGCCAAGCGACTGGACGAAGCCTGTGATGAGGCCGATGGAGATGCCGAGCGCCAGCAGTCGCGGCATGGGGTGGTCATCGCTCGGACTGTCGCCTTGCATCTGCGGCGGGGACTCTGGCAACGGGCCGCGTGCTCCTGTTGCGTTTGTCGCGGTCTTGTTTGTGGTCAGTAGCGAGTTTGTCAAAGTGTTTCTATGGACACAGCAGCAGTGGCATCTACACAACAGGCCTAGTCGAAGAACTTGCGCGAGGTCGACTCGCCAAACAGGGCAGACCGCACAATAGGCAGGCCATGTGCCTCCACCAGGGACAGGCGCTCCTCCAATGTATTGTTGACCCTGATCTTGCCCTCATTTGTCTGAACCAGCACACCGCCGTGGATATCCTTGGCCAGCGGCTTCTTCTCATCCACAGATGCCTTGGCTTGGATGCCAGATTGCTCCTTGTAGCGTGCTAGAGCCTTCTCAATCGCCTGCTTGACTGCATCATAGTCCTGCTCTCTTGCAGAAACCGTAAACTCCTTTGTCATGAGCTTTAGAAATGACTCCAGCAGCAGATTCTCCAGCAGTTTCACGTACTGCTCCTTGTCTTCTGCAATCTTGACGAGTTGGTTACGCGCCTCCTCAAATACGTCGTCCAGTACCGCCTGCCGTGCCGCTAGAATCTTGAGTCGCTGCTTGTTGAGCACGGTAGACTTTGCAATCTGCTGGCTCATGCCTGCCTTTTTAATACGCTGTTCATGCTGCTCATCAACTTTAGACTGCTCTGTCCGTACGAGCTTTGCCTTTTCAATCGCAAACTCCTCGTCTGCCTTGATGTGGATCTCCTTGGACTTTTCCAGCGCCTCTTGCTTGATGAAGCTCACCATCTGTTGCGTTAGTCAGGACTAGCTGCTTGATAGACTACCTTGCGCATCTCGCTTTGGACCTGATCATCATTCATCTTGCTGGACCTGTCTGAGTGCCTGTGAGGATGATGCGTGATGCGATGATGCGCTCGCTGTGCTTCGTGCAAGTTCGTGGTGGTCTCGTTGGCAACTCGCGCGTGCAATCAGTTACACCACTCACTACACTTGCTGTTGCTGCTCTAGCTCCTGTTGCTCTATTGCTGCTCTGATATTCTCTGTACATACGCCCAATGCACTGAACTAGCTGGGGCTTTGCCAGTCACTGCCAATGGGCATCAAAGAAAAGGGCTTCGCAGACTGGGTCATCGGTCAATTCCCAGACAGCGCCCATACACTCTCGTCCACCGATGCAGCTCCTTTCAGCCATGTCCTCATTGATATGAATCCGCTCATTCATACAAACCTGCGAACAGCTAAAGATGAGAAGCAGTGCATCAAGCGGCTGTTTGCTGAACTCGACCGTCTACTAAGACTGACGCAGCCGCAAGTTCTCGTGTACCTGGCAGTAGATGGTGCACCCCCGCTGGCCAAGATGAAGGAACAGATTCGACGCCGCCGCTCTCGTGCACCGTCCAAGGAAAAGCGCAAGCTGGATTCCTCTCAAATAACACCAGGTTGTGCCTTTATGATGAGGATGACAGCGTACTTGCAGTACTATGCCGCACGCTATCTGGCCAGCTACAAGAATCGCTCTGGCAAGCTGCGATTCATCATTGATGGTGCAGAGACGGAAGGCGAAGGTGAAGCTAAAATCATGGCCTTCCTTGCTACACAGGCCAATATGATTGCCGGGGATGTGGCGGTGTACTCTGGCGACTCGGATGTCGTGATTCAATCTCTGCTGTCTCCCATCGCAGGTCTCTTTGTTGTTCGATACAGCCCAGACCAGATTGTGGCATTGTCTATGCGTGTTTTGCGAACACTCATTGCCATGCCCCTGCCAGCCGCAGAGAGCTTCACAACCTATCGTCATCTTGTCGATTTCGTCTTTCTCGTCCTCTTTTCTGGTAATGATTACCTACAAAAGCTACGAGGAGCCAAAATTAGCAAGACGTGGCCTATTTACAAGGCCTTTCGTGCGGAAGCAGCTTGGCAGGGACGTCACTTGATATCAGAATCCTTTGCGGATTTCGATCACGAGGTGCTTGTTGAATTATTGCAGCGCGTCAGATTGAATGGGCGCAAGGCCAAGGGACCAAAAGGCAAGTCCAGGCTCTTCACACCTAATCTACGAGTCGCTGTTGCCGAAGTCGAGGATGACACGTCTGATGCGGCAGAAGAGGATGATGAGCAAGATTTGGACGATGCCTTCACCGAATTTGATCGTGCAGCGGCTGGGATGAATCCAGAATTTGTCCAATCCCTTGCGCCGTTCAAGCGCGAGTCTGAAGCCGTCTTGCGATCGGATACGTACACGACGCACTTGCCAGATTACTTTCACTCGCTCTTTTGGTGTTTGCGCGTGTGTCAACATGGTCGATGCCCAGACTATCTGTTTCTACCACAACGCTCAATTCTCACCATTGAACAAGTATTGACATTCATTGCGCGAGACTTGCCACGGTCGCCCTTTTCTCTCAAACTCGATGCGCATCCACCATTGCCATCGGTTGCTATTGCATGTGCACTGCTGGGAAAACACAAAGCAGCTCTACTACCGGCAACATGGCAATCCCTCTTTGAACAAGATACGTTGCGAGAATTGTTATTTCTGATGCTCTTTCATCCACTCACTTCCAATGCACAACGCAGAAGACTCGCACATCTCGTGCGTAGTCAAATTCCTGCTACCTCTGGACGTCGTCATGCGGGCTTGTTTGACACGGCTCGACAATTGAGTTGTTGGCCACAAACCATGCCACATCCTACATCCTTTCAAGACCCATTAGCTACTGCGCGTCATGCAGCTGCGTCTTCGGGATTATCTCAAATTTGGCACGGTGGTGCAGCAGATGCCTTTACGGCACTACCACCTACCGTTGGTCGTCTTGTGTATATGGATGGTTGGCAGACTTCCGACCTGGTGGATGTGGCTGCTGTGAGTCAAGTTTGGAGGAAGATGCCACGGATTCAGCAGGAACGCGGGGATGCATTTCGGATGTTTCGTCGGCAGACTGGTGTGTTGCAGCCGAGAGGCATCCAGTCTGGCGTCAAGGTGATGAAGCGGGAGCGATGAGCAGTATATAGGGATGATCAGGCATAGATACTTTAGATACAAACATTCTTCAATGGGCTAATTGGCTCTAGTACTTGAGAATGATGTACAAGGCGTGGATGATCTGGACGGGTTAGCTTGGTTTGATGGCGATGAAGGACGAACGCCTGGGATGTAACCGAGCTGGATGGTTAGCAAAAGTATTAAAGGAAGAGGAGCATACAATGGTCAAGAGGATGTTGATGAGCAAGTCAGCTCCACATCCGCGCTCAAGAAAGACACCGATGGGAGGGATGAAGATGGCGAAGATGATTTTGCATATGTCGCTGTGCTGTTAGTAGGAGCTTTTGACTGAACCCTCTGCGCCTTAGAGGTTGACTGAAATGACGCAGCCTTGGCGCCTAGGATTTCTAGAAGTGACGAACCTTGCGGTAAACTATATAGCGCATGTTAGTAGTGCGCTTGTGTATATCAATGAACTTACGGCCATTTTAGATGATGTCGATAGGGAGTTGAGTGGTGGGTTGAGGTCATGTTCTGCGTTTCCTGCCAAAGTTGCTTCTGGGAGGCTTGCTCGCTGTTTGCGTCATTGCCGGCGCCGAGAGTGTTTGCGTGTTTACGGTTGGTTTTATCCTCCGACGCTCTCCTGATCAGCTACTGCTACTACCGTACATGTAGACTGCTTATATCGTCTAAGGCCATCTACGCCAAGACACGTTTCAAGAAGGCCGCCAAATCCATCAATTCTCTTGGATCTGCTGAATGTGCCAAGCCTTGATACGTCTGCCACTCCACTTTACGGCCCATCTTCTCCTTCAAATACGATTGTGAGAGCTGCCCGAATTTAGGATTCACCACTGGATCTGCTGTGCCGTGCGCTAGCCAAATAGGCGTTTCCTTATTGGCTTCAGTTGCGAGGTTTGGCAGTTTCTCTCGAAGGGGAAGATAGCCTGACATGCCAACAATCGCAGCCAGTGGTTTCTTACAAGTCAGTCCAGCAAGAAGGGCCATGGCACACCCTTGCGAGAAGCCAGCCAGGACGACCTTGTTGGAAGCCAAACCGCCTGCAATTTCTTCATCGACAAGAGCATGTAAACTTGCAGCAGACTTGAGCATGCCTGCCTCATCTTCAGTCCGCGGGAAATTAGTAGTCGTCACAGGATGCTGGACGACTTACCTGATCAATGTCACCGAGACTGGCAATATCGTACCAAGCAGGCATTTTCATACCCATATTCACCGTGACCGCTACATCAATTAGCGTGAATACGTAGAGCATGAAAGACGCACGGAGCATTGGCGCATTCGGTAAGATCCATTTGACGCCTGGTAGAAGTTTTTGAGCAGCCATGAGTTCAGGTAGAAAGCTCCAGCCTGCACCAGAGTCACCAAGGCCGTGTGCAAAGATGACTGAGGCGGTATGTTGCGCTCTGGCTGGGATACTGATGCCTGGCATGCTGCTGCTGCTGTTGATGTTTGGGCTTTTGAAAGGAGAGAAGCTTGGAGATGGTTTTATGAGCGAGAAGAGAAGAAGCAAGCAGCACAGGGAAAGAAGAAGAGCAGCTGTACGGAGTAGTTTAGGCAGCTTGAATAGTCAGTCTTCAGCTGTAGTCTCCGTGTATAATGTATTTGACCGTCGCCTGTTGCAGTTTCGAGTTGGCTGCCGGATCAAACACAACCAGCCAGCAGCATCATCCAGTGACATCCACCTCCCTACCGCTCACGCATCTCCTGGACTCAACCGTCAACAGACACACCCCAAGCTCACAAGACTCTGCGTCGCCCGTTGCTCTCATCGCGCGAGCCCCTCTCCTCTCTGAAACAAACCCTATAAACATCAAAGCGCACACTTCAATGTCAAGCGAACCTTACGACCCTTGTAAGCCCTCTCCCCCTTGCGCTTCCGTACGCGACTAACGCGACTTTCCTTGCTAGACGTTCCAAGCGGCAATCACGGCATGTCTGGTGCAGCGGGCGGTAGTGGCCAGTCAGCTGGCGCCAACAAGACTGCTGCCATTCAAGCACAAATCGATGATACCGTTGGGATTATGCGCGAGAACATCAATAAAGTCGCTGAACGGGGTGAACACCTCGATACCTTGCAAGATAAGACGGATAACCTTGCTGTGAGTGCGCAGGGATTCAGGCGCGGTGCGAACCGTGTTAGGAAGCAGATGTGGTGGAAGGACTTTAGGGCGAGGATGTGCCTGATTGGCGGTGTGGTCATCTTGCTCATTGTCATCATTGTGCCATCGGTTTGTTTATGCTATGCGAGAAGTACTGCTAACGATGCTAGGTGATTGCTGCCAAGAAGTAAACAGACTATGACCCTTGCAATCTATGACGGCGGTGTGATGAGCCAGTGTTTTCGATAGTACCGTAGCTCTTCCAAACTTTCGAGCAAATCGCCAAGTGCACGATGACTGCCTTGTTTGACTGGCTTGCGGCTCTCTAGCTCAGGCACCCAAGACTGTGCCAGGCATTTGAGGGACGATACATCAACTTGTCGATAGTGCAGGAATTGAACAAACCGCGGCATTTGGAGCTGCAGGAATGTTCTGTCTGCATGGATGGAGTTGCCTGCCAGGAAGAGCTGGCCCTGTACACAACCCAGCTGCTGCAATCGCTGCAAGAGGTGCTGTTCTGCATCTGCTAGTGTCACGTTGGAAAGGCGACATGCTTGTGTGAGGCCGGATTCACCGTGTGTCTTTGTACACCAGGCATCCATGCCATCAAGCAGGGCATCAGGGCAGGCAAGGATATATTCGCAGCGGGACTCTGGTAGCTCTTGCAGGTTCATGTCTGTGAGGAGAGCGGCGACCTCTATGATTTGGTCTTTGTAGATGTCGAGTCCAGTCATTTCTAGGTCTAGCCATAGGAGGAGTGGTGGCATGCCTCTTGCTCTAGATGTCTATCAGTGATACAGTAGCAGTAGGAGCAGCAGCAGTACTAGTAGCAGTAGGAGCAGCAGCAGCAGTAGTAGCAGCAGTAGTAGTTACTAAGTAGTAGCAGCAGCAGTAGAAGTGAATTCAGCCCGCAGTCACACAACTCAAACAACTCACAGCGACACCACAAAGACATCGAGCAGCATACACAGCAAAGACACCCACCCAGCATCACAACAGCCATGAAGATCGAACTCGACTCCTTCTCAGGCGCGAAGATCTACCCGGTATGTCGCACTCCGCATAGGCGCACCAACAGCGATGTAAAATGAGCGAGTACAGCAAGAGAACCATGAAACTAGTCCAGCATCACGGCCCAGCTAGCCTTACAATAACTGTGCATCCATCACGACTCTCTACTCGCTCGCATCTCTGCCGCTTCAACCCAAAACACAAAGCACAAATTGCTAACTGACTATAGGGCACGGGCAAGCTCTTTGTGCGTATCGACAACCGCGTCTTCCGTTTCTTCAACGGCAAGTCCGAGTCTCTCTTCCTTCAACGCAAGAACCCTCGTAAGATCGGATGGACTGTGTTGTTCCGTCGTATGCACAAGAAGGGACAGGCAGAGGAGACTGCAAAGAAGCGAACACGCAAGACGGTCAAGGTTCAGCGTGCTATTGTGGGTGCATCACTCGATGATATCAAGAAGCGTCAGCGACCAGAAGCGCGTGCGGCTGCACGGACAGAGAGCTTGAAGCAGCGAAAGGAGAAGAAGGCTGCTTCCGAGAGCGCAAAGAAGCTCGCCAAGGCCAAGGCTGGTGCAAGGCAGGCTGAGCAGAAGGTGTCCAAGATGGGAGCTAAAGGTGCAAAGCCTGCACCGGCCAAGTCTTCCCGTTGATTTGTAACTTCAACGTTGTCCTTAGCATCTACATTCACGCCATCTTTTGTCTCATTCATTTGCATTGCTTCTATGTCTACGGTTTTGCATACTGCTGTGTCCATGACTGAGCCGTTCTAATGGCAGCTGCTTCATCCTCCTTCCACGCGCTCGCTACATCATTCGCAAGAGGGTCATCGGGGTTCGGCGCAGACAGGAGTGCTTGAATCGAGAGGAGCACTGTGCGAATCTGTAATGCAGGAGACCAGGCACTCTTGAGCGTATCCATACAAATACGACCCAGTCTGTCGATATTGGGATGATAACTGTCGTCAGTCTCTGGTTAATTGATGGGAGCCTTACATTTTCGTGAGGAAGCGGACCTTGGGCGCAACCATAGGATACTCTTCTGGTAAAAACAACTCTAGCTTGAATGTTCCTCCTTCATATGCAGACTGTGCAGGTCCATCAATCTTGATGTCAAAGTAGCGCAAGTTGTCTTCAAACGGCGTAGCGGTGATGCCAGGCGGCGAGTCAGAGACGAGACGCTCTGTTTCCTGTCGGTCAGCATATATAGAAGGCGTCAGGCATACCTTGAGGATGCGCTTTGGAAGAGGCGCCGACATGCTTTTAAGCTGGCAGTTGTGCTGCGTGGTTGTCGTCGCGTTGCACCAACTCCACACCTCAAGAACCTGACCAGCTACTACACTCAAGACATGATGAATTGCATAGCTCGACGACATGCTACATGACTGCCCTCCATGACAATCGAGACTACATGCCGGGTGAAAGCACCTTTGGCATCAGTCTCACCATTGAAATCGCTGATAAGGGAATCGATGCCATGTCCATCTCCCCAAGTGGGCGCGATGTCGTTCTTGCTTCTCGCAAGGGATTGCTCGTGGTAGACCTCGACAACCCCTATGAGCTTCCACGTAGCCTACTCTACAGAACGGCATGGAATGTCGCTGATGTGCAATGGAACGTTCACAGCCATCGCACGCACTGGGTTGCGTCGACTGCAAATCAGTCATTGCTTGTTTGGAATTTAGAGATGCCGTCGTCTCAAGCTGTAGAACATGTCCTGAAAGGCCATACGCGTGCCATTACAGACATCAATTGGTCTGCCCATCATCCAGAGATTCTCGCTTCATGCTCCGTTGATGCGTTTGTGCATTGCTGGGATTTGCGAGATCCTCGAAAACCCGTCAATGCATTCAGTGATTGGAAGGCAGGCGCAACGCAAGTCAAATGGAACAGACAAAATGAACACATCATTGCCTCCTCACATGGCCGCTTCCTGCGCATCTGGGATGATCGACGAGGTGCAACACCATTGCAAAGTATCGAGGTGGCTCAACACTCCACCAAAATCTATGGTGTTGACTTCAATCGGACGCGCGAGTCTGGCGTCATTACCTGTGCTCTTGATCAGAGTGTCAAGTTTTGGGATTACAAGACCAACATCAAGGAGCCTGAACAAATCATTCGTACAACTACGCCTGTTTGGCGAGCAAGACATACGCCCATGGGCTGGGGTGTCTTGACATTACCACAGCGAGGGGATAACACGCTATACTTATGGGACCGGCGCGGGAAAGGACTCAATCCACAACCGCCTGTGCATGAATTCAAAGGCCACACAGATCAAGTCAAGGAATTCCTCTGGCGTGCAAAAGGCGGTCAAGACCCACAACGGGATGATCGCGCCTTTCAACTCATCACCTGGTCTAAAGATCAGACGTTGCGGTTATGGCCTGTTGCGCCGGATGTGCTCGAATCCATTGGTCATGATGCCACCAAACCCATCCGATTCAGACAAACACGTCAAGGTGCAGAGTACAAGAGTTATCGCCCGGAAGCAACGGTGAAGCGTGTCTCATCCTTGGGACAGGCAGTGGAAGAGCGACCACTGAAAAAGTACCGACAGCAAGGCGTTACCATGACAAAACGAGGCACGACTGCATTGGGCTACAGTTCTGTTGCATGGATGCGTGGTATCCGTATGAATCGCAAGAGTGATACGATGGATCTGCAGGAACACTGGGAGCATGAAGTCTTGCATCTCGGCGAGGAATTTCCGGCGATTGAAGCCAAGTTTCCAAAAGTCAAATTTGAAGAGGCGAGCGTCACGCAGCGGATCTGTACCATTACCTTGCAAGGTCCATGGGGCGTGGCAGAAGAAGTGACTTTTTTGCGGCTCAAGATTTCGTTTCCAGAGGGGTATCCGGCCTTGGCTGCACCGTCCTTTGCATTGGAGCAGACGCACGCTATCAATGACACGACCCGCAACTACATTCTCGAGAGTCTGGCACAGATTGCGCAACGCTACTTGATGCGCTCCAAGCCATGCCTCGAAGCACTTGTGCGCTTTCTACTCGGCGAACATGTTCTCGGTGAAAAGTTTGAAGATGAAGAATCCTCTAACAGCAGCGATGATGAATTTATATCCTTGTTTCCTGTCGACCCGGTCGACGAACAAGCAGCCAATGTACCTCTTCCTCGAAGCTGCGCAGCCGTGTGGTGTGGGACCAAACTTGTATGCTTCTTTTCCGGTCAGTCGCACCATGAACCTTTGCCAGCGTTGCTCGAAGAGGGCTCTGTCAGCTCACAAACGGGTCCGACGCAAACCTCATCACAGCGTCTCTTTAGCAGCTTTGGCCACCTACGGCAAGTAGGCAATCGACGGTCGAGCAGTGATGCGGACTCGGACGAGTTTGACTTGGAAGGCGCGTCGTCCACCTACAAGCATGAACGTCGCTCAGCGCTCAGCACACATCATGTTGCCCCATCAAAGCAAAGCTCGTGGTCTCGAAAACCATTATCGGTTGCGAGTGGTCTTTCCGAATCTCACAAACGGGATGTGGTGGTGATGCACGACTTTTCAGACTTGGTGGGCATGCATAATGCGCTTGCTCAGACCTGGCGACTCGCCAAGACGAGTGAAGATTGCTTGTTCAATGCACAACTCGCAGAAGAGCAAGATTTGTTGGATGCAGCTGAATTGTGGGAGGTAGCAGCAACGCTCATGGAAGGATGCAAAGAGGTTCCGGAGGAAGGTGGTATGACGCTGCAGCAGCTCTTGATGGATGACTTACTTGGCAAGGCTAGTCTACTGGGAGATATCTTGCTGCACCTCGGCAAGCAGGCAGATACGCAGCTGCTAGCAATGCTGAGTTGCACTTTTGCTAGCAAGCCGTCAGCACCAGGGATCACGCAAGAGTTGCCAGGATTGCCAAAGGCGACATCTCACGACTCCCTTGACCGCAATCTTGCGTGGGCACCTGGTTCATGGAAGGAAGGATCCAATACGTCCTCGCCTATTGGCACGTTCCATGAAGAAGTAGATCGACGCGACTCGCATACGTTTACTCATTCAGGACACGGCTTTGGTGCATGGCTTTCCACTAGACGGCGCGATTCGGGCAAGACGTCTGCACCACAAACCATGGTTGCGCCTGGCCCACTCTCGCAACTACAGCGTCACTCTGCCCAGTCTACACACAGCAGTCCGCGATCCTATGAAACGGAAAAGCCAAGACACGGGTCTCTGCGCAGTCAAATGAAGGGTGAAGCATGGAAAGATCCCGTCTTTCTTGAACGCCACCCTCCCATTGATGTACAACAGCTTTCGCCACTGCCTGTGCCAAGGGCACATGATCCAGTATTGGATCAAGTCGTCTCTCGTGCAAGAAGAGCGTACGCAGAGACACTGTACGGCTTGGGTCTCACAACGCAACGCAGCGTATTGCTCAAAGTCAATCATCAAGAGAGGGAATCTACGGCCCCCACATGGCTGCCCAGACTAAAGCATGCATCCAGTAGCCAATCGGACGCAACAGGCCATACCGTCACCGACACGAGTGCCGGTGTGGAAATCGGTGCACGATGCTCCAATTGCTTCCACAGTGCAACCAAACGTTGTGACCCACGCTGCACAGGCTCACGTATCCGTGTCAAGTGCGTTTTGTGCAGAGGACCTGTTTCTGGACGGCTCGAGGCGTGTTTGGTGTGTGAGCATGGTGGACATCCTGCTTGTATGCGTGATTGGCATCTTGACCCCGATACAGTCGGCGTTTGTCCTGCCGGTTGTGGATGTGCATGTGCTTCAGAGGCAGATGTAGAAATCAGCATGACACATCAAGGACAACGCATTAGCACAAAAATCGCAACGTTATGGAAACGAGCATCAGGGTAGCGTAGCAGGTTACTATAGAGACTTTGTCCTTCTAGTGATGATTGAAAGCATTATAGCCTCTTCATTACGGGTCGTGATCATCTGACGAGCTGATGCCCATGCTGTGGGTGATTGCCATTTGCAGGCCGATCAAGGCTACTCGATGACGAGTGACTGCCTGATGCATTCTCACCTGCACTGCCAAAACTAGCACTTGCGCTACCCGTCACAGATCGCATGGCTGGATTCACACTCGCTGGGAGGTTCGGGTCACTGCCCTTGGCGGGGTATCCGTATTGTTGGCCGCGTGGTTGTGGATACGCCTGTTGCGGTTGTGGACCACCTCGTAGATTTTGTGGTGCATTGTAGCCTCGTCCATTACCATTTTGCTGTGGGTAGCCATTCCTACCATTCATCATGGAGTTGGGTGGTCCTTGTGGTCTTGGGTAGTGATGATTGCCACCACCGCCACCAGCATACATGCTGCTACTTCCCAAACTGTTGAGTCGTTGACTGGAGCTCTGCATAGACATGGTACGTCCTTGTTTCACCAACGATTGAGAATCAACAATGCCATACCGATTATCACCCATGCCGAACAACGCTGAGCTTGTCAAGACATCACGCGCGTTGGGGATATCTGCCATACCCGGTGACATCGTTGACCGTGTCTTATTCATTTTAGGTCGCGCAGCAGGCACACCATAGCCATCATCACGATACGTGGCACTGGACGAACGATTATTCCCAGGTCGTCGCGTCATGGCCAGCATATCCACTTGATCAGCATGGATGGCTGGACGTTGTTTTGCATGTCCCTGTGGTGCGAAATCGTCATCATCATCATCTTCGTCTTCCATATAATCTTGACGCTGACCTCTCGATAATCGCATCTTGCCCATTTTCTTACCCATTTGCGTAAAGGTACCATTACTGGCTGGTCGAGCTGGTTGCCCAGTCATGGCACGTCGTGATTGCTGTTGCGGTGGCAGAGGCACACCATATGCGTCATACCCAGATTCTGCTGGATCAGGCATATCGCTATACATGGCCACACTCGCGAATTCACCGAAATCTTCTATTGATTCTTGTCGTGCCATGCGAGGTTGTTGCGTTGGTGGTGGACCTTGTTGAGACGGACGACGCATGGGTTGTGGTCCATTGCGATAGCCATTCATGCCTGTGGGAGGTGGTCCGTATTGTCGAACCATAGCAGCGTCAGGAGGTCCAGGTTGTCGATACATCATGCGTTGTTGACCCATCATGCTTTGTCCTGTGTGTTGTGGTACGAGTGCATGCGCAGGAGATCCATTACCGGCTGGCGCAACATTGACCTTGCTCTGATTGACCTTATTCACCATGCTGAGTAGGGCATAGATGGATTCGAGTTTAGGGGTAGGGACATTTGCTTCTTTGGCCATGCGAATGGGTGTCGCGAGCAAGACTTCAATTTCAAGCGGTCGTCGAGCAAGAAAATCCTGGTACATGGTGGATTTGGGCTCTTTTGTTTGTGTGAGTGATTTGATGACTTGCTGCTTGAAGTCAAAGGCGAAGTTGCAGCGTCGCTTTTCCGCAACCTGGAGACATTCATCGAGGACATCTTCAATGAGAAGTGCCACTTGTGTATTCTCCATGAGGACTTCATGACTTGGTTCCTGCAGAATAACACTGACTGGATGAAATGCCATTGCACCAATCAACCTCTCCCATTGATGCTTTTCAATAGCACCCGTCATGATGCAATCCACGGCACCAGCTTCCAGTGTCAATGTCAGCGATTCCGTCATGTCTTGCTGCGCTTCCTGTGGTAAATTAGGGTTACTCTTGACGGCGCCAATCCGTATGGTGCGGGATCCAACATGCTCAAAATCAGCAGGTCCCGTTTGGATGAGTTCCACTGCACTGCATAGAGAAATGACGAGGTTGCGTGGGAAGGTGCTCTGAATACTGGCTTCGACACCTAAGCAAGTCGTCGTGTTGAGGACGATGCAGGTATGGGCTGGTGTAATGACGGAAGTGATGACTTGTGCGAGATCGTAAACGTCAGGGAGCGCCTTGACACAGACAAAGACGTAGTCGTAGCCAGCTGTGTCGGATGCTTCTTCCACTGTCCTCACTACGCGGAATGGGCGAAATCGCTCAGAGGTGTAGAGGTCGGATCTATGGTTAGCAACAATGCGCAAGCAAGAAGAGCATACTTGAAGCCGACGCCGAATTGATTGACAGAGTCGAAATGGCTTCGCCAGACGAGCGTCACGTCTGCTGCGCCGGATGCTTGTAGCCGCCATGCTAGAAATGCAGAAATGGAATTACTCCCAACTTGTTGTTAGCTTGGTAATGTGAGCAGTGAGACATACTTGACAGTATTCTGAGCTTATTACTGCTCTCCATGGCTCAAGAGAATGAGAGGTTGCGCAACAAAAAAATACACGAGAGGGATTGCCTCCTTTGGAGAATTGAAGCCTGTTGTCGGGTCGATCAGCAGGCTGATGTGTCGAATGGCGAAACGAATGGAAGAGCAGGCAGGGCGCGCAAGATCGAGGAGCGCGTAGGTGAGGAGACGCCGGGAGAGCAGCTGTCGTGTGTGCGCGAGGTAGGTTGTGTTTGTAAATTTCCTGCTTGGCGCCGAGTCGAGAACTGGGCTGTGCAGCTGGGCCGGGAGCTGGGCGAGTGTGCAGTGGGTGAGGGTGGTGAGACCTGTGCGATGAAGAAGCGAGTGTGAGGTGCGTGGGTGTAGGCTCAGGGATGGCAGGGAGGCTTCTTCGTGGTCTTGTGTTTGGTGCCGGTCGCTGCTGCTTTTCTTCGCTGCGTCCAACTGCAGTGCGTAGAACACTGTATATTGTATGCTGTGTACTGTGTACTGTGCTGTAAATCCAGATTGAGCTCAACAGACCAAGACGGCGGCAGCACTGTATCTGCCTACGACTGCTACAACACTACGCCCTACGACTCATGCCTGGCAGTCCTACTCTCCTCCTGCTCGCCTCCTGCTCGCCCCTTGACTGTGCCCTTCTCGCACGTGCAAATCCCCCCGCAGTCTTTTTTCTTCTTTCGTATCCGCCGCCTTATTTTCAACCACGCACACTGCTGCTGCTGCTGCCTAGCTCGGCCTGCTGGACTCCCCTCATGTCAGTTGCAATGACTGCTCTCCTTGAATTGCTTTGAGTATCAGACATTGCTGCGCCGAGGGCGAACATCCAAGCTGGACCGCCATGGATGCCAAGCACTAGCCGTCGTAGTAGCCGAGCTGCGTGCTTACAGGACACGAGCTGACAAAGCGTGTACACTTGCTCGGTAACGGCTCTCGCCGAGGAACAACAGATGCCTTCAACGAACATCCTCATTGCATCAATTGCAGGCTCTGTTGCTCCTACCGCTGAAAGTGCATAAGGAGCAGAGCCATGAATGCTCTTGGTCGTGGATTGGTTGGATGGCCATCTTGCTAGACAGGCCTTGTCTGAGCCGTCTCCTGCTTCTCAATAGTCAGTCGAGCACCACGCGAGTGCAGTTGCAAAGTTAGTACGACAAGTCGAAGAATGGCGTTCTTTGATGGCGGCATTGAGTATTTGAGGAAGACCGCTTCAATGGGTTGATTAAATCGCGAGATATGCTTGGTGCGTGAACGCAGTATGCAGGTGCAGTTCAGGCGACCGACAAACTTAGCCATGCGTCTTGACACTGTCAATTGTCTCCAGCAGCGGATGGTATGCATGCTGCTATTGCTTGCTGTCGAGGCTGCTACAGCGAGACCTTGTTGAAACTGCTTGCTCCAAGATTGATTGTTCTCATGCTGACAGCGCCCTTTCAGCAGCCGGCGCGCCTCTCGTCTTCAGTCGTGCGCCACTTCACCCACTCGACTGCTTCCACGATGTGTGGACTGGTCTGCATTACAGAGCTTTGCTGGATGTTGCAAAGTGACGCGCCTTGCGCATGACCTCCACCTAGTCAGTCCAGGCAGGCGCAACATGCGGTGAGCCCAGAGAGATACAACGCAGCTCATATATTGCAGCAGCATACCGAGCCCGCGACTGTCCTTTCAGCAACCTGTCCATACATCAAGACAAATGCCTAACGCATGTCTCGTCCTGCCAGGCGCCTTTTGATGAGATCCCCCTGACTCGCCTGCACTGGGTTCAATCCTGCCATATTATACTTTGGCGAGCGCCAATCTGATTGACTCCCAGGCGGATATGGGTGACGCTCGGGTTCTCGTTGCCTAGAGAGGTTACACGCGATACTTCTCGAATTCAGTGAGGCCTCTTGTGAGGGGCTTGAAACGAATAATAGTCAGCACCGTCCGCCGCCAATGCCCTTTGTGAGTCGCCTGTTGCAAAGATCTAGGGACATCTTGGACGCGCTTCGATTCGTGGCCGTGGAACGAGCGAAGTCGAGTGAATCACTGTCGGTACCACTAGACGGCGATACTTTTGGACGCTTGGTAACAGGAAAGACTGGTTGGAAGTAAACACCAAGGAGACTTAGGCGTGTCTCCTCCTTTCAGTCTGTGCTTTCGATCATATGGGTGCGGTAAAATCTCTGACTTATCGCAGGCCTCATTGCCGCTTCAGCTTCCAGTTGCTGCGCTCCGCATGTGGTATCTTGTGAATTGATTGTGCAGGGCTTACGGTAAGTTACGGATGCATATGGTGGCATAGGTGGGTCACCGTGGGTGACTGCCACTGACTGGTAGCGTTGTTCAAGGCTCGCCAAAATTGTCCAAATTGCAGCTTGGGACAATTGAACAATTCAAAGCGCGCAAGCCGCATCGTCAGCTTGTGCTTCAAGTGACTTGTCTTTCTACATCGACCGCGCCATGGAACCCCTTCTACCAATGCACGGAGTGGTCAGTACAGCCGCATGTACTGTCAGTCTATCCCTAGTAGACTCACTACTGTGCAAGACCTGATAGGAACTGTTTACGACTCGCATTGCGGAATTTGCGGGGACCCCACCCAATTCCACGACATGTCATTTGCGATCGTATCGGGCAATGTCGGGCAGTATGGCAAACACTGTGCGGCGGCAAATGCTAGAGGCCCTAGCGCTCTTTCGTACAGCCTCAGTAATCAGTATGCAGGACACTCCGGTCACACCCGTGGTCCGTGGACCTTGCAAGTTGCAACATGTTGGCAGTGAACAGGCCAACAGAAATTTCAGTACAGGCTGTACAGGCTACAGCATGCAGTGTCATGGACTCATGGCAGGATCATTGCAGACCCCTGTTTTGCACGAAAAAGGAGGCTGAGCAAATACCTACTGGTCATGATCTACATGAAGTTGGTTGCAAATTGCTACAACTTACAAGTACAAGCTACTGGCTAGAAGTTCAGCTATGGGCAGAAGCTCGTAAGTCTTTCCGCACTGAATCCGCAGTCATTGCAGCTAATACCTGTGGCTGGTTGCTATGGTTTTGGACTTCTAAATGAGTGTACTTTTTGTCCTTTGAAAGTCTTACCTGACGCCTTCCGCCCACCCCACAAAATTCGCGACCGCTTGGACCAAAGTAGCGATCGCGAGGCTCGAGCCCTTGCGAAGTTGTAATCCCGCCAGAGGGCTAGCCTTCGTATCATTGAATGGTAGCTGTGGATTGTAAATTCCTGCAAGCAAGAGAGCTGTCAGCATCACTCTCATGTAGCTGAAGTCTTGTTTCAGTTGCCACTCATGCTGGAAGGGCATGGTCCTGCAGTGGTCCATGAATCATTGAACATGCCCCCACTGTCTTCAACGCGAACACCGGCAATATCATGCCAACGTGTTCGTGAATTGAGTCCATTGACTGATAGATTCCCGTGTTTTTGGACATAATAGGCGATGGTTGCCTGCAGGTTGCTGCTGCGCGGTTGATCTTTTGAAGAGATTTCGCCGGCCTTGACTTCAGACCATAATCTTGGGCTGCAAGGTTGGGCGTCCATTACGGCTTTTTGACAGGAACAGGCGGCAGTGCTCAATGTCTGCCAATGGAGGGGCCAATCGCGATGGTCCAATCTGTGATCTTGTGGGATGCGAGCTTTTTCAGATTGAATTTCCAAGCCATGAAAACCTTCCGGTCGGATCGCAAACGACGTCTACACGCAAATACAAACATTGGTTCCACAGACCTCCGATTCCTTACGGTGTCATGTGTCTTAGCTGCATATGGACCATGCCCATGGGGTCCCCGCGTTGTGGCCAAATTTAAAGTGCGGATTGGACCGGGTCGTTGAAGCTGGTAGACATTATATAAAGACCCAGCACGCAACCACTACACATTCCCATCATCACAGTCAAAGATGCCTCTCTTCGAGAAGGGACACTTCCAGCACGTCTTCATCCAGCCCAAGGGCGAATACGTCAACGACAAGGGCGAAACAGTTCATGGTCGCATTCCCAGGGACGTCTTGCCAAATCCCATTGCTTTGTGCCGCAAGTTGACATGGTCTAACTGGCTCTACTTCATTGTCGGTTTAGCGGCCTGGACAATGGACGGCTACGACTTCCATTGTGTGTCATTGTCAGTATCGCGTCTTGCCACCGAGTTTGGGGTCGGTCGAGAGAAAATCTCCGAGTCCATCACCCTCACGCTCCTTTTCCGCACAGTCGGTGCTGCTGTCTTTGGTATCGCTGGTGACGTCTTTGGACGCAAGTGGGCCCTGATCGTCAACCTCATTGTCATTGCAGTCCTTCAAGTTGGAACAGCATACGCTTTTGACTTCAACACTTTCCTCGCGGTACGTGCTCTGTTCGGCATCGGCATGGGAGGTATCTGGGCTCTGTCTGCTGCAATGGCGCTTGAGAATATGCCTGTGGAGTGTCGTGGACTGTTCTCTGGTGTCCTTCAGCAGGGTTATGCCCTGGGCTACCTCATCGCTGCCGTTTTCAACCTATACATCGTTCCAATTTCGCCTCACAAGCACCGCGCGCTATTCTACATTGGAGCAGGTCTGACTGGTGCGGTTGCTATCGCCCGTCTTGCCTTCCCAGAGTCTCGTCAATTCATCGAGGCAAAGGAGCATGGCCAGACCGGTGGCAAGAAGAAAATGAAGGCCTTTATTACCGAGGGAAAAGTTGCACTCAAAACTGAATGGAAGCGAGTCATCTACTGCTCTCTGCTCATGGCTGCCTTCAACTTCATGTCCCACTCGTCTCAGGATCTTTATCCAACTTTCCTTCAACAGGGCAAAGCTTTCAGCGCTGCTCAAGCATCTAGGGCTACTATCATCGCCAAGACTGGTTGCATCGTCGGCGGTTGTGTTGTCGGCTACCTTTCCCAGCGATACGGTCGTCGTGCGTCTATTTTCTGGTCTGCCATTCTCGGCTGCTGTTTCATTCCACTCTGGGTCATCCCACAGTCTTGGGGTGCTCTCGTCGCTGGTGCCTTCCTCTTGCAGTTCTGCGTTCAAGGTGCCTTTGGCGTTGTTCCCATCCACCTGTCTGAACTCTCGCCTGAAGCCTTCCGTGCCACTTTCCCAGGTATCACCTACCAAATCGGAAACATGATCTCTTCGCCAGCTGCTCAAATTCTCACCACCATTGCTGAGAAGAACAAGGTCCGATACAGGGGAAAGCTCGTACCGGGATACGCTGCGACTCAGGGAGTCATGCAGGCCATCATCTTCCTTTCTGTGGCTGGCCTTGCCATCATTGGTCCAGAGTTCAAGGGTCGCCAATTCGAGAAGGCGCGTGCACTTGGAGACAGTGTTGCTGCCGAGAAACTTGCTGAGCTGGATGAGCTGGAGCGCTCAGACAGTGAGGGCCAGAAGGCGCCCCAGTATGTCCACAAGGAGATGAAGTGATAGCCAAGTTCTTGTACATATATTTTCAATAGATTACTTCTGATCTGGTATCAATCGTCTTGTGAGGCTACAAGTGCTGCGCAAGGGTGGCCGGGATTGCCAAAGCTCACCTGTCGTCCTTGTGTCATCTGAATGTCGTTGATCAGGCTCTCCATCGACCGACACCTCCAAGCCATTGACCCCAATCCCCTGCTGGCCAGGGGCCTCATCAGTACTATGCCAGACGTACTTTCGCTGAAGGCTGCTTTGACCTGCGTAGCTCTTCGCGCTCGTCATCTTGCGCAAAGGCTGCCAGACTCGACACGTTACTGCCTGGCGCTCGTGCAGGGAAGCAGAGCGCGACTAGGGTTGCTCAAGCGCTGCTATATAGGCTTGAAGCAGAAGCATTGGTGACAAGCAGCACTCACTCATAGGGCCAGAGCAGGACGTAGCAGACTGCCAGGGTTCGTCTCGCTTCAAGAGCTTGTTGATACGACATCGACGAGATGGGCGACCAAGGGGCAGTCTGAGTGGCTATTTTCATGACCTCTTTGGCGATATCTTGTCGGTAGGGAGCTCTATGTCCTTGAAACATAGGAACATAAGTTGTTGAATACATGACCATTGCAGACCAGAGACTCGGCTTCGTAGGATATCTTGGTCAGCTCCATCATGGATCTCACACACTTGGGATTTGAGAGCACTCGAACGGAAACTATGCGTGATGTTGTTGAGCGCGAAGCTGCATGAGTCCAAATGACAGGACGCACAGTTCAGATGTTGCAAAACTTGCACAGGATCTTGCCAAAGCAACCTTGTTCATCAGGTCGGGGGATAGCCCGCATTCGATGCGGTACGAAAGAGTAGGCACAAGACTCAGTGGATGAAAGACTTAGACAGCAACATCATTGCTCAATTACACTTGAGCTGGACAGGCAACTTGGTGACTCGGCAGACACAGTAACTTCTGCGTCTGCTCGTAATACAGCCATGCATGCGTTGAAGCCCTCTGTCCCGATCTGTTGAACGTAGAGACCTATACTCGAAGCTCCTACCGATTACGGTCAACACAGCCACAGAGGTGTCACCAAGACTGCAGTTGCATGAGCCCTGCCGAATGTGCAGCGTATCGCAAATATGCCCACTATCTCCTTCGCTGTCGAGGACGGAGACTCGGAGAGCAACGTTGGACGCTCAAGGCGGATCTAGCCAATGACAACGGTCGACGAAGGCGCAGCAGACAAAAGATCTAGTCCAGTCCAGTGCTTTCGCTACAGCGGCATTCGCCTCAAATCACTTCTCGAGCGTTGAGAGCTGACTTGAAGAAGGTAACGCCGAGTGTTTTCTCACTCGCGCTGAGAGAGCTATTGCTCGCCGCAAAAGGTCCATGAGCTCTCGGCGCGTCGTATAGATGCGTCCTCCGTAGTAATCTTGTTGATTCATGAGTGCGTGCGCCAAAACTGGTTTCGCGCATGACGCAAACAAGAACATCTACAAGTCTTCAAGACCAATTACAAGTCTCTGCCTCTAGACCCGCGCGCGATCACGATCCCGAAGCGCATTGGTACATTGGAGAATCCTGCGGAGCTGGATTGAAGCCGCAAGGCCATGGCTGGGAACTCGTCAGCGTCCTCGCCGCTGCTAGGGTCTCGAGCAACATCACCCCGACCGCGTGTACCGTTTTACGCTGCACAGCGAGCCGGGACAGATCAAGACTCGGAAGTGCCAGAACCATTGCCGCGAAAAGAGGATCTCATACGACGCGCCTTCTACTACATTCCCGCGCTTGATTGGCTGTCCAACTACTCTCGCAGCTATCTTCTAGGCGACTTGGCCGGCGGCTTGTCCTTGGTTTGTGTCATTGTGCCCATCGCGCTCAGCTATGCCTCCAATCTTGCCAAGATTCCTCCAATCTACGGTCTATATGCAGCAGCCATCGGGCCCTCAGTATATGCCATCTTTGGCAGCTGTGCACAGATGAACGTTGGCCCAGAAGGCGCGCTCAGTCTCCTGGTGGGAGAGACAATCAGGAGTCTTCACAAACAACACTCTGCAGCGGAATCTGTCGTGATCACTGGCGTTGTCACTTTTCTTGCGGGTAGCTTGGTGTTTGTGGCCGGTATCTTGCGCCTTGGGTTTCTCGACTCTGTACTGAGCCGCTCTTTGCTCCGTGGCTTCATCTCGGCGGTCGCGGTCGTCATCTTCTTTGATCAGAGTATCACTGTGCTAGGGTTGAACAAGGTGGCGAGTCACATGGGTGTCTCGCACTTTAGTCCGATTGAAAAGGCTTGGTTTGTGCTGACCCATCTCAGCGCGACACATCGCCTCACGGCCCTCTTGTCTTTCGCTACTGCATCTACGCTATTTGTCACGCGTTGGCTGAAGCGACGCCTGTCGAAGCACTACAGCTGGGTTATCATCATCCCTGATATACTGCTTGTAGTCATGGCTGCCTGCATCTTGACAGCCTCCAACAGGTGGGACCAGCAAGGGATAGCGATTCTTGGTCACATTGAGGCTGAACTGGTTGCACCCAAGATACCCATTCGTTCTTTCAAGTACGTGCGCTCATGCATCTCAACCGCCATTCTCGTCGCTATTCTTGGATTCTTTGAAACAGTGGTAGCTGGCAAGACACTCGGCAATATGTATAACTACACAGTCAGCCCAAACAGAGAAATGATTGCTCTTGGTATTGCCAACATGGCCAACAGCTGCTTTGGAGCGCTACCCGTCTTTGCATCTTATTCCCGTTCTAAAATCAACATTTCTGCAGGTGCACGCACCCAAATGAGCGCCATCTTTTCCAGCATTGCTATTCTTTTGGTCATCCGCTTCCTTATGCCCCTGTTTTACTATCTGCCAAAAGCAGTTCTTTCCAGCACAATCAGCGTCATCATGTTCACATTGCTGCAAGAGGCGCCAGCTGATATTCGCTTCTTTTGGAAGGTCAAGGGCTACGCAGACTTGATGCAGATGGCCCTGGTCTTCTTCTTGACTTTGGTCGCGTCGCTAGAATTTGGCATTACAGTCGGAGTCATTACCAGCCTGATTCGGGTCATCAAGCATTCGCAATCGCCACGCATTCAAATTCTCGGCAGACTGCCAGGCACGAAGGAATATGTCCCTGTTGATGGACAATCGGAAGAGGTTGAACATGTTGATGGCTTCCTCATTGTTCGAATTCCAGAACCCTTGATTTTTGCCAATACCGGTCAGCTCAAGGATAGACTGCGTCGTCTAGAAAAGTATGGAGACTCAAGGATGCATCCAAGTATGCCTGCAAGTCGATCTCCGGCGCACAACGAGCGCATCATCTTTGACTGTGAAGGCATGTCAGGTCTCGATGCAGCAGCTGCTCAAATTCTGGCAGAGATTGTAGATGGCTACATTGAGCGAGGCATTGCAGTCTACTTTGCCAGACTCAATCGTCGGCAAGCCATGACTTGGGCGCTCATCAAGACGTCAGGCATCTACGACAGGGTGGGTGGAGAGAGGTGTTTTGTCAAGTCTATTCATGAGATTATGGAAGGCACAGGCAGCTCAACACCGCAAGGCACTAGCACAGTCGCTGTATGAGAAGATGCTCGTTGTCGTTGCCACTTGCTTGGCGGCGACTATCGATACATTTCTTTCTGCGTCCCCGCGTCGGCGCCACTGCAGACGCTTGTCTCTTTATGCTGGTTGCAATGCTCTTCAAGACAGATAATCTATTGCTGTGAGGCTCGGCTCCATGGTGTGCACCTTCATCCAACAGGACATGATAATGCGTGCTGGCTATGTGGATGTGTCTTGGCTTGCCAGCCAAGGCATAGACTTCGAAGTTGATAGACACCCTCCGGCATAATGGACGCTAGTGGATGCAGTGGTACGCGGCGGATGTATATAGGCGTGGCAAGGTAGTGAGTGGGCTTCAGTTCGAAAGCTGCCCTGAGCAACGATTCAGCAGAACAGCTCCTTTGTTGACGTCCATCTACGCAGGGACGCAGGCTGTGCAACCTGCAGATCAACAATCTCAGGTCTGCTTCAGGCTATTCTTGCGCACGCCGATACGACCCCGGGTCGAGTCAAAAGTCTCAGCGGCTGTAGCCTGTAACCTGCTAGCCTGTGGAGTACAACGACTCAACGAGACATTGATCTCGGGAGCTGTTCCCTCCAACTTCCCTTGTACTCGCGTGAATTAGGAACCAGGACATATCTATACAGCATGCAGCTCAATTCAACGCTGGATATTGCCGGTATCCATGCCGCAGGCAAGCAGAAGTAAGACTGCAAGCGTACCTGCCATGATAAGCATAGCTCTGAGGTCAGGGCTCAGGAGCCTGTTTCAAGAGACCACGGTGAACCACACTGCCATGGATCTGGAAGTTGTAGTCGTACAGGAGGTCGCCGTGTCGTCGGGTAAGCCGCTGCGTCAGATCCATGAAACGGTTGGCCCCACAGTAGAACTAGATGACGATCTTTTCCAACGACAAGACAGAATTCAACTTCTTTAAACTGCACCCGTGAGCTAAGCCTCAATTGCACAGCACAAGGATTATGCAGACTGGATTAAGGAAGCTCTTCCGAAAGGATGCGCTCTTTTGAGGCCTTCCAGCGACTTGAGCTGTATACTCGCTGCGCTATCATTGAGTGAGCTACTTGAACTTGGAATGCCTCAAGCGAAGCTATAAACATCCACTGCATCCCTGAGCAATTCAGGAGCGCTCAGCATCCATTTTGACTCTGCAATTGCAAGCTTCAACTTCACCCAAGATTACGCACGCACGCGCGCCAGGAAGGCCTCCGAAGTCGCTGCGCATGATCGACGCCCGGCCCTTTCTCCGGCTCAGGTCGCGTCCCGCTCTAATTGCCATCCTTTCGCGCTACCTACCCAGGTATGGCAGGTTTAGTGTCTCGAATCGTGGCTGACACGCTCTATCCAAGGCCATATCTACGGATGTAGTGGGAATGTAAGCCGTAGGCAGATACACAGGGTACGAACCCGAGCATGATACATTGATTAGACGTGGCCACTAGTCAGCATCTGAGCAGATCCGACCTGGGGTAACACACGAGCAAGGAGATATAAGAACCACTGCTCGTCCAATGTACTTACTACTCAGTATCAATCATGAAGTTTGCTACACTCACCCTTGTCGGCTTGGCTGCGGCCTCCATGGAGCGTCTCATGGAGCTCAAGCAGGCTACTCGTGCTCGCGAACGAGCACAGGGCATGTTCAACCGCGGCAAGTTTTCAAAAATCAACCAGTACAAGCCTTGTCAGGGAGGTAAGGCTGGCGAGTTCTCTTGCAAGGGCATCTCACAGTTTGGCTTCCTTAGTCACGAGGACCTGGGCTCTACTTCACTCGAGGGTAACGATATTTGGGGTTGGACTGACCCCAAGTCTGGCCGTGAGTTTGGCTGCGTTGGTGAGACTGACGGCGTTGCCTTTGTCGAGGTGACCAAGCAGGGACGCCTCGAGTTCCTTGGGCGGTTGCCCTCTGCCAACAACGTCACGTCCATCTGGCGAGACATGAAGGAGATCGATGGCTACATGTACATTGGTGCCGATAGCTCACCTCGTCACGGTGTGCAAGTCTTCGACATGAGGAAGCTTCTCAAGGCAAAGCCTCAGAAGCCTCAGGTCTACTCCGAGGAAGACCTCACCGACCGCTACACTGGCTTTGGTTCATCTCACAACCTCGTTGCCCACGCTGCCACCAACTACATCTACGCCGTTGGTACTGCTCGCAACACGACACGTCGTCTTCCAACGGCGCCCAACTACGAGGCACCTAACCAGTGCAACGGAGGTTTATGGATGCTTGATGTGTCGGACCCAAGCAACGTCAAGTCGCCTGGCTGCTACTTTGGCGATGGCTACACACACGATGCTCAGGTCGTCATCTACACTGGCCCAGATGCTCGTTACACAGGCCGCGAGATTGCATTTGCCTACAACGAGGACTCTTTGACCATTGTCGATGTCACCGACAAGCAGGCTCCTGTTCTTGTTGGCAAAAAGTCTTACCAGGGTGTTGCCTACTCTCACCAGGGCTGGCTCATTGATGATAAGATGGAGTACCTCTTGCTCGATGACGAGCTTGACGAAGTGGACGGTACTCAGGTTCCTTCACCGAACGGCCGCACCACTACGTACATCTTCGACATCAAGGATCTCACGAACCCCATCAACACTGGTTTCTTCCAGTCGCCAGCCCTTGCCATTGACCACAACCAGTACGTTGTCGACGGTCTCTCGTACCAAGCCAACTATGGCAGTGGTCTCCGCATCAAGGACGTTCGAAGCATTGCCACTGATCCTACTGGCGCTGGCGTCACCGAGGTTGCATTCTTTGATACGCACCCAGAGGACGATGCCACCAACGGCTCTGTTGAGTTTGTTGGATCTTGGTCCAGCTACCCATACTTCAAGTCTGGCTACATTTTGGTCAACGACATCGAACGCGGTGCGTTTTCTCTGAAGCGTACATGAAAAGCATATAGACAAGGACTACATGTAGATGCTGAATGAACTTGCCATCATATAATCTGCTTCAAAAGTCTGTGCATCCAGGGGCAACGCGTCCATCAGATGGGCAGAAAGACCAAATGGTCTCGAAGAGCAGTCTCAAGCATTGGGCGTCTCCTTCGTTATGCTAGTACATCGTTTCACTCAGATTCGACCTTTTGCAAATATCGGGCCATTCTTTACAGCGAAAGATGTGACTGTCTTCTCGGCTCGACGAACCGCGACATTATGACAGTGACGTCGCCGACATCGATCGCGCTCAATTGGCCGTATATCATGCCGCCCGTCCATCCTGCCATCTCTCCACCAAAGCTACCATACTACAACCAAGATGACTGAAAATAATCGCCAGCAGCACCCATTCGATCAAGGAAACCCAAACCCAGATGCACAGCACGCTTGGCCTGGTGATCAGGATAAGCTTGACCCCGATGCTCTCAATACGACACTGCCTAGCGGACCTTATAGGCCGGCCAATAAGCTTGAGGATAAAACTGCTTTGATTACGGGCGGTGACTCTGGTATTGGACGCGCAGTGGCCATCATGTATGCCTTGGAAGGCGCTGATGTTGCCATCAACTACTGTACGCTGCATTGGTGCCCTTGAACGATGCTGACTCGCAGTACATGAGGAGCAAAAGAACGCAGAGCAAACCAAACAGCTTGTTGAGAAGCACGGCCGACAGTGTCACCTCCTCCCTGGAGACTTGCGCACAGCCGACTTTTGCAGGCAGCTGGTGGATCAGGCTGCAGAGAAGCTTGGTGGCAAGATCGGTATGCGCCTTTGCTCTTCCGGCTCCAAGACTAACAAAAGACATTCTCGTCAACAATGCTGCGTATCAAATGGAGTGCCAGGAGCTCAAGGACCTCTCTGATGAGCAGTGGGATCGCACCTTCAAGACAAACGTCTATCCCATCTTTTGGATCACCAAGCAAGCCGTCTCAAAAGACTACATGCCAAGGGGTTCGGCTATTGTCAACAATGCTTCAGTCAATGCATACATTGGACGGCCTGATCTTGCCGACTACACGGCTACCAAGGTATATTGCTCAGGTATGGTACAATGCTAACGACAAGGGTGCCGTCATTAGTTTTACGCGTGCTCTAGCCAATATGCTTGTTGGTAAGGGCATTCGTGCCAACGCCGTTGCTCCCGGCCCGATCTTGACGCCGCTCGTTATGAGCACCTTTTCAAAGGACAACATCAAGGGTGCTGATGCTGTACCAATGGTGAGTGATTTTCCATCGTTAAGCTCCTGCTGACCATCAGGGCCGACCGGGCCAACCTTCAGAAGTTGCAACGTCCTTTGTCTTCCTTGGAGGACCAGACTCGAGTTACATTGTATGTGCAGCATTTGCTTCGAAAAACAAGCTGACTCTAGACTGGCAACACGATTCACATCAATGGCGGTATGTTTGTTGGCAACTAGACGAGTGACGACTGCTACTGCTGCATCTCTAGCATTAATGTATGACTGCATCTTCTCATCCGTTCATTGAATTGCGAAGTGCTGAGGACTCGTCAGGACTCAGGAGGGTCCGCCTAGGCTCCATCCCGCCTCTCTATATTTGTTGGCTGTACCAGATTATTTGTCGCTTGGTGATCTGCCCCAAAAGTGTTTCTTCGTGATTCTACTCGAAGAAATCTCCGATGGCATTTGGGTCATACTGGCATGTTACTGCTGGTCGAGAAAGCCTTTCTGGTCTTCTCTATATGATGACTTGCAGCCTCAGCTCTACACACATGCAAATAGTTGATCAGTTGTGGTGTAGGCCCGAGTACGGGATGCCCGGCACTACTGCGGTCAGCAGACACATCTGTGACGTTTCGCAGATCTCTACTCGGCAACTGCCCGCGCCGCCCCTGACTCACTGACTCACTGCAGGCTGCAGCTCCGAAAATTTGGGAAGGACAGCGGGCTCAGCAGCAGAGTCTGAGCAGTGAGCAGACAGCAGCAGACTCTGAGCCATAATTCCGCCCTTTTGACGTCATGCAAGAAAAGAAGCGAAGCAGCGACACCGACAAAGCCTGGCACGCTGCACGGAAGCTACCCTGCTTCATACCCGCGAGGCTATAAGATGAAGCTCACCCCCACACACCAGCTCCCTCTCTTAAGCTAGACCATGACTACGGTTGCTCCTGCCGTCGTTGATCCAGCCATGGCTGCCGCTCACACTTCACGCAGCACAAGCTCCCTCTCCTCAGACCACACACGCGGGCAGAATGAGGACCGTTTTGCCAATACACGCGACGGCAAAGTACCGCCTGGCGAAGACCCAAAATTGTATGAAAAGGAACGCATCACGGCTTTTGCCATTATTATTGCACTCGTTGCGGCTGTTGGTGGATTCATCTTTGTATGTGCTTCTTGAGCTGGTGCAGAAGACTAATGTCTAGGGTTATGATACAGGTCAAATCTCAGGTTTCCTGCAAATGCGTGACTTTAGGGAGCGCTTTGGAGAGCCAACAGTTGATGCGACAGGCGGTGTCACGTATGGCTTTTCATACGTCCGCGAAGGCGCTATTGTAGGCTTGCTCTCCGTCGGTACGCTCATTGGTTGCACAACAGTCGGTTGGATTGCAGACTCGAAGCTTGGTCGAAAGTACACCATCATGTTGGCTTGCTTCATCTTTTGCGTTGGTAATGTCATTCAGATTGCCTGTGTCCAATCATGGGTCCAAATGGCAATTGGTCGTTTGATTGCTGGTCTTGGTGTCGGACAACTCTCTGTGCTTGTTCCACTCTACCAATCCGAGACAGCTCCTAAGCGGATCCGTGGTGCACTCGTTGCCACCTATCAGCTCTTCATCACATTCGGTATTCTTGTTGCATATGCCATCAATGCCGGTACCGAGACTCTCGACAATGATCAGTCATGGAGGATCACCATTGGTATTGCCTTTGTCTTTGCTTTCGCTTTGGCTGGCGCAATGATCTTTATGCCTGAATCACCACGATACTCGCTTGCTCACAACAAGGAAGAACAAGCCGTGCTTGCCATGGAACGTATTCGTGGCGTTTCAAGACACAACATCTACCTCGAGTCGGACTTGAATGATATGCGCGCCGCAATGAATGCCGAAGCTGGTCACAACTCTGGCTTCGGCGAGCTCGTGCATGGAAAGCCCAAGATTTTCTACAGAGTACTGCTTGGTGTGGCACTCCAGGGATTCCAACAACTGACCGGTGCCAACTACTTCTTCTACTATGGTACAACCATCTTCAACAGTGTCGGTATTGAAAACTCCTTCATCACGAGTATTATCCTTGGAGCAGTCAACTTTGGCTGCACGCTTGGCGGTATTGGCATGTACTACAAGTTTGGACGTCGTTGGCCGCTTATTCTTGGTGGTATTTGGATGTGCATCTGTTTCTTGGTCTTTGCATCCATTGGTATCACAGTGACTGTCCCAGGCAGTGGAGGTCTGGCCGATGCACAACCGACAGAGACTGCCGGATACGTCATGATTGTCTTTGCGTGTCTCTTCATCCTAGGCTTCTCTACAACCTGGTCAACTGGTACGTGGGTCGTCACTTCTGAGCTTTTCCCAACACACATCCGTGCAAAAGCAGTCGGTTTCACAACTGGTGGTAATTGGTTCACAAACTTCTTGCTCGCCTTTTTCACACCCTTCATCAGCGGTGATATTGGCTTTGCCTATGGCTACGTCTTTGCGGGTTGCAACTTGTTGGGTGCTGCGACGGTCTACTTCTTTTTGTATGAAACCAAGGGACTTAGCTTGGAAGAAGTCAACCAGATGTATGGAGACTCATCCGTCAAACCATGGAACTCTAGCAAATGGACACCAAAAGGTCGCGCAGACAGAGGAGATTACACTGCCGAGGAGCCAAAGCGTGATGCAAGTGGACATGTGCGTCACTTGGAAACAACAAAGGCAAAGCCGCAGCCTGTTGTCTAATGAGGCGGCTTAAATGAATGGTCTAGTGCATCCTTTGTAGCAGTAATACTTGTCAAGTTGCTCTTATTTTGAAGTCTTCTGCGCAATGTGATATCCTAGGGCAATGGCAATGCTATTCTTCTCTGTATCGTCTCAAGTCTGAATTGTGTCTCCTCGAAATGGGACAGGTGTCGAGCACTAGTGTGCCATCTGAACAAGTCGTCCAGCCAGACCTCTACGAACACCCTCATCCAGTCCAGAGACATATGTACAGCTCAAATGACGATGTTCTCTGCTGCTCACAACCCCAAGGCCGACAAGGCTGCGCTTACGATGGCTTATATTGGCAAACATATCTCTGAGCTGCCAACGCCTGCTTGCCTCATCGATATAGACATTGCTCAACAAAATTGTCAAGACATGCATGAAAATGTAGACAGGCTCAATGTCCTATTCAGAGCTCATGTCAAGACTCATAAGGTACGTTCTATTCAGACTTGCTCTAAGGCTGACTTGGTTGCAGACTATGGAATTGACGCGTATGCAGCTGACTGCTACACACACGAACGTCATCGTGTCAACGATGATGGAAGCTTACAATCTGCTACCTCTAGTGAGGGAGGGTCTCATTCGCGAGATCCTCTATGGCGCGCCACTTGCAAAGTCACGATTCGCTGAAGCCTTCGAAATAAGAAAGCAAGTTCCTCATTTTCTAGTCATGGTCGACAATATCGAGACTGTCCGCCAGATGCAAGACTTTTGTCGAGCATCGGTCCGCAGTATAGACGTGCACGACAATTACGTCTTTGAGGTTTTTGTCAAAGTCGATTGCGGCACACATCGAGCAGGTCTTGAGCCAGAGTCTCATGCTTTACGACAATTGATTGACGCGATCATAAAGGACGAAGATATTGGCCTTTATGGCTTCTACTGCCACTCGGGGCATTCTTATGACGCGAGGACACCTGGAGAAGCCAAAGAACGGCTATTTGAAGAAATTGCTTCCGCCAATGCAGCAGCGCAATATGCCCTGAGTCGTCCAGAACACCGGGTAGAAGATTTCGTGCTCAGTGTCGGTGCGACTCCGACAGCGCATGTCTCTTTACAGATCGACAAGAGTCAATTGCCTGAAATTGCTCCAGGATGTTGCCTTGAGCTTCATTCCGGAAACTATGTATTAAGCGATCTGCAGCAATTCTCAACATCGCTCGTGCAAAACGACCGCATAGCAATTCGGGTCATTGCAGATGTCACATCGACCTACTACGACAAGCGCGATGAGTATTTGATCAATGCAGGGGTCATTGCCTTTGCACGGGAAACTTCTGCTGTGCCTGGCTTTGGGCTTGTTGTCCCTGCAGACGACAAGATGTGGAATTTCGGTAAAGATACTGCATGTTCTACAGTCGTGCGTCTCAGTCAAGAACATGGCATCGTCAGCCCCTGGGCCAGTGCTGAGAGTGGAAACCGTGAGCGGGTGGGAGATCGTGTGGCAATCATACCGCAACATGCATGCATCACTGCACAAGGCTTTCCTTACCTCTTTGGTGTCCGCGACAATGTAGTAGTGGATGTGATGCCTACCTTTCACGGCTTTTGATTGTGATGTCCTTCCATGGTACCGTATATACAGTCTATCTATCGTCTAAATAATCTCATCAAATGTCCAACACCAAACGTCAAGCGGTAGCCCTTGAATCGCAAAAACACCAATCCATAGATTAGTAGATAATTTGTCAAGACAAACGCAAGGAAGATTCCAAAGGACTGCCAACGGAAGTCGTAGGAAATGTTGAGCGATCGCAAATAATCGTCGCCAGAAGAAAACTGGCAGTAGCCACATTGCGAAGTGGCGTCTGGGTTGTCTAAGTAGCCAATGGCTGTCGTCAAGTACTCCGATGCATACTCTGAGCAAGTCTGACCGGGTGGTGGCGAAAAGAAGGCCAACTCAGTCTGCGAGCATGACACAGGCACGTTGTGCAAAATTGTTGCAAGCATTCCATTCGTCAACCATTGAACTGGACTCACATAGTAGATGAAGTACTTCCAAAAGACGGGCATGCTTGCATAGGGGCGAATGATACCCGTGAAGAGCTGAACCACAACCAAGAAGAGTGGGATGATATTGGCGATGACCGTGTAGCTGTCCGATAGACTTGCAATCCACTGACCCCAGCTTGCACTGTACAGGTTGAACAGCAGTGCCATCAAGAAGATGTATCCAGAGATAGACGCATCGACTGGAAGACCAGCAGGCCAATACCAAACGACCCAATAGAGGATCGTCACACCAATGGCCCAAGGTATCTCGCACAGCATCTGAGCAGTGGCAAAGGCGAACCAAGAGTAGATCCTGGAGGGTGACTCGCGCGCTTCGAACAACACTCGAGCGGAGAAGAACTTTGGAATGACGGCGTTGATGAGCGTTGCGGGCATGAGAATGAGCAGAAATACGCTAAACATGCGCTCCTGCATAGCCAAGATCGAGTACCGGTTGCCGACCATCCAAAAGGTGAAGCCATTCAACAGACCGTTGAGCAAGAAGGCGTATGCCTTAGAGTATCCGTAAGAAGCATCGCGCCAGTAGTTGAGCCAAGTGCGTTTGGTGAGCAGCTTTGTCTGCTCCCAAGTAGATGCAGCGAATTCAGTTGCAGCTTCAGATGGCTCATCGGCGTGCTGACTGCGCTCTGCCTCGAGGCGGCGAATCTCCTGTGTTGCTGCTTTGCGTTCCTCAGAATCACTCCATACTCCTGCCCAGTCTACATTGTGACCATCGACTTGACCCAGGCCGCGACCAGTTCCCACTTCGAGCAAGAACTCTGCAGGATTGGCATCGGGCGGGCAAATTGCACCGCGCTTGCCAAAGTACTCGGTAATGCCAGAGCCATTCTTGCCGACGTCGCCAAAGTAAAAGGTTTTGCCTCCAGGGTTCAATGCAAGAATGCGATCAAACTGAAGCAAAAGTTCTGACGATGGCTGATGAATGGTGCAAATGATAGCTTGTCCAGCAGCTGCAAGTCTTCGCAGAAATCGTACAATGTTGAAGGCACTCTGAGAATCGAGGCCGGATGTTGGCTCGTCCAAGAAAAGAAGCAGATTTGGTCGAGCACACAGCTCGACACCGATTGTGAGCCTCTTCTTTGCCTCGACGTCCAAGGACATGATGACCACATCCTGCAAATGCTCCAGCTCGAGCAATGCCAGTACCTTGTTCACGTAGTCTAGCTTTTCAGACTTCGGCGTGCTTGCAGACTGGCGCAAGAGAGCGCTGAACTCGAATGCTTCACGTATGGTTGCTGTCTCATCGTGCAAATCTTGCTGCTCGACGAATCCGGTGCCTCGAGCAAAGCCAGGACCGAGAGCATGACCGTCAACAAGCATTTCCCCAGAAATATAGCCAATCGAGTTGTTGCGCTGAGCGAGGGTGTTGAGCAGCGTTGTCTTGCCGGCACCACTGGAGCCAACGAGGGCAACGCAAGTTCCAGGCTCGACCCAGCCCTGGACATTGTCCAGGAGCTGCTTTCTTGAGCCTTCAGCATCGACAGAGTAGCACAGATCACGGAAGGTAAAGACAGACTTGGACTTGACCAGATCGGTTGCTTCCTCCTTCTCTTCTTCGATTGCTCTATTGATTTGTTCGGCCCGCTTCGCCTGTTTAGCATTCTTGAATTGCAAGAGAGATGCGCCAGTCGAAGCGAAGAGGAAGAGCTCGGAGAATATGGCGCCCAGTATGATGTAGGCAACCGTGAACAGCAATAAGATGCCAAAGTCACGCCAGAGGTTCGAGCGAGTATACGCAAAAGACTGTTGGAGGTAATCTGCACCACGGACAGTCAAGCTGCCGGGAACAGAACCCACCAGAGTACAAGTTTGATAGGCCACATTGGTGTATGATGGGCCCTCAGGAACGATACTGCCTGACGAACAAGCAATGTTCATATTGCTGAATTCGTTTACCATGACCGCCTCAAATGCATAGGACACTGGACTTGCGTAGTAAAGCCTGGAGTTAGTAGAGCAGATGATGTTGGGGTCTTACCATCCAAACCATGGGACACCGCCTTTGCTAGCCGACGTAAGCATCTGCGTCTTGTTGATGACGTAGCCTGCATAGATGGCCATTGCGTTGAGAATGAGACCTGCATAGCGAATCGCATTGTCAAAGGTGGGACTCAGCGCAGCAAACAGCCTGTACAAGGCCAGAAGATTAAGCGTCGAGGTGTAGACAAAGAGCAGGAAGATGAAGTACTGGCTCGCCGTCCGCTGAAGTGATCCGAGAAAGTACATGATGAGCGTGAATGGAATGATCTGAATCAACAGTAGGGGTAAATCGGAAACCACGCGAGCCAGCGACACCGCCGAGGGTCTGTAGAAACCGAATTCCTTGTGCCGAGCAATGATGGCACGACCACCGACAGCAGGGCCAAGCTCTGCGAGCGCCAGCCAACCATTAAATAAAATTGAGATAAAGAGCAGGCCACCGCGGCTGAAGGCACCATTCGAGTCGTTGTCGAGACCATAGCTATCGTTAGTCGAGTCTCTTGGCAGTTTGTCTTACAAGAGCGAGCCTATAATGAGCGCATTTGCCCAGGAGGAAAAGAACTTTGAACCCAAGGCAGTCTTGTCGCCCATAATGAGCATCATGTTGCGTCGCGAGCAATTGATGACTTGCCGAGGAAATGAGACTGTATATTGCGACTTATTGCGCGCATACTTTGACTTGGCAAGCTTATTGGCTTCGCGGAACTGTTGCGCCTCGATGTGCTCATTTTGCTTCATGTCAAGTTGATATTGATCCAGTTCCTGCAGCAAACGAGCATAGTTGCTAGAATTGCGGAAGGCTCTCTCGAGGTCCTCGGAGGATTTGGGTGTGGAGGCTTCTTTGCCAGGCTGAAAAGAACGCTCAATAGGATCGGTGATGGCAGTCAGGAAGTCTGGTGTTGTTTGCCGTGGCGCTTTAGCGAAGCCAAGCCCCTCAAAGTATGCTTCTGCTTCGCCGATAGGTCCGAAGTAAATCATGCGACTCTGGTGTACAACACAAACTTTGTCAAACAAGTCGTACAGAGACTGACCAGCTTGGTAAAGCGTCGTAATGGTCGTCTTTTGAGAAACATCTGTAAGGATACGTAGACTCTTGCCATAGTCCAAAGCTGTGCTGGCGTCCAGGCCGCGCGTACTATTGTCCCAGCAGACAACGGATGACTTTGTCGCAAGCACCTCAGCAATACTGACTCGCTTGCGCTCACCTCCACTGACGCCTCGGTGGTATGGGCCGCCGACTTGTGTGTGACGTGTGTGTTCGATGCCAAACATGCGAAGGAAGGCCGTCAGATAGACGTCCACCTCATCCTTGAAGCGTTGCTGAGTCTTGTTTTCAAGTGCAAATCTGAGCGTTTGTTCGACAGTCAGAGCCGGCTCATGCACGTCGTCCGCCTCGAGATAGTTCACCTCGCCGCGGTATTGAGCTGCCATTTCCTCTGCTGAGATGGACCCATAATGGACATCACCGTCCACTTGCGCGAAACCGCCGCGCTGGTTGGCAACAGCACGCAGCATGGTGGAGCAACCAGCTCCCGGTCGGCCCAAGACTAGCAGCATCTCGCCATTCTTGACAAAGCCGTCGAAGTCTCGCAAAATGGGACGCGTTGGTGCTTTGAGAATCTTACCGCCAGAAATGAAATTGGCAAAAGCTAGCAGTTCTTGCCCAGAGACTGTACGCCAGACTGCCTTCGGAAAGGTCTTGACGCTCGAGTTGCCTGGATCCACGCCGTGCACAGTCAAGTGACGAAATACGACACCAAGACGCTTTGGCGGCCGCCCAATCTCTTCCTCCTTTAGCTGGCCGTCGCGCAAGAACCGCTCCAAGTTGAAGCCTTGTTCTTCGTCTTTGCCATTCGAGGCCATAGAATGTTTAGTAACGGTCTGCCGCAGGTCATGGAAAGCTTGGTCTGCCTCTGCAGTGTTCACTGCACTTGTGTGTTCTCCCCATCTGCCAGCAGCATTGTCACTCCGGTCATTCGCCGTCAAATCTGAAGACGACGTGCGACCCGAATTTGTCGTCTCTACTGAAGTGTCGGGGCGCGACATGATGATACTGGTGTCAAGGCCTCGAAGGCAGACCTGCTGTTATGAAGAAGCTCAAGCCTTTTGTGATTAATAATTGTGCTGTAGATCTTGTGATTGCGGCCCGACGGTCGCCGATGTCTACACAAAAAGTTCGCCCGCGCAGTGGCGAGCGGGATTCGACGTCATTCATGGCTGTTGACCCGGGCATTCGTCTGATTGGGCGGCATTCAGACCTTGTTTAGGCAGCTCTCTTGTACAACGACCTGCACGGATGACCGAACGACAGTGTTACACGCCTTGTGCATCGTCGTCGTATCATCGTCGTAGAAATTCCCGAGTCATGGACAGAGGTTGCATGTGCGACGCCCGCCGGTCTTCGGAAAATCTTGGTTGCAAGCGCACCCTCCGCGGGCTCACTAATAGAAGGCATCTGTCAGAGTACGCCAAAGCGCACAGGGCTGCCGCAAAGGACATGCAGCTTCTGATAAAATCTCATGCTTGAAGTGAGAGCGAGTCAAGGAGATGATCGAGTCGGGCGAGCTGCTGATTGTAACCCAGCTCATATTCCGTCAGGGGCACCCAATGATCCTCCTTAATAACTTGACCACGCTGCCTTTCTTCGACGGGGTTCATTTCCAGATAGATGCCATAAGCTTCAGAGAGGTAGTAACGAATGTCATCGACCAGCTCAATGGTATCTGTATCTTGGCGATTGCTGATGCGCGCTGCTGATTCTTGCACAATGTCCTTGAATGCTTGCTCAGACAGAAATCTATCAAAGTGATGAGCAATGTGTTTAGCAGCATAATTTTCGAGTCGAGGAGACTCTGTCAGCCAAGCAGTACGCAGTATCTGGTAAATGTCGGTTCCAGGAGGTAGGTCATCACTGTTGGTGACGGCAATGGCAGCCAGAGATTTGAGACTTCTGTCCTTGTCCATAAGCAAATACGATGCAGTCTCGAGCACGTCCAGCGCCAGATGTCGAGGAATCTCTGCACGGTCGACATAGAGGAAGTGTAGCACAATCTCTGCAATCTCGCTGCTCACATCCAGTGTGAAATACGGTACCTCGTCTGTGCTTTCTGCAAAGCCAGAGGTGAAGGATGTCAGGTAAAAGTCCGACTTGATGAGTTCGCTTTTGGCCACAGCATAGACTCTGCTGGACTTGTCGTGGGTCGGCACGGCGAGTAGAGCATCAGCGAACAAGTCGCTCTCGCGCAATACCCTCCGCGCCTCTGTGGCTGCTTCTGAAAGTGGTGCATCAACGACCCATGATCTGCCAATCACGTCGTTCTTGACAAACGCTTCCATGTCATCCTGGGCTTTGCGAGTCTGCAGCGCTCGCCTTTCACGCTTACCGAGCGTATCATTCAAAAAGTAGTCGGCCAAGTCTGGCAAACAAAGCTTGTCGGCAAGGGTCAGCAGTTGACGGAGTTCCACAGCCGTCAAGTCGGCATCGAATTGATCCACATAGATCCATTTGAGGGCAAAGTTGAAGGCGTCTACTTCTTCCTCTGGTAAAACAATGTCTGTCTTCGACTGCCACTTGCCACGTAATTGCTCACGGCAATACTTTGAGCGCGCTGCAAGCACAAATCGATGTGCTCGACAAGCATAACTGGACGATTTGAAACACATATCAGACGCATCAAAGGGAGCATTACCGCCTAGAAGCGAAGAAAGATGCGCAGCAAAGGGCTGCAAGACATCCACTGAAGTGGTTGCATCGTACTTGAGCAACAAGTTACGAATTTCATCGTTAAGAGCGCCATATAGACATCGAGCGCCGTCAAAGGTGTCTCGCTCGAGAATAGCGCCATGCTCCAGCAAATACTTGACGATGTGTATATGACCACATAAGCTTGCAAGAATGAGAGGCGAATAGTCGTACTTGTCTACACAGTTGACATTGCAGTTGTAATTTTCGACGCATGAAGCAACTTTTTCGAGGTCTCCAGCTCGAGTACCTTCTAAAAGCTCCAAGAATTGTACATCTTCGCACAGGAGCATGATGAGATAACTTCAAGGTACTTCAAAAGAACTGATACGATTCAAACCGACTGTGAGTAGATGGACATTGTCCAGAGCTCGAGGTCGCGAGTGAGGTGGCAAGATGGGTCATCAGATGGACGTCTTCATAGAAAATAGCGCTCGAGCTTTGTTACCGTCAGCGCAGGCAAACGTTTTCAGACTGGCCTTAGTACTTTCATTAGCCTTCGTCTATCTTATCCTGACCAGGTCTTTACAAAATGATGTTATGCTTGCTGCTACTGAACTGGTCTTTGTGGCAACTACCGATCAATCAACTTGCGCCCGTCCACTTCATGAATGCTGCCTTAGCGGCCCCTGATTCAGGGAGTGTCAGAGATCCTGTATACCAACTTCTGGCCGCTGACCTTGTTTTGCTTGAGCAAATTGAGACCTTCGCCGATGGATGCAAGGCCTTTGGGCATCAACTTTACCGGATTGCCCTTAAAGGTGCCTTCTGCCAATTTCTCTCCCAGCCAATCGTAGTATTCTGTAGCGAAGGCCTGATGGTCATCCCCTCGCATTGCGTGAGCTGCACCTACGTTTGTCTGGACAAAGGCAATCTTCGGGTCTTTGGCCTGCTCGTCCTTCTCAGATACTTGCAGGATGAATGTAGTCTTCGCAGCTTCTTTGTCCTTCAAGACAGCGTTGCTGAGGCGAACAATGTCTTCAGAGATGGCGTCAAAGACACGGTTGAGCGTGTGACCGGCTGACTGTGCAGCTTCGTTAATCTCCTTTGCTATTGCGTCTGGCGTCTTTCCACGGTAGTCGATGATAACATCGGCACCAGCGGACTTAGGCAGTTCCGATGAACCTCCTGCTGTGGTGATGACATACAATCCTGCAGCCTTGGCAAGTTGCACTGCAAAGTGCCCAACTGAACTCGATCCACCGTTGATGAAGACTGCCGGCTTCTTGCCGTGCCCAACCTCCTTGGGCTTCGGCAAATCTAACTTGACAAACAAAGCAATTGCGGCAGTCATTGCTGCAAGAGGGAGCGTCACGGCCTCCTCAAACTTGACATGATCAGCAAGTGCAAATGTGGTACCTTCTGGTACGACCGTGTACTCGGCATACGCGCCGTACTTGTCGTCGGTCGCCATCATTGAAAACCCGGCAACTCGGTCTCCTACCTGGAATCGGGTCGTCCCTTCGCCAATGGCATCCACGTAGCCGGCTACATCATTGCCTTCGACCCTGTCACCCAGATCCCAGACTGTTGAATCATGGAGCTTCCAATCCTTTGGGTTCGATGCGACGTACTCGTTCTTGATGAGTAATTCCTTAGGTCCCGGAGATGGCTTGTCTATTTGGATGACAGGCACATTGGGAACCGAATCGAGTGTGACCTTGACTGCTTTCATTGTCTGCACGCGAGTTGAATAATATATTGGAAGAGTGAAGAGTTCTGGTCAGAACGCTGATGATGAATCATTGATGACTGATGAGTCGCTGACATCAAGCGGCTGATTCAAGCCCGCCGCCGGCCCGCCGGACTGGTGCCTCTTCAGATGGCTCAAGTGAAATTCCAGCTAGGCTGCGTCGCTCAAACAAGAGTTGCAGCGACAGAAACCTTCCGAATATAGACCACTGCGTTGGACACCTCAATTTTATCGTTCTGGTTAGTCGGACAGGCTTTCATACTTCAGCTACCCATCGTAGGAGATATTATCTCCAAAACTGCCCCTGTATGCTAGCTATCGCGCTATGCCGCGGGAATGCATGCATACGATGATAGTAGCAAGAAAGAACTCATAGTTTCTCAGGTGCATCTCGGCGACTTGCCAGCATGTCAGGCACTTACATACAAGTATGATACTGGCGCTGACTCCCCAGGCGACAATCCTTGCCAAGACCAAGGAGGAAAGGAAATTCCGACCGATCTCCTCGGCACGACGTGGGGTGACTCGTCGCGATTAATTGAGCTCGCATCACAATCTTGAATCACTCCCATTGTCGATGTTACTAAACTCTGAATCTCAGGGGCGACTGCCCTCGAGCTCGTCAGTTGGCAACCCTTGATCATGAGATGACGAGAAGTTGACCTTAAAGGCATCGCTTACTTGAGCTCGAGCCTTTCATTATCAATGCATGTCAATGTTATCCTATGCGGCTACGAGCCTACGCCGACTACACGTATCGTTAGTCGTGACGTACAGTATTTCAATGTTCCTGGGAGCAAAAAGCGTAAGACTTCTCAATCAGGTCTTGCTGCAAGTTGAACCTGCAACGCTGCCAGCAACATTGACGTCGCCATTGCATGCACTCAGACTGCATTGACCTGGAGCAGCCCTGTTGTCGCCGACGCTTATGCGTAAGGTACGAGCCTACTACGAGGTAACGTCGAGGTTTATGATCACAGTGAGCAACCGGTACTGCGCGGCGCGTACTCGCATACGTAAGCTTTCAAAGAGAATGCCGAGCACGAGCTGTCAAAAAAACGTTCTGCGCCGTGATTGGTGCGCTGGACCAGCTTCCCCAGGTTTTCTGCCCTCGCGCTGCACTGGCTTAGTCTGGGCCTGTCTGGCTGCCGCTGAAGTGCCAAGTTGTTACGACGCCATCGTCACACCAAGAGCCGAGTTGAAGAGCGCCAGGCTCCAGTTCCAAAGTTACCAAACCTTCAGCTGTCACTCTGTCACAGTGGTGTAACACTGGTGTTGCCTTCCCCGCGAAGAGTCGGCGACGGCGACAGACATATATGCATGCACCTTGCACACGATGAATTACATGCGGACGCGCCTCTGTCTCAGCATTTCAATACGCTGCGTAGTATCACGATCGCAAGCCTAGTGCAAGTGCAAGCATGTCATCAAGACTGCATGAACGTCGCAATTGAATGCCACAAGCTTGAGTTCTGACATGCAATATCACGGCAGGTGTAAGCTATAGCCGTTTACGGAGTCCTCTGGGATGAAGCACTCTCATAACGAAGCACTCTCATTATCTTATGCCCTTGACATATTTGTCTTCAAGTCTGGTAGGCGCCCATTACATTATTGTATTGTCCTTGATTGATGATTTGACATCAGCTCGACGAAGTGCCACTGTGACACAGTCCCAGACTCCCAATGACCCAGTGACCCAGGGATGTTGATGGATGCCATTATTGCCATGCCTACCTACATGAGCGTCAACCGCATGCTGAACACAGACTCAGCTGCCTGCGCAGTGCACTGTTGATCGGAGCATGGGCACTCGCGCGATGTCCATTCTTGCAGAGTATTCTGAGTCTAGATTGATGCTCAACTTGGGAAGCCGTCCGATCTCTGCGGACCGCGATGCACCTGCACCATCTCTTTGAGGGTGCACGGGCCTGATTGGCGGATACGAAAGAGACTTTCAATTTGACGTCTCGCTTCTCCACCTTTTCGCGGCCAAATAATTGGGAGCGTGCCATTCTGGGCTCGCAAGAGTTCAGAGTTGCGCAGATGGACCAGGGGTGGTGGCAATGCTACAACAAACAGCACCCGCTCTGTTTGCGCACTGTGCAAGCATCAGCTGACTGTATTTCCCATAAGTACAGGCCTTGCCGCCCCTCCAACACATTTCCCTGTTCACCCTTGTACTTCACCAAACTATGGAAAACTGGAACAAGTACCAGCCAGGCCTGGTTGACCATGAAGGCGACCGGGAGAGTAGTTGTGGCTCCCACGACCTCGAAAAGACAATGACCGGCGAGTCTGGTAAGACCGTGGTACGCACGGCAACTGGTCAGGCCCAAATTGGCGCAGATGACGAGGATGTCGGTATCGACTCCAAGACTTTCATTGCATGTCTCGCCATCTCTTTCCTCTGGACTGGTTCGCAAATCCCCTTGTACATGCTGCTCGCATGTGTAGAATACCAATTGGCCGACATTGGTGGTGCAACAATCCAGATCTGGTACATTCTCGGACCCCTGACTGCTCTCGCTGCTGTTTCCCCTATCGCTGGATCTCTGTCCGACATCTTTGGTCGTCGATGGACCATTCTCATCGGAGGCTTCCTTCTCCTTACTGGTCTCATCCTTAACGGTACCGCGCAAGGGCCCACTCAAGTGATTATCGGTTTCCCCTTCACCGGTATCGGCGCTGCCCTTCTGGAGATTAACGCTTTGGCCGCCGTTAACGAGATTGCGCCAAACAAGCTCCGTGGGTTTTACACATCCATGCTTATCTGGACCATCATTCCATTCGCACCTCTTGGTATCTACGCCCTTGAGCTTGCAGAGAACGTTTCTTGGCGATGGAATGTCTGGATTCCAGTCATCTGGTCTGGAATTGGTCAAGTGCTTGTCTTCTTCTTCTACCACCCACCACCCCGAGTGTTCCATGGCAAAGTTCGCACCATGTCTGAGCGTTTCAACATGATCGACTGGCCTGGATTTGCACTGACCCTCAGTGGTATCGTTCTCTTCCTCGTCGGTCTCGGAACTGGCGGCTACACACGTCCATGGAACTCTGCTCTCCCAATCACTCTCATCGTTGTCGGCTTCGCCCTTTGCGTTGCTAGCGGTTTCTGGATGACCAAGGCCAAGAACCCTCTTTTCCCACCTGGCATGTTCAAGAATGCGCGTGTCTTCACTCTCACACTCGTCATCACTGCTGTTGCCGGTGCCAACTTCTTCTCCATTCTCATTCTTTGGCCCAAATTTGTGTCGACCGTCTTTGTGCCATCTGCCCTCCTCGGCGGATGTCTCATCATGGCGCAGACTCTCGGTGTCCTTTTCGGCGCCGGTTTCTTCTCTTGGACCATTACCAAATTCCAGGGTTCCATTCGTCCGCAGATGATGATTTCCTGCGTGTTCATGATTGTTGGTTTCGGCTCCCTCGCAGCTGTCGGATATGAGGACAACTTGCTTGCTGGATTCATGGTCTGCCTTGGAGGTATCGGTATCGGAGGTATCATCATCCCCGCTTCCGTCATCACACAGCTCGCCTCTCCTGATGAGTACCTCGGCACCGTCACGGCTTTCACTTTCGTGGCTCGTGTCATTGGAGGTGCCATTGGTTTCACCGTGTACTACTACATCCTGAACAAGGAGATGAAGCACCTCTTCGAGTCGTTTGCCACCAACAAGGCTTCGTTGAACGTTGTCCAGACCCTTCTCAAGCAAGGTCTCAACACCGCCGAGATCACATCTTTCCTTACTTCGTTCGGTATTGATGACATCAAGGAGATGAGGACCTACACCAAGGTTCCCCCTCGCATCTTGCTTCTTCTTCGCTACCAGGCCAGGCCAATTTGGGCACAGGGTTTCCAGGACGTTTGGTACACTACCATTGCATTCTCAGCACTCGGCCTCATTTGCAGTGCATTCTTGGGTGATGTTCGTAAGTACATGACTGGACACAGGGCTGTCGTCATGCACTAAGCCTTCTTATGGTAATTTTCTGTAGTACATATCACAATTATTCCTCATTGTTACGTCTTGCTTCACTTTGGAGCATGGTAGATGATTGCTATCGTTCTCGTCGTTGTAGAGTGTTGAAGTCAGATTATCACGTGTACCCAATCCACATAGCGAGGAGTCGAGGACCGGAGATGCTGCGTCAAAACGGCCTAGCAATGTAATGGCTATATAGTCTATCTGAGATGACAGCCATTCGCATCAAAGCCTTGGAAGTCACAAGTACTTTTGCAAGAATTGCTCCACGTCCTTGGCATCACGCTCAAGCCAACCAGCCTTGGCCAAGATAGAGTCACACACCTGCTCAAGTCCCTTGTTGAAAGCCTTCGTGTCTTTGTCCTTGAAGAATTCCTTGATGTCAGAAACAGCCTTGGCTTGAGTGAATCCGCTGGTCATGCTGATAATGACGGAGCTCTTAAGAGAACCGACCGAGTTTGGCAACCTCTTGTCCACGGCTGCATAGTTGTTGCGCAAGTACTCCCACATGGCCTCGATACCTGCTTTGTGACCTCGTAGTGGTACAAAAATGTAAACGACGTCCTGATCCTTGATATCCTTGGTCTCCATGAGCGACAATGTACGAGCAATAAGTTTGGGGTCCTTTGAGCATCCGAGTGAGCGCAATGCGGTGAGCTTGATCTCTGGTGGGTAACTGTGGTCTTTGGCAACCTCACTCAAAAAGTCATACTCCTTGACACCGCCATTCTTGATGGCAGTAGAAAAGACTGTTGCGCGAAGATTCGGGTCAATGGCATCGCGGTCACCCGCGACAAATGCTTCGAACATGCCTTGAGAAACCCTGACAGTCTCGGGATCCTTCGCAGATGCGGCAGCAGCAAATAACAGACTCTTCAACTGATTCTCCACGAATGCATCAGGATCACTGCTGAACTTGTAACCAGCCTTGTGAGCTTGCGGCGCTACCAATTTTCGCTTGTAGTTTTGGAAGGCATCCAGGATCTTCTCATCCTCAAAAGCCCAGGCTGCGTCGATAGCGGACAGACGAGCGATGATCTCGGACCAAACAACGAATGCTTTTTCGTCCTTCCATGACTCAATCAAGGACAAGAGACCACTCGTCTTTGCATAGCCAGAAGTGCTTAATGCACCTGCATCAGCAACAAGACCAGCACGATCGGCAGGCGCAAGCGATTTTTGACCGAGGGAGCCAAGCTTGGCAAGGTGTTCCGGGGTGTAGTTGGTGCGGTAAATACCGGAGTGGCCAGTGTTGAGCTTGTAAGTGTTACCGCTGCCAATTTTAATGGTTGACTCGCGAGAGTCCAAGCGTGCTTCGCTATCCACCTTGACATTGCCCTCGGCATCGATTGTCTGCAAGGCCAACGGAATGCAGTAGAGGGTCTCATCCTCCTCTGCCTTGACATCGGCGGTCGTCAAGAAACGATTCTGCTTGAGCTGGATTTCGCCATCAGACTCAGTGGCAAAGACTACCGGGTAACCAATCTTTTTCGTCCAGACGGCGGCAATTTTGGTCACATCCTTGCCAGACTCTTGACTGAGCGCCTCCCAAAGATCTTCAGTCACAGTATTTCCATAGGCATGCTTTTTGAGGTAACGTCGGATACCAGCCATAAAGACCTCTTCACCAAGGAACTGTGAGACCATGCGAATCACGCAACTGCCTTTCGAGTAGCTGATGGCGTCGAAAATCTGGTTGATTTCCTCTGCACTCTTGACAGGCACTTCAATGGGATGAGATGAGCGCAGACCATCGAGACGGAGAGCGCCTTGCATTGTGTCGGTGACAAATTTGTCCCAGACATTCCATCCAGGGAAAAAGTGGTGAGCCGAATACCAAGACATCCAGGTGGCGAAGCCTTCATTGAGCCAAAGACCGTCCCACCATTGCATGGTAGTCAAGTTGCCAAACCACTGGTGAGCCAACTCATGCTGTACAACTTCAGCGACACGCTCTTGGACGTTGGCACCTGATGTCTTGGGGTCAAAGAGGAGGTCGACCACACGGTACGTGACCAGTCCCCAATTCTCCATGGCGCCTGCGGCAAAGTCGGGAATAGCAACCATGTCCATCTTGGGCAGCGGGTAAGCAATGTCAAAGGTCTTGCTGTAGAACTCAAGAGTCTTGGCGGCAAGGTCCAAGGAGAATTGTCCTTGGTGAGCAAGTCCCGGCGTACTGTACACTCGTACGGGGATCTTTGCCATGTGCTCGCCAGGTGTGAAAGTCTCGATATACTCGAGATCTCCAATGACCCAGGCAACAAGGTATGTGGACATCTTTGGAGTGTTGTTGAAGACCGTGGTCTTTTTACCATTCTCAACATTTTCTTCCTTAACATCCATGTTTGATAGCACGGTGCTTTGTTCATCTGTGGTAAGGGTGATGCCAAAAGTAGCCTTAAGCAGAGGCTCATCCCAGCAGCTATTGTCAGTCGATATTCAGCAACATATTGACGTACGGGAAGGCCTTTCTGCAATCAGTTGCTTCCATTTGCGTCGTGCCCAAGAAGGCTTGCTTGCCAGTCTTCTTGTTGATGTAGGATGATCGGTAGAAACCAGCCATCGAGTCGTTGACGATACCATCAAATACGATCTCTAGCTTGGCCACACCGGTGGCCAATGCATCTGTGAAGCTCAATGTGACCCGACCTTCTTCCTTGTCATATGAGATTTCGCTCGCCTTGGCACTGCCAACTTGGGCTGACTTGACATCAATCTCAACTGCATTGAGGACAATCGTGTTTGTCGACTCGACAATCTCAATATCAATCACCTCTTTGCCTGTAAAGGTGAATGCCTCCATGTCAGGAGTGAGATGAACTGCATAGTGCCTGCATGTCAGCAAGCAGATTACAGGGTTGCGAGGTTGCCTACTTTGGCACGACGTTGGTCGGCAACACATTGCGCTCAGCAGTAGCGTTCTGACACATGTGATGAGCAGAGGAGCAGTGTCTTATCTGTGGAGCGGAGAGCCAACGTCTCAAGTCGTCGCTCAGAGGTCGACGCGCGGCGGGACATCCGGCCAGCGAGGCAGTCACAATACTCCTGGTCAAGCGACTCGCGGGTCTTTGGCACATTGTTTGTGTAGGGCTCGATAGTAGAAAGGGCCGTATGCTGCGGCAGCACCGTCCAATTGCTCCAAAGACTGGAGTAATAGCCATGATCGTCCCTTCAATTGCAAACAACCGTCAGCCAGCTGCAGTTGATTTAGATTATGCGACTCTGGGTATACAGTGAGATGCCGAGCAGTTGGCCACCCTAGCCAGATCCCCCGAATGGCTTTATAAGAGTAGATGAATAGGCCAGAATTATACTGGGAGACTTTGAGCAGCAGCAGGCAGATTTGGTCAGATGTGAGAGAAGATTTCGAACGCGTAATATGCAGTTGCCGCGAAGTCTGGCAGCAGGACAGCTGTGAGTTGAGCAATTGGGCGGGCTGAAGGGTGCAATCTTGCTCTTCGTAAGCTGTACATCTAGATCTGAGTCGAATACTGACAAGTCGCCCCAGCAGTAGCATCTGAAGACTCAGCGAAGAGGCCCTAGTCTCCGGAGCTTGAGCCGGCCCCCTGAGAGCTGAGCGGCCCAGCATTTTGCTCGAGATCCGACCCCACACGCAACCACCGCAACCACACACCTATTGACAGCCTTGCTATAGCTGCCCTACTGTCACATCATGGCCATTCCCAAGACAGTGTATATCCAGATCGTGTTGGCTCTACTGGCATTCTCAGCTCCGTATGTCACGCCAAGGATCCAGAATCTCGGCCGCATGATTGGCTTTCGACGGGATATATTGGCAAAGAATACGGGTACTTGCCAGAAGCTGTACCCTGAGATGCTCCAAGGATGCGAAGACGGTAATTTGATTGTCGATGGAGAAGACCGATACCTTTTCTTGGCCTGTGCAGCCAATCTACACGATCGGCACGAGTGGTTCCCGGCCATGGGACACGCTGACCACCCGGAAAAGTCTATCAAGGACAAGTTCTTCGCTTGGAACCTCAACACGGACAAGATCCAGGAGCTATCGACGCCAAATTTCAAAGGCGACTACGTCAGCCATGGCATTGACGTTGTGTCTACGAATCCCAAGGAGGTTGCGTTCTATGCAGTCAACCATCTCGGCTCTGGCTCTGTGATTGAGAAGTTTACGCTCAAACTGGGTTCAAAGACTATGGAGCACATAAAAACCTTCGATGACCAGGAGTTCGTCAATACGCCTAACGATGTCTATGTCGCCGATGTGGCCGATGATCTATTCTATGTTACCAACGACCACCGATTCAAGACAGGACTGATGCGCGAAATTGAGACCATGGCTCAACTACCAACGACGCACATTGCCGTCCACTCAAATAAAGCTGGCGGCTATCGTATTGTCGCAAAAGGTCTCGCGTGCCTAAACGGTATTGCTGGAGACCGCAAGGGGCGTCTCTTTGCCAACCAAGTCAATGCAAACGTCATTGTGTTTGACTATGAGACGAGCGGAAACCTGACGGGCGTCCAAATCATCAAGGTTCCTCATGTAGTCGACAACCCAACCTACAGCGAGGAGACTGGCGAGTTGTTACTCTCTGGTTTCCCGAAAGCTTTAGTGCTCGCTGATTTTGCCAAAGACACAACAGGAGAGAAGCGAGCACCCACATCCAGTTCCCGTATCAAGCTGAGTGATATTGTCAAAGCTGATGCTCAGACCAAGTCTCCCGTCAAGCAGCCATTTGTGGATGAGTGGTTCGTTGATCCTGGGTTGGGCTTGATCGACATGGGTACCACGGTTGTGGTGGATGCCAAACATGATAACTGGTACATGATGGGTGTATTCACGAAGGGTGTCACGCGCTGCACGGGATACTCGAAGACCCAGGCATGAGGGAAGGGAGACGGCGGTCAGTCAGATGCTCACTGGACAAGAAGTTCGGATAGTAGTGATTATACGAAACCATGCAATTCTAGACAAGAAATGTAGTTTGAGCTCCTTACAAGTGGACAGCCCTGTGGTTGGTCATGTACTTGGAAACATCTCCCAAGAAGACACTGCAGATGAGACCAAGACCCGAGAAGGCAATGGTGGTGTACCACACATCTTGGAATCCCTGAGCCCAGATAGGCCTTGCTTGGAGAGCAACGAGCTGGATTGTAAGCTCCTTGACCTTGGGCAGTGCACGGAGGTATTTGACATCCGAGATGGCAAAGTGCCTCAAGAAATCGGTGATCTGGACTTGGTTGAGTCCGATGCCGAGCAGTGTCGAGACAACATTGAGGGAGGCCCTGTTGGTAGCGAATGACAAAAACAGCTGCTCCATCCTGTGGTTGAGAATGTAGTAGTAGATTGTGAAACCGATAGCTCCACCAATGACACGGGCCACAAAGGTAAATGCAGTAACGGTTCCAAGATACTCATCAGGAGTACACAACTGTGTGATGACTGAGGCTGGGATAATGATACCACCGACACCAACGGATCCGAGGAAGACCATGAATCCTGCCAATAAGTTGTCCTGGTAACCGACGGCAGCCAGAGAACCGAAACCGGCAATCATGAGACAGCACGAGAGGCACATCTGAGGACGAATGGAACCCTTGAATTGAGTGATTGTCCAGGAGAAGAAACCAGCGCCGAAAAGCACACCAACAGTCTGTGCCATAATGAGACATCCACCGAGGGTAGCAGAGGGCACAAAGACGGAAATGACGAATTTGGGCCAGAGAATGAGAATCGAGAAGAAGTTGGCTCCTGCGACCGCTGTAATGACGAGTGTGAGGGTGAAGACACGGGCGTTCTTGAACATGCCGGGAGGAAGAAGGGGATCCTTGGCGAACGAAGACCACACACCAGTTGCAACAAGGAAAAGGAAACCGAGAATGATGAGTGTGATGGGAAGTGCGCTCTTCCAAGGGCGCGTGTAACCACCAGTTCCGAGACCGACAAGGAAGAGGACAAGACCAATGAGTGCAAGAGCCGAACCAACCCAGTCCACCAAGGCAAGACGCTCGCGCAAACTGCGAACCTTGCCGTGGAACACTCGGGGTGGTGGGTGGTAGAAGAAGAAGGTCAAGACCTGACCGATAGCCACCCAGATGACGGAGATCCAAACGACCCATCGCCAAGTAGCGTGCTCAGCGAGGAGAAGAGCGTAGACACCCAGAGGCGCAAATGGAATGATAGTCCAGATAAGCATGGAAGTATAAAAACCACGGAGCTTGTTTGGCGCGATTTCGTTGACTGCAGCAAGAGCATTAATCTCAAGAAGAGCAGCACCCACACCCTCGAACGGCAGGGCCACGATGATCTGTCCAGCAGTCTTGGGAGTACCGTGGATGATGAGACCAACGATGAGCAGGATACCACCGATGAGAATTGTCCAACGACGGCCGAAGATGTCAGAAACGGAACCTGCGATGGGCGACGTAGCGGCCAAAGCAGTCAGAGGACCAAGAATGAACCAAATCTGAATATCTGCACCGCCAACATCGGCCAGAGTGTAGTCGATACAAGCCAAAAGCATGTACAGTGGAATCTGAGAGCCCGTCCAGAGGAAAGAAATGGCGAGACATGCGATAAATGTCTTTGCATCGATCTTGACATCCTCATCCGCACCGAGTTGCGCTTGACCTGTTGCGGAACGCTCCACGGTCTTGCCACTTTGGCCGGTTTGTGTCTTTTCAAGGTCGCGTCCATGAGATGAGCCCTCGCTGCTGTTGTCTTCGGAGACCAGACCAGGCTGGTGCCTGAGAAAGTTGTTCTCCATGTCGAATAAGGGGAGTTGTCGTATGCAGAGAAGAAAATGGGCCCTCTACAGTTATAAAGGCGCAAGCGGTAACAAGCTGAACCGGTCTGTGCCGCAGACTGTGCGTGGGCGGAACCTCGAGAAAAATTGCGTGGATTGAGCACGTCTGTGTGACTCTGCAACGGTCAAGGCCACAAAGCATTTCTCGCTCGGCCCAGAAGGTTTCCCATAGCCCCAAAGTGGAGAATATGTCTTGACTTTGTCCCTGGCCAATCATTCTCGCTCCTTTTGAGTCAAGTCCGCACCAAACTGCTCTTTCGGTGGCGCGCGACTCTGCGGACTCAGAGCGAAGCTGCGGTCTACCAGATCTTCCTCTATCTGAATGACAAATTCCATGTAATGAAGAGCCTCGGGTGGTCGGCCTTTTTTCACAAGCATGTGCGAATCATCGTCGTCATCGCGGTAAGCAGATCACCCGCATCCACGGGCTAGCTGCTTGTGACTCTGTATACATACAGCATAGCGCACACCGTGCACCCACGCTTGGTTTCGTTATCAGAGAACAGCGCCAAGCACAGTTAAGCTTTTGAAGAGCGAGCTGACCGGGTGACCTGACCCCGTGGGGGATAGTCTCGGACTCTCGGTGTTCTTACCCTTACGGACACAATCGGCATCCACGAAGACATCCACGCCGTGGACCCGCGAACGGCCGCGCCGGGAACCGAGATGGCTCGAGCTTAATGTTTCGTGCACCTTCGCAAGTTCATTGCTAGACTGTGGCCTACTCGAGCAGCAAGCACTCAGTTCAACAGACGATCTGTGAAATGCTTGTAGTGATCATCGCTCGTGACGCCTGAATAGCCCTGGATGCCAATGGCATCGTTGGCAAGGTAAAGTCCTGCGACCACAAGAATCAAGCTGGTTGCACTTGGCAGCTCGCGATCATCAGGCCATTGAATAGACTACCTAGGCCTGTGAAAGATGCTCTCTTGCCTCAGGGATAGTCCGTGAGCACATGTGTGTGTCTTGAGCCAAATTGCATTGCAAAAGTGTCAGATCTCAGAACTCAAGACTTTTTGTTGAGATTGAGCGGCTGCATATGCAATGCACAGACCTGCACGGTTGTCAATCAGCTTGTATGGCTGACATCACTGGATGTTTACATTGAATCTACAACGTCAACATCCTTGATGGCGGACCTTCATCTCAGATACCTTTGAATTGAATAAGTGACTGCGATTTTCGAAAAATTGATTAGCTTTCATATAGCACCCAAAATTTCTGACCCCTGCTATCCGGGGGTGTAGCGAAGCGGTTAACGCGTCTCATCCGCAATGAGAAGATCCTGAGTTCAAATCTTAGCTCCTCCATTTTTTGGTTTTCGCTTTGGCCTCTGACTTACCCCTCCCCTGAATCTAAAGATATGTATAAGAGCTTCACTTCACGGTTAGGCGAGATGACATGACAAAGGCATCTGCTACGTAGAGAAGGATGTCTTTGGCTAGCTTATCATACGACTCTCTTCTTTCTCCTTCTTCTTTAGAGCCCGTTTCTCGAGCTTCCCTATCCGTACCTCTTGCCTCGCAGCCTTTCTCTGTCGCTTCTCAGCTCTTTCTTGCCGCCGCTTCGCCTTGTCTTCCTTTCTAAGCTGTTTTAATTGTCGTGCGATTGCCTTATCGCTCAGACACTGTAATGCTTCTGAACAGTCGCTGGGCTCGCCTTTGGCTTGCTTGTTAACGACATCGGAAGATTTGCTGCGCTTAGAGGCTTTGGTCAACGTGCTGTCTTTGAGAGGCACAAACTGATCACTAGCCTTCAGCACTTCTCCCATGACGAAGACCTTCTCGAGTGCACTCTTGCCGTCAAACATGCGTCTATGGGCTGCCCTAGCCGCAACTGGATGCGCAGCTGATACTCCACCATTGATTTGTTGAAGCATCGCACCCTTACCAGCAGTATTAGAGCACACCTGGATGTTCTGTAGCTGCGCAGAAAAGACATTATCCCACCACTGGTCGCTCTCTTTAGGTTTCGCCCCAAGTCCCCCATTATCTGACTTCTTTGAAGTGAGTATGGCCCGCGTCACGCCGCCGTTCTGAAGCGCTGTACCAGGTCCTCCCCATCCCTGCGACTGCAACAGCGTCTGCGCGTTCATGCCGATGAAGGTTTTAATCGCAGGCTTGTGCTTGTGCTTTGTTCCCAAAAAATGTCGCCTGCGCCGTTTCTCGCACGCTTCTGCCAGGGGAGATGGAGGCGACTTTGAGGAGGATGCTTATGCTTCAATCGCAAGTCAGGGGCAGGTTCGTCATAGAGTAGGCTTGTCAAAGCTAGTACTGTCCAGTCTTCGCTCGAATTTGAGCGCATAAGCCTATGAAGAAGCGCTGTCTGAGTCGTGTCAAAGCTAGCGGGCTCCTGGGCCCCACATCAGGCAAGACAATGACCAAAAGTCCACGAGACAAAGGCATTGAAAGCCATCATCGCCGCATCGCTGGCTTCACAACCTCTAGCAATGACTGAGCTCCCTCGTCCAAGCAGCTTTGATCTGTACCCCAAATCGCGCGAGCCATTTTCACTCTCTACTTTCGAGGATCCGCCCAGCGAGTATGGCGGCGCTCCACTGTGGGCATGGAATACAGAGCTTCATAAGCCTTTACTGCGCAAAGAAATCAAGTACTTGCAAGAAATGGGTCTGGGCGGCTTCACGATGCATCCTCGAGTCGGCCTCGATACACCGTATCTCGGCGATGAGTTTATGGATTGCGTCAAGGCTAGTGTTGCTGAAGCCAAGAAACGAGGCTTGAAGGCGTATTTGTATGACGACGATCGTTGGCCCTCTGGCTATGGCGGTGGTCTGGTCACAAAGGATAGAGAAGACTTTCGTCAGCAGCATCTACTCTTCACTCCGTGGCCGTACGGTACTGCTGGGCATGGGCCTGATAACAATCAGTCTAGTGGTGGACAGCCATTTCGCAGTGAAAATGGTCAGTTGATTGCAAAGTATGCAGTACGCATCGACTATGGCTATGCGCGCTACCGCCGGCTGACAGATGAGCCGGAAAATATACAGCCCGGGGAGCGTGTCTGGTATGCCTATCGGGAAACAAATTTACTGGCTCACTGGTACAACGATTCCTGGTATGTCGATACAATGAATCCAGAGGCCATGGAGGAGTTTACAAAGCAAACACATGAACGATACTACAAGGCTGTGGGAGAGGCTTTCGGCACGACCGTTCCTGCCATTTTCACGGACGAGCCTCAATTTGCCACAATGAATCGCCTCGATAAGAGCTCGGACGAAGGAGACTTGTTCATGCCATGGACACAAGGTTTGGAGCAATCACTGAAGACTCGCCATGGCCTTGATTTGCTCGAGACGCTGCCAGAGCTCTTCTGGGATACAGATAAACTGCCTAGCCTTGTCAGATGGGCATTTCATGAGCACACCTGCTACCTCTTTTGCAAAGCATACGTCGGCACCCTATCAAGATGGTGTGAGAACCACAACATTGCTTTGATGGGCCATATGATGGAAGAACCGACACTAGAACAACAGACGCATTCGCTCGGTAGTACGATGCCATGCTATGCCAGTATGCAAATTCCTGGCGTCGATATGCTCTGCGACTGGCGAGAGTACAATACTGTCAAGCAATGTACCAGCGTCGCACGCCAGTATGCTCGATCTGCAGTCATGTCTGAGCTTTATGGTGTCACGAACTGGACGTTCTCCTTCAAGGGCTATCTAGGTCAAGGAAATTGGCAAGCAGCACTTGGCGTGACACTGCGGGTACATCATCTCAGCTGGGTCAGTATGGCCGGTGAGGCTAAGCGCGATTATCCTCAGCAAATTGGCTATCAGTCGCCTTGGTACAAGGAGCATACAGCAGTGGAGCTTCACTTCAAACGTATCGGCACAGCAATGACGCGTGGCAAGGCCAGAACAAGGATTGCGGTCTTGCACCCTATTGAATCTGCTTGGCTGCGCTACGGAGCTCGACAAACATCTGATTTGGATGAAAGGGACAGCTGGTTCAAGAAACTAACAGACACGCTCAACTTTGGATTACTCGACTTTGATTTCTTGTCTGAAGTCTTGCTCCCAGAACAATGCGGCCGGCAGGTCGGTCCTTGCCTAACTGTCGGTGCATGCAAGTACGACGTTGTGGTCTTACCGCAAGTATTGACCATTCGCAGTACCACCTTGTCGATACTGAAAGACTTTGTCGCACGAGGAGGGCTAGTCCTCGTCGCCGGCGCTGACCCACAGTATGTCGATGCTCGACCATCTCAAATCGGCTTGGATGTCACCAGAGTCGCCTTTGATTCTGATGCCATTCTCCAAGCGCTTAGACCCTACGGGGATATGCGCATCAGCACAAAGTCTGGCGAAGACTCGCTTCTCTACCAATGGCGCGACGATGGCGATGACAATTTCGTCTTCATAACAAACACCGACCGCGACGGAGAGAGAGAAGCACATGTTGAACTCGCTGGCCATTGGCACGTCTATGAACTTGATACGATCACTGGTAAGGAATGGGTGCTTAAGACAGTGAGGAAATGTGGTTGGACTGCGTTCGACTGGACGTTCGAAGGATGTGGCAGTCTGCTTCTGAGATTGCGACTGTATGATCAGAGAAGTAATATCAAAGGCACACCACAAGATCTCCCTCGTTGGCAAGTCGACCATTTGATCGAGCACACCAGAAGCGAGCTATCAGAACAAAATACGCTCTTGCTTGACTATGCTCGCTACCATATCCGCCGAGGCGAAGAAGAGCCGCAGCAAGCCCTGCCAGACGACTGGTCTGACCTCAAGGAGATTCTCAGGCTAGACAGCGAAGTGCGACAGGTTCTTGGCTTCAATCAAAAGTCAGATGGTATGGCTCAGCCTTGGACTGTGCCCAAGCCGCGACCGTTTCCACAAGATACGCTCTTCCTGCAGTTCAAATTTGACGCCAAAGTCGCTCTCAGTGATGCTGAGCTTGCTCTCGAGGGCGCAGACATGAACAAGGTGTACCTCGATGGTAAGCTGATCAAGTTCCCTGATGCAATTTTGGCGACCTTCTGGGTTGACGAGAGCATTTCCAAATTGCAATTACCCAAGCTAGAGCCAGGTACTCATGTCATCATACTTGAGGTGCCTTTTGACGCGCTCAACACTTCTGTGGAGCGCATCTACCTCTTATCATTCTCGATGGGTGTCACAATCGACACTAGCAAGGCCGCAGGGGAGAAGGCTATCATCACCCACTTGCTCGACCCTAGCAAGCTGCCCTTGACCGGCAACTACACTCGAGCAGGCCTGCCGTTCTACACCGGAAATATCAGCTACACATTCAAAGTGGCTGCAAAAAAGAAGCGTGCTGGGCGGCGTCTGGGCATGCGCATTCCGAAGGACGGGCTGGGTGTGAACCCCGTTGTCACAGTGTCTTACACAGCACGCGATGCAAAAACGAGGCACAAATCAGTGTTGATGCAGCCTCCGTACACAATGGAGTTTTTGGGGGACGCTACACATTACGACGTTTGTGTGACGGTCTTTGGTAACCGCGACCACAGCTTTGGCGCTGTTCACTGTCCAGACGGACGACTTGAATACTACGGACCAGGTGCATGGCGAACAAATGGCGATGACTGGTCTGATGATTATACGATTCGTCCAATGGGCCTTCTGATGGGGCTCGAAGTGTTGACGTCTGACAGGTGAACGATTGAGTCTGTGACTGTTCTATATTTCTACCCCAGAAAATCAATTTCCTTTCACGGCAAAGGCCGAAACTAAAAAGCTCGGCGCGGAAGAGTGTGGAGCACCGATCTAGTACGACTTCGTGAGCATTGTTCTTTGCACACAACAAGTGACTATACCACCATGCTTGCAGATGTCGCTGATGCTCGGGATGTCAAGTTCACATATCCAAACAAGGATTTGCTAAGCGTGAGTAGGCTGACTGAGTTCGATCAACGCTAATTGCAGTACATCTTCGATGATCCTCCCGTTGCTCCAGACACGCCGCTCTTTATCGATGCAGACAACCTCGACTCACCCGAAGGCACGTTGACTTACGGTCAATCCAAGTCATTAGCACAAAAGATTGCCTTTGGCTTGCGTGAGCGAGGCTTGCAAGATGGCGACGTAACATTGGTCTTTAGCCCAAACTCAAATCTCTATCCGAGTGTCATCTTTGGCATTATTTGCGCCGGAGCTATCTTCACAGGGGCCAACCCGAGCTACTTACCCGATGAGCTGTTGCATCAAGTTACACACTCAAAGGCAAAGTTCCTCGTGGTCGATGCATTGCTACTGCCAATGGCAAAGAAGGTTTGCGCTCAGGCAGGCATCCCGGATGATCGCATCCTGACATTCAAGCCAGTTCCAGGTCACCCGGGCGCTAGTATCCAAGACTTGGCCAAGTGTGGCAAAGAGTTGCAGTGGAAGCGCATCACTGACCCAAAAGTCTTGGCAGACAAGACGGTCATCTTGCTATATTCGAGCGGTACTACTGGAAAGCCCAAGGGTGTAGAATTGACGCACAGCAATGTCGTGTCCAACACCCATCAGACTCAATTCGTACGCGATCAAGGCGACGCGTACCTCAAGTCTATCGGCGAGGAACCTCTTCAAGGTCCTTTCGTGGGCCACTTGCCCATGTTTCACGCGTATGGTCTTTCCAACTCTTGCTGTGCAGCATTCAGGACGGGTCACTGCTTCATCGTCACACGCAAATTTGAGATTGGCCAGATGCTAGAACTTATTCAGCGTTTCAAGATTCAAGCGCTTGCGACGGTCCCACCGGTCATTACACTCTTGGCGAAACACACACTCGTCGACAACTACGATCTGAGTAGCTTGCGCAGTATTGGCAGTGGTGCTGCACCACTTGGTCAGGAAACGCAAGAGCTTTTGCGTAAGCGTATTCGCGAGTCTGCTAAGCGTGCAGGGAAAGAGGCAAAGCCATGCCGCTTCCAGCAAGGTTGGGGTATGTCTGAGCTTTGCTGCACAGGCACCTCTTTCACGGCCGGTGATGACGACTATGAAGGCAGTGTCGGCCGGCTTGTGCCAGGGCTTGAGGCAAAGCTTGTCGACGACGAAGGCAAAGTTGTAACGAAAGCTGGAGAGCGCGGTGAGTTTTGTCTCAGGGGTCCCAATATCATGAAGGGCTACCTGAATGCCCCTGAGGCTACACGCGAGACGGTCGACAGCGAGGGATGGTTACACACGGGTGATATTGCCATCTGCTCAGAAGACGGCCGCCGTTGGTGGATTGTTGACCGCAAGAAGGAGCTCATCAAGTACAAGGGCCTGCAAGTGGCCCCAGCTGAGTTGGAATCTCTTTTGCTCAGCCATGACCACATTGCAGATGTCTGTGTGGTGGGTGTGCCTTTCGAGGACACGGAAGCCCCACGTGCATATGTCGTCAAGTCAAGCCCAAGCTTATCCGAGCAGGACGTGAAGACTTTTGTTGAGGGTAAAGCAGCACGCTACAAGTGGTTGAGGGGCGGCGTCATCTTCATTGATGCCATCCCCAAGAGTGCCAGTGGCAAGATTCTGAGACGTGAGTTGCGAACAAAAGCACAGCAAGAAATTTTGGCTGCTCAAAAGGCAAAGCTGTAAGTTCATTATGGTCATGTCTCCCCGTCTATCGTATTTAAAGCAGTTGTAAGTCGAATATCTAGTCGTGATTCCATTTCAGTGTCACCAAAGGATCGAGCACGTTGAATCCAGTGGCGAATGTCTTCCTTGGCAGCCTTGCCGTCGCGAGCCCAGTAGAGGCAGGCCTGTTCGTAGTATGCGAACGGCATGACCCACAGCTCCGAATAAGGCAGCTCCATGAATTGTGGTCTTGTCATGGACAAGGTTGGTGTCAAAATTTCTTGAGCCTCTGCTACTTGGCCCAGGTTGCGCAAGATTGCGGCACGAATCACGTCAATAACTGCGTCCGCGTCGATACGTCCAGACAGTGGAGGAAGTAGTTGTAGCCATTGCTCCAGTACGTCAGGAGGCATGGACCGCCAACCATTGAAGAGATGCACAAATTCAGCAGCCGGACACCCATCCACAGCCTCCAGGATAGAACAACCCTTCTCCTGACTCAGCGCTAGCCATCGTGCGTGTTTTCGCAAGACGAGCATTTCCAAGGGGATTGGCTTGCCCATCATCTTTTTGTGTCCACCAGTTTCTTGAGCAGTAGTCAGCGCTTTCTCGGCTTTAGCAGCAATGGCCTCATCTTTGGTTGCGATCCACTGCTGATGTAGGCAGAGAAAGATGATGTATGCATACGCGCTCTCTGACCAGGTACTTTGTGCTCCGACAAGTATGTAAGTTTCTACTGCATCGAGCCATCTCATGCTAAAGATTTGAGACAGACCAAGGTCATAGAGCTTGAGACTTGCAATTTGCTTCATTTGACTGGCACTCGTCATGTCTTCGAGAATTTTGGTGCCTTCTGCAAGTTTGGCTTGTTGAAGCTTGAGTCGTGCCATTTGTAGTTGCCAGATGGCAGACTCTGGATAGCGTGAATGCGCCTTCTCCAATAACGCTGCACAACGTTCCATATCATCTCGCGAATCTGGAGCAATGTCGCAAAAGTGAAGCAAACCGTTGTAATACAACAAAATGCCAAGCAGTGACAAGGCACCAGGGATGGTTGATGATTCTGCAACACTCCAAAGAGAAGCGAGCCCTTGTTCTCGAGAACCTTTGAATCCAATCAGACTGAGGATACGACCGACTTTTGGTGGCAAGAGTGAGATGACTAGGGTTTGCATGCCAAACCCAGCTACTGCTGAGCAATAGGTTTGATGGTCAATATACGCAATACCGTCCAAGTCAGGATCGGAGACTTTGGCATAGTGTTCAGCCAGCGAATGGGCTTGAATGTAGTTGTGCATACTGTCAAAAGATCCATAGGCACGTTTCAGCTTCCACACGGACTTCATCGACTCTGTCATGCTCTCTGATAGAAATCCAGTGATAGCACTCATCAGCAGAACATTGGCGAGAATGACTCGGTAGACGCTGCCAGCAGAAAAGACGCTATCAGGGTCTGCCTTGGCATATGCTATTTCCGCGTCTAAAGCCGTGTGCGCTTCATTGAGCAACACGCCTGCCTTTTGAATACCCTCACGTTCGCCACCAAGCATGGCCTCAAGGAACGACGCAATGGCGCGGCCTGTGAGGTGGAAAGCGTCTTCGTGCTGGCTGAGGACGGCGTTGGCTTGTATCATATCGTCATTCATGATGGCAGAGAGACCTGTATTGGCATGTACCATGCGGGCTGATCTCTCAGGGATAGACATGGCCGAGAGTGAGCCTACAGGCGGCGTGCTGCCTCCCCATAGCCGACTGAGCATGGCTAGACTGTGGTACTACCGAGTAACTCAAAGACGAGTACGGGTAGAGATATTTCCACTTGAGCAGGGTAGCAAATCTGAGGGAGAAGCTGTTTCAAAGCAGTAAGAAGATTGAGATGAGATCAGAGTGAAGCTATCTTTCCAGTAAGTGTTATAAACTTGAGATCAAGCCAAGGAGCTGTGTAGCCAAGGCCGGTAACTCAGTGGTGAATGGTCGTTGCTGCTTATCTCAGCGGGATTGCCGATGCCTGATCGCCAAGATGGAGATTGGGGGCGGAAGGTGACGAATGCAGCGACGACTCCCTGCTCGGAGGCTGCTCCCCAGACCCAACACACTCATTGTAGAGTAGATACAGATGGTCAATACTCTCGCGCTCCTCTGCGCAATCACAGCTGCCGTCTCTGGTCAGGCATTTGTCAACCAGGCACAGCGCAATGCTGCCCCTCAGTCGTACTTCTCCCGTCTGGATGAGGTGGCTCAGTACAAGGAGTCTTTCTTGTCTTCCACTGTCGACTGGGCCAAGGATGTCTCTGCTGATACCTGGGCTGCCATCGAGGCGCTTCTCCCAGAGAAGATTGCCAAGCATGCCGCACCAGTGAAAAAGGTGACGAAGCGCCCAGACTCCGAGTGGGACAGCATCACAACGATGGACATCTTCCCTGACCACAAGATGCGTTCTAAGGCAGGCAAGGGTCTCGGCGTGGATGACACCAAGCAACACGTTGGTTACTTGGATGTTGAGGAGAACAAGCACTTCTTCTACTGGTTCTTCGAGTCTCGCAATGACCCAAAGAATGATCCTATTGTGCTCTGGCTCAACGGTGGTCCCGGCTGCAGCAGTCTGACGGGACTCTTCTTTGAGCTTGGTCCCGCTAGCATCAAGAGTGACGGCAAGACCATCAAGCACAACCCTCACTCCTGGAACAACAACGCTTCCGTCATCTTCTTGGACCAGCCTCTCAATGTTGGTTACTCATATGGTGAGGGTGTTTCTGATACCGTGGCTGCAGGCAAGGATGTCTATGCTTTCCTTGCACTCTTCTTCAAGACGTTCCCAGAGTACGCCGACTTGGACTTTTCCATTGCAGGTGAGTCGTACGCTGGCCACTACATTCCCGTCTTTGCCAAGGAGATTGTTGAGCACAACAATGGCGAGTCCTCAGAGCATCTGCCTGCTGCCTTCTCCGCCATGTCTGTCGAGGAGCGCAAGTCCAAGACGCCCAAGATTAACCTCAAGACTATCTTGATTGGCAATGGTTTGACTGACCCGCTCGTGCAGTACAAGGAGTATGCCAACATGGCTTGCGGTAAAGGTGGATACGAAGCTGTCCTCTCCAAGACTGAATGTGATGGTATGGAGGCCAGCTACCCTCGTTGCGCAAGCTTGATTCAAAACTGCTACAACTCCCAGTCTGCATGGACCTGTGTGCCTGCGTCCTTGTACTGTAACAATGTCATGATGGGACCTTATCAAAAGACTGGCAGGAACGTGTATGACATTCGTGGCAACTGCGAGGACTCCGCCAACCTGTGCTACCCACAAATGGGCTGGATTCAAAACTACCTCAACCAACCCGAAGTGATGAAGAAGCTTGGTGCAGAAGTTGACACGTACGAGTCGTGCAACATGAACATCAACCGCAACTTTTTGTTCAACGGTGACTGGATGAAGCCATACTACCTCGCTGTCCCTTACCTCCTTGAACAAGGTATCCCCGTCAACATCTACGCAGGTGATGCAGACTTCATCTGCAACTGGCTCGGCAACCAAGCTTGGGTGAATGCACTCGAGTACAAGGATCACGCCAAGTTTGCAAAGCAAAAGACGAGTGAATGGACACTTTCGCGTGATATCGGCAAGGTCAAGAAGGGTACCAAGATGGGTATCACGAAGAGTGTGGGTGATTTCACATTCTTGACGGTGTATGAGGCTGGACACATGGTGCCATATGATCAGCCTGAGGCGGCTTTGGACTTCTTCAACCGATGGCTTGCAGGCGAGCGGTCGTTTAAGTAGGCTGTGCTATCACGAGTACTAGTGCTATGAAGATTGGGTGTTTGTTTGATTGTTTTTGGACGGTGACAGTCTGCCCACATGGCTGTGTCCTCATTTTTTCTGTCGTACAACATATCAATAGGAGGTCTGACTGTTGAGATTACATGCAAGGACTCCTCTTGCTCCTCCGCTGTCTGTGCATATGCGTCGCACAAGTACAGCCATGGTTTTGTGCGACATTGAGCCGCTTCTGGGCCTCCCCGCTGGCTCCAAGAGATGGGAAAGTGACGGAGCCGCGTGGGAGGCGCGAGATGGGCCGGGACCCCTCCTTCTCTGTAGAGCGTCTAGACCAGAGCGTGGATCTCTTGGTATAAGAGCCCTGACAGCTGCCCTTGTGTCTCTGTACATCTCCTACAGTATAGTCCTTGCTGAACATCATGGCAGCACCAGCAGCACACGCCGGTTACCTGAACCAGGGCAAGTTCAACATGAACACGATCCTCTCTGACAAGCACGACGATGTCCTTGCCGCACAAGGTGTCGGCTTCATCAAACGCAAGGCCATCGGTATGGTCACAGTCAGTGTCACCAACACCGTCAAACAAGTCGACGGCGTCACCGTGATTGAATCTGCGTCTCAAGCCGCCAATATCCCCGGTGCGAAAGAGGAGATTTGGCTGGACAACAAGCCGCATGCTGCGAACCATGAGATTTACGGACACATGCTGACGACCTCTACAACGAAGAAGCCAGAGGAAATCACAGACGCGTGGCTCAAGGCAGACTGGTTGCCAGAGTCCTTTGATGCGGAGGGCAAATTGCTCTATATCCACTCAGAATCCGACCCTACCGCCAACAAGAACAAGTGGACGGCTGATGTGGTCTCTGGATACTGCAACTTGGAGATTGACGGTACTACGCAGAAGCGATGGGTGAGGAAGAATGCCTTCAAGTGCACGTCGAAGCCCCTGGAGCGCAATGTGCGTCTTGTGTACGACTATGTTGGCGAGAAGTAGAGAGTGTATATGTCCATAGATCATGCTGGACCATGTCTGATGCTTCGTGCTTCTTCTCTGCCTGATGCCTGCTCCCAGTAACCAACTTAAACCAAGGGAGAAGGGCTGGTCTGCTGCGTGAGTTTGCATTTCTGGCGACAACAAGCAACCACGACCAGCAGCGACAGTCTAGTAGAGAGTCTACAGACAAGTAGATCCAAGCGAGAGACAGCCATGGCATCCAGCAAGTCGCGCTTCACCGTCGCAAAGCTCGATGCAGGCATGGCCATCCTCCTGACTGCAGACCATCACCTCATTGAATTCCCGTCGCTGCTTCTCCCACCCAATATCGCAGCCGGCAGCATCATCGATCTTGCGGTCGCTCAAAACACCACAAAGGAAGAGGAAGAGACTAGGGCGTTTGAGAAGCTACAGGAAGAGATACGCTCGCTATTTGGCGTCCATGCACCGTCTACACCGAATCTCAGCGTGCGGAATACAACGCAGACCAGTGTCGTTCTTGCGTGGGACTTGTTGGATCTTGCAACGGCAGAGATGCGCAGCATGTCGCTCTACAAGAATGGATCAAAGCTCGGCAAGATACCCAATGCAACAACCACAACAACGAAACTTTCTGGCTTGGCGCTCGACACCGACTATACGTTCCAGCTTGTGCTTAAAACAACCGCTGGTACACAATCGTCCAATGCGCTCAAGATCAAGACGCACAAGATGACGAATCTATCGGGTCTCAATGTCTGCGTGGGTCATATCCGTGATGCAGACCGCGCGTCGCTCGAAGAAGCACTACGTCGCATTGGTGCGAAACCACCACATGAACAGGTGCGTATTGACACGACGCACTTCGTAACGGATCGTGGCATGGGTGATGAATTTGTCAAGGCGCAACAACTCAATATACCCGTGGTGGTCCCTGATTTCGTGGAGGCGTGTGAGCGTGAAGGTAGGCTTGTTCGTGTGGGTGAATGGTACCTGGACTCTGATCCGTCAAAGAGACAGAAACGACCAGCTGCTGCTGCTGCTGCTGCAGCCGCCACAACAACTGTGGCCGCTGGAGCGACAACTGCTACAGCGGACACTGAAAGTTCTGCACCTACAATGACAAAAGCCGTCGAGGGCGACAAGCTAAAGGAGGACTCGAGTGTGGCAGAGACTGTTGTGGAAAAGGTTCAAGAAGCAGCCGGGCAAGTCAAGGCTGGCGCTGTCGCTGTGCAACAAAGCCTCGCAGAAGGTGCAGATCAGCTGGCCCAGAAGGTCGGACTCAAAAGCACATCAGAAGAGACTGAAGCCGCGAACGAAACGACCTCAAGCTCGGAGTTGCCCACACAAGAGACTGAGACGGTAGAAGAGGTCGTGTTATCTCCAGCAGAGGCAGCACCGACGGAAGCCACAGAACCAGAGCCTGCGGCGCTCACTCGAGAGGAAAAGGGAAAGGGGAAAGCGACAGAGCCACCAGCAGACGCATTTCCGCCCTCCATGAGTCGATCAGCTGCCAAGGATGATGAGTTCGAGAGTGTGTCTTTATCTTGATGCTCGTGACCAGCTCACCAGATCAGCAGCTCTGCCCTCTGCATATCCTCTACATAGCACAGAGTAGAAGTGACTGTCCTGGCGTGCGACTTTTCAGACATTTTTCAATCCTCCGCAAACAAGAAAGACATCGATAAGGGGAGGAAACAGCGCGACTTGTTTTCCGGTGCAGACGAGCCTGCAGTACTGCGAGAAGCTCCAAGGTAAGTATAGCAAAGCCAGGCGATCAGCAAGGATGTTGCAAAATCAGATGTTAGAAATCCCAGCTTCAAAAGAGCATTGAGGACAACTTTTTCCTTTGCCTGAGCTCTCTCCCATCGTCCTGGCCCCTTGCAGCTATTATTACAGAATGCTGACTATTTCTTCAGGATGTGCGGCATTCTTGGTTGTCTCCTATCCAACCCGAATGGCTTTGCCTGTGCCGACCTGAGCGAGGGCCTCTACATCCTCCAACATCGCGGCCAAGACGCTGCTGGCATGGTGACTTGTGGGCCCAAAGGTCGCTTCTACCAAGTCAAGGGCAATGGCATGGTCTCCAACGTTTTTGGCGGTACTAGCGTCATGCAAGGCCTTGTGGGTAACATGGGCCTGGGTCACCTCCGGTATCCCACTGCCGGCAGCTCTGCCAATTCAGAGGCACAGCCATTTTATGTCAACTCACCCTACGGAATCTCTCTCGCACATAATGGCAACCTCGTCAATGCGGCCGAGTTGAAGGAATACCTAGATGAGACGGCGCATCGACACATCAACACGGACTCTGATTCGGAGCTGCTACTCAATGTCTTTGCTTCATTTTTGGAAGAGACTGGTAAAGTGCGCATCAATGAAGAGGATCTCTTCACCGCACTCGAGAGTATGTACAAGAAGTGTGAAGGCGGCTATGCAGTCGTTGCCATGCTCGCTGGTTTCGGCATCATGGGATTTCGGGATCCTCATGGCATCCGACCCCTTGTTCTAGGTGAACGACAAACGCAGCACGGAACAGATTACATGTTTGCCTCTGAAAGTGTCGTTCTTGACCAACTCGGCTACAAAAATATGCGGGACATTGCTCCCGGTGACTGTGTCATCATCCGGCAGCGAAAAGTCAAGGAAGCGACAGATGGTTCGCCACAAGTTACGGCACGTCAAGTTGTGCCTGCGAAATCTTATACGCCTGATATCTTCGAGTATGTCTATTTCGCACGACCAGACAGTATCATGGACGGCATCTCCATCTATCGCTCGCGTCTAGCCATGGGCGTGAAGCTCGCCGCTGAAGTTGTGAATGCTCTGGGTCCAGCCTACAAGGACATGATTGACGTGGTCGTACCGGTTCCCGATACCTCGCGCAACAGTGCTCTCGAGTTGGCACAATACCTGGATCTCAATTACAAAGAGGGTTTCATTAAGAACCGTTACGTCGGCCGAACATTCATCATGCCAGGCCAAAAGATGCGTCGCCAAAACGTCCGCCGCAAACTCAACGCCCAAGGTCAAGAGTTCAGGGGGAAGAATGTCTTGATTGTAGATGACTCCATTGTACGCGGCACAACATCGCGCGAGATTGTGCAAATGGCTCGCGATGCAGGTGCTCTCCGCGTCTACTTTGCAAGCTGCGCACCACCAATCCGGCATAACCACATTTACGGCATTGACCTGGCGGACCGTAAAGATCTCGTTGCACACGAACGTACAGCGGAAGATATTTCACGCGAAATTGGTGCTGATCGCGTCATCTACCAGCAGCTTGATCAGCTTGTCCAAGCCTGTCTAGCAGAATCAAGCAATCCAAACGTCAAAGGCTTTGAAGTCGGTGTCTTTTCAGGAGAGTATGTGACGGGCGTACCGGACCGCTACTTCGAGCATCTCGAAGCGACACGTGCTCGAAATGCTCGCATCAAGACAGGTACACAACCTGGTGGCTATGGTACTGCACTGAGTGATGCTGGCGTGGAGCAAGCTGCACAAGACGACGTGTCACTCTACAATGCGCATGCCAATGGCGGCGATGGATGCAAGCGTGGATAAATTGCAAGTATGTCGGAAGATTACTTTTCATCGTCCATTTCTGGGTAGTACCTGAAGAGGCCGTCTCCAAGAGGTGGTCGTCGGTCGCTCTTCTTGTATGCTTGCAATGCTTCAAGCTTGTTGATGCGCTCTAAGCACTCCCTCAAGAGCGGATAATTTGGCATGAGCTTACCCATGCACCTCGGATAAGCAAACTGCATGCCTTCCATCACAAATCCGAGCGCCAAGTCAGCGTAGGTCAAGCGTGGGTATGCAAACCAAGCACCATCAGCTTCTTCGTCATCTAAGCCGACAAGCGGCTCCGCATAGACTGGGTACTTTTCCTTCTCTTGCGCCCACAACTGCTTATTCTTCTCAATGCAACGCTCAATGAACCCCAAGAATTTAGGAATACGATTCTTCTTAAAGTCAGCAGCACGTAGCAGTGCTTGTGGTCTCTGCTCCTCGTAATACGACATCATGGCGATTGGGTGGTGCGAATCGTGTGCTTCAACAGAGAAATCGTGTAGCGTTGAGAAGCGAGATGCAACGCTCGCTTGGATGCGTGCGGCTTTGTCAGGTGTCATGTCAACGCTGTATGTTGCATTTGGAACCAAGTTCACGATGGGTGCCAAGTAGCTCACAATGTTACCAGTCTGTGATAGCCAGAAATCATGCTCTAGATCATGAATGGCTGGTGGTGCAAAGAATGGACCTGCTAGCTCCGCACTTGAGGGACCAAGCTCGTGTGCTTCATGTGAGAAGTAAGGTAGCAGGCAGTCCATGTCTGCATTCCCGTCCAGGCGAGCTTTGTCCGTGTAATGGATGCCCTTGATGCGAGAGCACTCAAACAGCACGCGGATGAATTCGCCTCGCCCGGGAATATTTGGCCAGTACCATAGATCAAAGCTCCTGTCTGGCATCACAGCTTCCTGAGGTTCAAATTTGTTGGAGTGATCGGACGTTTCCAACGGCCAGTTCTGTGACGTCGCCAACTCGAGCGCATTCAGATTGACCACAACGACCAAGACCATCGCTGCGTATAGGGTTTGAGCCAAATAGTATTGGGTACAATGTAGCCTGACTTATCAGCTTGGATCCCACGTCACTTGCTCGCAGACTACAATGAACCTCACTTCCTGAGCATGACTGACACTTCCAAATTCGTGATCTGAGAATTTCAGGGGTTTTCCAAAAAGTGCATGGCGTAACGCTTGTGCAAGGCATTGACTTCGAATGTATCATGTTACGACATTTCCTAGTCCAGGAGAAGCTGCCGGATGCCTGTCATTAAGCGCTTCGTGGCATGGCCGTCACTCATCTTGATATCGAGCCTGTTCAAAGCGACACCATTTCCCTCGACGATCAGCTTGATGGAGAGAGACTCGTCGCCCTTCTCGCATATCTTCTCCTATCTCCTGCTTCAGAGTCCTTACACAGCCTGCTGATCCAAGCAGCCAGGAGATCAAGCTTCGCTGCTCCGCCTTCTTTGCCCCTTCTAAACGTCCCAAGGGATGCTGTCCAGCGACTTGCTCAAGGTCAGCTGCGCAGCCTGGGTCCTCTTGTCATTGCGATGTAGTCTGTAGTGAACGTAATGCCGGTCTTATTCACAGCTCAATAACATGACGCGAGCCTCCCGGTCAAGGCAAAATGCAAAATCAACTATCGTGAATCAATTGAGAATCCAAAAGACATGAGGCGTCTCTGTAGCAGCGATGATGGTACCACAGAAAGATCTGCGTTTGGAAGAAGGACTCCTTCGTAGATTTTCGACTTTAGATGGCACTTCAACAACATTGCATCGCTTTGCTTGTCGTATAGACCTGACGGGCTGACTGGCCTTAAGGAATCGATTAGAGAAAGATGAAATGCAGAGGGAAAGGTAAAGATCACTATGGTTCCACAAGAAGAAACATTAAAGGTTGCAAGATGATGAACGACGTCCAGTATTCAATCTTTTCAAAGCTGACCAAGAGCCTGCCTCACGTGTGCCATATCCAATTGCGTTGATGATGTTTGCTGCTCCAGCCTTTCCACGTCTTGCAACGTACCATCTTTACCATTCAGCTGTTGTGTGAGCAAACCAATCAGCACACGTTCCAAAGCTTCGTTGCGTTCCTCCAATTTGGCAAGCCGTTGCTTCAATGCCTCTTCACCAGAAAGAGGAGCTTGTCCATGCAGATCCTCACTACTACGTGGCGTCTTGCCTAATCCAGAGTCAATGCTCTCAGGCCTGTCCAGATCAGAGCCTCCCTGCGTCGCTTGTGTTTGTGCAGATGGCACATCTGGCACGCTGAAGAGTGGTCGTTGTGCACGCTCGGGCGAAATAGGCGCAATCAGTCTCGCTTGACTGGAAGAGATCATACTGGTCGTATGTGGTCGAGATATAACAGAATTGTTCGCGGCAGGATTTTGCTCAATGCGTCGCGTTGCAGCGTGTTCTGCAGCTGCCATACGAAGTTTACCGGTCATTGAAGTCGGTGACAGACCAATGGTGATGGTCGGTGGAACAACACGCGGTGTGGCACCATCGTCTGGCTTTATTGAGCGTTCTGGCGTTGATGGTGGTTGTAGTGGTCCAAAGGGCTGCATCAACTCGACAGGTGAGCCAGACATGGGGCTGACACCGCTAAGTGCGGGTGAATGAAAGTCTCCTCTCTCGGAATTAGCATGATCACTCATGGATGCTAGCATTTCGAGTGAGTCGTCGAGTGAGAGGGGTCTTTCTGCTTGGGAGTGAACAGACAAGGATGAAGTGCTTGCGCCACTTTTATGAGTCCTGATAGAACGCGATCCTGCTGTGATGGTCGTTGTGACACTCGCACCCCGGATCCCAGGATGACGAAGGGGAGGTCCATCTTGTAATGACGAGATTGAAGCATTGCGTGATGTTGACCGTAGTTCTGGTGAATGCCTTTCAGCACGCTCTTTTGTGTGCTGGGAATGACCAGATGCAAAAGTGGATGCTGTCTGCGGTGCAGAACGCTTGCCAAAGTCGTACTCAATAACTTGAAACGTATCGGTACCTCGTGTATCCTGTTGGTCCGTCATGACCCCCTGATCGTATTCCGAGAGCAATATGCCGTCCGGCCTTTGTGGTCGCCTGGGCATTGCTTCTCGTCCAGCATCGGCCTGAACTGCTCTGTCGACCGTCTCTGTCGGATGTGCAGTACGTATAGCAAAGAAGGGTTTACCCGTCGACGTGACGCGCTTGTCAATCGCATCTGGCAGCGTTCTTTCCGCATCAGTCGGCCGCTTGCGCAGGAAATTGAGGTTGACGATACTCTTCTTTGGCTTGATAATTGGCTGCGCCGCTGTCTGTGAATTGCTGCGATAGATGTCTTCGGGCCCTGTTGTTGCGAGGAACTCTGCGAGAAGCGCCGTTGAGCCTACGGGCATTGGTTCTGCTAGACCTGCTGGCGGCATAACGGGGTCCTCTGAGCTGCGTTTCATGCGCATTGTACTCGGCATGTTCTCGTCGCTCGAACAAGTGGTTTTCAGGCTCGGTAGCGTCGCTTTGCAGTCTAGAGCAGCGCGACGGATGGCTCAATTGGCAAGTCGAACAGTACTTCTTTTCACGACGCCTGTGTGATTTGCGTTGCTGCAGAAGTCTATTCCGTTGTGATCCTCGGTTCAGTCAGTCTTTTGTCTTTCGCGCCAGGAAGAACGGTCGATGCGCTCTTGCTGAGCTTTGCCTGCCCGAGCGTGTCCGAGGAAGAGAAGGACGGCCGCCTGGCAGGTCGTGTGTGTCGCTCTTGCTTTTGTTGTGGTTTTGCGGCTCGCTTAGATCTGGATCAGGGGCGCGACACGACAGCCAATCACACGCAGCCATCTAAACGAGCATCTGCACCGTCACACAAGCAGTAGACCATGTACTATGTACTATGTAGCCATCCTTCTCTTGTCTCTTATTTCTCTGTATCGCATCATCTGCAGACGTGAACATATGAGAGGCTAGCGAGCTGCAACAGTGGGTGTTGCGTTGGCAGTACGAGCAGCCCGTCTCCAGACTTTTTCTTGGACAAAACGAGCCAGGCCTCCATGGCCAAGGGGATGAGAAGCATGAAATTGCTGCTTGCAGACAAGATGCCGTGTAGGTCTGGCATCACAGAATTGGCCTTTGCCCTGTTGCCCAACTTGAAGCCCAACTTGCCCATTGACTGACCGCCCCACGAACCCTCTTCCGCTGCACCATGATTCAATGACCTTCATCTGTGCAATTGCAAGTCACTCCTAGTCTCTGACCCTGAGTTTGGTCGTGCAGATGCTTCTATACCAGCAGAGTTAAGTTGCCCGACATAGTCATCTCACTTCATATTGCATGGCAACCGTAACTCACTGATTCAGGGATGCAATCCAAGTCCTGCGTTTTGACTCTCGTAAACTTGAGAGCGTCGTATTTTCGTGATTGCTGATCTTTATGCAAAGGGCGGCCCTTTGTTGCAGATGGTCACGAAATTCGGAAAGACGCCTGAATTGAGCTGCGATGCGAAACTTCAGTCGTCAAGGAGAATCGCATCCTGGACTGGTAGCCTTCAGAAATGATCAGCAAACGAAGCACATGCCTCAATCGCATCGCGAAATCTGAATGTATGTAGCAACTTATCCGGCTACGAGATTTACGGATCGTCGAGCCAACTCAGGGGCAACGGCACGAGCATCTACTCAACGCATGCACGGTCCCCTGGGAACTGTCGACAGCCCACACTAAGAGATGGTCGAATTGCCATTTGAGACTTCACTCAAAGTGCTTTCGAGGAGCAGTGCCATGTTCACCAGTCACAATATGATTTGTCGTAGTCATCAGACCCAGAGATGGGTTCATGCGCGATGAGGCGACCATTCTCCCTCAACAAGCACAAATTCAACAGCAGACTGTCTGGAGGCTACGCGTCCTCCAGGCTTCAGCTGCCAACCCAGACCATGAGATAATCGCATCATCGACCCCATGTAGAAAGTCGTATTGCCAATGCCCTTCTCCGCTCACGCTCCCACCACACAGGCACACCCGTTGCAGCAAGACCAAAGCCTATCGCACCACCAGCGAAATGCGCAGCATGTCCAAATCGGCGCCAGCCAAGTACAACACCTGCTGCATCAAGACACATCATACCTGTGAATGCGTAGCCAAGACTAAAATGGATGAATGGGAGAAAGATAAGGGCTAGTTGAGCCCCTGGTTGGTACCAGGCTAGGAGACCAAGTAACCCATAGATGCCACCGGAGGCACCCAGTGAGCCAATAGGCATGATGCCACGACGCGCTTGAAAAGCTGTCAGAGCGAGCTGCGCAAAGGATGAGAGGACAATGGTGCTAGTGTACATGGCAAGGAACTGGTTCGTGCCCATTGAGTCGTACAAGGCGCCTGCGATAGAGTAGAAGCCGACCATGTTTAAGCCGAGGTGCCAAATCTCACTGTGCGAGAAGCCAGAGGTCAACAAGGCTACTGGGTTGCGTGTACAGCCTTGAAGTGTCGCTGAGCCGTACGTATTGAGGAAGCGGCTGATTGGTCTCGCCACTGCCCAGTAAGGCGGGATATGGAAGAGCGCAAAGACGAGACAATTGAGAGCAATGATCCCAGTGAGCACTTTTGTCTTGATGTCTCGATCACGAATGACATGGCCGTGGGTATCAGCGTAGTAGGCAATAGAGAAAGCTGAGCCAGTGAAGAAGATGGCGAACAGTGCCGGACGGAACAGCGAAGGCTTGAAATTCCTGCCCTGAGACCGAGACCATTTCTCAAGCACGGACGGCTTTGCTATACTCTGACGAGCCCTGCTTGCAACAGATGTGTCTCTGAATGTTGCATAAGACCTTGAACTTCTTGATTGCAGTGTGTTACTCAGCAGGGAGCGTCTGCACAAGACCTGAAGAGGACTAGAATGTATCACTGGCAGCTTGAGAGTGTGTCTGAAGGTAAAGACGCCCAGAGAGCTCAGCATCTAGACACTGCTTGAGAATGACAAGTGGACGTGGACGCGTAGGCGTTGCATTTATAAATTTTTGTTCAGAGCTGAATCGCCTTTGTTTGTACATTCATCATTGGCCATTCGTTCACTTGCTATGCTATTCTGCTGACTGTCCCTCTGTTCATGAAGCTGACGTCTCTCTCCTCTTGCCCCGAAGACTTGTGGAAAATGCTTTTGAGCGCATCGCTTTGCACAGCACTTTCCTTGACAGCCCTAGTCTTCTTCGTCCCTGAGGCCTTCGAAGCGTCATCTTCAGTTGTCGCTGTCGCCTTCCGCTTCTTCTTGCGCATTGGTGCGCCGCTGTGTGTCAAGCCCTCTGCTGCTAATGCCTCCAGCCGACTTTGAAGCCGCGCGGTGTCGGCCTCTTCCGGATTGATGGGTATAATGTCGCGCTCATCAAAAGCCATGTCGCATACTGGACACACGCGATCATCTGAATGGCTCAGTGCCGCCTTCGCCAGTGCGTGACCACACGGAGTCAGATAGACGAAGGGCGTCGCGCCATCCATGTCTCTTCTAGTCACTTCGCAGATATATTTGTCGCCGCTCTTACTCAACTGTAATACCACGACATCCTTCATCGATGTAACATGCGCCATTTGCTTTGACGCGTCGCCCGCAAACTCTGACGGCTCGAGCAAATACGTCAAGATACTCTCCTTGTTATACAGCTTCCCATGCCCATCAGATACCAGCGGTGCTGTCAGTTGCGAACGTGACAGTGCGCAGTAGGACCAGGCATCTTGTTTTGCTGCTTGCTTGAGGTCGTCTTTCGCTCTGGGTGCAGCCTTGGTGCGAACCATTTCATCGCGAGATGGGATACTTCCTCCATCGTTTCCCATACTTGGTACTTGAGCTTACGCCAAAGCTGTGCCTGACACGTACTAGCTACAGCTAGCGGCAAGGACTGCATCAAGGTCAGCGTATCAGGCTTGAGTCAAAGACATGTTCAGATGGCCGGTCAAAGATCAGCGCACTTTACACTCAAGACTGTCGACCCAGACGAGGCGAACAAAAAGGCCTCTTTGTGCTTGATCTGAGTCATTGGTACACTAGCAGCGACGTGTAAAGCAGTGGTTTCTAGACGCAGTCACTGAGCAATGAGACCGACTCCGCTGCACGAGCCGTAAACCCTCAGCTTAATTCGAACTTTGCACGGCCACTGGCTCACAGCTTTTTTCATTGGCCACCAAAGACGCTCCCCAGACTGCCAAAACGCTGCGTCTTCAGAGCCGACAATGCGGGTTAATGTGCACGGGCTATCGCTGACGTGCGTACTGGTCTGACCGAATGACACCTGACAGCGACGTCTGATGGCCGTGGACTCCACGCTACGAGAAGTGGAAGACATATTAAGCTTAAGAACACATTATGCTAGGCCACCAAGGCCGTGGTAATGCAGCTTTGTCGTCAGGTCTTGACTCTTGACTCTTGAAGTCGGACTGCTGAATCTAAAAATGTGTGTTCCCTTTCAATTTCATTAGCTCCGCATGGCAGCCATTGACGGCGATCATCCACGGAAGCTTTGCATTGCCTCTGTGCTTGCCCGCAGCAGGCAATCGTAGACTTTCGTAGTGCAATTGCAAAAGCTCCCACTTGCGTTTTGACCGCCCGTTGTCGCTTGCTCGCAGCCGCTGCTAGGGACCTGTCAATCTAATCACATATGAGGAAAGGTCACCGAAGGCGACAGTCTGGGGCGCCCAGCGAAGCAACCACAATACATAAGTCAGGGAACGGCTCTTTGGAGGTGCTGCTCCACACACACAGTAACGCACTATGCCCTCGTTTCTGGCTACAGCTATTGCGATTGCTTTGTCGCTGCCCTGCGCGCAAGGCGCCTTACTTGGTGGCCTGCTGAGTGGAAGTGCGGTATGCCAGAACATTGCTACTCAGATCACCGGCAAGGTTTACTACCCGACGGACTTGTCGCCGAACTTCGTCACTGGTATCAGTCACTGGATGACTTCTTCATCAGATGTTCCAACATGTCTCGTTGAGGTTGCCTCTGCACAGGACGTCTCGGCCGTCTTGAAGATTGTTGGTCAGTCACGTACACCCTTTGCAGTCAAGTCCGGTGGTCATGCATCGAACCCTGGCTTCTCTGCTACTCCTGGTGTTCATATCTCGCTAGTGCGTCTCAAGGGAACAACCTTGAATGCAGACAAAACCGTTGCTACCGTTGGCATGGGGTCCATCTGGACTGAAGTCTTCAATGCCCTCGAGGGTTCAGGGGTCAATGTTGTTGGTATGCATTCTTCTTCTTCTTCCACTCAGAGTGCTAACAAAAGGTGGCCGAGTTGCTGGTCCTGGCGTCGGAGGCTTCACCTTGGGTGGAGGATTCTCGTGGAAAACCCAAGCATACGGCTTGACTTGCGACACTGTCATCAGCTACAATCTTGTACTCCCCAATGGAACAATCACAACGGTGGATGCGTCAAAACCTGATCTATATTTTGCTCTCAAGGGAGGTTTGAATCGCTTCGGCATTGTCACGTCCATCAAGCTCAAGACATTTGCACAGTCAGCCCAGGTCTACGGTGGTTTTTCCATCTTTGATGCAACAAAGCTACCAGCCCTGATTGCCGCGACGGACAAGTTCAATACTGACAACCAAGACCCGAAGGCTGCAGTCATCCTCACTGTCAATGGTGGTGCTGTGCCTAATGCTATTCTGCTCTCATTCTATGATGGCCCCAGCAAGCCGGCTGCGTTCAATGTCTACGACGGCATCACGCCTATTCTCTCCACTGTTCGAGCACAGACCTTCTCAAGCTTCGCTGCCGGAACACCGTCGCAGCTTCAGGGAGGTTCTCGTGGCGCTTTCGCAACATTGAGTACGACAGGTCTGACCAAGAATTTTATGATGGCTGTCTATAACGAGTCTCAGCACTACGGGACCTTGTCCATCCTTCGTGCTGGAACACTTCTTTCCTATGATATCGAGCCCTTCACCGATTACGGAAAGCACGCGACTGACAGTGCCTTTCCTCATGCCAACTCCCCAGTGCCGCTCAACTTGTACTTCGCTTGGCTCAGTGCATCGGAAGACGAGTACTGGAGAGCGATCATGCGTCAATCAATCGCCACCCTGAAGCAGGTCGCTATCAACGAGGGCATCTACCAAGCCAATCGATTGAGCTACCCAAATTACGCCTTGTCCACAACGGCACCGGAGGAGATGTATGGCGTGCAAGGTCTAGCGAGACTTCGCGCCATCAAGAGGCAAGTTGACCCTCAACAGGTGATGGACTTGGCAGGTGGCTTCCCAATTTAGTATGCTAGGATATGCCAGTTATGTATAAATATGCTTCTTGACCATGACTATGCTTTCTGAGCCTGTCTCTCGTATCCCTCCTTCGTGATAGCCTCCTGCTCTTCAGCAAATGGCGCAATGGTATCCACTGCACCTTTGAGAATGCCCTGCAGCCTAGCTTTGAGTGCTGCTGACGGACAATCGACTGCAGTCAGATCATGCCAAGGGACAGTTGCCACCTTGCCGTCCACTTCAACAGAGATGCCATTGTCCGTGTCATCACAACTGCCAAATTGCTGTCGAACAAACATGCGTATGCGCTCCTTCCTTTGATCGACCGTCAAGCCTGCGTGGCCGTAGCCAAGTACATCATGTTTCTCATCCTCATCCTTGGCATGGCCGTGATTGCAGGCTTTGCTGGACAATTTGACCGAGACTGGGGAGGATTCAATGCCGGCAAGAATGCAAAGGACTGCATCAGCAACGGCATCAGACAGACTGCCGCCAGCCCATTCGACAGTCAATCGCTTTGTTATGGTATCGATCATCACAGTAACAAGATCCATCACGCCCAATTTTTCCACAACACCCGTCAGTTTCCCAGAGGTCTTCTTGGATGCAGTGGTCGCGGCCTGTTCAGCATCAGCCTTCTCTTTCTTGCTGAGCGGAAGCCGCTTGACGGCACCAAACATCTGCTTCAAATGGTGCTCGACCAAGTCTGGCCCAGCATGATAACGCAGCTTTTGACGCTGCACCAAGGTTGTTGAACCAATGCCAGACTCTTCCTGCAAGTCTTGAGGAGCCATAAGTTTGTACTCAAAATCGCGCTGCACCAAAATGCCAGCAATCAGATCAGAAGCAGGCTTGTCATCAACGGACAGATGTTGTGTAGCGAGTTGCCCAACGACCTTGGCGATTTTGACACTCACAAACTCCAACTCGAGCGTGTCGCAGTTCTTTGGATTCCAGACATGCTTCTCTTGATCAGTACCCCGAAGTGGCGAATATTTTGATAGCAAGGCACTCTTGAGCTTTCCCATGTTGAGTGCTTCGCCGTGAACCAGGATGATGTGCTTTGCATCCACGGCATCGATAAAGTCGCGATTTTGGGTAAAATCGACATGCGCTGCAAAACTGAGCTCTTCGACAGCCATACGACGTGGAATACGCACATTCGATGCACCGCCCCCTTGTCCCATCACTGAAGTGATCTCAGTGGGCTCATTCATAATGTGCTTTGCCATAGTACCTTCTACTGAGTAGCCTGTGACCATGAGTAAATTCTTTTGATCTGGCGCCCAGCGTTCCAGGAGTGCTCTAGAGTTGCCATTTTGTAGCATTCCTGGAGATGCAAGCATGACACTTGGGCCAATGTCATCGAAGCGGTCGAGTGAGCGAATTGATGCAATATGCTTGAAAATGAAGGGGTTATGGTGTTGGAACTCTGCTTGAATTGCGTCGTTCATTGTGTAGATGTAAGTCTGAAATACTGCCATGCACTTCTTTGCTAGAGCAGAAATATAATAGATGGGCACATGTTGTAGCTCAGGATGATTCGACCAATACTCGTCCAGAATGAGCAAAATCTCTTGCGCTCGCCCTAACGCAAAGACGGGCATCAGCACCCGACCGCCACGGAGGACAGCCTTTGAGATGAGATTGGTGAGGCGGGCCTCTTTCTCCACGCGCGATTGATGCGTGGCAGTTCCATACGTCGACTCCGTGATGAGAATATCAGGTTTCTCTGGCGGCACCTCAGCAATATTGAGATGTCTATCTTGCTCACGGCTGTAGTCACCTGTAAACAATATTTTGACTCCTGCAATTTCGATAAAGTACATGGCGCCGCCTAGAACATGCCCAGCATGATAAGCCGTGAACTTGATTCCATTGACGACCGTTGTTGAGTGGTAGTCGACAGCTTCAATTGATTCAAACGACTTGGCAAGCTCTGCTTCGGAATAGAGCTGATCCACTTCACCGCTTCCGCTGGTAGCGGAACTCACACGCACAAAGTCAGACATGAGCCATTTATAAATAGCTTTCGTCGGATGTGTCATGAAAACACGGCCCTTGAAGTTTGTCTTTTGCATGACATGTGGCAAGCTTGCAGCGTGATCCAAGTGAAAGTGTGAAATGAGCAAAATGTCGACCTCAGAGAGATCAAACTCATCATAGAATGGCAATGACGCCTGACCACTGTAAGCAGGGTGAACGCCAGCATCTAGCATAATCGTCTTGCCCTTGAATTGGATGATGTGACACGATCTGCCCACCTCGGCGCCTGCGCCCAGGTTCGTGAACTGCAGTACATCCTTCGGCGCAGAACCATCGGCCGGGCGTTTCACAGACATGAGACTTGGCTACGCACCTGCTGCTTAGCCGGTGTTATATGACAAGACGAACCACAGTGGAGCTTTTAGAGCTAAATGAAGCCTATCAGCACGAGCTGAAGCCTGAAGTCGACTGAAGTGCGTGGACGCTGCGGTCGAAGCGTGCGACTTTCCAAATTTACGCGCAGCCAACAATTGCAAGACACATGCACTAGTACATACTGGATTGCGTAGCTTAGCTCACGATGGCTGAGCTGAAGCCACTGACCTTTCCGCCAGAGTTATACAAGAGGCTTGTGCCTGCACAGTTCCTGGCACAGCATCTCGAAGCGTCACCTCCTGTCCGTCCATCAGGTCGGCAGCTTACAGACTTTCGCGATGTTTCCATAACGAGCTCCTCACTCTCAAACACTGCAGGCTCGGCAGTCGTACGACATGGAGAAACAGTCATGGTCTGTGGAATTAGGGCAGAGATTGCAGAACCCTCCGTGACTGAGCCAAGCATAGGCTACCTTGTGCCCAATATTGAGATCGGCCCCCTCTGCTCGAGCAAGTATAAGGCCGGCCCTCCCAGCGAGTTGCAGCAAAGCATAGCTCATCAATTATCTACCTTCCTCAAGGATTGTGGCATTGTTGACCTCGGCGATCTTTGCATTGAAAGCGGCAAAGCAGTCTGGTGTCTTTACATTGACATCATCTGTCTCTCTTCGTCTGCAGCTCATTTCTCGGCCTCTGCTCTGGCTATGGTATCTGCACTGCTCAATACATCTCTTCCAGAAGCTGTGTGGGATCTTGAGCTGAATGACGTTCGTTGCAGGGAGGTGTTTGTACCTCTAAAGGTCAATTCGGTCCCATTCGTCATCGAGTTTGGCGTCTTCAAGGCCAAAATCCTCGCAGATCCTGATGGTGACGAGAGCGACCTCTGTGCAGAAAGTCTTACCGTTGTCATGACCGCATCTGGTGACATCTATGGAGTGCGGAAGACTGGCGGTCCACTTCTCCAAGGCTCGGCTATGCAAGAAGTTCTGTCCGTAACTGAAAAGCGCGTTCAACAGTTGGAATCTATCATCAAGAATGCAGGAAGAAATCATCGATTGTGAGTTGGGACACACGCTACGTCAACTATTGGGATGTCAAACCTTCCATGGAGTCCTTCAATGCAGCATTACGCAGGGCAATGTGAACACGGGCTGATCCAGCAGCCTTGGACCCTTCATTGGAGATTGCTTTGATTGTCACCTTCTCTCTGTGCTGCTGTTCTTTCTTCGGACCACTCGCAGATTCTGCGTGCTGCTCTGATCGGACTGATGTGCCTGTCGCAGTATTCTGACGCCCTTCGCCTCTCTTGCTTAACTCGAGTCCCTCTCGCATCTGAACAATTGGTTCTTGGCGCTTGCTCACGACCGTCGCATTTGTCGGCTGCACGCCACTTCCGGTCGGCAGCGCGGCAGGCGCTACTGGCAAAGCAGTAGGGTTGCCTGCGCCGGCAGATCCTGTCTGGCCCGCTGCTGCAACTGTTGGACCTTGGGCTACAGCATTGGCTGGCGTCGAATTTGGAGATGGCTGCATCGCTGTATTCGTGTTTGATGCTCCTTGGTAGATCAAACCTGCCTGAGGAGCCATTCCTGGCACGACAGCGGGTTGCTGTTGCTGTTGCTGCTGAGACTGTGTGACTTGGCCACCAAGCTGTCCAGCATTGGCCATACCACGCTGCTGTTGCTGCTGAATCATGCTAGCGTATCGCCTCGCTTCATCTAAGATGGCGTCACCGGGAGTCTGCTGTTTCATCTGGAAAATCATGAGAATTGACGAGTAGGGAGACCTGGCGTCGACTGGGTTCATTTGGAAGACGTTTTCGGATAGGCGAGTGGCACGACCTGGAGCCACTGGAGCCACTTGGCCGGTTGCTGCGGGGAGGAAGCCAAATTGTCGCTTCTCTAACTGACCAGCAGCTGGCAAAGCGTCTACTGCAGCAAAGGCGAGCACAAGTACAGCAAGACTCTTGCTAATCATGGTGATAAAGCTTGATCGACTTTGCCGACCGTTGGCCTTTAACGCTTGCTGCAATTGGGGCATGTTTCATGATCATTTGCAACATTCGCTCGTGTCGTCTCGGCTCACACCAACTGAAACGGCGGCAGGTCTGAGTCGACAACGAACAAACACAGGCTATGCACATGTCGCGTATGGCTAGTGGAAGAGTTCATTACCGATTACACACTACGTACAGAGGCCTAGAAGATTCCTGGAGTCAGCATTCTGAAACTAATCAGCTGAAACTTACCACCACCAAAACCTCCACCTAGACCACCACCACCCACACCGCCTAGACTACCCAATCCGCTTTGTTGTTAGCTGTGCCGTGGTCGGGCAGGAACACTTACCTGTTTGCCAAGCCAGTCACGCCAATTGTCTGTGCAGCGCCAGCTTGTGCCTGAGCTATGTTGCCAATATTGAGGCCACTGCCTCCGGGTCCGCCAAGCCCCCCGCCACCTCCAAATCCTCCGAGACCGAGAGCTGGGCCTCCAAGTCCACCGATTCCTCCTCCGAGTCCTTGCAGACTGGCGACAGCGACGGGATCGACGCCCAGCGAGTTGACCCCGAGACCGCCACCGACGAAGCCGCCGCTGAAGTCGTACTGCGGCGACGCCACTGGAACAGCCGTTACTGTGCTGAAGAGAACATTGAAGATCACAGTGTATGCGTGCATTGTGGCTAGAAGATAGCTGATGTCAAAAAAGGATTTCGACAACTTAAGTAGTGTTGTTTATGTTTGTACAAATGGAAACACAAGATCATCCGAAACCCCAGGCTGGATAAGCCCTCATGTCAAGGCCTCGCCTCTCCAAGCGGTTTCAAGAAGTTTCCAAAAGACAAGCAGACATCACTGCATTACCAACACCTTCCTGTCAACTCTATCGCTTGCGCTTGATGAAGAGTGAGCTGGCCGGTTTGTTCTTTACCGGCATTTTTGGTTCATGATTGGCATGTGCAGCTGCAGGAGGCCGCGGATGTGCTCGACTATCAGTCTTGACAGTCTGCATAGCAGAGGCACCCCTCGGCGTGATCGCTGCAGACGCCTTCTTGACCGCCATGATCTCTATGGGCATCTTCACTGCTTGTGCGTCTTGCTTGATGGCCAGCGGTCGCAAGTCTCCCGATTGTGAGCCAGTCAGGGTCTTGTGCCTCTTTTTACTTGGCTGGTGAGAGGTTGACAGAGGACGTTTGCTGCTCACTTCACCCTCCTCGTCACTGCTAACATCGTCCTTGATTCGAACCTCGACAGGACTATTAGCATTTTCGTTCCCGATTCGAGTCGGCGAGCTGAATGTACCCTTGTCGACGCATGAGAAGAGGTCTCGCTCCTGTGCATCCTGTACCAAGGCTGACCAAACAGCGTCTTGCTTCAGAGCAGAAGCACATCCCAGAATGAAGACACTAGATTTGGCTCGCGTCAGAGCCACGTTCATTCTTCGTTTGTCCGCTAAGAAACCAATGCCGCGTTTTGGATTTGCCCTAACGCAAGAAAAAATGATGATGTCCTTTTCCTGCCCCTGGAAGCCGTCAACTGTGTTGAAATCGATCGAACTCAAAATCGAATTGCCATACTCCTTCGTAAACAAGGTGCGAATGACTTTGAATTGCTCCTTGTACGGTGTGACGATGCCTATCCGTCCGTCGAAGTCAATGTCGAAAAAGTCGTGCCGCAGTCTCTTGTAGATATCCATGGCAGCGTAGGCTTCGGCATTGTTGAAGACTGAATGAGACGCCGTTTCTTGTTCTCGGCCGGCGACATCGAAGAAACGGTAGGTTCCGAAAATGGTGCTGTTGTGCCAGGCACGTTTCGTCTGCAAGTCCACCTCTGGACCGTCGAGCAAAGAACCGTCATAGAACTGCTTGCTCGGAAAGCGAGAGATTGACGAATGCATGCGATACTGAATGGCAAGCAGCCGGACAGCGTTCGGATTGTTGCGCTGCATACGCACAAACAAACTCTCGTTGTAAGCATACTTGACTGCTTCAGTTGATAGTACAGTTGGCGGAAGCTGATTCGGATCGCCGACCATGATGCATCGCGTGCAGCCATACTTGAGCGGAATCAATGCGCTAAGCTCAGTCGTTTGACATGCTTCGTCGATGATGACTGTTTCAAAGTCGACCGCAACGTTTGCCATGAGCTCGTGACCAGACCCTGACAAGGTCGCGCAGATGATGTCTGCATTTGCCAGAATTTGCGTTTGGAAGCGTTTCCGTTCAATGTCCTTCGCTCTTGCCCGCTGCGATTGTTTGTCTCGAAGCTCGTCGAGCTGCTCACCAAGCTGTGTCTTGCGATTATTCAGCTTCTTGATCTCCACCTCGATTTCACCAGTGTTTCGATCCTCCTTGCGAGCCTGCTCGAGCAGGGCGCGTTGCACATCTCGCTCTTTCAATGTGTCATTCAGCTTCTCGCGTAATACAGCCGGATCGCCTCCAGAGGTGTTCTTGCCCTTGAGATTCTCTTCATTCTTCATCAACATCTCATCAAGCAACACATCGAGCGTCACATCTCGGACATTGACGTTGATTGCATCACTCATGCCCATCCGAACTACTTTGGGGACATAGCGCTTCCCGTGACTGTCAAAGATGCCACTCTTGAGACGCAGGACGATTTCATCCACGGCGGCATTAGACGGCGCGCATAGCAGAATCTTACGCTTGATGGGCTCTTCTTTCTTGGTCTGCTGCCGTTGACCAGGCAAGGAGATGGCCGTGCCATGTATTGCTGAAGCACTCAAGAAGGCGCCGACCATTCCGAGAATAGTCTTTGTCTTACCAGTACCCGGAGGTCCTTGAATCAATGTGAATCCAGTACTATTGAGTGCAGCATCGATGGCCTTGGCTTGTGGTTCATTTACGGCATAGGCTCGCATAAGCTTCCCAAGATCACTGGAATGTGACGGCACAGGCTTTGTTGGTCGCCCAGTCACAATCAAGTCACACAAGTCGTAGTACGGCAGCGCTTTGAGCGTGGCGTACTCTCGGTGAGTTGGCGTCAGTGATGTCAGCTTGGCCGCCCAGAGTTCCACAGTGGGCCGCAAATGTCTGACCATAGCACTGCCTGGCACCGTTCGAAGAGCAATCTCAACAAAATCGCGCTTCTTGGAAATACTTTGCACCTTGGCAAGACAACGCTCAACAGCACCTGTCGTACCCTTGCCCATGTTATCAGTGGCTGACAGCAACAACAGATCAGGCTCTGTGATGACATACTTCTGCCAAAGGTCCATCTTGATGGTGGCAAAGAGATCAACGAAGCGATCAACAGCAGATCGAGTTTGCAGGGTCAAGCGAAACTTATCCTTCGGCTTGATGGCATCCCTTGATGCGACAACATGCTGCCAAGTCTCGAGCATGAAAAGAGGCTCCACCACGGCAGAATACGCATGCGCAGTCTGGTATGTTTTGGCCATGTTGGCAAGCGTGATTTCCCCTTGATCAGGCGGAAGCAGACTATCGTGACATGGATCCCAGTTCAGCAAGCGCATATGTAGTCCGGTCAAGTCCGGATTCGTCCTTGCCCTCAAGTTCTGTTCCACGCGATTTCGCTCAGCGCGCACATCAATAGGGCGTCTCATGAGAGGGGTGGCGCTGTCAACCATCTGAACAGTTCGCTTCTGGACATTCTTGATCTTCGGTGCTGCTGCTGGGTCGTTGATTTTGAAGAGACCTTCGGTATCACTGTCACTGTCTGATTCAGAGGCTGATGATTCGTCACGCTTGACTGCACCCGCAGAGACATTTTTGGCAGCTGGCTTCCGCAATGCAGCTGGTAGAGCGGCGCGATTCCGCAGATACTCGGCACGAGCTTGAGCTGATTGCGCAGATGGCTGTCTGACAGTACTCATAGCTGAAGCAGACTTGAGGGCAGCTGAAATGCTGCGTCCTTTATCCCCTGACAGCTGACTCGAGCGTGCAGAAGCCTGCTTCATCTGCTCGTGCACTGACATGGTTGTCCGAGGGACAGTCCGAGCATCTGGTATGACAATCGGAGCAGATGGAGGCCGAGAGGGCACCGAGACCTGGCTGTCATCATCTGGAATCTCAATGTAGTCGGTGTGTTCGCTGAGCGCAATGAAGATTTCCGTTCGCTGGGCTTCTGTGAGATTGTTCTTCTTTTTCTTGCTATTCACAATAATCTTGTCAAACGCAGCTACGCTCTCCTCATTGATGCGAACGCCAGACTTGGCGAGGCGCATCAAGATGTCGCAAACCAAACGCACGCATGATTGGAGTAATTCCAAGTCATTGAGGCGTAGCCAAGCAGTCAACGATCTGACCGCTGTGACACATTGATTGAGCAGAAGGGCGTCCATTTCTTTTTGTCGTTCTGAGCTGACAGTGCCTGCTTCCGAGTGGATGATCTTCTCAAAGCCAGTAAAGTACCGTAAAAGGGCATTGCTGCATTCCAGTACATCGCGCATGAATTCGATGAGTTGCTCCTTATTGAAGTTGACTGACCATGGCAGGGACATGCGGTATGCAGTTTCAAGCATTTTCCATAGACTGATCCAGAGCTCTTTGAAAAGCGGGCCACTGATTTTGCCAATATCGCCCTCGGAACTGACGACCAGGCCATTTCGAGTGTTAAAGAGAATGTCGAGGATGTTGGATGCTGAACGCACAATTCGAACGGCAGACTTGAACACAGCTTCGCGCGACCACAGCTTGAATGCATTGGTAAAACCGACGACCGTACTTTCAAAGTTGCGCTGGAAGGCTGCACGCAAAGCTTCAATACGACCACCAGATTGAAACGCTTCCTTGTAAATATTGAGAACAGCCTTGTATATCTCTTCATTGGGGGACATGATGCAAGAGACCAGTGCTGAGTTGGTTTCTGGCCGCGAAAGCAAGATTTGAGCCTGCTGTGGGGCCCAGTAATCGCCGATCGTGGAGCAAACACTGGTGATGGCGGAGGAGGATGCATTCAATGCCTTATTGAAGAGCATGACTGCATCCTTGTGTTGCGATGACATGTCACTAACAATCTCGATGGTGTCGATGAGTGCCATATTTGTGCCTACCACTTCGACGAAGCGTTGCATAAGCTCCATATTGGCGTCAGAGCAGCTCCTCGCGACAGCAATCCAGAGCTGGGCGTTACTGTCGAATGTGTAAATATTATCCGATGAAGACCAATACTTGGTGGTAGAGAGGGAAATGAAGTCTGCCCATAGGATGCTAGAGTCGATCTGCACTGCAAGAACAAGGACTCTGCGGGCGTCTTGGCGAAGTATCGCATGCTGCTCGTGAGCATAATCTGCAGCAAAGGCGAACGCTGTGATATTTGCAATACGAGCATCGACCACTTGACGTATGCCGAAGCGTAGACGACGTTGTTGATCGCTATAATTCTGGCTGGTGGAAATGTGAGATCCGCAATTTTCCAGCGCAGCCTTGAGCAGTAGCATTGCTTGCGCTCGACAAGCGGCTTGAGAGATGCTAGGAAGAGCAGCTAGCAGATCCCCGTTGAGCAAGTAATCTACGCCTTGCCGAAGCATCAGTGCTTTGTTGCCACCCGTCTGTGCATGCACGTAGGGCTGCAACCAATGCAAAAAGGCAGAAGGTCCGCCGTCAATGGCATCTGCATGCTCTGGATGATGGAGCAGTTCCTTGAACTTTGGGTTTTGCAGTACAACTTGCCCGAGCTGTTGAGCCGGTATTGGGCATGTAGACCATGCGTTGCTACCAGCAGCTGCCAGCAGCTTGTCTAAACAGAGCAAAATCTGCACAAGGTAGCGCGTCTGTGAGGAGATTTCGCCACAGATGAGTTCCATGAGATTGATGTCGCAGTGGCCAAGTTCGCTCAGGACTGCAGCTGCGTCTGTGTACTGAAGGACGAATGCGAGGCCACTCCAAAAAGTTGCTGCGTCAAGCTTTCCACTTCTTAGAGCAGTGTATGCCTCACTAACTTGTTCCCGACCTGCAGCTTTGAATTCTGTTGCAGTAGCTAGCTTCTTGTGCTTCTCGAAGCACTTGCGCGACCAGACCTTGAGTTCGGGATTTGTCGAAAAGGCAAAAGTGTACATGCCCGGCAGAATATGGTTGGCGACGCGCAGTAGTTTCCCACGCTCGCGAATTCCCACAAAGACCGATGTAAAGGCATCTTTGAGCTGATTGTCCTTGAGCAGTGCAGGATTCCATAGGCATTCGAACAGTGCGCACAGATTGACGGACTCAAACCCAGGTCCTTGTTGATCAGCTAGACGTAGTCCAGCTTCACTTGTACGTTTGATGGTGTCGACCAGCACTGACGTCAAGCGCTCAACGTCCTCTGAGTCTAAGCGAGCAAGGATGAGCGGAAGCTTGTATACGTCGTGGTGGTAGACGTTCTGCATCAATAGACGGAAGTCTTGGCGCAGCTTTGTCTGGTATAGACGTGCACATTCATGGCAGCGCGAGACCTGCGTGACTATACCTCGACGAAGCCAGTCTCGGTCGTCTGATTGTTCAATTTGCCAAAGAACAAGACACTCGACCAGCGTAGGCACGAAGACTGGCTTGTCCTGCGGTGATCCACACAGCCAGTGCGAGTCGTCAGGTAACGATCTGAAGAGGTTCACGCCGGCAGAGACAGCACGGCGCTGCAGAGACTCGTCGTTTGGTCTTCCATGCGCTGCGTTTGTTAGCTTCTGCTTCCTGGGCTAGGGCATCATGCCTGCATCTATATGTTCCTTGACCGATGCCAAGGTGATGCTTGAGCTCATAACACCATCAGAGAGCCATGAAACAGGCACAAGATGGCAGACTTGTGTGCTGTAGAACTAGAAGTAGCGCCTTCACATCTGATTTTTTCCGGCGCGTCAAATTCACGCGCCCAATTCCCAGCTCCCGAGTGTCAGGGGCTTACAGGGGAACAGACCTCAGGATATACTGCTAGAGACCCTTGTCAGAAGCTACAGAAGAGCGTAAGAGATAGTCAATACCCTGCTTTACTACAATGGCTGGCCCAAAATTGCTTTCTGCTCATTTCTTGATTGGCGCCAATGGATTCCCTGACGAGGTCACACAGCTGGGCATCTACAGCTGCTTGGGCGACACAAGCTCTCTAGAAGAGGAAGAGCTAGACACGCATGTACTGGTTCGTGCATCCATATGATCTCTACAGAACAAGAAAGCTGATGCACAGGCGATTGCACAGCGCACTCTGACTGCACACTACAACAGGTACCACGATGAGCGCTTGAGCACAGCGCTTGGTATGAGCGTGCCAATCTACCGAGTCGATGTGCCACACAGTCCTTTCACGCTCGATTTTTGTAAACCTGTTCTCAGCTGCTCTTCAGGATGCTGACCATAGATCTGGTGGCATGGCGAAGGCACAATGGCCACGTCTACCATGACTGCCGGACTGCTCAAGAATTGCCTCTCAAGAGTACGAGCACAAAGTGGAGAGTCCTCGTCAAGCTTGACGAGAGCGCATTCCAGGCAGATGCGTGCATCGCCGGAGACATTACGAGCTCAAGCAATGGCTCTGCTCGGCGGGAACCCACATCAGAGCTTGGAAATTAGCCAGTAACTACGAAGGAATGCGTGTTCATCTCAGGTATGACAAGGGTTAAGGTCACTGTCAGCTTCGAGTTCTCGAGCGGTTGTGTCTTTGGTTGAGAATGGTCTTGCCAGCTGCAGTGTTCACACGTGCTGTGGTCAAATTCGTGGATGATTTTCTGCTCAGAATCTGCTGGCCCGTGATTGGCGGCGCGTCAAGCTCATCATGACCTCATCTGGTTGCGGAGACAGTCAGTAGCGCACCGCAGACACATTCAAGGCACATTGACCAGCTGTTGCTAGTCGATGCAAAGGTCGCAGCTTCTCAGAATCCTACAATCAACGTCAGCTAGAAGAATGTCTACATCCACCCAAGAATACCTCGTCGCCAAGACCTCAGACTTGAAAGACAACGAAAAGAAGGAGGTCAATGTTCCTGGCACAGAGCACAAGGTTTTGCTCATCAAGCAGAATGACAAGTACTTTGCAACAAGCCCCAAGTGTACACATTACGGCGCGCCACTGGTGAAGGGTGTCTTGAGCGAGGGCCGTATCGTTTGTCCATGGCATGGTGCTTGCTTCAAGATTTCTACTGGAGATATTGAAGATGCTCCTGCTATTGATCCCATCATTGCCTTTGCTACAAGCATCAAAGGCGAGAGCGTGTTTATCACTGCAGCAGAGAAGGACCTTGCTGCCGGGCGCCGAAAGCCCTGCAAGAGCGCAAAGGCAGAGACGGATGAGCATGTTGTCGTGATTGGTGGAGGCGCTGCCGGTACAACGACAGCAGAGGGTCTTCGTGAATATGGCTTCAAGGGAAAAGTCACTGTTATCTCGAGTGAGGCGCACTACCCTATCGACAGGACCAAGCTCTCAAAGGCACTCATCACGGATGCCAGCAAGATTGCGTTGCGAGATGAGGCCTTCTACAAGGATATGGACATTGACTTCCAGAAGGGCACAACTGTCAAGTCTGTGGATATCAAGGACAAGTTTGTGGCACTTGAGAGTGGCGGCAAAGTCTCATACAGCAAGCTTGTGCTTGCACTTGGCGGAACACCTAAGCGCCTGCCTATGGATGGCTTCAAGCTCGATAATGTCTTTGTGCTCCGTAACATCGAGCACGCTAGCGAGATTGTGTCTGCGCGCGGTGAGTCAAAGAAGAACGTTGTCATCATTGGCAGTTCCTTCGTTGGTATGGAAGCAGCCTATGCAAATGCAAAGGATCACAACGTCACAGTTATTGGCATGGAGAAATACCCACTGATGAATGTTCTCGGTGAGCAGATTGGTAAACAACTTCAGGCTTCCGCTGAGCAGGCCAACATCAAGCTCTATATGGAGGCAGGCGTTGAAAAGGCAATTGCTGAAGACGGTGGCAAGAGCGCTACTCATGTCGTTCTCAAAGATGGCACGAAGCTGCCAGCAGATCTCATCATTCTGGGTGTCGGCGTAGCACCGGCAACCAAGTTCCTTGATGGTTCAGGACTTCAGCTCGAGAAGGATGGTGGTATTGAGGTTGACTCTTACCTGCAAGTCAAGGGCCAAGCAGACATCTACGCCGTTGGAGATATTGCGCAATTCCCCTACACTGGCCCAGGCGCTGAGGGCAAACCCATTCGCATTGAGCACTGGGATGTTGCGCAAAATCATGGACGCGCTGTTGCCAAGACGCTTGCAGGTAAGAAGGAGGAATTCAAGAATGTGCCTTACTTCTGGTCTGCTCAGAGCGGTCAGCTGCGATACTGCGGTAACAATTCGCCCACCGTGGGCTGGGACGATCTGATCATTCAAGGTTCTTTGGAGGAGAGCAAGTTTGTAGGTTTCTACACCAAGGGCGACACTGTTGTGGCAGTTGTCAGTATGGGCTATGACCCTGTTGTGTCCAAGGCATCTGAGTTGATGCGTGCTGGAACCATGCCAAACAAGAAGAAGCTACAGGATGGTCTTGACATCCGAGAGCTTTGATAGCAGCGATGTATCTTTAAGTCTTTGATAGAATTGTTGCAAATTGCAAATGCGCCATACTTCACTGTGCCATTGACTTGCCTTTTGGAGACATCATCAACTAGATTTATCTGCTATGTTGACCATGGACGTGACACGGTGACAGTAGTAGTACGTCCGAGTCATCTGCGGATTTGGACGGACTTGTTCGCAAAAGTGGATGTTGGTTCATCTCGGTTGTCTCCCAACCTCAAACACGGACACACCGCGCCTCCATTTAAGGAAACCCGTGCTTAAGCAGCTTCACGACGCGACTGCAGCTGCAGACTCGTATCTGCTGAGTGTCCACTCGTAGCTGCAGGCTGCATCTATGCTATGAAGTTGTACATGACAGGAGCGAGACCAGCTGCATCAAACTGTGCATCTACGAAGCCTTGAGCTGAAGCAAACCACTAAGCTCTTAGTCTTGTGAAGTATCAATGTATCTGGAGTCTGGACCGTATGCATGATCCAAGGATAACCTATGTACGCTTACGGTCAATTGCCTGAGTGATGCGGCAAGGCCGCACCCAGTGGGCCCACTTGCGTCCAATCTCGGAAGCTTGTCGCTGTCTCGCTCGAGTGTACTGAGGTGATGCTGCATAGGCCGACATGGCTGAGGCTGGAGCTGGACCATAGCACTTGGAGTACGAGCATCTGCAGGAGGATAAAGGGCAGTCCTGAACATCGACACGCTTGCAGACCTTGGACCATCCATTCAACAACCACTACTCTTCAGCACCATGATCGGAGGACTCCAGGATCTCTTCACCAAGTCATTCTATCGCCGGTAAGTGTAGAGACAGGCTCAAGTAGATCAACTCGCTCCACACGCACGCGACTACCCGAGCGCCTCTGTGCCTTGGTCTGAAGCTAACATCCTCGCTAGTCCCAACTTGCAGACCTACAATAAGGACAGTGATGGCAGGACGACCAAGAGCTCCTCCAGCGACACTACGTCCAACCACTCTCGACCAGGCATCCCCTCAGAGCTCGAGCTAGACAGAGTCTTGTCTGGCAAGTCATGTCCTCCTGTCCACATCAAGGCAAGTACCTTTGTCTATGAAAACAGCTCTAACGAACAGGATCTAGCCGGATACATGGCGCACGTCGACTTCACCGTGGAAAACCTGCAATTCTGGCTCTTCTATCAAGACTACTGCAAGCGCTTTGATGACCTACCCGAGCATGTAAAGGCATTGTCTCCTGCTATTCTGCGTCAATCATCCGCGGACTTCAACACGCCTTCGTATGGCGTCCATCCAGACCACGAGAAGCTTCCTGCATGGGAGCGTGGTGCCATTCCAAACAGCTCTGGCAATGCAACACGACCCGATACGCCACGTACGCCCATCACGCCGGCACCAGTGTACAGCGCTCGCACGCCAACAATGCCATACGAAGAAAAGGCAGCAATTCACGAGGGACGCAACCTTTCGATGGACTCGACTGAGACGGCAACCGAAGCAGCCAGACAGCCAATGCGTGCAGAAATCGAGACTTGCATCCAGACATACCTGCTTCGTGGTTCTCCTCAAGAGCTGAACTTGCCGTACAAGCTCCAACGTCAGACAGTCTACACGCTGCAACAGACGACGCACCCATCTGCCTTGCGCGAAGCAGCAGACCACTGCTATGGTCTTTTGTCCAGCTGCGCTTACCCAAACTTCATCCGATACAGCGTATGCAATGCCAACAGCGCTCGTACTGCTTTCGCTCGAGTAGTCGGTGCCGTGTCCATCCTTGCAGCAATTGCGCTTGCCGTGGGATTGATCCTTGGCGACGTCAGGCGAAAGTGGCGTGCCCTTGCAGCTTTCCCACTCATGTTCCTCGGTGTCACGACTGCTGTTGCCGCATACAATGGATCTTGCATCATTCTGCAAGGTACGCAGCGCGTGCAGTACCGTCCCTGGGATCTCTTTGCAGATAGCGAGGAAGCAGACTTGTTTGGCAAGTTTGAGCAGTACTGGGAAGCCAAGTACAAGTCACGCAACTTGATTCGCAAGATCTTTGATCGTCAACGATGGGTGGAGGATCCTTCCTTCCGGCGTTTGCTGGATCGATTGCTGTGGCAAGCTGTGCTCGCTGGTGCCCTTGGGGGTGTTGTCTTTTTCCTTATTATCTACTGGATCCCTGGACTTGATTGAGTCTTTGGTCACTCATGTTGATCCTTGACGCCTGCAGGCATGCATGGCTATTCACTTCTTTCTTTTAACCTTGTAGAGACCAATTTATCATCATCAATCCGTCAATGGAGACACCTCCGATTCTATGCTTAGGATGGTCGCCAAAGCGTTCACTTTACTCATAGTATTACGCTAAACACTTCAACAAACTGTTAATTTGGCAGACAACGACTTTATCACTGCAAGAGACTACTTGCAGGAAATAACCAAGCGTCCAAGGGCATGCCAAGCGTCTTAAAAGCCGTCGCGTGAAGGACTGAGAGTAAACATAGTCTCGTACCTTAAGCTTCCGTAGGTCTGGTACCAGGTGGATCAGTTTACTTCACGGTTGATTCGTATGCTACACATTTTCAGGGGCGAAGCAGTGTGGACCGATTCATTTTCTCCATCCATGAACCTGGAAAGATGGGTGATACAAGCGTGAATTCGGCTTCGAATGGGTCCGCGGGCCTACTTGTACAGTATATAAACCCTCTTATTTGAGGTTTATAGCGGCGGAGTTGGGACGCAATGAAGCGTGCGACCTGAGACCTCGCACAAGATTAACCCGCAGCCGGCGCTTAATAATACCTTCCCAAGGCCCACCTGACTGGACAGGCGTTATAAGAGCCCTTGACCGCCGTCTCCAGAGACAATTTTGCATATATTTCTATCTCTATTCTTATTCAACCTTCTCTGTAGCATTATTTCGATTGAGATGTCAGACACCGACAGCTACAATGGCTTAACGATGTACGACTTCGACGGAGGACCTTACCCCGCACGTGTGCGCATTGCGATTGCAGAGCTGGATCTGCTGGAACGTTTCGACAAGTGGGTTCGTGTGGACTTGCGGGACGGAACTCACAAGACTCCTCAATTTATACGTCTCAACTACTCTGGGACCCTGCCAGTCGTGGAGCTGAAGGATGGAACTTACATTGCCGAGTGTGTTGCCATTACGCAGTTTCTCGATGACCTCAAGGAGGAGCGTCAACTGACTGGCAGAACACCGAAAGAGCAAGGCTTGATCCACATGTTCACTCGCAGAGTGGAGCTAGAGGTGATGAATCCTATCAGTACTTACTTTCACCATGCAACACCTGGTCTTGGACCCAAGGTTGAAATCTACCAGAACAAAGACTATGGTCTCAACCAGCGAGACAAGGCCCTGGCAGGTCTTCACCACTTCAACAAGATTTTGGCAGATAAGGAGTTCATCACAGGAGAGTACTTGTCAATGGCTGACATTGCCTTGATTGGGGCTCTCATCTTCTTCCATCTCCTCAAGGTGGATATCCCCGAGGAGTGTGAGCATGTCTCGGCCTGGTTCAAAAAGATGCAGGAACGTCCAAGTGTGCAAGGACAGCTTGAGATGTTTGAAAGTCGTCGTGTGTAGTCCTGAGTACTGTGCATTAGAAGGACTTGTCCTTGTGTGTAATGTACATCTTGTACTTGTAGCAGCGAGAACTGTGTACACGATTCAAATGCCACACACTTTCAGGGGCAACGCCATGCGACCCAACCCGTTTTGTTTGTCGAGAGCATACGACGCAGTCTCATACACGACAGGAGACGTATTCATGATCTTCAAAGATCTTCATTGAGACCTTTCAATCAGCCAGCAACATCGTCCAGTCGGCTCGTCCTCTTTTGCAACGAAAAGCTGTCATCAACCAAGGGCCTCTTCACAAGCGTTTCAATATCTCAGCGCAAGGCAGTCAAGCAAATACTTGCCCTTCAATCAACAGTCATCTATTAAAGAAGTAATCAAATGGAACGTATTGAGCAGCGTATTGCGCAAGATGACGAGGCTCGTCGCTCACACAGTCTCGCTAGCCGTTCACCTAGTGCGCGTACAGGTGGGCGCTTGCAACAACAGCCATCCTTACCAGACTTATCGCGGCATTCTGAACAGCAGCAAAGTAGCGGGTGGCAGCGACCTCCCAAATCAGCCGGCTCTATCAAGCGTGTTCAGCACGACCAGGGTCCACCTGTCCCCCATCTGCCAGCTCATCCAGCTCTATCCTCCACAACAGCTGCCTCGCCGACTCCTTCCTTTTCAAGGCAGCTGAGCCAGTCTTCTGCAACACCCTCTGGACCTTGGCTTCAGCAACCATATACGCGACCATCGCAAACCTTTGTACCAGCAAGCCACGCCAGTCGACCACTCACGTCGATTTCTTCCCATTCAGCACGGGAGCATACTCAAACCTTTTTGCAACGCGGTGCACCTCTCTCTCAAGGTAATACTGGAGGAGCCTCGACACCTAGTCTTGCAGACGGTCTACGACTGCCTGAAGCACGAACCAATAAATTGGGTGTCATCTTACCAACTGGTGAATTCATTGCAGGCATCAGCGAGGAAGATTTGAATAAACCCCTCAATCAGTCTCCTGACTCGATTGCTGCCGGTAGTGACGCTGCTTTACGTTCTCGACAACAGGATTCAACGACTCTTGCAGTGCTAGATAGTACACGTGCTGCAAAACATCCTTCTTGGCAATTGAGTGCGATGCCTCATCCAGCATTACCACAAAGACCAACCATTCACATCCTGCGACATTTCGCAAAGGAACGTCGACGGGATGAGGAACTTCGACATAACCTCTCCAATGCTGGCGTCAAAAGACCTATCCTAATGTATCCGGGTGTGCGGTATGCTGTGATTGAGCAGCAACGGCGAGTACGCACCACTGGTTGGATTACAGCCCTTGCGCTGTTTCTCATGAGCCAATTGAATCCACATGGCGTGCCTTTCGCTTTTAGTCGTACGCTCGCTTTGCTGCATGGTTGAATTTGTGCTAACATCAGAATTGGGTATGGTGCCTGGAGCACTTGTTGTTGTTATCCTTGGTAGCATCACATGTTTGAGCTACTTTCTCCTCTCGCAAGCATTTCTCGAAGTGGATTCAGTACAGTATCCAGTCAAAACACTGCATATCCTCGCCCAACGCATCTTAGGTCGACCGATTGGCGCCTTGATTGGGGTTGCTCAGACGATTCAGCTATTGATGATTGCAAGCTCGCTCTTGCTATCCAGTAGTCGTCTCTTGTCACAACTCATCAATGGCGTCAATAGCGAAGGCTCAGCTGGCATCAAGCTTTGTTTCTCCATCATCTTACCCATCACAGTAGGTCTTGCACTCGTGTCTTCTTCCATTCGACGACTGAATCGCTATCTCGGCATCTCACATGCATTGGTCGTGGTTCTGGTTGCTACTTGTGCATGGATTTTATTGTCGGCACACCATTATGGCCCAGCACTTGCGAATGGCGCAGATTCTACAGTGCATGTCTTTGCTGTCTTCAATCGAACGACGAGTCTCAAGGAGAAGGTCAAAGCAGTCATGCAAATTGCATTTGCCTTTGGTGGCGGTATCGGCGTTGTTGAGACATTGAGTGAGGTACAGCATTCCTCAAGTGTATGGTTGACTTGCTGACGAGTAGATGAGACGACCGACTCAGTTCAAGCGTAGTTTGGCAATTGGTCAAGTCTTGACGGTTGTCGTGTACCTGATTTTTGGACCTGTATTGTACGCCATCTTGGGACAAAACACAATTTTGCGTAAGCCCTTTCATGTGTTGAAAGTATGCTGACCCGGTAGCATCGTATCTGGGTCTCTCTAATGCTGAACATGCGCGTATCGTCAAGGGCCTTACCCTATTGACCAATCTCGCAGGGACCGCATTTTTCGGCAACATTGGCGCGAAATTGTTGTATGTCAATTTGATTGATCGATTTGATGGACCCCTCTTGATCTCCAAGACAGGCAGAGCGGTCTTCTACGCCTTTGCAACATTATTCTGGGCGCTCTCATTCGTTATTGTGGCGATTGTGCCACAAGCTGGTGTTGTGATTCGTTTTACAACAACACTCCTCATCCTACCCTTTTCAGTGGCGATTCCTGTTGCTATCCATTTAGGACTTGTGATTCAGCGCGATGCAGCAAGTCTCGATGCATTCGATCCAGCGACCCTTCAAATCAAAGCGAATGATGCATGGATCGATGGATCTCGTTGGGAACGTGGATTGGCTCGAGCTTGGTATGTGAAAGTGCCACTCGCAGTGTTGGTTGTGTTGATGCTGTGTTTGGTTGGCTTGGGAGGTTGGGCGATGTGGTTTGAAGTGAGGGAGACGTTTGCATTGGGTGTGACGATGGCTATTGGCTGTAGTCCTCCAGCGGCGACCTTTTTCCACGCAATCCGGTGAAGAGCTCTTTCAACTGACTGTCGCAGCTGCTTGCACTTTACAATGATGGAGTCATCCCTTTACAATGCTTCATCTTAATTCTTGCTAGATTTTGTTAATTCTGTTGGACGTCGGGTGAAGTCTGTAAAAGAAATCATGATGGCAATGAGAGATTTGGGAGGAATGGGGTCTTGAATAGACTACTGAGTCTACCAAACAAGAACAATGCAAGAAATGCACAAAATGACTCTAGTCGTGGAGACGTGCACCAAGATGAACCGTTTGTGCAAGAATCCCACCCAGCGCTGCCAAATTGACGATTGAGCTCACGCTGTGCGCGATACCAAAGCGCAAATTCAACCTTGACATGTCTGGTGAGATGTCCGTATCTGTGTATTTTGTATTGGTAGAGCGTTCGAGCTTATGACGCTCATCCATGATTCGTGTTGTCCAGGGCCCGATCAGGAGCAAGTTGAGGAGACCCGATGTCGCCACAACAGAGAGGGCAACGACTTCATTCCACGTCGATGCCGGTGCGATGTAGCTTGTCCAGGCACAAAATGCACCCGTCACAGTCTGTAGCGTGAAGAAGGTTGGGAAGAGGCGCTTTTGGAGGGCGCCGAATTGTTGTCTGGGAAGGGTCTTGTAGGCGAGGGGTCCATTGATGAAGGTATGCCAGATGGTTGTGCCGCTGAGGATACCGTAGCTGAAGATGTGGAGTGTAGAGAGGGATGTAGCTTGACGGAGGTAGGGAGCGAGTGTGTCCATAGCTGTAGAGTCTAGCAGTAGTAGCAGTAGTAGCAGTAAGAGTAGTCTTTGCTGGTTGTGGTCGCGTCTTTGTCAGTTGAAGTTGGCGAGTGACGCAACAGCCAGGTACACAGACTATACAGTACATATAGTATATACCACTACAAGAGACAGCCAAGCAAGCAGCCATGTCAGACAAGAAGGAACAGCAGTTTGGTATCGACAAGACCATGATGCCCGAGCACGAGACAGAGTATGTCCTTCCATTCCCATAACAACAGTGCGCTAACATCGTCAAGCCCCAAACACACACACGGACCAGGTATGCCGGGATTGTTTGCGCAGAGGAGCGCATCGGGGGAGACTGTAGCTGTATCTATGAGGAAGCTACACTGCTCAGATCTGCTGCCATGCGCCCTCGCTACAGCCCTTGTAGCACCGTACTAACATTCCCAGTCGGCGGCGTGAGGCTCGACGAGGAGCAGGTGTCTACATTGGAGGCGCCCAAGACGAAGGAGGAGCTGAAGGAGGCAGCCAGGGAGCTGAACAAGTAGGCTGTCTCCCATATATCTGCAGTAGTCCACAGTGTATGTCCATGTCTCTCTCTCTTGTGTCTTGCTGGCGGCGGCTCCCTTCGTCTTCCCCCGCGTTTCGACACAGAGCAGGATACTTGATACTTGATACTTGATACTTGATACTCGATACAGTAGCGTAGTCTATCCAGCTAGACCAGGCCACCATGTCGCAAGCAGCAGACAACCAGAGCGACAACACCAACGCATCCAGCATCTTCCCCGTCGTCGCATCCACCATCGCAGAATCACCAAAACTCATCCAGTCCCTTTCGTACGACCCCATCCTGCTCAGTCTCTCTACAATTACGATGCTAATACATATAGCGGCTACTTCACCTTCATCGTCTCAAAGCCTCAGGAAAACGCATCCACGTACTACGCCCTCCTCAACGGCCAAAAGCAAGCTCCAGTCTTCTCCACTGAACCACCCATTGCCGCCATCAAACAACGCACACCCAACCTCAAGTCCTCTTCTACGTTTCGTAAACACAAAGTGCGCAAGCTACCAGCCTGTGTGATTTACATCAGTGACAAGGATCTCCTCGCGTGGGTCTCTGGTGGGCTGAGTACACGCAGGGGTATTGTCGGTGGTCGTATTCAAGTGCTGGGAGAAGTGGAACTTGCCTTTGAGGTGGAGAAGCTCTGGCAGGCAGCAGGCGGTGGCTCGAGGGTGCGTGAGTTTATGCATGAGCGACGGAGTGCATCAGAGACGGGGAGTGGCAGTAAGCTGTAGGGTGCAGCTGTTGCTCACTGTCCTCTTCTGTGTCTTTGCTTCTCATCTGTCCATGTGCTCTCCCTCTACTCCCTCTACTCTTCTCTACTCCAGCCGCTCCCCCAGCTAGTCCACCCCTCTACCCATCTACATGTATAGCAAAAGCACTCCTCCTCCTCCTCCTCCTCCTCGCCTTCCCATCTGACTCCCTGCTCACGTGCACTTGCATCCCCGAGTTGACATGCCCGACTTCCGACGACGAGAAAGAGACAAGAGACAAGAGACAGTAGACAATAAACCAGTCAGTAGCCCAGTCAACAGACTACCCATCATGTCCGTCAGATCCGCAGTCTCAAAGGTCGACTGGACACTCGTCACCTCAAAACTCGGACTCTCCCAGCAAACCCTCTCGCAACTCTCCTCCTTCCGCAAACGCAACACCGATGCCCGGGACAAGCTTGCCCTGCTTGAACAACAGCGCACAGAGGTGGACTTTTCACACTACCGTGGCTTGCTGAAGAATACCGCTGTGGTGGAGGAAATTGAGAAATCCTACAAATCCTTCAAACCAGCAACGGTGGATACAAAAGCACAACTCAAGGCAATCGATCAATTCGAGGCAAAAGCAGTGTCGAATGCGCAAGAGACGAGTAAGACCATTGAACAGGAACTCGGTGATCTCAAGGCAACTTTGGACAATATCTCCCAGGCACGCGACTTTGAGGAGTTGACGGTGGAGGATGTCATGAAGGCGCGTCCGGATATCCAAAAGAATGTCGAGACTATGGTCAAGAAGGGACGATGGGTGATTCCTGGCTACAACGACAAGTTTGGCTCCACGGTCATCATGTAAACGTGTGTGTGATGGAAAATAGAACAAGATATTCATCTACGTTTTCAAAAGCGAAATACACACCTTGACACATTCAATTCTCCTGCATCTGCTCAGCACGCCGCTTGAGAGCCTGCAAGTACCGTTGACCACGCATCTTGTTTGATCGCTGACCCAAATTCCCACTCGTGACACAATGAATCTTCATCAGCCTGTGATATCGCAGGCCAGGCAATAACTTGGGCGTAATCAAAAAGTACTGCGACAGGTTCTCACCCTCGCAGCTCGCCGCTACCATCCGTGCATGTACCAGCCGTTCATTGCGTGGATCCATACCTTGATTGATTTCATCCACAACCCGAAATGGTGCTGTAGTGAGACTTTGCAAAGCCATCAGGAAGAAGACGGTGGAGACAGCACGCTCACCACCTGATTGACGCGTTCCATTGAGCTTGCTGTATCCAGAAGATTCGTAAAACTCAACATACAACTCAAGTGCCCACTCCTTGTACGCATCATCAGGGCACTTGAGTTTGACATCACCACGACCCCTGATGGCTTTGAAGGAAGCAGAAAATTGCTTGTCAATATCACGCACCATAGCCTCCAGGTTTTGCTTGAAGGGTCCAGCAATGCGAGCAATGTTGGCCAATGCAGCTTCGCACATTTCCTGTTCCTCAATCACTTGCTTCTTGAGCGCATCAATCTGTGCCTGACGCGCCTCAAACTTTTCAACCGTATCGCCAGCTTGCACACTAATGTGCTGCAGCAAGGACTCTGCCTCATCAATCTTTTGTTCAATACTCTCTTGCGTTTCGCGCAAGTCAAAGTTGGACACAACCTCTCTTTGTTGCGGTGTCAATCGATCCAATAACTTGTGTGCATCATCTTGGATTTGACGCGCTTCAGCAACCATCTTACGATGCTGGTCCTTGAGTGTCGTCCATGCCTCTTCAGCCTGCTCGCATTGTATGAGCCTTGCACGCGTATGGTCTGTAAAGGCGCGTAGATTGGCTTGTGCTTGGAGGGCACTGGCCTGTCGCAGGACATTCTTCTCATTCATCTCAACAACCTCCAACACTGCTTTCTGTTTCATTAGCATCTTCTTTTGTTCTTGTCAGTAGCATACCTGAAGGAGCAAGGCCTGTTCGACCGCTCGAGCAGTGACTTCCACCTGCTCCGCCTTGATCTCTGCAATGGCCGACTGGTATGTCTCTGGAGCATGCTCCAACTCATCCAACATCTTCTTGCGATGCTCCAACGTCTCAAACATCTTATTCCATGTCTGCATTCGCGACTTGAGACGATCACGTTCTTTTGAAAGAGCAGCTTTCGCCTGATCAGACGCTTGACTTGCTTCCTTCAACTCATCGTATCGTGGACGCAGCGTTTCAATCTCAGCTTTGGCTTCTTCAATCGCAGCAGTCAACTCCCTAAGTTCCTGCTCAACAGCGCGTTTTCGAGCATCTTGATCACCCGACGTGCCGGTATGCCATTTTGATCTGTCTCCTGCAAACACCGGATCCGTTGCTGTTTGAAACTTACCATAATTACGCGTCACTCTTGTCTCATAGTTGCCACAGATGAAGCGGTCAAAGAGGGGTTTCCCGCCAGACTGTGCTTCTTGCACGGCTGTTTCTTGTGCTGCCGTCAAGGAGTTCGCTGCCAACGGGGTACGATGAATCTTGGCAGTATGACAGAGTGCATTGAGGAGCAAGTTGGGACCACGCAAACAATCAATCAAGTAACAGTCAAATCCGTACTTGCCAAGTTCTTCACGTGGCACTGGCAGTGGGTGACGCGCCACTGTTGGTGCAGTCGTCTCAGAGAACTCCACCACTTGCAAGTGTAAGCGTCTACCAGCGGCATTGCCATCCACGAGCAGTTCATTGAAGAGTCTGTAGTCCTTCTTGGACGCACAAACAAACATGGCTTGTGATCGTTGCAACGTGATACCAGCAATGACCTTGAATTGTGGATTGGCAATCTCAACATCGAGAAAGACAGGACCCGCAACAGGATGCTCAAACTTGTCCTTATTCTTGGCAAGCCATCTCGCAGCTTCTGCGGCATCACGATTGACGTTTTGCAGCATATTCAAGCGCTGTAATCTGACATCGCTAAACTTCTTGAGCTGCTCATACTTGTCATTCTTTTGCTGCTCGTTTCGCGAAATGTGTCGTTCGAGTTCTTTTATTTTCACGCTGAGCTCCTCAAACTCAGTCTTGGTATCGCGAATAGCTTCATTGGTGGCGACAATTTGTGCAATCACACCCCCAAGGTCTTCCTGGACGTCTGGCTTCTCACCAAGCTGACGCGTCGCTTTGGCAACTTCCTCTCGCATTTTCTTCTTCTTCTCAGCAAGACCTTTTTGTTTCGTTTGCTCTTGCTTGCGTCTGTTCTGTAGCAATTTCATGACATCCTCAATATCCTTGATTGGGTCTGCAAGACTGGCCACCTGCTTGGCCCTGTTGTCGTACTCGAGCTGCGATTTCTTGGCAATGCGAGAGGCTTTCCCAGCCATGTGCTCGAGTTCACCACGACGCTCTTCAAGCGGTGCAGCCTCATCACGAAGACGCTTGAGACGATCCCTAGCTTCAGTGACTTTGACCTTTAATATTTCCTTGTCACGCTTGATTTCCTCGTAGCGAATGAGAGGAAGTTGAAACTTGAGCAACTCGACCTTTCGCTCGAGCTCTTTACGCTCCAGGAATAGGTTGACGTCGTTCCGGGCAGAGGCCTGTTGACTCTCGAGTGTCTTGAGTGCCGCTTCATTCTGTTCCTTTACCTTTAACGAGGACTTGAGAAGATCCTGATCCTTCCAGAGCTTCTCCAGAACATCGGCTTGTGTGCCATCCCCAATAGTACGGAGCGTTTGAGGCAACAGCTCTTCCGGAGTCAAGCCAGAAAACTTCTTGACCTTGTCTTGTGGTAGAAATTGACACAAGTTGTCAATCTGTACGCGATACGAGTGCGCGAGATCCATGACAGCTTTGTGTGTTGTCTTTTTACCAGAAATGTGCCATTCAGTCTTACTCTTGTTGCCGTCGCCTGTACCGCGCGTCCAGTGTCGTCGAATCACCGGATCTTCTTCCTCATCCGTATGCGCCTTGAGCTCAATCTCAATCGTCGCCGCGTCACAACCGTGCCGCACCATACCTTCCACATCCGAACGACCCATCAAGTCCGCCTTGAAGCCAAGGCCAACACAGATGGCGGCCACCACACTTGATTTACCCGTTCCATTCGCACCAATCACCATATTGAGCGCAGGTGACAGGTGATACTCGCAGTCCTCATACGTCATGAAATTGATCATACGAATACGCTTGATGGCACCTGGTTTGAAGGGTGTTTGCGAAGCATTATAGATATGGGCTGCAATCGCGTCTTGTTGGGTGTCTGACATGCGTTGACGTTTGACGACTGGGAAGTTCAAACCAGAAACATCACTTGACATACTGCTGAGTGGCTCTGCCGAGCCTTGCGTACTGCTCACCTCCATGGTCTAGGGGGGAGGTGGTGTTGTGAAGGTCGACGCGCTCTCTGGTTAATTTTGTGTTTTGGCGCCGGACGCGAATTAGAGCAGACGCGACGACACCTATCCATGACTGTCATGATTGGAGACTTGGTTCTTGGGCCTCCGATCCTTTACTTTTACAGGCTACAGTACAGCGCCGAGGTAGAGTTGATGTCGTCGTCGACCACATTCCCGCGGTGAGTAGGGACAAGATCATCCTAGTTCAAAGAGGTAATAACGGCTCAGGCGTGATACCGGCTCAGGTGTGATACCACAATCGTTCGATAGACCTGGCATGATAACGACTGTACCATAGGAAGACAAATGAACTTCAATGACTTCGTTACTATATACTTTTTACGTGCCAAACCTACCTTTATAGCGAAGCACCAGGGAACTGGTTCGTAAAAGATTTGTCAAATTGCTGCAATTGAGGGCAAGCGACAGGAGCCTTCAAGTATTGGTTTGAGATGGCGTTCACTGCAGAGAGCAATGGGCCAGTCAAAGTCTTGAGTGAGTCTGCGAATGGCAATTGAGCAGCCTGGTACAAGTAGCAAGCGGCATTGTTGCCCTGTGCAAGCGTACCGGCGTTGTACAGACCGTTTGTAGCGTTGGTCAAGTCAAGACCGACATACGAATTGACAGTTCCTGTGTTGCCACCAACAGAGAGGATGCGAGGGTCTGCGGCAAAGATGCGAAGAGCATCAAGTGTGAAAGCTGTGATGGAGTATGGGTTGCTGATGGCGCGCTTGTACCAGTTGTCCGGAATACGCTCGTTGCCAGGCACAAACTTGAGGTTGGCGCCGTTGTTGTCTGGGGTGCCAGTCACCGACATGAACGACTGCAGCGTTGAGCGGGAAAGGAATCCATTGGGGTACTCGGCAGAGTGGTTGCTCATGAATGCCGAAATGAATGTGAAGGCAGCCTGTGAGACTTGAGCACCGGTGAAGGGACCGTAGAAGAAGTATGGGTTCTTCTGAATAGATTCAGTGAATCGTGCAGAGCGGAACTTGACGAGATCCTCAAACGTGTAGTTGGGATTCTCCTCACCAGCGTGGTAGTTGTAGAACTCCTTGAACTGCGAGAGCTGAAGGCCAAAGTTGTTGCCATTGAACTGGTAAAGATCTCCGCGCATGGGCGAACTGTCTGTCTCGTAGCGGTTGTGCGAGCCAGTCAGGCCCTGAGGCTTGATACCGACCAGGTTGCCGAGAGTAGCAGGAGGGGCTCCGCCAATGGACCACTTTTGGGTGAGAGGGTCACCGACCTGGAGCACAGAGTAGGCAGACAAGAAGCCGCCCAAGTCCAATCCCATACCGAAAACGGCGTTGGTGCCTTGGATGGCCTCAACAAGGTTGGTGACACCATCACGAGAGATGTAGCCGTGGTTGGCGGCAGCGTTGAGGCCCGGGCATGGACCACGAATATCACCACCTGGCTGACCCAGATTACGAGGAGCCTGGAAGGCGTGTGAGCCAGAGTTGCTAACAAATTGTGCTTGCGCGTTGAATTCTGTGGTAGGGAAACCGGTGTATGAGAGAGTCTGCCGCTTGGCAAGCTCTTCACCGGACATCTTGTTGTCCATCATCATCTTAGCAGCCATGTGAGGGAAGGCCGCAGCGCTTCCGAGGAAGGTGAGTGCTAGTGAACCGTGCATTGTCGTTGACTTCAAGAACTACACTTGTCGATGGGTTGCCAGAGCAGCAGAGAAGGCTCATTATATACTTGAACCCCGTACGTCGTTCGCCTCACAAGGGCCAAGACAACGCCACGCATCCACGCAGAAAACCGGGAAATACGGGGAAACGTATGATCAGCCGCTCATCATCGTGGCCATCGTCAAAGCATTGTCAATTTGTCCATAGAAGCTTCGTGACAAAAGTTGGTGTCGTGGAATAAAGTTTGAAACGTGCGCAGATCTCGCGTGTAATTCCTGGCAGCGCACTCACTCGATTGGCGGCAGCGGCTGCCCTGCTTTCGTTCGCAAACTTTATTGAAGGCTCCGTCCAATGAAACCTGTAGAAGAGCGACGATTACCAAAGAATAGAAGACTACCCCGGATTCTGAGGTGATTCCGACTCCCCGGCCTCCGAAGGGCAAGACAAAAGCGCATTCAAGCTTATGACATAAATGTCTTGCGGCTCTTGACACCTGAGTCTGTCACAAAGCTGCCTAGCAGTACCTTCCAAGTTGTGCCATTGAGGCTGCCACCTCTGGCACCCAAACCGGCTGGCACTTGAGCAGGCCGCCTGGGCTATTTGCAAACGGGGCAATCAAAACCCAGCACGGCATGCGAGCGAGCGCGCATCTTGAGTTCCTGAACATGTGGGCTGCAACTCTGGCGAGTAGCACACTATAAAATTCGACGATGCTCGGGGCTCACGAGCCTGGCTCTTGAGTATTGCCCTGGAGATAGTCCACCGTTTTGTGTGCGTATGCTATTGCCGTAGCAGTGGCAATGCTCAATGGAAATAGGACAGAGACATCAAGCGGCGTTCAAGCCTGTCGATTACGATTCGCGACTCCTGAGTCCTGATACCTACGGCGGAGGTAACTTGGCTGGCTTGAACGCAAAGTATGTAGCCAGCGCCCAGCGGAGCTTCCTTCATTTCCGAGTGGCAACATGGCAGGTGCTGACCTGACTGTGCAGTCTGTGCTGCCCCGTGCCTCAAATTGCCATCAACCATGTGCATCATAATAACCTTAGCGACCATCTACCTCGAGCTCAAGGTCAGGGCACCAATTTTGAACCACAATGATGTCAACCACAGAGCCTCTACTAAACCAAGACATGCATGTACGATATAGAGATATGGTGAGCTCACCCTGGAGCGACAGACTGGCCACAGCTTATAGTCCATACTCGAATGTCCGATAGTTGAGGTGAACGTAGCCTTTTCCAGGAGTCGCAGCCTCGCTGGCGCAATTCCTAGTAGCGTCAGCTTTAGAGGATTTCAGATGGAACAGATGAGTTCGGCCGGGACCATGTGCATACACTAAGAATAAGTAAAGAGATAGGAATTGGAAAAGTTACTGACTCGTAGGAGATAGAAGTAGTGTACAAAGATAAGTAAAAAGCTACTGGAACAGTGTCTGGAGCTGAGGGCAAACCACTGGAGCCGTCAGGTACTGGCCCACAATAGAGTTGACAGCAGTCAAAAGTGTGCCGACCAAGCCCTTGACAGCGTCTACACGTGCGATAGCAGCGGACTGGTACAAGAAGCAGACGGCGTTGTCTCCCTGAGAAAGGGTGGCCAAGTTCAAGACACCGCCAGGGAGGTTGGCGTTGTCGAGACCAGTGAAGCTGTTGACAGTGCCAGTGTTGGCACCAATGTTCAGTGTGCGTGGATCGTACTGAGCAACACGGAGAATATCGAGCGTAAAGGCAGGAATGCTGTAAGGATTGCTGATGGCACGCTTGTACCAGTTGTCGGGAATACGCTCGTTACCCTCGACGTATCGGAGATTGGCACCGTTGTTGTCAGGAGATCCGACGACCGACATGAATGACTGCAGCACTTCACGGGTCAGGAAACCATTGGGGAGCTCAGCAGAGTGGTTCGACATGAATGCTGGGATGAAGGTGAAGGCAGCCTGCGAAACCTGAGCACCGCTGAATGGACCATAGTAGAAGTATGGGTTCTGCGTGAGCGACTGAGTGTACCTAGCCTTGCGGAACTTGAGAATGTCTGCGAAGGTGTAGTATGGGTCGTTCTCGCCGGCGTGGTAGTTGTAGAACTCCTTGAACTGCGAAAGCTGAAGGCGGTAGTTGTCGCCTTTGTACAGGTACAAGTCACCACGCATAGGAGAGCTGTCAGTCTCGTATTTGTTGTGCGAGCCGGTCAAACCTTGAGGGTTGAGACCAAGGACTGCACCAAGACCAGATGTGCTTGGTGCTCCACCAATTGACCACTTTTGTGTGATAGGATCTCCATCCTGGAGGACAGAGTATGCCGATAGGAAGCCACCCAAGTCCAAGCCCATACCAAAGACAGCGTTGGTGCCTTGGATGGCCTCAACAAGGTTGGTGACACCATCACGAGAGATGTAGCCGTGGTTGGCAGCGGCATTGAGACCCGGGCAAGGCCCACGAATGTCACCACCGGGCTGACCGAGGTTACGAGGAGCCTGGAAGGCATTTGCACCAGTGTTGCTGACAAGCTGTGCCTGGGCGTTGAACTCAGTTGTTGGCAAGCCGGTGAAGTCGAGGTCGCGCTTCTGCAGATCAAGGGACCGCTTGGCAAGATCTTCAACAGAGAGTTTGTTTTCCATCATCATCTTAGTGGCCATGTGAGGGAAGGCCGCAGCACCGGCAACCAGCGAGGCGAGAGCAATAGTACCGTGCATGATGTTTGATGTCGGTAAACAGCGAGAGATGCCTTTCTCAACATGGCAAAGGTCCCCTATTTAAGCTTTTAAGCTTAAACAATGAATCCAGCATACCAGCTAGAATCGCGAGGGGTCAGGAGTCAGGACTTGGAAGTTGGAACTCCTACAGATGCCGAACTCTCAAAGCTGGTATGGGCCGCATGGCTAGTGCATTGGCTTAGTTTGGCTAGCGACCACCCGGGACCCCGCGTTGGAGGCGCTTTTCTGTCAGCTTGTCAAAATAGATCTGACCAACAGGCTGTCAGCTTATTCGCGGCAGCTTGAGTAAGCTTTGGCTCGTATGAATCTGTATCGCATTTCAAAGATTGAAGTCTGGGGAAAAGCCATTGCGGGCTTGGCAATGAAACAGCTTCTTGAATGTTTTGAGCGCGGACGGTAAGACCAACACTTCAGAGTCAAGACTCAAGAGTGCCACAACTTGCCACAAGACTCGCAAGAGGTGATGCAGATGAATCATAGACGTGAGCTGAGGGGCTATGGTTGCAATCTTGAGCTTCAACTTGACAGACCGTGACTTTCCTAGGTCAGGCCGTGACTCCTTGGGAAGGCTATTTCACAGTCTGTATGGCGCCATCCGACCGCCGTACATAATCTGTCATGACTCATGGGGATCGATGAGTTTGTTCTTCGTTCGTTCACTGTGATGGCATTCGGGTTCAAGTTCCATTCTATGGATACAGATGCAGTCTCTCAATGCAGACTGTGGGGTGGCGGACGGAAATGACGGCAACTGCCCGTCAAAATGCCATGTGCCAATTTTGTCAGTGCAGATCTGCAGATTCTTATTCGACGACCGCTAAAGAACCTTGAGTTTATCGGCGTTTACATTAACTTGACCTGCCAACTTGCCAAGCAGGCCCAAGCCAGCGCTAAGCGCATACAGAGTGCGACGCGATTGGCAAGAGACTCCTTCTATTGCCAACCTTCCATTCTAAGTCGAACCTTGACTGACTCAAGGGAGTCAGGGAGTACTTGCAAGTTGCATCTTCAAGCGCAAAGTTAGTTGCCACTGAGTTCTTGCCACTTCTTGGACCCCAGACACAGAGACAGAGTACGTGTCGCCAGGGACCGACCTGCCACTGGCCTACTGCCAAATTCCAACATCTATACAATGCAAAGTGACTTGACTCGACCTGACGTGTCAGTGACGCCCCGTTGTCAGATGTTGATCATTGGCATTCTCACTTTCTCACTATTCGCATGACATGCACATGATAGACATCGGGTTACACCTTGTCCGAGTGCGACTTCATCGTCGGCGTTGTCCCCAGCTGAGCCCTCGCCCCTGCTCTCTGGGTAATGGCTAGTGGCTAGTGTCACTGGCTACGTACTCAACAGAGAGTCAGTGATGGCAGCAGCGCATCCCAGAGCTCGAGCGCCGAAAGCAGTTCGATATTGCTTTGATTACAGCTTCAAAGACCCGAACCAAGCCTAAACGCCTGTTGTGCCCTTTCGGTGGCCTCGTTTTAGCACTGTACATGCATTGCCCTGAAAGTGTATGACGACTGCACAATAGCATCCAGATGATAGGCAACGCTATCAGGATCTTACAAACTTCTGATCAGTGATGATGTGCCCGTTCCTTCGAGTTGACGTCACTGCATGTTGACCTGGAGCCCTTCCCTTGTCCATCTCAAGCCTCTATACTAAGCCTCCGTATACGGCCTGCGATCACGGCTACGACTTACCAGCCTGAGCAGTACCGGCCCAGCTGAGCAGATCTTCAGTTCCCGTGGCTGTTTCAGGGGGAAGCGTTCAGATGGCATCCCAGAAAAGCGCCGCTGCAGCTGAAACAGAAACTGTCTGGATCCCAAGACGATACCCCAACACTGTTGCAACAGTTGCAGTTACACCCGCGCAACGCTGAAGATGTGAAACGTTTGATTTGCAGTAGCTCTGACAACTACAAAAGGAGTCTTCGCAGTCCTCTGAACCAGCGCTCGACAAGTCATGAAATTCTCATTAGCTCTACTGCTGACATTTGCTGCCTCCATTTCTGCTCATGCAGTAATTCTCCAAGCTTCTGGCGAGGGTGATAAGGTCTCCAAAGGCTTCCAAGTCAGAGAAGATGTGTCTCGTGAGGGCACTGGAAGGGCTGCACAAGTCGACACATCGATCATCAGGGCCGGCGAGCAAGCCTCTGGACTAGCTGGATCTTGTGGACGCACAAACGCTGACGGTCCAATCAATGTCCAAGAAGAAATGCGCAAGGCGGCTCAGAGGACTTCACTGGCTGAAGTTAGAGCAGGAGGCGAAATCACGATGACCACGCACGTCGGTACGAAAGCTTCAAGACATGTTGTGTGATTAAACTGACATTAGTGAACGGAGATGGCCGTGGACCCTTCACTTGCCAGGCAAGTGCAGATGATGGTGCTTCATGGACAGATATGGTGGTCACTACGAACGTGCCAGGGTATGACACCCAATCTGAAGTGTATGCTGACTAGAAAGTGGACGAATTCGCGCTACGGATTTTCCCCTGAAGGCAAGAGTTCCGGCATCAATGACTGGCAACGCCCAGGGCCTCATGACCGTTCGTTGCATGAACAGCGCCCGTGCTGGTAAGCTCGTTCAACAGATGATTCATTTGCTAACGCACAAGGTCCGTTCGGTGGCTGTGTCGCAGCTCGGATTGTAGCATGATTTGCTTGTGATTGCTGACTGGTCACAGCGAGCTCGCCTTTCGTACACGTTCTTGTTGCTTTGATTCAAAATGGATGGATCAGATTGATAGTCATGAAGATTGCTTTTACAGTGCTATGATGCGATACTACGATACTTGCCTAAAGGCTAGCTCCAGGGAACTGAGCCGTGATTGAAGGGTCGTACTGCTGAATCTGTGGGCATCCAACAGGAAGCTTGAGCGAGTCGCCGAGCAACGAGTTGAGAGTGCTGATGACTGGGCCAGTAACACCCTTGGCAGCGTCGAGAAGAGCCAGCTGGAGGGTCTGGTAGATGAAGCATGAGAGGTCATTGCCTTGGAGAAGGTCACCGGCGTTGGCAAGACCGCCAGCAGGGTCAGCACGGTTGACACCAGTGTATGTGTTGACCTTGCCGAGATTGCCACCAACGCTGAGGACGCGAGGCTCCACCTGTCCGACACGCAGAATGTCAAGGATAAAGAGAGGAATACTGTAAGGAATGAGACCCGATCGCTTGTACCAGTTGTCTGGGATACGCTCGTTACCCTCGACGTACTGAAGGTTGGCGCCATTGTTGTCGGGAGATCCAACAACAGACATGAAGGACTGCAGCACTTCACGAGAGAGGAAACCGTTGGGGTACTCAGCTGAGTGGTTGGACATGAAGGCTGGGATGAAGGTGAAAGCAGCCTGCGAGACGGCAATACCAGTAAAGGCGCCGTAGTAGAAGTAGGGGTTCTTGTCAATGGACTCTTGGAATCGAACCTTGCGGAACGCTGCAATGTCCTCGAAGCTGTAGGTGGGGTTGGTCTGGCCAGCCTTGGTGTTGTAAAACTCCTTGAACTGCGACATTTGCAGACGGAAATTGTCACCATTGAACTGGTACAAGTCACCACGCATAGGTGAGCTGTCGGTCTCGTATTTATTGTGCGAGCCAGTAAGTCCCTGAGGCTTGACACCCAGAAGACCGCCGAGTCCGGCAGGAGGTGCTCCACCGATAGACCACTTCTGAGTCAATGGGTCGCCGTCAGAAAGGACCGAGTAGATAGAAAGGAATCCTCCGAGATCACGGCCCATGTTGAACACAGCGTTGGTACCGTCAATGGCCTCCTGAAGGTTGGTGACACCGTCACGGGAGATGTAACCGTGGTTTGCAGCAGCATTGAGGCCCGGGCAAGGACCACGAATGTCACCACCGGGCTGTCCAAGGTTGCGAGGAGCCCGGAATGCGTGAATGCCACTGTTGCTGACGAATTGGCTCTTGGCGTCGAAGGTGGTGGTTGGGACACCAGTGAAGGACTGACGCTTGTCAAGACCAAGGGCAGCAGCGTCGACCGATCGCTTTGCGAGATCTTCGGCGCTGAGTGCATTCTCAGTCATCATCTTGAGAGCCATGTGAGGGAAGGCCGCCACTCCGGTGAGGAGGGTAGCAAGCTGAAGTGTTCCGTGCATATTTGTGTAGGGTGTTTCTTGCCAGATTTCGAAGGGCTACCAGTGTCCTTATATGTTCTTCCCCAGACTCCCCGGGCTTCGTTTGCTTGCCTTGTTGGTCATAGAGTTGGTCGTTGTCGAGCTTAGCGGGTGTTGCTTAGCCGTCCAGGGTTTGTGGAACCGTTTGACGCGAGTGACACCGATCTACTTGTCCACATTCATGGGCGGGAGAAGCATGGGAAACATTGGCAAACCCCAGATTTTCTCATCTTGCTGATTCTTGCAGCACGGGCGTCTGCTGATCTTTGTGCGACCTTAATGGCATTTGAGTTTGACGGCCAATGAGCTGGGGTCCATTTCTGTCACTGACCTCAGCCGCCACAACGTGGAACTTTCCGCTTTTCTAGAAATGCAATTCATGATCACATCTGAGTCAATGACGGTCAAAGTTGAGCCGTCATGCGAGCATCGTGGCAGTCGCCACAGTTGCAAGCAACAGACCATTGCCCAAGTTGGCGCTCTTAGTCGATACTGGTACTACTTGCAAGATCAGAAATGGGAACACAGCCCAAGTTTGACTGTGTTGCTGATCGAGTGGCAAGAGTACTGATGTAGAACCCGGTCAGTGGCATCTATAGATACAGCACCGCATTATTGTATATGTGTTACACTGTTAGTAGTAGAGGTGCTGCAGCGTTTCGCGAGAGCGAAGCTTACTTCCCAACCCTGTAGCTGTAGCCCGAAGGGTTTGAGGCTGTAGCCACAGTGTAGCCTGTGTAGGGCCCGTGTCCAGTACCACCACTCCACCAGACGTAGCAGTACGTCCAGACGGTCCAGTATAGGAGTAACTGCATCATTTCAAGGTCAAGGCAATGACGTCGAAACTTGGTTCACCTCAAATAAGCTTGAAATAAGAGTCGGGTCTGTTAACGCCACGAGGCAAACGTAAGCCCGCGTCGTCGAAACTCAACACCAAGTCGACAGTCACTTGACCGCCTGCGGGCTGACCTAGCTATGGAGTCCTAGACATTAATATACATGTCATTGCATCGCGCGAACTATCGCAGGTGAGTAGCATACTAGCAATGCCACGCCATGTACATCTGCAGTCTGAGAATGCTTCGAATAATTTCTAATGCAAAGACGCTTGCACACCGTTTCTCATCGAGCTAGCTTGACCTTTCGCTATACATACACGACAGGCTAGCTGCTCACATCCAAGCCCATAATGTACAGACGTTGCAGCCTGGGTCGCTTGTGGTGGACTGCGAATAGACTACTTAGTATGGATGGTCTTGTGCACACGACCACGTGACGCACGTTCTTCCAGAGCGCAAAAAATGGTACGGGTGATTTGAGACGGCATCAATCATAATCATACTTTGCTCTAGGCTAGTCTATCGTTAAATCTGTTGGAAGCACAATGCCTCAGGTCCTTTTGTGAGAAGGTCGGACACTGACACGCCCAGATCGTGTCGTCAGCGCTGCGAGGGGTACCTCAACTGCAGTTGTTGCTGCAACAGAGCGAGCCGCTGTATCACCGTTTTTGGTGCGTAATGCAAACCTTTTGCCGGCTTGACTTGGCTTAGACTCCAAATCAGCTTCTTTCTGCGCCTGTTTGGCAGCCTTAGCGGCCTTCTTTGCAGCGCTCGCCGCATTGCGAGCAATAATAGCTGCTGCACGCGCCTCGCGTCTCTGCTGGATTTGAGGTTCCTTGTCAGCCTTTTTCTGAGCTACTGCTTCCTTACGGGCTGCCGTGATCGCCTGCTGCTGTCGCTTGACTTCCTCTCGCTGCTCTAAAAGTTCCCGCCTCAGCTCGGCAGTCTCGTCGTCCATGAACACGCCGGGCTGACTTTGAACAGCTCCCATTTGCTCGATGACGGTCAAGGCCCTCTGCCTTGATCGTGTCTTCTCGCTATTAGCCTTCTCAAGCTGCTCAATCCTGGCAAGCATTGCCGTGTGATTGGCTAAAAGCTTTGTGTAATGGTAGCCAAGGTATTTGAAAGCTTTTCGCTGGCCAGGCGAGCATCCTGCAGACACCCGATTCACGAAGGAACGAATCTTGTGAGCCTTGGAGAAGGTCCCGTAGCCTGTCGCGGGTCGTGCGCTATGAAGATGCTGAGGCTCGCGAGCGACGATTGGAGTTCGAGGTTCCCACGTCTTGTTGCTTGTCGCAGAGTCCGCCTTGTGACGCGCCATAAACCGCGTGACCCAGTGTTGTCCGAGCTGGCGTCCAGCGAGTGTCGACGCGAAATCCATCACCATCGATGGCCGAGGCGGAACGCCTTGATCGGTCAGTTCTGCAATCCAGTCAAGCACGCATTTTTCTTCGTGTTTGTTGAGCGCCTGCATGTTCTCAAGCTTGACCCTCATGGAGGTAGTCTTGCCGCGGAATTGGCACGAGAGAGCTGATCGACCTACGTCATACTTTCTAGCTATGGCTGCTAGATTAGGCTTGTCTGTAGCATACGCCTCTGCAAGGGCGAGCTCCATCGTGCCCTCAGCTGCAGCTGTAGTGATAATGCGTATGTCATTAATACGCGTTGTTTACGTTTTTGAATTTCGTGCGTTTCGTGGTCGTTTGCGCCAGACTGTCCATACTTCTACAGCACGTCGACACTCGACAGCGGCAGACGCGAGACATCTGTTCGGCTGGTCGGGCTCGGTATTCTTCTGCGCGAATGTGGCCCAGCTGCAGTGCAATCAGCTTGAGCACGGCACAACCGCGCCGTAAGCAATAGCCTACAAAAAGGTCAGCATGTCGTTCAGCCTCAATGACTTAGCTACAAACAACTATATAGTGCTCGGCCCAGGGCTCTAAAGCTTTGATCCTGGGAATTGAGCAACAATAGAAGGGTCGTATTGCTGAATCTGAGGACAAGCGGCAGGCACCTTGAGGTAAGTGGTTGCAAGCGAGTTCACAGCTGCAAGAAGAGGACCGGTAAGCTGCTTGAGAGGATCAAGCAAAACAATCTGAGCGTTCTGGTAGAGGAAACAGGCAAGATTGTTGCCCTGTGTCAGATCACCAGCATTCGCAAGGCCACCAGCAGGGTCAGCACGATTGACACCAGTGTACGTGTTGACCTTGCCGAGATTGCCACCGACGCTGAGAATGCGAGGTTCAACCTGGCCGACACGTAGGGCATCAGCCAGGAACAACGGGACGGAGTACTTGACGTCTGCAGCGCGCTTGTACCAGTTGTCCGGGATGCGCTCATTGCCCTCGACGTATCGAAGGTTAGCACCGTTGTTGTCAGGGGATCCGACAACGGACATGAAGGACTGCATCACTTCACGCGAAAGGAATCCATTGGGCAGCTCAGCCGAGTGGTTCGACATGAATGCTGGGATGAAGGTGAAAGCAGCCTGCGAGACGGCAATACCAGTGAATGGACCATAGAAGAAGTAAGGGTTCTCGTCGATTGACTGTTGGAATCGCACTTTGCGGAAAGCTGCAATGTCATCAAATGTGTAGCTCGGGTTGACCTCTCCTGCCTTGGTGTTGTAGAAGGCCTTGAACTGCGAGAGCTGCAAGCGGTAATTGTCACCGTTGTATTGGTAGAGGTCACCACGCATCGGCGAACTGTCGGTCTCGTACTTGTTGTGCGAGCCAGTAAGGCCTTGAGGCTTGACACCAAGCACGGCACTGACGCCAGACGTGCCGGGAGGCCCACCGATTGACCACTTCTGAGTCAAAGGGTCTCCGTCCGAGATGACCGAATAGGCGGAGAGGAAGCCAGAGAGATCATTGTTCATGTTGAACACAGCCTCGGTACCATCGATAGCCTCCTGAAGGTTGGTCACACCGTCACGAGAGATGTAGCCATGGTTGGCTGCTGCATTGAGACCTGGGCATGGTCCACGGATGTCACCACCAGGTTGACCGAGGTTGCGTGGGGCTTGGAATGCGTGAACACCGGTGTTGCTAACAAGCTGTGCAGCTGCATCGAAGGTCGTTGTGATTCTGCCAGTGTAGGACACCTCGCGCTTGTCAAGGCCACGCTTAGCAAGATCCTCAGCGCTGAGAGCGTTCTCAGTCATCATCTTCAGCGCCATGTGAGGGAAGGCGGCCGCTCCCGTAAGGAGCGCAGCAAGTTGAAGGGTGCCGTGCATTGTGCTGTTTGAAATCCTGTCACTGGTGAACCACATCAAGGGGCCATCAGCAGTTCTTATAGACTTGCGCAAACTAGAGAATCCTGATCATGGCCGTCCTGGACTGACATTTCACAACTCGTGGAGTCGTGGTGCACCGCCCCGGGTTACCGATGAGGATCTGAAATGCTGAATGAACCGACGTGCCATTCTTACTAGTCACCACTCGTTGATGTCGTAGAAAGTTGTCATGATCGACGTTGTGCTGTGCCGAAGTGCGGGTCAGCTCAACGCTGACTGGTCTGTCAAAAATAAAGTTTTAGGTTGACAGGTGGCGTCATCAAATAAGCTTTAGCGCAGCCTTCTGCTTGGTTCTTTTCAGAAGGGGGCCGGGGTCAAGACTCAAGAGTGAAGTTAAGGCTAAGCCTTACGCAGCTGTCGCGTCGTCGTCGACCGCCCCGCAGTTTTCACCCGATGCTAAGCTGACAGTCTTACCAGTCAGTCAGAACCGGTGTGGAATCATGGGACTGTCTCTCAGCTTGGTTGTGCAGCCTAGGCTAGAAGACAGCCAGACTAGCTAGCCCTTGGACCTTGCAAAGAAGTCATGTTAGATCACTGACCGAGCGACCTTGGAGATTTGGGAGCTCCAGGCCATGGCCACAGGTGGTGCATTCGATCAATCAAATCTTAGTGGTGACACAGGGGTGGCACTTGTCGAACAAGGAGCTTTTCGCAGACCCGATCCGGGGTAGCCGTGCCAGCCTCAGCTGTAAGGTGTCTACTGTTCAGAGTCTTCAGACTCCATGGCCATCATTCCCAGCTGCTTCACTACTTTTTGAAAGGTCTTCAATTTGCAAGCAACCCCTGGGCGATCTCCAAAAAATTGCACGCGATGAAGCCCGCAAGTCACTCTTATCATCTTATGAAATCCAAGCACTTGATTGTCAGAGCACTGCGAGCAGCGTGAAGTCTTCAGCTTGTAGTGCGATGTTGGCGTAAGTCTACTAGTGGCATCTAGAGTCTCGACTTTGGCTAATGAGTCTGTGCATGTATACACAGTGCACTGCACGGCTTCTGTAGCTGAGGCTGAGGACCGGTGACCGCATGCGGGGAATATTGAATACATCGTTAGCGATTCGTTGGGTTGTCGCCGAACTTGCGACTCGCTAGGACTCAGCCTAGTAGCCAGTGAGCCGATTACATGCCATCAAACCCGTGACAGAGCGTGGAAGATGGACGATGGGCGGCGTCAGCGTGGCCCGGGTGACGGATCGCGCTTCAAATTCAACGGTGCAGCGGCACGCAAAATCCGGGGCCGCTCCTCGTGCTTCCAAGGATTTGTGCGAATTGGACAGCAGAGTTGCTGAAAAGCACATGTCCCGCGGAGTGCTCAATCTAAATCACATCATCAGTGAATGTAGCGGCTCTGTAGCCAAAGGCCGGTCGATGGCAGTGCGGCATGGCATTGACCGTGACAGAGGAGTCAGAAGAATCTGCAGAGGTAGGCCAGTACACAGATTCGAGACTTGCAAAGTGCAAACAGGATACATTTTTTCGTCTACGGAAACCGCAAGACATCGAGACATGTCGCCTCCTGCGAATCCTGTCTGCAAATGCATGGCCCTTGCATGATATCTGACAATTGGCTTCCACCTCTCCGGAGCTCCGTTGCTCTAGTCCCTGATAGCAGTGATTGACTGGAAGCGGCCTTGACTATGTTGACTGGTGCAAAGCTCGAACTGACATGCTGACATGGACATCTTCGCGTGTAATTCTAGAACTTTTCATCTGACGGCTCCCGGACGCGACATATTGACGATGTGGACAGCTGTCTAACCTTCCCTCTTTGTGCGTATGGTTCAGTACCTCCACTTCGAGCGACCTGCGGTCTTGTAGTTGCACACTTCAGACGTTAGAACCAGAAAGCTTCTAGAGATGTTCTTTGTCTTGCAGCACAACCACATCAGAGCCGACTGGCTTCTTACCACACGACCAGGTAGAATCTTTCAGCATTTCGTGAATGGTGCATGCGTATCATGCACATGTTGCGCCTGACAATTCTAGCATTAGCAACGCGCCCACAACAGATGTGACCTCACATAATGAACGACAGCGCCGTCTGGGAAAGCTGCCAAGACGCTTCCACCTACTCGCTTGTGACATGCGGCACAGACTTTGTCTGCCGTAATAGTGAAAGCCTTTTGCTTCCTTTCAATGACACGCAGTTGGATGGAAAGCATAGCTGAACGTCGAAGTGTCTGTTCAACAAGGGATGCGTAACGTTGCGTTTGAGAGTCGCGTAATCTAGTGGTCAAAAATGAGCGAATGTCAGAGATGGCGATATCTGGAGGCAGCTGAGAAAGCACAGCTTCCACGTTGAGGCGTGGGCCATGCCGCTCCAGTATCTGCAGAGCAGCTTGGAGCTGCGGTGGTTTATCGGAAAGGTAGAGTTGCAGCAAGACTTCAAAGACGTTCGGATAGCGATTGAGCTGTCGCTCCGCAAAGGCTTGCGTTTTGGCTTCATCCTTGACCTTGTTGACATAAATTTCCAGACTGCCCTTGAGGTTGCCCATGTCAGCCAGGCAAAAGGCTCTACACTCTGCGAAATCAGCCTTCTCTGGCAGCATTTTGTACAATCGAGCAGCCGATGCGCCATTGCTGTCTGACTCAATAAACTGTTGAAGCGTGATGACTTGATCTGTCTCGATGTACAGAGCTGCGAGATCTTCTGAGAACTGTGGACTCGTGTCTCCAAGCCCAATGACAACGTGCTCGAGATAGCGGATTGCAAGCTTTGTATCACAGTTTTTCATGAAGTGGACCACTGCACGGCGGTCAAAGGTTGCAGATTCTTGTGAAGCGTCTGTGAAAATGTCAAGCGCGTCTGGATCACTCTTGAGCAGCCAGGGTGCATACTCAGTGATAACGCCCCAGTCTTTAGCATCCAGTCTTTGAATGTACTGAATGCCAGCGTCGACAGCACCACGCTCTCGTAACAATGCAAGCGCCAGGCCATGTAGTTGCTTCCCATAGTAAAAGTCAACTAATTCTCTCCAGCGATCTTCTTTGGCGAGGTAGTCCTTGACGACAGCTGGATCGCAACGATTTGCCAATCGTACAAGACTGCCGACCAGACCTGGCGAATGCTGTATATAGAGTTTGAGAAGCGCAGTATCCGCTAGACCTAGCTCTGTTTCCATTTCATCGACAGTAAGACGTCTTGCATCAGGCCATGTCGTGAAGTATTGATCGGCAGAATCTGCTGCAGGCGGGTTAGGAATGTAGCGACTGAGAATCCGACGTGTTCGGGCGAGATAGGCCGAGAGCGCACGATTCGCTTCCGCTGAAATGACTGTAGACGCGTCGCCGTGCTCTGGATCTTCGGTCACTTTCTGCACATCATCTGTGGTTTCGCTTGTAACGGTGCCAGTCCCGTCTGCTTCGTCGACAGCCGATGCCGATGGCTCGTTCGCAGGCTGATCTGTAGGGAACAGAGCGATGACGCTGGAGGGCGGCGTCCAGCATTCGCCAAAGAGGTCCATACTTTCCTCGTATCTGCCTTGCTCAAATAATTGTCGAGCCTTGAGATCTTTGACGCGACGGATGGATGCTTCCTTGTTATCCTCCAGAAGCACAGATTCAAGTACATCAAGCAACGACAGCGCTTCATCTAATTGTCCGGTGAAGATGAGCTCCTCCACTTGACTTAAGTATGGTGTCGCCACAAAGCGATAGACGGTCGTTGATGTCGCTGCAAAAAGACACTTGCCGTCATTGAGAACTTGTACACCTTGAACATCAAAAGTCTGCAGCAGGCTGCCACTTTGAGCATTCCGAACCTCTAGCCGAGTTTTGAGCACAACAATCAGGAACGGATATGTGTAACCAATGAACTCAGGCGCTGTGGCCCATTTGATTGGCTTGATTGGCAAGACGTTGCAATCCTTGTCGATGAAAGCGCTTGTCACGTCGCGTACAATGAGCAGTTGCTCTTTGGTACGCACCAGCATAGGTTTTGGCGTTCGAGAACCAAGATATCCCATAGTCGTCGAGACACTGCCTGTACCGAGGGATGGGGCCCCGACTGCCTCCACTACAGCGTCACCTTCCTTGCCGCTGATGTTGACACTCACAAAGTCGCTAGTCATACCGACCACAAGCATGTCGCCAGAAAGGAATTCTGCAACCTTCGCACGATCAGGACAGCTGTAGTGGCGTTCGCCGTCAAACTCACTGTCTAGCCAGGTGAAGAGTAGAACTTGTCGCTTTACACATACAGCCACTTGTGTCTTCAGCACAGGGATGCCCGAGTCATGATCCACAGTAGAGTAAACAGCAAAGGATACGGCGCCTTTTGTTGAGGCAAGCTTTTGAGAGAGTGAAAGGGTTGAGAGCGAGTAGATGCTCAGGTAGTTGTCCACCAACACGAGTAACAAGCCCGTCTCTTTGACTGCATGCATTTGAATCGGCTTGCTCTTGCAGAAATGTTTGAGCGCTTGCAATACCTGAACAGTCTTGTATGGCGCATCCGTATTCGCTTCTTCGACTTTTTCTGAGACGTCGCCAATCTGGTAGTGTGTCAACGTCAACTGCGCGTCGCAGATGAGCAGCTTGTTGGCATAGGCGTGGAGAGCGACGATTGGCTTCTGCGTCGTAAGCGCCACCTCTGCATCGAAGGCGCCGTGCATTCGGCCAAGCCCTCGGGCTTAGGCTCCTCTACAAGTATAGCGGGAAGAGGTGAATAGCAAGTTGCATTCAGTCAGTCGGTCTGATCTTGTTCCTTGACGTAGATGATATAAAACAGTCACGATCGTAAATTTACAAGCTACATCAACTTGAATGCATGAAAGAGGGTCTCAGCAGGTGTACCAAAGCCTCTCGTTTTGCGAACGGCATAAGAGAACTCCGAACCACGAATGATACCAACGACCGCCTTTGTCTCTTGCGACAGGATTGGCCCACCACTTGAACCGGCTACGGGCTCGCCTGTAAAGAGGACTGAATTGAGCGTATCATAGGTCCCCGTTTGCGCCTCTCGACCACTGCGATCTTGATAGACTGTGACTTGTGAGGCACTCCACGCTCTACTGATGCGCAGACCAGACTTACTCGACCCTGCAACATGACTGCTGGGCACTAGTTTTGCTTGACCTTGAGAAAAGACATGCAGAGCAGTCTCTTGCGGTACAGGATACGGATCCACACGAAGGCCCTTCAAACCAGACTCCTTTGGCACTGACAAAACGACCAGGTCTGCATTGACGAGATGGGATGCAACGCCTGTGATGGGTAGAATGCGACCGTCGTGTGTGATGGCTACTGTACGCGCAGCTTTGCGATTACCTTGCTGTTCACGCGCATCGTAGGAGCGACAATGGCTATCAATTTGATGGAAGGGATGAGCGCACGAAACAATCATCTCTCCATCCAGAATGGCAAATCCGCTTGCGAGAACGACTTGCGCTGACTTACCAAGACGTGCAGGAAGAATATGTGCAAGCGTCACCACACTTTCGCCGATTGTCTCAAGTGTTGCCTTGTTGCCTCCGTTGCCATTCGGCAATACATGAGGTATCTCCATGCCAGCTTGACGATCTAAATCCAGAAGCAATTGATCGAGTGGACGCGCATGCTGCATATCCGCCTTATCAGCCAAGACGTGATCTGACAAGAAGCGATGCACAGGATCATCTGTCGCAATCATAACAGGATCAAGCTCCTGCTTGCGCCCAAACGCAGAAGCCAGTTGGCCTTGTGCAGCGGCTGCATTATTGATTTCCGCGAGCGCATTAGAGATGGGCGTGGGTGTGCGCCTGCCTGAGCCAACACCAATGGCCTCATACGATGTTTGAGGAGACGGCGCAGAAGGTGGCGGCTGATTCAGAATGCCACCTACTGCGCGCGCGTAGGAGCGCGAAGAGGGTCTGAGCCTGATGGAAGCTGCGCGTAGAGATTTATTCATTGCAGTCTAGGCGGGCCGCGATATCTTTGGCAAGTCAGGTCGCGTCCTGGCGATGAAGTTGTTTTATCTATAGTGGAGCAGGAAGAAGTCGCGCGATTGCTCCAATCTCCGCGTCAGATCTGATTACGAGATACAGCAGTACAGAAGGTCCCTGGCGACGGGACACTCTCAAGTGGCATTGAGAATGAGAGAGACAGAGAGACAGAGAGATATTGCCAGGCTCTTACCATGATAAATTGATAGCCACTCAAATGCAGTTGTGACTGCTACGGCACTGCCTAAAGTTCTCCAGCCGAGGTAAATGGACCGATAAGTATTAGGCGCAAGATATGGGGTCTGTTGTGCAGGCTTTTGGGTATAGACAAGAGCTCTGATGCGGCTATCACTGGCCAGTCTTTGTTGCCCTTCTGCTGCGTATTTCCTACACTGCAGCAGTGCTTCTTTTGCACTGAGACGGACGCTCGGTGCCAGGGTGGAGCCGAGCCCGGCCCCCCACAATTCCCAGGACTCAACGAGCAAGTTTGCCGCTTCTCCTCAAAAGCATAAATATACTACGCTCTTCCCTCATCCCACTACCAACCCATACCATCTTTGCTCTCAAATAATGGCAATCGACACAATCCCTGCAAACGACCCAACCGGTGCCGGTGTCCAGATCCCATCGGCATTCTACCCGCTCGTTCGTCCGCATGCGCGGCAGCTCATGGACAAGCTCCACAAGTTCGTCACTGAGGGTATCTTTGTCTCAATGGATGCAAAATCATACTAACATACCCAGAATGCCAGCCTGCTGCTGCTGTCTACCACCACCAGATCCAGAAGGGAGCAAATCGATGGAAGGTGGTGCCTGCCGTAATGGAGGAATTGAAGGCCCGCGCCAAGTCCCTTGGTCTTTGGAACCTCTGGATGCACTCTCACTACAAGGAGGGTGCAGGCTTGACTAACGTCGAGTACGGCCTCATGGCTGAGATTATGGGCCACTGCCACGTCGCGTCTGAGGCTTGCAACTGCTCCGCCCCCGACACGGGCAACATGGAAGTCATTGCCAAGTACGGCACAGACGAGCAAAAGGCCACTTGGCTGCGTCCTCTCATGGACGGCAAGATTCGTTCTGCTTTCGCCATGACTGAGCCTGGCATTGCTTCCTCAGACGCCACCAACATTGGTCTCTCCATGAAGCAGGAGGGCAATGAATGGGTCCTCAACGGCCGCAAGTGGTGGATCTCAGGTGCCGGTGATCCTCGCTGCAAAATCTACATCGTCATGGGCAAGTCTTCACCCAACGCTTCATCCGAATACAAGAAGCAGTCTGTCATTCTCGTGCCTGCAGACACCCCAGGTGTCACAGTCATCCGCCCTCTCGGCGTCTTTGGCTACGACGATGCACCAGAAGGTCACTGCGAGCTGTTGTTTGAGAACTGCCGCGTGCCACTTAAGAACATGGTTCTCGGCGAAGGCCGTGGGTTTGAGATCATCCAGGGCCGTCTCGGTCCTGGCCGTATCCACCACTGCATGCGTTCCATCGGTGTTGCAGAGCGTGCTTTGCAGCTCATGATCAAACGTGTCGTTGACCCAGCAAAGCGCCAAAAGGGAAAGCTCCTTGTGGAGGAAGGTGTCATCTTGGCACGTATGGCTGATTCGCGTATTCACATTGATGCTGCTCGTCTCATGGTGCTCAATGCTGCTGCTCAGATTGACCTCAAGGACGCCAAGTCAGCCCTCAACCAGATCGCTGAGGCCAAGGTCATGGTTCCCGCCATGGCTCTTCAGGTTGTTGACCACGCCATGCAGGCATACGGTGCTGAGGGTATCTGCCAGGATTCCGAGTTGCCTCTCATGTGGGCACACTTGCGTACACTCAGGTACGCTGATGGCCCAGATGAGTCTCACCAGAATCAGCTTGGTCGTATTGAGGCCAAGAAGGCCAAGTGGATTGTGCCCAAGTTCGCTGCAGAAGACGCTGCACGCGCTCAGGCCTTCAAGAAGGCTGGTTTGAGCCACTTGATCAATGCAAAGGCTCAGATTTAAGGGATTCTTTGTGTCATACATACACTTCGTATATTTGCTCGCTATACAATACCTTGCAGCTACACCTTATACTTGAGCGACATCCATGTTCCTGATAAATGTCCAGAACCACGTCACTGCATCCAAATGCCCTCGTAGACTCTGTTTCTCATTGACCGTGTGAATCGATGCCATGCTGTTTTCACCCTCGACACCGCGAGCAGGACTGTAGCGGAAGATGTGGTCTGTGAGTGCCCAGTAGTAGCGCGTGTCTGTGTTGCCAGTCATGAGACCAGGCGCAACAACGACACCATCATACAATGCTCGAGTGGTACCAGCAATGACGGCATATGGCGTGTCTTTACCCGTCGGTGTCAGAGGTGCTGGCTCAAGGACGTTATTCGCCGACAAGGTGATGGTTTTTGCCTTTTGCTCGTCCTTTGCATCAAAGCCAACAAGCTCAAGGCCATGGCGCTTGGCGACCTTCTTGGCGAGCTTCTCAATTTTGGCCTTGACGTCGGCAGTCGATTCGCCAATATTGACGCGATGGTTGATGCTCGTCTCAACCAGCTCTGGCAGCGCATACACCTTGACACCGCCACGAATCACATCCACAGCAATACTGGTAGTGAAGAGGTACTTGACCAGAAGCGACTGTGCTGCAACCTTTTTGGCAAGCTTACTGAGTGCCTTCTTTGAATGCTGTGTTAACAATATGCGCCACTTGCGAGGGAACGATGGTGCATGAACCGCACCGCACGTAAGGAACTCCAAGAACGGATTGCCTTGGTTGAAGACTGATGGATACCTGTCTCCCTCAACCAAGCTCACGAGTTCAGCAGCAACGCCAATGGCTGTATGGTCCACAGGCACACTCGAATGGCCACCTGGCATGCGAATGGTCACTTCGACATTGATGTGACCCTTTCTGTGACCGTTAGCTCTGACAATTAGCAGTTAGGTGTTGTCTTACTCAGTGACACCAGGGCTTGCAAAGAGCGAACCCCACTGCTCAACAAAGCCATTCCCTTCATCTACAATCACGGCAGCACCCTTTTCACCATATCTCTCGATGAGGGTGGGTGCCAAAGTACCGGCACCCTGTCCACCAGAAATCTCTTCGTCGAACCCGAATGAAAGCACCACTGTGCGCTTGGGTGCAAAGCCTTGTTCCAGTAAAACTGTGACACTCTCTAGAATAGCCATGAGTTGATTCTTGCAGTCTGATGCACCGCGTCCCCAGATGTAGGTGCCGTCGAAATCGCCCGAGAAGGGAGGGTGGCTCCATTGATTGATGGTGGCCTCAGCGACAGGCACGACATCCGTATGAGCCATGAGCACAGTGGGTTTGAGCGACGCATCGCTGCCTTGCCATGTGTACAAGAGACCATAAGTGTTGATACGCTCGAGCTTGAGTTGTTGGTGCAATAAGGGGAATGATTCGGCGAGGAAGGCTATTGTTAGTCTTTGTCCTCGACATCAAGGAAACATTTACCAATGAATGGCTCACGGGTAGCCCAGCGCTCATCAGCATCATCTCCAGAGACTGCACCGAGATCATCATAAGATACAGTTGGAAACGTAACGGCCTTGGACAGAAGATTTTGGGAGACGGCCTTGTACGAGTCGCCATTGAGATAAGTCACTGTCTCATTGAGGGAGCTGAGCTTTGTGCCGTTGCCTGGGATGATTGCATCGGCCTGACGACATGCGCCCTTCAGAGGATGGCTATTTCCATGACTGAGCGGCGTGACATTCATGGTCCAAACCAAGCTGAACATCAGCATCAAGGAATAGATATACTTCCTGACATTCTGAGATCGAGGCTCTTCATTAACATGCTCTGCAGCTTCCAAGTCACACTTCTCATCGATGCCCATGGTAGCAGACATGATGAAGTTTGCAGAAGATGGTGAGCACTGAGAACTGAGCAGCACTCGAGAGGTCGTCCTGGTCCACAGTCCACGTCGATCGATCTCGCTGTGGAGTTTCGGCAGCTCCCGCCCAGCAAGATAAAGCGACCAGATGGCGTACCCTGCGACATGCTATCTATGGACTCAACAGCTGATAGATCATTGATAACTAGCAAGAGCCATCACAAACTCAAAACTACAGAAGATCTGACCGGTCGCATATTTTTATCAAGCTTTCGAAACAATAATGCTGTCGCAATTCTGCTCCTATGGCGCAACCTCAAGCACTCCCTGCAACCTCAGAATCCTCTGGCCCCTCCCCGGCTGTCGCTTCATGTTCAAGATCACGAATTTGCTCGTGATTGCCCAGGATGAGCTTATTCCCATGCATGCCAGTATCCTTCCCTGCAGAAAGCTTCTGCTCGACACGCTGTACATCTTCACTCGACAACTCCACGAGCTTTCCCTCTTCGTCAAAACATTCCGATCCAGGGGATTGTGGAGAAATCAACTGCTCACCCTGCAGCGTAAAGAGTAATGGCTTCGATTGATCAAGACTGCCCTCTGCAACCTTGTCGCAAACGCGCTGCGAACCTTCCACTTGGCGCAAAACTTGTTGCCACTCAGATAAAAGCGTAGGCCCGAGCTGATCACCCTCTGGTCCAAACAGCTTTTCGCACACATTGACTTCCGAGAGATTCACTGGCTCGCCTTGCTCGTTTGTGATACAAGGTATCTGATCCAGTGCATTTTCGGCAGCACAAGGCATAGCGAAACCAAACCCATCATCATTCTGCACATCTTCATCGCGCTCCTCGTAGTCGCCGCGCTGATCATGCCGTGCTTCCGAGAGTCCGTCCAGAGCGAATTGGCTGGCGTTGGCGGCAGTGCTGTGTCTAAGCTGTTGTAAATCTCTGCCAGATACAGTCAAAATTGCGTGTTCAGGACGTTGAGGCTTGACATCATAAGATGTCATCTGGGCTGTAGATGTCTCTTCATCCTCATGGCCATTAGCGTCATGCCTATATGACGGAGTGCTAGAGTGTTGCTGGCCTTCGTGCAGCGTTCGACCAGCATCGTCAAGCAACTGCATCTGTTCATGCTTGACCAGTCGAGACGATGCAGAGACCACAGTTGGACCTTGAGGAATCGACGGTACGGCATGCTCAGCAGGCGGCTTCCTTATTGCGACAAAGGGTAAATGCGTAACGTTGTCATCACCGGGTGGAATTTTTGGGACTGATTCAGACGTAGAAGACTCTACCTCTTGGCGATAGATGAAATGGTAAGAAGCTTCACCTGGCACTCTGCCCAAGCTTGAGTCATTCGCCAGAAATTTTGACCCCTGCTGCTCCTCCGCCTTGGCTACGGGTGGTCGCTGGAAGTGCTGTATCTTGAACGGCATACTGAGCTCATTCACAGAACACTGTGAGCCAGTGGAGTCAGTAAAGAAGATCCGCCGTCCTTGCCCTTGTGTCCATTGGTGGCGACATATATTCGATCGGATCGAAATCGCTTACAGCGTTATAGCCAATAACTCATCCATTCAAGCGATATCCTGTGTAGATCATCGTTCGACAGACTAAAATCTTGTACATGGCACAAAAGCATTCAGGTCAGGCTAGATAGGGCGGGATGAAGCAGTTTGACTCTAGCCATAGCTCTCATATTGGTATAACTTGGCCAGGAGACAGACACGAAGAGGAGGGTCAGGTCGACATCTTATTCTCCATAGAGCTCTCTGCAACTGCTCCAAGCATCGCCCACCCTCGAAGCTAGACTCTGTCAAAGCACATTTGAGTCTGGTGCCTGCTGGAGCGACGTCGCGATCTCAACAGCACAACGACGACCGCAACAGGCACGCACACCCAACAAAAAGGCCGGCATCGAGGCCGCGCAAGGGACGCTGCCTGTCGCTAGATGGAGACGCGAGGGGTGACAGCGGCGACAAAGGTCCCAGAGCCCAAACCGGCAGCTGCAAACAACGCTTCGGGAACGACGCCGCGCATCAAGATCAAGCAGCCATCGTATCGCGCGACTTTACTGCGGTTGAGCAACTCTATCTCGCATTCAAGTGCAGAGATCTTGCAGCGCTATAGCAAGAATGAGCCATCTCTCATCCTGCACTTTCATCAGCAACATTGGCGGTTCGAGCAGCAAGACGGCATCTTCCTTTACAACAGCCAGGGCCGCCAAATACTGGAGTGCATCCGCAATGAACAGATTCCAGTTGACTGTTTAGAGGTGTTTCGGGATGTCAAAATCAAGTACTACGAAGGCTGTCTCATCTTGAGACTGGTTGACCACCGGTCAACGCCGCCGACCATCCTGCATACCGCGTTGCGTCCTTCGCCAGAGTCAATATGGACAGAGATGCTGCTCTATAGTGAACAGACGCAGGGCAACTTTACAGATGCAAAAGCACTGCTGGTTGAGAGTGATATTCTCGTGGCCACGAATCCACCACTCAACCTTAAACCTGCCGTTCATCCAGCTCAAGTCGCGCAGTACCTCACCGACCTGCGGGATCCACCCTTGCCGCGAAGCAAGCGTCGCAGAGGCGTCACGCACGATAGTGAGCGCGATAAGCTCATGTTCCTGTATGATGAAGGGCACGGCAAGGACTTTGCGCCTGACTTCAAGCGACTCGCCTTTGTTGAAGCGCATCGTCGCAAACGAGCTCTTGCAGCACAACGTACAGGTGCCACTGCTGCTACTGGTGCCGCTGGAGGACCTGCAGGAAATGTACTGACGCCTGGTCATGCGCCAATCCGCAGCGGGACCACTACTGTGCCTGCCATCCCGGCCAATGCGACGCCAGAAGAAGCACTCGCTGCACAACAGCAACAAGTCCAACAGGCTCTTGCGGCGAACAGATCATCTGCATCGCCAGCCATCAAAGCTTCGCAGCAGACGCCCATGTCGTTGCAGCAACAACAGCAAATGGCACAACTCTCTCAACAGCAGCAACAAGCTGCAATGGCCGCTGCAACGGCCATGTCGAATGGCAATGCCTCACAACAACAACAGCAACAACAACAACAGCAAGGATTGATGTCCCAACAGCAGCAATTACAGCAACAGCAAATATCAATGCAAGGTATGTCTGCTAACGGGGCTTTTGCAGCACGTCAAGCGCAAGTCCAAGCAGCTGCGAAACGTACAGGCCAGTCGCCGCAGATGCCAAGACAAGGCATGACACCTCAACAAATGGCACAACAACTCGCCATGCACCAAGCTCAACTACAACAACAGCAACAGCAACATCAAAATGGCAAGCTACAGCAAGCTGGGCAAGGAAATAATCAAATGTTTGATGATCTTGCTCGACAGCAACAAATCATGCTCCAGCAACGCGCCATGGCTATTCGCAATATGCAAGCACAGAATGCTGCTCGTCAACATGCAGTGGCTGCGGCCGCGGCGGCTGCTCAAACAGGACAATCACCATCTCCTGGTTCGATGCATGCAAGGCTGCCACAAGGTGGCAATTCAGGTGGACGATCACAGACTTCATCACCAGCCATGCATGCTGCCAATTTACAAAATGGTGGGCATGTCGGTGGTTCACCAGCATTGCAACAACAGATGTTACAGCAGCAAATGCAGATGCAAGCGATGCAAGCTGCAGCAGCGGCGAATGGTGGTGGAGGCGGTGGTCGTGGTGCACCAACGCAATTACAGTTGCAGCAGATGAGACAAGCGCATTTGGTGCAGCAGCAACAGATGGCGTTCAATAATGCGAATGCGCAAGCACAGCAGCAAGCGCATTTGCAGGCGAAAGCACAGGCTGCTGCCGCTGCCTTGGCTCAACAGCATGGAGGCAAGTAATCAAGTTTTTTTGGACGATGAGAATAAGCAACGAGATACAAATGAAAGCAATAAAGTTGAGACAAATTAGTTCTTGTTGGGGAGAGAGAGACCTAAGGGTCATAAAAGTAGTGCAATAAACCGACTTCTTGACCCAAAGATTACACCATCCCAATTGTTGTATTGCTTTAGAAAGCCACCCACCAAGCAAAGACAAACACCAATGCAGTAAACACCGTCGTCAAGATCCATGCACCTGCACGATCCGCGTTTGTGGCTGGTGTGATCACCTTGATACCAGCAGCTGTGCGTGAATCACCCGATGTTCCAGCGGCGGCATCTCCACGAGACGAACCACCTGTTGCGTTTGTGAATGGAGCTTGCGCGTAGATGGCGAGATTGGCTTGAATTGTTTCGAGAGCCGAGAGTTGTTGACCGACCATGAAACCCACTGCTGTACTGCCATCGAATGTACCGTTATTCCAAGTCCATTTGAAACCACAAGCATTGTTGCCCATACCAGCATAAGTTCCCGTACAAGCCTTCGCGGCAGCAGCAGCGGATGTCTGCAGCAGTGGCAATAGTCGGCCCCGCGAAGCAGTATACATCTGCATGGTGTATCCCATGTTCCGCGCAAGGTAACCCTTGAAAGAGTGTTGATCGACATTGCAAGTATCATAAGGCTCACACGCTGGTTCGTAAATGATGTTTTGGTTGGCGCCGCCAAAGAAGTCTTCTGTCATACGCGTAATGAACTTGTCGACACGCGAAGCCCATGTTGCGTTGTTGGTGAGGTTGTACATGAATGCACTGCCGCCCATGAAAAGAGCATTGTTGTAAGTCCACTGAATTTGATTGATGGGCTTGCAGGTCGGAACAGTACCGCCATCGTAAATGGCGTAGGTGGACTCATTGGTGAAGCCGGATTGAAGCTGGTACATAAAGACCCTCTCGGCCCAGTCCCCATAAGTTGTGTTGCCTGTGTAGCGAGCAAGTCGGGCTGCAATGTTGAAGAATGCACCATTGGAGATGGAATTCTTGTAGCTGTAACCCTGGTTGTACTGGAAGACCTGCCAGCGCAGACCACCGCCACAGCTGGCATAGTCCCAACGATCAGCTTGTTCATTGAAGACTGCCTGTGCAAGAGCAAGCCACTGTGGTTCTTTATCTGTTGGATTGGAGAAGTTGTACTCGGCGGCGGACATGGCAGCCATACCCCAGAATGCTTGATCGTCGTTTCCTGCAGACGTGGAGAAATTGGCTGGTAGGAAATCGCGGTTTGCACCAACCTGCCAGAGGAGAGATGCTTTGGTCACAGCGTTGAAGGTGGTATTGCCTGTGTATCGCCAAAAGTCGAGGTAGGCCTGAGGTTGATTAGTTCGGCGTCCAGAATGTGCATATTAGCTTACGTTCCAAGCAGCGCCTGCCTCCCACCAGTAGACGGGCGCTACGAACATACCAGTCGTACCGCCACTGCGATATCCATCATAAAGCTGGATGAGGTTGTTAGCCGCGATGCCCGCGCCGGCGACCAGTGAATCTTGGCGTTAGTCGAGATGTGCATCAACATGGTCTACATACCTCTCGATTGAGGATCGAGCTGGAAGGATACCGCTGAGGATATAAATGCTAGAGCCGGTAATATTGACCGGACGAGTGTAGTAGGCTGCATATTCGCAAATGTGAGTTTTGTGTCGGGCTGGGATGAATCGCTGGTAGGATTCTAGCAAGGATCAAAGATGCCAGTCCCTGATAGACCTTGTGGGTGCCTTGTGTCGCAAAGGAACCGCGCTGAATAAAGCGGGCGAAATGAGCTTGGCGGTGCTCGTCGAAGGCGCTGTGGTGGGATCAAAGGACGGAAGCTTCAAGCAAGTGGCCGTCTAAGTCACAGGACAAGTGCTGCAGAAGCTAGCCTTGATCAATGAGCCGGAGAAGAGCGCTCAATGAGGATTTTTGCAAATAAGACGCTGTGCTGCGTTGCTTTTATGTCGGAGCGCAGCGAAAGAAGGCGGCGCGTCTGTGCTACGTTCTAGTACACTGAGGTAGACAAGAATCGACCTGGGCCAATGCGCGTCGTGTGCGCTAGTGGATGAGCTAGGCGTGAAGGGTGATTGTGTAGGCGAGGAGGGAGACCTGCTGCTGCTGTGTGCGCCCAAACATTCGTCAATTCTCAATTTCTCCCTCCCTTGAGCTCCAGTCCAGTGACACCGGGCCCGGCACAGGGGAAGAGCCCAGAGAACTCAGCCTTCAATTGTAGCAGGACTCAGACTTGGGCAAGCTACGACGATGGCTATGGCAGGCCTCTTGACGGGGACTTTTCAATTTTCAGGCGTCCCTCGAGACGCACGGTCTACTACGCTCATTCGTGACAAAGGCCACGGCTTATGAAGGTGTCTATTTCACTGGCCATGGCAAGCAGAGTCTGTCGGCCTGTCTTCGCCGACTGAGCAGGGCCGGCTATTCTTGGCAGATTCAGTTCCGCTTACCTAACCTGACCACAACTACACCTCTGAATGTCAAGTGATATTTTCGCTTGTGAGGCTTGCGGCATGCTCAATTCTTCGTTATACGCTCCTGAACTGCTGCAGCTGACAGAATTGAGTTTCCTCTTGCGAATGATGCTGGGCATACTTTCAACAGGTTCAGGCCATTGATGAAGGCCACGCTGATTCCTGAAGCCTGATGCTCTAGCCGCCAAGGTTCACATTATTCGATCGTACTGTACCTATTGAATGACCCTGACCACTTCCCCAACTCGCGAAGCTCGTTATCGTATTTCGAATCTGGAGCGACCCCTGAATGCAACAAACCTTGGACTTGGCTAAGTGTGTTGAACCGCGACGCACTAAGCCGGCCTGCAGCACAGCACCTGTCGTCTATTCTCTAGTATGTCGCATCGCTCGAAATGACTGTCATATACGCTTCCAAGTTTCTACCAGCGTTGAGCTTCCGTCAAATTCGTTCCCGGAGGCGTGACGATCGCTTCATGATAGTACATCACAATGTCGCATCTGTTATCGTTCGCTGTCCGAAGCGCGTGACCCGTGGACTAATTGGCCTTCAGGGGCTGTCTATCGCAAGGGCCCTTAAAGGGTCGACAATGCCCGGCTTGTATCCTCAACAAAGACTTCCAGTATGAAGCCAATCCTCATGAGTCTGGCTGGTCAGCCTCTGTTTCTGTGCGATGACCTTTCTCCCACACACTTCCCTCCTGTGCCTAGAGTACTCATCCTCTTTCCAGCCGACCCAAGGCCTTGCTCTTATATATGGAAGGACCGGCTACTGCAAGGAATGTCCCATCCTCACTTTGAAGAGTACACGCGGAATTGCCTCGACATCGACGAGACGTCAATCAATGGGCCTACTGGTAGACCGCCCACACGACGATGCCATGCTAACAACAGATCCCAAAGCTGATGAATTGAATTGTTTCATCAGTACGTTCAACAATGCGCATAATCTCGTTTCACCAGCCGACACAGACACTGGTGGTCGCCGCGGCCCTTGGATTGCATATAGACCCAAGATTGACAACAATTATTACTCCTGTGGACACTACATGCTCTTCTGTGAGAAGAACAATCCAGACGCCAAGACCAGAAGCTACTACAATCTGCCAAATTTTCGTGGCTACGACAATCACTGCTTCTTCAAGAATGTCGCCGGCTTGTCCTTTGCCGTTTGCCTCACCAAAGACAAGAAGGATCTCAATCCCCGCAAGATTGTGGACGTGGTATTCCCATTCGATGGACCGGTCACGGGAGACAATGCCGGTGGTGTTGATAACCAGTGGCATCTCAGCTACAGGATGGACCAGATAATGGAGGTCAAAGGCCAGAATCTGCGACCTACACTCGATCCGAAAGCGGTTGGCGAACGCAAATGCTTCATGTCTCTCGCCGAGTCGGGCATGCCTGGGAAATATTTCAAAATGGACCAACAGTCGAATCAGGCTTACTCACTTTACTGCACGAATGCTGTCGGCGACATGACGAACTTGCCAAAACCAAATTGGAGGGGTTTGTACAATTTGTGTTATTGGGAGGTCAAGGATGAGATGTCAGCCTTTCCAAGCAAAGATCTGGCGTGGCCAGGCACTTTTGTGACATGCGTTGTGTTTGAAAAGGAGGAAAAGTGACGCAAAGCGACAGAGAAGGAGTACACAAGTCTCTTGTAGATGCGCTTGTGAAGCGGGACTAGGGTGCGTGAATAGTTATGCAGCTCACACCAGCACGAGCAGATCATACCGCAAATGAGACTATCCTTCAACTGTAGCCCCAGTGATGACCAAATCTTGCACAGGCTTGTCGTTGGCGTCCACAGCCACAAGTCCCATCCGCTCAACCACGCGCATGCCATTCGTGACGCGCCCAAAGATCGTGTGTTTGCCATCCAGCCAAGGTGTCGGTGCAAGTGTAATGAAGAACTGTGAACCATTGGTGTTGGGCCCACTATTGGCCATACTCAAGATACCTGCGCCTGTATGCTTGAGTTGCCCATCAATTTCATCCTCAAATTTGGTGCCGTAGATGGACGAGCCTGAGCGGCCGGTGCCTGTTGGATCACCGCCTTGGATCATAAAGTCCTTGATGACTCGATGGAAGATGACATTGTCATAGTACCCACGGCGAGCGAGTTCTGCAAAGTTCTTGCAAGTCTTGGGAGCATGTTGGGTGTAGAGCTCGAATGTGACGGGGCCCATGGTCGTGTTGAGCGTAACGAGCGACATGACTGCCTCTATATAGCAGCAGTGAGCTGGGCACGAGCAGAGTAAGCAGAAGGAAGACTATATAGCTTGTAGACTCCAATGTAGAGAGAGTACTTTCTCCTGTCGACGTGTTCCTGACTGGCTGCACGTGTACTCTTGACCGCGTAGCAGCAGACAAGGCGCAAGACATACAAGACAAGACACTCGACACGGAACCATCGCTCGCAGCTCGGAGACCTTTCATAGACCGCACGCTAGATACATCGGAGGAGAGAGGGCATACCATCCACATCAAGCCCTTTCGATGATCCAATCCGGCCCCTTTTCACAGTCAACCACCGGGTATGTCCATCAAACCCATCTGCCGGCGCCGACGCCTGTGCTAGAGCACGCAGCTGCGTACCGAGCAAGCAATAGTGCATCACCCGCTCTATCGAGTATTGCGGGACAAGCGGGTCAATCTCACGTTGGATCGCAGCCGCTACAGGGGAAGCAGCAAGCACCAACGACGGCCGGTAGCGGCAATACCATCCCAACCGCTGGAGCAGCACCAACGGACTACTCTCGCGTCTACAGCTGGATTCAAGATTTACTGAGCACCCATCCAAACAACTCTGCGCGTCGCGAAGCAGCGCTGCTCGAGCTGTCCAAGAAGCGCGAAAACTTTGACGACTTGGCATTGATTCTGTGGAATGCATACGGCGTCATGACTTCGCTGCTGATTGAAATTACGGGAGTCTATCCGCTGTTGGATCCGCCAGTGTTGACAGTACAGGCGAGTAATCGCGTATGCAATGCGCTTGCTTTGCTTCAATGCGTTGCATCGCACCCGCAGACTCGCAGTCATTTCCTCAATGCACACATACCGCTCTTCCTCTACCCTTTCCTCAATACGACGAGCAAAGCGAGACCCTTTGAGTACCTGCGACTGACCAGTCTTGGTGTCATTGGCGCCCTTGTGAAAAATGACTCTAGCGAGGTCATTAGTTTTTTGCTCAGTACAGAAATCATTCCGCTATGCTTGCGCATCATGGAGACTGGTTCGGAGCTGAGCAAGACAGTCGCCATCTTTGTGACGCAAAAGATCTTAAATGATGAAGGCGGACTGGCTTACATCTGCCAAACATACGAGCGTTTCTATGCCGTTGGCACAGTGCTGTCTAACATGGTGCAGCAGCTGACAACCACACAGGCTGTGCGTCTTCTCAAGCATGTTGTGCGGTGCTACCTCCGTCTGAGCGACAATGCTCGTGCTAGAGAAGCACTCCGGCAGTGTCTTCCCGAACCACTTCGAGACGCAACATTTTCCATGGTCCTCAAGGACGATGTGGCTACAAAACGAGCTCTTGCCCAGCTTTTGATGAATCTCAGCGACCAGTGATTCAACACGTCACGAACATTCTACGTTCTTGTACAGCTTTTATCGAATAAAGCATACCAACACCAGCATTATCATCCTATCATCTCGCACAACACTCAGCGGTCTTTCTTTTTTTTTTTTTTGTCTTTTTGGCTTTGTTTCGTTTTCTTCTTGTAACGGGAGGAGGCAATTGCAGGATAAGATTGCAATCCTGTCGAGGCGAGGTCTCCATACGTTTTCTTGCTCACAAAGGACGTCTTCTTTATATTACAAATGACATACATACTGCTACCCATGACAATCAATGGCCAACTTTGGTAGACTGTGCAAGCTTGATTGTGTGGTTGAGAAATTCATCAGCACCACCGTGCTTGACGATGATTGTCTTACACAATGCGAGCAAGCGTGCATGACGCCCATGAGCGCGTTCGGCAATGGGAACGCCGATGTCCTCTACAAGCCACCGTTGCATCGCTACAAGCGCCTTATTGCGCGTCGATGGAATACGCAAAGCTTCTTGTAACGTGACAAAACCAAGTGCTGTACAGACTTGCTGTAGAAATGCAACATACGCTGCATAGCGTCCACCTCCCTCTGCCTTCCCTTTCGTGACTGAGCCCGAGTGCTTTGCGCCTGAGAAGATATGCATGCAGCATGGAATGATCAAGAAGCCTGGTACATCCATCAATGCCACTTCTTCTCCATCTCGGATGGGTAGGTCGCCTTCTGGTACGGTCGACAACGCGGACAAGACGGGGATCCAAGGTGTCAATTCATCAGCATGGTTGCCAATCAAGAATTCATCACTGCGGAAGATGCCGTCGTGAATATGCGAGGAGCGGATGACCTCAGACATGAAGCATTGTGGCTGCAGGATCATCTCCTTGAGTTGTGCTTGTCCCTGGGGACTGTAGAGGCCACTCGACCATGATTTTCTAGCACGCAAGTCAAAGCCATACCCAAGTTTGCCTTCCTGAACAAGCAAATCCACAAGAAGCCCATTGCCACAACCGACGTCGACAAAGCGTATTGGATGTTTTTTCGCAAACGGTTGACACTTCCATAGTTCAAGTAGAAATGCAGTAATGCAAAGATCTTCAAAGACGTGCTTTCCCGGGTCAGTCTTTTCAATCCAACCTTGGTAGTAGCGCGCGGCATAGGTTCGTTTGAGCCGTTGGTTTGCATCTTGGAATGCATCCCGTGGAACGATGAGATCGTGATGAACTCGTTTCTGGTAGTCGTTTGCATGTCCTGTTGCATGCTTGACAATGATTTGAAGCAGCATGCGAAGTGTTCGATTCAAGCGATCATCCGCGAAAGAGTTTGACAAGGGCTCGTAGGCAATACTGCACGCAAGCTCGTCGTAGTGAAATGCCAATGCTGCGACTTTTGGATGGTAGAACGGAATGGAAGTGAGATCAAGCGGCCTGAAGACCACAAGCATCGCGCCAGAATCCTCGCTATTGAAAAAGAAGCAATCTTGCAGCATATCCGTATCTAGCGCTGGCCTTCTCGGCAAGATGCGTCGATGCATTCGATGCGTCAGGGTATAGCCAGGTATGTTTTCATCAGAAGATGTCTCAGTAGCTAGAATCTCTGCACGCAAAATGGCACTAGACGTCCGTTCTGGGAATTGCACAAGCTCATGCAAGGTCTTCTCAAAATGGTGCTTCTTGAAGACCGGCCGCTCAATGTGCCAAGCCTTCAAGAAGCGCTGGTCAAAAAGGCAGTGCCCCTGTAACTCCTTGATTTCTCCTTGCATGGCATGATCCGCGTTTGCGTCAGTCTTCTTCCTGATTGGAGCTAATGCTATTCTCAGCTCAGCCGTTGACAGCAGACGTCAGGAGTACGGCGAGTGACGATGGACAGTGCCGAGCGATGATGGCCTGTGCAAAGGTGTCGTCAGCGGAGCACAACAAAAAGCGCGAAACGAAGCGACTCCAATCGAGACCACTCTTCCGTCAATTACCATCACAAGGGAGCCTTTCTCTCTTCTCTCATATCCAAACCAACGATAAAGACGCCAGAAAAGCGACACCACGATGAACTTTGACAATCAGGTCAACAAATCCTCAGAAGAAGGCGCAACGTCCCCAACAAAACGCACCTCACGCGCCCTCTTCGACTCGCCCAAAGCAACGGCTGCCGTGACGCACGCCCTTTCCGCCATCAAACTCTCTCCCAAGAAGATAGACCCGGTGGGGTCCCGTGGCTCGCCTAGTCCGACACGTATCGATTACGGAGCGTCTCGCGTCGCTGTTGATCGGTCACCGACGCGTTCAGGACTCGGTGCACTTCGGGGTCAACACGCTTCCACGCAAAGCAGCCAGAGCACCAGCACGAGTACCAGTCAATCGGGTGAGAAGCGCAGAAATGAAATTGAAGTCTTGCGAGAGTTATCGGAGGAGGAGTTGGCTATTATTCGGGGTCGTGAATCAAAACGACTTGCAACCATGTCGCAGTTGTACTTTTTGGATCATTACTTTGATTTGCTCAAGTACTTGAATAATCGACGACTACGCACAGATGCATTCCATGCACAGCATGATGGACTCGATGAAGCACAACGAGGACAGCTCTGGAAACAGCAGTGTGGCCGTGAACGCGCCTACTTGCGCAAAAGACGCACAAAAGTCAAACATGGCGATTTCAAGATCCTGGCTCAAGTGGGACAAGGTGGCTATGGTTCTGTGCATCTAGCGCAAAAACGAGATACCAAGGAGATTGTTGCATTGAAGGTGATGAGTAAAGCGCTGTTGCACAAGATGGATGAGATTCGTCACATTTTGACTGAACGCGACATCTTGACGAATGCAAAGAGCGACTGGCTCGTCAACTTGCTTTATTCGTTTCAGGATACGCGAAATGTCTACTTGGCCATGGAATATGTTGCCGGTGGCGACTTTCGCACACTGCTCACCAACTCGGGTGTCTTGCATGATCCACACGCTCGCTTCTACATTGCAGAGATGTTTTTGTCTGTGGATGAGTTGCATAAGCTCGGTTACATCCACCGTGACTTGAAACCAGAGAACTTTTTGATTAGTGCCACGGGGCACATCAAGCTGACTGACTTTGGATTGGCTAGTGGTATGATCAACAACCAAAAGATTGAGAGCATGCGCGTCAAATTGACGCAAGCTGGGGAAGCGAGGGAGATGGGACAGTACTCGACACTGGATCGTCAGAACATGTACCGCTCGTTGCGTGCGCGTGAGCCAACGCTAGCGTATAGTGTTGTGGGTTCTCCTGATTACATGGCGCCCGAAGTGCTCAAAGGTCTGGAGTACAACCATACGGTCGATTACTGGTCACTGGGATGCATGTTGTTTGAGTGCTTATCAGGCTACCCACCGTTTAGCGGTGAAAGTGTCAATGATACGTGGGCCAACCTCAAGAATTGGCGTGCTGCACTCAAACGACCACACTACGATGCACCGGAACATCAAGAGTTCAACTTGCGTGATGAGGCATGGGAGCTGATTACGGCTGTTGTGTGCAGTGACCGACGTCGCCTACAAACGCTGAGTGAGGTGCAACGGCACGTCTACTTTTCTGGGTTCGACTTTAAGGGGCTACGCAGCATGAAGGTGCCATTTAAGCCCAAGTTGGCAAGTGAAACGGATCATGGCTACTTTGACGATTTCGAGAGTGCGGAGGATATGAGCAAGTACAAGGAGGTGCATGACAAGCAAGCTGCGATTGAGAAGTTGGCTGAACGTGGGAATGGCATGAAGAAGACTGCATTTGTTGGGTTTACGTATAAGCACGGCAAGACTGGGGATATGAGCCAGTTTGATACGATGCTGTAGGTTAGCAGGTATGTGTTTTAGTTGAGTTTTGGCTGCTCATCGACTGATTATGAGCCTGGATTGTAGTCATTCTTGTAACTTCAATGCAGACTCAGGGTCAATGTAGAATGGTTGAGCATGGAAGTCGATGGAAGTGAGTCAGAGTGAGTCAGTCGAAGCCTCGGGACAGAAACTCGCTTCTTCCCTTGTGTGACGTCAGATGTGGCAATGTGGCTGGTGATGCCAAGTAACTCCAGCGGAATAGATACAGTAGTAGATACAGCAGAGAGAGAGAGAGAGAATAGATGGAAAGACTGAGTAGCAGCTCAATGGACCTCTAGACTCTCATCTGCCATCAGACCTACTACTGCTGCTGCTACTGCTGCTTCTACTGCTCCTGTAGACCGGGCGCTGGCGGACTGACTCGCCTTCTCCACGTCGACTCCTGAGCATTCCAGGCTTCTACGTCATTTTCCCTCGTCACAACCTCACAGCGCCCTATATAAGCTGCCTCACTCCCTCTGTCCACCGTCTCCTCATCCTACACACAAGTAGACTCACACATACACACACACATCTACAAACATGTCCAACAACCTCAACTCCAACACCAACAAGGCACAGGGCGAGGCAAAGTCCCTCGTTGACCAGGCATCCGAGATGGCTTCCAACGCCTACAACGCCGTGGCAGACACCCTCACTGGCTCTGGCAACGGTATCTCCGACACCGGACGCAAGGACACCCACTCCAAGATCGGAGACAAGCTTCAGCCAGACTCCTCCAAGTCGACCCTCGACAAGGCCGGTGATGCCATCACTGGTGCTGCCGACAAGGTTGCTCGCGATGTCGTCCCTGACTCGCAAAAGTCCACTGGCCAGTCTCTCTCTGACAAGGTCTCGCGCGCCACCGACTAAAGTGCTTCTCTCTTTCATGAGATCTCTGCCAGTCTAAACGACCCTACACGCACTCAAACGACCCTGCATTGGGCATGAAAAGACGAAACTTTCATAGCAAACTTAATCCTTTCACGATGATACTTCCTCTGCCTTTCTTATGTGTGCTCTTAATTGATGTTCGCCTATTGATATTGTACATACTCCGTATCTATCGTTGCTGCTGGTCATATGCAGGGACTGCATGCTGCGTGTAATACTCCACAGGCACCGGGTAATACTGCTGTTGCTGTGGTTGCTGCTGCTGCTGATGTCCCTGCATGACACCCAATGGAGGCAGTGGTAACGCACCATGAACATAATGATGCTGCTCCTGCGTTGCTGGTGCGTGTTGCATCGTAGGGTGCAAGACACCACCTCCATCACTACTCGTCTGGTCCGTAACACGCCCATGACTATGCAACGACATACGTCGTACATTACCCTGTTGCTGCTGTTGCTGTTGCTGGGCTGCAAGTCCATTCATCATAGGACCATATCCAACCAACTCACCGCCATGTTGCCCCAACATCCCTGGATCTTGCAACATAGGGTACCCTTGCTGTTGACCATTCAGTCCAATTGGTGGCTGCATATCGTATTTAATCCGTGGTGAATCATCTTGTCCAGGACCACCAAGTCTTTGTCGTTTTACGCCATGAGCAGGCGCAGAGGTGATGTTCTGTAAGACTTGTTGTTGTCCTCCAGACCCCAAATGCATGCTCAAACTCGAAGGTACACCATACCCATGCTGTTGCTGTTGTTGTCCATAACTGCCTGCAAACGCACTATATTCCATCAACGACGTTGCAGAACCAGTCGTATGTTGTGATCCAGCAGGTGAATCACCACTCTCCTGACCAACCATCAAGTCTGGCGGTGCAGACCGTTTCTCACCCATGCCATTCCGCATGATACCTCCGATTTGTAAGGGTGAAGAGGAAGAGGAGGTGGGTAGCTGCGAAGGCGGTGCAAGGAGACCATTATACCCATGCACTGCTGCTGAACTCGACAATAAACTCGCACTCGCACTAGCAAGGGCTGCAGCAGGCGCTATTATTCCAGGTGATAGGAGGGTTGGTTGAGTTGCTGGTAGTGGTGGAGGTGGTGGTGTGGCAGCACTACTCGCTGCACCTGTGGATGTTGCCGTTCCTGATCCTGGCATGGCCATACGATGGAGCTGTTGATGTTGCGTCGGTGGTGCAATATGTCCCAACAATGTATTTCCTGTGGCCGTTGCTCTGTCTTGATCAGAGGCAACATTACACAAGATACCCTTCATCAAGTCACCCCAGTCAGCTTCTCCATGCAGACTATTGCGTCTTGGTCGATCGAGCTGGTGTCGTGAAAATGTACGAATCTCCTGAGGCAGCTCACTCAGCTGAAGCGGTTGTACAGAGCCCATGTGAGCAACTGCAAAGGCACACAGAGATTCATAGGAACTAGCAAGATTGCCACCGATGCCAGAAAGCGCAGTCATGGTAGTCAGAGCAGTGCCAGTATGATGCATAGCGACTGCCGTCTCCGCCAAGATGTTGCGGAACGTTGGGTAATCGCGTTTCCGCATTGCATCGAGTTCCTTATGAAAAGAGGCATCCATGTGCGCCCAGATTAATGCAACAGATGCAATGTAAAGCGCAGGGATCTGTACAAGATCCACAGAGATTTGCGAGGACTTTTGTACTTGCTTGTGCATTTGCGTAATGAAACCAATCGCAGCACGTCGTAGTCGGTAAATGTGGTCGATGCTCCGAAACTGCCGTAGGGAATTCGGACGATACAGCACGAGCCTGACAATATTGATTTCGCCCATGAGCATTTGTTTTGCAGGCGAGCTAAGACTACGCTCGATGCCTTCAAGAACGAGCTCCTGCTTTTGTGTAAGTTGCTCGATGACCGTGCCTGGCATCTTGAGCTGTAAGTACGTATCGATGATGCGTGTCTGCAACGCCATCCGCGTCAAGAAGATCTCTCCACGATCTGGCAAATCTTGGATTTTGGCCGGTTTCTTGGTGGTAATGTAGCGCTCGTCCACCTCAAAGTCGCGGTTGGTAGCGAGTGCGATATAGCGATCTAGAAAGATGATACCCCAGAACAGTCGTCTGCGGTCTTCGTTGCAGTTTTCCTCGAGGTGGAAGCCCATAGACGTTACTGAGCGGCACAAGACGCCTGACAAGTACCAGCCGTCGAGTCTGCTGGGCATAAACATGGCAAATTCGAGCATCAGTAAGGTTGCCTGCATGCCATCGATCGAGTCCACCTCATAAGCAGCATATAAACCAGCTGTGCTGAATAAACGCAAGGCATTGTGCGATTCAACGGAAGAAGCGTTGCGCGATATGGTCGCTGTTGAGATCGCCATGGCCATCAGGACCAGGAAGATTTGATTGTTTGAAGCTGTCCGTGGTACGGCGCAGTACTGCTCCAGAGCACGCTTCAAGTCGTTGACAACGATAAAGGGAAGAATCGGATAAACAGCACGCAAGTAGCGTTGCACAAGTGGTTGGACCAAGTCCTTGCCAGGCAATTCTCCAAGAGGCCCCGTCTCGTCGCGCCATCCAGAAAAGCCAGTCATGGCCTTCATGAAGGACCATTTTTCAAGTCCGTTGCAAACGAGGACTGAGCTCGAGGGCCCGTCGACCATGCCACGTACCTCTGTTAGGATTGCATCGAGATCTGCCGCTGAATCGCTCAGCACTTGTGGCAACTCCTCCGGCATCTCCCACAGATCTTGCTCATTCTCCTCCATCATCGGGTCAATAGGAATCTGCGGCGGCGGTGGTTCGGTATTCTCAAGTGTCCTGATGCGTTCTTGTAGATAGGACACATAGCTGCGGCCCTGACTCGAAGACTCTTCAGACAAGATGGAACACTCGTTGGCGCGACTAAACTTGATGCATCCTGAGCACGGCGCGCCTCCGTCACATTTGATTTTGCGTTTGCGACAAAAGACTGAGTTGTGAGCAAACAGTACAGATGATAGAGTATAGGATGGGCTTACCACATGCCAGACGAATGCCAGAGACGACCAAGTTGCCGCGAAACTCGGGCTCCATCCCGGACCGTCGTGTAGCCCTTGTGCGCACTTACAACACGGTGTCGCCTCGGGGATGGCCTCTACTTGTTGTCGTTGGCAAGTGTCACTGTGTCAGTGGAGCTCTCTCGTCGATAATACGCGGCGTTGGGGGATATCGATCGAGATGAAGAGGACTCTCCGTCTTGCTCCCAGTCCACTTTAAAAGGCGGAATAAAAAGTCCGTACCAGGGGCGCAGCTCTTCTAGGTGGAGTCAGGCGGCGGCTAGCAACTCAGTCACTGACACACGGGCACGGCAGCGACCCCTTCTTCGAGACACAATCTCTGGTATGTGGAAGCTACTGAGCCGCCAATCTAAGACGTTGATCTAGCACAGACTGCGCACAATAGAAGTATAGCAAGCTGGGGAAGTGTCTGTGTGCCTTGGATCTGGGCTGGTAAAGATGTCTCGGAGCAGAAATTTTAGGCGATGCCGTCTCGTGGCGAAGCTTCTAGGCCTCAAACCAGATCTTGACCAGGAGACTCCCCTCTTGCTCAACAACTACATATACATTTGAGAGACTATAGCTTGCATGCTAGTGCTCGAGCTCTGATTTTCTGCTACTGCTGTTGCTTCTTTGTGCATAATGACATCTCAAGCGCATGATGCCGCAAGTGCGCAGGCACGGCGCCAGAATCAAGCAAACGATGCTACTCGTAATCCGCCAGCTGGCACACGCTTCATAAGTAGCTGCGTCCGTTGCAGACGTCGAAAGATCAAGTGTGACGCTGGTCTGCCTTCCTGTCATGCTTGCAAGGATGCTGGCGTCGACTGCATGTTTCACGATGCCGAAGCCGGTACTGAAGTAAAACGCGACTTCATCCTCGGTCTTGAGGATCATCTGACGCATTTGATGCACGATCACGGTATTCAAGTTAACACTGCTGAATCGCGTCGCCAGGTGCGCAAAGAAGCGCCTAATGTTCTCGAGTCTGAGACAGACTCCTCTGTTGGCTTTTCGTCGGGCTACCCCATTTTGCGAAGCTTGCTGGCCAATGCCGACTTGCCCGCTGCAACGCCGTGGCCACACATGACCTATGACAATTGGCTCCGTCAGCTTGCTTCACGGCCACAGACCGCAACTCTGCCGATGCCGACCAAAAAGACCATGGCCACCATTTGTGCCATTTACAATAAAGTCTTTGAGCCGCTCTACCCAGTCTACACTTGGCCAGAAATTCGAACGATGCTGAACGAAGTCTATCTCAATGGCCAAGTCACTCGACGCGATATCAGCGATCACACCTTGTTTTGCTTCCCAATCATATACGCACATGGCGTGGACCTCGCCAATAGAGTCGACAATAGCGTGGAATCTATCTTTGTCCAGGCACTGACATTTTCAAAGCTTGGATACCCTCAGCTTTTGCAAAATCCAGATATACGTTCGCTGAAGAGCTTGATCTTCATGAATATGTCTGCGCATGCTAAAGAGCTACCGACACCACTTTGGCACGGCTCAGGTATGGCGATGCGGACGTGCTACGATCTCGGCTTCCACCTGGCTACAACGGGTCAAGCGTCCCAAGCAAATGAAGTGGTGGATGAGCAGACAAAGAGACGGCTCTTTTGGCTCATCTACTGTATGGATCGTGGCCTCTGTATGTTACTAGGACGTCCGCCTTCGTACCAGGTTGTTCCCATCACTCGACCGTACCCAGAGGGTGTCTCTCAGCAATTTCTAGCGCGCATCAAGATTCGACAAATACAAAGCGAGATTATGCACCGCCAGGCCCTCTCCAAAAATGCAGCTGGCTCAGAGAGTGATGCGGAGAAAATGGAGGACAAGCTCCACAACTGGGTCTCACAAACATCTACTCTGGAAGAACAAGTTCAGTACTGCAATACAGTTCTATTATTGTATCGACCAGACATCATGCGTGGCTCTCAGCGTGCATGTCTCAGATCCCTCGAGTGCTGCTTACAGAGTCTCGAGGTCTACAAGACTCAGGCGTGCGAATTTGCAGTCGTCGAAGGCACACTCGTGACGCACATGCTCTTTGTCAATGTCATCACGCTTCTCTATCTGTACCGCGAATCTGCGGAAGTGCGTCAGCGGCTGCCGTATCAGGCATTGGAGCAGCGTATTCGTGAGATTCGGTTGGTATTCCGGGCTCTGGGTAGACGCTGGTCTGTCTCTCGCGATAATCTCAAGCTTGTGGATGCAATCTTTGAGCGGCTACGATGAGTCTAGTATTTCAAGTGGACTCGGATTTGACATAGAGAAGCTCTTCTGGTTCGTGTCGTTCATGGTAAATATTTGTAAATCATGTGTCAGTAGCCAATAATTGCTCACTTGATTTAGACCGATCTTTAGCATTCGTGAGAAGCACATCAATGCCTGGAATATGGAAGGACAGGTCACCTGCTCAGGCCGGCTAAGTACGATCTGACCACTGCAACTCATACAGATATATATTCAGATGGCTGTGCCTTGACAAGCGCACATCACGTGGACGTTCAGCGTCCGTCGAGTGGTACAAGTCAGCCAGACCTTCATCAAAGCGTATTCAAGCTCTAGTACTGAGCGTGCTTGCAAAGCAGGAATCCCAATGCTACAGATTATGGTGTAGACAGCACTCACACAGAAATCGGTTCAGTGGCAGGAAATCGGTCCGCATTCAGATGAACCCGAACTCAATTCAGGTACCTGACCAACCCTTTTGGCGAAAATATCAGCTACTTTCGAGGACTGCTGACATGCTACAAGGGTAGATATGATCTACAAACTTCTCGAAGATGTAAAGAAGCTTCAACCTCCCCGGGTCTCTATTGCACCGACCATCTTTCTACACACTCTCTTTTGGCGCGACAAGATGCACTTCACACTCGTTCAACTCACAACACTCGCCTTGCTTGGCCTCTCAGCATCAGCGGCACCTGCACCGGATGGTGGCCCATTTGTGAACTCTGTTCGTCCTGTGGCCGGTGCGCCAGGCGAGTACTCTGGTGCAGCGCCAGTTCCAGCGCCCATTGTCCCAGTACCGGCTGCAACAGCCCAAGCAGCCGTTGTTCAAGCCGCTAGTGACGCTCCTCCAGCCTTTGTTGGCGATGGCCCACAACCCGCTGTTCTCTACAATCCCGCCAACGACGATTCAGCGCGCGTTCAAGCTGCAGCTGCTGCTGCGGCCGCCGCCTCGACACCTGTCGCAATCGCGCCGATTGCTCCAGCTGCCCCTGCTTCTGCAGCTGGTGGTGTCATCAATCCACAGACTTTGGTACAACCAGCACCGAATGCAGCGCCCGTCGGCGACGCAAGCGCCATTGTTCGCGCTGCCGCAGCATCAGCTAATGCCATCGCTGCCGCGGCTGCCGTTGCTGCTGCTGCCTCGCAGGTCGCAGGAAAACCTCAAGCACTGACCACAACAGCTGTTGCACAGCCTCGAGTATCAACGGCTGCTACTTCGTCAACACGCTCTGTCAGAACAGTAAACATGACCACGACACTTTGCAGCGCATGTGGCGTGCCGACTGCAACAGTCGTTGCGAATGCGCCCGTCGTGTTTACGGGAGCAGCGAGCAGTGTCAAGGCTAGCCAGGGTCGACTGTCTGTTATGGTCGGCCTTGCAGTGGGTGCCATTGCGGCATCCGGCCTCTTCTTGTAGGCTCTGCTATTGAACCACGTAGTACCCTAGCGAGCATAATCATGTCATGAACGAACCTCGGAATGTCGCTTGATTGACACAATTAGATTGCAGGTTAATGCATGTATGATGTATGTCACAGACTCACAGTATGTGAACTTGGGTCGCTTCGGAGATGCCCGTCTGAGGCTGACAGGCTGACAGCTCGATCGCTATCTTTGCGGGGAGCTGCAATCAAGGCAGCCAGTGTATTAGACCATGCATCGGCCTCTGCGAAGTAGAAGCGAGCTTGTGGCCCTGACATCGGAGGAGGCCGAGATACCAGGCCGGTGCCTGCTGAGTGAGCCCGCCAAGCGTAGGATGGTCCTGGACGGTGGAGGCCTCGGGTAAGTTGAGCAATCAAGCGACCGCTGCGAAAGATAAGAAACTTTTGCATTTCGCATAGAAAAGGCCCCGACCGCCGTCCCCTCCTGGACCACTGCTCACACGACGTTACACAAGTGACAAGATGGCCCGCTGGATGGACAGTCTCAACAGATCAGTAGCGAGGAGTTTTGTCGGACGCTACTTTAGGCTCTCAGGTAGTGGCCATGCCCTCTCTCGGGAAGGCTCGCTCTTCACGACCGAGCTGCGGGCTGGCCTGACCACTTTTGCCGCCATGGCCTACATCATCTCTGTCAATTCCACCATTTTGACAGACTCAGGTGCTACTTGCGTTTGCGAGTCCACCGCTGCGGATCCAATTTGTGTCACCAACGAGGCATATGCTGCTTGCTTGCAGATTGTTCGTCGTGATTTTGTCACAGGTACAGCAGCCATCGCTGCTTTGACCACCGTCTGTATGGGTCTCTTTGCCAATATGCCTATTGCTCTTGCCCCAGGGATGGGTCTCAATGCATACTTTACCTATAACGTCGTCGGCTTCCACGGCACCGGTCCAGTCAGCTACAAGCTCGCGTTGACTGCCGTCTTTGTCGAAGGATTCATCTTTGTCGCTCTTTCTCTTCTTGGTCTTCGTCAATGGCTGGCTCGTGCAATTCCAGCCAGTATCAAACTTGCTTCGGGTGTCGGCATTGGCTTGTATCTTGCTCTCATTGGCATGGGCTACTCGGCTGGTATCGGCGTTGTCACGGGTGCTACAGCAACTCCCCTCGAACTCGCTGGATGTCTCGAGTCGGATCTGGTGGACGGCGTCTGTCCGTCCTTTAGCAAGATGCGCAATCCGAGATTGTGGATTGCTGTCTTTTGCGGCGGCTTCTTGACAGTCATGCTGATGCTTTACCGCATCAAGGGGGCCATCATTGCTGGCATCCTTCTTGTCAGTGCCATCAGCTGGCCCCGATCAACCTCATTCTCGGCATTCCCTCACACACCACTCGGCGATTCCAACTTTGATTTTTTCAAGAAAGTCGTCTCTTTCCACGGTATCGAGAAGACACTCTTACAGCAAGAGTGGAATTTGGGCGGTGCTGGAGGTCAATTTGCTCTGGCACTCATCACTTTCTTGTATGTCGATATCTTGGATTGTACCGGTACATTGTACTCTATGGCTCGTTTCTCCGGCGCCATTGACGAGCGGACGCAGGACTTTGAGGGCAGTGCCACAGCATACCTGGTCGATGCATTTGGTATCTCCATTGGCTCTCTCTTTGGTCTGTCTCCAGTCACTGCATTCATCGAGTCGGCCAGTGGCATTTCCGAGGGTGGCAAAACTGGTTTGACTGCTGTGACAACCGGTATCTGCTTCCTCATCAGCTGTGTCGCTTTCGCGCCCATATTCTCCTCCATCCCGCCATGGGCAACAGGATGTACGCTCATCATTGTTGGTGCACTGATGAGCAAATCAGCTGCACAAATCAACTGGAAGTATATGGGCGACGCTATTCCTGCCTTCTTGACTCTTGCAGTCATGCCATTCACCTATAGTATTGCTTACGGTCTCATTGCTGGTATTGTCAGCTATGCTGTCATCAACACGCTCGTCTGGGTCCTTGAAAAGGTCTCAGGTGGACGCATCACCCCACCTGGCAAAGAGGATAAGGAGCCATGGACCTACAAGATCGAGGGCGGTGTATTGCCGCCCTGGCTGACGCGTGCTGTCAGGGGTCAACGCGACTTTTGGGTAGACCATGATCAGCTTGCCAAGGCAAAGCACGTTCGAGAGGAGCCCGGCAGCAACGAATCAATGTTTAGGCATCAGCATGAGATGGACTCTTATGACGGCAAAGCAGCTGCAGTCTTGACTGGAGCAGAGTTGACGATGCCAGATGCAGGCAGTAATTCGAGTCATTCGACCAAGAAGGCCACAGATATTGTGTAGATTTCGCTTTGTAGTCCATTGCACATCTTGGAATATCCTCCATTCATAACCTCTCGCGAAGTCACGATCACAGTCGCTCAATAACCTTCTAGGACTGTACTTGCTCAAACTCCACGAAACATCCTAAATCAAGCACAATTTGGCACCCCTTGAAAGCGTTGTTCGAAGAGCGCCACAAAGCATAGCACCTCGACAGCGAATGTCAACACTCGAGATAACCTGTAAGCCTAGAGCCGTAGTGGTAGCAAGCCCGTATAGCGGAAAAGGTCATCAATCATGAACGACAGCCTGCTTCTTGAGAGCCAGTTCAAGGACTTCAATCTCATGTTCCATCATTTCGGTCCAATTTCTGACATCTCCAAGGCTTTTGAGGGTTGTCAGACATTGATTTGAGGAGTTTTCCCACGTCTTTGCATGGGCTTGAGCCTGCTTGACTAGCGTTTCAAGCGTAACTTGTTGCTTTTGCAGCTGAGCCTTGTTTTCTGCAATGAGAGTGGTTTGCTGCGTGATGGCTGCATCGCGATCCAGCACCGGCGCGAGTCTATCGAGCATGACGGCTCCTTCGAGTAGCAGAGCTTGTCTTTCTAGTACATGTGGCTATCGGTTCTGTACCAAAGTGCTCGTTGTGTTGATTTGAGCGTGTGAAATGTGTCGGTTATCGTTATCGGGACTCGACACCTTCATAATCTCGACAAGCTAGCTACCATGGCTAAGTTGTAAGAAATCCCTGGTTACTACGCTTTGCTGACATGTGAGATGGGGTGGCCGATTCACTGGCGCGACAGATCCGCTCATGACGCGGTACAATGAGTCGCTTTCATACGACAAGCGCATGTATGCAGCGGACATCCAGGGCAGCATCACATACTCTCGTGCCTTGCAGAAGGTCGGGATCCTGGATGAACACGAGACCAGTGAAATCGAGCGAGGGCTCAAGCTGGTCCTGGAAGAATGGAAAGCTGGTACATTTGCAGAGCAAGAAGGCGATGAAGACATCCACACTGCCAATGAGCGTCGCTTGGGCGAGATCATCGGTACGGCTATCGCTGGCAAGCTCCACACAGGTCGTTCGCGTAATGATCAGGTGGCTACAGACATGCGACTCTACTTGCGGTCTGAGATTGACGACATTAGTGCGACATTGACCCAATTCCTCGACATTCTTGCAAAGCGTGCGGCCGTCGAAATTGACGTGCTCATGCCAGGCTACACGCATCTTCAACGAGCTCAGCCTATCCGCTGGTCTCACTTCCTCATGTCGCATGCAACCAACTTTTTGGGTGATTTGCAGCGCATCCAGCAACTCCGCAGCCGTGTCAATCGTTCGCCTCTCGGCAGCGGTGCACTTGCGGGCAATCCATTCAACGTCGACCGTGATTTCATTGCTCAAGACCTTGGCTTTGAAGGTTGCCTCGAGAACTCCCTGTCAGCAGTCTCTGATCGCGACTTTGTGGCAGAGTTCTTGATGTGGTCGACGCTGCTCACCTCGCATATCTCAAAATTCGCAGAAGACTTGATCATCTATTCAACTGCGGAATTTGGCTTTGTCAAGCTGTCAGATGCCTACAGTACCGGATCGAGTTTGATGCCACAAAAGAAGAATCCAGATTCACTTGAATTGCTTCGTGGAAAGAGCGGTCGTGTCTTTGGGCAAATGTCTGGCTTTTTGATGACCTTGAAAGGTGTTCCATCAACGTACAACAAGGATCTGCAAGAGGATAAGGAGCCGTTATTTGACTGTATCCGTACAGTGGCAGACTCTCTTGGCATTTTCACAGGCGTCGTGAGTACACTCAATATCAACAAGGAGAAGATGCTCGCTGCTCTAGACGATGGTATGTTGGCTACTGATCTGGCCGACTACCTCGTCCGCAAAGGCGTACCATTCCGCAAAACGCACCACATCTCTGGAGAATGCGTCAAGTTCGCAGAAGAAACGAGCCGGCCTATGCGCGAGTTGACACTGGATGAGCTACAAAAGATCGATGCTGGCTTCGAAGAGGATATTATGCAAGTATGGAATTTTGAGCAGTCTGTCGAGAAGCGTACTTCTCGCGGTGGTACTTCCAGAGCAGGTGTCGAGAAGCAGATTGCACTGTTGAAGGAAGCTCTTCAGGCATGAAAATGTCTCTCTGACTAGTCAAGCTGCACCATAGAATGCTAGTGAAGCTATTTTGAAGAGCCATGCAAGAAGATGCACCTATGGATGCTTGTTATTGGCACCATTTTGACTCATGCATTGCATAGGGACGGCAAAGTTGAGCTTCGATAGTGCCACACGGACGCAGCCCATTCACTCACGGTTCAACAAACCATGAGTGTACGAGCCGCATCAGATCTTGAGTCAACATCTTGTAGCTATAGATTGAAGTCTGTCCAATTCCATGAGTCCCATTGCTTCTCTGTCTCTGATTTTCTGTTTTGTCGCACGCAAAAGTCCAAGAGCGACGAGATGCAGACTGACTGCCATCTGCTGGACAAGGTGACGTCGACACACTTGAACATGCTCAGCAGGGGCCAGGCGTGTCGCATAGCGCGGAGGCTGCAATGCAGACAGCTGACTACGAAGCAGCAGCAGCATCCCGACACTGTCTTTTCCTCGCGCATTGTCCCGTCACCCTCCTCGCTGCGCCCTCCGAGACCGAAAGATCAGCCAAAAAGTCGCGTGCCCGTCAAGACTTTGGCTGCACTGCTTCTGGCCGGCGTGGGCTTCTTTGCATATGACAGAACGCACGGCAGATGTCTTTCGCGGACAGCCCGGACCGGTGTCACGGCTATATTGCTAGCCATTGACTACAAACTCAATTTCAATCCCGACAATGCTGAAAATATCATGGCATTACATGAACGCGCTGCACAGCGCATGTACGACTGTATTGTAGCGAATGGGGGTCTTTACGTCAAGGTTGGGCAGACCATTGGCATGCAGTCTGCAGTTTTGCCTGAACCTTACTCTCGCTTATTCAGCAACTTATTTGACGGTGCGCCTCAAGTACCTTGGTCAGAGGCTGCCAAGATCTTCGAAGATGATTTTGGAAGACCCATTGAGGAAGTCTTTGCGCAAATTGACCACCGGGCGACTGCTGCAGCATCTATTGCGCAAGTGCACAAAGCTGTGCTCAAGTCAGGTGAGGTGGTTGCTGTTAAGGTACAAAAGCCAGAGATTCAGCATCAAGTTGAGTGGGATCTCTGGGCGTATCGCGTTCTGCTCAAGGTGTACGAGCGCATATTTGATATCCCGCTATCATTCACCGCAGATTACACTTGCAGCCATCTATTGGACGAGACAGATTTTCGTCTGGAGAAAGAGAACTCTAAGCGGATGCAGCGCTTCATCGACAGCGAATCGAGCTTGGCTGAGCGTATCTACACTCCAAAAATTTACGACGAGTATTGCAGCAGACGCATCATGACGGCAGAGTGGATCGATGGAGTACGGGCGACAGACTCTGCCAAGATTGAAAAGATGGGCTTCTCAAAGTCACAGACGATGCGCGCTGTGGTCGATACGTTCAGTGCGCAGATGTTCAAATTTGGCTGGCTGCATTGTGATCCACACCCGGGCAATCTTTTTGTCAGACCGCATCCGCGGACAGGCAAATTCCAGATGGTGGTCATCGACCATGGTCTGTACATTAAGGAGAGCGATACCTTCCGCGAGCAGTATTGTCTCTTTTGGAAGTCACTCTTCCTAAATGACATGACAACGCTTAGGACTATTGCTGAGTCGTGGGGTGTCGGTGCGCCCGACTTGCTCGCTTCTGCTACATTACTACGACCGTATCGCCATGATCCGTCAATCCGGCAGACATCTCATACTGTTCCCAAGACGGAAAAGGAACGCAAGGAAGAAGCGTACGCTGCCCAAGTGGCAGTCAAGGAAAAGATTAAGGATTTCTTGAAGGACCAGGAAAAGATTCCACAAGAATTACTCTTTATCGGCCGTAACATGCGAATCGTGCAGGCCAATAATCAAGCAATGGGCAGTCCAGTCAATCGCATCAGCATCACAGCCAAATGGGCCTCAGCATCCCTTGGTTCATCCGCAAGCACGGGCCTTGCGTCGCGCATCAAGAATGCGCTCTCTCATGCTCGCTTTCTGGTGACAGTAGGTATACTTGACTTTGGCTTTTGGGCATACGAGATGAAGCGATGGGTTGGCTCAGGCTTTGGACTACTCAGGGACACGAGTGGTGGCTTTGAGGACGAGATCCAGCGGAACCTGAAGCTCATGGCCAAGGAGCAGTTTGGCATTGAGATCAATGATCAGGCCTTTGCTGGGTAGGTCTCTTTGGTTCAACCATGAATATCAATGTACGAATAGCATGTAGATTACCCTTTTCATTCCAAATGCTTTCCTGTCGTGAGCTCTTCAGTCTTCAGATGCAATTCACATGTCAAAATTTGTGTTACATCATCAAGACGGCAACATTCAATACTGTTTATTGCCTCATGCGACACTACCCAAAGTCAGAGGCCGAAGCAGCCAAGCTCGAGCCAGCTGTCGGCGATATAGTTCAGCTATTCAATCTACGATTCCGCTGGACGCGCCATCACAAATGCCCAGCACAGCTGGCTCCACTCCGTCAAACGTTTGATACTTTGGCAGATGAAGCTTTTGACGAGCTACAGCTGCAGCCAAAGCAGGATGCCTTCACTGCCCTGCAACAGGCAGTAGATTCTGGAACATCGCCAGCTTGCGCAAAGCTCTGGCAGCAAGTTGAGATCGTCCCAGAGTGGGTCGACTTTGAACAAATAAGGCGCGGTCAAGAAGTCTTTTTCCGCTATGTTGGACCCGCCCTGACAGGTTTGTTGCACGATTCACTTCTTGGAGGATTTGGTGCTCGCAGAATCTCTGAGGTTCTTGTTCGAACTGGGTCCTTTGGCGTGGAGAGTGCACGACGTCGCTTGATGCAGACCATGCAATGGGTACTGGATGTCATGCAAAGCCCAGAATCGCTAGAAGTGGGTGCATACGCCTGGCAGCAGACCATACGTGTTCGGCTACTTCACTCACATGTTCGCAAGCGCATACTCAAAATCTGTGAAAGCAATCCAGACTATTATGATGTGGCGGCATTTGGCATCCCTATCAACGATCTTCACTCGCTCGTCACGCTCACCTCCTTTTCATCAACGCTTATTGACCACGCATTTCCGTCGATGTTTGTCTACCTCAAGAAGCGTGATCGAGATGATTACATCGCACTGTGGCGGTATCTCGCCTACCTACTGGGAACAGATGACAGCTTCTTTGTCGATGCAGATATTGCACGCGCCACGCTGGAAAGCATCATACTTGCCGAACTGTGGCCAGATCTCAACGAGGGAGACTCACCAACCGCTACACTGCTGCACAATTCCATATCAGCCATGGCGGATACACCACCGAGCAGGATGAGTTATGATTACATTGTTGCGCAGGTCCGCTGGCTTCACGGTAACGAGTACAGTGATGCCCTTGGGTTACCCAAAGCAAGTTGGAAAGCTCAATTCTTTACCGGCAGCAAAGTCTGCTTCTTCCTCGTCATGGGTTTTCTGGGGCATGTCGTTCCTGGTCTAGATCGTCGAAGAATAGACCGTGTCAAGCCAATCTTGACGCGTATTATGAATGACAAGCAAATAGGACTTGGCGGGCCAGTCTTGTTTGAGATGGAGTGGTTGCCTGACTTGGCGGGCAAAGTCACCCGCACCGACCGAGCTGTTCCAAGTGGTGGCGGCGGCATTGGACCGGAGAAGCACTACTTGACTGCAGTCGCTGTAGTCGCAAGTGTATGCGCTGGCCTCCTGTTCGGCACTGCGCGGCTCGGGTGGTTCTTGGCGCATCGTGGCTTTGCATATGCATTTGTTCAGGGGTAGCGCATTCTATGCCAAACAAATGCCCATGTGTGCAGCAGATGACTTCAATGTTTGTGGCCATGCCTCGCATTCACGAGGGTCTGCATAAAAGACACACATCGCTGCGCCCACCTCTGTTCCCTCTACTGAATCTACCTGTCAAAATACAAATGCAATCGCGTGGAATTCCTGTCTGGCGCGGTCTGTACCTTTCCACCAACCCAGACGACTACGACAACTTGCGCGCCTACTACATCAAGCTGGGAAACTTGGTGTCTCAGGGCAGGACGCAGACTCTTGGCCGAATCAACAAGGTTCGTGCAAAAATTCAGAAGCCTCGTTCGCCACGCAATGGGGCACGTCAAACAGTGGTTGAACAAGATGTTGCGCCAGCTCCGGGAGAGGTGCCATAAGAGACAGCAGCCTGGTCGACCACTGCAGAAAGCGCCGACATTGGATCAGATTAAAATTCAGTCAGCACTCGCCCATCCATCGACGTGCTAACGTCTTTAGACGTGTTCAAGATTCGGACGGTCGTGTAGGGAAGTTGGATTTCAACATTGATGCGATCAGACGGTCTAGATGTCAAGTAGAAGCAGGGCTGTGAGTTGAGAAGCATGAAACACCTTTATAGAACAGAATACCTTTCCTGCAAATTGTCCTGTCACTTGTTCGCAGAAGATTATACGAAGATGACATTAATCTAAACGCTTCACTCATGCCCATTTGCCTAGTAGTGCCATGAGGAGTGCGCCCAAAAATACACAAGCAACCATGAACCCAAGCCTCTTCAAGCTCTTCGTGCGTGCTGGATTGAACAAGAAGTCTGCCGCCAGCAACTCCACGAGGCCCGTGTAGAGAAGGATACCTGCTGAGGTAGCGTCCAACACACCCGATACAATCTGAGCTGTGAAGGAGTCTGGGTTGTAAGTGGTTCGCACGCCCAGGCCAATAGCAATAGAAAGCGGTGTAGTCAGACCATAAGCAGCACAGAGCGCCCAGGGAAGCCAAGAGAGATGTCTCGGGAATGGAATGGAAGATAACCGAGCACCGACACCAAGACCTTCGAATGACTGGTGGAAGACAATGACCACGTAGAGCACCTTAAAGTCCTCCCAGCCTGCAACGGCCAGATTGAGACCAATGATCACGGAGTGGAAAATGACGCCGAATTCCAGAATGTAGAATGCAGCAATTTGCTGGTGGAAGCTACGCTGGATGGTCTTCTCGTCCAAGTCGCTATCGAGCGATGGCTCTGATTCCATATCGTGCGATACGCTGAGCTTTGTAGGAGCTGGCGTGTGATGTGCGTCGTGGATGTGTCCATTGTGAGTGTGAGTGCCATCTGCCTGTGAAGTGATGAGAGCTTCTGGGTTATGGACCGCATGATCTTCAACGACCCCATACTTATGCTCGACAAAGAGCTTTGCCCCAAAGTCCAACAAGAAGAGGAGCATCACGCTGGTGAGCATGATGGCTGGCACAAAGGAGTAAGAATCCCATCCGCTTGTGACACCAACGCAGGTCCCAGGGCCGATCGAGCTGTAGGCTGGATCCATCAAATGAATGAACGCCGTAGCGATAATGACTCCTGCACCAAAGTAGCGCGCAAACAGGTAGCCATAGAGCGGAATCCTGAACCAACGGACGCGGCGAGCGAGTACTGGAAAGAAGGTTGCGAAAGATGATGTAGCAAGGATCACAAAAACGGCAGACACTCGAACACCATCGCGGCCATCGTAATCATTGCCTTCGCCGCCGATACCTGTTGTGTTAGTGTGCGTTCAGACAGAGGCTTGAAGAGGTGTACCGTTCAGATAGCAGATCTTTTGTGCGAGACTCACTGTATCGTCTGCTAATGTGACATTTGCTAGTTCCGCAGACATGTTGGCTGTGACCTGGTCCCAGACCTTGTTATCCTGGCCAGCAGATGTTAAAAGAACAGTCCGCGCTGGAAGTAACTCACAAGGTATCTCGCAGGTCTGTAACTCACAAGGTGTCTGCCACTGTCTGCCGTCGCAAATCATTTTCCGGGCTGTAACCACCAAGGTGCCTGATACTGCAACAACTCACAACCACACTCGCGCTTGATACACGAAACAGAGACCGTGACGAGACATGCGCTGCGAGCACCTCGGTGTTATACAGGCTGCTGAAATACACTTGTAAGCTTGTAAAGCATGCCTGGACTATGCAGCTGCTCTGCGCAAGAAAGAGCTGGTCCTTAGTGCTTAATTTGCCTATCTTTACAGCACCACGCTGAGATCTCTGGTCAAGGCCCAACAGGCGTGCGGGAATCGGATAGATTCGTAGGCCATGGCCCATGACTATGTTAGACGATTTGAAAATTGCTGTCAGTCTGTCCTCAAACTGTTGGTATGTCACGGGCGCCAGCCTGCCCACTGCCCCGCTACTGCCACTGTCTGGCAGGTAGACAGCGCGCGCACAGCTTGACTGATCCGCATAATGTGAGTGCTTCCGCGTTAGGATCATGAGCTATACAAATGTTGTGCCTCTGAGTGACCACGGCTAAGCTTTTGTAGCCCACAGTTCAAAGAAAGCGTCCAGCCGCAGGCACGTCTGCTGCCCGGCTCCGTGTGATACAAACTTACAGCAGCGAAAGCACCAACTTCCTCTAGCTCTTGGGTCCAGTGGCAGCTCCATTTCATTGCTTCATGTTGTTCTATTTGATATCAAGCTGCGCGTACTGTGCCTTCGGCATGGGAGGATATCATTTCATGACAATCAAGGTTGCAACTGGCCCAAGCAAGAGCAACGATGCATGGACATCCTAGTGTTCGCGGCAAAAGGTTCCGAGCCAGTAGCTGTAGGTCTCGTGGTAGAAGGCATCAATCGGGCAGCACATTTTGAGCTACAGTCTATACGCTGAGGCAATGAGGCTTCGGATATAATGATTGCACCCAAGATCACTCCAGCTGCAGGCGGTGTATGTACACCGTAATGCTACTAGCCAGGTTGTGATTTGCTCATCTTTTCCTTGGCATCCTTTGCATTTCAGATAGAGAATGCTCAAAACATGCTGTAGTTTCTCTTCGATTGTCCAGCGAGTAAGAGTTAGTCATGCTGCATCAGGAGCTGACAAAGTCCGGGTGTGAAACCACCATAGTGTCTCACTGAACAAGTTCTAGTACTTCCTCAGGCATACATGTAGAGTGTGCACGTGTGCACGTAGGCTGATTGCTCCATGTCTCAATTTGCAAAACATGCCCATGTGATACCCGGTATGAGACCAAGGATCTACACTTTAGCACAGTACTTGATGTGGATGTAAAGTGTCAGTTATCACACAGTCGTCCTCGGGCCGTGTAGACAACGCTTTCTATGCCATGCTACCGCTGCCGTGCAATGACTTCGATGGACTTAAGTAATCCAGCGAACGACTACTTCTAGTATTGTCGATGTCATCATCGTCGCAGGACGAGAGTGGGCTACTTTCTAAATTTAGCGAGTATCGTTGGTGTCATCACCACAACGATGCAAGCCTAGCAAGGAAGAGCATCCATCCGATCTGCAGCTGCTGCGGTGATACTTACGGACGCGCGCTCCGCGGGCCGGTACTAGCTGACCTCATGACCCTTGGAGAGGTGTCATAATGGATTTCCCTTAAGCTTAGTTTAGCTTGGCTTAGACGGAAGCTCAAGCATGCCGCTTGCGTTATAACGGCCATTGGGCGTACCGGTCTAGCTACAGTGCGCGGACAGCACCGTATAAATGCATCTAGCCAGTCGCCACCCGAACAAGCATTTTCGCCTCGCGCGCGTCGACTTCGAGCCAGAAGTCGCGTTCCGGCAGATGAAATGCCGTTGCGGGCGGGGAATTTGATTCGCAGAAGGACTCGTGACGACCAGGACGATCAGCTCAATGGCCCCGAGAGACAGCAAGACCGGACCTGCAACTTGTCGTCATGATTCTCGTCTATGAAGACAGTAGGGCAAGTTCAGGCTATACCCACAGCTGTAGACTGCTTCTTGAGCTCTAAATAGCTCTGACTGGCGTTGCCAAGCATGCCCGTTCGTGTGGTGAAACTCAATCGATTGGCCCCGCCCTCTGGAGCCGCTGCGGCGTCTGCATGGTGCACACGCTGGTCGTCATGGCACACAATTGGACATCTACATGCTCAATCGAGTAACAAGGCTGGGGTCAGCGCTGGTACAAATACTTCTGCAGTCCCGAGTCTTTGTTGAAGTATCCAACAACATGAAGACTTTCACCGTTGCTTCCATTGCTGCTTCGCTCGCTGCAGTCTCTGCCCAAGGCGTGACCGCCATCATCTCAGCACCAGGTTCAGCACCCAGTGCATGCACAGTCTCTAAGGCAGGTGTCTTTGGCATCCAAGTCATTGCTCCCTCGGGTACTACAATGGCCAAGCGTCAGGTCACACAGATCGCCGACGGTCAGGTACAGGCCGGACGGGGTCCAGCAATCGCTCGACCAGTCACTCAGATTGGTGATGGTCAGATTCAAGCGCCACAGGGTGCAGCTTCTGCCCCTGCAGCTCGACCAGTCACACAGATCGGAGATGGTCAGATTCAGGCTCCCAAGGGTGCAGCTCCTGCCCCAGCAGCCCAACCAGTCACTCAGATTGGAGACGGACAAATTCAGGCTCCCACAGGTAACGCACCCCGCGTCGTTACCGTGACTGTGACTCGCGACAACTGTGTTGCTAGCCCCATCACTCAGATTGCCGATGGTCAGATCCAGGCACCTATGGCACGACCCATCACCCAAATCGGTGATGGTCAGATCCAGGCTCCTACGGGCCGCGCACCCGCAGGCAACCCCGTCACGCAGATTGGCGACGGTCAGATTCAGGCTCCTACTGGCCGACCAGTGACTCAGATTGGTGATGGTCAGATCCAGGCCCCTACTGGCAGGCCTGTGACACAGATTGGCGATGGACAGATTCAGGCTCCTAAGAGCGGCATGGTCACTGCCGTCCGTCCACCTGCCGCAGCTGCTACCAACGGCAAGTACGCTGTGCTCTCTGGTGCTGCTCAGGCTTGCGGATCCAGTGATCCTCTTCAAATCACCCTCGTCAACGGTGTCCTCCGTGACAACCAGAATCGTATTGGTTACATTGCTGCCAACTCGCAGTTTCAATTCGATGGTCCTCCTCAGACAGGCGCCATCTACACTGCAGGATGGTCTGTTTGCGCCAACAACACCCTTGCCCTGGGTGGTTCGACTGAGTTCTACAGGTGTCTCTCTGGTTCGTTCTACAACCTGTACTACAGGAACGTTTTGAACGCAGCTCAGTGTGAGCGCATTGCCATTGAGGCTGTGCAGCTCAACAACTGCTAAGTATCACTGCGATCAAACATCGTCGAAACTTAATATCTGTGTAGTAATGATTGAATGAGCATATTACTTTTCCTCGTGCTCTGAGACGGTGTCCCACTGACCCACTGTGTATGTCCTCGTGCTGCATCTGAATGTTTTGCCGTTCAAAAATCTCAAGCACACGCCGAATGGAGTCCTCACATTTGCAACATGGCCGGAGAGGACAAGGTCCAGGACGGCAACGTTGCGCAGAAGCCTATGTCGCCTCTGCAACATACTCAAGATGCAACGTTGCCAGAAGACCTCCATGAACTCAATCCGCTCGTGCAAAATTCGGCTGATGTTGCCCGCGACGTCGAGCAAAATTCTCTTATTCGCCCTGCAGAAGATGGTGATCAGGATGATGCCCCGAGGGCCAAGAGGCCAAAGCAGGAGAAGAAGCAAAGAGGTCAAAATAAGGCGCGCAAGTTTGCCAATTCGAAAGATGAGGTGCGACTGTGCTCACAGATTGCCCGTGGCGAATCGTGCACCTTTGAAGGCGATTGCAAGTATTCACACAGCTTGAAGGATTACATCAACACCAAGCCCCCTGATATTGGACCTGAGTGTCCCATCTACTCAGCAATTGGTCATTGCGACGCCGGCTTCCGTTGCCGCTGGTTGACAGGCCATGTAGAAAAACCAGATGTTGCAGATCCAGACAGTTGGAAGCTGCTTGGCAAGCCTAAGCAAGACCTGTCAGAGCTATGCAAAACGCATAAGTCCATCGAGAATATCCTCTCGCGAGAGACCATGCAGGCGATCAGAAAGAAGGCCTTTCGCACGAGCAAGTCGGATGCCTACTTGAAGTATCTATCAGATCTGATGGCAAGCGAGGAGAAAGATGCAGCAGACAAGCCAGATGTCCCTTTCAGACCAAGCGAGAAGAGAAGTCTCGACTGGAGCAATACAAAGATTCTAGCGCCGCTTACAACGACTGGCAACATGCCATTTCGTCAAATCTGCCGCGAGTATGGCGCGGATGTGACATATTCTGAAATGGCGCTTTCTGTTCCGCTACTCTCAGGTTCTGCTAGTGAATGGGCCTTGACCAGAAGTCATCAAGCAGAACGCGACATGCGCAATGGCCGTCGTGGCATCTACGGCATCCAAATTGCAGGTTCTAAACCAGCTATGGTTGTGCCAGCAGCTGAAATGCTCGCAACCGAATTTGAATCCACACTCGACTTTGTTGACCTCAATTGCGGCTGTCCGATTGATCTTGTCTTCAAGCAAGGCGCTGGCTCTGCTTTGTTGGACAATCATGGTCGACTGCTCAAGATGCTCAAGGGTATGAGTCTGGTCACTGGCGATGTTCCAGTGACTGTCAAAGTGCGCACCGGCGTTAAAGATAAATGCCATACATCCGGCAAGTTGCTTGCACGTCTCAATGCAGACGCGTGCGTGTCTATGGTCACTCTACACGGAAGATCGCGTGCGCAGCGATATTCGAGGCCTGCAGATTGGGAATACATTGCCTCCTGCGCAGCGAGCATCAAGGCTTATCAGGCACAGGCCGCTGGCGAAGATTTGCGCGGCAAGCATGCCGAATATGGCTACTCGCAAAAGCTCGCCTTTGTTGGCAATGGCGATGTGTACACATTTGAGGATTGGAACCGCAACATGCAGTCTGGTGTTGACGGCTGCATGATTGCGCGCGGCGCCCTCATCAAGCCATGGATCTTTGAAGAGATTGACAAGCAGCAACATCTCGACAAGTCGGCCTCGGAACGTCTCGCTATGCTCGACCAGTATTGTAAGAACGGCCTTGCCTGTTGGGGTGCGGATCAGATGGGCGTTGACAAGACTCGACGATTCCTTTTGGAGTTCATGAGCTTCCACCACAGGTATGTACCTTCTGGCGTACTAGCGGCCATGGGAGAACCTATCCAGATGGGCGACCGCCCGCCAGCGTGGACGCCCCGCAATGAGGATGAGAAGCTGCTTGCTTCGATGGATTGCGCAGACTGGGTCAAAATCTCTGAGCGCTTCTTAGGTAAGGCTGCGGAGAGCTTCAAGTTTGTGCCGAAGCACAAGGCCAATAGTGTGAATGCAGAAGGTTAGATCATTCATGTGTGTAGCTCTTGACTCGAGAATAGAAGAAGGACTTGTCGTGCCTCAGATTGAAGTCTGTCACCTCACCAGACTGTGGGTGTATGCCGTAGAAGCGACTCCACGCAAGCTTGTTCTGCCGGCCTCTTGAAGTCGATTTGATTTTGAGGTCCATAAAGAAGACGTAGGAAGCAGGCCCGCTGGCCTCGATAGCAATCTCCCCAGCAGCATTGATTTGCCAGCGGCCTCGTTGCAGTCCTTTGAGCTTTGATGCTTTGTGAACCTGATGAACAACCTCTGCTGGTTCAGTTGGTGTCAACAAGCACAAGCAGCACCCATCAGGGTAGAAGCGAAGATAGCGAAAGTAAGTGACAAGATGGACGATGTTGTAGATGGAGCCATCACGCTGGCCAGGACGCGTATAGTGGCAGGTGGCAATGTAAACACCACTAAAGCGTATTCGAGGTCGCTCAATGAACATCCGCTGCCAGTCGTCACCGTACGCCTGCACCTCCATGTCCATCCTATCTTGCCAAGACTTTTCTGCCGACTTTCCGACCTCAAACCCAGCGTCATCGTAGGCCTGTTCCATATACGTCATTGTGCACAAGTCCTTCCATATGGACCGTTCTTGGGCAATGAGGCAAAACTTTTGGCAAGTCAAGCTGATGCTTGTGAAGGATGTGGAGTCCTCATTGATGCAGACGTGGATGATATTCTTGAGAACCTCATCAGGTAAATCTGATATTGAAAGCCGCTCTGTTTCAGTCTCGATAGGCATCCGCATCCGTGACATGAGTGACAGGACTTCATCCATGCCTTCTGTACTGCTGGTCTTGTGGTCGTAATCTGGCCGAGTCTGCACAAACTTGGCATATCCAGTCTCTTCCAGAGAAGCATTCGCCACATCTGGGGTATCAATCGTCAGACCAGCTCGATAAGCATCCCGAAAGACCCCGTCGACGCCACTGTCAAGTTTGTATGCTTTGCGATAGTAATTGAGCGCATCTTTGAGAGCTCCTTGTCTTTCTCTTTCGATTCCTTTTTCATAGAGCTCTAGTGCACTGAGCTCTGGTTGTTCGACAGGTGTCTCAACAGGCTCAATGCTTGTCTCTGGTTCAGTAATTACTTGCGAGGGCGCTGCAGCTTCCTCGTCAACAGCCGTCTTGGCTGCAGTATTTCTAGCTGGTCGATCAGAAGCAGGACCTGAGCGTGGTGCATGTTGCAGCGACTGCCTCCAGCTGAGCCGGAAGCGTTCCAACTCATCTTCCATGGCCGTCAGCGCAAGACAAGGTCAAGCGATTGCAAGTTGGTACGTGCAAGTCGATGCGTTCATCGCTCCAAGAAGGGGAGCTCCTCCCAAATTATTCTTTTTCTGGGCGACGATTCAGCTCGAGAAACGCTACAAGGACAAGTGCAGCAAGCGTGATGGGTGCATTTGGCAGGTCTGACGGACAGAAAAAGCAGCATAAAGAGCGTGCTCAGCCCTTCAATCGTGAGCGCTATGGATTGCTTGAGAAGAAGAAGGACTATGTCTTGCGAGCAGATGATTACAAGCAGAAACAAGCGCGCTTAAAGACTCTGCGCTCCAAAGCTTCTCAAAAGAATGAGGATGAATTCTACTTTGGCATGGTCCACGGCCGAACGCGCCGCGGCGTTGCTGTTAAAGAGCGTGGAAACCAGGCGTTGACTATGGACGCAGTCAAGATTTTGAAGACACAGGATGCTGCGTACATAAAAACGGCAACCGCCATTGAGCGGCGGAAGATTGAGCAGCTGGAGGCTGCGCAACATATGCAAGAGGATACGCAGGGTACTGCGGGTAGTGAAGACGAAGCGCCGAAGAAGCGTAAAATTTCGCGCTCGTTGTTCATGGAGGCAGATGAGGATATTCGAGACATCGTGCCTAAATCGTCCCAATCGAAGAAGCTCGAGGGAGATGTGCAAGATTCAGAATGGCTTACAAAGATTGCAAAAGCCAAGGTGAGAGCCAAGTTGGAGCTAGCGAGCCGGCAAGACCGTCTAGCAAAGCTTCAAACGCTAGAAAAAGAGACTGCCTTGCATCGCAATCTCCAGACCAAAGGTGCACGAAAGAAGGTAGGCACAGACAAGGATGGCGTCGCAAAATACAAGTGGAAGCAAGAGCGTAAGCGTTAGTGTAAACATGATCCATTATTATCCTTATGCACAATTACATGAGATGTGTGTCATTCATCTGAAGCGGCCAGATGCTGGCTGATCATTGTATTGACCGTATATGTCGCTCAAAATGTCAGGGCTATCGTTTCGGCTCCGGCCTGGTGAACTAGCAGGGTAAGGTGGGAGGGTCGTGTGATCTGGCGTGTCAGTTCGAACAGACTCCTCAGGGAACCGTTCTCCAACTTGGCGCCAGTCTGGCACGGGAGCACGAGGCTGCGGGGCCACGAGCGGCGGCGGTCTTTGACTGAAGGGGGTCGAGCGATCCTGCGTTTCTTGCCATCGCGGCCTCTGCTGAACATTCCTGTCTGAAGCCCCTGGTTGAGGCCGCCCACCAGAGTTTGGTACACTGTAGTTGGATTGTGATTGCTGCTGTTGCTGCTGGTAAGGCTGTTGAAGTTGCTGCCTTGGAGGCTCCGGAAGCCGACGTGGCGGTTGATTGTCGTAGCTACCTGGAGGGGGCCTCGCGAAGCGCGGTTGCCTAGCAAAGGGATCAGATCCATACTGTTGCTGGCCTGGCATAGACAACTGTGCCGCTGAAACAGTATTGGGACGCTGGAACCCGCTGGGTGGTTGCCCACCAAACCTAGGCAATTGTTGATCCTGATGCGGCCGATGGGTCTCAGCAGACGCCCATCCGCCAGCTTCGCTCTCTTTATCATCTAAGATGGCTACTGCAGGCAATGTGGGTCGTTCTACTGCTTGAGAAGTATGCCGGGAAGAGGCTTCTGGCTGTTCAGCTTTCGGAGAATCAGTAGTGACAGAGCCATCATCTCCAATAACTGCAAATTTGGGCTTCTTGAGATCATTCATAGCGATAGGGTACTCTGGCATATTGGGTAGACCACCCTGGCGATAGCCATAACTTGGATTGCCAAGCAGGTTTGCCCCTTGGCCAAAATCGCTCGCCCTGCGCTTCGACTTTGAGCCGCTACAGCAGCAACATGCGACGCACTGCGCCCAGCAGCAGAAGCATGTGAAGAGAATCAATAGAAAGACAAAAATGACCACAGCCATGGGTATGCGGCACCAGTTTGAATGGATGCAGTTGCTAGGACTCGAGTATGCCGCTTTTAGCTGGTCGAGTATACTCAGAGCGCTTCGCTTGCGCAGCGGACTATCAGCCATCATGAGCATAATGTCAATACGCTCCGGTAGCGCTTTTCCAAATGCGCGTCGTATCAGCACAGGAAAAGCAGTGCTGAGTGTGCCAAGTAGAAGAGTTGGCCAAGGTTTTGCGCGTGTTGATTTTGGCGTTGCGACTTTGCCCCGTTGAATCCGTTTGACAGATCTGGGCCATCTGGCCCAAAGCAGCAAGCGGCGGGAATGGGGGCATCAGATCATCAGATCATCAAATCATCATTATTTCGGATTCTATGAATCTAGGAAGAGGCATTAGTAGAAGTCGTGGCAGGTAGACCAGGCATATATCATTCAGCATACTCTGCAATAACAGACTTTGGCTCCACATAGACACCGAGTGGCTTGTACTCAAAGTCGTAGCCGAATGCTTGCGGCCCACCAAGCTCTAGGCCAGCAGGGGTGTCTGTCCATCGCGGCGAAGCAGTGATGCCCAGCACTGTGACACGCAGGCCATAGCGGAACTCTGGAACGCCAAGATTCTCACCGCTTTGACTGTCGAGTACGCAGACGAGGTCTGGAACAGATGCAATGATTTCACGCACGCCAGCTGGCGACTCCCACTCTGCCAGGATGTTTTCGTTTTTGAAAGGGATTCTCAAGAGACCGTCCGTCTTGAAGCAAGGGGCTGCTCCTTCGTCTGCGTCCTTTGAGAGCGGCTCAATGGTGATGCTGCCGTAAGAATGGCCTTTGGACACCTTTGACTCCACTTCAACAATTTTGCCAGCAAAGAGCTTCTTGGCTGTTGTTGGCCCACCCACCTGGTCAATGATGCGGTCTGCGACTTGCATCACTTGTGCTTTGCGCTGACAAACATAGATGGCACGTCCAATGCGCCACGCAAGCGACATTGTGTTGAGGACGGCATATTTGCGGACGCGATCAACCGTAGTAGGCTTTACCGCCATTCCAACTCTGGAGCCCATCTCAGTACAGGCTGCGCGCAGTGCTGTGTCGACGATACGATCATTGCTGGCCTTGGTCATGATCATGTTTTTGCCATCACCAGAAGCAATCGCAGCCGGCACAAGGCTATCCCTTTCGTACACGCAAATCGTTGTCTGCCAATAAGTCGGATAGGCACGTCCCATCCAGTCCGCATCAAGGCAAGGGCGATCAAAGAACTTGCTAGAGCCCATGATGAGAGGCTGTAGGCCATTTCCACCACCAATCTCAAGCGACATGACGGCACTGTAGGATGGCGTTCGCGTGTAATCGAGCAGCTCGCGCATAGCATCCACGACTTCTTCGGCTCCAAGACGTTCAACAGAGACTGCAGGGGATCCCATGTGGCCGCCCCACAGCACGGTCTCGCAATCTTTGAAAGCTTCGACCTCTGCAATGCGCAATACATGGCCAGCGCGGAGCATGTCGCGTAGCTGAAGATATTCGGGATAGGGTGACCCTCCACCGGCGCAGCCAAGGACATAGCAGCCCATGGACATGAGCTTCAGGTCAATCTCAGAAACCACCCATTCGCGATTCTTGTTGATGGTTGGCTTATATGTGTCCATGTCAACATCAAGTTCTCTAGTGTTGGAAGAAGCCTTGGCTGTTGGCCTGGCAGGTGTGAAGTCTTCAAGATCGTCAGAGTCGTCCTGCACAGTCCTGGAGAGGTTGGTAATGTCCAAATCACCCACGCATTTGACGATGACGCGGATTCGATTGGCAGTATACTGGATGGGAATGGTGTCGAGCTCTGCAACGGAGATGGTATGCTCGTCGGCGCCGGCTTCGATGGCTCGCTGTTTGGCTTTTGCTGTACAGCGTGCGATGACATCCTGGAGTGATCTGTCTGCGAGATCCTCGATGCAGTCCACTGTACCAGACACTCTTGCGATGGACGCACCTACTGCATTGGCGACATCGTGAAATGGCGGGCGGATGACGACGCTAGCGCCAGGAAGTGAGTCTGGTGCAATGATGCTGCCACCGCCGACGAGCAGCACAGGAATGGGCTCTGGAGAAGTCTTCATCAAATCAACGACATTGGTAAGCATCTCACAGACCTTTTCCTGTGCTGCTGTTGTAAAGTCAAGTGAGATGCCTTGCACTAGGTCGATGCTGCCCATCTTTGCATTCCCGTTTCGAACTGCAATATCACTTGCAGTCTGGGTACCGCCGCCAAAGACAAGCGCTTCAGTAGAGAGCTTGTATCCTACTGAATCAGGGCCAACCGTAACGCCGTTTTTGGTGCTTCTAACAATACTGCCTCCGCCCAAGCCAATCGAGGTGACATGAGGCATAGAGTAATTGATGCGCACGCCTTCAATGGAAACAAAGGCACTCGCTTGCCTCGGAAAGCCAGAGGGGAGGAGCATGCCAACATCTGCAGTGGTGCCGCCGATGTCGACAACGATCATTTTGCAGTTGCCATCCTTGCCGGAGCGCGCTTCCCTTGAGAGATAGGCAGCACCGCGCATTGAATTGGTGGCACCTGATGAGAATGTCTTGATGGGAAGCTTGGCTGCAATCGTGCCAGAGACGATAGTACCGTCATTTTGAGTGAGGTACAGACCGCACGAAAGATCCAGTCGCTTGAGCACAGCTTTGAAACCACGAATGGTCCTTTGAGCGAATCTCAAGATGGAGGCATTGAGAATGGCAGCATTCTCCCGCTCGAGGAGGCCGACGTTTGCAATATCACGCGAGCAAACAATGACGAGTTCAGGGACCTCTTGCGACATTATCTCGCGCGCATTCTCTTCCTGGAGAAATGTTTCGTCAATCGGCGAGTAGACGCCAGTCAAGACAACAGTCCTCAGTCCCATGTCTCGGATCTTACGGGCTTCTGCTCTGAGCTCGTCTGGGCAGATTGATGCAATCTCATCGCCGTCAATATTGCAGCCTCCGGCGCAGAAAGCGTAGTAGCCACACATGATTTGCTTGAGCGCAGGCGGGAAATCCGAGAATGGAGGAGTACTGCGCGTAAAGTGAGCCGACAGCCTGATCACAGCGACACTATCAAGCCTGCCTTGATCCTGTTCGACCACTGCGTTGATGAAGTGTGTGGTGCCAATTACAACAACGGCGATCTGCGACGGGTCAACGTTGCTTGACTTCAAGACTTGCGAGATGGCTACTTCAATGCCGTCTGTGACATCCACCGTGGTTGCCGTCTTGTAGTGAGCAACGACACCACAGTTCGGCGACGACTTTTCAGCGTCGCATACCAGTACAGCATCGCTGTTCGTTCCACCAACGTCTACGCCAATGCGATATGACTTCTTTGTAGCGTTGTAGAGAGCTGACAGATTGTCGACAGAGGGAGCCATTCTGTTGCAATGCTGCGTTACGGCGGGAGATGTGCTCCCTATATACAGAGGCGGCGGACTGCCCCCGACCGGATTGTTGTGTTGCAAACAAAATGGATGCGGTATCTCACCAGGAGTGATCTGTGTCTGTTCAACGTTCTCAGACATGGAGCTTATGCAAATTGAAGCACAGAATCAGACGTGAAGCATTAAATGATCGGCCGCCCCACAGATGCGGATATGAACCCTGCCCGGCGTATGATTAAGCTTCATGGACTCGAAGATGCGGTCACTGCGTCCTCGTTCTTGTTGTCGTCGAGATGAGCGGCTGGGATATGAAGCTGGCGTCGTTGCGTGGCCCCGACCCTTTTGGGATAACTTTGTAGTGCGTAGGGTCGCTGACTCCGACGCTGAGTCAGACGCACTGATTTCGCGGGTGCATCTCCAGAGTCCAGGGGGCCCGTTCGCCTGGAATCGAGATCTCTGTTTGACTGCAAACTTTGACGACGGGCCCAGAGTCCAGGCGCGATTCATTCTGACACGTGTGCCTGATTAAGCGAGCGCAAGACAAATTTGAAGTTTTGAAGAGTTTGACAGCAGGCAGGAGCGCTCCTTCTCCGCGGATCTACTCACAAGACATCATATCTATCTTTGTGCCCGTGTGTCGCTCGCCTCTCCTCTCTGTCTACCTCTCTTGTGAGGCCATCAGTTGCTTCACTAATACTGCCGCAAGGGTCTGCTCCGTCAAATTACCTCAAGAGCGCTTGTTTGCGCAGAGCAACTGCAGTCACAGACGCTTATTTTGACCTGCATTACTGCTGCATCAGGCTCCGAAGTCCAGCAGCTCCAGCCGAAAGTAAAGCTACTTCAAGGCACAGTGCTTAATACGACATCACTCTTGCAGCGCAGCTTGCCATGCTTAGGCGCTTTTGAAAGTTGCTCCTGAAAACAGACCAGGCATATAACGGAGGAGCTCCTGATCTCGACCTCACAAAGTCCTCACAAGACACCACGAGGAATGGACGTGCTCCGCAGTTTCAATGCACGCATCATTCTGAAAGCTGAGAAGGAACACCCCTTGGGATCACACTGGATAAACGAAGATGTAAAGCCACTGCCGCCCTCACGTCGTACGTGGGGTGTTTGGTCATTCGTGTCCTTCTGGGCCATCAACAATCTCGTCATTTACTCGTGGACCACTGGCTCGACCTTGATCGGCCTTGGTTTGTCTGTCTGGCAAGCCATGCTCGCTGTCATCATTGCACGCATCATCATTATCCTCATTGCCGTCTTTAACGGTTACGTCGGTGCTGAGTGGCACATTGGCTTTGCTGTTCTATCACGATTTGTCTGGGGCTTCTGGGGCTCTTTTGTTCCTCTCGTACAGCGCATCATCTTGTCTATGGTGTGGATGGGTGTTCAAGCATGGACTGGCGGGCTCTGCATTTCCGCCATGCTCAGTGCCATTTTCCCTTCCTATCAGAACATGAGGAACACTATGCCAGCATCAGCCAATATGCAGACGAAGCAATTCGTCGGCTTTGTCATCTTCAATTTGATGACTTGCGCCGTCATTTGGAAACCGGTTGAAAAGACTCGATGGCTCTTCTTTGCCTTCAATATTGTCACCTTCTTGACCATGCTAGGTCTCCTGGCTTGGTCTGTCGACACGGCTGGCGGTGTAGGAAGGCTTCTCTCAGCCCCAGGCAAGACACAAGGGAGCTACGAAACTGGATGGGCTATTGTCAAGGCCATCTCGAGCGTTATTGGCAGTATTGCTGTTGGACTGACCAACCAACCAGACTACTCGCGCTTTGCAACGAAGCCCGGTGACCAAGTCCATGGTCAAATCTTCTCCATCTTCTTCTTTGGCACCATCGTTCCTTTCCTTGGATGCGTCACAGCTTCAGCAACCCAGCAAATCTATGGCGAAATTGTTTGGAACCCGCCCGACATTCTTGCTCGCATCCTCGATGACAATTACACGTCCAAGGCCCGTGCAGGTTGCTTCTTTGCAGCCGTAGGTCTCACACTTTCCCAATTAGCCATCAACTGTATCGATAATGCCTTTTCTGGTGGTTTTGACTTGGCAGGCTTGTTTCCAAGGTACCTCAACATTCGCCGAGGCGCTTACTTGACGCTTGTTATCGCCATCTTGTTTCAACCTTGGCAGCTGCTTTCCAGTGCATCTGTCTTCCTGTCCGTTCTCGGGGTCTATTCTACCTTCCTAGGACCTATGGTAGGCATCATGATCACCGACTATTGGTTCATCAGGCGTCGCAGGGTGAAGCTGAGTGACTTGTACAAACCGAGTCCCAGCTCCATCTACTGGTTTACCAAGGGTTTTAACTACCGCAGCTTTGTCGCTTGGATCCTTGGCTTTATCTTTCTTCTGCCGGGCTTCGTGCACAACGTCAATACCAAGATCCATGTGCCAGAAGCCTTCAAGAACTTATACTACCTTTCTTTTCCCCTTGGCTTTGCCATTTCGGCCACAGTCTTTTATGGCCTCAACAGTTTCTTCCCTCCAGCTGGACTAGGAGAGATTGACGAATTTGACATGTTTGGTACATTCACCGAGACTGAAGCACGTCGACTTGGTGTGAATCCGTTGACCCTCACCGCAGTCGATTTTCCCAGCAAGCTGATCACCGGTTCCACCACATCTGAGAAGACAATTTAGCGTTTGCGATGCTTTATATTTGATTGTTTTAGCGCCAGCTATAGATGAATTGATGCCCAATGCCCATGCTGTCTTGTTTGCGACACTTGCAGTTGGGACTCTGCTCGTAATCGAGTGGTAGAGAAACGCCGCTGACGTTGAACAAAAGTCCGAACCCACCTCCAGCGGCAATGAGGCCGACCGGTGTTTGCCCTTCCCGCTTTAAGCGATGCAGTGCATCTTTGCTTGACCTTCATCATCAACATCCTCTCCACAAGCACAAGACTAGACCTGGATACAAGCTTGTTGCAGTATGGAACACACAGCGCTGGCAGATCTCGAGAGTGCGGGTCTGCACAAACCAAATGGCGACTTGCGAGCTCGCAATCCTCGCATGGCCGTGCCGCAGCATCAGTATGAAAGCTGGGCGCCCAAGTTTCGAGCCATTCAGTCGCAAGGACCGTCCAAGGAAGATAAGGAGAAGAATAAGAGCGAAGACTTGACTTTTGTCTCAAAGGCGAGACGATATCTGCGCGAACCACTCGCGGAGTTTGTCGGTATATTTGGCAATTTGTTTAGGTCGCATGCTCATCAACAGGCACAATGATCTTGATCTTATTTGGTGATGGCTCTGTTGCACAAGTGACTCTGTCCAACAATGAATTCGGCTCGTACCAGTCGATCTCATGGTGTTGGGGCATCGGAGTCATGCTTGGCGTATATCACGCAGGTGGTATCTCTGGAGGTATGCTTTCTATTGGGCCAAGAGGTCTACTAACGGCAGCTCACTGTAAGGCCTTTTGAACGCTGTCCTCTGTCTAACTTTAGTGAGTAAGTACACTCTTTTCCTACGGCGACACTAACAATAGACCCTGCCGTCACGTTGGCGAACTGCTTGTTTAGACGCTTTCCTTGGAAGAAGCTTATTCCCTACAGTATTGCTCAAATTCTCGGAGCCATGGTCGGTGCAGCCATTGTCTATGCAAATTATCAAAGTGCAATTGACCAATTTGAAGGTGGAGTCGGTGTCCGGACAACCAAGACCTCGGGCATCTTTGCAACGTATGCACTGGATGCACTGACGCCTGTTGGACAGTTCTTTTCGGAGGTCGTGGCTACCGCCATTCTAATCATGACCTTGTTTGCAATCGGTCAGTCTAAGGATATGGCAATATGATGCTGACCAGCAGGTGACGAACAAAACAATCCTGCGGGTGACTTTGGTCCGCTCATCATCTTTTTCCTTATCTTTGGCCTCGGGGCGGCCTTTGGTTACGAGGTTTGTTGTTCTCTTGATTAAGCATATGGCTAACGGTAGACTGGCTATGCTCTCAATCTCGCTAGAGACTTTGGGCCGAGACTCGTCTCTTACATGCTTGGCTACGGCAAGGTTGTCTGGACAGCAAACGGGAACTACAGTATCATTCCATGCACAGCGCCCTTTGTCGGAGCTATCATTGGTGGTCTCGTCTATGATACACTCATCTTCACGGGAGACTCGCCCCTGAACCGACGCCATTTTGGAATTGACGAGTGGCGCTGGCGTCATGGTGTCAATACGATTGTCGAAGATGTCGTGGATGCGCTGCCAGATGCTATGGTGCCTGGCAACCGCGATGACAGCTCTTCAAGTTCCACTGCCGAAGGAAGTCGCGAGCGTCAATCCACGCTACAGGGCTCTAAGGACAAGCACAGTGAGAAGAGAGTTGACTTTGCAGGAGGGCACCTGGACACGCACGAACAGCTTGCGGATGCATCTCAACAAAACATGCCCATCGGTGGACCGCCTCATCTTGATGCTACTGGACGGACTCACAGCATCTAAACCTTAAATGGATCAATGTTGACGTATGCGCTTGATGATCGGCCAGTACAGCCCCGGCTCTCATTTGCATCGATGGAACTTACAAAGAGGCCGTCGCGAATCTTGGTGAGGGATGTGGAGCCCACCTTCTGAAAACGAGGACGACTGGTTGCAAATATGGGACTTCAATCCGTGAAAGCGCTGTCGGAGAAGAAGCCCATGGCTGGACTGCGAGACACAACGGGTCGATTCTTTGGCCTCAGCATTATTGCAGATGTCGTCGTTGAAAATACTCAAGATACCAGCAGGTCAGCCGGAGGCTACAAGAATTTGTCGCTTCACCGTCTCTGCAACAGGTTCCCCTTTGATGAGTGAGCTACAGACTTTGCGGGTTCTCATGTGCGTGACGCGGGATCATTCGATTGTCGTCCTTGCAAGTGCTGCTCAGGGCTACTTGGTGGCAGATTTGTCTTTCACAGCTGACAACTCTGACGAGCACGTAGAAGTCTTCTGAGAGGACGACGAAGTTTTGTCTCGACATGTTGTCATTCGAGAGGTAGGCCAAAGCTTGTGCAGCGCGTTGGTCCTCTTTGTTTCCATCACTCACATCGACCGAGTCGCTGATGAAGTTGTGGACTGTTGAATAATCATTATGACTAGCCAGCTGTAATACTTCGAAGTAATTGTAAGCTCTCAGAAGGTTGATGACGATCTCTCAGTCGAGTCTTCGCAGATCGTAGTCGTGCTTACGACGGGATTTCGCCAAGGACTGCTACAATGAACGACAACGCCAAGCTCCTGTTATTCCCCAGAGATTGCGGCAGAAGCCAGCCATATGATGGAGAATGCAATCGCAATTGCGGGTTTCTTTTTTGGTTGCCAGCCCATCTCGTGAGTTCGATCTCGATTCCCTGATGGGTGACTTGGGCGACCTCAGCTTTAGTACTCTACGGACAAACGTCCTGGATATAATAGCTGTCTATCTTCAAAGTGTAGCGGTAAGATGCTCCGATGACTAAATTGTACTCAGGCTGCCGTATATTCAGTGCTTTCAAGATTAGCTCTTCGCTCTCAAATGAAACTAGACTCACCTGAAAGACCACTCTTCCAAGCCATAAACACGGCTTCCTGTCTCAGTCACCGACAGCAGCATCGAGGTCACTGAACAATACGTCGTTGTGCAAGCTGTTAGCCCCTCTGGCAACGCCTTCTGACTCGTGGTGTGCCAACACCAAAAGCTGCATTTCCGTTCAGTCGTAGCGGCAGTGATGACTGCAAATGCCAAATGGCAAGCGCATTTGCAAACTGAGCAGATGCGTACATGCTTCAATCAGTCTCACGAGAGATTCCAGCTCACTGCAATCAGCGTATTGCCGACAGAGTTGCTTGTATGGATGTCGCTGCTGTACACAAGGCGTGTATAAATGTGCTTCCACCACTCACCATCAACTAAAACAGGCTCTGGCGAGCAAGCGTGCCAATGCCATGCGAGGCGTTGACCGAGCGCACTGTTGTCAGAGACTGAGGAGTGTTGCGTATGACTGACTTGAACACGATGAGGACAGCCGGGACAGCAGATGTCTCTTGGCAAGACGATGCACGCGTAGCATATCGAGGCCTGCCCTGCTCACCAATGTAACATGTGCGCTCGGTGGAGAGCGAATGGTCTTTGGTCGTTTCGTTCCATCCAGGACCATCCTACGTTTCTGCGATTGAGGGGTTGCGTTAACGGTGGACTGGGTCGTTGAGATGTATTCTTGCTGCTTCGGTCCCTTATTTTCCGTGCAATCAAGGAGTTGTCCTGCTTGTCCACCTCCACAAGTCTCTAGCTGAACTGGGTTTCCGCTGCGGTCTTCCAAGGTTCAAGTCTAGACTAAGGACCAAGTAGCTGCACAGATTCTGCCCTCGCTAAAAGTCTAGCAAGCTGGCATCTGACGAATCGGCAATATGGCCATGACTTAGCTCGCCAGCTGATTCACCGCACTGTGCAGTAACAATGTGTGGTCACTGGTCAGGCTCGACTCGATGGCGAGCGGAACATCACCCATAGGTGAGTCCGGCTAATACTTGTCTCTTGATTTCTCCAGTCTGATGAACATTGAGCAGTTTCTCCGAGGAGACCTTGGAGATTCTGGTCAGCGGATCTCGGTCAAACCCTTGTGAAGGCACGGACAGGACAGCGTGGAGTTGTGACTCGTGAGGTGTGTACCTGAATTGATTGTGTCAACTCCACTGTCGAGTATTGAGCAGTTCTTCCGGTTGCCGCGTTTGAATTGGCTTGATATTTTGTGCAGCGCACCATCTCAGGTTGTTCCGATGTGCAGATTCTGCACGACGATCCCGAGGTTTCCCAAGGACTTTCGCCGCAGTCTCCGTGGGACCGTGGCTTGTACTACAACTGGCCCCACTATACTATGGGCTCTGATCGGATCACCGGCTATACTATGGGTTTTGGTCAACGCGTGCGCCAAGCCAGCTCAGCACTTATGCCAGCCTGTGTTGCTATGCCCCGGACGTGTCATCGGCAACACTGTATCCGGATTTGATGGGCTTGATCCAGCAGATTGTGCTATACTGCTAGTACAGTGTCGCATAGGTCTGCACTTTCCAATTCCATGTATCCCTGGAGCTGGAGCTGTCAGCACTGAGCTCGACAATTGACAGCGTCTGAGAGCAGCGACAAACTTTCGGACAAAGTCTGCTTCTGTTTAGGCTGTCCCTGAAGGAGAAGGTCGCCTGACTCGCCTCTCATTCGCTGCTCCACGATTTCGGCAACGGACCGACCCTAAAGCCCGTCCCACAAATTGGCCACAATCGGGCCACCGGCCCTCCGATCATGAATGAGTCTGACTGACAATTTTTTGTCGCACAAATGCGAGTGAGGCGAAGTGGGATCGCAAGAGGCAAGCTACCACACAACGACGCAAGAGCACAAGCACTTAAGGACCTCGGACGCTACTTTCAGGACGACTCCGGAGAAACTCTGAACGCGGGGCCTCCCCAGAGTCTAGCTTTTGTTTGACAAACGAGATTCATTGCGAGCACCTCCTGCTTCTTCTCCAGGACCAAATACTTCAATATAAAAGCAACGTCCCCAGATGGTTTCCCCAAGGACTTCTCTTCATCGAGCGAGCGAGGCTTCTTCATCAACATCGCCTACCATGCCTTCCCATGGCTCCTCCACCAACGAGAAGATCAACTTCCAGCATGTCGACTTTGAGGTCAGCCCGCAGGACGAGGCGCATACTCGCCCGAGGGCCAACTCGGACGAGCAGTACATGCACTTCAGACCTCAGGAGATTCAATCTGCGCCAAAGTTTATCCAACTCGAGCAAGGTGCTCGCAATGAGCCTGCTATTGAGCGTCCACTGACACTTGTCACCAAGTTGAAGACTATCTGGTGGCTTCGTGAAGGTGCCGCAGAATTTTTTGGTTTGTGTCTTCCTGTTCATCTGAATGAAGCTAATCCCCAGGTACCATGATGATCATCATTTTTGGTGTTGGTTCTGTTGCGCAAGTGGTCTTGTCTGATGCAACCAAAGGTGACTATCAATCCATCAGTTGGGGATGGGGTATTGGTGTCATGCTCGGTGTGTATGTATCAGGAGGTATTTCTGGAGGACACTTGAGTAAGACTTTCCTGGGGTTTTCGTTCATGTGCTAACATCCAGACCCTGCTGTCACACTCACCAACGTTGTCTACCGCAAACTTCCGCTCAAGAAACTTCCTGTGTACATGGTTGCTCAGACGCTTGGCGCTTTCATGGGTGCGGCCATCATTTACGGCAACTATCGCTCTGCCATTCAAGCATTTGAAGGCGGAGATATGCGTACTGTTGGTCTCAAAACCTCGACGGCTGGTCTATTCTGCACATACCCAGCAGAATTCATGACCCGCACAGGCATGTTCTTTTCTGAATTCATCGCATCAGCGTTCCTCATGTTTGTCATTTTCGCGATTGGAGACCCAGCAAACAACCCTGCTGGTGATATGGGTCCTCTTGTTCTCTTCTTCCTCATCTTTGGCATTGGTGCTGGTCTCGGTTGGGAGACTGGCTACGCCATCAACTTTGCTCGAGACTTTGGGCCTCGCATGTTCACTTACATGGCTGGTTACGGTACCGGTGTCTTCTCCGCTGGTGGCTACTACTTTTGGATTCCAATGGTTGCGCCCTTCTTGGGTTGTCTAGCCGGTGGTGGTCTCTATGATTTATTCTTATTCTCTGGCGAATCACCCGCCAACTCTCCTTACCTTGGCCTGCGCGGTGAACGCAGCAACGGTCAACAGGATGCAGAACGTGCACACCGTGTTACATCGCCTGTGGACCGTCTCCGCAACGACAGCGAAATCACACGAAGCTAAATATTGGATGTGCCTTTTGTACATGCCTATGAACGGTTCAGGTGCGTCATTTATCAAAAGGGGGTGCCATCGTATCTGGCTATGTAGCTTTTGTAGTATTCATCATTGGTATATGGACATTCTGAAGAATTTCATCCTCCTGACCTCGTATGTTGTTGTTCGTTGTCGTCTGAGCTGTGCAGTTCGGTACGATAAATGCGTCGCCAAAATCGAACCATCTGAAGTGTCATCCTTGAATTAGTTATCGTCGAACATTCGATTCCCTGTCGCCTGCAGCTGATGCCTTGGTACTTTCTTGAACACCCTTGGGACAACTTCTAAGATGGCTGGCGAGCGGGTCAATCCGGGTCAAACAATATAGGTCCTTCTTCCTCTAACAAGCTCAAGGAAATATGGACAGACACTCATGTTGCAGGTAAAGAGAATGTGGCCATAGCGAGCAGACGACTCAAATTTGGCTCCCCCTGGTTCCATGAGATCTCACTCAACACCCAGGGACAGACTCAACTCTACTTCACGCCAAGTCATCGAAAGCATGTCTGGCGCGTCAGATCAATGGACACAGGACAAGCCTGATCGAAGGCCCTTCAAGGACGACATCTCCAGCGCACAAATCCTAGCAGCCCTACAACAAGGTGCTCTACAAGCCACGCCCACCCCTACCCCTCAACAATCCGTGAGCTTGGCAAACAAGAAGAAGAATGATGGAGAATCAAGCGTCGCTCCGCCGTGGTGTATCACAAAACGTCCCTCAAGCAGTCTTACGGAGGGTGCCGGGGAGACAAATGAACCATCATCACCGTCGTCTGGTGAGATCGATGAGCAGCCTCAGCGCTCTGCCCACACAACAACCTCGACTCCTCCCAGTACAGCAACAGCAACAGCAGCAACGGCTGTATTGACTAAGAATCAACGAAAAAGACGAAACCACAAAGCCAACCAAAAGACAAAACAAGCCACACTGCAGCAAGAACGGCAGGTTGAAGAAGAAACCCGTACCTTGCTCCTACAAGAAATGGATCGATGGCTCAAAGCGGAGCAAGAAGAATGTTTGAAAATGCAGCATTGGATGATGTATGGCGGTGGTTTATCGCAGGAAGCGCAAAAACAAGGGGTGTCGAGGACGCAAGCTTGGTTGTTGCAGATTCAGGAACGGCGATTGCAGTTAGAGCGATGGCATGCTGGTGCTCCCATCAAGAAGATTAATGAGTCGCCTGTGATGAAAGGAGATGAGGAGATCAAGACTGGGCGTCAGACGAGCATGTGAGGGAAGGAAGGAAAAGTGCAGAAACATCTTTTCTACGAGATTTTGATGAATGCGTGAGAGCCTGGTCAGCTGTATGTATCTTGTTTAGAGGCCTCCAGAGATGAAGAACCACTTGTCGATACTGGCGTCAATAGGGGCAGGTGCCTGCTCGCTACCCTGAGGGACGTTGGGTGCAGCGCCCTTGAAGGGAGAGTGATCGACAGCGACATTGAGGGTGTTGACATCGCCAGCTGGTGTCTTGCCCGTGATGAGCTTCTCCCAAGCCTCAGCACACTCAGAGATGACTTCCTCTGCGTACTTTTTGTTCTTGCACTCACCCGAAAAGGCAAATTGGTTCTCTGGCTTACCATCTGGGATCTTGTAGATGCGGAACCATTCATTGGAAGCGCGGATGAGTCCTGGCAGGTGCTTCTCAACATCTTCAATGTCGTTGAGCTTGGAAGCCAATGGGTCGTTGACGTCAATGACAATCACCTTCCAGTCAGTCTCACCTTCATCGAGGAGAGCCATGACACCGAGAGGCTTGACTTGCTTGATCTGACCAACATAACCAACAGCCTCACCAATCTCACAGACATCCAATGGGTCGTTGTCGCCCTTGGCTTTGGTCTCTGAGTGGATGGCATTGGGATCTTCCCAAGTCTGTGGCAGAGCACCGTAGTTCCAGATATAACCATGATGAGGGAAACAGTTGCGAACGAATCGGAGTTTACCCTTCTTGATGTCTTGCTTGATGGGGTTGAGTGCATCTTCCTTTGAGATTTCCATCTTTGCATTGGTCCATCGAGGCACTTCAACGACCATGTTCAGGATTGTCTTCTCTGCATCTGCATACAGAGGAATATCATGGAAGGCCGAGATGGGCTTGCCGTCGGATTCTGGAAGGGTGTTAAGATTGGAGCTCGGGAAAGTGCAGGTGAGGTACCGATGAAGACTCGGTAGTCGAGGGTGTTTGGGGCCCCGACCTGCCTGCGTGTGTAGGAGGGCATCTTTGTGCGTAGATGTCTGTGGACTTGCTTGAGTCGGTCCGCCAGTGCAGCGTCGATTGAGGAGAGAAGGAAGAGAAGGAAGAGAAGAAGACGAGAGACATTATACATAGAACGCAGAAACACGTGCAGCAACGACATCCATTCCACTGTCAGTCTGCTACCCACACATCGACACGCTCCAGTTGTGTCACTTGTGTGTACTCTAGATAGCTGCTGCTGGAGAGAAGAGAGAGAACGAAGGAGAGCCACATAGCAAAGCAGCGCACAGTCAGAGTACATAGATCAATGGCATAGCCAAGCTCAATGGACACACTCAGACACTACTTTGGCAAACCCACACCGCAGGAGCAGGTACGCAAGTGGCAGTCCTCTATCCGGCATGAGCAGCGTCTCATGGACAGGCAAATCCAGTCGATTGCACAATCAGAGCAAAAGACAAAACAACAAATCAAGGCGCTCGCAAAACGAAACGACGTCAAGCACTGTCGCATGCTCGCTCGCGAAGTTGTTAGAGCGAAACGCGCACGGCATCGTATGGAAGCAAGCAAGGCGACCATGGCATCACTCTCTATGCAGCTGAATGAACAGCTTGCGACTGCCAAGATTACAGGTGTCTTGCAGAAATCAACAGTCATGATGAAGGACGTCAATGGCTTGGTCAAGTTGCCAGAGCTGCAAGCAACCATGTCCAAATTACAGATGGAGATGCAAAAAGCTGGCATTATGGATGAAATGATGGAGGACGTCATGGACTTTGCTGCTGAAGAGGAAGATGAAGAAGAGGCAGAGGAGGAGGTCAATCGCATCTTGGGTGAAATCACGGGAGAGTCCTTTGCCAAGGTCGGTCCCGTTCCTACAACACAGCTTCCAGCTGCACCATCAGCAGAAGAGGAAGAAGAGGTGGAAGCACTCGAAGCGATGCGCAGTCGTCTGCAAGCTCTCAAGGAGTAGTGCCTTACGTACATACAAGAACACATCCATGTCTATCGTCTCGCCTTGCGACCCTTTCTCGAGGGGTAAAAGTCATTGTAGTTGAGACGCACCGCCAAGAAGCTCATATCGCTTGATGGCTGTTCCTCAAGTGCATCGAGCAGGTACACCGTACACTCCTTGAATTCTACCGTCAACCGGTCCATGCGTTCTCGAATGGCAACAAGGTTCTCATCCGGCAGGTCCGCTTGGCTCTCATCCCGCGTCATGTCATACAGACGATTTCCTCCGCCCGTGTACTGCGAGAGTGTGTAAGCAAACAAGCGATCCATCTGTTCCTTGTACAATAGCATCGTCTTGAGGATGTCATGCAACAAGGCAAGACAATCCCTCTCCGCCTCTTTCGTCTTGCTCGACCCAAGCAATGCCTTCTCCATAATAGACGCAACATAAATGCTATGCGCATTCATGATGCCATCCAAGTCAGCAGCAGGATCCGCCAATTGCGTCTGCAATTCATTCCAAGAACTCTCAATCACCTCAAACAAGATGTAGTATTGTAGCTGACAGACGAAATGAATCATCTCGGCAATCACACAACGCACCTGCTTCCAATCTGCAGTCACGACAGTAACTTGATTGAGCATACCGCGCTCAGCAGTCATATTGCGTCGCCAAGCACTGCTCAGTGTATACTCAACGCGACTCAATCGCCACAAGAAATTGAAGATTTTGAGGTATTGTCGAGCTGCTTGTTCTGTTAAGATCACATCCAGGGGTCGTTCGAGACGATACTCGAGGGTGAAGGACTCCCAACCAACAGAACCTTTGGCATTGTCGAGCATCCTAGCATCGAGACACGTCAAGACGTGTTCAGGCTCGAATTGCGCATTACTGCTTTGAATGGCATCAGAGAGGGAGCTTGTCAGGTTATGTCGATGGAGTGTGCTGGCGGGATGATCGAGTGAGTCTCCGAGTCGTTCCATGAGCACGCCGACAAAGTCACCTGCGTTCAACAGAATATACCGCTTCATCGCCAGTAAATGGTCCATCAGCTTAAATTTGTCCATGATGAGATTCTTGAGATGCTGAGAAGTGGTGGAGTAGGCTGAATCCATAGATCGCTCAAGGGAAAACGTATCACCATAGCTGAGTACTTGGAAGGCAGACTTGCTGTGCTCCACCACAAACGCCGCATCATGGCAATTATACCGCGTAAAATTCAACGTCCTGCCAATCAAAAAGATCTTTCGTCCCAGGGCTGGTGTGATCCACGCAGGTCGCATTGCGTCCACGAGTGCAAACTTGCCACGCCACGCGTCTTGTGTTGATTGCACGCGTTTTGAAGAAATGGCAGCCTGAACTGGCTGTACAAGAAACTCGAGATGCGGATCATCCAAATCACCGCCATAGATCCACTTGGCGAGCATTTCGTAAAAGGGCTTGCTAATGGCTACCAGGACATCCTGTGCGAATTGCGCAACAGATGGGTCGCCGTGTTTACTGAGCGCATGCACAGCATTCATCAATGTACCGCCTTGTTTATCATCAACGGCATGCAATATCCGCGCCATGAGTCGTAAGACGCGTACATCGGGTCGTATCCAGAGCGCAATCCGTTTCAATGTGACTTGTAGCTGTGCCGTTGCTTGTCGCAGGGCAGCTTCAATCGCTGCGACTTTCTCCAAGTAGCGCGTCAAATGCGTTTGCAGGTGTGCATTGAGGGATTGTCTAATCAAGCCAGTCTCCTTGGTCGCTGTTGATGCTTGTGTAGCAATACTGCGATAGAGTAGCCCAGCTTCACAAAATCCCGTAAGAAGTGATAAGAGCGGTACAGAGACGCGACATGCAACCTGCGCCGTCTCTTTGCCTGCTTCTCCCTGGAAATGGATGCCGCTTGTTGAGATGCCTTGGAGGGTGAATGCGATTTTGGGGAGAAAGTCGCGTTCGTGTTGCGGCTCGGTTAGGATTGGGTATTTGCCTGTGCCGTTGTTCATCTGTGAGGCTCTACGCTTGACGGCTGACATGGACCTCAGGCTTTTGCAGCGTCTCTGTGAGAGTAAAGAACTCGAGTGCTCTGTGTCGCTTTGTGGTTGTTTGTCTCGATGATTTCCGGTGTCGTTGCAGCGAAAGACAGCCAGACTCTGCTACAGTGCAGCTACACCAACTGACAGCAGGATCATGGCAGGCATAGCTCAGGGCATGCAGGCCCTCTCCCTCTCCGGCAAGTCAAAGCTGGAGCAGGAAATGTACAGACAGCTGGAAGGAGACAACTACAAGGATGTCGTCGTCTTGGCCAGCAAAAATGCGAATCAAGTAACTTCACTTGGCTTGCTCTACCAGGCCTATGCTCTCTATCGCCTTGGGAAAGAGCAGGAATGCATTGATCGGTTATCCAAAGTCACAGATGCAGCATCAAGTCGGGTCGTGAAGCATTTGAAGGCTCAGGCATACTATCGCTTGGAGGAACCCAGTCAAGCGCTGGAGCAGTATGCTGCTCTATCTTCGATCTCTGGCACCAAGGCCATCAATGAGGAGGACGATCTTGCAGTCAATAAGCTCGCTTGTCAGGTACAACAAGCCAAAGACGCAATAGCCAGCGAAGAGTGTGATGTGCCGTCAGACGACCGTCCGCACGAGCAACACTTCAACTACAGTCTTGTAGCTGCTGCTGCAGGAGACGCACAATCAGCACTGCAACATCTGGAAAAGGCTGAAAGAGCGCTCAAGGGCATTCAGCTGGATGCCGATGATGAAGCGTACGAAATGGCACCCATCCACCTACAGCGTGCACACTTGACAGGCGATGCTTCACTCAACATCAAAGCCAAGACACTCAAGACAGATGCCGTCACACAGTTCCTAGCGACGGTCAATTTTCTTGATTTTGAAGGAAACCCGTATGCACTGCACAAAGCCTACAAGCAACCCCTCAAGTCCTCTGCGCGGCTCTTTTCCAACCAAGAACGTCTTTTGGCGTACAATAAAATCATTGCAGCGGATGCAGTCGGTGTGAGTATCAGAAAGGCAGTGGATGCATATTGCACCCAGTACGCCCAAATTGACTCGAGGCGATGTGCAGCATTACGTCAGCTGCTCCTTAAAAGGACAACCCTTCGTGCGCTACAGGACAAAGTAGCAGATGAATCAGTCAAGAAGCAAGATAGAGCAGCCGCAGCAGTCGTGGCCATCTCTCGACTCGTCACACAGCCAAGAGGGTTTGCTCGGTCGCTCGCCCTATTGGAAGTGATGCCGCTTGCAGACCACCCAGGCTTGCTTGCCCTGCAATGCTGTTTGATGGATGTTGTCCACGGAAAACCAACAGAAGATGCTATCACCCGAATTGAAGCAGCCTTGTCCTCTGCTACGGCAAACACACGGGGTGCTCTCTTGGCAGGTCTCATACAAAGACGTCTGCAACTTGAACGAACAGAATCACAAAAGTCCGCCATTCAACAAGCAGCGACCCAGTTGCTACAACTCGATGCACGTCATCCAGTGGCATTGGCCGCGCTTGCGATCGTAGATCCGTCAGCATCGCAAGAGATGCGATTGCCTGACTTGTCGGGTATTGATGTTGATGCACTTGAACGCAACTTGCCACTCAAACGATCACGCGAGGAGCAGACGCAGGCACCGCGTCCAGTCAAGGCCAAGAAGGTCAAGACGGAGGAGCAGCTGAAACAAGAAAGCAATTTGGACCCTGAACGCTGGCTACCGAAGCGTGATCGTGCATCGTACAAGCCGACACGCCAAGAAAAAGCAAAAGGTGAAGGCGCCCATCAAGGTGGTGCGGTAGATGAGCGGCTTGGTGAAGCGCGCGTCATGACTCCCCTGATGGAGTCTGCGGCCGGTGGCAAGGATAAGAAGAAGAAGGGCAAGTCCAAGAAGTAAGCACTAGCATCAACAGAAAAAAGGGCCATTGCTATGCATTCTATCAGAGTTCAAACATTTGAGTCGCAGCAAGATGCATGTGTATAGACCAGCTAGAGCACACCTTTCGCTCCGAGAGATCTTATACAATATCACACATGCGTTTCCGTAACCGTTTGAGGGAGCCGTCCGAGAGAGCCATGTCTACAGCCAGTTCAAAGACCTCTGCCACACCCTGGTTCTCCTTGCTTGAGCATTCCATGTACTGTGCGCCCATCCGCTCTGCTACAGCACTTGCCTGCTGGAACGTCACAGGCGACAGCCCTTGCGCTCTGAGTAGCTCCTGCGCATTCCGATTCTGTCGTAGATCCGACTTGAGCCCTACCAAGAGCAGTGGTGTACGCGGACAGAAATGCCGTACTTCAGGGTACCACTTGTCAACGATATTCTCTAGACTCGGCGGACAGTCTATAGCAAAGCACACCAAAATGATATTTGTCTCTGGATAGCTGAGGGGTCTGAGCCGATCGTACTCTTCTTGGCCTGCTGTATCCCATAAAGATAGGCTGACATGCCGGTTGCCTACTTGTAGTTCTTGCACATAGGTTTCAAAGACCGTCGGGACATAGGCGGTCGGGAATTCGCGTGTTGTGTAGACTGTGAGCAGGGAAGTCTTGCCGCAGCCTCCATCGCCGACTGTGATGAGCTTCCGCTCGATAGATTTACGCGACATGGTTGTTTGTATGTGGATGCGCTGCTCGAAGTCGTGGAAGTTGCAGCACGAGAGAGAATCAGATGGGAGAGGTAGATTACTACGTGACTATGGTATAGTACTGCTACAGAGTGGCCGTCTCCAGCAGGATGAGCAGGTATCGCCAGCACTTGACAGTAAAAGCAGCAGCCTCCTCTTCGTCACCAATGGCGCTCAGCATTTCCTGCTCCAAGTCAGCGGCCGATCCATGGCTTGCAACATGCTCCATCACAAACTGAATCAGCTCTTCTGCTTCAACCCCAATAGCCTCGACGCACTTCTTGGCGACAAAACTTTTGAGCTTATCTTGCAAGCCATTGTGTTCAAGATACTGCCAGGGAACGTTGTATTCCCACAAGGCTTCCTTGACAACAGGGATCGCATCCACAATCCGTTTCAACCTGGCAACACGATCGTCTTCCGCCTCAAACTGCATAGGGACCAATTTCCGCTTACGTGCTGAGGCATACGCCTCATCATCATCTGCAGTGTCAAGCAGCGTACCAGCAGGCATGGCCTTTTTCTCAGCTTGCTTTGCGATGGTTAGCCGAACAGGCGCAACCGCATCCATTTTTGGTTGAGCTTCTGCAGCAGACGCATGCTGCTTCGCTGCTGACTGGACCCGTCTAGCATCCACCAATTCTCTCTCCTCTGCCATGCGATCTTCATCATCCGCCTGTAATTCGCGCTGTCGATACGCAAGGCGATGCCGTCGCCATGCTCCAAAATCGCTGAAATACGTATCAAGCCCACGAGCATCCTCTTTGGCATCCTCATACACTGCATACTTGCGCGCGGCATGCAATCGGTCTTCCTCAGCCCTTCTCGCATCTCCTTGTAAACGTTGTGCCTCTTGCTCGAGACGCTCGAGCCGTTGTCGCTCACGATGAACGAGTCGGCGTTCTGCTTCTGCGATCCGCGGCGCAAGTGCCAATTCAGCAGCACGTTCACGAGATGCGTGAATCTCGGCATTTGTCATCCCTCGCTCTGCCTCTGTATGTAAATCACGCCTTGGTCGCAATACGAGAGATGCATCCTGTGCCTCTTCAACACGTCGCAGGTGTCTTGCCTGTTGCTGCTGTGCCAACCCACTTGAGCCCCGTGCAGCTTTTTCAAATTCTGCACGACGCGATTCAGCATCAGCGATTTTACTCTGTCTGTCTGCATCGCGTTTCGCTGAACGTGTTCGGAAACCTGTGATTTCATCTGCGATATAGCGACGTTGCTCTTCAGGGATATCACCCAGTTCGTCATCCATGGACAGCATAATGGTCACTGCATTTGCGTCATTGACAGCGGGTTGAACGATTTCCGGTTGCTTCGCTTTGCTTTGAGGCTTATCCTTGTCCTTCAGATACTTTTCTGGTTTCTTGAACTTGGGACTGGCCAAGTCTCGAAGAACTTGTTGGACTTGTGCGGTATGTTGCTTGAGACTTGCTGCATCTTTCGTTTCCTGAATGTGAGTATAAGGTCCATAAATGCAGGTCGCCTTACAGGATCTTTGATGGTTCTTGCCTCCAGAAAGTCTCGAATGTACATGGCGCCTCCTTCATCAATCGTCACCTACCAGGTCAGTCTTCCCCCGTTTCAGACAAAAGAGGTGGCCGTACTTTGAGTTGCAACATCTTGCCGTCATGAGCAGGAGAAAATTTGATGGCGAGATCTTGGAGGATCGTGTAAGCGCGCTTTACATGCTCAGGATCATCGTACTCTGCAAAACCAAACGCTTGTCCTTGTCCCAATGCATCCGTCACGCGTTTCCAACCTCGTAGCTTTCCTGCTGCCTTTTCATACAAATGTCAACATCACTTCCGGTCTTTCTCAATAGCGAAACTTACCTTGAGGATGCGTTCCATCCAGTAGTCATCCAAGATATGCGCCGGACACCCACCAACAAACAACGAATGCATCTTTTGCTGTCTCGATGGAGGCGCGAGTAACGTTTGACTCGGTACAAACTCCACCGTCTGTCTGGTACGTTCACGCGGTATGGGATTATTGGTACCGAAATGAATGACGGGCGCTGAGAGATCAAACGCTGCCGGTAGGTTTGTTGGGAGAGGAGAGGAGTCATCGTGCTGGATAGTGGAGGAGGTAGCGCCTATACCTGGGCGCTGGTAGGTTTGGCTACGGCTGAAGCCTTGACTGTAGCTCATGGTTGCGATTGATGGTTTGTAGAGAGTCAATGTCAAACTTCCATGTCGTCGTCGCAAGTTGAAGGCGGAAATACAATGGAGATTGGAGGATCAAGCATTACGAAAGAAGGTAGAGAGAACAGTCTTTGGCTATGTAATGGCTCATTGTAGTCGCAGGCACAACATAGCGAACCAAAATGAATAGTCCAGCATATATCGGCGCCAACAAGACACAAGTGTGCGAACCTACAAACGACGACCACGACGACCACCCTTGCGACGGGTAGAATCGGTTGGGACGGGTGTGACATCCTCAATACGACCGATACGCATACCAGCACGAGCCAAGGCGCGCAAAGCAGATTGAGCACCAGGACCAGGTGTCTTGGTACCCGTACCACCGGTTGCACGGATCTTGATGTGGAGGGCGGTGATACCGATTTCCTTGCATCGCACAGCAACATCCTGAGCGGCCAACATGGCAGCGTAAGGGGATGACTCGTCACGATCGGCCTTGACCTTCATACCACCTTTCAATGTTAGTGTTCCATATTTTTGGGTAGAATAATAGAGAGCTTACCAGTCACACGGACAATGGTTTCACGTCCCGAGAGATCAGTAACGTGGACGAAAGTGTCGTTGAAGGAGGCAAAGATGTGAGCAACGCCAAAGACGAGTTCTCCCTCGCGGATCTGGGGGCCCAAGGTGATGGACTCCTTGGGTGCAGCTGGGGCTTTAGTCTTGGGAGGCATGGTTTAGATGATTCGCGTAAGACTAGGTGGCCGGGCTTTGTGAGATCTGGATGAGAGCTTGGGTGCGGCTTCTTGAGTTTGAGTCTTTGTGGTCGTCGCTCGCTTCGAATTTTGGGCGCCTGGAAATTTGGGCGGGTGTGACTGCTGAAGTGAAGTAGACCCATTTGCTCTCGCTTGTAGATGGACGAACTGCAAGTGGCAGCAGAGGAGACGGAAGGGCCTTAGGCTACTCATCCTCAGACTGACGAGTAATGCAGACGCCTGAAGAAACAGCGTCCAGCAGTGCCGACGGCTTGTTTACACTCACTGAAATGAGCGTGGCATGAAGTCTAGCGGGTTAGCAGGGTCAAAGACCTCTCAAAGCAGAGGCTTACGAAGTCAGTTCATCCACAAAGTCATAGTGCTGCACACAGGCTTCAGCGAGTGCTTCGACTGTCTGAAAGTCGCTGGCATCCACCATGCGCAACATGCTTTCGAGTCGTTCACGCACACTCTCGTCCCAATCCTTTGGCATCATCAAATCGAACGGATGGTGAGGCAAAGCGAGGCTGACTTTAATCTCAACTTCTTGCTTCTTGATTCGTTCGTGGTCGTAGATGCCAATGATGCAGCTACTCCGAATACCGTGGATGGTGTAGATAGGCGGTGCCTTGACATCCCTGAGATTACGCGTTATGGTCTCATACTGTGCACGCAAGAGCCCGCCTTCCTTTTTGATGGAGAGATAGATCAGCTTGTGCTGTGCATCCCATTTGGGCATTTCAGTAGGCAGCGCAACCATCAAGTGAGCAGACATGTCTAGCAAGGACTCGTACTTCATTGGAGCAGTCAACTTCTTGATGGCACGACAGAGATCACCATACGAAGAAGCATAGTTGTCTGTATTGGGCTTCTGGCTGGGTACCTGGACTCTGCAGGTGATGGTGACTGGGAAGCTCTGGTCTGTGAGGGAGAAGGCAGAGAGGCCTACTTTGACAGTGAGCCTGAGATTTTCCAGGAAGATGTAGTCGGCGAGGGGGAGCATCATGTGAGTGTCTATAGCTTCTTCCATGATCTCAGCAGTATACCTGGCTACTAGTCTACTCTACTACGAGTCTATCGATTTGGTGCTGACACTTCAACGAGATGGAAATTGCAGATGGGAGCTGGCTGCCCAACAACAACAACAAGACACAACCACAAGACACATCCACTGCTGCTGCCACTGAGAACACACAGGGAACAGGGCCCGCCCTTAGAACAGCTTAGCCAGACAACGCAATCGCTGTATTACCATCTCTACTAGAGGAAGCTGCTATGGCGAAATCTGCCGCTGCCTCTGCGCGCACAACAAAGCGAAGCGCAAAAGACGATATGAGCAAGAAAGCCATCGTCGTCCCTTCCAAGAAGCGAAAGCAGGTACCTCTTTCTCCTCTCTTCATCCCCGAACATCCCACTGACCTGTATACAGCCGCAAAAAGCAGAATCAGACGAGGACGACGCCGGATTCGCGTTTACAAGACCAACAAAAGTCTCCAAGACCACAACGACCACCCAAGCGACGCGTTCTTCGCCGCGCAATCATGCGAAAAAGACAGGTCTACTAGATGACAATAAACCTGCAGGGTCAGCGACGCCGCGCTCATCCACCGTCGCGTCGGCCAAGAAGCAAAATAACAACAAATCTGCGCAAAAGGCAACCACATCCGCAACGGTCTTTGATGATCTTGCAAATGGCTCGGATAGTTTTATTGCCTTGCCAGTCAGTGATACACCCATCATCAGAAAAAATCAAGCATTACGACAGGGACTCGCAGTGGATAACAGTGGTCGTCGTCGATCGAGCTTATCCATGCGTGGGAAACGTGCTAGTTCAATGGGAAATGGTTTTAATAGCCAACCACACCCAGATGTCACACCGGCGGATTTCTACAAGCATATTGGTGTAGAGATGCCGGATCCAATACGAATGAAGCAATTACTGGGTTGGTGTGCGCGTCGAGCATTGGAAGAAAGCAAAACACCCACCAGCACAAAACAAACAGACTCGGCATTGCAGATTGAATTGATTGCGCGGACTATTGAGGAAGAGGTGCTTCGAGATTTGGCAGATGGGAAAATTACGACATCTTGGTATGGACGGCCACAGGAGGAGGAAGAGGCGCGGTTAGCTGGTGTTGGCCCAACCACCCGGCGTAAACTGCCGCATCCACAGAATGTTGCGAATGCCAAAAAGCTGGCAGAGATGGAAGCGCGGCTGGCCAAGTTGAAGATGGAAGAAGAAGCATGGGTGCGGCTACGGTCAAGTGGTCTTGCTACGCAAACAGAAGGCTTACCTGCCGATGCTGCTCTGCCAGCTGCAGCGACGGAAACAGGCGAGCGGTTCGCGAAATTGCCACAGCAAGACATGACTCATGCGACGGCAGATATTGATCTCGACTTGCTGACTGCTGCAGAAGCAGAGTTTGTCCATGCCGCCACGACCAGGCCCAACAGACCGCTTGCTGGTGCTAGCAAATTACAGGACGATCCGCGCGAAGAATGGCTGCAAAATGCTGAACAGACACTGGAATTTAACGTCGATGCATTCCGGCACCAACTGCATACGCGCGGACAATTCATCAAGGATGCAGATGAACAAGCTGGCAAGTTACTGGCGATTGCAGCTGAAGCACTTGTGAGACAGGAACAACGGGAGCGTGTGGATCAGGAAGGCAAAGGTGTCGGCATGATGGATATTCTCAAGGCCATCACCCGAACGAGCTAACTAGGGCCCTCTTCTTGTGTCAAACCTCATCCTTGTCTATACTTGTATCTCTCCATTTCCTTTCTAGGCAGCAGGCAGGCATTGCTAGGCATAGCATCGTGACCATGTCTTCTTGTACAGTACCTTGTAAACTATCACATGTATTTGCTTTGACTGGTTGAGTGTTTTGTAGTTCAACACTGTATTGGAAGCGTCATCGAAGCTGTGGGGATGGGAACAGCAACACCACAAAGCTACCCTTCAACATACCTCACCAGATATCAAAAAGATGAGCGCAGCATTCACCAAAGCAGCCGAAGAGGTATCAATCCTAATCTACTCAGGTCGCTGCTAACAGAACTAGGTCAAGAACCTCAGCAAGAAGCCAAGCAACACTGAATTGCTCGAGGTAACGCACTCCAAGCTGTAGAGAAGCGGGCTATGCGACTAACACACTTTAGCTCTACTCGCTCTACAAGCAAGCAACTGTGGGTGACAACACCACGCCCAAGCCTGGCATGTTCGACATGACCGGCAAGGCCAAGTGGACTGTAAGTCTCTATCCACCCAATCACGCTTGCAGACTCTGTGCTGCTCGCATGTGGGACGACCCAGTCAAGAGACTCAACTGACAGTATAGGCTTGGGAGGAGAAGAAGGGACTCTCAAAGGAGGACGCCGAGAAACAGTACATTGAATACGTTGAGAAGCTCAAGGCTGCATAATCGCAGGTCTTCACGCATATGTCTGTCTCGGGAGTCGTAGACTGTACCCTTAACCTCCTCAAATATACTTACTGATGTGCTGTGTCCATTGTGGTGATTCTACCTTTGAGTGCTACGACACATGCTATGACTATCGCTCTAGAAGAACCGTGGCTGGACGTCGACCCAGATACTGCATTGCTTCGATGGGAACGGCTCTTTAATGAGACTCGGACTGTGTTCCAAGACATGTGCCAACATAAGCTTTCATTCCTGCCAAAAGACATCAAACCATGCTTCGAGTCAGCCAATACAATCTCCGCAGCCATGTCAGAAGCGAGCTTCCGTCTGGTAGAGCGTAATCTGCGAGCCATGTATGTCAAGACTATCGGCTGGGAAGAGGACTTCAAACGGGCAGAGATGCTGGAACAGCCTACACGTTACATATTGCTACAACGTGGTAACTTGCTCGTTGCATTCCTCTCCATGCAGCTCGTCGACGAAGAAGGCGGATTCGTTCTCTACTGCTACGAAGTACAAGTAGATGACTCCCATCAAGGCCAAGGTCTGGGCAAATGGCTCATGGACGCCTTTCACTTGCTTGCACAACATCACAGGCTAGCACGCACCATGCTAACTTGTTTCTCATGCAATACGCGCGCTCTAGCATTCTACAAAGCACTTGGCTATGAGCTCGACAGCACAAGCCCTGAACCACGCAGACTCCGCAATAAGCTCATGCAACCAGACTACCAAATCCTAACACGAGTCTGCAAGCGAGACTAATCGGCCACTTGCGTGATTTCGCACTGCTTACCTCGATGTTGCGGGTTGAGCTGTTCCCATTCTTCTCTGAGCCAAGCAAAAACGATGTCTGTCAACAAGAGTCCCTGTGACAGATTCCAGACAAGCGTGATGGCGTAGAAAAAGTTGGCATTACCGGAACCTTGGTAGATCCAAAGATAGTGGAAGGCCGGGCCAAAGATGCAGCAGTAGAGAAGGGCAACGGCAATAACGAAGAGGTTGCGCGTGTGCTTGTATATCTGTGGGAAGAGTGGGAGGAGCGTCATGTAAAAAGCCGAGTCTGCAATCGATGGGTATGGCTTGAAGATGGCAATGATGCCAGAGAGCGTTACTGCAGCGAATAATGGGTCTCGTCTGTACGTTAGCATAATTTTGTACATGAGTCCCTTCACCTAAGTTTGATGCACATGGGCGCAACATAAATGACCAAGTGCAGCTGGAAGACACCCAGGAAGAATCTGCGAAAGTCTTCAAAGATTTCCGTGAAGAAGTACCACCAAAGACCGACATTGGGCGTCAGATCAGTAAAGAGGAAGAGCATACTCATTGATGCCGTCAAAAAGCGCCATGACCCAGTGTACAGGAAGCTGAAGATCAGGATGGTCATCAGGCTACCTACAAAGACTGTCAGGAATTTCCAAGGTGAGCTCTTGCGACTTGAGAGGTCCTTCACCAGTAGGAAAAGAGGCGGGAGCAATAGACATGGATAGAGTGAGAGATGAGTTGCGACCGCCAAGAGGAAAGCGCCACTCCCAACTTGCCCTTCCACAATCTGGGTCAGCGCTGCCATGACGGCAAGGCTTGAGAACAAGGCGCTCGATTTTGCAACACAAACCAAAATTGAGAACGGGTTCAGAGCCGAGCTGTTGTCAGCGATAGTTTGGTAGCAAGAAAGGTTTACATGATGCTGATTGCTTGCTGGGAGACTTGCAAGTCAGGAGGCGTTTGTTGCTTGATGTAGTTGGATGAAGCCAATTGGAGGACCATCCAGGATGTCAAGACATCACTGATGCTGTAAAATAAGTTCTCCATCAGTCTTGCTGCTGGTAATTGCCGAAACAATGATAGCATCGCTAAAAGTATGGGCGCCTGATTGAAGACACCGCCATCATAGGGATTGATACCGTTTGCATGCAAAAATAGACCCTCATTGACTGAGTGTTAGAGCTGATAGGTTTTGTAGAGCATCATACGTCGCTTGGAAGAGGCGACCGGCGCGGAGATCTCGACTCGGTCAGCTAGGAGACCTGGCAACGCTGTCCATTGAAGCAAACAGAAGCGAAGGACAACAGCCAGCAGCATTACTCTGTAAGCATCTTGGCCTATCCGCCGTGGCATAGAGCCAGGAAATGAGAGCTGAAGCCTTGAAGCTAGCGAGTTGCGGTAGATGTCCAGCGTTGTGTTGTTCGATTTGTTCATGGCGCCGCTTGGTGAAATTCCACGTACGCGGCTACTACACACGACCATGGCCATCATCTGCTGCTGACAGGTCGTTCTACTATGCTGGCAGCTTGTGCATCGAATAGCATCGATTGGCTCCAACACTTGCTATTGAATATGCTGAAAAGAACTATGGGTGACTGCAAATAGGGACCGCTCCGGACACCATGCTGGATGCCATTTCCCAGACAAGTCGAGGTCTGAAATGTGTTTTGACTGCAATGAGCACACTATGTTTCTACTGCGAAGTAGCGCTGCGATAGCGCGCTGTGCTATGCTTTGATGTTGCTCAGAGGAGGAAGGAATGCAAGGTCATCGACCACCTTTGCAGACAAATGGATTAATACGAGCGCATTGCAGCTGTAGCTTCCAACTCCTCAAGCGTGTTTCAGGTTTAGTTATAGTGATGCTATGTGGAATACGATAACGATCTGGACGACATGCTGAAGTCGTTGTAGCGCTCGATATCTAGACAGAAGAGTGGCTGATCGGCATTCCACTCAATTGGAAGGACGATTAAGCAGGCATTTGGTCCAAGGTGTTGCTCAATCTCATGCGTTGATAAGTCGGCACGGTTCCCCGTCAAACACTTCGAACTGCTTGAAAACAGCTGTCGTTCTTGTTCAGCCGAAATGGGAGTGTCGCGGAGTAATGAGCGGCGCAAATTTGAGAAACAAGGGCCGTGCTTGGAGGAGAGCGCAAAGCATTCAATTCCAATGTTCCAAACCTGTTGCCAGCGCGGTCGAGGACGACTGCCAAGAGCTAGTGTATCAGCACAAGATAAGTCTAGGCGCTCGCAAAGCAATTGTAGATGAGGAGAGAGCGCGCTCTTCGACTTACCAATAACGAGTCGGTGCCGGCCGTTTGACTCAAGTCTGTACACTGATGACTGAACTGATGAGGTCCGAAGCCACGATGAAGAAACAGCGGGCCAGTAGATCTAGCAACCAAAGACCAATCATTGATCAACTGTCTATTGTCAATGCGGTATGACTTTATTGTGTCAAGATCCAAAAGAAGCTCGGCAGCGGCAACAGCTTGGCCATCTGGTACAGTACATTTGAGCTTGAGAAATGATTTCGGTTCCAAAACTTCGACCAACACATCACCCACTGTCTTCGGCCATATTTTGGGTGATGTCGAATGGCACAACATGTTGCCGTCGAGCCCCTTATTGCCCTTGTCACCAGCTGGCATTGGCAGATACCAAGATTTGCAATAATACAGGATTGGTCTAGTTTTCTCCAACCTGAACTGGGCAGTCACCCAGAGTTGGTCGCCGGGAGGCCTGATCTTGCTATCCTTTAGAGTCTTAAAGACGCGCTATCCTGGGTCAGTCACCATGCTGCGCGTCAGATCAACTCACGTAGTAAATGAGGCCTTTATCGAGATGCGAAGCACAGTCTCCTAGGCTTGCGCCGTCGATATATTCAGGGTTACCCTAAGAAGCCCAGTCGACGTTCTTCGAACGACGGATGTCCTTGCGGTCAAACTCCCCATAATCTTGTCCCATACAACCACAGTAGATCTTTTCAGGCATGTCATCTGGCGAGATCTCCTTGGGCCCTTCATGTGGGTCTTTTACAGAGGTGGCTTGCTTCGTTAGCAAATACAGCAACGGGAAAACTGAATCAGAGGAGTACTCACTCCTTTGGAGACTGTCGCCGTAATGGCGAGTAGAAAACCTAGCGCAAGGAAGCTAGCACAGCCCATCATTGGTTTCAGCGTCAGTGTCTTGAGGTATGTGGGTGCAGAGAGGCGTGCTGGGGCGATCTGCTTTCATGGGTCTGTGCTGATCCGAAATATTCAGGGGTAAAGCTCGAAAAACGTGGCAAGTAACGTTTGTTTGCGAAAGCGTGATCGACCTTTGAGCGCGGAAGCGGAAGATGAGCCACATGACCTTCACATGAAGGACGATTGAGGAGTGTCCCTGACGACCAGGAACTGTGCATCAAAGATGGTATCTCCATATACACATGTCTCCCTAAATGTTCGCAAGTTTGACATGGACGTCTTGATTGTCAACATAGAAGCAGGCACCTAGCTGATGCATCGGACCAACTATCTCTCAATGGTCAGAAGTGCCGAAGTAGATACTCGCTCGTCAGAACAGCGAAGACTTGACATCACAAAGACTCATAAGCTTACGGGACGGCATATACCACATTGCCAAGTCGGGCTGTAGCCTTCTGTTGAGCAGTCTAGCATCCACTCGCGTGGGTGTGACTGCTATTGCATCTCTCTGCCGCATATCGCGTGCTTTCACGTGATGGGCATCCCTTATTCCATCTTATAGGGAGCATGAGCCTCTACTCTGATCCTTATCCGTAACAATCCTATTTGCACTATCTCGGTTGCTTGAGTCAGACGCCTTCACAGGCACGTCATCACTAGCACTACGTCCACCCCGATTACCTTCAGCTGCCATTGATGTCTTGACGAGCCGACGAAACAGCACAAGGAATTACCAAGACCTGGACCGGTCTTCGGCTTCCGAATTGTGCAGCAGCAACCCGCATGTCAACAATGTCGCATAAGCGCCATCAGACTTTGGCGGCGAAGCTGAATCTGTGCAGGTAGGCAGCAGTTTCCGGACAGAGGACTCCGGACTCCACAGCTCATACCGTGAATGTCTGTCTCACAGCCTTGAGGGGAATGTCCAAGCTTTCCACATGTACAGTGTGTACTCACGCGTATGTCGGGCTGGAACGCGAATCCATCAGCCGGAGACGACTACCATGCAATATTCAGATATTATGCCTCGAACAATAACTCTCAACCAAGGAAATATCGAATGTTAGGTCTATGAAGATCGTGAAGTGACGAGAACTTGGGGCGAAAGGTTGTAATGTAATATGATTTGATGACTTGGATGTTGTCAAGCTTGAAAGTAAGAATGCGCCTTGCTCTTGTGCCAGCAATTGCAAGACCCTCGAAGAATGCTTGGGTTCTTCAAGGTGACTTAATTAGGATATAACCTTGCACGATTCAGGCTTCGTGGGCAATTGCCCAATGGGAAAGGCGAAAGCCGTGCAGAGGATCCCCGGAAAGTTTCTTGGTTGACTGTTCATTTCATGCAGAGCATAAAACCAAACACTGTACGGTTTTGCTTTCGAATCATCCGGGATACGTTGGATGGTCTTAAGCTGGTATAATGTCAGCGAGCTTCAGAAAGTTCCCAAGGCAGACTTACCACATAGCCAGTTCCGATCTTGCCCTTGCAGAGTCCTTGGTATTCTAGCATATCTTTTGTAGTTGTCTTATCGACCATTGTCCAGACAGGTTCCTGATTGAATCCGTCAATCCAAAAGTCTTGGACTTGTTTGGGAGAAAAGGCGATTCTTTTCCCTGAGAGGTCGTTCCTTGGGCAATCGATCGACCTGAACTTGAAGTCGCCATTTCGTTGCGGCCAGACGTCTCTGACAAAGGCGGGCCAGTTCTCAGGCTTGCGATTCATGCACTTAAGGATTTCGACATGGAAACCGTTTTCTTCGAGCGACCATGGCTGGAACGAGTGGTGGCAGAGTTTGTAGGTTTTGCCATTGTCCCCTTTCCAACCGTAGTTAGTCAAGATGCCGCGGAAGTCACGTGCACCATGCAGGGTAATGTTCAACTCCAGCTGAGGCAATTAGTATTTGTTTCGAAGATGAATGGAGAACTGACCACTGCCCATTGCCCTCCCTTTTCATTGATGCACACCCCTTGCAGTGCCACGTCCGGCGTCGCTGGCCCCTTTCCGTCCGCATTAAAAACTTCCCAGCCCACAGACGTTGCTTCCAGAATTTGCTTGCGCTCGATAGTCTCTTCCATTCCATACCCACCACAGTAAAGGGCATCATGGTCTGTTGCTCCTGCAGGCAGAGCCCAAATACCTGCGGAAGCGTGAGTGGCGGCAGGAGAATGGTGCGCGTGTCGATGACCACGCTTGCCCACTGCAGATGTCTTGACTGCTGCCAAAGTGAGAAGAACGAGACTCTGGTGCCAAAACATGATGAGTCAGTGTGTTTCTGCGATGGGCGAGCAGGCCCTTAAGTACTGGGACTTAGCTGCACAACATGTGCTTGCCAAGACTAATTTCCAAGCTTGGGCGGGAGCAGTCTTGTTTGTTGAGAATTCAGGGGTTACATGCACATATGCATACTATTGGTGCGCATGGATTAGCTTGGCATGGTTTGCGGCCCGCAATTGACCGACAAGCACGACTGGCTTTTGCATGCAAGTGCATGACCCAAATCCTTGCCCGAAAACGAGATGAGCAAAATCCTTCAGTAGCTTGAGATTTGTTGGGCGGAAAAGTGTGAGGAATAGAAAGACTCGCGACTCGCGAGCCAGGCAAAGCACATTTTGATCTACATAACTTTGACGTGTTGGATGAGCATGTTAGGAATTCAAGTGCATCCCCTGATCACTTGCTTCCGCTGTTATCTCTCTGCCACGTCAGCGCTCATGCACGTGACCTTTAGTTTAGTCTTAGCTGGCAAGAGTGCTATACTCTTGTCCCCTATTCGAATCAAGTCTTATCTGCAGCTGCCCTGCGTGCCTGTGTCTATCACCTACGACTACAGCCTCGCATATCCGCCAATCTCGATTAGGTTATGAGCACTGTTGCTATGCAGCAAGACGCTACTGCTTCGGGTCAACGTTCCGGCCCGTCTAGCAACGCGGTATTAAGGAACACCAAGAGGATCAGCAATGGCCTAAGTGCTTGGAAGGATGAGCTGCTGCTTGTCGCTCAGCAGGCTGGCGTTGAGACTTACATCTTTCAGGAGATACACGCACGCCGCGTCAAAGCAGCAATACGCTGCGCAGACGCCATGCAGAAGGCCGACGAAGACGCTGAGGCCCGTATCGCCGCTCTCGAAGCCCTCATGAAAGATGACAAGCTTAAGGCCCCAAAAGCCTATAGCGCCCCCTCGACTCGCTCCAAGTCCAAATCGATGGAGGAGGAATCAAGCGAGGATGAAAGCACAAAGCCTTACACTGGTCCGTGCTACATCAACTCTGAGGGGTATCTTGCACCTGCGACCTTTGAAGAATGGTCGCATCTTGAACCAACTTGGGACAAGAACAGCAAGGCGCTTTTCTTGCTGAAAGGAGGTCTCGACAGGTCTGACCTGGAAGCAATCAAAGACATCGCAGTCGCCTGCGTTGCTTTCAAGACTGTCTTGTCTCGACACAAGCAGCCTGACACTTTGCGAAAGTTGCAATTGGTCACGAAGCTCAATAAGCTCTCTTTGCCTCCTGGCAATACCACATCTTCAGCTATTGAGACCCTGATGGTGGACGTTCAAGCCACCATTGCCCAGTTGCGCAGCCTTGATCCCACCGGCAAGACGTTTGACGAAGACATGGAAATTGCCATGATCTACGCCAAACTCCCAGGCGATTTGCAGGACCTCACGCTGCACACACTCTCCTCGGATGGACCACACTCTATCCGCAGTTTTGTGCAGCAAGTGCGCTTCAAGATACAGTCGGATGACTATCTCAAGACGCACGGCAAGCACAAGTCTCTGGCAGACTCAGCCGCTGACGCTTCCCAAACCCTTTACCAATCATCAACGGAAAAAGGGATGCTCGCTCAAGAGCATAAGTCTCAATTGAAGCAGAAGTCTTCAAAGAAGCCGAGGAAAAGGCATTCTCTTCACAAGCCTTCATCTGAGACGAAGCAAAGTAGCCCTCCAATTGAATCAAAATCACAGTCTGAGGGCAAGCCAAATCCCAACACGGCATACTTTGCTCGCGAAACAACCCTAGCTGAACGTAGCTGGGTGATCGACTCCGGTGCCACGTCGCATATGACACCGTCGCAAGAGTTGATCTCTGATCTCTCTCATGATGCTTCCATTAGCATCACGTCCGCCAATGGCGAAGAGATGATCTCCGCTGGTTTTGGGCATGCTGCATTTGCCGTGCCAGATCAAACCAGCTTGGTGCCCTTGTCCAAAGTTTGGCATGTGCCAAATCTCACTGAACATCTTTTATCAGTGAGCGCACTCAATGAGGACGGTTTTGACGTACTGTTCTCGGCCAAACATGGACCAGCCCTCCTCAAAGACAGTGTTGTCGTCGCTACTGGCAGGCGTGTCGGTAAAGGCTTTGTCCTAGACGGCACAATTGCTAAAGTCCAGCCTCAGGCAAGTGAGTTTGCCCTTTTCACAAAGGAAAAGGCACCGACGGATGCCCTTGAGTGGCACCGACGACTTTGCCATATGTCCATCAAGGACATGAAACGACTTTCGAAGTCTGTCGACGGATTTCCCGACGATCTGGTCTACCCGGAATACTTCGATTGCTCTGGCTGTGCAGCTGGAAAGAGCAAGCGCTCGAGCTTTCCCTCTGTGGCAAATTCTGCCACTCAGCGGCTTGACATAGTCCACATTGATGTTGCTGGACCAATGCGCACCAATTCTATCAATGATGCACGATATTTTCTCATCATTGTTGACGGGTTTTCCAAGTACGTTTGGGCGTACATGCTGAAAGATGTCACTGCAGACACCGTCTGTAACATCTACAAAGCTTGGGAAACTGTTGCCACCAATCACGTTGGCGACAAAGTCAAAATTGTTCGCTCTGATGGAGGTAACGAGTTCAAGGGGAGCTTTCGCCAGCACCTCATTACGCAAGGCACCACTCACCAAACAACTGTTCCGCATACGCCTGAGCAGAATGGTGTTGCAGAGCGCCACATTCGCACTGTTGTCGAAAAGGCTCGCTCATCGCTTCTTGATGAGACGGTTGGTCCTCTCCCGCGCAATTTATGGGCTGAGTTGACCTCCACAGCCGTCTACGCCATCAATCGTTCGCCTCATACTGGTCTCGACAAGACGCCATACGAACTGTGGTATGGCAAACGACCAGATTGCTCGCATATGAGGACTCCTGGTACCATTTGCTGGTCACACAACAACGGCGTATACACTCTCGATCAATCCACCTATATTGAATCGATCGCCACCGACCACGGCTTAGCCAACTGCCATCCAAGGCACCTGCCAGCCAGTGTCGGCACCATTCTCACCACTGACGGCACTACCCACCAGCCGACTGACGACCAGCCGGCCAACAAAACTGCTTACCAATCCATTGTTGGGGAGCTTCAGTGGATAGCCATCTCGACCAGACCCGATGTTGCCTATATTGTCGGTGTTCTAGGTCGTTTCTCTGCCAAGCCGACTACTTCTCACATGAAGTTGGCTCGTGGCGTCCTCGCGTACCTGTTCACGACTCGCAATTTGCGACTGCGATACGACGGAAACGACGAGTTTGCTGGGTACTCTGACTCTGACTACTCAGGGTGCCTGGATACAAGGAAGAGCACATCTGGCTATGTGTTCATGCTTGGGGGAGCTGCAATCACCTGGCAGTCAAAGCGCCAAAACATTGTTGCCACATCGACCATGGAAGCCGAATATATTGGCCTCTCCAACGCGTCAAAAGAGGCTCTCTGGCTGCGCGAGCTCATGCTCGGCATCAAGATCAGCAATGTGCTCAACTCCGACGGTTCCATCAATTTATTTGGGGACAATCAGGCTGCGCTGAAGTTGGCACACAATCCTGTGTTTCACGCCAAGAGTAAGCACATCGAAGTGAAGTACCATCACACTCGATCCCTGATTGAGCAAGGCAAGATCAAGCTACACTACGTCGGCACAAAACTGCAAAAAGCCGATCTCCTTACCAAGCTCCTTCCACGTCCTGCATTGGAGACGCAACGACTGCTTCTCGGCCTCGTCTAAGCACTTCGCTTTATCGAGATAGAGGGAGTGTTAGGAATTCAAGTGCATCCCCTGATCACTTGCTTCCGCTGTTATCTCTCTGCCACGTCAGCGCTCATGCACGTGACCTTTAGTTTAGTCTTAGCTGGCAAGAGTGCTATACTCTTGTCCCCTATTCGAATCAAGTCTTATCTGCAGCTGCCCTGCGTGCCTGTGTCTATCACCTACGACTACAGCCTCGCATATCCGCCAATCTCGACTAGAGCAAGTCAGAGCATTGGACAAGCGCTGCTGCATTGGGCAATAGCAGTTTTGCGGAATCCCACCGGGTCCCCTAGATTCACAATGGTCTCCTGACGAGGCTCTCGTGATCCAAGTCTCCGATTGTTATTTCTTGGCAAAGTGGACCTCAAGAGACGAAGCCCACTTTGTACACAGCTGGTTCAACAGATCAGGCTGAGAGTAAAGCTCTATTCTTCTAGGGAATAGTCGATGGATGTGCATGCGTAAAAGCGCAGCTGTGACCCGTAAGTGAACAGCAGGAAAATTGCAAAGATAATCGAAACCCCTAATGAAATGTGGTTGACAATTAATAAAAGGAGTCAGAGAGCTCGACAGTAAAATGAACAGCTCTGTTTTGGGGAAAGATCTTGTAAGCCTGGCTAAGGAAGCCAGCACAGTAGAGTGTAGGTCAACCTGTGAAAGGAGAAACATCAATGGTCAATGGACCGTATCCGAGTGGACCACAAGACGACTCGTATTACTAATTGAGTTGACAGGGCCCAGTTGGAGTTTCTGCCTGCTCAAAGGGCCAGTACCACACTGCACACAGGGTCGAGGGGAAGAAGTGTGTCGTGGGGTCATATTTGTCGGTAGCGTATGCCCGGATGTTGGCATTGTTGTAAATACCCTTGAGCTAGAAAGTCAGCAAAGATGACACCAAGGGAGAGACAAACTAGATAGAGCCGTCCTTCAATTCCACGACACTTTTCAGTGATTTCATACTCATAGTCTTTGTTAGGACCTATCCTAACCCATTGTGGTTCAACAGAGTCATCCAGGGTAGTCATGCCCAATTCATGTCGTTGGATTACAATCGGCGTTCCATCAAGCGATGGGCACGTCAAACTCTTGAACTGGAAGGATGGGAAGCGGGTGGCGTTTCTGGGCCACAAGTCGCCCATCAGACTGGGGAACCGATGCGGACCTTTGGCTTCGATACACCTGAGGAGTGGCGTTTCTGGATCATCGTCTGACGTGTCCACAGGTACAAAGTTTGAGTGGCAGTACCTCAGCTTTTCCTTGCCTGTTCCATGGCCAATAACCGTGAAAACCCCCGAATTCTTGATCGACAGCTTAATCTGAGTTGTCAGCATGATACCTTGATTGTGCAATAGTCTCACCTTGTGATAATCTCCAGGACCGACAGTCATACAGTGGCTTCGCAGATGTATTTCTGGTAAGAGGATTTTCTCCCATCCGTTCGTCGATGCTGCTTCCATCTGCGCTTTTGTCAAATTGTAGTTGTAGCCAAAACCACCACAGTTCAACGTAGGAGGGACGTCGATTGGCAAGTGCCATCGTTTGACTGTCATTTCCTGCTTGAGGTCTTCTGGCGTTCGCTTTGCGTGAGTGTGACCTGAGGTTGTTGAATGAGCGTGAAGGGCCGGCAAGACCAACAGAAAGAGCGCCTGTGGCCAACGCATAGTTGTTGGTCGCGACGATGCCGCCTGCGCGGACTAGAGCCCCTTTAAGTATATTCGCTCCTGGGGGCCATGATGTGCGAATGGCCATCGACCATGATCGACTAAATTGGGCCCATTTGTTTGTTCCTCGCAAATGCTCGATACAAAGCAAAGATGCTGGTGTTGACGTGCTGCATTCCCTCTCCTGAATAATGGCAGACAAGAAGTCTTGGGCTCGCACTCCGTGTTCTAGAGCTTTGCGCGTGGTGTACGTGGTTTGTCAATGTCATGTCATCTGCAGAGCACTCGGCGACCATTGCAAGTGATCCGATTTCATGGAAAGCATAGTAGTATTGAGACTGAGAGCTTTCCTCCCGTCCACCTGCAGCTGCAGCTTTGTTCATTCAGCAAATAAATAAAGGCCACATGCTGCTCTCAGCGCAGGTAGCATGTGTGACATGCGGTGGCCTCACGCGTGGTTCTGCTTTTGCTGCGCCGGCAAGTTTGGCAGTCCACTTTGGTGATGCCTGGACGCAGATCACTAACATTGTATTAGAGCCCAGTCAATATTGCCTATTTGGCTGTGACTGTATGCTAGATGTCTATTCTCAGTGCAAGCTCGAATGCGACGAATGCCAAAAGCAAAACTTAGCCTAGGTGCGCCGTTGCTCCAGATCCACTACGCTGAGCCTCCGTCATACGATCCGTGACAGTCTTCCAATCGAGTGTCTTGATCCATTGTTCCACATACGCCTGTTTACCAGCAACACCATAGTCTGCTAGGTAAGAATGCTCCCAAACACTCAAACACGCCACAGGCACGAGATCCAGACTACGCTTGACATTTGTGTACAAGCTGTATTTGCTCTCCTCTGCAGTCTTGTTGGCACTCGCTTGTGAGCTTGGTGCAAGACCCGTATTAGGGTCGACATTGCGCAAGTTTTTCAAATCAAATGGGGTTCCTGCATTGTAGGTTGCCAAGACGCGCAAACGGTCCTGTTCATCCAACACAAGCCAGATCCAGCCGCTTCCAATCATGGCATTGGCTGTTGCTGCGAAATGCTCACCGAGTCCTTCGGCTGTCATACCACTTGCTTGTAGCATCAGTCGCATGGCTTTGGGGATGGTATGCTGATCACTCGGTTGATTGTCTCGTTGCTTCAACTGTGCGACATTCAGAGCATCAAAGTAGAAATGATTGCTGAACGCCTGTGCAGCGTAATTGTGAAGAGCAGCGAGTTCTGGCTTTCGACTTGTTTGTGCAATGACGTTGATGAGTGGCATGCTTTCATAGTCGGTATCGACGGAAAGTCTGTTAAGATTCTCAACGACGTGCGCTTGATAATCTGTCCAGGCTTGCTTGTAGCCTGATGCAGAGTATAGCGGCTCAAATCCTTCTTGACCATCTGCTGACGTCGCTAAACGGAGTTGCGGGACGCTGTGAAGGAGCCTTCTCCGGAACGATGAGGCCTGTGAGCATGCTCTGAGGGTAGGCTGTATCCGCTGCATCCTCTTGCTCGCTGCTGTGTCTAGCTACAGATCTCTGCTGCTTAAGCTGGTTCTTGGTCTTGTTCTTGGTCGTCGCCAGAACAAAAAATCAAGACACGTGCAGTCCAAGGAAGCCAGGAACCAAAACCAAGAGTGAGCCTGGTGGAATAGTAGCAAAGGGCTTGTGGCATATAGAAGGGGCTACAGTCAGTTGCTAGTGTACTATGGCTGTAGGCTTCAGTGGCCATCGATAAAAAATGTCATCAGATACCAGGTCGTATGTCTGCTTCGAACGTGAGAATCACTGCAATCAATCTTCGTATGACCTGAGCCAGCAGCATCAGATAGACTCGAAAGAATGCAGAGAAATGAGCGGGAGACTCTAGACCAAATCCTGGTACAAGTTGAGAGCCGCACAAATGGTCGGGTCTCTCTTTGAGCCTTCCCTAAACTCTTCAAGGGTCAACTCACCATCCTTGTTCTTATCCATCATGCCAAAGATCTTGGTGACGCGCTTCTCTGGCGTATCTTCATCTTCTGGCAGCTTGACCATACTGCCCACCATCTTGTAGATGGCTTCGACAATCTTCAGCATCTCATCGTAGGTGATGAAGCCGTTATTGTCAATATCATACAGCTGGAAGGCCCAAATGAGCTTCTCATCCATCTCTCCACGCGATGTGACAGACAGCGCACAGATGAACTCCTTGAAATCAATTGTTCCATTCTTGTCATTGTCAAAGACATTGAAGACGTAATCCGCAAAACTGCTCGGGTCGCCAAAGGGGAAGAATTGCTTGTAAATCTTTTGAAACTCCTCTTTAGTGAGTTGTCCACTTGGGCAGTCCTTGAGGAAGCCCTTGTACCACTGATTGAGCTCTTTGCGGTTGAAGTAGGTTTGCTTCTGCAGCGCAACGAGGTCGTCGTGCGAGAGCTTTGATTTGCCTTGACCCATGTTGACTGTGTATATGCGCCTGAGAAGTGTTGTATATGAGATGATTGCCTAGATGGGTAGACTAGAGGGCGCAAAGGTTGCTGGAAAAAGAGCAAGCGGGAGCCCGATGACGCAGCAGGCCTTGGTAGTAGTAGCACGCTTCAAATAGAAATCGCAAAAAGGCTGGAGTTGATTTGTAGGTCGCAGGAGGGGTGTTTAGTAGTGAGGGCCTTGCTTCTGTATGCAAAGGGCCCTTGATGCTGATGAGTCGTGGTGGACAAGGCTGGGGAGGATGCTTCGTCTTGGCTCTGGCTCAGCCTCAATCCAGTCCACACGCCAGATGGGATGCAACAGGGAGCATATAATATATATATGTACATGTACACTGGCTAACAGGATAGTAGCGCCATCTGCTGGCTACAGAGCAATGAGGGCACTCTATTCTACAGACACACTCACCCAATCACCACAGACAAGATCACAATGGTCAGAATAACCCCCAGGATCATCAACAGGCATAGCATCCGGTTCCGAGACTTGCGCTGGTATCGCTGCGCCTTGGCCAGCTCCGTAGAAGCCATCTGTGTCTGCACCGCCGTGTTGTCCACGTTCGCCTCTATCGAATCCACCAGATCACCCTGTTGATGCACCATTGTCCCCAAATCGCGGAAAATCTCATTCAGTTCCGTGATGCCCTGCTCGATATTCTGGATTTCACTCTCTCGTTCCTCAATGAGAGACTCGTTGAACTGAATCTCATTATTGTCTAGCAGTCTTGGCGCCGCTTGAACTTGTTGTTGTAGCTGCTGCTGCGTCACACCATCTTCCTGTAGCGCTTCAGAGTCCTCTATTGCCTGCTTTGCCGTGTTGACATACGTCTGCTGGTACTCCTGCGCCTTCCGCTGTACCTCCTGGAAACTCGCAATAGCAATCGCAAAGTCCTTGCGCATCTTACTCTTTGCAAAGCGCGCCGCACTCCCACCAACGTCCGCCTCCTCCATCGCTTCTAGTTCCTTATACGCATCGCTCGCTTGCTTGACTTGCTCACGCGTTGTTTCAAGGAGCGTATGAAGTGTCGTTCGAGACTGTGCCGTATCGCGCTTCCCTGTCTGTAGCTGCCGATTGATTTGCGTCACATTGCTGGTGATTTGAAAGATGCGCCGAGAGAGCGCATTGGTCTGTTTCGCAAAAGCGCTGGGTGTGCCTGTGTTGCCGCTGCCTGTGCGACTGTTGCTGCCGCCTCTGCCTGATTCTAGATCATTGAAGGACATGGCTATTCGTCGTTGTCTGTGGTGTCTAGTAGGTTGTGCTCAGGCTTCTTGTCGGCGCTGACTCGCTTGGCAGCTTCACGTGTTCAGGTACAGCAACGCTACACCTCTCAAAGGCTCTCATGCTACCTGGACTCCATACTCCAAAAGGCTTGATGCATGGCAGACAATGCTGAGCTGCACAGAATACTACTGCTACTGGCACTCAACACACTGCTCACTTCGCTATGGCTCAATTCGCCACCAAACTTCACCTGCTCGGGCCGTTCACTGATGCTTCTTATGCTTTTGATGCTGCTCTACTTCTACTCTGCTGAGCTACAGACCCTTCTACTTGACTGGTACAAACGGAACATTGTCAAGGGCGACTCTGCATTCATCCATGCATTACACGTCAAGAACGACGAACAAATCATTCGACTTGGCAAGAATGAATTCAGCGTTGCAGATCCAGCCATCCTGGACACCATTTACAAAGACCGTTCCTTCCTCAAGAGTGAGCAGTATGCTGCGTTTGACGTAGACGGCAATGCCACACTCTTCTCTATGCGTGATCCTGCAGAACATGCTAGACGTCACAAAGCTGTCGCACATCTCTTCAAGTCTCCGCGAGTTGTGGCAAAGTACGGAATGATAGGAGATCTTGCCAATCGATTTTGCGATTACATTCAAGATAGCTTGGAGAAAGACTCTTCAGTGGATGTACTCCAGTTCATGCGTGGATTCAGCGTACAGAGCATCTCTCTCTTCGCTCTCGGTTTACCGCTTTGCGAAGTGCCTGATGAACCGGCACTCGGCAAGCAAGTCGGTTTGTACATCGATGCAATCAACAAGTCTGCACGTTTTGGTCGATCAAGTGCATTGATTGTACGCTGGGCAGATGCATTGTCAGGCCGAGTACGCACCCTGTTGGGCAAAACACCTGGTCCTGATGCAGATACTGAGAAAGCTTTCTCAATGATGGACGCTTTCTGTGCGCGCGTTGCTCGGCAGACAGAGTCTGCGGCTTACCGCGACCATCTCTGGCAAGGCAGCTCACTAGACCATAAAGCTCTTGAAGCAGAATTGGCTGACTTGCTCTTTGCCGGGACAGACTCCACTTCTGTTACGCTAAGTCTTGGCTTACACTACATCTACACCAACAAGTATATCCTCGACAAACTCTTCAATGAAGTACGCGACGCTGATATGTCAAGGTTGTGGCCGCTGCCATACTTGGACGCTGTCATTGATGAAAGCCTGAGACTTGCATTGCCCGTTCCAAGACGACTGCCTAGGGTTGTCCCATTTGGCAAGGACATCTTCTACAAAGAGGATAAATTGGATGACGGCTGGGAAAAGATCATCCCGGCTACAGCGACTGTCGGTATGAGCGCATACACACTCCATCGAAACAAGGTGTTCAAAGATCCGCTCAAGTTTCAGCCAGAACGTTGGTTTACTCCAAAGCAAGCTGATGGAGGGCAGCTCTTGAGCTGGGTCACCGAATACTCTAAGATGCGGCAATGCTTTGTCCCATTCGGCAAAGGCGTTCGTGCTTGTATAGGGCAAGAATTAGCTCGACAAGAGCTCCGAACAATGCTGGCTACGTTTGTCAAGCGATTTGATGGCGAATCCGTTGGCGAGCGCCCTCGCTGTGATGACAACTTTAACGCCACGATTCAAGGATCAGTAGTATTGCTCAAGCTACGGCGACGTTCTGCTGCAACATGATAGACTGTGTACAAGCAATTTGATGTTCTATCACTGCTTTTCATTACTATAAGGCCTCATGCTTGACTTTCACCAAACACAAGCGCTACGCCATCATCACCGGCAGTCAATACCTTATGACCACCAGCTTGTACGGCCAAACACAAAATATTATCTTGCTGACCGCGCCAACGCGCAACCTGAGCGCCGGTCCTGACATCCCACTTCCGTGCTGTTTTATCCGTACTCGCAGAGAAGAGGAAGGGCGTTCTTGGCTCAAAGTGAAGAGCGACCACAGGTCCGTCGTGCCTCAGAACAGTCCGTAACTTCATCGAAGGCACTTCATAAAGCGCAATCGTCTCATCCACCGATGCAACAGCGAGTAGCGGAAGGGTAGGTGAGTATGTGATGGCCTCAATGGAATGTGTTTGTGTGAGATGCGATGCAATCAAGGCACCACTCGCCAAATTGAGCGCTAGGAGAAATCCCGTCGAGCTGCCAACAACAGCCACGGCACCACTCGCATCAAGGGCAACGGCGTTCCAGCCACCTTCGCCACCGCATAGCCGCTCATCCTGCGCAGTTTCTATGCGGTGCGTTGGTTGCGATGTGCGTGGGTCCCATTGAATGACTGTTCCGTCTTCACTGACAGACACAAACATCTTACCGTCTCTTGACCAAGTACCAGCCGTGCACGGTGCTGTATGACTCGCAAAGACGCCCATGACATCGCCTGAGGGGACTTTCCACATCCAGCAGGTCGAATCAAGTGTACCAGCCAGCAAGACGTGACCGACTGGGTGGAATTTGAGCCATAGCAATTCACTGCCTGCTTCAAGCGTTACCACGCGCGTCTTGCTCTCCGTGTTCCAGACTTGCACGAGACCGTCCATGCCGGCTGTTGCGACATAGGTGCCATCTGCAGAGAAATCGCAGGCAATCACTGAATCCTTGTGGCCGTCGAGCTTGTGAACAGTTTCGCCAGTCTCAATGTTCCAGAGGTAAGCAAGCTCATCGCCGCCTCCAGAGCAGGCCAAGTTTGGGTTTGCGGGTGATAGGGCTAAGCAGTAGACACTGTCTTTGTGCTCGAAAAAGCCTTGAATCGATTCATCCACAAAATCTTCATCCTCCGCCATTTGTTCGTCTGCGTTTTGTTCTCCTTGAGGTTCTTCAGCATCGTCGTCTTCGTTGTCATCGTCAGACATGCCATGATCGCTACCTTGTTCAATCTGTTCCGCAACTTCGTCCTCGTGCAGTTGCACTGGTGCTTCCTCTGCACCGCCTACATCATGCTGTCCATTTGACACTGCCTCGTCATTCATCTCTGACTGCATGCTCGTTGCGCGATGCAGTTGTCAATTTCCGTTGACGTAGGTGCTGCGATTGCGCTTCTTCTGTTCAACTTTTTTTTGTGAATCTGCTGGCACTGCCGCTGCTGACAATTATTTCAGGCTTCAGATTGTGCTAGAACAAGGCATGCAATTAGTTGATACAAGCAGCTTCCATGCGCATGCACGACGTCGCCTACAATGCTATTGTCAATTTTCAGTCACGCCGAATTGTATGCAGCCAAAAAAGGACCCCTCCCGACCTCATCCACGCAGCTTCAAGAGAACTGTTCCAACTCGTCGATATTCTCAATCGCCTCCTTCACAAGATGACTTGCTTTGCTGTCCAAATTCATGGCTGTTGTAAGATGCTTAATGGCACTTGTTTTATCCCCAAAGTGGCGATACAGCCGACCAAGTAGGAAATGTACATTTGCCTCATCTGGTGCAAGTTCCTTGAGGATATGCAAGTCATTCATAGCGCTATTGTAGTCTCGCGCAACAATCAATGCTTTTGCCTTTTTGAAACGCGCAAGTGCATTGGTCGGTGCCAAGTCACACGCACGCTGATATTGTCGTAATGCTTCGGGCCAGCGTTTTGCTCGCTCAAGGACGATCCCAATACAACAAACCAAGACGGCATTGGTACTGTTGATTTGTGCAGCCTTATTGAAGTGGTACTCGGCTTGCTGATTGTTGCCAGTCTTCATGTATGCCATCCCTAAACCATACCATGCATTGTAATGTCGCTTGTCCTGCCGTAATGCGAAACGGAAGGACGCTTGAGCCTTGTCAAACTCTTCATTCGCTGCAAACTCGTGGCCTTGTAAAGTATGTGCATATGCAAAAGAAGCATCGAGTTGAATCGCTCGAGAGATGCACTTGAGAGCTTGATCGTGCTCTCGCTGTAAAGAGAAGCAATTCGCCAAGACGCACCATGCTTGTGGCGAGAGTCTATCGAGATCCATCGCTTCATGCGCCAAGAAGCTCAATTCTACTTCACGCTTGAGATGCCAAAGACAGGTGGAGTAGAGTTCCAAGTCTTCGATTCGATCAGGCTGTAGCTTGCGAAGTTGCGCAAATGCCGTTTGGGCAAGCGTATACTCGCCCATCTCATAACGCGCGCGTGCAAGCCTTGATAGTAGGAATGGCGTTGCATTTTGCTTTTGTAGCAGAATTTCAAATTGTTCAGCAGCGCGAGGACATTGATACTTCATGAGTGCGTAGCATGCCTCTCCAAGTTGTCGCAAGGAAGCCAATACTTTACTCTCATCATTGGCCAACAAGTCAGCACTACTGCCCGGCTGCGAGGTTCGTCCGTTTGCATTACGTCCACGAGGTCTGGCAGTCGGTGTACTTTGCAGTTCTGCAAGAACGGGCGGCGCTGCGTCTTTCGCTTGGGTAATTTGTCGGGTGGGTTGTTTCTTGACTGTCGTCTGTCCGGTGGATCGAGTACTTCTCAAATTTGGCAAGAGCCGCGCACTACGTCTTGCTGGTGCTTGAGCCGCCGAGTCATTCGGCCGTGAGGCTGCCCTTGCATTCGAATCTGAAGTTGTCCGACCAAGTCCAAATCGAGGCGCCGTCAAGTCTGCTAGGCGCGATTTGGGCCTGACTGGTTTTGGAACAGGCTCAATGGTATCGAAGGAAGAGCGCTGAGGTGCATCAAATGGTCCAATAGGCGTGACGGGTCCGCCTGGTTTCTCCAAATCTGCTCGAGCAACCAATGGTAGTGCTGGTTGAAATGCAAATTGCCCTTGGCCATGCGCTGGTTGTTGATTAAAGACATTAGGCGTCACGGCTGAGAAAGCGTCGTCCAGCGCACTCTTTCCAGATTTTGCATCATTCTCCTTTTCTTGTGGACATGCTGACTTTGCTTTCGCAAGCACCTCAGACTGCTTAAAGACATTTTTGGGTTGCACATCCACACCGAGTGTAAGCAGTCCCTCGAACGCTTCCCAAATGTATGGATTTTCATTGAGCGTATCCACGTAGTATCGTATAGCCGGCTGAGCTTGGTCATCTAGCCTATGCAGATGGCCGAGAAGACAAGACACTGCCGCTGCATCCGGCATGCCTTGTCGCGTTGTTCTGGCGTGCTGGTAGAGGTGTGATGTATTCTTCCAGCCGTAGTGCGAAGCCATTAATGCTGTTATACCAAGACTGTACCGCTTGAGGGATCTGCAGGTTTGCGCATGCAAATAAGCACACCCGACATGTCGTGAGCCGTGCGTCAGTGTATGCGCTTTCAAGTGTTCGCCAGATTGAAGGAGCGCCTTTGCATAGAGGAAGCGCGCATATTCATCGCTTGCATTTTGGTAGTAATGGTGCTCTGCTAGAAAGACTGCCGATGCACTCAGACCGTTGTCGAGGTTGTAGAGGATCGCTTGCTCCATTGGTTGCCAATGTTGCGATTGCAAGAGGGTCTAGCTCGAGCAGGGACAGTCAGATCAGGCGAACTTTAGTTGACCATGTCGAGCGGGTGTCTGGGCGTAAAGGCTGGCAAGTAGGCTCTCTGTCCTTGTGTATACTCACAAGTCGGTGCGACCTGCGCCGTTACCATGTTTTGTCAAAGCAACGAGCTGACCTAACCCTGACAGCTTATGTAAGCAATTTCTTCCGCATCGTCTAGCCTACAATCCAATACACATCATCACTCTCTACTAAGGCTCTCTACGGCCTGCAATGCGAAAGAAAGTACCTGACTGTTCCATCCCATTGGCAGCAGGACCTGAGCAGGTTGACTGTGTCCTGAGTCGTGCGACATTCGCGTCCAGAAATTATTTATTCGAGCGAGACGAGAGACCAGCAACCAGCTATAGAGCAGGAGAGAGCCATGGATATACACAGAGCCAGGTTCGTAGACTATACGCCTTCGACAATCACTGCGGTCGCCTACTCTCACCCGTCCTCACTAGGTGAACATGCACCAGCCAGCTTACGTTGTGCAGTAGGCCGCGCGAATGGTGATATTGAACTGTGGAACCCAAAGGACAATTGGACGCATGAGCTGACCTTGAAGGGCGGTCAGAGACGATCTATTGAAGGTCTGGCGTGGGTCGTTCAGAAGGGATATAGCCCACGACTGTTCAGTATAGGCAGCTCAAGCTCAGTCACGGAATGGAACTTGGAGCTGCTGCAGCCAATGGCCAACACAGATTGCAATGCAGGTGCGATATGGAGTATTGCCGTGTCTCCAGACAGCAGTAGTCTGGCCGTGGGATGTGAAGACGGCAGTCTGGTCATACTCGACGTCTCTAATGGGCCAGGCGTCGTGGAATACAAGTTTGTCTTGACACGACAAAAGAGTCGAATCCTTTCACTCGCTTTTTCTGGTGCAAACCTCATTGTTGGAGGCTGCTCAGACTCAACGCTCAAGGTCTGGGATTGCTCACAAGCACGAGGCGCGATTGTTGCTCGCATGTCTGCGGATAAGGTCCGTGGCGAACCGACACTTGTATGGTCGGTCCTCGTCCTCAAAAATGGCAATATTGTCTCTGGCGATTCAACAGGTGCCGTCAAAATTTGGGATAAGCGATTCTACTCCCTGTCGCAAAATTTTGACTTGCATGCGGCAGATGTCTTGTGTCTCGGTGCAAATGAGCAAGGCGATACCTTCTTCTCCGCAGGTGTTGATCGCAAGATGCACATGTACAAAGCTGTCGATGGTAAGAAGCGCTGGGCACATATCTCTGGTCGTCGTTTCCATGCACACGACGTTCGAGCCATTGCAACTTATGAAGCACGAGGCATCTCACAGATTGTCACAGGTGGCGTTGACATGCAATTTGCTATTTTGCCACTTGCTGATTTCATGAAAGAGAATCATCGAATGCTGCCAGCAACACCACAACGGTCTCATACGTGTCTTGCACGACAAGCACGACTCCTGATGCTCTGGCAAGATCGACAAGTCAAAGTATGGAGACTAGGAGATCAAGTTGATTTCGATGTTGAGCTGCCACAACATCAGCTCGTCGCCAAGATGAATCTGAGAAATGTTGGCAATCTCTCTTGCGGTGCAATCAGTGATGATGGACGCTATCTTATTGTCTGCACGCTCACAGAGACGAAGCTGTATATGCTGCTACCCTCAGCATCGGGAGCATTGAAACCTGCAAAGCTCATCATCGATCATCTCGATAATGTCGGCGCGCGGAGCGTCGTCTTTGCCGGTGACAGTAGTACTTTTGCACTGACACTACCAGACTCGACTATCCAAGTATACCGCATCCAACAAGGCGATGTCGATGCAGAAGATGGTCTCTACGACGTAGATGTCAGTGATCCCATCGAGATTGAGACACCAGACAGGACTGAGCGCAGCAAGAAGCAGCAGACATACATGAAGAGCGTCAATCTGGTCATCTTGTCTGAAGATGGTTCCTTGTTAGCCATGTCTGACTATAGCGGGAGCGTATGCATCTACTCAACAGACAGTGGCAAACTCATCAGCAGCCCGCCGAACATCCCGGGTGCCATCACAGCCATGACATTTGAAGGCAACGAGAATCTCGTCTTGACGACAGCGAGCATGGGATTCCACCAATTTGCAGTGGATAGCGGCAGAGTCACACCTTGGTCTGCACTCAATAGCGCCAACTTGCCCAAAAAGCTGACCGTTTTGCTTGACCACTGTCTCGGCATACGCATCGACATGGAGAAACGGGCATGGATGTGGGGATCTGCGTGGGTCGCATTTCTGAACCTGAATGAGAGTCTACCAGCTCCTCCTGTACCAAAACGGAAACGTTCAAGCTTCTCAGGCAAGGCGCGAGCAGCCATCACAGCAACAGAGAGTGATGAGGAACCAGGGCAAGACTTGGTGGCGACGAAGGATAGCTCACTCAAGGGAAAGTTCTGGATCACTCTCAAGTACCGCCCACTCTTGCATTTCGATGTGATGAATGAGGCAGAGTTGGTGGTTGTGGAACGGCCCGTGATGGACATGCTGAGTGAGGCGGACATACCAGCGCCATTCTATGCTAAGCGGTATGGCACCGGATAATATAGTACTGTACACAGTCTTAAGCTCCGCCTTCGCCACGACTACGAGTCCACTCTGCAGTGCCAGTCTGTCGAGGTCTCCTTTCTGCTCTGGTCAATTGATCTGTATCATGATAGTACTCCTGTAACTCCGTTTCCTCCTCCTCATCTTCCTCTTCTAACGCACGGACTTGAGCATCCCTCAAGTTGACCCTGCACCGCGCCGTAATCTCTCTCAAGCCAAAACGCAGGATGGATTCGGGTAACAAATTCCTTGGCAGCAAGTGTTCCTTCTGTCGCACATACCGTCTCGTGACATCTACGGCGCCCTCTTCGCTGAACGCTAAGCAATAGGACATCTTCTTACCCCAACCATGCGTATACATCAAAGGTGCATCGAAGCTATTTTCGCAAGCATCACAAGCAACCCAACGACCGAGGAAGGTGGAGTACACTTCTGTCCAGACGTGATCTTCTGCATTCCAAACCCAACGAGCCCGACTGCCAAGGGAGATGCAAAATAGGGTAAAGACATTGGCAAATTCGCCACAGCGTCCTTTGCGATACTTGATTAGCGTAGAGAGCTTATCGTAGCGAGGGAAGCGTGTCATCGGATGACTATTACCACTCGTCTTGCAGCAATGCACCTCGGTTCGACCGGCACCATCCGCCTTTTCTTGCGGTGACGGTTCTTGGGCGCCAAGGCTGGTCGTCTCACCATTACATGTAGAGCAAGGTGGTGTCGTGACCCAGGTGAAGAATTCTTCCTTGAACCAGCGCAGAAGTGCTCTGATGAGATGATCTTGATGTCCCAAGGTATGATCCAATGCAGCGCACAGGTCTGCTTCATCATAGATGGTAGCCAGATCAATCTGTTCGATTGCTTCATCAATCAAGCCAGGCGTGTCGTACTGCTCGACAGTCTCGGCAAGTCTGCTGAGCTGATGATAGAAGGGGAAGCGAGGCGCATGCGTAGCAGCAAAGATAGGCGAGATTCTGCGGTCTCGTTCGGACATCATGACGCAGAAGCGCTCTGTCATACTTCGAGCAAGCGCTGGATCCATAGCAGACGAAGGAGCAAGCGGATTGACGGAGAGAGTGATAGCTTGCTACTTGAAATGGCTAAAAGAGTGTTGAGGTTGTGGCCTGCTCTTGGTTCAGTGACGCGCAAACACAACCACAATCGTCTGGCTACACATACATTGCTATTAGCTCTAGCTCATAGTCAAGCTATGTTAGCTCTCAGCTACCGAGCTTAGCAGATCAAAGTCAATCTCTGAATGCGACAGATCTGCAGAGTCTTGACACTGAACAAAGTGAACGTGGAAATACGTCTGAAAGCACAGATCGGTAAGTGAGTCACGGTCAGTGTCTGGAGTCTGGATCCTCAGTCAGGGGCTTTCTGCAGTGCTGTTGCCTGCACCGATTCCGAAGCCGATGCGACGCTGCCATGCGGTTTGCTACATAACTCGCAAGACCGGTCCAGGCCTTGGCCAAGTTGTATCCTTGACCACTGCAGCTGACTATAGCTCACATTGAAATGATGCAGAGTCAAGAAGTCCTTAGATAATGCGAGCTTGGAGACTTGGCCAAGAAACTTCTGTGCCTAGAGGCTCTAGATGCGCTCCCAAATCACCCAGCTTGTACATGTCATTCCGCAGCTTGCTGGCTCAGACGCTCAGGCATGAGACACGCTTGCTAAGGCCTGGCCGGGCCGTTCTTTGACCTCCTCTCAATCTTCAACGCATGATCGCGATATGCTGGCATGCGAATCTCCCCAAAGATGCGAGCAAAGACTCCTGATCATGAGCAAAACATGGGAACATCCTCGCGAGTGACGGATCATTGACAGAGAGACTTCATCGTGAATTCATATGATAGGGAGCTCAAAATTTGCATGCCATGCAAGACACGGCTACAGCATGTGCCGGCAGGCTGCAGGCCCCATGCTCACTTCTCGACAAGCGATTACGTGTCCTGCCCAACTTAAAAGCCCATTGACGCCTTCTCAAAGTCTCGTCAACTCATGATGTTCTGGCACCAAAGCGTTGTTCTCTTCACCTTCGCAGCAGTCGGCTCTGTTTCCCCGAGTCATGATAGCAAGCCTCTTGCGAAGTCTGAAGATTGGCGTCACTCTCTGGCAGCGATGATTCCTAAAACGATCTACTGTGGTGGGTACAAAGATCAATATTACTTTAGCCATCACGAAATCCTGCACGCAGTAAGCAAGGGATGGCGACCTTTTGTGGACCCGAAACAGCAGAATCCAGTTCCTGCTTTGCAGTTCCAAGGTCAGTGCATCAGCGAAAAAGGAGGTACCTGGGCTACGGTCAGTTCCATCTTATCTGGAATATGATGCTGATGCTCACAGTTGGACCTGGACATGTCCATTCCGAAGGAACTGCTCGGTAATTTGACTTTCATTGGACTGACAAAGGACAACGGCAAGACTTACAAACTGTGCCACCAATATTTCCGGCCCTACAGCTTCGAAGAAAAAATGTTTTCTACGAGCCTGCTCATGTGTTTGGATCGGGAGATAAAGTGGCCTATACTGTACCGGGACTTGTGGCCGCCGCGAGGCGGCGACTTCGAGTTCAAATAGATCACCTGCCCTTTGAATGACCCCTCCAAAGGTTCAGCTTCACAAACCCTCGAAATTGCTGAATTGCTAGACGTCGGGCTCGATGATAATGGGCAGCCTTTTTGGACCATGACGGATAGAGTTACTACGAGAAACATGCCAGAGTTTCAGGGACTCTGTGCTGGGAAGACTGGCCCAGGCTATCATGTATGATCTCTAAACTACTCGAAGTGACCTGCTGACGCGTCTTAGCTTAAAATTTCCAGCTCCGACGGCTCTGCGAATGTCTGGTTTTTTGCTATTGGCAAGCCGAAGAGTAAGCCGACAGACACTCCCACGCAGCTCTGCTCGGCTTATTACATTCCAAGGGACAAGAAGTTATCGACAACGAAGCCATGCACTATCAAGTTCTAGTTTGAACCACCTTTTGGCTTCGATCTTCGATTTTCCTTTGGCGGTTTGCTGAAACAAGAACATGACATTTATTGATTTCTAGGCTCAGTCGACTGGCCAAATGTCACATCCAACTTTCCGGCTCAGCCTATCAATGCAAGTTGTGAGTCCTTCTAGCTCTTTGATAGATAGGCCCAATCATTCCTCTTCTTTACCTTCTTGATTTTGAGCAACAGCTCTGGCGTGGCATCTGATTGTTCCAGACCCACGCTTGTTGACTTCCAGGTTGCGATTGCACCCCAATACGCCCAAGACTGCAGGGCGGTCAGCTATGCCTCACACTTTGAGACGTGCACAATCGAGGGTCAGAAGCCGGCAAGCTCTCGACGGGCTAGAGAGCGCTTGAGTGTGAGACCATAAGAAGATCATCTGACTAGAAGCGCTCCTGCAAGATATGGGTTGTTCTTCAGCTTTACTTGCCTCACAGCGATCGACCTATCTTGGTAGCGTTAAGATCTCCTTCCCAACATACAGTGCACTGCTGCAGCATGTTGTTTCGCTGGTCCCTCAAAGTTGATATGGACAGCTGCGCGCAAAGGACTCCTGAGGGTTGAGGAAAGCACGAGATCCTCCACGCAGGGCTTTCATCAAGACGCTGGTTCTTCGTATTTTCAAAAAGAAGCTCGAATGTATTTGCCAGGACCGAGCTTTACCATGTGCGCGTATGCATAGCCCCTGGCCTTGAGCGCGTCTCTTACAAATATTCGCATCTCCCAACAAATGTTTGCATCTTCCAACAAATATTTGCATGTACCGTCTCAGGCTGTCTGGCAAAGAACTGCCAAGGGGCTGGGAAACTACTTAAGAGGCTCTTATCATCTTAGCAAGCACTCATTGAATTTTCATGTTCTGGCAGCAGAAAGCCCTGCTTTAATCTCTAGCGACACTTGGGTCGACCACAGCAGTCCATGGTGGTCGCCACGGGAACAAGCACGGGAGTCTCACTTCCGCACCTGCTTGGCGCCATAAATTGGAACATGTCATTACTGAGGGCTATTACTGTGGTGGATTCGGATTCGCTTACACAATCTCGCGCGAATTGATCCTGAATGCAAAGTCCAAAGGTTGGCAGGCATATGTCGATGAAGATGAAAAGCCAGCAATTGCTTATCTAGCGCAGCAAGGTCAGTGCATCAATGACAAGGGTGGTGTATGGGCTACGGTGAGTCAATCACAAGTGTACGGAGATGCTGATATTCTCTAGTTAGAGCTGTCCCTTCATGATGACCAAAAGGAGATGCTCGGCATTCTGACTATTTTTGGTCTGACACAAGATCAAGGCAAGACGTACAAGCTATGTCCGATAACTTTACACCTTATCGTCTTGAAACAAAAGAGTTCTGGTTTTTTAAACTCAAGTGCCTGAGTCGCGAACCGAAGACATGGCCTTCACTTGTCAAAGACTTGCTGCCACGACACTATCGCGATTTTCAGTTCAGATCTTTGACTTGTCCTCTGAATGCTGGGTCTAGAATTAAGAGAAATCTCAGTCTCAATGAGGTACTTGAACTTCAGCTACCTGGAATGGAATACGAGCCTTCTTGGCTACTCGTGGAAAAGATGACTTCGAGGGACATGCCAGAGTTTCAAGGTCATTGCGCTGGCAAAACTGGAGCAGGCTATACGGTAACTCCTTGTAATTCTCATTCACTTACTGACATTCTTAGCTTGCTTCATTTGAACAGGGCAAGGGGAAGACGGAAAATAACAATATTTTAATTTTCGCTATTCGCGAGCCGAATGCTAAACCGACGGACATCCTTACAGTTCTCTGCTCAATTTACCTCTTTCCTGCAAGCGTACCCTTCCCGGGACCTCGGCCTTGCACCATCGACTTTTGATCTGGTTTTTCTGGCGACATTGAGATCTTTTGATAGACCTAACCATTCCTCTTCTTTAACTTCTTGGTTTCGAGCTACAGCTTGTGGCGTGGCATCTGATTATTCCAGTCTCGCGCCTGTTGACGTCCAGGTTGCGATTGCACCCCAATACGCATGGGACTGCAGGGCGGTTGGCTATACCTCAGACGTCGAGTCGTGCACAGTCAGGGGCCAGAAGCCGGCAAGCTCTCGACGGGCTAGGGAGAGGCTTGAGTGGGAGAACAGGAGAAGACTCTCTGACTAGGAGCGCTCCTGCAAGATATGGGTTGTCCTTCAACGTTACTAGGTTTACTGTGACCAGTCTATCTTGGTAGCGTTGAGATCTCCTTCCCAACGTACAGTGCACTGCTGCGACATATTTGCTTACTGGTCCCTCAGACTCATTATGCTGGGCAAAAGTCGGACAGTTGCGAGCCAAGACTCCTAAGGGTTGAGTAAGGCACGCGATCCCCTCACAGGGCTTCCATCACGACGCTTGAGTTCTTCTGATTTCCAAGAAGGAGCTCAAACGTGCATGCCAAGACTGGGCCTCAGCATGTGTGACATGTGCGCGTATGCTTAACCCCTGGCTATGAGCGCATCTTCCAATAAGAGTTTGCATGTCCCGTCTCAGGCTGTCTGGCAAGGAACTCCTAGACCTAGAGTCCTGCCCTGCCAAGAACTGTCAAGGGGCTGAGAAAATACTTAAGAGGCTCTTAGCCCCTCAGCAAGTACTCATTGGATCTTCATGTTCTGGCATCAGAAAGCCCTTCTTTACTCTCTGGCGACACTTGGGTCGACCACAGCAGTCTATGGTGGTCGCCACGGGAAGAAGCACGGGACGCCCACTCCCACTCCCAGTCCCACTCCCGCACCTGCTTGGCGCCATGATTTGGAACATGCCATTCCTGAGGCCTATTACTGTGGTGGCTTCGGAATCCGTGCGACCATACCGCGTGACTTGATCCTGGCGACAAAGTCTAACGGTTGGAAGACCTGGGTCGATGAAGATGGAGAGCCAGGAATTGCTTATTTATCGCAGCAAGGTCAGTGCATCAATGACAAGGGCGGTGCATGGGCTACGGTACGGTGAGCCAATCATAAGTGAAAGGAGATGCTGATATCCTGTAGCTAGAGCTGACCCTTCATGGAGACCAGGGGAAGAAGCTCGGCATTTTGACTTTTTATGGTCTGACACACGATAAAGGCAAGACGTACAAGGTCTGTCACGAGATCTATGAAGCTAATGTCCCTGGGTTTTGGCCGTTGACACTCAAGTGCCTGCGTCGCGAGCCAAAGACATGGCCTTTCTATGTCAAGGACTTGCTGCCACGACAAAGTCACGGTTTCCAGTTCAAATCTTTGACTTGTCCTCTGAATGACAGATTTAGTGCTAAGAGAACTCTCAGCCTCAATCAGGTACTTGAGCTTCGCCTGGATGGACAAGGCTACGAGCCTGCTTGGCAGCTCATGGTAAAGATGACTTCGAAAGACATGCCAGAGTTCCAGGGTCATTGCGCTGGCAAGACTGGAGCAGGCTATATGGTAACTCATTGGGATATGATGCTGATCGACTTACTGACATTCTTAGCTTTTCTCATTCGAAAAGGGAAAAGGGAAATCGGTCGATCACAATGTTTGGTTTTACGCTATTCGCGAACCGAATTCCAAACCAACGGACGTCCCTACACTTCTCTGCTCAGTTTATCTCTTTCCTTCAAACGAGTCTTTCTTGAAAGCGCGGTTATGCACCATCGACATTTAATTCCGCCACTCTGATGACTTCTCGTTCTTTTCTGATGGGCCTGCGATTGCTGGTTCAAAAGCAGACTCCATTCTGATTTGCGAGGCTTAGGTCAGCCAGTTGCTGAGACTTACACACACAATTAGCACCTTTTGATTTCAATTGATCTCGTTTCTTTACCTACATTAGACGTAATCTTTCCTTTTCATTCTCGCTTATGCTTGCGGCGTGGCATCTGAATTCTGCCCAGCACGTCGACTTGCGCGTTGTCGTTGCCTTGCCTTCTGGTTGTATACGCATCCATTTCCTGCTAGAATCTGTCGCCTGGCTGCTGCGCAGCTCTTGCGCAAGGAAGTGCTTCCATATCGCTGAGCTGGTCACGGTCCTTGATCGACATAAATCGACCACAAGCTGAAGTCGCAAACATGTATACGCTTTTACGAGATTTGGTTGCATCTTATACGCGCAAACCAGAATATGGCGTACTGATTCTTGGCTTGGATAATGCTGGCAAAACTACGCTCCTTGAACGTATGAAGAGTGTGAGTGGTGCTCCTTCTCTCGCAGCAGAGAAGATAACACCAACGGTGGGCCAGAATGGTAAGTCGTAAATAAGGACGCTTCTTCAGGCTTTTGCTTACTACAAGTGGGGAAGCTAGTCATCAAGAGGACGAAACTGACATGCTGGGACCTTGGTGGTCAGACAGCGCTACGGCCGCTTTGGCAGCGTTATTTCTCTGAAGCACACATTATTGTCTTCATTGTTGATGCATCTAGCCCAGAGCGTCTGTCAGAGTCATCGAGTGTTCTAGAGGATATTGCAGGGGATATTTCTGGGATTCCGATCTTAGTGCTGGCCAATAAGCAGGATCAGGAAGAGGCTATGGCGCTAGTAGACATCAAGGAGGCAATCAACCCAATCATCGAACAGATTGATCCTCGCGAGGGTGGCATACTGGGCTGCTCGGCACTTAGAGGAGATGGAGTAGCAGAGGCACTCGAGTGGATCTACTCACGAGTGACGCGTAATGCGAAGGAGAGGCCGCCGTTGATGCGGTAGGTGTAGCTGGTGCAATCTGAATCTGTCTATTGGCGCGTCATCGCAAAGAAAGAGAAATAGTTAAACGAGACCTGCACACACGACCCATTCCCTACGGCCTTATAGAGATGCCTCCAAAAGCAGCTACAGCACAGCCAACAACGCTTCAGCAGAGAGTTGTTACCCTTGTTCAGCACCCGCAGTTTGTAAGCTTCAGGCCTGTTGTTCGATTAGGTTTACTAACTTTCCCTAGATCTGGTTCGCTGGCCACTGTCTTCACCTCGCTTGCTCTTTACGTTATCTTCTTGCCTTTGTCACATTCAGTGCCAGCAAGCATGGATTAGCATTCAAGGCGTCGTTTGTGGGTGCTCTCTTGACCTATGGTATCGTCACGTACAAGACGTTCTCAAACCCAAAGACGCGTGGGCCCATTGATTTGCAGTTGGCTCTGAAGCTCTGGACGGATGAGAATGTACAGTACTTTCTCCTGGCTGCCTACTGGCTCTTCATCAGCAAGCCGATTGTTGTGGCTCTATTGCCTTACACAATCTTCTCAGTGTTCCACTTCCTCACGTATCTGCGCGCTTCAGTTGTCCCGGCATTCGATGAGACTGCACTACAAGAGAATGCACAGACGACGAGTGCCCGCTTTTGTCGAATCACCAATTCGTGGATCAAGCAGAACTACGAGCGCGCTATGGCCCTTGCTGCACGTATTGAACTGCTTGTTGTTGGTGGTCGCGTCTTGCTTGGTGTCTTGACGTGGCAATTGCCCTTCCACACACTCGCTATGGTTGGTGCATTCTTGCGCTACCGCTACAGTACGTCTGCCTTTACACGCACACAATTTTCACAGCTTGCACTGACGCTGGATCATGCGGTGGCTGATCCGCGTGTACCTGCACCAGTCAAGCAAGGTTGGCAGACAATCAGGGGTCTTGTTTCGCAGTACTTGGGCCGTATGCCTGCCTCGGTGCCTCAAAATGCAGGTGCCGCTAGCCAGGAACGCAAGACACAGTAGAAAGGCCTGTAGAATGGGCTGCAGTGTATGCTCCATGCCCTTCTACTCTCTCACACCTTGTCTAACTCCTTCCGATGCTTCATATCAAATCTCTCAATAGTCCATATCACGTGTCCCTGTCCACAAATTTGTCGCGCGATTTGAACGAGAAGACGGCCGAGACCAAGTGAGAGCAAGTGCTTGCTTCTATCCTATCTACCCAGCTCATCGAAGCACAAGTCTATCCAGGGTGGCAGGAGCGCTCATTGGCACACAACCCTCATCAAGTGTATGCCTGTCAATAAACCCCCGCGGCTCAATCTAGCCCGCCTCAAAGTCCGTCCGCCAAAGGAAAAGAATGCAGGGCCCTGTGCCGCAGAGATGGCAGCGATGCTAGGGTGTTGGGCAAGTCATGGGGATAACCCCAATGCAGCAGAGTGTGCTGCCTTTGCGACGAATTTGAAGCGGTGTATGGCGACTGGCAAGCAGTATGTCAAAAAGGACAATACCATCAACTACCACTTGGCGCGGCTTGGCAAGCTCCTCTAATCAATCGTGTATTGAAGCATGATGGGCAAGGCCCTCGACAGCATAAGACAGCGAGCGTTATGATTCACATTTGCATTTCTACGGCCTCTCCACGACTACTTTTGATCAATCTTGAGACTGAAATCAACGTGCTGGACGGATTGATGCACCGAGCTGGTTGAGTAGACATCGATTGCATTGCACAGGAAGCTAGAGACATTCTCTTCAGTCAAACCACCAGAGCACTCGAGTAGGAAACTCGCTTTGCCTTGCCACTGGGTCCGTAGCGCTTCTGCAGCAACAATCAGTCCCTCACCCGTGAAGTTGTCCAGCATGATGATATCCGCGCCTGCAGTAATGGCTTCATCTGCTTCAACCGTACTGCGACACTCCACTTCAATCTTGACGGAGAAGCCAGCAACAGCGCGTGCTGCTTCCACTGCTTTTGTGATACTGCCTTTGGACCAGACGTGATTATCCTTGAGCATTACCATACTCGAGAGATCATGACGATGCGCATCAATGCCACCCACAATCATACCATACTTCTCAACCAGTCGAAACCCCGGTGTTGTCTTTCGCGTACCGGCCAAGATGCCTTGATAGCCAGCTTTCCGTACCAGCTGTAGCATTCGTCTAGACTTCGTTGCGATACCAGAACAGCGTGCAAGTAAGTTGAGTGCGACCCGTTCACCGAGCAGTAAATGTCTCGCTGATCCAGTGACTGTTGCAACGGCAACTTTACCAGCTTTCGTATCGGCTGCTTCAAATGCATCACCTTCAGCAAGATGCCAAACGACTGTACAATCGAGCTGCTTGAATATCTCATCAAAGAAGGGGACACCAGCAAGAACACCGGTTGATTTACCGTACAGTGTTGCAGTCTCTGGCTTTTCACCCACCACGAAACCACCAAAGTCGAAACCTGGGACATCTTCTTGGAGCCATGATGCACTAGTTTCGTGTGAGCTTGTAGAAGTTTGTGGAGGACATCATACATTATCTGCTTCCAGCCTGGAGATAGGAGATGCGCTGCTGTTCCTGGCAGGACTGACATGCTAGCACTGGTGTCTTGAGGTGTGGAGTACAGTAGACTTGGCGTCTTGTCGTTCTAGCACGCGACTCTTGACCCACAACCAACATTAGCGAACCACTCAAAAAGCCATCTCAGAGTCCTGAAAGAGGGCTTGGGCTTAAGCTGCTGCTATGCCTCGTGGCGAGGAGAAGGATCGTAAAGCGCGTGCTCCACTACGTCGTCAACCAAATGCTGCGCTATTCGGTAAAGACCTACGATCGATGATGTATGCCTTTGGTGATGAAGCGCCACAAGCAGACAGTGTCCAAGTGATGGAAGACATCCTTGTAGATTACATCTCAGAGCTCTGTAGTGAAGCTGGTCGTGTTGCTGGACAACGACAGAAAGTCAAGGTGGATGACTTCAAATTTGCACTACGTCGCGATACAAAGAAGCTTGGACGTGTCGAGGAACTGCTTACGATGCAGAAAGAGATCCAACAAGCTCGCAAGTTGTTTGATGAGCAAGAAGGGTGAGAAGTTCTACAAGAGATACAAAGGTGCAAAAGGTGCAAAAGAAGCGCTACAAATACAAAGAGACACGCGCATATCATGTCTGGGCATCATGGAAGATGAAGAAGAACAAGGGACTTCAAGCAGCGACTTGGCTGCGGGCTTCGGCGGAGAGCGCGTAAGGTCCTGCCTCGTCTTTGATTTTGATTTCACCATAGGCTTCGCTCTATTCCACTTCGAGGGCATCTTTCGTAGCCAACAACAAGACCTGGAAGAAGAGACTCGATGCAGCTGCACGCGAGGTTCCCTCAGCGAGGGTTGTAAAACTAGTTGATGCTGCTGCTTGTGCTTTCTTGGTCCTGCCGCCGAGTGCTTCCTTGGGCTGGGTAACGACCGTTGCTGCCTCAATTGCGACAACACCAGCAGCGGCATCTGCTTGCGTGCTTTCATACTGCGTAAACTGAGTTATGTGGCTGCATCATCTTGCAAGCGTCATTTTCGTACTGGTCCCGCTCGGGCGGTATATTGCAGCTATGTGCAAATCCCTCTGTGTGCTATTAGCTGTAGATGTATGCATATGGGGTCTCCTCTGCGGACGTTGTGCTGATCGATTGTAGGCTCGCAGTACAGAGCTCTCAGCGTCTTCTGTCACTGATCAAGATGCTCAGCTGTTGACGCTGACTGCTCTATGTGCGGACGGCTGTCTAGCAAACCTCTCAAAGTTTGAAGACGAAGAGACGTAGCTGCGCTTGAAATGCTCTTTCGGGAGCCAAAGACGAATTAGATTGGATACAAACAAGACATCGCTGCAGCTTGCATAAGCACGCCTGCAGCAAGCATAGGCTATCTTACAAAAAAACGCTTCAGTGTAACAACTAGGCTGAGGGGCGAATGGGCAGAGCAAAGCGAGTACACATCGAAGACGATGAACAGTAGGAGAGACAGACAAAGACGGTTTTACCAAATAATAGAGTTGATGATAGAAGACCAAAGCAGTAGAAGTCTGGACGGTGGGGTGGACACGACCACGTGATGCACATTTCTCCCGAATTTATAAGCGCGCTAAAAACCGGTATAGGTGAATTGAGTTGACATCAATCATAATCATACTTTGCTCTAGGCTAGTCTATCGTTAAATCTATTGGAAGCACAATGCTTCATGTCCTTTTGTGTGAAGGTCGGACACTAACTCGCCCAGATCGTGTCGTGACCTCCACGAGGGGTACCTCAACTGCAGTTGTCACTTCAACAGAGCGAGTCGCTGTATCACTGCGTTTGGTGCGTGATGCAGACCTTTTGCCGGCTTGACTTGGCTTGGACTCCAAATCAGCTTCTTTCTGGGCCTGTTTGGCAGCCTTAGCGGCCTGGGAAGCGGCCTTCTTTTCAGCGCTTGCCGCATTGCGCACAACAACAGCCGCTGCACGCGCCTCACGTCTCCGCTGGACCTGAGACTCCTTGTTAGCCTTCTTCTGAGCCACTGCTGCCTTTCGGACTGCTTTGATCGCCTGCTGCTGTCGTTTGACCTCTTCCCGCTGCTCTATAAGTTCTCGCCTCAGCTCGACAGTCTCGCCGTCCGTAAACACGCCGGCCTGACTTTGGACAGCTCTCACTTGCTCGATGACGGTCAATGCCCTCTTCCTTGATCGTGTCTTCCAACTATTAGCCTTCTCAAGCTGCTCAATCCTGGCAGCCGCTGCCTTGTTCTCGGCTAAAAGTTTTGTGTAATGGTGGCCAATGTATTTGGAAGCTTTTCGCTGGCCAGGCGAACCTCTTGCAGATAACCGGTTCACGAAGGTTCGAATCTTGTGGGCCTTGGACACGGTCCCATAGCCTGTCGCGGGTCGAGCACTATCATGTTGCTGAGGCTCATTAGCAACGCTTGGAGTTCGAGGTCTCTGACGCAAGCCTTTGAGCACGACCTCTGCATTGACAGGCCAGAGACCCGTCTTTTGGAAAGAAGACTCAATCGTCTTCTTCACAAACGTCTTCTGCCATGCTTTCCAGAAGATCAAGAAGAAGTCACGCTTTTTGATGGCTGTATGTCCCTCCATAGTTGTGATCAAGTCGTTCAGGCCTTGTGAATAATATCCCGCAAGTGGACTGAAACAGCTTACATCGAGCGGCTGCAAGCTGTGCGTCGAATGAGGCGGGTAGAAGGCACATATAATCTTGAGCTCGATGCAGCGATCCAAGAATGCATCGGTCATATGTGACCCATGACCGTCGAGAAAAAGTAGCCTCCAAGACCTCCTTGCCTTCAACTTGGTCTCCTTCTCGAAAATCTTGTCCAGCCAGTCCAGGCCGTGCATGTTGGAAGTCCAGCCGTTATGAGACGCAGCGAAATAGCAGCTATGCTCCTCACGCCTGAAGTCCTGGACCCAATCATCATGGACCTCTCCTGACTTTGCCTTGTAGATCAGGCCCGGTGACAGCGCAGTCCCATCCGCGCAGATTGTGGCCAGAACGGTAATCCACTCACGACTACCGTCTTGCACAGCCCTGGGCAATGTCTTTCCAACAAATTCCTGCTTGGTGAAGACTCTGCGCATCTTTGACAATTGGCCTAGCATGAAGCCCTTCTCGTCCATATTGTACAAGTTATGGGCAGTGATCCCGTATTTTTCGATCACCTCGCCCACTCTGATGAACCATGTCTTGTAGCTTTCCGCAGAGTCCGCCTTGTGGCGCGCCAAGTCCAATGTTTGAAGAAAACCGCTGCTCACTTCCTCCTTGTGTCGCGCAATAAAACGCGTGACCCAATGCTGTCCGAGCTGGCGGCCAGCGAGTTTCGACGCAAAATTCATCACCATTGATGGCGGAGGCGAAACGCATTGATCGGTCAGTCGTGCAATCCAGTCAAGCACGCATTTTTCTTGATGTTTGTTGAGCGCCTGCATGTTCTCGAGCTTGACCCTCATGGAGGTAGACTTCCCGCGGTATTGGCGCGAGAGGCTTGATCGGCCCACGTCATACTTTCTAGCTATGGCTGCTAGATTAGGCTTGTCTGTAGCATACGCCTCCGCAAGGGCGAGCTCCATCGTGCCCTCAGCTATAGAGATAACGCGTATTTAAGACGCGTTGTTTACTTATTTTATTTCGTGCATCACGTGTTCGTGTGGGCCCCACCGTCCAGACTTCTAGAAGGTTTTTTTTCTTTTTCCTAATTTTCATGTAGAGCCAAAAGCTAAGGGCAGTAAAGTAAGAGACAGGGCCTTCGTCCCCGAAGTTGTAGACGGCGTCGAGCAAGACACTCTATCAGCTGCAGACGAAGAGCCGTCTCATGCTGGTACGGTGAGAATAAGAGAGTTAAGCCGGAACAACGCAAGCAACTGTTGAAGATGCTGAAGGAATAGTTCCATGACCTAGATGGCGAGATCCAGATCGGTCACTGTGGTTGAGCACAGAAGAATAGCCGCGAGATGTCAACAGGGGTCTTAGATGGTGAGGCAACTGAATTCGTCAGTCCGTGACATCCAGCACAATTTCACTATACATATGGCCCCGGTCGATTGTTCTTGCCATTCCCATCACCATTGCCGTCACCATCATCCTGGCCGTACTGAGACCAATCAGGCAAATATTCATTGCATTGCTGGCCATTCTGAGCCTGAACGCGCTGTTGGTCGGCTGTATGGTCGTAATGCTGCGAGGGGTTTCCTTGCCCTGATGACTCTTCAGCGTTTGAAGAGGACTGACACTGACTATATGCTTGATAATAGTCGAGTGGATTGTACGGCGGACATTGCGGACCAAGAGATCCATGGTTCATGGGCTCAGGAACCCCTTGATCGTTTGGGAACAAGCTCATAAATTTGGTAGTCTCCCTCGAGAACAATATCATCTGCTCCTCATATGTCAATTGATGGCTTGATCCAGCTGCAGCTGCCTGGTGTGACGATTGCGGATGATGGCCGAGGGCTGATGGAATCTGCCCTGAACCCGATGACTGGCCTGCATTGCCGTCTAGAGTATTCATGGTCGGTGGCCAGGGACACATTTGCTGAATGTTGGTCGCTACATCCTGAGGAGGGTGCTCTTCCTTGGACTTGATGTACCAGTTGGTTCCGATACAGTAACCTGGAAGATATCTGTGCTCGTTTATTGGCAGGCGTCGTTTGCATTTACACCGCTTGGACATCTCCAACTCAATTTCTTTTGGGGAAACAGATTTGTGCACTTGCACAATTTCCTCAAATCTCGTCACCCAGACAGGTCTGCCGATCTCCTCACTCTGCGCCTCAGCAAGTGCTTCTTCATCCGGACGTGCCTGCAAGAACTTCTTTTGTATGTCGTCAACATGACAACGCGAGGAAACTTTGCGTGGCCAGAGGGCTGCCCAGTAAGACTCCTTCTTTTCTGGGGAGAGCTCAAAGATTTGTTTGTTGATACTGATTTGAGGCATCCGGATGTTTTCGAGAATGTGGAAGAATGTACATGTGCATTGCCAAAAGCAAAGGAGCTCGAAGAAGCTCAGGTCATACTTGAGGGTGTCACGCTCTATACGAACAGCCGTACCTTGTAAGCAAACCCCCTTCTTGTGTTGGAAGAATTTTCTGTGAATCATATCATTCACATATTGATCCTCGTAACTCTCGCGTGCGTTTTGACACCTCGTCAGGCACTTATAGTGTTGATGGGCCTCAATCACTGGATCAATTCGAGCGCAATTTGGGAGCTTTCCGGTCATGATGGATGAAAGTGAGAATTTTGCGTCGTAGAAGGTAGGCTGGGTCTTGTCGTTAAGTAGCCAGTAATCCCTATTGAGTGCAGGGTAGGCGTTTGCGTCTTCAGTCGAGATGCTGTCGGTGGAAGTTTCGGGCTCTAGCCCTGCTGCATTGTGCGATTCGCTAATGGTCTTAGCTGGCGTCATGGGCGCAGCCGCGGTAGGTCGATACAGTACGGCCGACAAGAGTGAGAAAAGCAAAAGGCTCGATGGAACCTTCCAGAGAGACATCAGAGTGAGTAATTACACACTTGAGGCGAAAGTAGACTTGATATTAGATGTCCACTGGCGTCGCAGTATTGCGATCAAAAATGAGGCACTGCCATAATTTTGAGGACTCAGCTTTACGTTTGTAGCATTCTTCAAAGCAAAGCGAAATGTTGTCGTCCCCTGCAGCTAATCATCCCGTATCAAATGTTGTGTCGTGCGTGCATGTGGCCAGCTACAGTGTAAAACGAAAAAGCAACGTTGCAAGGAGTCGGCACAGGGCGATAAAGCCCCAGTCAAATTGCAGGTGAAGTATAGTAATCAGGAACGTACGTGAATACAGTGATGACGAGGTGTTAAGTACCAATGACCTGGAACAGGCAAAAAGAATGAGGGACAGGGTAGAGGCTCATTCTCCTTATGGACGAGAACACAGGAGAGGAACGAGAGAGATCTGCATCACGCGGAAGTACGCGACACGTTGCAGAGAGATACAGTAGCAGGTCAAGCCATGTGACTGGGTGCTTGACGCCTCAACATATAGGCCCTAATCGTCTTTGTGTGTCGGAAAATATAATACAACAAGTCAGGAGCAGTTTGTGTTAGATATAAAATGAGCTTCGAGATTCTGCGGGATTCGAAGTTGGGTCCAGGAGGTGTCTCCTGATGAGCACTGACTCCTGGATGAGGCCTTGGATTCGGGGTTCAAAGAGCTGCAGCGGTGTCCTCTAGGGACTAGTCACTTTTGGCTCAACGGGAATGCGATGCGAACCCCGAATAGGTCTGACAGTTTGATAGCTTGAAACAATTCTCGACTGGCCAGGAGACGGATCAGAAGGTGCAGGAGTCTTGTGGACAAAATTGCGCATCTAGGAAAGTCAGACAAAGCATTGAAGAGCTGCGACTTACTTTAAACCAATTGTACTTGTCTTTGCAGCCCGGAAACGCAGCGATGTCAAGATGCTCAGTCTTGAGCTCGCCGTTCTGCATTGCGAAGGAAGGGGTGACCCCACGAGCAAACCTGAAGAAACTGAAGTTCCTGTTGCCGCACTTAACGACGTCAGTGAACCTAATCAACGTCTCATCACTCAGAAATGTCAAGTAATCCTTCCAAGTCGTATGATTGTTGAAAAGTGGCATCGTGGGAACGTGCGTAGAGGGATTCCTCTGCAAGGATTTGCTGGTCGAAGCGGACTTGAAGGTGAATACAAGCAAGCTTGCGAAAGCACTGACGAGCATCTTGTGTACAGAGACCGAGTGTCAGATGTCTGCTAATCACTGCTGGTTGCTGTTGCAAACTGCTTCCACAGTGTCTGCTGAGCAAGTTGATTTGCTCTATAGGGGCGTCGACGCTGTATTGGCTTGCAGTCGAACAGACGAGTGGTTTGATGGGTAGGAAGAATTAGTGTATAGTTCTTCCGCTTTTAGGGAGGCCTGCAGCAGCTGAGCATTGCACGACTCCTGAACTTTTAAAACGATGTCGTGTCGTCCATGCAGTCAAATTCTACGACACGATGTAGTATCAGCACTGCTTCTGCGGCCTGCAGCACTGAAACAATCTTCTGTTGATGGAGACTGAGGAATCTGTCAACGCAGAGTGCATGCTTAGGAGGAAGTAGATTGCTGTTAGAATGCAGTCAAAGACGGAATGCTCCATATCAATCTCCCGTATCGCTGCACAGGATCTCAGATGCCTCCCGACTGACCTCTGCTTCCCCACGAATCTATGCTAAGGACATCGCGTGAAGATCTGAACCAGTCTTGGAAGCAGGTCGGCAGCCTTTGTATCCACCTGCGAGCATCAGAGGCGCATTGCATTAGGATGTATTGCAACTAACACTTGACGCCTCGTAAGTATGTTGTGGGCTTCATATTTCAGAAATGAGAGTTGAGTAAAGTGTGAGACATGTCTATCAAAAAATCGTCCGCTGCTCAGCAAGCTTTTCCTTCTCGATCTTCGCAAGTTTCTTGGCAGTTTTGCCGCTGCCAGAATCCTTGCCGTAGAATTGGTGCGACAAGTGCTTGAATGCTTTCTTTTGAGACATATTCCGGCCAAAATCGTCGACATATTTGAGCTCAACCTTTGGCTTGTAATGTTTGAAACGATCTTGCGCCATCCGCACTTCAAACGTTTCAATTCTTCTGTTTTCGCTTGCTGCCCATGTCTCTCTTTCTCGCCGCGACATCTTTTCCCAAGCGCCAGACTTGCGAATCTCAACCTTGGCATGCTTCCGCTCCAATTCGAGCTCGAGTCGAATCTTGCGATCTTGCGCTAGCCAGGTCTCCTTCTCGTGTTGCAGCTTTTGTTCTTCTGCATTGCGAGAGTTGACTCTCTTCTAAAGCAAGAGCTTCATTGCAGCATCAACACCTTGATCTGCTTGCAAATCTTTTGCAACGACTGTGAAGGCTGGAATGGACGATGTCTCCTGAATTTGCCTTGCGAAAGTTTTCAGACATCTTGGGCCGCTTCTCGAGCTTAACGTTTTGAACATAGTCGGACGAAGCATTCATTGGATCTGTCTGCGAAAACTCAAACTTTCGGATGGCTGCCATGGGAGGCTTAGCCGCAACCTTGTCTGTCTCGCCTCGTTCGTTGATCACGATTCGTTCATGGCTTCGTCATATCGCGCAAGGGCTTGCGTTCACCTGTGGCGTACAAGCTGCATTAGCACTCGTCTAGACTTTGTCACAAAACCAAAACAGCGTACAAGCAAGTTGAGTGCGACCCGATCACCGAGCAGTAAATATCTCGCTGATTCAGTGACTGTTGCAACGGCGACTTTACCAGCTTTCGTCATTCGCTTCTCCGAATGCATGACCTTCAGCAATATGCCAAACGTGCTTGAATATTTCATCAAAGAAGGGGACACCAGCGGTTGATTTACCATACAGTGTTACAGTCTCTGGCTTTTCACCTACCACGCAACCACCAAAGTTGAAACCTAGGACATCTTCTTGGAGCCATGATGCACTAGTTTCGTGTGAGCTTGTATAGATTTGGGAAGAACATTATACATTATTTGCTTCCAGGCTCGGGACAGAAGATGCACTGCTGGTCCTGGTAGGACTGACATGCTAGCACTGGTGTTTTGAGGTGTGGAGTAGTCTTGTTGTCTTGTAGCGCATCGTCTCTTGAACCACAACCGTGAACGAACCACTCACGAAGCTTTTTTGTGAGCTTTGATAGAGGAGCGGGGCTTAAGCTGCTGCTATGCCTCGTGGCGAGGGGAAGGGGCCGTAAAGGGCGCGCTCCACTACGTCGTCAACCAAATGCCGCGCTATTCGGTAAAGACCTAAGATCCATGATGTATGCCTTTGGTGATGAAGCGCCACAAGCAGACAGTGTACAAGTGATGGACGACATCCTTGTAGATTACATCTCAGAGCTCTGTAGTGAAGCTGGTCGTGTTTCTGGACAACGACAGAAAGTCAAGGTGGATGACTTCAAAATTGCATTACGGCGCGAAACGAAAAATCTTGGACGTGTCGAGGAGTTGCTTACGTACAGAAAGAGATTCAACAAGCTCGCATGTTGTTTGATGAGCAAGAAGGGTGAGAAGTTCTACAAGAGATACAAAGGTGCAAAAGTAGCGCTACAAATACAAAAGGACATGCGCATATCATGTCTGGGCATCATAAGAGATGAAGAAGAACAAGGGACATCAAGCAGCGACTTGGCTGCCGGCTTCGGCGGAGAGGGCGTAGAGTCCAGCTTTGCTCTTGATTTTTATTTCTCCATAGGCTTCGCTCTGTTCCACCTTGAGGGCATCTTTCGTAGCCAACAACAAGACCTGGAAGAAGAGACTCGATGCAGCTGCACGCGAGGTTCCCTCAGCGAGGGTTGTGAAACCAGTTGATGCTGCTGCTTGTGCTTTCTTGGTCCTGCCACCGAGTGCTTCCTTGAGCTGGGCAACGACCGTTGCTGTATCAATTGCAACAACACCAGCAGCGGCATTCGCTTGCTGAGTTGACTCAAATTGTGTTGATTCATGCGCATCTGAATGGAGTGGGTCGAGACTACTCAATGCCTCTGCAGGACTCGTTCCACGCACCGTGCCAGGCGCTGCACTCTCTTGGCGACCGGGTAGACTCAAACGTGTACTGTCTTCTGGTAAAGTGACGTCTGGTAAACCAAAGTCAGCATCACCACCATCATTAAAATCGCCGAGCCCCGGCTGATCATGATCAAAGGCAGATAATCCACTTTCGTCATTGCCGAAAGCAGCAACAGGTCCATCATTGTCCATGTCAGGGATGAATGCTTCTTGTTCACCTTCGCCAGCTGGATGCACACTGCCTTGCCTACTACCTGCCTCTGCAGTCTGTTGTCGAGCACGCGCAATCTCCCGTACAAAGCCAGGCATGAGCATTTCCCTGATGGATGGATGCAAGTGCATCGGCTGCCAACCAAGTTGTCCCAATTGACCTTGCATCGAGAGTTGCATGAGATGCATGGCTCCTGGATCTGCGGGCAGTCGACGAGCGCGTTTAGTCAAGGGAGCAGGATTCTCTTGAAGTGCCTTCATACTGCGTGAACTGAGTTCTGTGGCTGCATCATCTTGCAAGCGTCGTTTTCGAACTTGTTTTGCTCGGACGGGTGCTGCGGCGGTCGTTGCTGCTGCTGCATCATCGACTGTCTCTCCTGCAGCAGGCACAGCAGATGGCTCGCGTGATGGTGCAGCTGGTAGATCTTCCATTGGGAAATCGTTGAAGTCACCCAATCCAGGTTCATTGTGGTAGTCCATCTCAACATCTTGGTACTGAGCACCCTCGTCTTCCATGGCCATGGTGGTATCGTTTCCCTTGTCGAGTGCAGTGATGAGCTCGAATTCGTCCGAGAGTCTCCGTTCAGGTGCTGCATCTCGACCCATCTCAAGGGACGGCCCATCTTCTGCGCCAATATCGAGGTCGAGGTCCACGCCGCCTGCAAGAATATCCTCCTCTTCCTCCTCCAGGGCAAGCGCACTCATATTACGACCAAACTCAATGGAGCGTTCGCCGAGTGTGATGTCTTGAGCGCGCGAGACATTGGCTGTATTGGTCGGGGGTGCATCAAAGTCAAAGTCGATATTCAGGTCAAACCCGGGGTCTGGTCCCATCAAGTCGAATTCTGTGAGTGTGTCGGGTAAGATGAGATTGGCGGCTTGCGCTTGTGCTGAACGAACAGATGCACTAGAGAGATCCACTTGTCCAGGGCGGAAGGCCATTTTGATTTTGATGAGGGCATCGTTGCAGTCTTCGAGGAGATACCTGGCTTTGCGAGAGTAGATTTTGACAACACCGAGGAGGAGTTGGCCAGAGAGACGTAAGGCCATGGGCGCATGATTTTCCTCGCGAATCTCCTTCGTTGCGCTTTGGATGGAGGTCTGGATGATGTTGTTCTTGGTGAGCTTCTTCTCGTAGTGTGCTGCGAGCCAGACTTTTGCAAGGGAGCCCTTGCGCTGGAGCATGACTTCTGAGTAAAACATGCTGGAGAATAGGGGCCCTGATAGCAGGAGACCCTGAGTAGAGGATGCCTGAGTTCAGAGAGTAGCCAGGCACTAGTGGAGCAGTAGTAGCAGGAGTATCACAGTACAGCAGCAGTAGTCAAGTCGCGCGTCTGCTTCCGTGGCTGGAATCGCGAAATCTGGCAGCGAGCAAGTGAGAAGCGCAATCAACCGCACCAACTACTGCACAGAGATCAAGTAGCTGCAGAGAGGTGTACCAGACATGGGCCTCTTCAAGACAAAGGTAACTGCTTCATCTTATTGTATCCGCAATCACATCTAACAATGCAGCTCCTCCTCGGCACAGCAGCCATAGGCTCAGGCTCATACTATCTCGCAGGCAGAGCAACACCCAGACAAGCTGAAGCCGCCCGAAGACCCATCCCCACCCCTGCACACGCTCAATCTCCCGCTGCAAAGCTCTCTGCCTACGATCAAGACGAGGGCAAATTCTTCCTCGTCCCACAACCGCCCACTGAACTTGAGAAGAATATCCGAGTCGGTCGCACGTACGTCATTGAAAAAGTCGATGAGCTGGATGCCTTGCTGCGACGCGGTGTGGATAAAGTGATTGCTGCTGAGCATCAAGTGGAAAACACCGTCAAGGAGATTCGGCCGAAGCAGGAACCATTGATGCCTGGGTCGTTGTATACGGCGATTGCAGCACTCAGTGGTTCCATTGTCTCTCGCAACCGCAATATTCTCTTTCGATTCGCTACACCGTTATTGTTTGGTGTGGGTGCCGGTGCCTACTTCCTCCCAGAGACCTCAAGAAATGTAGGGAATGTGTTGTATCGCTGGGAGGGACAAATTCCTGGAGCGCAACGTTATCACGACATGACTGTTTCACATGCAAAGATGGGATATCAAGCGGTGCTCGACAAGGCAGAGGATGCTACACATGTGTTGAGTGGTGCTGTGGAGTCTGGCAAAGAAGCACTCGAGGAGAATGCAGGCATCAAGCTATCCAAGTAGACTTTTATCATGTGTATCCCACCTAGACTTGTCCTTCATCAACCGACCGACTGTTCTTGGCAAGGGTCTGCCAGAATCCCGTGGTTTCATGCACATAGAACCAGTCTTGACCTCCTTGTGTCTTGAGATTGGCAAACATCCGACCGTTGCGATCACGAATCAAGCTACCTGCATCCACAATACTCGTCGTGCGTTGTCCAAGGAGCGTCAAACGAGTCATCTCCACTTGCTGCTGAGGGGCCGTCGTGCTCTTCTCTCTGATGCCGGAAGTCGTCAAGATGTCCTGCTCGTCCATCGTCAATAACATTTCTTCACTCTTCCCCGTTGAAGTTGCCGTTGACGCAGACGACACCGGGGGAGGCGTTGCACCCGTTACAAGGGCATCTTGCTGATCCATCGTCATGGGCAAAGCTTCCTCTTCCAAGCCCTCAGGCACACGCGTTCCCGCCCTCCAACCAGCCCGTTCTCCCAAAACACGCGCTGCAACCACATAAGGTTTCAAGACCCATGCAACAACAGCCGTACTCACACCTGATGTCAAGATAGCAACGCCTACCATCGCTGCACGCACAGATACATCTAAATCGCTCTCAATAACGAAAAAGACGGGTGAGATGAGGGTGGAGAGGGTGAGGGAGGATAAACTGAATAGCTTTATATTCCGTACAGTCTTTGCAAGGGGAGCAGTATAGTGTGAGCTGTTGGCGCGGTCGAGTGTGTTGGTTGCTGAGGGATCTTGGAAGCTGGCGTTGGAGGCTTGACGCGCTTGATGGCAGAGAGCGAGCGTGCGTTTAGTGAAGCATGATTGCCGCGGGAGAGCACGACGAAGCATTAGTAGCTGGCTTGTTCACGTAGCTAGATGTCCTTGAGCTTGAGCTTCAGATGTGGTCGTCGTTCAGATGTTCAGAAACTTCAACGATGTTCAGGCAGTTGGAAGAGAAAGAGGATGAATAGGTAAAGATGATTTTTATCTAGTGGAAGGACAGTCACGAGGAGGGAACGCACATACATGCATGCATCAACAAGGAACCTTCATCTGGACGCAATGCCAGAAATCCCGGTGGAAGCCAGGAGATGAAGGGGAATGAACACTAGGGACCAAGTGGCCTCACCCAGATGCTGCTTATTTCCATTTGAAAATGTCTTCATTTTTGCTACGATCCGCTGGAATGATGCTGATGTGTTTGTGCGTGATCTAAGCAGCGTTCTGCTGCCTGCGACGGTCACGCTCCTCGGAAATGGTCTATCGTTAGCTTTCATGACAACAAAAGACGGAACTGAACGTACGAGCTTGACACCCTTGCCCTTTGGCAATGAGATCCATGCCTTGCCAGCCTCACCGATGCAGAAAACGTTGGAGAGACGGGTTGCGAAGGTACGGTCAAGAGCATCCTTGACGTGAACAATATCGAATGAACCCTCGTGACGCTCACGAGATGTGATGACACCCACACGGCCCTGGTTGCGACCACCGGTGATCATGCACATCTGGCCAACCTCAAACTTGAGGAAGTCGACAATCTTGCCAGTGGCAATGTCGAACTTGACAGTGTCGTTGACCTGGATGAGAGGGTCTGGGTAACGCAGGGTACGGCCATCGTGTGTAACAGCGTAAGGAATGGCCTTCTGGCCGAGCTGGACCTTCTTAACCTTGAGGAGCTTGTAGCCGGCCTCCTCGGATGAGATGCGGTGGATGGTGAAACGGCCCTTGACGTCAAAGAGAAGACGGAAGTGCTCGCCAGTCTTCTCAATGGAGATGACATCCTGGAAACCCGCAGGGTAAGTGGACTCTGTACGGACCTTGCCGTCCACAGCAATAAGACGCTGCATGAGGATGGCCTTGACTTCGCGGCCGTTGAGTGCGTACTTCAAACGGTTACGGAGGAAGACAATGAGCGGCAAGCACTCAGTCAACTTGTGAGGACCGGCCATAGGTCGAGGAGCATAGACACCCGACAATTTGTCGAGCATCCAGTGGCTTGGCGCTGCCAGTCGCTTCAAGTGCTTCTTCTGTCCACGAACACCTGAGTCATTAGTCTATGCTAGTGAGCCATACAGAGCGAGGCATACCCATAGTTGCTTATAGTCTGATTGCAAGTTACTGTGCTTCTTTGTCGTGTAGTTGACTAACTCGCTGCGATAATTATTTCTGTTTGCAGTGGAGGAGCAGTCTTACTCCCAAAGAACACCCGGCTGCAGCAACGGATAATCAGATGGCGAATTCGCGTCCACCGCTGGCCTCATCAATGCATCGCTCCCTCCATCCATAGCACCCGTGCTCAGTCTGCCAGCTCCAATATGGCAATCAAATATGCTCCTCTCCTGCCTACTCAAAACATGCCTGCTCCAGAAGATGATCCCTTCATCGAGCACGATACTTGGACCACATGCTCGTTCACCTGCATAGCGGAAGAGTTCTGGTGCTATTGGAAGACAATCTTCCCCATTGCGCTCGTCATCGGCATCATTGTCACGTTGCTTGTCATATTTCTGCGATGATATAATCTATTGTGCAAGAGGTGCGGCTCTGATCCCGCTAGCCATCCAAGGATCTGCAATCTACCCACCAGGGAGATAGATAAGACTCTCGAGATACAATGTCCGCGACACACTCGATTCGACAATACACATATTGCAGCACAATATATAGCTGATCGCTTCAAGGGAGATCTTCCGAGGTTCCGACCGGCGACCACAGGCGCGCAAATGAAAGCGGATGGGAGTCTTCGGGTATAGCAAGCCCCGCTGCTTTTCAACTCCATCATTTGTTTGGCTTACACGCTGAGGATGCTGAGTCCTGACCGTCGAAACGACTCATCAAAAGATCTGCCTTCCCTGTCTCAGCTGGACACTGAACAGATGCTTGCTTGCTTGCTTGCCCAGAAAATCGTTCACATGTGCTTGCGTCTGCGCACAGATCTCCCGAGATCATGATACATGGATGCGTTTATGCCTCGAACTCGGCTCAGATCTCCACGACAATCAGCATCTCTTTTGAATCTATGGTCAACCAAGTCCTCAGCGTATCTAACACAAAACCAAATTGTACATCCACACCGGAATGTTCGTCATAGATAAGCCTCGCAGAATGCTCACTCTGGTCAGAAAAGGCGGTACATCAGCTTTCTCCGTCAGTGATCGTCCTTGGGCTAAACAGTCTGTGCGTTACTTGCACATTGAACAACGGTGACATCAGGTTTGAGCCGACTGAGGCCTCCATCCTGACGGTCTATAAGAAGGCCGGTCATGTCCTGACTTGCCCACTCATTCATCACATCAGCCCAGCGGTGCTCGACATCTGAACACAATGCAGTTCTTCAGCCTCATCACCTTTGCAGCACTAGTAGCAGCAGTGCCTTTCACCAAGCGAGATGAACCAACTGTCGTCGGCGGTGTTGACAATGTCCTGACCACGGCAGATCCCGCACTCGCACCAGTCCTCGCTGCAGTCACGCAACTCGAGACTGCCTTGGGTACGGCACTCCCACCAGTCCAATCCATCTTGGACCTGCTTGACTCTCTCAAAATCGCCAAGCGCGACGACAACACCATTGTCGGCGGTGTTGAGAATGTCTTGACAACAGCGGACCCTGCATTGGCGCCCGTCTTGGAATCCGTTTCGAATCTGGAAGATGCACTAGGCACGGCACTGCCAACGGTCGGATCATTGCTTGACTTGCTTGCCGCGCTGAAAGTGGCAAAATAGAGGAGTCAATCTTGACTGAACGTAGACGATAGATAATGGAAGACATCCAAACAAAAGTGTACCAGTGAATCACATAAGCTTTCTCAGACGTTCTTCTGTGAGCTGAGCACGCATCCATTCTGTGCATTGTTCCTCAAACTCTTTTTGTACTTCTGGATCTACAGCTTCTTGTATGTTAGCAAGACAAATCAAACAGCAGACTGCATACGCAATGCCTCATCCTCAAGCTGATTGAGTAGGCTGTCAAAGTCTGGCCAGGTAGAGCCTGCTGTTGCTTGTTCAGTCATTTGAGCAATACGCGATGTCCAGCCAGAAGCTTCTAAACGTTGCCGAAGCAGCATTGACAATTCATTATATTTGCCTGAGCTAATGAGCTCTTCGCTGAGCTGCTTCTTGAGCGTGTTCATGTCCATGATAGCTAGATGAAGGTGTAGACGCGGGAGTACTCGAGGTCGTGTCGTCTGAAACTTGAAACACGCGCTGCAACTTTCGCAGCGACGACCAAATGATGCACTTTGGCAAGCTTGCTTGGTAATTGATCAATATGGATGAGGAGGGTCTCTCCATCGAAGAAACAAATGCGCTTCGTGCCAAGCTAGGACTGAAACCCCTCAATGTCGGCACAGGTGCTTCATCGAGCTCTGCTGCTCCAGGCACAGCACTGACAACGGAGCAACAAGATGCCCTTGCAGCAGAGAACTACAAGCGCAAGCAAGAAGAGGCCAAGCAACAGGCGCAAGAGCAAGCAACGCGCGATCGGATTCGAAGGGCTCGAGAGCGTGCAGAGCGACAACGGCTGTTGGTTGGCAAGACACTTGGTGAGGAGGATGATGATGATGAAGACACGATGAGCTGGATCAAACGGACGAAAGCGGCAAAGCCAGCCAAAGCTGCACAAGTGAAGCCGTCGCAAGCAACTTATACACGCTCAGAGCTGGCTGGCCTGAAGGTAGGTCATGATCTAGCAGATGTGCAAGGTGGTGAAGATGTTATCATGACATTGAAGGACGGTGGTGTCCTCGATGATGAAGCCGCAGATGAGCTCGTCAACGTCAGTCTCGCTGAACAAGAGCAGATCAAGAAGCGTCGTGAGAGCAAGAAGCGCAAGTCGATTTATGCCGCGGATGAAGAGGAGGATGTCGATCAAGCCACGGGTGAACGCAAGATCCTTGCGCGCTATGACGAAGACATGGACGGTGGTGCACCGGAAAAGGAAAAGACAAGCTTCATTATCAACGAACGAGGCGAGACGGAGAAGGTTGCGGCCAAGCCTCCCATGGCAGCCACCCGAAAAGTTGAGTCTTTGCAGACAGAAGCTGTGCCAATGGATGCCTCGTCCGACTATGTCCAGGACGTCAAGCTCAAGAAGCGACTGAAGAAGTCTAAAACCTTTCGCAAGCGAGATCAGGAGAAGTCGTCTATTCCAACCTTCACAGTCATTGCAAAAGATTTGCAAGCAGATGAAAATCTCAATTTTGTCGACGATGATGACTTGCAAGCGTCCTTGGCACAGCGACGGCGCCTTGCTTTACAAAGACGCGCTAATCCTGACGATTTGGTTGCCCGACTAGCAGCATCCAGTTCAGTGCCAGAACCTACTGGACCAGTAGGACTTGTGCTCGACGACTCATCAGAATTGACTCGCTCACTCTTGGACATCAGGCTTCCAGAGTCAAAGACAGAAGCCGCATCGCCACAAGCGCCACTGGTTCAAACAGTTGAAGATGTCGATATGAAAGAAGCGTCCGTTGTTGCTGCAGCATGTGAGCCTATCGGTTCCGGCATTGCGGAGGAAGCCACCCTGAATCAAGGTGTTGGTGCTGCAATGAAGCTCTTGCTTGAGAAGGGAGTTATCTCTCGCAACGAAGAAGAACAAAAGCTGCAACACGAGAAGGAGACCTGGCTAGCGCAAGATCGCAAGATTCGACTCGAGCTCGAATTGGAGCGGAAGCATGCTAAGGATGAGATTCGCAAGTCTGGAGCTTGGGAAAAGATGTCGCAGCGAGAAAGAGAGGCATGGGCAGCAAGCGAAAACAGACGAATTGAAGCGCTTGAAGCGCGGATGGCGCAAGATCGTTTCAAACATTACAAGCCAAAGGTTGAGCTCAAATATGTCGACGATTTTGGCCGGAACATGTCTCAAAAGGAAGCATTCAAGCACTTGTCGCACCAATTCCACGGCAAGGATTCTGGCAGCGGCAAGACCGCCAAGAAACTTGCGAAGATCGAGAAGGAAAAGCTTGCTGAGCGACGGACGATTTTTCGATAGACATGTCTCACACTTTGCTCAACTCTCATCTCTGAAATATGTAGCCCCCAACATACTTACGAGGCGTCAAGTGTTAGTTGTAATACATCCTAATGCAATGCGCCTCTGATGCTCGTAGGTGGATACAAAGGCTGCCGACCTGCTTCCAGGACTGGTTCAGATTTTCACGTAATGTCCTTAGCATAGATTCGTGGGGAAGCAGAGGTCAGTCGGGAGACATCTGAGATCCTGTGCAGCAATACAGGAAATTGATATGGAGCATTCGGTCTTGGACTGCATTCTAACAGCAATCTAATTCCTCCTAAGCATGCACTCTGCGTTGGCAGATTCCTCAGTCTCCATCAACAGAAGATTGATTCAGTGCTGCAGGCCGCAGAAGTAGTGCTGATGCTACGTCGTGTCGTAGAATTTGACTGCATGGACGACACGACATCAAAAGTTCGCGATCGGGAGTCATGCAATGCTCAGCTGCAGGCCTCCCTAAAATCTGAAGAACCATACAACAATTCTTCCTACCCATCAAACCACTTGTCTTTTTGACTGCAAGCCAATACAGCGTCGACGCCCCTATAGAGCAAATCAGCTTGCTTAGCAGACACTGTTGAAGCGATTTGCAACGGCAACCTGCAGTGATTAGCAGACATCTGACACTCGGACTCTGTACACAAGATGCTCGTCAGTGCTCTCGCGAGCTTGCTTGTGTTCTCCTTCAAGTCCGCGTCGACCAGCAAATCCTTGCAGAGGACTCCCTCTCAGCACGTTCCCGCGATGCCGCTTTTCAACAATCATACGACTTGGAAGGATTACTTGACATTTCTGAGTGATGAGACGTTGATTAGTTTCACTGACGTCGTTAAGTGCGGCAACAGGAATTTCAGTCTATTCAGGTTTGCTCGTGGGGTCATCCCTTCCTTCAAAATGCAAAATGGCGAGCTCATGACTGACCATGTCGACGTCGCTGCGTTTCCGAGCTGCAAGGACAAGTACAATTGGGTGAATGTAAGTCGCGATTCTTCAATGCTTTGTCTGACTTTCCTAGATGCGCACTTTTGTCCACAAGATTCCTGTACCGTCTGGTCTGTCTCCCAGACAGTCGAGAACTATTTCAAGCTATCAAATGATTCACTATTACGCAATGAATGTGGCTTGGTGGAATGAAAAAGCGGCCAAGGTGGAGGCGCGCGTTTGCAGCGTGATTGAGATCGCTGTGAAATTGCCCAGCGACGGCAATGCCAAGCAAACCATCTGCACGATTAACCCTAAATGACCACAAACTCGTTATTCGTGGTGTCGCAAGTTTGCGACCAGTATTCTCGATAGATCTGGTATGACTGGGTCCCACTGAGTGTCATTTCTTCATCTCCTTCGCAACATTATTCTCTTAATTCATTCGACTTCTTCGCTCGCCTGTGCATCTATGTGCTGTGCTTTGCTTGGTGTCAGGCTCGCAACGTTATGCTTTCTCATGTTTGACCGGGTCATGTGCGCTAGCTGCTCCGTACTTGTTGTTTTATATTCTCCGACACACAAAGACGGTTTGGGGCTTTATGTTGAGGTGTCAAATACTTAGTCACATGGTTGGACTTATCACCAAGTTGCTAGTGCATCTCTCTGCAATGTGTCGCGTACTTTTTCTTGATGCAGATCTTTTCCTGCCCTCTCCTGTGTTCTACTCCATAAGAAGGTTGAGCCTCTACTCTGTTCCTCATCTAATTTGCACGTCTAAGATTGCTTGCACTTGTTATCTCACCGTCCGCGTCAACAATGTATACACGCATAATTTCGATTGCTATACTTTACCCGCAATCGTGACTAAGGCCTTGACGCTCTGTGCCCACTCCTTGCAAAGGGGTTTTTTTTTTTAACACAGCAATGAGCCATATGCACGCACGACACATCACTTGATACGGGATGATTAGCTGCAAGGGAAAACATTCTTCTGCTTCGCTCTGGAAAAAGCTATCAAAGTGACGTTGAATCCTTCTCAAATCTATGCCAGCGTGTCATCCTCATTTGCGATACTACGACGCAAGTAAATAGCGAGTATCAATCCTACCGTGCCTTCAAGCATGCGAACACTCACGCTGATGTCTCTCTTGATAGTTTCCACAAGCCTTCTGCTTTTATCACTCACGTCGATTGTACTGCATCAGCCTGCCGCGGCTGCGCCTGTGAGGCCAACTAAGGCCAGCAGCAAATCGCGCACAGCTACAGGCCCATTCTCCGGAAACTCAATCGGCAGCAGCTCTACTGTGAATGTGAATCCAATCGCTGAACCTCAATGGGAGAAGGATTACTGGCCAGTTCAAGACAAAACCGACCGTACTTTCTACGACGCAAAGTTCTCACTTACATCAGTCACGAGTGAGGTTTTCCCGGACTGCACAGACGTTGAATCAGTGAGTGAAGCCGAACAAGATCTCGAGTGTTTTTCGAGGTGTAATAATTCACGCACAAGTTACGCGAATGCATTCGTGAATGATATCATGCTACGCAACGTCTTCAGGTACTCAACGCTATGCTTGCAAGATACGGCTATTCATATTGAGGATCAGAATTTCAAGCATTATTCACGCCTCAACAAAAGAGTTTGCTCTTGGCAATGCACGTGTAAGATTTTTCACGTTATCGAAAACATTCGGATGCCTCAATTCTCTCTCAATGGTCAGGTCTATGAGCTCTCACCAGAGAAGAGTCAGTCTTACTGGCAGAGCTTCTTTTGGCCCTACAAGGTCGGCTCGCGTTGTACTGTTGACGACATACAACAGAGATATCTAGGAGCACGTCCAGCTCGAGAAGGATCTGTTGAGGCGCAGAGTAAGCTGATCAGCCCTACCTGGCAGAGACGATGCGAGGACATTCTGCAAAAGCGCAAAGCTGTTTCTCAGAAATATATTGAGGAACAAAAGTCCAAGCGCTGTAAATGCGAGCGACGACCAGGCACAAAAGCCCACCAGTATCTTCCTAACTACTGCATACCAGGCAAATTGGTTGATAAGTCGCAAAAACCGGGCATTCCTCAGAACGTGTCGACCGAAAATCAGCAAATGTGCCCCTGGACACCAATTATGAACCCTCTGGACGGCAATGCAGCCCAATCTTCGGGTTCAGGGCAGATGCCATCAACCCTCAGCCACTATCCGCAATCGTCACACCAAGCAGCTGCAGCTGAATCAAGCCATCGATTGACATATGAGGAGCAGATGATATTGTGGTCGAGGGAGTTCACCAAATTTATGAGCTTGTTCCCAAACGATCAAGGGGTTCCTGAGCACATGAACCATGGACCTGCTGGTCCGCAATGTCCACCGTACAATCCACTCAACTATCTCCAAGCATACGGTCAGTGTCAGTCCACTCCGATCACTGGAGAGTCATCAGGGCAAGGAAATCCCTCGCAGCATTACGACCATACAGCCGTCCAACAGCGCCTAGAGGCTCAGAATGGCCAGCAATGCAATGACTATTGGCCTGATTGGCCTCAGTACGACCAGGATGATGTTGACGGTAGTGATGATGGGAATGGCAAGAACAATCGACCGGGGGCATATATATAGTGAAACTGTGCTGGATGTCACGGACTGACTGAACAGACCCACTTTCGGAATTCAGTTGCCTTACCATCTGAGACCCCTGTTGACATCTCGCGGCTATTCTTCTGTGCTCAACCACAGTGGCCGATCTGAACCTCGTTAGCTGGAACACACAACACAACAACTTTGAATCACTCGTTCAGCATCTTCAACAGGTGCTTGCTTTCTCTGCCCCAAGTCTTCCTCTCCTTCTAGTCTCAGGCAGTTCTGCGTCTCTTGGAGTGCTTGGCTAGACGTCGTCTACGGTCCCTGAGACTTGGTTCTTATCTTTTGTTTTGATGTTTTGCAGCTTCTAGCTTTAGTCTATGACTCTGAAAAAGAAAGCCTTCTACTGCCTTGTTCTTCATTCATCAATTCTATTATCTGAGAGGATCGTCTCTATCTACCTCTTTTTCTGTCCTGTGTCTTCGACCTGGAGTCGCTCTGCCATGCTCGTAGATCTGCAGCTGACAGCTTTCCGTTAGCTCCCACGTTTTTGTTTCCTCTTCTCCGCCTCTCTCTCGTTTGATTCTGATAAAGGTAAAAAGACATCCTTCTGCAGTCTTTTTCCGTAGTTTACTATTTACACAGACATTATTGCCCAAGTCCTCTCTTTATAACAAGCACTTTGTCTGTTCTGCTCGCCAATCCCTTGCACCCACGATCCAGCAGCTAGACTCTTCTACTATGAAGTGATGTTGCTTTACCTTCCTGAAGTTTCACAGCATAGCAGCTGCCTCGCTGGCCATCCTTTCGACCAAATCAACATTCAATCGAACGATTTTGTACTGACTCGAATATGCTGATCCAGAATCTCGCAAGTATCGTTGTTCTCCGTCAGCTTTTTAGCCTCAGAGTAAAAGCCTCAAGTGTTTACGAGCTGTTGATCCAGAAATTATTGCAAATCACTGACACTGTTTATAATCATTCCTATCCTACAGTTCTTAATCGCCGGCTACCGGTGATAAAGGCTCGTGATCGCGATTAGTTGCGGTTGTGCTAATTCAGATGAAACTCATGCTCAAACTGTGGCTCTCTAAGGTGCAAAGGTATGTTTGAGTGACGATTAGCGACCAGCTACTACAGGCCGTACTCCATAAGTCAAGCGGTTTTATCCATCTGAAAGTCTCAGTCTCAGCTGTCCTCTTTTGGTCTACAAACAATTTACCCCTGAGAAAGGATCCTGTCAGGGAGTAGTTCATTCCGACGGCCATAAGCTACATAAATCAACCTCCAGCCCTCTCCACACCTCTTGAAGCAAATCTGTCATGACGCAGATGGATTACTATATCGTCATGATCATTGGTCCCTTCATTAGAGCAGCCGCTTCTTCCCCAACAGCAGGCGTCGGTCTCACCGCGCAGTTATTCCAACTTGAGGGGCAAATTGATGTTCGCAATGCCAAACTTGCGTGGAGTAGTGCTGTGGAGAGCATTGAGTGCACGGTCTTGAAAGGACATAAGACCAGGGAAGAACTGACTGAGTTTGTCAAGATGAAGGGAAACACATTGGATGACTATGACCTCCCTGATGGACCCACTTTCTATCAAGTCAAATGCGATGGACTTGTGAGCTCAAACATAGTCTCTGTGGACCCTTTCCTCCCATCAAGTGGTTATACCGCACACTCCAACACCGTCAAATCTCCACTGGATCTTCGCTCGTTTCACATTTCTGGTCCGGATGGGCAAGTCTTCAACTATGTTTACAAACCTGTGGCCACACCAGATCGGTTCCATATCTTGGCAAACGACAAAGTTGTTCTCACTGGCAGTCAGGTCTGTTCCAGCGCCATCGAGCATATGTCAGCCGCGGACTATCAGATGCATGCAACAAAGCATTCTTCCAAATCACTGCTGTACAAAGGTCGGCTAATTCGACCGGGAGAAGATCTTCAGCAGCTTTCAGAGTGTTTTCTCGAAGGGTTCAAGTCTCGCTACAATCCGCTGACGAAAGAAGTTGTCTTGTGGGCTCATTTCGAGAACTCAACAGGATACTCTGCGGCGAGACTTCTTGCAGCTCATGGACCACCGGGTGAGACTATGACAGTCTCCTTTGCAGAACGTCCACTTGGTATTGATTCTCACGATCTTGACTTCTTTGTTGATGATGGGCACAGTGGCTACATCATATCAGCGGCAAACGGCAACACCGATATCAACATCTACAGCTTGACCTCTGATTGGACTCAAATCCACGCCTTGGAAGCAACTACTTTGCAAAGAGCCCGCCGAGAAGCGCCAAGTGTAGTTCGAGTCGGCGGACTATACTATCTGTTCACCTCTGCCACTGCAGGCTGGTACCCAAGCGAAAGCACTTACATTGTTGCCAGTTCTATGGCTGGCCCGTGGAGTACTCAAACTACTATCGGTGGCCTCACCTGTTACGGGTCGCAGTCCGGTCTGATTCATCGAGTTGGCAGTAGCTTTGCTATGGTCAGTAACATTTGGGGAAGTCACTGGGCGAGGCCAGCTCGACAAGGTTCGAGACAGCTTCTTCTGCCTCTCAGCTTGGCCCCAGATGTACGGAAAGCTCACTTGCATTTCTACCCACGAGTCATGTACAAGGACTCTAACGATCTGAAGGACGGCCAGGCTATCTACGGGGTGCAAGCCGGACGCATTCTCTCCCAAGGTAAGCCAGTCACCGGAGGCTTTGGTGATGGTCGCGAAACAGACGGCCAGTATGATTCGCGTGTCGGTGGATGGTTGCCTGGATCAAACGGAAGTCCTCCTCAAGTGGCAATCAGCATCTCAGACACTGTTTCCCAGCCTGTGTTCAAAATCACGGCGATTGAGGTTCATTTTACGACAGTTCCAGGCAGTGAAATGTACTATGATACAGTCATCGACGCAATCAGCAAGGGAACTAAGTCTGGGCCTGAATTGCGCTTGGTCACCTCGGATCAATCCAAAGCAGAACCTGGGTTCCAACATTACGCTATGACATCTAAGCTCAAAGATGTGACCAGTGTGATCGTTCAATTTGGCATGCTTCGTGCCTCAAGCGGGATTCCTGCTCAAGTAGTTGAAATTGTTATTTACGGCTATTGATCATGAAGCGACCGAGATCATCAAAGAGACAGTAGCAGCTCGATTCATTATTCTAAACAGTATCTTATACGCTTATTTGAGCTCGATTGTCGCTTGCGTTGCTCTATTGATTAATCTCCGCATTGCGAGTATGCAAAAGAAGAGCGTGTGGCAAAGGAGGAGATGGCCCATCTGAACGCCAACCACAGCCCTCGGCCGCGACAATCGCAAGGTAGCTTTCGCTCCTCCATCAACAACGAAGAGCTCATAGGCTAAAGTTCATGCGAGCTAGGCTGCATGATCTCCTCGGCCTGCTGCTGTAAGTGTTACATTGTTATCGGCGGTTCTCAGGAGTCGCCCCTTGCTCGCATCCGATCACGACCTCGGATGAATTTGTTGCAGACCTATAGCTCCGGGTCCAGTCACCTCTGCAGCATTTATTGTCGCCATCCTACTTGGATGCAAGTCATCCTCTGCCGTCGCAAAGTCAGGACAAATCAGACAGCATAACAGCATGTGCAATCCCTTGCGCTTGTACTGCATTCTCTCTCCAGTCTTGCTCGCTTGCTCTGTAGCATTAGCTCAAGACTTCCTACTTACAGCGCAGCTCTTTCAAATTGAAGGCGAGAAAGATGTGCGCAATGTGAAGCTCGCATGGGATCCTCCCCCAGGGCTCACAGCATGCTTGGTAGTCCGACGTCGCGACGCTCCAAACAACGTGGTCGAATTCACACCACAAAACGGCAACGTGCACGATGAATATGCTCTACCGGATGGTCGAAGCTACTACCAGATACAGTGCGACAAGGGAGCCGTCTCCAATACGGCTGTCGTTGAGCCCTTTACGCCAGGACCGGGCTATGTCAAGCATTCCAACACTGAAGCCTCGCCTTTGGACCTCCGATCGTTCCACATACAAGCAGGAGGACAGGTCTTCGAATACACCTTCCTCTGGCTTGGGGGGCCTCAACTGTTCCATATTCTCGCAAATGGCGTCGTGGTCTTGGAGGGGAGCTCAATCTATACCGAGTTCTTGCGAGTACCGGTACCTGATAACTGCTTCCTCGAGTCGATCAAGACACTTTACAACCCAAAGACCAATGAGGTGGTCATGTGGGCGCATCTGGAGGAGGGTTGGGCTTACGGAGCAGCCAAGCTCTTTTCGGCGCATGGACCGCCAGGAAAGCCCATGGCCGTGTCTTTTGCCAGTCGCCCACTGGGTCTTGAATCACGGGACATGGACTTCTTTGTCGACACCAATCAAGCAGGCTATATCATCTCATCCACAAATGGCAATAACGATTTGAACATCTACAGTCTGTCTATAGATTGGACGACAGTTGAGAGCTTGAAAACTACCGTACTGAAGTCGAGGAAGCGCGAGGCCCCAAGTGTTGTGCAAGTGGGTGATACCTACTACTTGTTCACTTCTGAAGCAGCAGGGTGGTACCCTAGTGCGGCAATGTACATCATGTCAAAGGACATGGCTGGTCCATGGAGCGATGCCAATCTGCGACTGCTGGGCGACTTGGCGCTTTTTGGCTCTCAGTCCGGTCAAGTTCAGCAGGTTGGCAATGATTATGCTATGGTGAGCAATATCTGGGGCCATGAGTGGACGTACCCAACGCAACTCATGCCAGCGCATGAAGTTGATCGACAGCTTCTGTTGCCGCTAAGCTTTGCTGACGGGAGAGAAGGCGTTCATGCTCATTTCTATCCGAGTGTCATGTACAAAGATGTGGAGGGTGTACCAGCTGGCCAAGCCATGTATGGGGTGCAAGCAGGCCGCATTCTTTCCCAGGGCCAGCCGATCTTTCAAGGTGGGTTTGGGGATGGGCGCGAGACGGATGGGCGATATGATTCCGATGGAGGGTGGAGTCCTGGACAACCAGAGCGACTGTCTATCCTGGGTGTCAACCTCACCAATGCCTTGACGCCTGACCAAGGATACAAGATTACTGCTGTTGAACTTCATTTCACAACAGTTGGAGGAAGCGAGATGTTTTACAATGTCATCATTGGAGCAAGGCACAAAGGTGGTAGACCACTGGATGATTCACTCATCCTTGGCCCTGGACTGTTCAAGATGGTACCTGGCTTCCAGCATTACGACGTTGCATCTGCAGCTGGGAGTGCTACGTTTCATGAGGTGCGCTTTTACTTTGGGCAAGCGCTGAAGATGGACGGCCACAAAGCTGGCTTGTGTGCTGCACTTGCGGAAGTGACCATTTATGGGTTCTGAAGGTCAATACTGTTGTCATAGACCCATAGCCCTTGGCAATCGCGGGACGATTCCAGGCGTAGAAGACTCGATCGAGTCCTGCGCAAAAAAGTTGAAATTGTCCAGACGACATCAGGCGAGAACAGACACCGCACGCCAGTTGTCTGCTGCATGTCAGTCCTTCGACAGGCCCCGACAGGCCTCTTCAGAGCAACACGCTGTCGCTGTATCACTACAAAGCAACTTCTCGGCCGGAATCCGCCACTACCACCCGCCTCGCCCGACAGTATCCACTTTGACCCACGACCCATTGAGCGCGCGCGGTATGAAGAGTACTATCACGATGTCATTGCGCCGGACCTGTTGGCCATGACATATAGTATGAAGCTCAAGTCTCAACCTGTTTCTACACGCACCAACGAACCGCGGTCATGGGATGGTTCAAGCGAGTATCACAAAAATCGACCAAATCGACCATTGCGTGGTGGGAAAGTACCACAGCCCCTTCCTGAGCCTCGTACACATCGCAATGTTCCACGGATTGAGAGCATCTATGTTCACAGTATGGTCAAGGAAGCACTGCTGGACCGATCAAAGCTGTTATCTGCCTTTATGGCATTTCAAACCATTACCGGCCAGCGACCTGAACTCATCGAGTCGAAAAAGTCAGTAGCGCCCTGGAAGCTGCGTGAAGGGGTTGCTGTTGCAGTGCAAGTGAAGTTGCAAGGACCACCTATGATGCAGTTCCTTGCAACGCTCGTTGAGGTGATTTTACCATCACTCAAGGATTTCGGGGGTGTACCGGACTCGACGGGTGATGGCAATGGTAACATCGCTTTTGGTCTACCACCTGCTGCACTGAGTCGGTTTCCGGAGATTGAAGCGAACTATGAACAGTACCCACACTTGCCTGGATGCCACATCATGGTGAATACGACAGCCCTCAATGATCGGGAAGCTAAGCTGTTGATGACGGGTTTCGGTCTGCCATTCAAGAAGTGAAGTACATGACATAGGAGGTTATAGATCTAGCATTTGCCGTCATCGGCGTCCATCGGCCCGCTGTGGTTGTCGATACCCTTGCTGGTAGTCTTGCTGTAATTGACCAAAATTCGCAGGTAGATTCGGAGGTGGTTGGATGAGACCTAGTGCTTGTGCGCTTGTGATGTTTGGGATATACCCTGGCATGCCTGGCATCATGTTGGCTTGGATGAAGGGTGTTGGATTTGGTGGAGTGACACCGGGCGGTGCTTGTGGTTTGAAATCTGCTGGAATCTGGTACGTATTCGGGAAACCCTAAGGCCTCGTCAGCATATACATGAGGAAGCAAGGTCTCCTACAGGTCTCGCGGGCATGCCATAAGGTATCGGCAAGGGCATCCAAGGTGTCGGTACAATGCCATACTTATCTCTGCCACTATTACTCAACGTTGGCTCCGTCATTGGCGGCGGCATCCGTAGTCCGCGTGTCTCTGCTGCCGCTTTGGGGACTTGTCGTTCGAGCTCTTCAATCTCAGCGAGCTCAGCGGCAACACCGGCGTAGTAGTCGCGGACATTTTGTTGATGGGCACGACCTAGGTTATGCGCCTTTCTGACGGAAGAGGAGTCGTGTGTGAGGAAGACGTCGCAGTAGTCACAGTAAACTAGCCAGAGTCAGCATCGATCAAGAGAGAGCATAGTAGGAATACATTTTGGCATACAAGTGTGTAGGATGTTGAAAGTGTTGTCGCTACAAATTTGAAGTTGAACAAGGCCTGAAGCTAAGAAGGACGCATGAGTAAAGAAGGTCAGAGCTGCGTGCCCTGGGCTGTGCGTCGTTCACCAGAAGCAGCATCCACCACAAGATCAGTCTGCTTGTCCAGTGCCTGCCGCTTCTTCAAGATGTTTTCAATGAATAGCTCACCGGCCTTGAAGCTCGACCTCACCAGGGGTCCACTCGCCACATACAGGAAACCCATCGACTCGGCAGTCTCCTTCCACTTGTCAAACTGCTCTGGGCTGACATACGACTCGACCTTCAAGTGTCGCTTGGTGGGCCGCATGTACTGGCCAAACGTGACCACATCCACATCAATCTTGCGCAGCTTTTGAAGTGCATGCAGGACTTCCTCATCTTGTTCTCCAAGACCGAGCATGATACTCGTCTTTGTTATGAGTCCAGGCACCACTTCTTTAGCATGCGCCAAGGCACGCAGACTCTGTCTGAATGTAGCGCGACGATCTCGCACATACGGCGTCAAATTCTCGACCGTCTCAATGTTGTGCGCAAAGACATCGAGTCCGCTTTGCGCAACACGCGCCGTTGCCGTCAAGTCGCCCCAAAAGTCACCCACGAGCGCTTCCACCAGCGTCTTGGGTGCTTTCTGTTTAATCTTTTGAATGGTCTCTGTGAAGTGGCGTGACCCACCATCTGGATGGTCATCGCGATCAACAGATGTCAAAACAACATACCCGAGTCCCCATCGAGAAATGGCTTCAGCGACGTGTTCCGGTTCATGTGGATCGAGGGGTGCCGGTGTTCTGGATGTCTTGACACTGCAAAAACGACAACCACGCGTACACGTATCACCCATGAGCATAATCGTTGCTGTTGCCTTTGACTTGTCATTACCACCCCAGCATTCACCTATATTCGGGCAACGCGCCTCTTCGCACACGGTATGCAGATTAAGGCCTCGTAGATCTTGCTTGATCTTGTTGAAGTTTGTGGATGTTGGGATTTGTGTTTTGAGCCATGCGGGGAGTTTTGTATGGGCCTTTTTGGAGGTTTGCTTGTCTGAGAGGGCGTAGAGCTCATCGCTACTGAGGGTGGGTGGTTTAGAGACAAAATCGGAGAAGGATGGACCGGCATTGAGGGCGTCTGTGAAGGAGGAAGTCGCGCGCGTCGCATAGCATCTTGCAAGATGGGCCGGAGTGCGTCTCATCATGGCCATGCCTCTTGATGGCTGCTTCGCTACAATGAAAGACTAGAGAGAGTATAGGGAGAGTCTTGTTCATGATTTCTGCTGAGGCGACCAAATCTCAGAGGAGCTCACACGCAGAGACAGACCACAGACCACACAAGGAACAGTGTAGAGGACTTGTATAAGCCCTTATCAGCATGCTCAGGACAGTCGCGCGCAAGGCTCCAGCTGCTGTATCGCGTCGTGTGCGATTCGGATCATCTCAAACAACCGGCAGTGCTGAAGTCGTTGCAGAGGGTACGTTCATAAGCTGCCAATCTACAACAAAAGTATGGAATGCTGACCTTGCTCTTGCTATAGACTTCTCGGCCCCTATCTGGCGCAAAGCAGCCATCTTTGGTCTTCTCTCGTATGCCACGTACAAGGCCGATGAAGTGTATGCGAGTCGGCACGAAGGGGAAGGGTACTTCACCATGTTATTCAGTCGTTGGCGGCCACAAGAGGGTCTCTGGGAACAGCGAAACATCAAACACTATGATCTTGCTACGCAAGCTGCAGAGGATCGATTGTTGATGCAGTCTGCACAGGCACCGGCCATGAGGCAGATGCGATACCCTGCGTATGTGCCTTTCTCGAAGATACAATGGAGTGATGGCTAACGGATGACTAGGGTCTTGGATCATGGTTCTCCTTACAACACGCGTGTGGACCAGAAGGTGGATAACAGCCATGTCAAGGTGAAGCAGAGGAATCAGGTGGCTCAGGCTGGTGCGGAGGTGACAGTTTAGGTAGCAGGATGCAATCAGGATGTCAATAGGAAGCAGCCTACGACTTGATATTTTGATACTTGATTGAGTGTGATAAGATGACCATCCGCTGCCGTTGCACATGAGGCCCTTGTCTGTGCATGTCCCTACGGCATCTTCCCTCCAATTCCTTCTGCCTTGTTCTGTTGCGTAACAGAGAAAAAAGACGAAGCAAAGTCAACTTGCACCGAACCACCCCCCGACACAACTTAGAAGATGGCAGCGAGACACAGCTCAGCCCTCCTCAAGACATTCCTCTCAACACGCACGCTCATCAGACCCACCACCCCTGCAAGGCTAGCTGAAGGACGTCTGCAAGGTGCCTCAACAGGTGGATGTCGCCACTATGCTACAAGGGAGGAAAAAGCCGCCAGTGAACCATTCACCGAAGGTACAGATGCTGCCAATAACACGGAAACACCAGAGACAACAGGGACACCAGTGAACGATGGCAACCAGGCAGCAGCAAGTGGTTCCGCAAACGGCGAGGTTGCAGGGTTACAAGAGAAACTTGCTGAAGCTGAGAAACAAGCAGCAGCGCTCAAGGACAAGTACTTGCGGCAAGTGGCAGAAACACGTAATCAGCAAACGCGCGCTGAACGGGATGTTGCGAATGCGAAAGATTTCGCTATTCAAAAGTTTGCCAAGGACTTGATTGAGTCTGTGGATAACTTTGAGCGTGCCTTGGAGACTGTGCCAAAGGAGTTGAGAGAGGATAAAGAGAAGCACCCGGACTTGGCGTCGCTGTACGGTGGACTCAAGATGACGGAGGGGATCCTTATGCGGACGTTGGAGAGGCATGGCTTGAAGCGGTTTACGGGAATGGGAGAGAAGTTCAACCCGAATCAGCATGAGGTGCTCTATGAAGTACCCATGCCAGACAAGGAGGCCGGTACCATCTTCCAGGTCCAGAGTACAGGATTCACACTCAATGGACGGACTATCCGTGCCGCAAAGGTCGGTGTCGTCAAGGGCTCTGAGTAGCCTTAGACGAGGCCCAGCATATTGTGAAAACCCAAGTCATTTAGCATAGCCAAAAATCACCCCTCATCTCAACTGGACGCCCAGCGTTTCCGTGGACAAGGCCCGAATCTTGTCTTGCAAGACATTCACTTCATCCATTGACAATGACTTATCCATGGATCGATAATGAATGCGATAGCACAAACTTGTCTTACCCGTTTTTGGGTGCTTGAAGTGATCCACTTGCTTGACATTCTCAATCAAGTCACCACCAACACTGCGGATAATCTCCATGAAATCATTCTCCTGGAATGCTTCAGATGTCCAAAAGGAAACATCCTGGAACGTGCCAGGGTACTTGCTGTATGGCTGAAAGGCAGTAATGAGACCTTGAGCGAATTGCGACAAGAAACGTTCATCGAGTGACCAAAAGAGTCGAATATCAGGAATCCCGAATAAGACCATGGCAATGCGTTCCAAGCCTAAGCCGAATGCCCAGCCGATATGGTCTTGCTTGCCCGCGCCTGTCATAAGAGCATGTCGCACAACGCCACAACCGCACAATTCGAGCCATTCGCCCTCCCAGAACACTTCGAGTTCCCAAGATGGACTGGTGAAGGGGAAGTATGCTTCAATCCAGCGTACCCTGAGCGGTTCTCTGTCAATAGCTTGTGTTCTCTCAGCAGCTGTTTGGAAGACTTTTGCAGCAATTCCCTCAATCGTCCGTTTCAAATGCCGCGCAACAGCTTCACTTTGCAAACGTTCATGCTCAGGTTGAACTGGATTGCCTGCATGGTTTGGTGGATTCTCATCTTCAACCACAATCGACAAGGCTGGCAGGGTAGCCAATTCTGCATCAATCTCTTGTGCTAAGCCTGCTGATGCTTTCCAGATCCGTGCACCTTCCATTTGATGGAAAACTGGATAGTGTGAACGATCGATTTCATCACGTCGATACACGTCAGCAGAGATGAGGAAGCCTGCTGTATTGCAGCTTCGGAAACAATCTGCTTGATGCGCCGAGGTATGTGTTCTGAGGACTGTATGCTGGTTGATGTAGTAGGTATCACTCTTTGAACGACCGACATGGTCAGCGGGAAAGCCAAGTGAGTCAAAATTTTGATGGACGGTGACGGCTGGTGAAAAGTCATTATAGCGGGTATAGAGGGATGCTGGTAGCTGTGACTCTATCTGGGCACGGAGGATGGCAATCGGGTGGTTTTGTTGCAGATGCAGCTTGCGTGGGAGGAGAGGGAGGATGGCAGAGGAGACGTTGGTCCAGCTGTCTGTTTTGTAGCGCTGGCCGAGGATGTCTAGCTTGGAAGATGATGACTGGGCTCTTCTCTGAGATTTTGCCAGTAGACAGCGGGAGCATGGCAGAGAGAGGACGCCAGATAGTCTCTTCATCAATGAGCAGCAGCTTGAGCTTGTTCTTCTTCTTGTGGTTTCGCCTGCAAAAGTCATCCTGCACACTTCCAACACCACGAGCACCAGCTGCACCACTACTGCAGCCAATGTTCAGGACAATTTGCAGCTTCATCCGCTCGACCTTCTCCCTCCAGTCACGCTCCACCTCCCACCAATACGCACCCAAGAAATCCCTCTACAGAAAAGCACACAAGGGCAAAGTCCCCATCCCCATCGGCGGGTCAACCAAAGGCACAACGCTGCAACTCGGCGACTATGGCCTTCGTCTCAAATCAGACGGTCAACGACTCTCTGCAAAACAACTACAAACCTGTGAAGCAGTCATTCGACGGACCATCAAGGTGGAGAAACAAGCGCGTGTATTCCTAAGGCAAACGTGTAATATTCCAGTCTGTCGCAAGGGAAACGAAACGCGTATGGGTAAAGGAAAGGGTGAATTCGATCATTGGGCGTGTCGTGTCTCTACAGGCAAGATTGTTTGGGAGATTGGCGGTGCGTCTGAGGAGATTGCCAAAGAAGCGTTACGGCAAGCGGCGCACAAGTTGCCTGGCTTGTATGACTTTGTACGCAAGGGAGCATTGCCGTATACTGGGCGGATTCCTGTGGATCTGGCAGCGACGGAGGTGGTGCTGGAAGCAGGAGCAGGTGAGGTCAAGGTGGTCAGGTAGCATGATCCTTGTTCATTACATCAAAATACATTGGCATTTACCCTCATTGTAGTCATTCATAGAGGTATAAGAAGGGCCTTCTCATGCACCCACCTCAGGGTTCATGTCGCCCGTCGCGCTGTATCCTTGGACCTGCTTGGCTTTGCTCTCATCGTGTGTTTTGCCCTCACCAGCGACCTGCCCGCTTGAAGTGGATTGCGTGGTGATGTTCGCCTCGACCTGCTTCTCTCGCGGCTGCTCTTGCTTCTTGTCTTCCTGTTTGTCGTCACCAGCGCCAAAGACACCTTGGTCGTACTTGTCAGACTTCAAGTCGCCGGTCGTGGTCCCATAGGCAGACGAATCATACTGCTTGTCACCGCCTGGATCAATGCGCGAGTCTTTGTAGTCCACTGTGTTGCTTGACATGCTGGCTGCTTGTCTATGTCACGTACAGAGGGTACTTATAGAAGTCTCTTGTGGTCTCTGGTCGAAGTCTCTTCCTGGGCCGTGGACGTCATACACTCCCACAGTCACATACACACGACCATGGAATCCTGCCACAAGCACAGCTCCATCTTTGCACGGCCCATCGCAGCACAGACAAAAGACAGGCTACCGGCGCTCCTGCCTCTTTGCCTCTCGAGCAGCCTGTTCCCGCCTCTCCCGATCCGCCTTGACAATCGCATCCGGTGCACCTTTATCATGCCTGCCAGATCGCATATAAAACAACTTGGCCCGGCGAATCTTCTTGGGTGGTTCGCGCTTAATCACTCGAATCTCCTTGATGGTGGGTGCGTACACTGGCACACGCATCTCAACGCCAATTCGCATGACTTGTGTGCGTAATCTCAGTGAAGACTCAATACCGGCACGCTTGATACCAATCAGGTAGCCACTGAATGTCGACACGGGTGAGAGGGCAGGGAAGTTATTGTAGGCAAACACAGACAAGACCATACCAGGTCGTAGTCCTTGTAAGTTCCGCCGTGATAGAGCAAGTGTCCGTTCACCGGTCGTATCATACTGTTGTTTGAGATCTAGATGGACTTTTGCCATAGCATCCTTCGTGGCTGGACCGGGAAGCGGTGCATAGATGGGGATTGTGTTTTTGCGGGGATGAGGAGGAATGAGTCCTGCGGCGTGTTTCGAAGTTGCTTCCTTGACTTTTGCGAGTGAAGTTGCTGTGATGTAGGTGCGCGTGCTTGCTGCCCATGCTGCTGCTGGCTGGCAACTGCGCAGGACGAGCATGATGCGTCGTTGCTGTACTTGGCTGTCGTCGTCGTCGTCTTCCTTTCAGCAAATTTCAATTTTCAAGAGACAAGTTGAAGTTGAGTCTATCGCGACAAGAGACGGTAGAGAGCAGTCTTGCAAGGCCCGTCATGTCCAATCCATTCGGGAACCTGCCGATACCAGGCCAAAGCACACAACGCACCTCGGCCTTCCCACAACCAGGCATGTCGCAAGAGGAACAAACACAATATATGATCAACACCATCTCAAAGATGTCAGAGTCGTGCGTCTTCCTCCATCTGCTTTGTCTTTATGTATGGCTAATACTTCACCAATAGATGCGCATTCAAAACAGTCCTCTCTGGCGGCGCAGGATTCGGTCTCGGTGCCTTATTCGGCCTCTTCATGTCTTCCCTCGAAATACAAAGCACAGATAACGCCATCTATGACAAACCCTTCAAGGAGCAAATGCGCGTCGGTTTCAAGGACATGGGTAAGCGATCCTACTCAACAGCCAAGAACTTCGCCGTTGTTGGTGCCATTTTCGCAGGTTCAGAATGTTGCATTGAAGGGTACCGAGCAAAGAATGATTTATACAACTCTGCAGGTGCGGGCTGTTTCACAGGCGCTGTCTTGGGAGCAAAAGCAGGGCCGCAGGCGGCGTTGTTTGGGTGTGCTGGGTTTGCTGCCTTTTCAACAGCCATTGACGCGTACATGAAGTCCGACTGAGCGTCTTCTTCCTGACATTCTCTGGACGTCCCGTTCTGTCTTCTTCTGTCATTGAGCTTGGTATTCTTTCGGAAGCGCGTTTGACTCTGCATAGCGAAACCCCACATATCTCTGCTCTGACTGCTGGCCCGCCGTCTCAGTGCGATTCCTGCTTCTCTTGTGCCGTTGCATCCTCACTCACAACATCATGGAAGCAACGCCATAGGGTACTCACGCTTTGAAACTCCTTACCCACTGAAATGACGGCTTCCAAGTTGCGATTGAGACCATTCATACCGGTAATCAAACTCTCCATGTGCTAAAATTGGGTGTGAGTGCGACGCGACTTTTGTGTATGTATCTGCATCAACGTACTTCTGCAATTTTGGAGATGAGAACAGCGCGTCTCTTGTCAAAGAGAGACTCGCCTGCTGCCTCGTGATCTGCTGTAGATGGTCTTGGCCCTGATGCGCTCATGGATTGATGTGATGTGTTTGTGTTGGTCGCGTTCTCTCTCTTTCGTTGTCGCCAAAAAGAAAAAGAACAGACACCAGACACACACACACATCGGATGGCATGGCGCGTAGGTGCAGCGGCTGGCCGTCTCCTCAGGAACAGTACAAGCCCGTCTCATGCGCTAGTAGGCCATTGCATGACGCCTGCTCTTTGTCCGCGGGTAGCAGCCTTCTCTACAAGCAATCTATTACGGCATAAGCATATCGACCCGCCAAAGCCAGGCGAAGGGTCAGTCCTACTCTCACTTCTTCGCACCAGCTGACAATCGGTAGCATCAAAGTCACCTTCATCACACAGACTGGCTCAAAAGAAACAGTCGAAGCGCCAAAAGGCGCAAGTATCCTCGACGTGGCGCATGAAAATGACATTGACCTCGAAGGCGCCTGTGAGGGATCTGTTGCTTGTTCTACCTGTCATGTGATTGTCGACCCGGCGTACTATGAGAAGCTGGAGGAGCCGACGGATGAAGAGAACGATATGCTTGATCTGGCATTCGGCCTCGAAGAAACGAGCAGACTTGGGTGTCAGGTCGTGCTGGACAAGGCACTCGATGGTATCACCGTCAAGCTACCGTCAGCGACTCGCAACATGCAGTTCAAGAAGTAGGCACTGACAGGCACATTCCTATAGATCTAATGGCAACAGTCAGCTTCATGTCGTTGTATCGTCAAAGTATTTCTGAATTTGATAGTACTCGAGATGTAATCATCCTTCATGTTGCCCGTCTACAAACTACCAACCAACCAATCTGATGTCGAGATGTGCTTTGACCCAATGACGACTTGCAAAAGAAATGGAAACCTCTCAGACGGTTGCTTACCCCGTCACTGACTCAGCTGAAAAGGTTCGTACTGCTGGCTACAGAGGAAACTGCGAATGTGATAACTAATCAATCTTCATCACAGAGGTCTCTTGTCATTTCTTTTGCAGCCGTCATTTAAGGTCTTGTGTAGCGTCAAGTCGACATCAGACCTGTCGTTGTGTATAGAAGTAAGCGTGAAGCTAGCAAGACGATAGCAGCAGCAGAGAAGCCAAAGAAGAGTGGATCGGATCGTTGTTGTTTTTACTGGCAAGTAAAACTCCCCAACTTGCAAAGCCGCAGCCCAGTAAAGAGCGCGTAGCTTCAACAAGTAAGGAAGCATCTTGGTGTCGTCACAGTCGATCGGACTTGAAAGAAGACAGGTTGGTTTTCGTCATTTCCACTTCCCTCTTTGGGACATTTTCTTGCGTTCTGCAATCGTCGTGCTGGCTGTCTCGAATGGTAGAGAGAGGAGACTGGATGTCGGCTCGTACAGCAGGCCTCCAGTCTCTCCCTATCTCCCAGAATGTTTAGCAGCAGAGGTTGTGGTTGAGAGGGAGACAAAAGTCGCGCTGGGAGAAGACGACAGAGAATTCATGGCACAGAAAATGTCGCACGCTCAAATGTAACGAACCCGCAGCCTTAAACCTCGCATCCGACTTTCCCGCACCACATGCTCTAGCAACTCATCGCGGCTCTTCTACCTTCCGCCATTCAACGACGCTTATCACCTCAGCACGTTGCCTATCGTCCCGCGCCTAGCTTCCTCGCTTCCGGCAACGCTCTGTCACGTGTCCTTACTCGCTCTCTTACTCGTCGACGACGTCTACCACGTCGTCCCTTGTTCTGTCTCTTCCCTATCTTGCAGCTCGGACATCTCCACAGGGCTCATGCAATCTCGCTTCCCCTCTTCTTTCATTGTTCTCCTGCTGAGAGTCGGCTCCCGTGGGCTCCATCCACATCATCGCCATCCGCTCTCATGCTGGTACCTGGTAGACATAAGTAGGCAGCCTTCCGCTGTCTTGTTCCTTAGTTTACAATTTCTATTCTTGTCCCCTACATCTCGCCCAAGTCCTGTCTTCAGCACAAGCATTCGTCCTGTCCTGTTCGCCCTTCGTCACACTTTGTAAACTCATCAAAGCTTGTACAGGCACTCCAGTATGTCGTCAGTCCCCGACGTACCTTCCGCCCAGTCTGATGTGCCTTCGCCTCAGGCCGACGGGCTTCCCTCTCGCCAAGCTCTTCTTGCTATGCAAGAGACCATGATGCAGCGCATTGCACAGCTCGAGGCCTTCGCCGCAGCTGCTACCGCCTCAGCAGCCGCCTCACCACCCGTCCCTGCACCCACACCAGCAGCCAACTGGGCCAAGACTGCCGTCAAGATCGCGGACCCTAAACCCTTCGACGCCGATCTTCTTGGTCAAGACGTGCGCAACTTCGCCGCATCCTGTCGCCTCAAGATGCAGGCCTGCCCTTACCTCTTCCCAAATGAGGGCATAGCCATCGCCTGGATTCTCCAACTCCTCCAAGGCGATGCGGCGAAGTGGCGCGACGCGCGTGCAGTGGCGGACCCCACAACTGGCCTCATCTCGTTTCCTGGACTGCCAGATGCCAATGCAGTTCTCGACGCCCTCATCCAGTCCTTTGCAGTCCGCGATCCCGTATCAGATTCAAAGAAGCAGCTCGCCACCCTCAAGCAAGGAAAGGAGACCTCCGTCAGCGTCCACCTGGCCGAGTTCGAGCGTCTCACTCTGGTCTTGAATATCACTGAGGAGACCAAGTGCGACATGCTTCTCGGCACACTCAACGAGAAGTTCACCGAGGCCCTCTTCAAGCTCGACGAGGTGGTCGACAACAACTACGCGGCCTTAGCGCAGCAGGTTGTCAAGGTGGAGTCGCGTATCCAGAAGCGCGAGAATCTCGCAAGGCGCTTGAACAATTCCACTGCGGACCTCGCCAGAGTCGCAAAACGCGACCAGACCACCCTATCAACCTCTGCAGCAGCGCCTTCGCCCTGTTGCCTCGACGTCGCAGGCGCCTCAGCCGATGGAAATCGACTCCGCCACATTCCGGCCCTTGACTCCCGCTCAGAGGCGAGCGCGAAAAGAACAACGCATCCGGGACGACCTTTGCGTTTACTGTGGTGGAGCAGGTCACTGGCAAGACAAGTGTCCAAAAAAGCCTCGGCAGTCCCCAAATGGACCCGGCAGGAACCAGTAGGGCACTCCTGGGACCGGGCCATTCAGGACCCTCACGCGCCTTCGCTTTTGTCTATTGTAGACGATAGCGCAAATCTCTGTCTTTTCTCCATCTCTCTGCCTCCTCTCTCGTCTCATCCGCAAAGTGTCTTGCCTGTTACCGTCTCCCATGGTGATAGGTCCCTCGACACGTTTGCCCTCCTAGATTCCGGTGCAACAAGTTGCTTCATCAGCGCAGCTTGTGTGGCCCGAGGCCGATTCCCGACCGTGACCCTTGACAGCGCAATCCCGCTGAAAGGCTTTACGGGCAAGGAACTCGAGTCTGCCTCCCAATTCACGTCTCCCCTTCGCATGACCATTGGTAACCACCAAGAATGCCACCACTTCGTCGTTGCCGAGCTCTCCGGCTACGATCTCATTCTTGGCACCACTTGGCTTGCGAAGCACAATCCTGTTATCGACTGGTCTGCGTCCACAGTCCAGTTCCCGGCCTCGTGCAAGGCGCACATCAATCAATCGCCTGTCCAACACGATGCCGCTCCTCCAGTCAATGCCAACGTCATGCAGATCCACATGGTGTCGCTCAAGTCTTTCGCCCGGCTAGCAAAAACTCACGATGTTCTCCACATCGATCTCGCCGACATCTACTCCGACGTCGAGCCAGACCTGCTACGCGCGATACCGGACAAATATCACGTCCTTCTCCGCATCTTCTCGAAGATTCAGGCTGCCCGCCTTCCCGATAATGCTGCTTACGATCACAAGATTCCTTTGTTCCCGAGCACCTCGCCTCCTTCGACGGCGCTTTATCCCATGAGTGCAGAGGAACTGAAAATCCTCAAGGAATACTTGGACGAACAGCTCAAGCTCGGCAATATCTCTGTTTCCGAAAGTCCAGCTGGCGCATCTGCCCTTTTTGTCAAAAAGAAGGACGGGTCTCTGCGTCTCTGTATCGACTATCGCGGCCTCAATGCCATCACCGTCAAGAATCGGGCTCCTCTTCCTCTCATCTCTGAAACCTTGGATCAATTGCACCATGCAAAGATTTTCACCAAGCTTGACCTCCGCGGCGCATACAACTTACTGCGTATTGCGCCGGGAGATGAATGGAAGACCGCATTCAAGACTCGTTACGGGCACTACGAGTACAACGTTATGCCTTTTGGACTTACCAACGCTCCCGCTTCTTTCCAGACGTTGATGAACACTGTGCTTCAACCTTTCCTCGACAAATTCGCCGTCTGCTATCTTGATGACATCCTCATCTACTCCCAAACGCAGGACGAGCACACTGAACATGTTCTATCAGTTCTCAAGGTTCTCGACGAGCACAATCTCTTCGTCAAAGCGGAAAAATGCGTCTTCGACGTCGACACGGTCGAATTTCTTGGTTATGTCGTGTCTCCCACCGGCATTGCAATGGACCCCGTCAAGGTCAACGCCATCATCAATTGGCCTCAACCAAAGTCAGTCCACGACGTCCAAGTGTTTTGTGGTTTCGCCAACTACTACCGTCGCTTCATCTCCAACTACAGCAAGATTGTCAAGCCGCTCTACGCTCTCACAAGCAAGGCGACCAAAGTGTTCCTCTGGAACGATCAAGCTACCGCGGCATTCACTCAGCTCAAATCATTGTTTTCTTCTGCCCCTATCCTCGTTCATTTCGACGCAGACAAGCCAGTGGTCATTGAGACTGACGCCAGCGACTTTGCACTTGGCTGTGTCATGTCCCAAGCCGATACAAACGGGATCCTTCGACCCGTGGCTTTCCACAGCCGCACCTTCTCGCCTCCAGAAAGCAACTACCCAATCTACGACAAGGAGTTGTTGGCAATTCTTGATTGCTTCAAAGCATGGCGCCACTATCTGGAGGGCTCTGCACATGCCATCACTGTCTTCACCGACCACAAGAATTTGGAGTACTTCAACACGAACCGACTTCTCAGTTCACGTCAAGTACGCTGGTCCCTCTTCATGTCCAGGTTCAACTACAACATCGTCTATCGACCTGGTGCTCAACAAGGCAAACCTGATGCACTAAGCCGTCGCGAGGACCTCCGGCCTTCCGAGGGGGATCGCAAATCAACTCGCACGATGACTTTCTTCAAGCCAGGTCAATTGTCACTTGCTCCTGTTACTCTTCGGACTTCGCCAACTTCAAGGCAAGTCACCTCTGTGCCGTCTGCTCCCAATTTCCCAGACAACGACTTCCGCGCTCGCATCATTGCCGCGTATTCCGCTGATCCACTGGTGCAAGACGCTCTCGACGCACTTCAGCAGCCTCCTTCGACGTCAAGCCGTCCATCTTCTCCGTCGCCAAGTCGTTCCTCCTCGCCAGCACCTTCTGATGCATCCCATCTCACTGCTGACCAGCCTTTTTCTCTCGACAACGGTCTTCTCTTCTACAAAGACCGTGTGTACGTCCCATCTGATGCTCCTCTGAAGCTGGCTATTCTCCAGCAACATCATGACTCGCCTATCTCCGGTCATTGGGGTGTCGCCAAGACTCTCGACCTTGTCTCTCGGCAGTACTATTGGCCGTCAATGCGTGCTTACATCCACGATTACGTCGCAACTTGCGATACGTGTGCTCGCGCCAAGGTCTCGCGCCACAAGCCTTATGGCCTGCTCCAGCCTCTGCCTGTTCCAGAGACTCCATGGTCCTCTATCTCGCTAGACTTCATCGTCAAGCTTCCACCTTCGGACTCTTTCGATTCTATTCTTGTTGTCGTCGATCGCCTCACCAAAATGGCTCACTTCATTCCTTACCATGAGGCCACCGACGCAGCAGGCTTCGCAGCATTGTTCATGGACAGAATCTTCACTCACCATGGCATGCCACTCGATATTGTCTCCGATCGTGGCTCTGTCTTCGTCTCCTCGTTCTGGAAAGCGTTCCTTGGTCACTTCGACCCTGCTGTCAAAGCACATCTGTCTACTGCCTATCACCCTCAAACAGATGGTCAGACAGAGCGAACAAATTCCACCCTCGAACAATACCTTCGGTGCTTCACCAACGCCGATCAAGACAATTGGGTCAAGCTCTTGCCAAGAGCCGAATTTGCCTACAACAACTCGGTTCATGCGTCCATCAAGACAACACCCTTCTTTGCCAATTATTCTTACCACCCTCGGTCTGGTCTACGCTTCGATGCCACTACCGATTCTCGCAATGCTACTAGTTACGACATGTCTCAACGTCTCAAGCTTGTTCAACAGGAACTCAAGGATCATCTCAAAGACGCTCAAGCTGCTCAAAAGGCCTTCGCTGATCGTCATCGTCTTGAAGCTCCTCCCTTCGAGCTCGGCCAGAAAGTCTGGCTCAACGCCAAGAACGTCCAAGCATTGCAGAAACAAGGCAAATTCTCACACAAGAATCTCGGTCCCTTTCCCATTACCGACACAATTCACGACCGAGCCTTCCAACTCCGTCTTCCCGCCTCGATGCGAATACACAATGTGTTCCACCCTAGCCTCTTGTCTCCTCATCAATCACCAGAGTCCCTCGGCAAGGCCTACCTGGAGCGACCTCAAGAAGCTCCCGAGCCTATCGTCGTCGGCAACAGCCTGGAATGGACCTACGATGAGATCATGGCTATTCAACCACGCGGTAGCGGCTTCCAATACAAAATCCACTACGAAGGCTTCCCACACGATGAGGACGAGTGGATCCCTGCTCGTGAGGCCTACCAGAATGCTCCGATTCTTGTTCACGACTTCCATCTCCGCAACCCCGATGCTGCTGTCCCATCCTACGTCAAGCTACCCACTCGACCAAGTGCACTTCGAGACGCAGCGCCTGGAGGAGGAGGTTCTGTAACGAACCCGCAGCCTTAAACCTCGCATCCGACTTTCCCGCACCACATGCTCTAGCAACTCATCGCGGCTCTTCTACCTTCCGCCCTTCAACGACGCTTATCACCTCAGCACGTTGCCTATCGTCCCGCGCCTAGCTTCCTCGCTTCCGGCAACGCTCTGTCACGTGTCCTTACTCGCTCTCTTACTCGTCGACGACGTCTACCACGTCGTCCCTTGTTCTGTCTCTTCCCTATCTTGCAGCTCGGACATCTCCACAGGGCTCATGCAATCTCGCTTCCCCTCTTCTTTCATTGTTCTCCTGCTGAGAGTCGGCTCCCGTGGGCTCCATCCACATCATCGCCATCCGCTCTCATGCTGGTACCTGGTAGACATAAGTAGGCAGCCTTCCGCTGTCTTGTTCCTTAGTTTACAATTTCTATTCTTGTCCCCTACATCTCGCCCAAGTCCTGTCTTCAGCACAAGCATTCGTCCTGTCCTGTTCGCCCTTCGTCACATCAAACTCCCACAATCTCAGTCATGGCCCAGTGCAAGTAAAAAGGAAGTGTTCAGACTGAGAAGACTAATGTATCTCGTATTGCATATGCTGAGCATCTCCAGGATGCTACACCAGTACCGTCAGCGGTAAGTGTCTAGAAAATCAAAGACTTCATTGTAAAATCTGATGACACCGAAAAGCTCAATGTCGATCAGCGTCGGGGCCTACCTACCGTCAGCTCTGCCGTTGCCAATTCCAGCGACTCACTCTCAACTCTCTGCCCGCAGCTGAGTGATACTTCCGGTTCATTTGCTTTTCGCGTGAACGGTGCAATTCACGACTTTCGCATCACCAGCATAAGCAAATGTTGCGGGTGACCTCCTGGCAGCCGCAGATTTCCAGTGCAGCCAAGGCGCAAGATGCATACAGCCAAGGCTGCCAAGGACTAGTTCATGGATAGAGTCTTACCTTAATTCCATGGCATAAGCGCTCTTGGCACTGAATTTACTAGTCATGTCTAGGAATGTTCTACCACTTCCAGAGCTCGAAGGTGTAGTCCGGGATGGCGACACACTTGGTGTGATGGGGTTTAGCTTATAAACAAAAGCTACGTTGTGCTCAGCTCATTTACTGTCCTCCATAAAATCAATATGGAGGAAGCAAAACAGAGTATCTACCCACACAAGCGGGTCCGACCCTTCACGTCGGACAAGCTTAAGGCATAGTGCCAAAAGGCAATTTGCTGGTCATAGAAGGCACAGCTAGAGTATCCTCAGGTAACGCCCGTTGACTTTGCTGATGACAGCGTTGACGATACGCGACTCATGGAAGGCATGTTCTTTTGGTGAGTTGACGATGATTTTTGCATGATGTCGGCAACGCGGTAAGGCTTAAAAGTGATTTCACATGGCTACACGGGAGTGATAGAACTAGCAATCGCCAAATTCTTGCACAAACAAACGCTGCATGGCCAACAATTTCCGATGTAGCTCCTAACAGCAGGCTGTATGGGGGCTTACTTGGTGCTTTGCAGCTGCCAATTCTGGAACGCATGAGACAGGTAAAATTAAGATAAATTCTGAACAGCTCTAAATCAGCGAAGTGAACTGCAAATACTCAGCCCCTGCGGTCCGGGCCAAGTAGAATCCTTTGAGCTTGTGGCAAGCGGATAGGACAAGTCAATTGAGGACAGGCCAACATGTTGCCAGGTATTAAGGAGACTTCCTGAGGAGAAACGAAGAAAGGTAGTCATCTGAATTCAGCTGCAACTTTATCAAGCTAGTCATTATTCTCGAAATGAATCCTGAGCAAGGATGTGTTCAGCTTGGGCTAATTGTATAGATGTCTGTCTTGAGTGTGAATGCGCTTGTTACAGTCACAATCGTCTCAGCGACGCCGCACACCCGAGATCCTGACCGGCTTCCTCGTCCCACTACGCCGTGTCACTGCATGATATGTGACAAAATGAGAGCCGGCGATGATGCCTGCGTTGATTACAATTATTTCCGTGTGAGTAATGCAGAATCGATAAGGCTTAGCAGCAGATGCTGTCATTTAGTGAGAGAAGGAGGACAAAATCGCGCTTAGAGCAGGCAAGATTTTCACAGTATCTTCAACCGAGCATGTCCAGCTTAGTCATGGCCCAGCTCAGTCTTCAATGAAGTGTCAAAAATAAGAAGATTAGTGTATCTTGTACTGTACTTGCTGAGCATCTCTAGGATGCTACACCAGTACTGTCAGCGGTGAATTTCTAGAAAGTCAGGAACTTCAATGTCAAATCTGAAGCCACCAATTGCAATACCCTCAGTGCCGAGTTCTGTCTGTTGTCAGCTCTGTCTTTGCCAAGTTCAGCGACTGACACTCACTTTTCTGCCCGCAGCTGAGTAGCAGCTCCGATTTACATGCTTGTCGCGATGAATGTGCAGTTCACGGCGTCCGAAGTTGTATCGGGAAAAATGTACCACTCAGTCAATTCAGTTGGCTCTCTGATTTCCACTTTGCTCTCAGCTACTCCTTCGATCACAAGTCTAGGACGGTCTTTTGTTTCACCGAACATGGCTGTGTCTCGATCGAGATCAACACCAATCTGCATGATTAGTCAACGGTCCTAGACGAAGGGAAACAGACAAGAAAACCCTGCTTCGTGCTCTTGTAGTACTGGTTTCCGTATGGATCTGCTGTGTCATCGCGAGTAGGCCTCAGTTTCCACTGTTGGTAATGCTCGCCAGCAAAAGGCCTTTTCAAGATGTCCTGAAGCTTTGTGTTGAATGTTTTGCCTGATTTCAACTTGCAAGAAACGGTCCCTTGCCGTGGCAGCTTGTGATTCCAAAGGTCGTTCACTGTTGTTGGCCAACCTTGTGCCGGGACTTCCTCATAACATGGCTTCTGAAATTCTCGCCCAGCCGTAAAGTCGCTTTTTGACACCTCTGGGCTGAAGTACAAGGAGCAAATCTTGACCTGCGACGTTGCATTACTTGTTGGTGGTTTGTGATCATCAGTCTTGACCGTGAGTACCACGTCTCCTACTCTTGTGCCCTCTTTGTTAAAAAATGGGGCTTTGGCCTGAGTGAGTGGTGAGCTTTAGCTCGGAAGCAATCTTTGAAGAAAGACTCACCTGAAAATAGCCTTCCTGGTCTTTGAAAAACCTGCAGAGCCCCATTTCGTTCCATGTCAGAGGCTGACCAAGCGATGGGTTAAAGGGTTCCGTGTACAGATGGGTGCCTGCGTTCATTGGCCAGTATCCATGTCTACTATTGGCAATGAGTGCCATGTCTAGGGTCACTGCTGCATAATGGGTGCCGCCGCCACAATGCAAATAAAGGGGAATTTGCTGGAGCAGTGGCGTGGACAAGGTTGCAGACAATGGTTTGTTGAAGATGAAGTCGGGGGTCTTGCCAGTGGGCTCGGCCGTTGATGCTGGCTTTCCCTTGGCTGACACAGTTGTCAGAAACATAGTTAGGAGAGCGAGAAATTGTGCTGTGGGGGCCGGTGTCAGACCAAACATCAGCTTGCTGAAAGTCATCTTTGCGAGAGCAAAGCACAATAGGAAAGGCGATTGCGTGGTCGGCGGATGAAGGCCAGAGAGCAGCTCTACTTCTTATATGCGACGAGAAGATGCAACGTGGTCAGTCGCCAGACATAATTCCCCAGGCGGCGTATCATCGTGTGGTTCATACGTGGTCCACACAAGCACACCAAACAGTTTCCTTAATTAGGCTTGAGCTTGTGCAGGGAGCTACAATGCTCTAGTGATCCGTCCTTTTTTACTCAGGAGGTGAGCAATTGCAAACCTTGCGGGGACCTCCGAGGTCCTCCGAGCAGCCGCAGTTCCCCGTACAGCCAAGGCCGGACATGCATGCAGCCAAGGATAGCGACAACGAGTTCTACTTCAATGCCAATGCACAGGCGCTCAGATCTTTACATTGAATCCAATATCCATACCTAGGTAGGCTCTAACACCTCACTTTAGAGCCCTAGGGAGGCCTGCGGGCAGTCTAGGCAGCTCAGAGTGAGCTCAAATTGGCAAACTGCAATGGCCAAATTTGCGCACAAACAAACAAACAAACGCTGCATCGCTGCACAGCAAATCATTTCCGACGTAGCTCCTGACAGTAGGCAGCTGAAGGGGGCTCACTTGCTGCATCTGTAGCTTCCGCTTCCGCTTCTGGAACGCAAGAGACAGACAAACTCTGAGCCGCGCTGCTGGACCGCAAGAATCTGTCAGCCCTTGACGAGGGAAGAGGCAAAGGTATACGAGGACAGGCAAACATGTCGCGAGATTTTGAGGGCAATAAAATGGTAATGCTGCATGAGAAGAAATGAAGAAAGATGTTCGTCCAGTGGCACTCATCAGCTGCGAAGCCGTAGAGAATGCTAGCCACCAAACTTGAAACAAATCCTTAGGGTGTGTTCAGCTTGGGCTGATTGTACAGACGACTGTCTTAGGTTCAAGTGTGCTCCCTACAGCCACAGTGACCTGAGTAACGCTGCAGACTCGAGCTTCAATTAGACCGGTTTTCTCGTCCCAGAATGCCGTGTTCACTGCATGATAGGTGATGAATTCAAAGCCACTGATGATGCCTTCCTTGGGCACAATGTCTTCCGTATGAGCAAAGCTTCGTACCTAGCAGGGTTAGTCATCGCCTAGAAGGTACCTTCACTTACATAAACGTCATGGTATGGGCCTTTGCACTGTGGGGAAGCAGAAATGTCGATGTGTGAGACAACAGGTTTGCCGTTCGACAAGTCGAACACAGGTATCAGAGCGAAGTCCAAAGCGATGTGTCGGATGTTACCGCACACGACCGTGTCATTGAGGTGGCGCCGAGTTTCTTCGCTGACCCATTGAACGTAGTCCTTACCCTTTGTAGTGCTGTCGAAAATTGGAATCTTGCGAGCAATCTTGGCTGGTTTCGCTGATGAGGCTTTGGCAATTGAAGCCGACATGAGCGGCAAGGCGAGCAGGCTTGTGATGGTATGAAGAAGCATCTTGTCGCTGGAGGCACTTGTTTTGAGTTTCGCCCAGAGCGCAGTTGGAAGAGAACTGCGTGGACGCCATGGGAGCTCTTAAAAGAAATCAATTCCCAGCATGTCTTTTGCCCCCTGAAATTTGGAATAAGATCGAGCTCCATAACTCAGGTCGTATGCGTATGGAGCAAACAAAGCGCAGCGTAGCCTCACTACAGCGAAGTCATGCAGCTTCAGGGACCTGCAATGACTTTGACGAATTATGAGTTGTGCTTGGAGATTGATTATTTTGAAGGCTAGTCTGGGAGCGCTGAGCGACTGGCGGCTGGCGAATCAGTGGCGATGCACGCCACAAGGAGGGATTGAGTCAATTTTGCAGCTGAAATCTACCTCAATATGCATGCCGTAGATGCAGCGGAAGGCGATGAGCCCTAGTTGCCAATGCCATAGCTGCGGTCAAGTCTTGTGAGATTGTGGTAGGCAGGGCCTGGGAAGGGCCGCATCGATTGATGTAAGGACGGTCACGAGGCCATTTGAGTCGTTCATGACCAATGAGAGATTTCACCAGTTGCAACAGTCTTTGCGATGTGACAACGCGCACCATGGCTGGCGAAAGAGGCAGGAGAATCCAATCGACTTGCTCTACTCTTCCTGTTCATTCTCAGGGTACCTCTCAACAGCAAAGTTTTTCTCCGACTTGAGTCGCCAAGCAACTACTAGAAACGCCCCTGCTGCCTCATTCTCTTGGAGTGCAGCAAATTCAAATGCCTTTGCCTCTTCCTCTTCAGCATTGACGATTTCTGCGATTTCCAAGTCATCTGGTATCAACGTCTCCCATGACTGCTCTGCTAGCAGAGGATCTGATTGGACAGCAGGAGCGTTGTTTGTGACTTGGAGGACAGCGAGGAGGGAGCGCTTGATATCACTGACGGTGATGGATTTACCCTTGAGTGTTTGGACATCGAGGAAGACTGTGCTGAATCCGCGTTTGGCTTTGATGTAGTGCGGTCGGAAGGTTGTAGACTTGCTTGACTATGTGATGTTAGACTCTGGTGTCTGAGGAGAGTGCGGGCGCGTACCATGGCTGTTGGTGTTGTAGGATCTGGTGAACGCGTCTCGATGCTTTTGATCTCTTCGACCACGTACAGAGCTGTACTGCTATACTGCTATACTGCTGTACTGCTGTACTGCTGCTACTGCTATACTGCTACTGCCACTGCTTCAATAGACCCATAGCTGGCTGCTTCTAGGTGCAACCATGGCCACAGCTGCCTATCGCTCTTCTGCTCAGCCTCCATCCCAAGCTCAAGATCGTCTAGGTCTCCCACCTCTTCCCCGTCTCGTGGTCGCTACCTCCCTCTGCTCCCTAACAACCTTTGCACTCGGTGCTCTCTCCTCCGGCAAACGCTGTGCGCATCAGTTCCTCGCTGAAAATGCACATCGACTTCCACGCACACACCAAGGTTGGTATTTCTACCATAAAACAAAGAATTACAGGGTCGCGTTTGGTGCCATCAAAGGGGGTGTCAGGTATGCGTGTCGCGCTGCTGGATGGACGGGATTGTATGTTTCATCAGAGGCTCTACTGGATTGGGCGCGTGGAGGGACGATGGATGCTGGGAATAGTGCACTGGCTGCGCTTGCGACTGCTGGCTTGTTCTCTTATAAGAGTACGTCACTTGACATACACACACGAGGATGTAAGCTGACTGAATAGATGGTTTCTCGAGGCAGTTGACGAGACGCACGATGCGGTTGAGTGGGCTTGCTGGACTGACTGCTGGTTTGTTGCAAGATGTGGTCACGACGCACAAGGGAGGACGGATATGGTACATTGAGGGTATCAAGAGACAACTAGGCCGTCCAGGTCAACATGCTGCTGAACAAGCACAATAAGGATACACGACAAGAGAATGGCTCGAAAAATGTCTTTCTTGGACGCGATGAAAATGATTGAGTAAGTCGCTGGCCAGAAAAAGCAATATGATGAGTAGGGAAGATGTCCAGTGCTTTTCGTGTACTGAAGAAGATCAAGCAGCAACGGCTGTATCCGGCAACTGCGGCGCAACGGGCTTGTTACCTTCTGCCATGACTCGATTAATGGCAATTCCAACACCTTCAAAGACTGCGAGTAGACACGCACAACCAATGGCTGAGTTGCGCGCTGCTTTAAGGCCTGACCGTGCAGCAAGAGATCCACCTGTGAAGAAGCCTGCAATGATGGCATTCCAAGGATCTTCCTTCTTGCGCACCGCCTTCACAGAACAGTCGAATGTACTGAACAAGCCGCCCCAAACTCCGAAATTGCCACCGAGAACAGGCGCTCTTGCCTTGACAGCTGCCATAGATCCAATCTAGAAGTCATGTCAGCTGTTGCTGCTGCTGCAACTTAAGAGCGTACCATCTTTTCGCCGCGCGGTGAGTTGCGGTATCCCTTGATGCTATGCCAGATGGTGCCTCCGATGGCGCCCATGGCAAAAGCACCGCCAAAGTCGTTGAGGATGACCCAGGGACATGGGTCTCGAGTGTGATCGGCGTGTGCCATGGCCTCAGGTGCTGCTATCGATCGAGAGACTGAGTATACTCAATACACTGGCTACTGGTTCTTTTTGAAGATTTCTCGAGTGGAAAAAGAGACAACGAGCAACAACACAACAAGACACAAAGACACAATGGACAGGACAGCCAGCAGCATACCCAAGATCGCACTCGACGCATCCGCAGACCTCGCTTACATCCGCACACAACTCCAATCAGCCCTCACAGCGCGTCTCCAAACACACCTCCCAGATGCGCTGCCCGAAGATGCCATGCGCCTGGCAATCGAACGGCACATCACCGGTTTCCTGCAACAAACCATGACCTATACCCTCAAGAATGTCCTCATCAATGGTCTGGATCCACGTCCGTCTGATATTGCAAAAGGCGTGCAAGTCGACCCGGAAGAGTTTGAACAGCATGATGCAGGCTTACATGCCAATGTCCTCAAAATGCACGCGACATTGGAAGAAGCCATGACGCGTGTTGCGACACTACGGAGGCAGGTTCCGCAAGAGGTACAGCAGGCGTATCAGCCAACGGATCCTGCGGCTGTGTTGGAAGCGTGTCTCTCTGGCAGCACAGATGGGCAGGGTGATTCTGTAGAGGCAAGTGATCAAGGAGGAGCAGTGCAGGTGGATATACCGAGGCTAGCGGAAGTGGAGGAGACCATGACGGAGAGCTGTGCATTGCTCAGGGAGATCAAGGGACAAGTCGGTGCAGTGCATGGAAAGGTCCAACGAGCCAATACAGCGCTCGCCTTTCTCAGCAAGCAGTCAGGTACCTCATGATGAGTGGAATCACAAAGGACTTGGGATTTGCAAGTATCAGAGTGTGTTTATATCCTTTGTGATCGATATTCAAGCGTTGGCGGGTATGCTCTTGAGCTGTTGCTTGATGACCTTGGGCAGACACATCCGTCGTGCCTTTTCCAACTTGGCCAAGCTCACCTCCTCCCTGAGCATCGTGCCTCGAACGCCAAGCGTCTTGACGAGCTGTTTCGAGTCACTGAGCAGGAATGCATCCAAGCTGCCGTATTTCTTGATTGTGCGCAAGACGCCCGTTTGGATACGCAGACTGATGTGTTTATTGAGGATATCAGAGCGAAGAGAGTGTCGATGGACATTGGGCAGCCATCTCCGACGGGTCTTGGTCTTGGAGTCTGGTACGTTGTTGCCGTATTGGATGTGTGTGCCGCCATACAACCCTCTGTCTTGTCGCGCATAGCTGTGTGCGTGTCTGGCTGGCACTGCGATGGGTGCTCTCGCTGCTCTGGCGATGCTCCGTGCTGCTGAGGCGAGGGACTGCAGCATCCTCCTGGTGGTCTCTGGTCTTTCTTCTCTTCAACTTCAACTCAGTCAACTCAGTCAACTACTCTTCAGCTACACGCACTTCTGTACACGCCAGCAAAGCAGTGCCGACCATGGTGAGCATGCAGAGACAGCTTCATTGCATCCACTAACAGCCCACAGTCTCTCCTCTCAAACATCCTCGGATGGAGCGCAGTCGGCCTCGTCACCCGCTCCTTCCAGCTCGGCCTTCAGCAACGCACCCAGTTCTCATGTACGTTGCTCTCCTCTATGCATCCTCTACTGACAGACTAGCGCTCGGCGGTCATGCGGCGTATGCCACACTCTTTGGCGGACTCGGTTACTTCCTCTACGGGTACGATTCTCTATCAAGTCGTCAACATACAGCTAACAAGGCAGCGTGGAACAGCAGCAGAAGGAACAGATTGAGAAGAAGAAGCAGGCCTTACTCGCGTCTCGTGCCAGGAGAGCAGAACAAGCAGAACAAGCGCAACAAGCAGAGCAATAAGAAGCTTTCATCTATGTTACTTTGTCGTCTTGATACCAGCTTCCTCCAAGACCTCCTGCATCTCTCCATTCTCAATCATCTCTCGCACGACATCCAATCCACCCAGAAACTCACCCTTCACATACACCTGCGGGAAGGTAGGCCATTCCGCATACGCCTTGAGACCTTGCCTGACACTGTTATCCGCCAGAATATTGAAGAACCCATAATGAATCCCCTCTGCCCGCAACAAACTCACAAGTGTTCTCGAGAATCCACATTGTGGCGCCGATGGAACACCCTTGATGAAGAGCATGACGGGTGCTGCTGTCGTTAAGCTTTTCAGTCTTGTTTGTAAATCCTCCTCGCCTTCTTCCTCTGCTGGTGCTGATGTCGCCATTGTTGCTGTGTCTGCAGCGCCAGGTTGTCCAGTGACTGCCGTCTCTGTATGCGCTTCCTGAGCAGCAGGCGTCGATTGCTCCGGTACAGCGCGACGCAATGCCTTTTGCAGTTCCAATGGATTCGCCCCCGATATCCTCGAAAGTACCTCTGTCCCCCTCATCACAACGAAAAAGGGAACCGCATTCACATCAAACGACTCGGAGATATCTTCCAGCTCTTCTGCGTCAACTTGCAGGAACTGGACAGTCGTGAATTGGCCTGCGAGTTCCGCAAAGACTGTATTCATTTGGAGACTCGGTTGTGCGAAGCTTGCCCAGAAGTTGAGGCAGAGGGTCGTGCTTGCATGTTGCTTGAGGAGCTGTTCGAAGTGTTCGTCAGATGTGACTGTTGTTACGGCCATCTCTTGCAGAGTCGTCTTTGTCTACGTCTAGCTAGAGAAGTATTAGTCAAGTATATCGTAGTAAGTGAGTAGAACTACAAAATTGCGATTTCTGATACACGACAAAGCGACTTCTACACAAGCAACAAAACCTCGGATGACGGGCCTGAGCATGCTACGGAGTACAGCGACTCGGCAGACACGCGCCTGGTCAAAATCCTGCGTCCGCCATACAAAACAAGTTGCTGCAAAGAACACGGCGGCAGAGGATGCCTTTGGGTTAGCAGCGACAAACGATGTCTTGCTGGAAGACATGACATCGCTGCAGATGGATGAGCTGCATGAACACAGACAACTACGAGACTACTACCGCAAGATCATTTATGAACTCCCACAACTCGAAGCACTGAAAAAGCCGCCACAGAAACCATCCGCAACGCAAGTCTTGCAGTTCAGGCAAACGACGTATTTCGGGGAAGAGCATCCAGCGATGCATAAAGTGACGCTACAAGTCAAGCTACGTGACCTTGCAGCTGCTCAGAACCTCTCACCCGTCCATCTCTCGAAATTGGTCAAATTGGCAGGGACGCGGGTCGATCATGATACACTACTCCTTCGCATGTCGAGCGAGCAATTCGGTTCAGCCAAGGAGAATCGACGACATCTCTCTGCCGTGCTGGATAAATTGCTCGCTGAATGTCAACAAGGTGACTTGTTTGAGGATGTGCCCATGGATCGTCGGCATATGAAGAAGTCGAAGCGACCCAGTTTCCCAAAGCATTGGCGTGTTCCTCAGCCTGTTGCATCTTCAAAGCATCTCATATAGCGCCTGTTTCTTCATTTACCCTGCACAGCAAGGACATTGTCCGCCTCATGAGGAAGTCTCTCGACACGCTTATTCTCCCAATCATCCAAGTCATCCAGTCCTTTTGCTTGTAATCTGTACCATTCATCTTTTGCGCTGACTTTCCGTCTGCCATGTTCAAGACCTAAGGCTTCTTCCTCAGACACAAGCTTCACTTTGCTGTCTTTGCGCTCATACCGAACTTGCTGTGATGAAGTAAGGACATAGGCACCACCCAGGATTGTCAAGACGAAGGGAACACCGAATAAGGCGACTGGATGGCGTGAAATGCGTTTATTGAGGCGGACGGAGGCCGGTGGTCGATGGCCTGGGCGGACATAGGTCTTGGAGTTGAATGTCGGCATCCCAAGTGTTTCTGTAGTGGATGTTTGATTGTTGTCGGTGTATGTCGTGACGAAAGTGTAGAGAAGTAGGAAGATGCCGTCATGATGCATTTATGGACTATAGAGGCCTGATGATACTGCCTGATGATCTTTGCATGGAGCATCGATGCGATATAACATAGCAAGCTGGACCTTGGAGCAATGCCAGTCAGAGCAAGCAGCCCCAATCATCAGCATCGGCAGTCATGTGCGGCGAGCTCTCGATGCCCTCGCAGGCACGCGTTCTTCATCAATCCAATCTTCTGACGTGCCTGATATCGAAGAATACCAGAAGCGAACGTTTTCCGCTGCATGAACGCGAGAGACATACCAGGGAGACTGAACCATGTCGTAAGCACATTCAAAGTGCTCAAAGGAAACCCACAGCTTCTGTCGAGTCCCTGAAGTCTTAGATCTTCCAAGGCTGTTGCAATGAAATTATCCCGTCCCTCAGACTTCTGCATTCCTGTCAACGCTCTTCAGCATCTGTTGCTTCTTCTCCAACCGCTGCTGCTTCAAATCCGCCAATGCTTGCTTGATATCTTCGCGCTCAACCGGTGGGCGATTGGTCTTTTCCTCATCTGGCCAAAACTTGAGGTGCTTGACGTAATGCTCAAAGAAATCCGGGGAGCCAAAGTAGTACATGGATCCAATGGGGAACATGACATAGAAGCCAAACTGGTGGTGTGTTAGATGTGCTTTAGTGTGCGGATGAACGAAGGATGTACCTTGAAGAGCTCCAAGTTGCCGCCTGCCATGAGTGAAGCCTGAGCCTTGAGCCTTGTCAATCGTGGTGTGGATGAGAAAGATGAAAGTCGTTGTTGGTCGTCGCCTCTTTGACGTGAACACACGAAAGCAAGCAAAAGACCATGCCTAGTTCATGCAGAGTAAGCCCGTCTGCAGTGTATCACGCATCTGCTCACCATCAGGATATCCGTGATGCGATAGCGACTTGCCTCTTCGAATCAGAGTGCGTCAAAGCAGGCCACCCAGGCAACGAGTGCCTCTCGAATCCAGAACTTCGCGCACAAGTATGCTCTCCAATCACCTTCTTCCTATGCAGCTCACATCGTCTAGGTACCCGAGCAATGTCTTCTGCTGCTCAAGAACTTCTATGATTGCAAACGCGGGTTACTAGACATGCGCAAGCGCTTTAGAGGGAACGCACCCATTTCACAACGGCCGCCGACTGTGGTTGAGGACCTGAATGACGCGTAGGTGGTTGATGTTGCCTGGCATATCTCTATAGCATTTGAAGCACTGCTTGTATCTATGCGCTTGCCATGTTTGACTTTTGGTGCCTGATTGAGCGACTTGAATCTGAAAAGTCGCGACCTGAACTACACCTTGATATATAAGACTACATCCTTCCTCAGTCTCGACAATTGCAGAGAAAGGCCCCTGCGCGGCCCGTGAATGCGCAGATTCTCGCGTGCGAGCAGTACATCGGCGTCAAATCCGCCAGCCAGTACTGGATCTGGCGCAGAAGCGCAAGATGTCCCCGTTGATCCGGCACTAGCACAGCTGAATCCTGCGACGCTTCCCACAGTGGGGCAAGGGTCCGATCTAGATGATGAGAACGATCTTGAAGATGTTGCTGGAGATGGAGACAATGCATTGCATGACGCAGAGAAGAATCACGATGGTTTCTATGATGTGGATGCAGCAGAAGAGTTTCTCGTGACGCTGGATCTCGGTGCTACTCCTGTAGATCTCTCGAGAGACTACAAACTGCTTGGGCTTGATACAGAAACCCCGTTTCTCTTGGTGGATGGACAAGTGTTTACTGGGTACTGGTCAACAAGTCTCGGGACAGAGATGGTCTTTGATCGTGTGTCTGGAGAACATCAATGTAACGTGGTCAAACGCATCGTCTTTCGGCCTGCAAAACTCCGAAAGGCAGCTGAGGAGGCAGAGAATGGTGGCAAGTCACTGCGCACACAAATGTTGAGACGTGCACCGGATGGGACAGTCGATACGCTGGAGAACTTGAGGAAGCAGAAAGAGATTGATGCTGTCACTGGAAAGAGGCCCGTTTACACACAGCAAAAGCAAGAAGCTGGGGCCAGTCCTGAGCGAGTGCCTGCAGCCGTTGAGAAGAGTGCGACCCAAGAAAATGGTACAACTCCACGAGCAGCCCAGGATCAGGATGATGATGTTGAGATGGCCGATGCCGAGTAGCTATACTGAGCTTACTGTACATGTAGAAGAGCCAGACATGCATTTGGTCAACCTCCCTCGTGTGACGATCTGAACAAAATCTGGCGACGAAACGACGACGAAGCAGCACAGAAAGAAACGCATCTTGGTAGACAGATATCCTCATCATGTTCAGAGCATTGTCGCGGACAGTCGCTCTAGCGAGACCGTCTCTCTTGTCAGGCGCTCTACAAACGGCTGCATGTCGCATGCCAGCGCTGCTCACAACCACACCACTCACACAACGGACAACCTCCCTCCTTGGACAAATAGGCGGCGTAAGGCACAAAGGAACACATGGGCGGGAGTATCAGCCCTCGACCATCAAGCGAAAGCGGAAGTTTGGATTTCTTGCACGAATGACGGATCGACATGGACGTAAAGTAGTTGCGCGGCGGAAGGCAAAAGGGCGGTGGTACTTGACACATTAAACAAGACTGCAAGAGTCTGTGCAATCACAACACACAAGGCGATCCAATGAAGATTTCTTACGCGTCTATGCTACCAAGACAGGCATTTGATGCGATGCTCAAAGCAAAAAATCATCCGAACGGACATAATCTGGCGGAAAGACGCCCTCTTCATAGCGAGCCTTTCCTTTCTCATCCAAAAATGCACCCTGCAACGTGGCATGGACTCCCTCTGGCAATCCCTCGATTTGCTCTTCACCCACACCCAGTGCATCCCGAGGAATCCACAAGACCGGTTCCCGTCGACGTAACGCTTCATGCTTAAACGCCTCAAGCAACAACACCTCTCGCTCCTCTCGTGAAACACTCGACTCGATATCCATTTCTGCAATGTTCGCATCGTGACGTGTTTCCTTGTTTTCATCATAGCTACCATCTTGTGTATCGGTGGCACTGCGTGAGAGGAGTGCTTCTTCGCCATCTGCAATCTCGCGCGTGTCCTTGTTGAGGTCGAGTGGGAGGAACTCGGCCAGTGGTCTGTAGGTCCGATACACCATGACTTGGAAGACAATGGTCAATACGAGTAGCACAACCATGAGAATTCCCTGTATCTTGCATGGGACACCTGAACCATCTGCATTACGCACCAGAAAGAAGAGGCCCGTCAAGCACAGCTCCAAAAAGTAAACGCCAGTAAATAATTGCATCAGTGCCGTTGGATAGGAGAGACCACCTGTATCTGTAGCAAAATCGTAGACATAGTAAAAGTTGTAGCAATTTGAAATGGCAAATAGGATAAATGCCACAATAACAAAAAGCATGATGAGCGGTGCAATGATGGAGTAGATGATGCCAATGGCAGCAAAGTTGGTAACTGATGGGAACTTTGTACCCCAGGTCAAGTTGCGCAGCGTATTCTGTTGCTTCCATTTACTTCTAGGAGTGGAATCACTCATCTTGTTGAAGTAAAAAATGAAGAGGGACCAGAGTGAGAGAAGATCGCCTGCACTTCCTGAGATACCCTGCAGCAAGAGATAGGAGTAAAAGAAATTACTCGCCTTGGGCAGATTCGTCGCAAGAAGCTGAGGTATTTGCGACGGATTGGCAATAGCAGTATCGATGAGTGCAGTGACGCCACTCGAAATGGTCACCACCAGAAAGACCTGCACAAAGAGGAACAGAAAATACATGTTTTGCACTTTGAGACTCACCACAGACTTGTTGGGCCAACCTTGCAAACGACCACCAAGTCGCATGAGAAGTGGCACGAGCGCCAGAATAATGGCAATAAGGAGAGTCGGCAAAAGCCCCGTTATGAGACCCTGTGTCCATGATGGCGCATTGTTGAGAAACTCGAGAAAGGGTAGAAGCTCAATGAGCGACGTCAAGTGACTCAGACTACCAATGAACGTCACTGGGATAACATAAGAAATGACCAGAGCGACCACGAGACCCCAAACGCCGACAATCCAAATATACCGCTCCCACCAGAGCATTTGCATGTTGTCCCAGAGAACATCTTGTGGTGAAAGCTCGAGATAACTCGGTGTCATGGCCATCGCCTTGTGATACGACACGGACTGCACGGCCATGTGTGCTGATATTTGACGATGAAATTGGATGAAGGCCGAGTTCATTGGCTCAAAGTCATTGGGGTTGGCCTGCTTTTCGAGGATCTCAGGGTTGAGTCGAGCAAGTTCTGCTTTGCACCAGTCAATAGTGTCGACTTTCTTGCCAATCAGCATCCAATTAGGGAAGCTGAACATCCAGGAGGCTATAGGAAGCCGATGCTGAGGGCGTTGGAGATCTTGAGTGGATTGCTTCTTGTGAGCACGCTGCTGCAGCATGACTACAGCGCCCTCGAGCCGCCGGGAAATGGCATCACGCTGATTGATGGTATTGAGCAAGCCTGCAAACTTACGGTTGAGCCAAATATTCTTGACACCACCTGGCAGCGGAGAAAAGAGCTCCCGTAAGCTCTTGGTATCCAGCAAGTGCTTCGGAATGCCCGTTACGAGAATTGTGGTGGCGCTGGCCTTTTGACGATGTTTGGGTGATAGGAGCCAGTTTTGTCGTGTGCGCACAAAGTGATGTAGTTCATATGTGACGACGATACAGATCCAAATGACAAAAAGCCATGCGAGAACGAGGTGTGCCCAGTAGCGATCGGTATTGGAACGATCAACGTTACTAAAGGAATATTGGTCGAGGCCCTTGACGGGTGTGATGTCTGAAGGCGGATTACTACCAATACCGCCAACGCGATTCAGTGGTAGCAAGATGGGCCAAGTGAGAAGAAGTGCTGGTGCAAAGATGACGAGCACCATGCCAATAAAGCGAATGAAGTAGTATGCATCCATGCCACTCTTTTCAATGATGCGCTTCTTATGCAGAAACAAAACAAGCACAGGGGGTAGCCATGCCCAAGGCCGACGCGACAGCGGCTCGATCTTCTTCTCCTCTGGCAGTGTCTCGATATTGGCGCGCGGCTCATAGAAGCGCCGGAGCTTGGTACGCAGCAGTATAAAGGCAATCAGAAAGATGGCTGCAAAGACGATGGACGACACCAGAGAAGCCAAGAAGCCCTTCAGGGAGGTCCCTGCCAGGTTGTCGACCTGCTCATTCATTGCACGCCTGCCGAGCTGGCAGTGCAGCCTGATGGAAGCGACCGTGTTGTTGTTGGTGATGAAATGAAATGCATCCTCGTGAATCTTGTCGTGTCATATTTTGATTATGGACCCATCGACACTGCCATGACGTTGTACAAATGCTTCTACGATCATGCTATTCCTCGGCCTCTATAGTTAATGCATACATCCGACGACTGCGATACACCTCGTCGCGAAACTCGTAGAGACTCCTCAACTCCCACCACCCAAAGATGGCACCAACAAGACCACTCATCAATCCAGTAACGGCAACCACAAGACTCAGTAGACCCAAGCAGCCAGCAACGATTGGCGATGCCAAGAACATACGATAGTGAATGTAGAAAAGCGCGACCACGGATACCCAAAAGTGTCCAATGCGAAGTTCTGAGTGTAGCCTTTCTCTTTTCATGTACTGATTCACGAGTGACAGCATTTCATCGTAGTCTGATCGATCCAGTGGGCGATACGTGTGCCACCCGCTCTCTTTGATGATGTACCTACACGACAGACCAAAGTGGTCGGAAGGCGAACAGTTGACAAGCGGAACACGCTCCGTGAAGATAACCTGAACGGACTTTGGCACAACTTTGTCATCGTGAAAGACATAGTCAAGCCGTTTCGCTTCCATGTCCGGAGCTTGAGTCTGCCGCCAAGAATTCAGCGGCGAGACGTCGCACGTGGCACCATACACATCCACCAGCTCTTGGGCAGACTGTTGTGTCTCACTGTCTGGAAACAAGGGCAGTTCAGGGTTGAGGGTAATGAAGGAATCTGACAGATACGTCGTCAAAAAGCGATGCACAAGACTGCCAGGGACAGAATTGAAGTCTCCAGTGGCAAAGGTGAGATAACCCGCTTCCACCGAGGCCTTGAGCATTTTCCGCAAATCCCAGCCTTGCGCCGTTCGGTGGCAGAGGTAGGTGTCTACGCGCTCGTTGTACGGGGCATGCATGTGTGTATTGAAGATCTGACATTTGCGTTTACTGGGAAGGAGAATCACAACACTGGCGACTCCTTTGCCAACGAACCAATCTCCTCTGTAGAATGCCTGAGGGCGACCATTGAGCGTATACGGCCTCATATCCGTGCCAATGATAGGATGTCTCGACAAGATAGCCAGGCCAGATCCCATCATGCCAGAGTAGAAGTACTTGGAATGGGGTAGCCGGTCCTTGACCCTATCCCTCAGCAACCGCCAGTGTCGCCGTTGCCATATTTCCTGCAGACAAACGATGTCGCTTGTCCCGTTCGCCAGCTCATCTGCGATGTGCGCAATGCGCTCGTCTGTGAGCTCGCTGATGTACTTCAATCCCCAGCAATTGAGCGAGACAATCTCGAGCTCATCTGGCATGCCTCGAGCTGTCGTATAAGTCTTTCTCTTTGCAGCTGTGCATGTATCGTCAGTTGGCGCGTTTCAAGTTTCAAGTCGCACGAATCAACCAGTGACAACCACAGACCACTTCCTACTCATCGAGTCATTCAGGCGATCAACTTGTATTCTCCTGCTATATCCCTGAACCGAGACTCATGGCAGTCGAGGAAGATCGCTCGCCTAAGCGGCAGAAGCTCGACTCGTTCAACTCATATACACTCGCTTCGACGCTGCCATCCCACAACAAGGGTGTCTCCTCTGTCTGCTTCTCTCCCAATGGGCGCCTCCTTGCCAGTAGCTCAGCAGATTGTACCGTCAAGATCTGGGACACTGATACTTGGCAGCTCGAACAGACCCTTCAGGGACATGCCAAGGGTATTTCAGACGTCGCTTGGTCGCGCGATAGTCTGCTAGTCATAACAGCTTCCGACGATCGCACAGTACGGATATGGGATGTCGCTAAAGGTACCACTGTACGCAATCTACGTGGTCATACAAACTTTGCTCTCTGTTGTACATTCAACCACGCCGGCAATCTAGCTGCCTCGGGCTCCTTTGATGAGTCTGTCAAAATATGGGATGTCTTGGCAGGTACATGTCTGAAGACGCTACCAGCGCACAGCGATCCTGTGTCCAGTGTACGGTTCAATGTTGATGGCTCGATGCTTGTCTCGTGCTCACACGATGGGCTCATTCGCATATGGGATACCCTCTCCGGACAATGCCTCAAGACACTGGTCGATCAAGATTCCCCGCCAGTCTCCTTTGCTGCATTCTCCCCAAACGGACGCATTCTCATGTCTTGCACTCTGGACTCAACTATTCGACTGTGGGACTTTGTCAGTAGTCTGCCGCTCAAGACATACAAAGGCCATCTCAATGTCAAGTACACCCTCAATGCTGAAATGGCGAATGATGAAATGATCATCGGCGGTGAGAATGGTAAGGTCACAGTGTGGCATACTCAGAGCAAAGACGTGCTGCAAGAGATTCAATGCAGCGACGAGGTTATCCTCAGCGTCAGTCGACGTGTGACTGATGCCAAGAAGTGGTTGGCTGTGGCTGGCTTGGACAAGACTATCTACATCTACCAGGCTGATGTATGAAGGAAGCATCACACAGCACAGACTAGTCGTCAGTCTTTCCAGACACAGTCGATGCCGATTTCAGCAACCAAGCCGGTGAGCGTCGGAAGCCCATTTCTATCTAGCGCTCATGTCTGAGATGCAGACCTCTGATCAGTTTCGTGAGATGGTTCGCTTCCTTCCAAACACTGGCTGGTCTCTTTGGACCCCATATCCATGGATGCGGATGACAACATATGAGACTGCGGAGTCTCGTGTTCACTATGCAATCAATGTATGGATGGAGTTGTTTGCTCCTCGGTCTAGTTCCCAAAGCAGACCGATGCCTCAGCCTCTTTTGCGCCCGAATCGTCTTGTGCGGCGTCGTGTTACGGGTCCGGGATACATTGAGACCAAGACACGAGCATTTGTGTTAGATGCAGCACCATGCTACGATGATGCAGCTGTGTGCACACTTCTTCATGTGCTATTGGTCATATGTATCTGGCGTGCTCACCCGCTGATACGCTGTGATAGTCACTCGTAGGCTTATAGCATAGGTCTTCGGCGTCCTCTGCAGCTGTTACTGATCAAGATGCTCAGACGCCCAATGCTTCATATACACACAGCTGTCTAGCAGACCTCTCAGCATTTGAGGAGAGGAAGACGTAGCTGAGCCTGAATCGCTGTTTAGAAAAGCTGGAAGACGATATGGATTGGATCAACCCAAAATATCGACGCAGGATGCAGAAACACGCCTGCATCAAGCATGCTTCTTCGAATTGTTGATCAGCAAAAAGAAGACTTCAGTGTAATGACTGGGCTGAGGGTTGAAGGCAGAACAGAGCGACTCCACCCCAAAATATGGACCAAAGAATAGGGATACAAGGACGATCCTACCAGATAACAGAACAGAGTTGATGAATGAAGAACAAGGCAGTAGAAGGCTTTCTTTTTCAAAGCATAGACTAAAGCTAGAAGCCGTAAAGCAGTTAGACAAAAGACATGGCCTAAGTCCCTAGGACTGTGAACGAAGTCAAGTCAAACACGCCAACAGGCGAAGAGCTGCCTCATATTACTAAGGCGAGAAAAGGAGACTTGAGGCGGAAGAAAGGAAGCATCTGTTGAAGATGCTGAACGAGTGATTCAATGATCCAGATGACGAGGTCCAGATCGGTCGCTGTGGTTGTGCACAGAAGAATAGCCGCGAGATGTAAATAGGGTTCTCAGGTGATGAAGCAACTGAAATCGAGCATAAGACCGGTCAGTCACGCCGTAACATTCTGCACCGTTCCACTATCTGAATGGCACGGGCGGCCAAGAATTGGCTACATGACCATTCCGACCGTTCCGATCCCGATTTTGATACCAATTCTGATACCAATTAAACAAATCGATATCGATTTGCTGACCTCTCTGAGTGTGTGCGTGTTGTTGGTCGACTGAATAATCATAATGCTGCGAGGGATTTCCTTGCCCTGATGACTCTCCATAAGCTGGAGCGGCCTGATACTGATCAGATTGATACTCACTTGGATTGTTCAACAGACATTGCTGAGGCCAAAGTGTCACCGGCTCAGGGACCCCGTCATTATTTGGTACCGAGTTCACCTGTCCGGACCCAAACATGTTAACTACCCACAGCTCATACTGCTGGTCCCGCAACTGCTCAGATGTCAATTGATGGCTTGATCCAGCTGCACCTGCTCGATGCGACGACTGCGGATAATGGCTAAGCCCTGATGGCATCTGTCCTGAACCCGGTGAATGGGCTGCACTGCCGTATAATGGATTCATGGTCGGTGGCCAGGGGCACATTTGCTGATTGTTGGATGCTACATCCTGAGAAGGGTGATCTTTCTTGGGGTTGGTGTGTCTCAAATGGCCTTTCAGGCAGTAACCACGAAGATATCTGTGCCTGCTGCTTTTTCCGCGTCGGGCGCAGTAACATTCCATGGACATCTGCTCATCAAAGATGGTACTGGGAACGGTTATGTGCTCATCGACAATGGCCTCAAGTCGCACCTCCCATTTGATTTTGGCGAACTCCTCACTCTGCGCCTCACTTGCTGCTTGTGACACCCAAGCTTGTATAGTGGTAACATGACAGCGTGTGGAGTGTTGGTGGAACCCACGATAGTTTTTCCAATAAGCTTCATCGTGTCTTGGCGAGAGCTCCAAGATTTGGTGTTTCTTATAAGTGACTTGAGGCATCTGGATGTATTCGACACGGTTGAATATTTTACAGCTGCATTGCCAAGCGCAAACACGAGTGAGGAAGCTCAGCTTATGCACGAATTCCATATCCTCTATATGAATATCCGTGCCTCGTACGCAACCGTCACTTTTTCTTCGCGTCGATTTGGGGGTCAGAACACGTACATAATGATCCGCGTATCTAGATCGGGCATTCGAGCAGGTCTTCTCACACCTGTCGCTTTGTACTTTAAAGATCTTTGGATCACCTCCATTGCAGGCGTCTGTAGCAGCCTCGCTCATGACTGATGAAAGTGAGAACAATGCTTTGTAGAAGGTAGGCTGGTCATCATTGTTGAGTAGCCAGAAATCCTTCTCGTATTGAGGGCTGGCGATCGCGTCTTCAGTGGTGCTACTGTCGATTGAATTTCCGGTGCCTGCGGCTGCGTGCGATGTGCTGCCGGTCCTAGCTGGCCACATGGGCGTAGCCGCGGTAGGCTGATGCAGTACGGTCGACAAGAGTGAGAGAAGCAAAAGGCTCGTTGGAACCATCCAAAGAGACAACGAGGTGAGTGGCTGCATGCTTGCTGGCACAGTAGAATTGGCGGTCGCTGTCCACTGACGTCGTAGTAGTGCAATCGAGAATGACACGCTGGCATAAGTTTGAGGTGGTTTCAGCGTACTTTTAGCACATTTGTGGGAGCAAAACAAGAGAACGTCTTCCCCTGCAGCTAATTATCCCGTATCAAGTCATGTGTCGTGCGTACATATGGCAGCTGCAGTGTAAGATGAAGAAACAGTACTGCAAGAAGTGGGCACAGGGCATCAGGGCCTCAGTCACAGTTGCAGGTAGAGTGGAGCGATCCAGATTATGCGTAAAAACAGTGATGCCGTGAAGCGTGAAGTGTCCAGCACAGGCACCTGCAGAGAAGAGCAAATATGCTTAAGCCGAAAGACGAGCAGAGTAAAAACACATCCTCCCTATGCAGTAAATCAAGTGGACATCATCACGCGGAGACACGCGATCTGTGGCAGAGATATGCACTAGTCAAGCCATGTGACTGGGTACATAATTGCCCATGATCACCAGCCTAGAACCGCTTCGATATGTCTGAGGTTATAAAACAGCAAGTGAGAAGCAGCTGAAATACTTAGCTGCGTTCCTCAAATGCTCTCTTTCGATATGCCTTTATCATCTCCCACGCCGGACATCTACTACGCATGCTTGTTAAACATAAATGAGCTTCAAAATTCTGCAGACTTGGGAGGTGAATACAGGAGGTGTCTCCTGATGAGCATTAACTCCTGAAAGCAGCCTAGAACAGCTACAAAGCACTGCAGCATTGTGCAGCCACTTTTGGCTCAATGGAAATGCGTCGCGAACTCTGAGCCAGTCTGACATGCCTTAAATTCCTTGACCCTCATTACCATGCCTCCGTTGTCGTATGGCATCGGATCTAATGCATGGAGACACGATCAGGCTGTAAAGTCGAAGACATCTAGTCTCATAATCAGTCCATGACAGTATTAGAAAATTGAATACATCAGCTTGTTGCTTCCCAAGCAGATGTTGCTTGGTTGATTCATGTAACGACTGCGCTCAGGGTGACTAGGCAGAGTAGGGCGAGTCCACGTCGAAGACACTAGACAACAGAATAGGTAGATATAGATGATCCTACCAAAGTACAAAGTTGGTGAATGTAGAACAAGGCAGCAGAAGGCTCTCCTTTTTTCTTCATCGACTAGTGATAGAACCCATAAGACAGTAAGACAAGAAACAAGGCCAAAGTCTCAAAAGCTGTGGGCGACGTCTAGCCAGACGCGCCAAGAGACAAAGAGATGTCCCAGATTGGTCAGGCGAGAGTAAGAGACTTGAGCCAGAAGAAAGCAAGCAACTGTTGAAGATGCTGAGCGAGTTGTTCCATGATTTAGACGAGAAGGTCTAGATCGGTCGCTGTGGTTGTGCGCAGATGAATAGCCGCGGATGTGACCAGGGTTTCCAGGTGGTGAGACCTCTGAAACCAGAATAGAACTTCGATCAGTCAGTCCGTGACACGACCCTCCCCTTGGCGCGTCGTCCTCGATGCGCGAAAGGTGGTTTTGGAGCAGTGAGGTTGAGACGGTGGAAGTTGTGCACGAGCAGTGACATGTTGGCGTGAACAGACTCGGCAGGTGCCCATTGGTTGTGAGCGTCGCTGTAGCCAGTCCAATGCAAGAGGTACTTCCACTGATCGTCGTCGAACTTGCAGTCAACACAAGCGTCAACGGCCCACTCGCCGTGTCCGTTGAATAGTGTGGGCCCGGGACGAGGTTGTGAACGAGAGAAGGCACTACTTGGTTCGTTGTTAGGCTCGAGCAGACCAGGCGAGAATACAGGATGAATGAGAACATCGCGTGGGAGGTCGAGTTCGCAGGCAGTACCGTTGATTGAGCTCGTGATGCGAAAGAGCCGGCGCAAGTGAAGTCAAGCTTTGGTGATGGTCGAATGGACGTACGATAATGGCGGGTGCGTAGCCAAACTTGCTTGACAGGCTGGAACTCTGAGGGAACTGGTAGTCGAGAACGATCGGCATATTCCTTGTACTTGTCCTGTGCATCTCGCTTGTGGACCTTGAGCTTGTCGTGAACAGACTGCAAACGAGCAGCCATGGCCATGTCGTGACTTGCAGGAATGGAGCGAGGCCAAGTCGAACAGTAAAGCGAGGGTGCCAACCACGCTCAGCAAAGAAAGGCGACGTCTTGATGATCTCTTGGTGTGCATCGTTGTAATAGAACTCAGCTTGAGGAAGGAGAGCACACCACTCGTCTTGAGCATGTTGATGTAACATCGGAGGAACTGTTCGAGTATCGAGTTGACACGCTCAGTCTGACCATCAGTCTGAGGGTGATGGGCTGTAGACAGAAGAGACTTGACCTGTGAATCAAACTGGAGAAGCAGTAACTGACAAGAGTTGGACGTGAAGATGGAGCCACGATCAGAGACAATAGACGGTGGTAGGCCATGATTTGAGACAATGCGATCCATGAAGGTCTTTGCGAAGGTAACTGCACCGGTAGCCTCGACGTAAGGGATGAAGTGAGCTTTCTTGGTGAGATGGTCAACAACAGCCAGAATAGAGTCATAGTCGTTGGACAAAAGAAGCTTGAGGATGAAGTCGAGGGAGATAGCAGAACTTGATGTGTCAGGAATCGGGAGCGGGTTTAGCTCACCATAGGATCTTGTGTCGAGTCGCCCTGACGCATGCACAAGTGTCACAAGTGCGTACACACTGCTTCACATCAGCTCGCATGCCGGGCCAGAAGTACTGTCGTGAAAGAAGTTCGAAGGTCTTGCCGACACCCCAGTGTCCGGCCAAGATAGAGTCGTGGTGCTGTCGTGACGATGAGAGCTTGAGCACCTTGTTGTTGGGAATGTAGACCTTTTACTTTCGTGATAGATCGGGCCATCGACTGAGGAGTACCTGTTGTCCAGATCCTGAAGAGAGTCAGAACTACACTGTACTGTGTTTTTTTTTTTTTGTTCCGTTGTCTTACATACCTACTCCTCCCAGGACTCTATGGCCTATATAGGAACTCAGCGGCACCGCCGCTTGTTCTGTCTTTGAAAGATACACGCCTCACGTGTATGGTTCTTCCAATACTTGTCCTCGCGCGCAATGGGTTGCGGCACTTCCTGCTCCGTCATTGTTGGCGATCTGGCCTAAGCCAATATTTGTTTATATAGCGGGCAACACCGCTGTCTCGCTGTCCTACTTCGGGGCAGTTCGACGTGGTCACCTCGTCTAGCGTGGTGAGGGGTTAAGGGTGATGGCTGGTGCGTCCGGAGGGCCCATGGGCGTGCTTGGGACGTGTACGCTTGCCATGTCGCTGTATTGGTGGGCTGCGTCTGAGCTGATCTGGTTCCACCTCGCTTGTTCGCCTGTGCCACTTGGAGTGGCGTCTCGTCTGAAAAGCTCCTTGCGAGTTGCTGCTTTACAGTCTTGTAGGAAGTCCGCCAAGGATTCCATGTGTGTTGGGTCGTTTAGGAGTCTTTTGATCGATCTGTTTGCTCGGTCGGAGTCAATGTGAGCTGCTCTCGCTTGCGCCCATTTTGGGCAAAAGTACAGCAAGTGTTCCCTTGTCTCTGGTAGCGGGCGTGTGGGTCTGCAGTCGCACACCCGTAAGCGTCTCTCTGCTCTCGTCCACATGCCCTTGCCGTAAGAGCCTGCACAGCTGCGCAACCCTATTATGCGTGCAACGACGTGTCTTGGCCTTGCTGTCCAGCTGGGCAGCTTCAAGCTTTTCGCGTCGAAGGTGCTGTACTTGTCAAACCTTGTAACACTTTTCGGTGTAATGCCATCTCTCTTGCATGCGTGGAATTCTTTGGCCCATTCCTCCATCATCTTCTTTTTCCGCATGGCCTTGACATATGACAGCGAAATGCCGATATCTGTACTGCGCGTAATGTCTGGCATGGTCGGACTGCTTTCTGCCGCCTCCCTTGCCAGCTGGTCTGCCTTCTCGTTGCCTGGGATAGAGCAATGGCCCGGCAGCCACACTAGTCTTGTTGGTCTCCCACATGCGCTGAGTTGGACAAGTGCCCTCTGTGCCCTCAGTCTGAGACTCTGGCCCGTTGTTGGCGCTGTGCTCTGTAGGGAGTCTAGCGCAGACTGGTTGTCTGAAAAGATGTAGATTGAGGCCAACTCCGTGTTGCGCGCCACCAGTTCTGCGGCCAACTTTGCTGCCATCTCCAAGCCAATCAGTTCGGTATCATACGATATCAGCTCCCTCCGATGCGTTTGTACTTTTTGCGAGATGAGTCTGTTGTTGCAGTATGCTGCTACTGCCGCTGCCGCACCACATCCCTTGTCAGTGCATGAACCGTCGCTGTATAGAGACAGCGTGTCTGGCTGCTTGTATGCAGCGCATATGACGTGTGCTTTGGCTTGTTCGTCTTTGGACATCGACTTGTCTACCGTGACTTGGATCAAGTCGGGGTTCAGCCTAGGAAGTCTTGAATGGTCTGCCTCATAGTCGAAGCGTTCGATATGCTTTGGCTCGCATATCTGTTTCAGCTGGTGAACGGCCTTCTTTATGGTCAAGCCTTTTTGACCTGCCGGGCCTGTGACGATCTGCTTGAGCGGGTGGTTTTTGGGGAGAGTGTGCCACCGCGCCGCATCCCTCCTGGCTGCGTCCTTTGTGTGTGCCTTTAAGGTGGGAATTCTGCAGTCAAGGTGTAGCACTTTGCTGGGAGTGCTTCTGGTTGCTCCCAGTGTTTTGATGATTGCCTTGTTGATCGTCTTCTCCATGGTTCGGTTAGGCTGCCGCTTCGTGGCCCAAAGCGTGCACCCGTACTCCATGACTGGTAGCACGCACGTCACGATCAGCTTCCTGCTTGCTGCCACCGACAAGCCCGATTCTGCTTTGACTAGGCGAGAGACTGCCAGCCATGCTTTGTCCGCTTTTTCTCCCTTGATCTTGATGTGCTGATCGAACTTCAAGCGCTGATCGATGAACACTCCTAGCCATCTTATGCAAGGTGCTGGGGTGATGCACCTTCCATCCGAGGTGACTACCGCCTCAGTGGGTGGTTCATTGGTTTGCGTGTGCGTGAAGCCCTCTTGCGAGGGGACTTCCGCTCTGGTCGCGGTTTCACCGGCTCTTGCTGCTAGGCTTCTTGTCACTGCCCCTTGCCTAGGCGCAACCTGAGTGTCTTCTGGTATTGCGTTGTGCTGCGTTGTCGGACTATCCTCTTGTGTGGCACATGGGACTGCCCTTTGCCTTGCCCGCCTTGGCTTCTGCCAAAAGTGTATGACTTCCTCCTTGCTGGTGTCAAATGCTACTGCATTGGCTCTTCCCCAGTCTACAGCCTCTTTTTGCGCCAGTGCTAACAGAGCTGCGTTTGTTTCGTAGGTGTCTGACGTGATGGTAATTCTGATGTCGTCCATAAAGCTGCCGCAAGTCAACTTTGCGCCTTCGCCGTCTACTTCCGATTCGCATGCTCTCGTAATGCTAGCAAATATTGGCCCAATATACAGCGTGAAGAGTATCGGGCTGAGCGGCGACCCTTGTGGGATGCCTGTAGTGATCATCCTTTGTGGAGCGGTTCGCCCGTCAAAAGAAATCCGTGTGGATCGACCAGAGAGAAAGGCCGCCGTGTACTGGATCATCTCTTCAGGGAGACCTTTGTCTGCCATTCGTCTCAGAAGCTGGTCTTTCGACACATGGTCGAATGCCCCCGCCACGTCCATTAACAGCGTTGAGCATTTCTGTTTTGTGCTTCTTGCAACCTCGGCTTCGTTCACTAGTAGGTGGACGGCGTCTAGTGCTGAACGGTGCTTGCGTGCTCCCATCTGGTATGGATGAAAGCAGTTCGCTTGCTCCATGATAGTGTGAAACCTCGTTGCTTGTAGTCTCTCCAAGACTTTTGAGATACATTTGAGCAGCGCTATAGGCCTGTAGGCTCTTGGCTTGCTATAGTCTGGTTTGTTGGGCTTTCTCAAGACCACCGTGATGGACTGTTTCCAGGTCTCTGGGTGGTGTCCTATCCGGACGCACTCTCTGATGATCGGCGCAAGCGCAATCTTCAGGGTATCATAATACCGTTGGATAAAAGCATGATTGTAACCATCTGGGCCCCCTGCGCTCCTAGTGGAGTTCTGGTATACCGCTGTTGATAATTCCTGTTCCGTCACCATTCCCCAGTGGTGCTCTGTCGTGTAGCCAGCTGGGAGGCTGAAGGCTTCTGTGTGTGGCGGCGGTGGAAATAGTTGTCGATAGAGTACCTCTTCCTTGTCCTGGAAGCTCACGGCTGTACGAATTTCGCCACCTTCCTCTGTGGTGAGGCAATTGATGCTTGTCCCACCTTTTGCCAAACAGTAGCGCCGTGCCTCGAAAGCCCGATTTGGTGTCTCCTCTTCTACAAACTCCTGCCAACACTTGCGTTTTGTGTCGCGCACCAGCCTTCTCCATTTGTTGCGGGCTCTTTTGTAATCTTGGCGTGTCGGCTGATCCCTATGTTGCAGAGACCTATTGCGCTTCGTGTGGAGCTCCGCAAGGTGTTGGTCTAGTTCTGTGTTCCACCATCTCTTGCGTCCCTTCAGTGCCGAGGTAGGTCTGCAAGTGGTTCTGAGTGCTTTTGCAATAGCCTGGTCAAGACGCGCAGCGGCCTCGTCTATGTCCTCTGCACTTGCTGCCTCCAAGTCCCAGCCCCGACTGTCATGTACCAGCGCTTCTCGTAGGCTTTGCTCAAGTTCCTTCGACTTCTCGGGGCTGAGAGTCTTCAGGTTGTATCTGAGTGGATGGTCTCCGTTTTGCTGCGTTGCCAGTCGGTGTCGGGAGATCGGCTTTGGTAAGTCAACCATGAGATGGATCACTTCGTGATCGGATCCTGTGGTGAGGTCTTGCCTGGTTCGCCATCCTGCCATGCCTGAGAGAGCCCAACCTCGCGCAAACGTCAGGTCGATGATAGTGTCGACTTGCCCTGCATTGCCACGTCTCGTAAATGAACCTTCATTCTGTAGAACGAACTCTCGTTCGCTCACAAGCCTCATGAGTTCCTGATGTAGCCTTGGTCGCTGGGTAAATTCGTTCCAGTGAGGGTGATGCGCATTCATATCCCCCGTGATGATAGCGTCTCTTGGAAGGTCTCTTAGCGCGCTCCAGATCCTTTTCATTGTGTATTCGCTTGCTTCCATCGCTTGCGAGGCGTCTTCAGCCTGTCCCATTGGCACCTGGTTGTACACATTAACTAATGTGATCGCCTTGGAGGCTTCCTTGAGCTTGATGTCAATGCACACTGCATCCTGGTCGTCCATGAGGTCGAGTCTGTGTTCCACTTCCAGGTCGTCTCTGGCATTGAGCACATAGATGGCCGCGCGTTGTCTACCTGGCTTTGTGGACGTGTATTTTGTGTAATTGGTGTTGCTCAGCGTTAGATCCAATGTATGCATGCCCTGTATCGTCCTGCATGTCCATTGTTCTTGTAGCAAAATGATGTCTGCAACCATGTATGCACTGTTGAACAATGCTTCTTGTGTTGCTTGGCATCTGCCACAATTGTGCTGAAAGATACTGATGTGGCCTGCTCGTTGCCTCCCCAGCATCATGTCCTTAAGATCCTTCTCCGATAGGGGTGTGCCTATCATTAAAGTTCCATGTTGTCATCTTGCGATTCTTGTGACACCCTAAACGCAGCAGGCGTAGGTGTGCTTAAGGGGCTTGTGTGCACCTGCGTAGGTGGCTGGGACGAGAAGTCAGTCGTAGACGAGTGGCGTCCCTTCCTCTTGATCGTAATCCACTCCTCCTTCGCCTCTTTGTGCTTGATACATTTCTTGCTGTCTGCTGTGTGGGCTTCACCGCAGTTTACGCATTTCGCAATGGTCGCTTTACAAGATAGAGTCTTGTGGCTTTCGCCGCATTTTCCGCATTTGGGGCCTTGTCGGCAAACCTGTGCCCCGTGTCCCTTCTGCTGGCAGTTGTCGCAGTGTGTTGTGGCATCAAACGTGTGGTACTTGCTCGTATGGACTCTTTTCCCCATAAGGAGCAGCCCTTTGTTGATTGCTCTCGTCATTTCAGCTTTGTCATAGGTGCAGAGTACCATAGACCCGCACTTGGCGTCTGGGCTTGACTTGCTTGCCAGCCAGCGAGGTTTGTGGCTCGACGTGAACTGATTCGATTCGCGTAGTTCCTCTTGGACGCTGTCAAAAGGATCTACGTCCTCCCATTCGAGGGGCACGCCATGCACTACCACCTTGTATTGTGGCTTGTTGATAATGACTTCCTGGCAGTCCTGTTCTTCAAGAGCCTTGAGCCATTGGTCTTTGGTCTCCACCAGCTCCTCCGCCATCGTGCCCTGGCTTGGCTGGAGCACCAAATTGCCCCTTGTTGAGACCCTCAGGGAGGACACGCCTAGTTGCTTGCTTTTAATCTTAGGCATTGCATTGTTGATCTTTAGCTTGAGCTTGAAGCGCTGTGCGATCGATAGCTCTTTGAGCCCCGTGGAGAACGTAATGGTCACAGGCTCTGGCTTCTGCGCTTTCGCCGTCTTCTTGGTTGCTGTAGCCCTGTTTGCGACTGGTGTTGTTTTGTTGCTGGCCTTCTTGGTTCCCATAGCTGAGACTCCAGCAGCTACCGCGTCTGTGAACAGTTTGTTCTGTCGGTCTGTAGAAGGCGTACTGATCTGTGCACGCATCTCCTGCTGCGCCTCTGCCCGTTTGACGATCGAGTTAGTCTCTGAGATCTTTTTGTCCAGCTTTTGGATTTGTTCGCCCAGCATAGCGACAGCGTGTTCTGTTTTGGACGGATTAATTAGCGTATCAATGACGTCCAGCTTGGATTTTTCTACCATCACTGGTGGATTAGCAGCCTTGACCCGCTTGACCGAGTCCCTGAAGGTGTTGATGACTGAGTCCCAGTCTGGTAAGGGTTCCCATGGGAACGGCAGATTGCTGTTCTCGCAAGTAGTGTTCACGTGGTGAAGGATGTTGATGACCGTGCGGAATGCTTCCAACGGCATTGGAACCTTTTCTTCTTCCTCGTCTCGTTCCTCGTCGACAGGGTCGACAAAGACACGTTTGCGTTCGCTGTACTTTCGTTTCATAGGGAGATTATGTTGTGTTGTAGGTGGGGACGATGGGAGGTCTCGGGTCAAAGCTGCTTCCGGAGGGGGATCATGGTTCGTGCCGCTTGGCACGTACTGCGTCTCGTCTTCCATTCTGTGACTGCTTCTTTTTTAAGGTGTGTGTCCGTCGACTGTACTGTGCCGTTGAGCTGCTCCAAAATTCCAAAACTCCGTGGGCATCAGTGTCCGAATCGTATCTTGGCCCTGGAAGCCTGATCTGGATGCTCTTCACGGACTAAGCAGTGACAGTTCGCGCAAGCAATTCATCTGCCACAGTCCTGACTTGAGCTCGCGTTCGAACAGCATTCAGAACCAATCGATTTGTCTCCTGCAGCGGTCTGACATTGTTTGACAGGTGAGCATCCCCTTGTTAGAATTTGATTTGGGCGGAGATCCTCCCGACGAGAAAGCGCATCTGGGTGTCCTTGAGCCTTATCAGGCCGGTATACCACCTTGAAGCTGTAGTCTGCGAACAGCTCAGACCACCCATGGACCACAGACCGCTTCTAATCATCGAGTCACTTAGGCTATCAACTTGTGTTCTCCTGCTATATCCCTGAACCAAGATTCATGGCAGTCGAGGAAGGTCGCTCGCCTAAGCGGCAGAAACTCGACTCGTTCAGTTCATATACACTCGCTACGAAGCTGCCATCCCACAACAAGGGTGTCTCCTCTGCCTACTTCTCTCCCAATGGGCGCCTCCTTGCCAGTAGCTCAGCAGATTGTACCGTCAAGATCTGGGACACTGATACTTGGCAGCTCGAACAGACCCTTCAGGGACATGCCAAGGGTATCTCAGACGTCGCTTGGTCGCGCGATAGTCTGCTAGTCATAACAGCTTCCGACGATCGCACAGTACGGATATGGGATGTCGCTAAAGGTACCACTGTACGCAATCTACGTGGCCATACAAACTTTGCTCTCTGTTGTACATTCAACCACGCCGGCAATCTAGCTGCCTCGGGCTCCTTTGATGAGTCTGTCAAAATATGGGATGTCTTGGCAGGTACATGTCTGAAGACGCTACCAGCGCACAGCGATCCTGTGTCCAGTGTACGGTTCAATGTGGATGGCTCGATGCTTGTCTCGTGCTCACACGATGGGCTCATTCGCATATGGGATACCCTCTCCGGACAATGCCTCAAGACACTGGTCGATCAAGATTCCCCGCCAGTCTCCTTTGCTGCATTTTCTCCAAACGGACGCATTCTCATGTCTTGCACTCTGGACTCAACTATTCGTCTGTGGGACTTTGTCAGTAGTCTGCCGCTCAAGACATACAAAGGCCATCTCAATGTCAAGTACACCCTCAATGCTGAAATGGCGAATGATGAAATGATCATCGGCGGTGAGAATGGTAAGGTCACAGTGTGGCATACTCAGAGCAAAGACGTGCTGCAAGAGATTCAATGCAGCGACGAGGTTATTCTCAGCGTCAGTCGACGTGTGACTGATGCCAAGAAGTGGTTGGTTGTGGCTGGCTTGGACAAGACTATCTACATCTACCAGGCTGATGTATGAAGGAAGCATCACACAGCACAGACTAGTCCTCAGTCTTTCCAGACACAGTCGATGCCGAATTCAGCAACCAAGCCGGTGAGCGTCGGAAGCCCATTTCTATCTAGCGCTCATGTCTGAGATGCAGACCTCTGATCAGTTTCGTGAGATGGTTCGCTTCCTTCCAAACACTGGCTGGTCTCTTTGGACTCCATGTCAGTAGATGCGGATGACAAAATATGAGACTGCGGAGTCTCGTGCTCACTATGCAATCAATGTATGGATGGAGTTGTTTGCTCCTCGGTCTAGTCCCCAAAGCAGACCGATGCCTTAGCCTCTTTTGCGCCCGAATCGTCTTGTGCGGCGTCGTGTTACGGGTCCGGGATACATTGAGACCAAGACACGAGCATTTGTATTAGATGCAGCACCGTACTTCGATGATGCAGCTTTGTGCACACTTCTTCATGTGCTGTTGGACGTATGTATCTGGTGTCCTCACCCGCTGATACGCTGTGCTGGTCACTTGTAGGCTTATAGCATAGGTCTTCGGTGTCCTCTGCAGCTGTTACTGATGAAGATGCGCAGACGCCCAATGCTCTATGTGCATACACCTATCTAGCAAGGCTCTCACTGTTTGAAGACAAAGAGATGTAGCTGAGTTTGAATCGCTCTTTCGAATAGCTAAAGACGAGATGATTTGTATTCAAATGATGACCCAGATACACGCCTGCATCAAGCATAGGCTATCGAACTGTTCGGCCTCAGTTTAATAACTGGGCTGAGGGGGGACTAGGCACAGCGGAGCGAGTTCACGTCGAAGATACTGGACAAAAGGAAAGGAAGATAGAGACGATCCTACCAAATAACAGAACTGATGAATGAAGAACGAGCCGGTAGAAGGCTCTCTTTTTTAATTTCTCGTAGACTAGAGCCAGAAGCTAAAAGCAGTAAGTTAAGAGACAGGCCTAATTCTCAAAGACTGTAGACGACAATTAGCCATACAGGCTAACAGGCGAAGAGCTGTCTCATATTGGTAAGGCGAGAATAAGAGACTTGAGGCGGAAGGAAGGAAGCAACTGTTGAAGTTGCTGACCAAGTGATTCCATGATTTGAATAGCGAGGTCTAGATCGGTCGCTGTGGTTGTGCACAGAAGAATAGCCGCGAGGTGTAAATAGGGGTCCAGGTGATGAAGCAACTGAAGTTGAGAATAAGATTGTTCGATCAGTCCGTGACATCCAGCATAGTTTCACTATATGTATGGCGGGGGCGGTCGCGGATTGCCTGAACCACCATCCTGGCTGTCCGGGAAATGATCATAACGCCAAACAGGCCAAGGGACCTCGCATAGCTGGCCATTCTGAGTTTGCACGTGTTGTTGGTCGGCTGAAGCATCATGATGCTGCGAGGGATGTCCTTGCCCTGATGACTCTCCATGAAATGGAGCAGGCTGACACTGACCATGTGCTTGGAGGTTCTCACTTGGGTTGTATGACAGACATTGCTGAGACCAAGGCTCATATATCTCCCACTTAGGGAGCCCGTGATCATTTGGTGTCGGACTCAAATAATAAGGAGATATCGAGTAATCCAACAACTGCTGTTGGCTCGTCAAAGGTTGGCTTGATCCAGCTGCAGCTCCTTGGCTCGACGACTGCGGATAATGGTTGATGCCTGATGGATAATAGTTGATGCCTGATGGATAATAGTTGATGCCTGATGGCATCTGGCCTGAATTTGATGAATGGGCTACGTTGCCGGCCAAAGGATTCCAGGTTGGTGGCCAGGGACACATATGCTGATTTCCAGCCGCTACATCCTGAGGAGGGTGCGTTGACTTGGGCTTGGGTTGCCCATGGCCTGCATATGTCTTGCAATGACCATGAAAATAAGTGTGCCATGCATTAAAATGTCGATGGCAATAACATTTCATCGACATCTCATCATCGAACTTTTTCCAGAGAATGGGTAGGTGCTCATCGACAACGCCCTCAAGCCGCACCTCCCATGCAATATTGCCGAACGGTCCATCTTGCGCCTTAGCAGACGCTAAAAGCGCTGCTTCTGACACCCAGGATTTTATATCGGCGACATGACAACGGGCTTTACCTTTGAATGGCTCACCAAAGCTTTTCCAATAAGCATCATCCTTTTTTGGCGAGAGCTCCCAGGTTTGGCGTTGATGAGTCACTTGAGGCATCCGGATGTATTTGACGAGGTTGAATACTGTACAGCTGCATTGCCAAGCGCAAACACGGGTGAGGAAGCTCAGCTTATGCACGAAATCCATATCCTCTATATGAATATCCGTGCCTTGTATACAACCGACATGTCCCCTTCGCAACGATTTCTCGATCAAAACAGGCACATAAAAATCCGCATAACGCGATCGGGCACGTTGACAACTCTTCTCACACCTGTCGCTTTGTGCTTTATGGATCTTTGGATCACCTCCGTTGCAGGCGTCTGCGGCCACCTCGCTCATGACTGATGAAAGTGAGAACAATGCTTCGTAGAAGGTAGGCTGGGTTTTGTCTTTAAGTTCCCAATAATCCTCATTGTATACCGGTCCTGCTGTGTGCAATGTGCTGTCAGCCTGAGCTGGCGTCACGGGCGCAGCCGCGGTAGGCTGAAACAGTACGATCGACAGGAGTGAGAACAGCAAAAGGCTCGTCGGAACCATGCAGAGAGACATGTGAGTGAGTGGTCGCATACTTGAGGGCAACGTAGAATTGATGCTCGCTATCCGCTGATGCCGTAGTATCGTAATCGAGGATGACACGCTGGCATAAATTTGATAGGGATTCAGTGTCCTTTGAGAGCATTTTTCAGAGCGAAACAAATAAGCGTCTTCCCCTGCAGCTAATCATCCCGTACCGAATGATGTGTCGTGCGTGCACATGCATGGCCAGCTGCAATGTAAAATGAAGCAACAGCATTGTAAGGAGTGGGCACTGGGCGTCAGAGCCCAGTCATAGTTGCAGGTAGAGTGGAGCGATCCAGACTATGCGTGGATATAGGGTGAGGAATTTGGTCTTTCAGACCAAACAAGCCTATTTATTTGGGCTTGAGTTTGGTCGACCAAGCATGAGCCCAAGCATGCTGGACCAAACCAAGCAGCTCAGACTCTTCATGTTTGTGCTTGAGTTTGGTACCAAATAAAGACCAAACTTGTCAAACTCAAACACGAGTTTGGGCTGAGTTTGGCTTACGTTGCGGTATCTTGACCGAGAGCCGAGGGTCCAGGGAGATGCCAAGTCACTAGATGATAATGTCAACAGTCAGCTACAGTTCGCTATGTCTTTCAGCACGTCAACCATTATGATGAACATGATTCATCAGACAGTACGGTGGAACATGGGCACCCAGCTACCGAGGCACATCAGACTCTCGAGTGTTTGTCCAGACATACGGTTGCGCAGGTCAGTGCATATCAACTTCCCTCGAGAGAAAGCTCGCTCCGATGTATCTGTTGGGCTGTCCATCAAATCTTGCCTTGATTGTGTGAACAGCCCAGGGCTTGGTGTGCACACTGATGAGAGCGAATGCTGTGAACTGCCATCGCCGTCGTTGAAAGAGCCGGTTGGCCTACTACTTGCAGAAGATCTACGAGTGAATAGATTCGACATGCCAGTAATTGCGAGATCTTGTGCTTTGCAGACAAAAGTGTTCAGAGGCTCACTTCCACAGTGCAGAGTCCTGGAGTCCAGACCTCGGCAGTCACGCGGAGACGCAGGTGACAGGTCATACCGTCAAAGGTCGCAGTCTGGAAACAGCGGCACAGCCCCGCCTGACAGTCAGTGACAGAAGTGACCACAGGGCTCATGTCATGTCTAATGAAGTCACGAGTCGCGACTCACGGTGTAACGACTGGGCTCGAAGGGGATCGACGGAGGTACGATGGAAGCTGAGACGTCAGCACGAGGTACGAGGCAGAGCTGGTCGAGTCTACTTCGGAGACACTAGACAACAAGACTGTTAGGTAGTAGCAATTCTACCTGTGTACGAAGTTGGTGAATGAAGAACAAGACAGCAGAAGGCTGTCCTTTTATCTTCATCAGACTAGAGCTGGAAGCAAGAAAGACAAGATGTAGAGTCCAAGCCCCAAAGACTGCGAGTAGTGTCTAACCAGACGACTCAGACGCAAAGAGATGTCTTGATGTGTGTATTAGGAACAAGGGGCTGGAGCCAGAAGAGAGCAAGCAACTTGTTGAAGATGCTGAACAGGTAATTCCATGATAGCGAGCAGAGAAGACTGACTCGGTCGTTGTGGTTGTGCACAAGGAAATAGCGCAAGATGTAACAAGGGGCTGGTGATATATCTGGGAAAGGTTTCCAGAGGCTGGTTGGACATCTGAAAGCGGTATCAGAGTTCAGTCCGTGACACACGGGACAATACCAAACATAACCAAACATTCCAAACGTTTGAGTAGTAGAGTGTTCGGGATTGGGTTTGGTGACCAAACTAGAGGGCCAAACATGAGGGCTAGTTTGACTTTGGTTTGAGTTTGGCCCAAACTCAAACGGAATGTTTGAAATGACCGGCTGTTTGAGGGACCAAATTCCTCACCCTACGTGGATACAGTGATGACGTGAATGGAGAGGTGTCAAGCACAGGCACCAGAGAAGTGCAAATATGCTTACGCCGAAAGACGAGCAGAGTAAAGTCACATTCTCCCTGTGAAGTAGATCAAGTGGACATCATCACGTGTAAGCACGCGATCTGTGGCAGGCATATGCACAAGTCAAGCCATGTGACTGGGTACATGATTGCCCATGATCACCAGCCTAAAGCCGCTTTGATATGTCTGAGGTTAAAAGACAGCATGTGAGAAGCAGCTGAAATACTTGGCTGCGTTCCTCAAATGCTCTTTCTGGATATGCTTTTATCATCCCCCACGCCGGACGTCTACTACGCATGCTTGTTAAACATAAATGGGCTTCAAAATTCTGCAGAAATGGGAGGTGAATACAGGAGGTGTCTCCTGATGAGCATTAACTCCTGAAAGCAGCCTAGAACGAGTACAAAGCACTGCAGTATCGTCCAGCCACTTTTAGCTCAATGAAAATGCGTCGCGAGCTCTGAGCCAGTCTGACGATACTTAGATTCCTCGACCCTCATTACCATGCACCCGTTGTCGTATGGCATCGGATCGAATGCATGAAGACACGATCAGGCTGTAAAGTCGAAGGCACCTAGTCTCATAATCAGTCCATGACAGTATTAGAAACTTGAATACGTCAGCTTGTTGCTTCCCAAGCAGATGTTGCTTGATTGATTCATGTAACGACTGAGCTGCGGGGTGACTAGGCAGAGCAGAGCAAGTCCACGTCGAAGACATTAGACAACAGAATAGGTGGATATAGATGATCCTACCGAAGTACAAAGTTGGTGAATGTAGAACAAGGCAGCAGAAGGCTGTCCTTTTTTCTTCGTCGACTAGTGATAGAACCCATAAGACAGTAAGACAAGAAACAAGGCCAAAGTCTCAAAAACTGTGGGCGACGTCTAGCCAGACGCGCCAGGAGACAAAGAGATGTCTCAGATTGGGTCAGGCGAGAGTAAGAGACTTGAGCCAGAAGAAAGTAAGCAAGTATTCAAGATGCTGAGCGACTTATCCATGAGCTAGATGACGAGGTCTAGATCGGTCGCCGTGGTTGTGCGCGGAAGGCTAGCCGCGAGATGTAAACAGGAATTTCGGGTGATGAGGCAACTGAAACCAAGAGTAGGACTTTGATCAGTCGATTCGTGACACGACCCTCCCCTCAGCGCGTCGTCCTCGATGCGCGAAAGGTGGCATTGAGATAGAGAAGCCGACCACGAGCAGTGACATGTTGGCGCAAACAGACTCGTCAGGTGGCCATTGCTTGTGAGCGTCGCTGTAGCCAGTCCATACAGGAGGTACTTTCACTGATCATTATCGAGCCTGCAGTCAACACAAGCGTCAACTTCCCACTCGCCGTGTCCGTTGATCATTGTGGGCGGAAGACGAGGTTGTGAATGAGAGAAGGCACCAATTGGTTCGTTGTAAGGCTCGAGCAGACCAGGCGAGAAGCCAGGATGAAAGAGAACATCGCGTGGGAGGTCGAGTCCGAAGGCAGTACCGTTGATTGAGCTTGTGATGCGAAAGGGCCGGCGCAAGTGAAGTCAAGCTTTGGTGATGGTCGAATGGACGTACGATAATGGCGGGTGCGTAGCCAAACTTGCTTGCCAGGCTGGAATTCTGAGGGAAGTGGTAGTCGAGAACGATCGGCATATTCCTTGTACCTGTCCTGTGCATCTCGCATGTGGACCTTGAGCTCGTCGTGAACAGACTACAAACGAGCAGCCATGTCGTGACTTGGAGGAATGGTGCGAGGGCCAAGTCGAACAGTAAAGCGAGGGTGCCAACTACGCTCAGCAAAGAAAGGCGACGTCTTGATGATCTCTTGGTGTGCATCGTTGTAACAGAACGCTGCTTGAGGAAGGAAAGCACACCAATCGGCTCGAGCATGTTGATGTGACATCGGAGGAACTGTTCGAGTATCGAGTTGACACGCTCAGTCTGACCATCAGTCTGAGGGTGATATGCTGTAGAAAGAAGAGACTTGACCTGTGGATCAAACTGGAGAAGCAGCGACTGATAAGAAGTGGTCGTGAAGATGGAGCCACGATCAGAGACAATAGACGGTGGTAGGCCATGATTTGAGACAATGCGATCCATGAAGGTCTTTGCGAAGGTAACTGCACCGGTAGCCTCGACGTAAGGGATGAAGTGAGCTTTCTTGGTGAGACGGTCACCAACAACCAGAATAGAGTCATAGTCGTTGGACAAAGGAAGCTTGAGGATGAAGTCGAGGGAGATAGCAGAACTTGTTGTGTCAGGAATCGGGAGCGAGTTGAGCTTACCATAGGATCTTGTGTCGAGTCGCCTTGGCGCGAGCACAAGCCTCACAAGTGCGTACACATTGCTTCACATGAGCCCCTAACATCAAAGGACTTCTCGAATTTGAAAAGATCGTGTGGAGTCACTGTAGACTTGTCTTAGTCTGTAAACGGTCCCTTGGTCTGGAGGTCAATCGTCAAGCCGGAAGTCACTGAGAGCTTGCACTTCCTTGTGTACTGGAAGCTTGAAATAGTACTTGGGAGCCGGGGAGCCTCAATGATAGACTCGCGAGCACTACAAGCTGTTTGCCATGCCTCTGTACCTTCAACTTGCCAGCTTCAGCACCAGTCAACCTCATATCTTCTGATTCTAGCCATAGATAGACGCATTGCAGCTGACATACTTTCTGCCTGGAAACTACTTGGATATGTCCAAAGTGGCAGATCTGGACTCGGTGCATATGCTGTGTCTCATCAGTCCGCTAATGCGTATCCAATACTATCCATGTCCAGGACTGACAGCCTGGCAGGACAGCATTGATCGAAGAACATGACCACACCAGGCCCATCTACGCCGCTTCACGCCGTTCAATTTAGGCTGCGCCATTTAAGTCGATTCACGAGGTCGAGCTGCGTCAAGGACCCAGCTGCAGGCAGTGGCAGGCGCCAGGGTCTCACACAATCACACTACAAATATGTCAACCGAGCACAAGCGGAAGGCCTGATTTGCACCTTGCACTGCCACTGTCTGGCAGTGATGCCTGAGCAGTACTTGCAACTTGCAACATGCCACTCGCGCGACCGGCCATAGAACTATGGAATAGGCGCGTGATGTGTTTGTGACACGAAAATCGCGACGCCACGGCATAGCGCGACTGTAAACATACAAATGTCAACAAAGAAAATTGTATGAACAGATGAGCGCATGATCTGTTTTCCGAGGGTCTGTGCCGTGCAGCGGTCAACCGTATAGGGCGGCAGCTCAGGCTGCTCAGTGCTCAGCAGCTGAGCCTAAGCGTCGTGAAGCGAATCAAGCGATGGCTGGGTCAGCCTGGGTGACGTGTTGGGCCACTGTTGGCACTGTTGACTCATTGTTGAGGCTACGTCAGAGATGGTGAAATCAGCTGGGGCTTGGTCTTGTGACGGCGGAAAGACTATTTCTGAAGGTGGTCTCATTGAGTCATCGGTCTCGTCATGGGGTGTCAGTTTATCACAGGTACGGAGCGAATTACAAATTTACACGTCGACTCACTTGGGCCGGAGTTGAACGCTGTGCTAGGTAGGGAATATGGCATACTATTATCAATGATACATGAAGACATTTAAGACAGCGATAGAGAACAGTCGAAACCTTGTTCTGCTTCAGCCTGCTTGAGCCTTGTGCAATGTGCATCATTGGCATTTCAGTGAAGTCCACCTGAGCGAGATTCACTGCCTGGCTCAGCGAGCCGACAAAGCCGACCCGTCTACTTCAGGAATGTACAACTCAAAATGGACAGGAAAATGTAAGACTCGCGCCGTCGCTTGCAGGCCTACGGGCAAAGGCAATTATTGGCCCGGCGCTGTATTGACAATTTGACATTGTTCGGCAGACTGCGGGAAGCCTGCCATTGTGCAAGCCGTTGAGGCGATATTCAAGCGCTCTTCTCGTTGGCGAGACCGTTGCAGATTAAGTTTTGCTGGAGCATGTTCTTTGGAGTCTTTGCTTCTGCTTTGCTCATTTTGCCTTGGGTATACGCAAGCGGAGAATGGCACCAAGCGTTTGAGTCAGTTTGACACGGTGAAACCGTGGTCGGGCCTCGTACGCGGTCAAGTATGTATCAAGATGTGACTTGTCCAATTGCCTTGATACAAAGAACCCTGACTCTCGGAATAGCTTCTTACAGCCTGCGGGAACAAGTCTCAGCTTAGATAGGGCAGGATTGATTACCGGCCTTGGCCATTGATGGGGGAAGCCTGTCTCTCGGTGTTTGACCGTTGGATGCCTTCTGGTCTTCGCAGTCGCCGCTGTGTAAAAGAGAAGCCTTCCCTGTCCACGTCTCCGCTGCCTTCCTATCCACGGTCCATACAACCAGCGATCTAGCTGCCTCACTGTCTCTACCTACCCAGGAACCCCTCGTCAACAGGACCTCCCTTCCCTACTGCCCCGTGTGCTTTGTTGATTCCAGCACGGCAACGAGAGCAGATCTCGCAACAACACTTCCCAAGACACGACCCAACGCAAGCCGAGTATCGATGGCCCAGTGAGTGATGAACGAATGGCAATCAACCTGGGCAGTTCCAGCTCAAGACATACAGCAGCCTAGAGCGCACAAGCTGGTCCGACACACAACGGCGCCGTCTATTCCATTCACTAGACCTGCCTCCAGCGGCAGTGTGCAACAACGCCCTGACAGCAGCGGCAATGGCAGCGACTACTTTGGTGCACGCAGGCCCTTGCCCTCTCCGACCTCATCTCTTGCAGCAGACCTCTCCCAGAATTTCAATATTGGCACATCGTAAGTCATTCTTTCATACATTGGATCTACCGATGCTGACACACCTAGTCCTGCTCTGCCCACGCCCCGACGCTCGCTCATGTCGCAATTCTCGTACAATCACGAAGATGTCCATCTAGGCGGCCTTCGAACGCCCGGGGAGGAAGGCGATACGAGCATGTCTCCCGGCGATTTGATGGATACATCGCCCGTCCCGCCGCGTCTCAAACTCTCAAGAACAACGAGTATGGTGGAACAGCCCAAAGCCGATCACGTCTTTGCCGTACCACGCAAGACGATCAGGCCGTCACTCGTCTCTCGCAAGGCCTTCTCAAAGGACGATCGCCCGACGTTTGGCAAATCGAGCATGTTTAAGGATAACAAGGATAACAAGGAGAACGACCTCACAGAGCAGTTTGAAGACTCGCCCAAAAAGACACCACGCAAGTTTTTTGGCCTTGGCTTTGCTCGCAAAGATGTCGCGACGGACGAGCTGGAACGATCACCGCTTGGCCCAATTACCGCCAACAAGGTCGCATCGCGCGGTTTGCCACAGTTTAGGCGCACACAGAGTATGGTTAACTCCAACGACGAGTTCCTGAGTGCGGGAAAACCCAACGTCTCGCCGAAGGTGGAAGCAGCGAATGAGCCGACGATCCTGCCATCTTTTCAATCACGCGAGGACCAAATTCGACGCATCTCCGGCGCGACCTTGGCGCGTGTTCTAGATGGACAGTACAGCCACAGCTACGACCAGCTTCAAATTGTGGACTGTCGATTTGCGTATGAGTATGCTGGTGGGCACGTCCACAATGCCATCAACATTTCTTCATTGCAGGCCCTCGATGAGCATCCCTTACTCACAGATCCACAACCAACGCGCACACTGGTCATCTTGCACTGCGAGTTCTCGGCCGTTCGTGCACCACGAATTGCATTGCATCTTCGACGACGCGACCGCGAGCTAAACGCCCATCAGTACCCGAAATTACACTACCCCGAGATGTACATTCTCGATGGCGGCTACTCAACCTTCCACAACGAATACGCGCACCACGCAACCAGCTACGTCGGAATGAAACACGAAGACCACAAAGCGTGCGCATCAAAGCAAATGCACGTCTTTCGAAAGAATGGCAAGTTTCAACGCACACAGTCTTACACATTTGGTCAGGACAGTCCAACTATGCTTGCTGGTGGTCATCGTATGGAGCGTGAGGGCAATTTCCGACTCGCTGCAGGACCAGGGGTGGGCGCTCGACAAGATCCATTGATTGCTGCCGCTGCGATGGCAGTGACGGGTCGACTCCTCTCACCAGAACGTGCGCAATCAGCAGCACCTGTGGTCGAATCGACGTTTTTGTCAGGTCGCATGTTTAAGCCGTTGCCAGCTGAGCCTGTTGCAAGTGAAGAAAGCGATACCTCGATGATGGACCTAGATGACGCTGTTTCGCCTGTTCCGGCATATCAGAATACCGCCAACAATGCACTTCAGCGTGGTCATGCACGCACGCGATCTGGTCGTATCGAAGTACGTCGATTGACGTCGTTCTGATTTGAGACACCCTGAATCACTCGCTCCTTTGATCACACTATGCTTATGCATCGAAGCAAGCGTATACAACACACTTGTTTCTCACTCAATTTTGGCATACCCATCGCATATCGGTGAATTTGCTATCTCGTTCCTCTTTTCCGCGCTTCTGCCTCGAGCTTATCCCTCTTGTAACTGCTTTGACGCTTCCCTTTCAATTCTTCACTTAATAATAACAAAGCATTGCTCTTCACTTTTCAAATAATTAGTATCTGCCTTGTAAGACGGCCCACATGAGCCATATAAAGTCCTTGTTGGTGCTTTCAACTGAAGGCGCTGATCGAACGACCCAGGCAGCCAAGCCAAGCATCACAGACCAGGCATACACGCGCCGCAATACTTGAATAACAAACGGTTTCTGCTTCTCTTGAACCAATTTACCTGTTCCTGAAGCTGTTGCATTGGGCACCTGTGCGGGTGTCTTTGGTTGTTTTGGTTCAGCAATCTTGCTCGACTTGCGTGATTTAGGGGCGCCAAAGACGAGTATATCCACGAGAATGGCTGGTCCTTGCAGTACAAAGAACAAAAAGACGCGCATGCGCAAGACGGGCTCATTCAAGGCACCTACCACGAACCAGTGGTAGAGTCCTGAGAAAGCCATGGCTGCACACATACCAAGGGCACGACCACCAATTTTGTGACCTGGAGCATATGCGAGCTGTTTGATGGGCGAGGTGAAGAGGCCATGCCAATTGATTGTCCAAAACTCCGTCAATGATCGAGTATGGAAAAAGTGCTCTTGAAACAGAGGGATGCCAAAGGAAGGGACAAAGTAGAGACCACAAAACATGGCGTGCAGACTTGTGATGAAGAAGAAGGCGGATATCAAGCTGGACTCCACGCGCATGTTTGGGGGTGCGCCATAGATGCCCATCAAACCCGCCAGCACGACACTCGATAGCAGTGCTTGTTGCATTGGATGCGTCGTATAGCGTTCTGCATCAATGACTGAGATGTTGAAATCCTCATAGCGCATCGTGTACGTGAGTCGAGCAGCATACTGTGCAATGCCCTTAAAAGTCTTTGGCATAACCAGAGACTTGTATAACGGGTATGCTTCCCGTTTCCTCGTGAAATGCAAGTCTGCTGCCTTCATGGCCATGACTGCACCAACAGCTCGGATGAACATGTCCACAATACGTGACTCTGGGCCGGCAATCTTGTATGCAAAGACACCAGTCAATACTGCTGCGAGTGCTAGACATTGCTTCAGTATGTAGGCGCCTTTACTCCGCGCCGCCCAGATGATGAGAAGATTCGCTGCATAGAGGAGGCCGACGCTGTTCAGGTCAATTGAAGTGCAAAGGGAGCAGGATGGCCTTACGCTGAGATGAGCGCTGTTGCGCGGAATGCCGATAGCGTGTCTCGAATGTACATTCAATGGGTTGACCTGCGAAGAAGAACTGCAGCAGGGCCGTCTATAGATGAGGTACACTGGTCTTGTGGATGGCAGGTCAAAGTTGGTTTCTGGGGCCGCTCCCGCAAACGCGTCATGGGCTGGCTGACAGCTGCCTGACATTTCATTTGGAGCTAAACTGCAGATTCAGTGTAGAATCAGTAGATCCACTAGTATTAGTCTAGTATTGATGAAAAGGCCAATTGTCACAGTAGCATGACAACATTGAGTCATATAGCAGACCAGAGCATAGCACGGGTAGACAACTCCAATTACACTTAAAAAGTACAGATACACGAAAGACTACAGGCGGCGTCAGACCGCCTCACACAGGTCACGCCACAGGCCTCACAAACTCATCCACCACAGGCTGGCGCTCACCAAACTTCTCAAGCCCCTTGACAGCACCGACCCACTCCCAGGCCCTCAGCCATTCTCCTTGGATCTCTGCCTGTGTGGCGCGCACATTGCTGTTGGCTTCAACGACCTTCCCCACCTCATGCCAAAGCCTCTCGCGTTCTTTGTAGGAAAACTCATCCTGTAGCACTGCATCACGCAATTGCGATACACCCAAGTGCGGCTCGAAGCGCTCATTGTCAATAGATTTGGCCTTGGCCACTAGCAACTCCTCATAGACCAATGCCACGAGCTGTGCAACACGAGCACGCAACACATTCCTGCTCTCAAAGAAGTGCTTGAGATACAAGACGCCGAGCAAGAAGGCTAAAAGGCCAGTAGCTTCGAGACGATATCTGGCCACGACGCGTCTGAAGCTGCGTTTGATGCTGCAAGTGAAGGGGAGGTTGGCGAGGGAGGTACTGTGATAGTAGTGCGTGATGTGATGGTCAACCTCGCCGAGTCCCTCGTAGGTTGGCTCGCCCTGAGGCTGTCTTTGGTTAGCGTTCATCAAGGAAACGTGAGAGGGTGGTCCTTACGATGACGATACTTCGACTTCATCACGAGCAATAGCATCTTTCAGTGCCGGCGCAAAGAGAGCATCGAATTGCTCATTCGACATGGTTGCTGACTTCTTGGAGAGCAACGCGCTGTACAGATCCATATCTGTCATCATCAAAGTCTCAGTCGGCGTGGCATACCCACACTCCACAGCAGCAGCGCGATCGCGCATTGTCTCAACAATTTCATTGGCAACCACCTGAATTTTGCGTAGCTTCTCCGTATCTGGCACGCATTGCGGGCTCAATGGCAATAAACCACCAAAAGAGAGTGGATGCTCCATCTTGGTGAACTCATCCTCACACGACATCCGGAAGCCAGGGCTGCAGATGGCATGCGGCGGACAGGGCAGACAATTGGGACGCACTTGCTGGATGAAGTCTTGAAATGAAGTTGCATGCGGAGGTGGCATGAATGGCTTCGAGTCAATATCGCACCATCCAGCAGCAATCTGCTCGCGTCTGTACCAGCCGGCACCATACAACGTACTTGCAGTGAGTGCTGAAATGCTCAAAAACTTGAGCATTTTGAGCACTGCACCGGGCTCGTCTTGAGTACGGGGACGATCAAGGGTGGCTGCCTCTTCTGGTGTAAACTCTTCCGTAGTTAGCAATTGGTCTTCAGCTAAGGCATTCTCTTTTGCGCGTTGCGCAGCAGACTGAAATGCAGGAGATGCAAGCAGTGAGCCAATAGGTGGCATGAAGCGTTCCTTGGCAACAGGCGTCTTGGCCGAACGCACACTCCCGGCGTTGTGGTGAGCAAGAGCAGGGGCCATCTCCGTTTGGCGACGATTGCTGGGTGGTGCCAATTTGGGAGCAGAGCTCATGATGCTAGTCTGACGGCGTTTTGTAGATCCACCGTGCAAATTGGGCGACCCACTCTGGAATGGATTCTCGCTGGAAAAGGCAGCGTCTTGCTTGGCATCTTGTTTCCTGTCCTGCACCTCTGAAGCATCGGTCATGTCTTCATCTGCTTCAGAATCGGTGACTTTGGTCTTTTTGGGAGAAATGCGCACAGATATCTTCCTCGGAGTCGGCTTGATTGACTTGCGAGGCGATGGCTTTGCCACGGGCATTGCCTTGTCATCGGTCGTCTCCATCTTGGTGGACTTGCGCGGAGACCGCTTGATGGTCGGCGGTGCATCATCATCTGAGGTCTCCATCTTGACGGACTTTCGAGGCGAACGCTTGATGGTGGGTGGCTCATCGTCATCAACTTCCATGCGCATGGATTTACGCGGTGACGTCGACTTTTTGAGTGTCACGGGAATGCGGACTTCATCGTCCAGCTTGGCAGACTTGCGTGGCCTGCCTACAGACTTGGTCACGGTGGTAGATTCTGGTCCAGTCAACTCGTCTTCATCGCTGCCAATGGCATGCTTATGCGGGAGTTTGCGACGCGGCGTCTTTGCTGGAGTTTTAGCGGGCGTCTTTGAGGCGTCTTCAATGACATTGCGTGCCCGGCCAGGATTGATCTGCTTTGCCAAGTACGAGTCGGTATTGGGAGAGACATGCTCATTGAAGTACTCGACCAGCTCTGCCTTCTTGGCGGATGATTTCTATCGGGTCAGCTGTTGATTCGAGCAGCTCTTTGAAGTTCTTTACAAAATCCACTTCGTGCAAAGTAAGGATGCGTCGGAGATCTGCCACTTTCAAGGTAGAGGGATCGAAGCCCTTCTCCAGATAGCCCAAGTCAGCTAGCTCCATTGCCGGGTGTGTTGTAGAACTGGTTGGTGCTGTCTGGCTCTTTTGTTGTTTGTTTTGGCCGCAGCTGCACGTGAATCGAGCTACACCACAAAACAGTCAAGACTGGCACAGGTTACTTGAACAAGTTGGACTGTTGGAGGCCTTCTCATGAGTCATGATCCTAGCTGCTATATGTATAGTGGTAATAATGCGTGTTCATGCTATCGCTATGATCTAAATGTATAAGACTCCCTACAAAGTGTTCCACCCTCCAATCCCAAAGTCCGTAGAGCTCATATCAAGCTTCTTGGCCAACCACGTCGGAATCTGATGTTGCGTATACAGCTGAGCAATACCCATATCATAGCGACGTTCATTCAGGAACTGCGGTTTTCCTCGCTTCATATCAGGGTCCGTCTCGCCGTGAATATCGAGATACGGAGCAGATCCGAAACTGCCAAGTTCATGCCGCATAAAGACCATGACACAACGCTTTGGGATGAAAAAAATGCCGAGCGCTCCTCCGCACTTGCGACGGTGCGTGGTACATTCTCCAGCAGCTAAATTATCGTCCCAGCAGCAGTGTGATTGGAAGCAAACAAACTCGCCACAAAGCATGCACAGAGCAGGCTGCGGCGGCGTCGTCTTGCATTTGGGGCAAACATACTTCTGACAGTACTCGAGCAGTGTATCCAGCGATTTTGGCAGCGGTGACAAGGTGAAGGGAAGAGGATGCGACAGATGCAGTAGCGTGACCGTCGGTGCCTCGACAGCCACACGCTCAAAGTGAAAAATCCAATGGGCCGCCAGGCTCTTCCCTGACCAATTGATCATTTCAAGGACAGTGCCAACGCCCAGGAAGGAACTCAAATGATCCAGCTCTGACAGACCATCGGGTCGCTCCAAGGGGAACGCCAAACCAAGCACTGTACTAGCCAGAATGCTTGCTTTGCGCAGGAATGCAAGTGCATAAGCCTCGAGCAACTCCTTCCTCCGGTTGGCAGGGTGCTTGTCGGAGAGTGCGAGGACATCTTTATGGAATGCCAGAACCTTGACGAGCTCGACAGCATAGAAAACGCGAAGCACTTCTTTGAAAGAGAAGTTCTTCACGCGCAGCAGCATAGTTACCTCAACAAGAACACTGAAAGCATCTTGTGCCATAATTGGCGTGCCGACAACACCTCCACCATTGATGCCGGGCTGTACAAAGAGGCTCTTGTGGATTTCTTCGAGTCTCTGGATTGGGTTGCCTGCATGCTCATCCCCGTCTTCTGCCCGAGGATCAGGACTGGCGCCGACAGAGTAGTATCCGAGGGCAAGAAACTTCTCAATCAAGCTGCATTGCGCACGCAAGGACAATGCGTTGTTGTCAGAAAGCCCTTCGATGAGTGTCGCCACCGGTGTTTCTTTATTGTCGTTGTGCGTTCGACCGCGAAGTGCCACCTCAATATCGACGATGGTTGCCGTAAACACCAGAAGCTGCTGCAAGTAGTTCACTGGAGAACTCGAGTCAATGCCTCGATCTCCTTGTGACCGATTCGTGCACCATTTGGTCAGCGTTCCCATGTATTGCGTGTATGAACCTGGATTGATGGATGTGGGCTTGTCCAATGTCTCCTCCTGGCGAGCCTTGCGAAGCGCGTATCGTTCCCTGAGCAAATCAATCGTTACACCTTTCGCAAGCTGATCGGCAGCCCATCCAAGATCAAGATCCCAATCGCCCATCTCGTTCGATGGCAATTCTGGCAAGACATCACGAGATTCAGCCATGATGGGTAAGAAAAGGTTGCCAGTGGCTTGGCACAACGGACAGCGGAATTCAATACGCTCAGTCACGTTGCGGCCAAGTTGTGTATAGCGCAAATGACGCTGCTTGACGGTCTCATAAAAGGTATTGTAGCACTCCCAGTGCATGAGATGACCGCACGTCGTGATTGAGTCCTTGGCAACCGTAGGTTGATGTTCACTTACTGGCACCCACTCCAAATACTCATCAAGCTTCAGTGGCCGCTTGAATCTATCTCCTGGAGTGCCGCCAGGCTTTGGAGTCGACCGATCAAGCCTTGTTTCATGGAGGCAGCCGAGCACTCCATAAGTCTTGGCCGATGACAAATCTTGCTGGCACACCAGACAATTGCCTTTTGGAAAATACCAAGCATCGTCTGCTTTGATGTCTTCTTCCTCTTCATCATCGTCTACTTGGTTCAGGTCCATGAACGCATTCTGTGAGGCTTGCATGTCCTGAAGCAGCTTTAGCTGTCGGGCTTTTGCGAGAGCCTTTTTCCTTGCCACTTCATCTTCTTGGGGCACTTCCAATGGTGGATCACCGGGATCTGAGTCTGTTTCCGATGCATCGAGCTCGCCAAGCAGACTATTGATGTAAAGAAGCTTTGTGTGATGAGCTTTGAGCAATGGATTGAGATGCAACCGAGCTTCAGTGAGATAATTGAACACCGTCCAGTCCTGTTCAAGAAGCTGTGGCGGCAGGAATAGCGAATCTCGCATCATGTCTTCGTGTAGCATGAGGAGAATTAGCTGCAGGAACTTGTCCGTTACTCCCTCCAATGATGCCACTTGTGCAGCTGGACACGCGGTCAAGCCAATAAGGTACTCTGTCAAATAAATCTGCACCGTTCTGGTCAGTGCGAAATTCTGCAGACCATTCCAAGAATCTGGAAGTAGCTCGAGCTCAGGAACGACGTTGACAAACTTTCTCTCTTCGAGAGCATCTTTGACCTCGTCTATTTGCTGACGCGTATAGCGGTAGAAGTAAGGGTCAACTTTGGCGTATTCCTGCTCCTTGAGTACAAATTTGCCAGTATCCTCGAGACCGATAGGCGCACGGAAGTGGGCTAGCTCATTGAGCACACTGTCGATATGCTGATCATCGTCTTCTGCGTCAATGAGCAATTTGCTGACCTCGCTGTAAGTGATAGGTCCAAAGACTAGAGTATGCCTCAGCACACGCATAAGATCGTCCTGGCCGTCTTTCTGCACGAGCCAACCGCGCTCTGAAAAGATGACAATCAAGAAATGAGCAAAGAGGTCCATCATTTGCAGCTCGCTGTCGTCCGCTGGAAGCTGGCCAACATTACAGACATGTCGAAATTCTTGAAAGAGATTGTTGACCCGCTTGTCAGTTTGCTGTGTCATAGCATAAGGATCATCAGTCGCCGGCATGCTGGCAAAATACCATTGTATGCACTGCATATCCCGATCGAAACAGTACTCGCGGAAGCTGACGTCGGTGTAGTGATGGAGTTGGGCTCGCAATGAATGACCGTTGCGCACCCAGTAACCCGCCCGAATCTCCCACGTCCATTCCACAGTTCGCACAACAAAACTCATGATAATATCGACGTCCTTACACTCTCGTCGTGGAACGACAAAGTTGCCACCTAATTGCGCATATTGTGCAAGAAGACCTGCCAGAAGCCAATGGAGCGGGTGATGGAAGCTATTTGCATCAATTGCTGGCTCGAAGAGCGGCATACGGTCTGCTGAGCCACCATATGCCCATGCTAGCAATCGTTCGTAGAGTGACTGAAGTGCAGCGTGTGTCTGCTCCTTGGTCGCATGAGCAAAGGTATTGGCAAACAACTGCGCGTGCTTTGCGACCTGCATCATCATATTGAAAGCATTGATCCAAGTTTCAGGCTCGTATTCAACGTGCTCTCCAATGACTTGCTTCTGTGGATTCATGCCTTGAAACAAGGACATGAAATCAAAGAGCTGCTCCTGTACGTCTCGCATACCGGGAATGAGTCGCTGAATCCCCTTCGTCTGCAGCAAGTAGCGTAGATCATTGATGAGGTGGTAGTGACGACGAGAGCGGAACGAATAAATCTCGCTCGCTATCACGCTCTTTGTGTCAACCTGATGCGCAAAGCCAATTTTCTTCGTGGTGAAATATGCATAGATGGCTGCCAAGAGCGTTGTGAAAAATTCGTGTTCTCGTACCAAGCACTCTGAGATGGAAGGTACCGTAAAGAGCTGAACGGAAAAGATGATCATGGATGACTCGGGGTCGCGATCCGCAAACAGGTAAATCTCCGCCAGAGTCTTGTAGATAGTCGCAAAAGTGATGCCCATCTGGCGCTTGAATTGCGGAATCGAAATCATAGTTGAAACATACAGTTCACGCACAGAGAGCCGCGCGCTCTTCCATAGACGGAGATCGACAAGGAAGAGTTTTGCAAGACGAGACTTCTGGATGCGACTAGGAGCCTGATGATTTCTCCAATGAGGGGGACAGAATGGCTCGTACGCTTCAGCAGATTGTGTCTCAGTAACATCCGGTTGAGCAACAACGAGACCTTGTCGAGCGCGTGATGCATTGACTACACCCATGATCTCAGCCCGTTCATCTGGTTCCATGCGAGCGATTTCCTGCAGCAGATTATCGGCACCTATTGTCAGCAAGATCGTAGAAAAGGCATCTTACCAAGCTCGATTGCTTCCTCCAATTCATCATTTTCCATATCGTCTTCATCCTCATCATCGTCGTCTGTTGGATCATCCTCCAGAGGCTGCTCCATCGACCCAATCTGTGCCCCTTTGGGAACGCCCACTTGCCAGTCCTGCAAAAGCTCTTCACAAATGATTTCGCAAAAGACCATGCTGTTGCGTTCATCGCCCACAAGAATGCTGAGACCAGCCAAGTCGAGAAGAATCTCAAGAAGAGCATGGCTGACTTGCTCACGGAAGACATCGCGTGATGCTCGCACTGTAACACCAAGTCTGATTCGTCCAAGGGCTGTGGCGATGCGCACTGCTTCTGACAACGACCCACTAAAGACAACCGCGCGACCAAGCGCATCGACTGTATCTGCCACTTCTTTACCAAATGCCCGGGTACGCTTGCATGATCGCTTGACAAGGTCAATGACTTCTTCGAAACTGTGCTTTTCATCGTTCCACAGTACCGTGGCGAAATGGGTCTCGGCTGCGTGCGCATCAAACTCTTCGCCGATGAATGTGCTTGCCTCTGCATCTTGCAAGACGGCTGCTTCTGAAGGCGGTATGACGGATTCCTTGGCATGTTCAAACGTGTTGAGCAAAAAGTCGAGCATGGCCACCACCATCGTCCGCAAGTGTTCCTTCAACGCTGGGTCGACAGGAGGATTGTGCTGCTCCACTTGAACATCTGAATGATGGATAGAGCACTTCATCTCCGCATTCCAAGCTTCTGGATCACCACAGTCACAGCAGCCTCCATGACCGCCATTGATGGAAAGAGTTACATCATGGCCAGTGTGGTCGGAAGCGCGGTAACAGCGCGCGCACATGACACAAGTATTGTCTAAGCCGCAGTCACGACATCGGTAGACTGTCTCGTCTGTCGTGAACATATGGCTACAAGGGCGACCGCGCGCAGACTTGCTGTATTCATCCTCTTCCACATTGCCTTGCTGTTTCGAGAAGGCCTTGTCCAATTGAATTCCTTGCTCCGCCAAGAGTGCTGCTGGGAAATAGTGGTTTCCGTGAGCCATCAGTTCGGCGTAGACGAGCTGTCGCAGCACGCGCATAAGTCCATCAGCATCGAAGGGCCAGCCGATTTCCCATGTGGGTCCACCTAATGCCCGTAGTTGTTGCGAGAAGGATATGCTGGACCGTTTCGGAGCACGATCGTCCGCTTCAGACATCTGCGACTGCCTGCGCCGGCGTTTCGAGCTCAAGTCGGTAATGATGAGGATGCTTCAGACGCTTTGTATGCCTGCAACGACGCGCTGCTCACTTGCGCTGACGTCTTGCAAAGGAAGGTGATCAGATGGCAAAAGTCATAGCAAATGTGCAATCGAGCCTGTCGAGGCGATGCTAAAGCTACAATGTAGATGCAAGAGTCGATTCACTGATTGAAGCTAGTCTACAGCATAGTCTTGGGTATCTGGCGTTGGATACACAGTGATCCGTTGTCACCGATGGCGAACAAAAAGTCAAAAACAAAGCTAGATGTCGGACTCGAACCAACGACCGCCTGATTTGCAATCAGGAACGCTAACCGCTGCGTCAATCCAGCCATGTGCTGGGCGGAAGCTGTTGGTAAAATATAAATGGAAACGCAAATTTCATATTTTCAGATGGGTTATCTAGGGCTTCGAACAAGATCAGCTACCCAATCTACGGATGGTTTTTAGCAAGTGCTAAAGCTGTGCAAGGCGAGACTAGACTTCATTCGATTCAGCTTGTTCTACCTTCAAATACAATCGACAGCGAAAACTTTCATAGACATACACACGTCTCCATCAGCTTGGTCAAGGACCACTGCATCGTGTGTGAGGCGTCATGAGTCGCAGACAGTTTATAAAGTAGGATCTATGAATCTCGCTCCAGCGAGGTCGAATGGTCTTAAGACTAACTCCACTCAAGCTTGCTTGCAACAACTTGCTCGTTACCATGTCATGGCAGACAAAGAACCTGGATATAAGGCCATAGGCTCGAATTTCGTGGTCCTTCACTTCCTCAAAATATCGGCTCGAATCCGAAAGTAAAGTTGAGCGGAGGAAGCTCTTCCATGCTCTTGCCTGCTGCATTATTCTTCTCAAAAGGCAGCTCTGGGAGCTGTGCTTCGAATGACGGTGCATTAGCAGCCGTATTAGAGAATGCCTGTTGCACTTCCTTGTCATCCGGCTGCTCGGCTACCGCAGCGCCAGAACTAATAACCTGCGCCGTCGTATAATCAGCTTGGTCTTCCATTTCTTTACAAGCCTTGTCGATCACACCATTGAGAGATTCCTCTTCACTCACCAGACTTGCGAGCGAGACTGGGGACACATTAGCATCTGGTGATATGGGCTCTCGGAATTTTGGAACGGGCGTCGTTGATCGACGACGGACTTTGGGTGGGTTGAGCTTGAGAGGTGGCGTGGAATAATTGGCCTCCGGGGTAAAGCCTTTGGTAACAATCTTGGGCTCCAGCATCACACTCGTCTGGCTGCCTTTGCCCGTATTCACACGAGAGCTGACCACAGAGGGTGACGTTGCTGATGGACCAAGAAGACAGGGCTCTGTCAAAAGCGGTACTTCCGGTATTGATTGTGCAGCAGAATCATTGAATTCCGCTAGTCGAGTCAGCGATGATTGTGTTACGCCAGAGAAGCTCTTTGAACGGCGGCGTTCACGCAGCTTTGCTTGAGCATTACTGTGTTGCACTGCTACCTCTCTACCCGGCGGCATCGGTGTCCCAAGCATAATGCTATCCGCCACGAGCCTTGCAATATGTCTAGGTGGCCAGGGAGCCAGTGTCAGATCCACAGCACTCTCCGTCACAGCTGTTGGTAGGACACGAATGAAATCATTTCTGCCTGTGCTCGAGGTTGCAGACCTGCTCTTGGTCGAGTAGCAAGGAGGGATAGATTTGTGCTCGCCACGCTGGAATGCAGCAGGTGACTCCAATCCAGTGAGTGATCCGTAACGAAAATTAGAACCGCTGGAGGTGGTAGAGGCCACAGTCGACGCCTGTGAGGACATGCTTTGGTGAGACATGATGTGTCCAAAGCGAGCAGGGTTCGAATGCTTGTCGCCATTGGACTCGTTGTTCGACCACCCTGACCGACCGCGGCCCTGACTGCTCTCTCCCTGCCGAAAAGCACCACCTGACTTGGTAGACGCTGCCGTCGATGTTCGAGATTGTGCAGTCTCATAGTCAGTTGCATCCAAGGAGGTGGTCGTTGCTGGTGAAGATTCTCGCGAGGTCTTACCCAGCGCAACCGTTGCTTGAGAACTGCTACTCTGGCCATCATCAGGAGTGGCCAGTGCTTCTGGCGAGACAGACTTGGTCCAAGCAAGACCACGCAATGAATCCAACTCTTGCTTAAAACCACTCAAGTCCAGCTTGAGCGTCCGTAGCATCTTGACGGAATCGCTTAGGTCAACATTAGATGGCAGTAAGGCCCGCATGGCAATAAAGTCTGTCTGCAAAGCAGCAAGTTCTGCGCGGCAAGCAATCAAGTCTTGTCTGAACTTGTTCCCTAATTCTTGATTGCGACGGGCCAAGCAGTTTGCCATGTCAATCTCCTTGCGCAGTCTTGCCACATCATCAACGGTATTACTTGGTGGTACTGCGGGCAAAGTTGCAGAAGGAGGCTGCCTTGACAGTGTGCTCGCCGTGGAATCCTTTCTGATGCACGTATCGATGCGCATGTCTTCTGGCTCGCTCGAACGCGACGAACGAAAATCATGTTGCGCAGGAGATTCTGTCGTTAGCCTGGTTGGCTTGTGGAGGTTCAAACCCTCAGTTTCAAGCTCAGCCGGTTTGGGCGGCAGTGCCTTGGTCAGCCTGCTACGCATCTTTCTCATGATGCTTGTATTAGCAAAAGAGTGCTGGCGGTTGACGGCAACTTGGCGCTCATGCTGAAGACAATCTTGCTGGTTCAGGAGTAGATTGACAAACATCAAGCTTCATTTGCTTCATGCTCCTCAGCCGGTTCAATCTTAGCCTTTTTGGCGAAGCCGTCAAGAGATTGCTGTCCACGCTTCTTGCCACTCTTGACAGGAGACTCAGGAGACTTGGTCTTGCCGATTTGCGGACTATCGCCGTAGAGCTTCGCGTCGTAAGCTTCCTTCATCCCAGCAAGTGCCACTTTGGCTTGCTCTTTTTCATCAAAGATGCGCTTTGGATAGTCTTGGCCAAGAATGCATCCAGCAGCTTTCATATCAACCTTACTCATCAGCCAAGGCTCGTAGATGTACTTGTCAGGCACATTTTTAAGCTCCGGAACAAACTCGCGGATCAATGCACCACTCTTGTCCCACTTCTTGCCAAATGCCACAGGACTGTAGACACGGTAGTATTGCGAGAAGAAGGCTGTGCAGGATAGCCATTGCCAATTTCCGACGTTGCAAGCAGTCTCGTGATCAATCAAAAGCTCTTCGAAAACTTGAGCACCTTTTTCCCATGCAATATAACAGTGTCCGCGTGTCAAGAAGCAAGCGACTGAATGCCGTGCTAAGTGGTGAATCCATCCATCTCTTCGCAACTGGCGCATGATAGCGTCAATCCATGGGAAACCTGTGCGGCCGTGCGTCCAGGCCTCGAGCCATGCCTCTGCTTCTTCGTCTGGCTCTTGTAGCAGCCTCCAGGGGATGTATCGGCAGTGTGCATTGCCTAGCGTTTGTTCAAAGTTGTCAATGCCGCATTGCGCAGCAAAGTACATGTCTCTAAAGAGCAACTGTCCTTCGAGCGAAGCCGGTGGCTTTGATGCACCAGAGCCATAAGCTTTGCAAACATCCATGACGCGCCAGTAAAAGGTGCGAATAGATAGAGATCCAAAATGCAGATGTGGAGAAAGCAGGGTCGTCTCTGGTGGATGGAAGACTCCGGGATTTGTCTTGGGCTTTTCAAAGGTAGCTGTCTTCTTCTTGTCCGCCATGTATGCTTCCAGTGCTTCCAATGCCAATGTTTCGCCGCCTCGATAAGGCCCTTCGGCTGGCTTAATGTTAATTTCCTCCATAGTAGGCACTGAATAGTCGCCATTCGGACCAGCAACTTGATCGTATGAAGTGACTCTACCATCGCCGCGAGCTGGCTCATTCAAATCTGGAGCGTCTTGTATCTCGTCCTTGGGTGCTTCCAACTTTGTATCACCGGCAGAAGGTAGCGATGTCGGCGCTTCGATAGGTCTCGGTACAGGACCAATTTGTGATCCAAGCTTTTGGACCGCTGCTAGGGTCATGACTGGCTTTCCACCATGAACCTTGTTCAGCTCTATTGGATCCCACAGAGTTCTACCGAGCTTTGAGACAACTTTGACACCAAGCTTTTCAGCCATTGCTCTCACTTGTGTATCACGAGAAAGCGCGTATGTGTCTGTGTCTTGCTCAAAGACCAGATGCGTAATCTTCCAGTCTTGAAGGGCTTGCTTGAGTACATTCAAGGGGTTGCCTCGCAGCACGAGCAATCCATTGGATCCAGTCAGCTTCTTGATGCGTTTATCGACATCGGCTTGGCAGTCAAGCAGGTATCGCCAGCGATTTGAAGAAACGCGAGCATGGTAGACATAGTGAGGATCCCATGTCCAGACGGGGTACAGGACTTCAGGCTTCAGCTCAAGGGCAGCATGCAGAGCAGGAGAATCATGCAAGCGTAAATCTGTGCGGAACCAGTAAATGACTCGAGCTGCACCCATCGTGTAGCACCTTGGATGTGTAGTCCTTGAACAGATCATCTGCTGCAGGGGTGATGATGTAACGGCAGCGGCCAACTCCAGATGGGACGGCACCGGGAATATTTTGGCGGCACGGACTTAACAGCATCCGCAAAACAATCACAGCACCAACCTACTCATCAGCATGTCTCTTGTGGCCACGCTCCCGGATGATAAGCTCGAGATTCTCAAGACAGCATGGACGCAGCTCTTCACGCGTCTCACCAACGACAGCACCACTTTGTCGCACTGGCAAACGACGTTTCCCGATGAAGCGTCTAGCACGCCAGATGAAGCCTCAAAACACATGCTTTATGAGCTGTTCGACCTCGCTGCGTTTGATGATATGGATCATACCATGCTGCGGTACCTCAGAGCGCGAAAGTACAATGTTGACGCTGCGCTCAAGATGATGATTGACACGCTCATTTGGCGAAAGACTATGGATATCCGTAAAATCATGCAGGAAGGTGAAGAAGCGCTTGAGAATAGACTGGTGGATGCTGGAATGTACTTTATCTGGGGACAAGACAAGCAAGGCAGGCCGATTGTCTTCCTGAATGTCGGCAGCTTCTTGCCAACGCACAACAAGCAAGAAATTGATAGCTTCACGCGCTATCTTGTATATCACATGGAGACGGCTCGCTTCTTTATCGGCACGAAAGGTGTCATGGCCTTAGCAGATCTGTCCGACTTTGGCAAGAAGAATATTGGTATGCAAGCCACCATGTAATGACCTTGCTAACAGCAGATATGGAGATGGCCAAAGTGTTTGCCGCACTGTTTCAGAACCACTACCCAGAAATCCTCGGCCAGGCACTTGTTGTTGGCAGTGGCTTCAAAATGATGGTCTTTGAAGGTGCATACTCTGTCATCAAGATGTTCCTCGATCCTGAAGTACGGCGAAAGATTGCCTTCGGCAAGACAAAGGATATTCCAGACTACATACAAGCCGACTTCATCCCGACTTCGCTCAACGGTACATTCGTGGAGAAGAAGATTCGGCAAGAAGCACCAGCGGCGAGCCCGCCGCGTGAGGTTGATGTGGTGGCACTGAAGCAACGTCAATCAGAGGCCATCACCGCCTTCAAGGACTTGCCGTGGGGCGCACAGAGAGATGCTAAGAAGCTGGAGCTGCGCAAACTCTGGCTCGACATGGCTGCGTCAAGACCGCAAAACCTCTACCAGAGACTAGGCCTCATTACAGAAGAGGGCGTCAACTGGGACAGGGCATTACAAACAAGCAAATAGATGGGCAATGCATGAAGGTTAATCAACAATTCTTCCTCGCTTGCCATGTGTCTGGCCTTGTTGGCTTCGGCTTCGACCATTGACAAGTATTTGCCGCTAATGCGAGACAACATGTGCGACGTGTGCGGTTTCTTATACTTGTCAGTCTCCCGCACTGTTCAAGCAAAGTATAACGGCCTCCGAAACTGTGATCGTTTAAGCGACATGGTCGGGCGTATCTGCAACAACCAAGCAAATACATCCGCTTGGCTGTCTGGATATTTCAGCGCTGAAGCTCATGACGCGATTGACGACATGCCTTTTGCGCTCTACGGCCTAAGTACCTTTCAAGACGTCGATAAAGTCATGATAGAGTTCCTGCTATGCGAATCTCGACAACCAAAGGACTTGTCATCTCCAAAATAATATTAATTGCAGCCATGTGAGCATTCTCGACCATAAAAGCCACGGACGAGCGTAATGCCAAGAAGGAAGACTTCGAGACCTTGTGGTGGGATTTAGCTAAAAAAAAAGCTACGTCGTATTCAGCTCAACTACTGTCCTCCATTATAAGAAGGAAGCAAAACAGAGAACCTTCCGCACAAGGTGCCTCCAGCTCTCCACGCAGAACAACGCTTTAGTGCCGTAAGGCAAATTGGCTGGTCATAAAAGACACAGCATATCTCGTCACTCCCAGTGCTAGTCTCAATAGTGATGCTGTTCCCCAGCGTATTTGTAGTAAGGATTGCCGTAGCAAGCCTACCACAAGACCAGACAGGCTGGCCAGCGCAATGCTTTTTCGAAAAAACCCCGAAAAAAGCTTCGAAGCAAGCCGTTTCGACTAGTATGGTGAGATCCACTCATAGTGAGAGCGAGAAGGGGACACTCCCAAAGTGGGCATGCTAGACTACGCGGTCGAGAAACAGCGTATCGGGGCCGGCACAAGAAGAACGAGGGCTCCAATCGGGGACCAGGCAGAACCCCGACCGATTTGATAATCAATGCCGCAAGGGCCGGCAATGATGCAGTAGGTGGTCGTTATATGCCATAAAGTAAACTGGAGGGAGCTGTACGCTTTGACCGCATGCGGCAAAGGTACAATAAGCTCAGATGAGACCTCCGGGGCGAGTGGCTCGACATTTTCAATGACACGCCACCGGATCTCCTTGCACGCAAGGGACTTGTAAAGGACAACATTGTAAATCAGTGTATACTACATTGCCTGTGGGCACTAATTCGTAAATGTATCTAGCAGGCACGACGGTAGAAGTTCTTCTTATACTTGTGGTGCTTGTACTCTGTAGTGATACACCGAGTTACAATATTGTCCTTCACAAACCCCTTGCGTTTACTAATTTGTAAATGTATCTAGCAAGCACGACGGTAAAAGTTCTTGTGATGCTTGTGGTGTTGCTTGTACTCCTCAGTGCCAGCTTTCTTGCCCTTATGACCTGGTTGCTTGGCTGAGCCCTGTGCAGCATCGATACTGCCAGCAAAGGCATTCAAGTCAACCGTGTCAGACTCGATCAAAGTCTCGACCGTCTCAATCACATCTTTGACAAAGCGGTCCAAGAGTGCGGTGTGGAACGATTCGCGCACAACGACACGCAGTACCTCAACTTTATCTGCTGTTGGTGGCAAGGAGTAGTTTGGCGTGATCCACTGCTTGACACGCATAAAAGTCGAGATGGCAGCCTGTTTGACATGTGGGTACTTCTTGCTGAACTCGTCCGTCAACCTGAATGCCACGACTGGCAGTGCAGGATTGAAATCTCCAGGGTCGACATCGCCAGCGACCTTCTCAGATCCATCAGACAGCGCTTTTGTATTATACAAAAATTCGCCCTTCTTGCGGTGCACGTCCGAGACACATTCAAAGTAGCCAGTTGCCTCAAGTGCAACAGAGAGAACTCGAGCGTTTTCCAAGTCAGCGAGTCCAATTTGCTTGTAGCCCTCAAAGCCTAAGCGCAAAAAGTTGTAGTACTGAGCAATGACTGTGGCACCGCCCCTGGAAAAGTTGAGGGTGTAGGATTCTTGTGTTGAGCCGAGATAGTGCAATTCAAAGACAAGTTCTTTGGGTAGCTGGTCTTCGTCACGGAAGATGAGCCAGCCGAGACCAGCGTATACCAGACCATACTTGTGACCAGAGGTATTGATACTCTTGACGCGAGGAATCTGAAAGTCCCAGACATGTTCAGGTGTGACGAATGGCGCCACAAACCCGCCCGAAGCTGCGTCAACGTGAATAGGAATGGAAATGCCTGTCTCCTTCTCGTACTCATCCAACAAGTCAGATACAGCTTGCACATTCTCGTAGGTGCCAGTGTAGGTGGAACCAAGAATGACAAAGACTGCAATCGTGGTTTCATCGAGCTGTTCTTTGATTTTGTTGATGTCCAACACATAGCACGACTCTTTACAAACAGGAATCAAACGGTTCTCAACCTCAAAGTAACGAGCAAACTTTTCAATGGCGACTTGAGCATTGGATCCCATAATGCAAGAAGGCTTGGCTGTCGATTTACCGGCAGCTTCTTGACGTTTTTGCCAACGCTTTTTGGCAGCAAGTCCAGCCAGCATAATGGCTTCAGATGAGCCAATGGTGGCTGTACCAAAAGCCTTGCCAGGCGGTCCATGCCAAAGGCCAGAAATCATAGACACGCATCGAGCCTGCATGTCAAGCATTGCGGGATATTCATCCTGTCGTTAGTCAGAACTAGAGTGCTTGAGGCCTTAAGTCTTACCATGTCTGAGAGGTTCTTGGCAATGTTCTCTACCATGAGCTTGTCGGCTTCGGGTTCCATGTACGTGTGCACAAATGATGCCAAATTAAGATTGGTTCGGCCATCAAAGTCAAGCTCATCGTGAATCAATTGGTAGCAGGCAGCCGCAGGAGAGCTTCCTTGGGGAATCTTCCACTTTGGCAAGTCTTCAAACTGAGCTGTTAGCAGTGCATTAGGTTTAGCAATGGCCGTACCGCCTCGTAACGACCCGAGTAGGGTGTAGAAAGGACATTATTGGATTCGGCCAGGACCTGCTGAGCCCGGTTACCACGAGCGACTTTGAGCACCTCGTCTGCGTCAACGTGCTTGTGAAGAACCATTTTGCCTGCTCACAAAGGTGTAGGAAGGGTAATGAAGAGGAAGTGAAGAGGAAGTCGTTGCTGGGACTTCCTTTGGCGGGGCCTGACGTCAGAAAGCTCGGCATATCTAGGCGATCAGATGGCGGCAGATTGAAAAACTATGGCAAAGGGGTTATACCGTTCTATACGGCTCAAGCATGTCTAGTGGCACGCGGCGAATGATCCAGAGATGTGCGTGGATACTCAGACTCACTGCCATTGGTAGACAAGCTCAAATGCTTCTCTAGGCGGTCGTCGTCAGGCACACCTCTCGTATAGCTTGTCGGCTGTTCGGCAGAAAGAGCCTGGTAGCTGACACCATCGCGCTTGACAGACGTATCAATAGGAGCAGACACAAGCTGTGCTCGACTTGTGAAGCCTTCTTGCAGCGGCAGACCCTCTTCCAAGTGTTGACTTGCACGGTTCTTCTTCAGCTTCTTCTGCTTGATCCATGGTAGAATCGCATTGTAGATGAGGAGAACGGCGAGAACAGCCGTCAATATCGATTGAAGGGCAATCATAACAACAGAAGCAACTGACTTCGTCGTATCTGCAATGCCCAGTACGTCAACAAAGATGAGCGTACCGACGAGTGTCAAGATGCGCACAACGCTGATGGAGACGTTGACCACATTTGCCTTCTTTCCGTCATAGGCACGCGTTGCAAAGAGAAAGACAATCATGAGAACTTCGCATGCAAGCTGTCCGATGACTTGTACCAGCCCATGTCCATCTCCAAGGGCAATGAACATTGCTTTGGCGACCGAATAGAGGATACACGGCACAAAGAACCACCAGAATTCTTTCCGAAACTGGTCATACAGAAATCCATACTTTTGAAGACTTGGTTTGTCTTCGTAGAGTCTACTCGCGCCGAGACCAAGCTTCTTTGCATGTTGGGCAATTCGTGTGACTTGAATGGTAAAGAAGAGGAGAATAGCTGTAAAGATGGTGAGACTTGCGCCTGCCAAGATGGTGGCCGCCCAACTGTCTCCATTCTTGAATTGATAGAGGCAAAGTAGCGTCCAAGTGCCGTAAATGATGAGGATTGATCTGACAAGTAAGCCGGCAGTCTCGGTCCAGAAGTTGAGGCGAAACGTCTCCAGAACTTTTGGCAACTTGCGACCTTTTGACCACAACTCAAGCACACCTTTAGCCAAGAAACAACCTGCTAGTAATGCGCCCAAGACACTCATAAAGATGATGAACATGGTCATGAATGTGTTCTCCGATGGCACCCTGATTTCCTCAACATAAGCTTGGATACCATTAACGACCTTGGAAGCCTCCTCTCTCTTGTGTAGCTCGGAGCCGCGGATTAGGTTTTGCCGCATGAGGATATCATACGACGACTTGTTAATATTACCGCCCGTTTCGCCACGAAATCGATCAATCGCTCGCTGCATGCCTGCGACAACAACAAAGCCATTGGACCAGGCAAAGTTCTGGGTAAAGGCCACATAAACACCTGGCGTATCCACACTGAGTGCCCCACTCCAAGAGACATCCATGAAGAAATTGAGGACGGCCATGAAACTAGGTGCACCGGCAGCAGACCCAGCCGCTCCACTTGCAGCTGCACCACCTGCTCCTGTCAAAGACGCCACACCAGAGAGGGCGAGCGCCGTCAGAGCAATACCGGCTGTTGCAACACGAGCACCAGAGTTTCTCGTTGTTTCTGTATTACTGATCTTTGCTTGCAAGCACGCAACCTCCTGTCCGTCTTGTGCATGCAAACTCAACTGTGCAAGACCCTGTAAATCGGGGACAAGCCAAGCTGCTGATGGGATCTTGGACATGACTTCATCGGGTATATGCACCGTCCCTTTCTCTTTAAAAGGTCCCGCCTGCATCGGACACAGCTGCTGGATCTTGTACTCGCATGGATTAAATGAGTACCGTGTGGCCGTCACTCCATATGCTTCAATTTTGAGCTCCGCCAAGATGGGTGTCTTTGTTGTTGCGCTGCCAGCGACGGCAAATGTGAGCGATTGATTGCGCCGGTCGATAGAGAGGCTAAAATCGGATACAGTGATGATGGATGACTTGGCGCAGGTTGTGTAGCCATCTGCCTTGATAATATCGCTGGCATCTGCGCGCAGCAAAAGGATACTTGTCAATAGAATGTGATGCATTGGTCTTGAGAAAGAAGTTTGCTGCCCCTGACGCTTTTGAAGGAAAGGACGCGCCCGTGGGTATATTTTTGAAAAGCTAAATAAAGTCACCATTCCTCATCAGCGAGCCAGCTCAGCAAGAGGCTAGTAGGGCTTTCCAACCTCGTTGTAGTCAATTGGCGCTCCATCATCTCCCATACGTCCTTGCTTTACCACAACTTGCGTCAAGAGACGGCCGCCATCGAGTTCAGGCAAACGCACCTCCACAAACTTGCAGCCTTCACGCTGCAGGAACTTGGGGTCTTTGAAGAGCTGCACGAGCTTCTCCTCTGTATCCACTAGCCACGTCAACTCGCTATCGCCACCAAAGTAGCGCATTGTCTCCAAGTAGCGCCATTTCGTGTTGATCTGGTTGTAGTGCTTCTTGACGCCGTGCAGATACTTTTCCACGGTGTAGCCTTCATTGTTCATGAGGAAGATGGTGCATGGCAAGTTATACCGCACAACGGTGCTGAGCTCTCCAAACGACATTTGGTAACTACCATCACCAAGGAAGCCAATGCAACGGCGTGTACGTGCAGCTGCACCACCCACGAGACTGGCAGTACCAAAGCCAATGGAGGCCCACATGTACTGAGCGACAATCTTGCACTTTTCCGGCAGCTTGAGATCGAGCAAGCCAAAGCCACACGTACCCGGTTCAGCAAACAAGACATCACCAGACTGGATGTATTCTTCAACGCGCGACCAAAAGAATGGGTAAGAGACAAGACCTTTTGCAGAAGGCTCCTTTGGACGAGGCAAGGCCAAGTCTTTTGGGATTGGCACAGTACTTGTGATGGTTTCGTTTTGCAACTTCTTGATGAGCTGAGGCAGCATGCGCTTCATGCCAACACGCTCGAATCGTCCACCACGCACAAGTGTGTATGTCGAGTGCAGCTCAACCACCTTCATCTTGCTCGTATCACAGGAGAAGAAGCCTGTATTGAGGTCGACGTTGATGTGACCCAAAAAGATGACGAGATCAGCAGCTTGGAATGTCTTTTCAATCGACTCCAAGGAAAGCGAGCCACAGTAGACACCGGCGTAATTTGGGTAGTGCTCGCTGACGCTCGACTTGCCCATAGCAGACTGGAAGTAAGGCACGTTCGGCAAGGCACGGATGAGCTGGTCGCACTCTTCCTCAATGTGGTCACGGTTCGCACCAGCATCCATGATGAGAACAGGTGCTTTACTTTCCTTGAGTAGGCCAACGATGTGGTCCACAACAATAGGCTCTACCTCGGGCCAGTTTTCAGGCTGCTCAAGATTGAGCGGCGTTTCGAGAGCCTTTGCATCAAATTTGAGATTGACGAGATCCTGTGGCAGGGAAATGTAGATGGGTTGATTTCTGCGAATGCAAGCTTCAATGGCTGCATCAATCTCTTTGGGCGTTGTTCGCTCAGTCATATTGACCTGCGCAACCGTGCACGTCTCCCAGATTCTGGGGAAGGTATCTGGATTGTGCTGCGGCCCCAGCGTGTGGTGCAGGATAAGGCCCTTATTGGTGAGCTGCGTGGACGGCGTACCAACCAGGTGAATGACTGGAATCTGCTCTGCATAACTGCCACAAAAGGCATTGAGGGCCGACAGCTCACCTACGCCGCAGGTACTCACAAAGAAGCCTGCACCCACGACACGCGCATAGCCATCTGCAGCATACGCACCATTCAGCTCGTTGGTGGCGCCGATCCACTCGAGCTGGTCGTCCTCTTCAATATTATCAAGGAAGTGGAGATTGAAATCGCCAGGGACACCAAAGACTTGCTAATGATTAGTTTGAGTGCCATGCATCGGGGAGGCCTTGCCCTGATGCCGAGTTCCTTGACACGGGCAAGCAGATACTTGGACAAGGTAATGGACATATTGCTCCTGGACTGCGGCCCTCAAACAGGCCTGGGGGTGGGAGGCCTGATTTATAGATTGCTCACAGGTTTGGGCTTTGATGCGATTCGGAAAAGCCGTAGCACCACAATCGACACTCTCGTAGTTCTACTTGGCTATCGCGAATCCATACTCCTGAAGTTCCCAATGCCTGATCTTGAACCTGAGAGACCTGGTACGACGGAAGTCGGTGTAGACGGCGACTAGCTAGGACATCCACGAGCTGAGGACCTCATAGCCTGGCATCACCTATTCCCTGACCTCAGCTAACTGAGACGATGGTTTGAGCCGGCTCATTGCGGCACTTGCCATCAAAAGCACGCAGGGGGTTCCCATGTTTCATAATGTTTGCGAGCGTAGGCTCAGCTCAATTGCCGCAGCTGAGTCATTATAATCAGGAGCACGCTGATACTGCTGTGATGCGGCCCTGGGCGCAATCGCTGAATATCTAAAAGCGCTGTTGGCATCACACCACCGTCTGAGATGCTAGGGCGACTAAATACAAGGCCTGACGTGTTGGAGACTCGCGACGTTCGTGGGTATCCTTCACGAGAGGCGAGTCCTCTACCTTGCTGCTTGCTACTGAGTATTGTACCCCTTGTCAAAATCTTGTCTGTCATGAATCAACCTCTCGGGGAAGAGTGGCGTCTGGTAGATAGATCTCATCGCCAAGCGCAAGCTTATAGTAGGCTCGGCCCCTCAAGAGGAGGCATCGCTGGCATCGCTATAATTATGCGACCCCTGCTACCTCTCGCGAGCTCGCGCAATGCTAAGCTGGGCTCCTTCATCTCAAATTTTACAGCCGCTTTAGAATCCTGCCATTGATTGATTGAAACTGCTGGGCATTTAGTTCATTAATTCTCAATGAACCCCAGTACGTGCTAGGTGTATGCATGGACAAATGACACAGAAGATCAAGACTCTCTGGGGATTGACTTCGCCTGCCCATCTGAATGGCAAGTGCCGAAGCAAGACTGACCATACGCAGTCACAAAGATCCTTCGAAAGATGAAGATAATGCACGAGAAGCACAGGGATCTTCTTGAGCTTGATACATCTACCCGTACATGTGAACAGCTCATCAGTGTCTTGTCTGCTCGGCACTTGCTTGATGGCTGCTGCACGTGCTATTCGAGCTTACGAGAGGCGAGATTGGACAGATCTGAGAGCGGCCCAGACTTGACTTGAAGTTTTCCTCGCACAGCAGCCAAGTCGCACAAGTAGCAACCGCAAGTCAGCTACTCTCATCTCTACCAAGTCATCCACCCAGCAAAACCCCCTCGTCCCGCTCGTCACGCAGCCTTGGCCGCCGACACTTCCATCACTTGATCCTCCCTCATTCACTCTCGATACACCCTCAACCTTACACTCGCGCCCCAAAACATGTCAGCTACAAAAAATCAGGCCGTAGTGGCCCAAGTCCACGACACATCAGACAAGTTCCTCAACACAAACTCCCCAGAATGGGCGGCCATGTCGGAGGAAAACCGTAAGCTTGCAGCACTCGGCTACAAGCCAGTCTTCAAGCGAGAATTTTCCGCCCTTTCGACTTTTTCCTTTGCCTTCTCCATCTCCGGCTTGTTTGCTACCATCACGACCACGTATTCCTATGGCCTGTATGCCGGCGGTGCACCCTCTGCAGTTTGGTGTTGGCTTGTTGCCGGCGCTGGCTGCATGTGCATTGCCCTCTCTGTCGCCGAGCTCGTTTCTGCTTACCCTACTTCCGGTGGTCTCTACTTTACCATGAAGTACCTTGTACCCAAGAACCAAGTGCCCATCGCCTCTTGGATGTGCGGTTGGCTCAACTTGCTCGGTCAGGTGGCCGGTGTTGCATCGACTGACTATGGATGTGCACAACTTTTGCTCGCTGCGGTGTCCATGGGCAGTGACTTTAGCTATACGCCCACACCTGACCACACTGTTGCGGTGATGGTTGGTATTGTCGCATTCCACGGTGCAGTCAATACCCTCTCCACCCGCTGGCTCGATCGCATCACCAAGTTCTATGCCATCTTCCATCTCGCCGTCTTGTTTTCTTGCTCAGTGGCGCTTTTGGTGTTGCAAAAGAATAAAACATCAGCTCGCGCAGTCTTTGTCGACATTGTGCCAGCATCTGGCTGGAACAACAAGGGATGGTCATTCCTTTTCGGCTTCCTCTCCGTCGCCTGGTGCATGACCGACTACGACGCTACTGCTCACATTGCCGAGGAGATTGAGAATGCTGCTATTCGTGCACCTCAGGCTATTGCGTCTGCGCTCGGTCTTACGTATGGTTTGGGTTTCCTTTTCAACATTGTCCTTGCATTCACCATGGGCGATGTCACGGAGATTCTTGCATCACCGATCGCTCAGCCCGTTGCTCAGATCTTCTACAATGTCATGGGCAAGTCTGGTGGTATTACGTTTACAGTGTTTGCCTTCATCATCCTCAACTTTACGGGTATCACCGCCTTACAGGCCAATGCACGTACCATCTGGGCTTTGTCTCGTGATGAGATGCTCCCAGGTTCCAGGTTTTGGTACAAGATTTCCTCCGTTACCGGTACACCCATCATTGCCGTCTGGCTCAATGTCGCCTTTTGCTGTTGCATCAACCTCATTGGTTTGGGATCCTACACTGCCATCGCTGCCATCTTCAACGTCACAGCCATCGCACTCGACATGTCTTACTGCATCCCGATTGTCTCCAAGCTGCTGTACACCAAGAAGCTCAATGCTCAGGGTCAAGGCTATAGGCCTGGTCCTTGGAACCTCGGTAAATGGTCTCCGTATGTCAACGCATACGGTGTGGCTTGGGTCTTTGGTGTCACGACCATCTTCTTGTTCCCAGTCAGTATGCCAGTTACGCCGGAGAATATGAATTACGCTGTCGTCTTGTTGGTTGGTATTGCCTTGTTTGCCGCTATTTACTGGTTGTTGGGCGCCAAGAACTACTACACTGGTCCTCGTACGAGTGAAGAAAGTGACATGCATGCCTATGCTGCTCAGATCGAGGCTGAGGAGTCTACCAAGAAGCCATAGATTGGACGGCTAACTTTCTCAGGTTGGGTGTGTATCCTTTGCTATAATTTGGTTCAGATCAGAAACAGTAGTGTATTGGTTGAATACTATATCGCGTGCCGGTCGCTCATCTGTGATTTCCTGATCTGTGCAATTGGCGGAGTCTGACGTAGAAATGCATAGTAGTCATACAAAGCTGAGTACGAGGTGTCTGAGGCGGCGATGCCATACAGGCAACGAGTCGTCGGATCTTTCGACAGAAAACAGAACGCGCTCGGGCGAAGGGGCGTTAGCTTTTCGATCAGGATACTAGCATTGCCGATGCACTTGCGTGTAGATGTAAGTGGCGACAATTCAAATGCCGATATTGCGATGAAACCACAAATCGTGGCCACTCTCCTCGAAGGCATCCCTGACACAAGGTTCTCCTCTAGTTTCGCTACGCGGTGACAGAGGTGACCGTCCCGGAGCAGCCCTATTGCATCCAATCACTGCCAGTCTTGACCATGTCGCCGGCTTTCTTGTCAAAAGTCGGTCTTCACTTCCTTTTAAGGAGTCATATGCAAGTAGCACCAGAGTTGCCACCTTTATCACAGCTGCTCGAACAACAAAAACAAACCAAGATTCCGCGCGATCAGTTGTTGACGCTGTAAAACCTTACAAACATCTAGAGGCATAGTCGGACTCGGTGCTATCACGGACTGAAGCACGGCACAGCCCAACCATCTGAACCAATCTCTAACGCTGTCGACATACATCTCATACAAGTATCGTCGCTGATACACGCGCCGCCGTGTCTCATCCAGGGTTGGTACCTCCTCGGTTCCATCCAGCCTGCTTTACGCTCTTGCTCGCTTGCTCTCTTGTTATAAGGCAGCCTGCTGATGTGATCAGTATTCACCCACTTGTGAGCTAGAATGCTATTCTATCGACTGTTCATTGATTCGTGTCTCCGGGGTAGGCTCGTCTAGTCCTCTCGTACTGATTGCTGAAGGCTAGCGATCTGACAGGCACCTCCCCTTTCATCTTTATACTTTGGTGAATCTGCCAGAGTCCACAACCCTACGTTCAAGGATGTTTCCCGACATGCAACAGGACGAGCAGACCACCAACGCTGTCGTCAACGATCTGTCGCAGGTCAATCAGCGAATCAGCGACTTGATGAATGAGATTGCTGTTTTGCGTCTCGCTCATCAGACCCTCCGCGGCGATCTGAGGGCAGCCCAGGCTGCGATTGTCCACTTGACTGAAAGTGCTGGCAGCCCATCGAGCTCATCCCAAGCCAGGGCCACAGACCCCGCGATCTTGGCGTCAGTACCTGGCAGGCTCCCCCCACTGTATCACTGCATGGACATACCGTAAAAGTTCATAGTATTTATGCATCTCCCAGCGACACGACCGCCATCAGGCGAGATTACAACTTGAATATTTTCTATCGTCCAAGCACAGTTCGAAAGAGGCCTGATGCATTGTCACGACGAGAAGGACTTCGGCCTAAGGAGGAAGATGCCGCTCATGAGGAAGAGCGATTGTGCGACAGAATAAAGCAGAAGCTGGAAAGAAAGACCGAGTCCAAGACGTGTTCTCTCCTCGTCGACGTCAGGGGTAGATCTTGATCGGAGCACGTGTTGGCTGCTTATCGGCTGATTGGGCTGGCTTACATCAGCAACTATTCCCAAGCTTATGTAGAGGAAGTGATGGCGGGCCTAAGGCTGAGGGTACTGATTCTCCATTGACTGAATGCTGCTACCTGCTGCCTCTGTCAATCCCTGCGCAGACTCTGCTGTTCGGGCCTTTTGCTTTACCTCAGCGGGCGATCTCTCCAATGCGCGATCTGGCGCAATCGCCTCCAGGAACACAGCACAGATATCAACACCACACACGACCAGCCCTCCCTTCCCTCGCGCATCCCATCGTCGCAAGCACTGCGCCTGCAAACACACAACAGAGACGAGAGTGTCTGCTTCTACGGCCCGAACACTCGCGCAGTTTTCATCGCCGTCGCGCCATTTTTCGCCCTCTATTTGTCCCATCGATTCGCGGCTAAACGGAATTCACGGAACGACGTTGCATATAAGAGGCTCTAAAGTCCTGCTAGTAGTCCCTCAACTCTACAATCATGTACAAGCAACAAGCGCACGCACCAGACCGGCATCATCAGCGCGAACAGGAAGATGCAAGCGCCACGGCCACCATTCACCCAATCTTGGCGCGCATCCAACCTAGTCGTCCTTCAAGCGATCCCATCACCTTGTTTTCGAATCAGGAGTCAGAAGCAACACATCCAAAGCCTGCTGGTCGCCAACCCATCTTACCGCGCGTGGGTCCCTCTGGCTTGTTTGCAGGACAATCTGCCAATGCCGTGGAGTCATCGTTACTGTCGAGTGAATGTGATGGTCAAACCACCAGTACCCGTACAAGTCTTGGTTCGGCGCTCGAGGAAGTACTGGATAGCGTCGACCAAGCAACTGAAGATCTCGCGCGAGTACGGTGTCAACAACGCGTCACAGAATGGCTTGGTCAGCAACCTTCCACTACGCAGCACACTGATAAGAAACGAAGACGCTCCGATGAAGGTGAGGACCGTAGACGCTTACGTCGCTTGTCTGCGCGTGTTTTGCGCGACTTGTTGCATCTCGATGCAGATTGCTATAGCTTACTCGTCAAAGCGACGAGTTGGCGTGGTAGGCAGCAGTTGAGTGTTGCCCAGCAAGCGCATGCGCGTGTCATGGAGCAACAACTGATGGGTACGTGGACATCTTTAACGCAGCGTGACACGGCCATGTTGCAGAGCAGATTACAGCAGCAACGGAGTGGACCCTCGTCCTTTCCCGGTGAACAACCACTCAGTACGCGTGTTCCGCTTTGGGGAATCCCTGAAGAGCAAAGCTCACAAGAAGAAGGTGGACCTGGTACATTACAGGTCTTGCTGCGTTACCTGCGAAGCTACTTTGAAGAGCACGCTACCACTGCTTCAACTGCACCGTCCACTGCCGTCCCTGAGTCTGCAGGGAGCAGCAGTAGCTTGACGGGGGATAACGCCGAGTCTCAGCAAGTCAATCGTGCTTCTATGCATGCGAGTACGGTCGAACACAGCAATATGCTGCATCGCACGCCACGCCCTTCCTTGTCTCGACACGCATTGATGGCAGCACGGGATGGAAGTGTTCGTGGGAGTGTACAGTCCAGCTGTTCATCTTCCTTCAAGACGGTCTCCCTACAGACGGGCAGCTGTTCACGAGCGAGTCATCGGCGACCGTTTGAGCAAGGCAGTCACTTCTGGGAGGTAACGAGTTATCGCTCGAGCATCCAGAGTGGTGGGCCTTCCCACGCTGGTGGTCATTGGGTTGTGTAGTGCATGTTACGTAGCTATGATCTCTTCTCATCTCTATTCACACTACCAAATACTACTACTATTGCTAAGTACCCAGTAGATTCAGAGCAGTCCATTTCTCTCACGCTCCGTCGCTCAGAAAATTTAAAGCGCGACGACGAGCAGAGAAGAAGACTCAACACTACACGAACTATGTCGACCGAGAAACAGCTCGCCATGATTGCAGACCTCGAGGGAGAAGAGTCCGACATGGGCTCCATCTCCTCCTATGACGAGGAAGACGATTTCCTCAACCCGGAATTCGCCTCCATCCTCGGTGCACAGGTAAATTAGTCCTTTCTTTAATGTAATGAAGACTAACGAAAGCAACGTGTTGCCGCCCTCAAGACACCAACTGCCCTCTTTGGCTTGTGTGTCCCCGCTGGTGGCGAACCTGTGCCCATCATTGACGAGGATGAGCTCCCCCAGGCCGTTCGATTGACAATGGCAGCCATTGACATTGCCGATGACGATTCCACAAAAGCTTGTCAACTCAAAGTCATTCGTCGTCCCATCTTTGATGAAGACTCGGATGAAGAAGAGTCTATTGATGAGGAGGAGATGTCCATGTACACGGAAGAGTACACACTCTGCACACTCAAGCCTGGCGTCATCTACCAGCAGACACTCGATGTGACCTTTTCCGAGGGTGAGATGATTTACTTTGCCTCGACGGGTGATTGCGATATTCACATCACGGGTAACTACATGACACCTGTGGATGAAGTCCCAGAAGGCTTCGACTCTGACTCTGAGGACGACGAGGATGACCTTGACTCTGAGGATGACGAAGATGACGAGGACATCTCCGAGTCTGACTTGGTTACTCTTGAAGCAGAGGAAGATTCTGAAGAGGAGGAAGATGTGCTTGATGAGATTGACGCACGCATCTCTGCTCTTGAAGAAGCAGAAAACACTTCCAAGAAGTCCAAGAAGCGGCGTGTGTCGGCCGGCGACGAGGATCTCGATGCTGTGATGGATGATGCCGCTGCAGAGGAACCCAAGAAACTCTCCAAGAAGGACCGCAAGAAGCTCAAGGCTGCCAATGGTGAAGCTGTTGCTGCACCCGCCGCCGTCTCTGAGGACTCTGAGGATTCCGCCAAAAAGTCAGTCTCCTTCAGCAATGACACAAAACCCGCTGCAAAGCTGGTTGCTGGTGGTCTTGCCATTGAAGACCGCAAGACCGGCGAGGGACCTAGCGTCAAAAGTGGCGCCAAGGTCGCTATCCGATATGTCGGCAAACTCAAGTCAAATGGCAAGCAATTCGATGCCAACAGCAAGGGCAAGCCATTCACATTTACCGTGGGTAAGGGTGAAGTCATCAAGGGCATGGAAGTCGGTATCATTGGCATGAAGGCTGGTGGTGAGCGTCGTATCACAGTCCCTGCAGCCATGGCATATGGTAAGAAGGGCTTGCCTGGTATCCCAGCGAATTCCGACCTCGTCTTTGACTTGAAGCTCCTCAAGTTTTAAACAGCGCAGATAGGAACCCTTTTAGAGTCTAGCAAATCCTGAATTGCCTTTTCTATGAAAGTGGCACATTGCATAGCGTCTTGGCAGTCAATGCCTTGCCGTCCACCATCAACGGCACGCCCTTGTACGTCGCCACCTTGTCGTCGTTTGTCTTGAGCTCAGCAACGACCTCTGACCAGACTTTTGTATTCTTCTCATCATGTGTGCCTTCGAAGCCTTCAACCTTCACCAGCGTACCAAGGGCGGCATCTGCAGGTGGCTCCACGAACTCAACAACATCCGCTTCCTTGTCAGCGGCACACAACACCATGGCTTCACTGGTAACACCTCGCAACTTGGATGGTTTCAGGTTGCAAATGGCAATCAATCGTCTTCCTTGCATCTCCTCCAATGTGAAATGATTGGCAAGACCAGACACAACCGTACGAGATGGCATGACATCGCCAAATGAAATTGTCTCGACGTAGAGTGTATCCGCTTCTGGATGCTTCTTGACTTCTGTAATTTCACCAACACGCAACTCAATCCGTGAAATGTCTTTTGGCCTTTCGACCTGCTTTGCCGATGCCTTGCCACTACCGTCGCCACCCTTCTTTTTCGCTTCCTTTGTTGGTTTAGGAGCTGCTGCGCTGGCAGTCGGGTAGGCACGATCTGTGAGCTCTGCCAACTCTGGATTCGCATGCCAAGTTTGTCTGATTGGTTCCAGCAGACTGTTGATGGCCGCAGCCACACCCTTTTTGAGATCACCCGGGTGCAATGACTTGTCGGCAAAGGCACTTTCTAGTTTTGCATACTCTGTAAATGTGACATCGCCGCCAAACTCTGCTTTCCGTGGGAATGTCATGCTAGGCTGACCATTGAGTGACTGAAAGGGAAACACCACAGACTTGACAAAGGCAAGTAGACCATTTTCAGTGATATTGCCTTCCTCGCAAAAGGCCTTTTTGATCTTCTTTTCCACTGATTTTGCATCATCCAACAAATCAATCTTGCTGTCTGGATCTGATGAAGACATTTTAGAACCCATGAGTCCGGGCATCATGGGATTCATGAGATGTGCGCGTTTGGCATAACCCAGGGCAGGCAAGTTTTCTTGAGCAAAAGTGAAAATCTTGCGCTGGTCAACACCGCCGAATTGCGCATCGACGCCGAGGTACTCTTCATCTAGAGCTTGTAGACCAGGATACAATAATCCAGACAAGGGAGGATGATCTGTTTGCTTGACAACCTCTGCACCAGCTTTTTTGAAATCATGCTGGGAGACGAGTGCTGATAGCCTGTACACATCCAATGTGTATTTCTGCGAAAGCTGGTAGTCTGTGCCTTGAACAAATTCTAACTGGGCAATGTTGATGCCCAGAGAAGTCAAGGTAGCCTTGATGGTGCTAGAATAGTACTGCGTCCTGTACTTGAGCAACTCCCAAGGTGCTTTTTGATTGTCGAGGTACGCATGCAGATCTGCAAAGAGCACCTTGACCTTGCACCCAGCCTTCAAGAAGTCGGCAATCTTCGTTAGGGCCACAAAGTAGCCGATATGGGGCTTGCCCGTGGGTGCTGTTCCCCAGTACATGACGAGATCTCGCTCCTGGAGGATCTTTCTGATGTCCTGCTCGCCCAGTACCTCCTGCAGGTTCCGTGTGATGAGCTCGTACTTCTCCTCCGGCGTCATCTACTGCCAATGTATGTCTCTGGCACTCGCTCCGTCTCTTGCCCTTGATCTCTTGTCGCTCGTCGTCGCTGCCCTAACCCTGACTCACTTTTCTGCGACTTCACTCAAGACGAGACCAAATACTGAAGAGCGAAGACCAAGAACTGAAGACTCACGCATGGACGCATCTATAGCGCAGGCGCTGCAGTCCAGCCTCGAACATGCCATTCAGAAGCGATTCGGCAGTGAAGAAATGGCACTCGCTGAATACATCGTCGTCATGATACAGAACGGCAAAGATGCACCAGCCGTTACCGCAGAGCTATCAGACCTCATGGCGACCTATGACCCTTCCTTCACAGACTTCATCTTTGGGGAAGTCGCGCGGCTGCCTGTGCCGCCTGTTGCTGCACCTGCTACGGCTGCACCGGAATCCATCAAGACGGAAGAGGTTGCAGATACAGACATGTCAGAGACCAAGAAACCTGCGGGTGGCGTTGGTATGGGATACCCAGACAAGCGCGCTTATGCCAATGTCCGACAAACACTCGAACGCAATAGTCAAGAGCGACCTCGTGGCAGACCTGAAGTCGATGGCGTACGGCATTCACCCTATGGCGCACCTACAGGACCCAAGGGCGAGCATGCGCGTCATGGATCAGGTCCCATTCGAACAGGCCGTAGACCTATGCAAGCACCACCCATCATGCCAGTCAACATGGCAGGTATGCTTCCAGAAGGCTTCCCTATGCCACCTCCCGAATTCTTTGCCCAGATTGCACAGCAGATGGCACTCCAGCAATCACAGCCTCAGCGGAAATTCCGTACAACGCGTTGTGCAGCTTGGCCTGAATGCCGAAAAGCAGAGTCATGTACGTTTGCGCATCCAACAACTTACTGTACGCGTGAGCACTGTGCGCGTGATCCCGGGTTTTGCCCAAAGTTGCACCCAGATGAAGGCATCAACTTGGAGGAAGCAGTCAAGAAACAGACAAAGATGGATGCTGATGTCACTTCTGGTCTTGTTCCTCGTCATGTCCCTCAGGCTGCACAGGGTGCATCGTACGGCCACCAGCCGCGCACCCCTCGAGTTCCAAAGCAGGATGATGGATCTACACCTATTTGCAGGTGGGCTGAACAATGCACGAATCGTACCTGTGGCTTCACGCATCCTTCACCGGCATCGAAAGACGGCTCTAGTATCGTTTTGGACTCTGCATGGTGTGAAGCAGGCAAGGACTGCACCGATGCACAATGCAACAAGGGGCACCCATCGCCTAGTCTCAATTACATGCAATCAGACACAGCTGCGAAAGCATGCAAATTCCAGCCATGCATGAATCCAAATTGTCGTTTCGCCCATGCGCCTGGTCAAAAGGGGACTGCCAAGCCAGCACCGTTGTATAATGGTGGTTTCGGCAACAAGGTGTGGACAGCTGCTTCTGCACCCAGTGCTACAGCTGAACGCGCGTTTGTTGAAGGCGAGGCGAGTGAGAAGCTAGCGGCAGTCAAGGACACGGAAATGACTTTATAATCTACTGAGGCTTTGGCTTTATACATTACACTTTCTGTACAATTGATGGAACTTTGTTTACTGTGCGTCTTCTTCATCCTCTTCCTTGACAGTCGCTGGACCCAAGCCTGTTGGTAGATCGTACGTCCGTACTTTGTACTCTTGCAAAGCGAGCATGACTTCATCAAAGGGCAGCATGGCAACCTCCTCCAACGAAGCAGACACTGACTTGGAATAGTGCAATGTCAAGGCTGCCAGCGCATTCTCCACACGCGTGAGCAGATTCTCAAGAACAGCGGCCAACCGCACATCATCGTCTTCCGCTGAATAGGCCTTGACAATCTTGCCACGCAAAACATTGACGCGATTTTCATGTCTCGGCTTGTTGCCACGAATTATGGAGCACAGACTCTCCAGTCTAAAGACCACCGTGTATACATCAATGATGTTTTCATGATTGAGCACGCGCTGCGATGGATCTTGTTTGACCTCAAGTTTCTCAACATGATGCAGCCGACCCTTCAAGCTGCTCGGATACGCAAGCGACACAAACTCTGCATTTTCAAGACCTTTGAGTTTGCGTTCGCCAAGCGGCACCACTTCAAAGCCAATGCGCTTGAGCATTTGCATATCCTTCTTGACCGTCAGCATTGTTAGCTCGTCGCCAAACACCTCTTCCTCCTCCTCAAGACCCGCGGTGCCATGATCCATGCGTTGTCGGTGTGCTTGTTCCAATAGCTCCAAGTCTCGCACAACATCCGATGAGACTGTGATTTGACCACCATCTGCAATGCTGCTGATCCGTGCGGCGCGGTTGACGATAGGACCAAAGTAATCCATACGACGCGTGATGGGATCCACTTCGCATACAGGTGCACCCCAGTGAATGCCCATGCGTACACTGAGACCACGGAAGAGTAAGTGTCCGGATTCTTCATCAAAGATCTCCGCACCATCGCGAGAGTCGAGAATCTCTTGTGGCCAGTCTGCCGTCAAGAGTTGTGTTTGAACGGTAAAGCACCACAAAAGGGCAGACGTCACGGTTGAGAAACACACCATAAAGGCGTCTCCTTCAGTCTTGACCTCATAGCCGCCAATAGATCGCAGCTGTCGTCTCATGATGCTGTTGTGAATCTTGATGGCTGATCGCATCGCCACAGGATGAGACTCCCATAGCAAGGTGGAATTCTTGATGTCGGTGAAAATCATGGCAAGCTCGCCCACAGGCGGTGCCACTTCACGCGTCAGGCGAGCGAGTGTTGAATCGGCAGGTTGATCAGCCGCTGCACGACGACGCGATTTGGTTGTATGCCCAAGAATCAAATCTTCATCTGCAACAAGGAAACCGCCCGTTGCAGCACGCGCCGCCGATGCATTGCGTAGCTGCTTGGCCATCTTGGCCTTGCGATGGAATAAATCACCCACGCCGATAATCATGATGGAGAGCTTCTCTTGCACGCCATAGGAAATGGCAAAGTCACGCAGCTTTTGAGCTGCAAGCATGAGATCTTCCCGCTCCGAGCGAGCAATGTCGACTGCAGTTTGGAGTGTCATGACGTCCCAGAGGTATTTACTTGCAATGATGATGAATTCATCCTGCTCCGTCAACTCAACTTCAGCGACATGCGGCGCTGCTTGGACAAAGGGCGTCAAGTGGAAGTATCCCATGGATCGCGTCACGTCTGATTGGTCATTGACGAGACCATCTCGAGACACATAACCGCCCGCTTCTCGAATACGCTCAACCTCAGAGGCATCTCCTGCATTGTGCTTGACACTGAGTAAGCTCGCCTCGCCATCTGATCGTGACAGGACGGCAAGGGTGTCGCCGACGTTCGCGACATAGGCCTTTTTGCCAATCATGTAAACGAGGCACACTGATGCACCAGCTGTGCGGTCCTGGGAAGAAAGCGCAGAGCTGATGTAGCTGGTCACTTGCATTGCACTTGATAGTGACACCATGGACGGACGTTGGAAGGATGGAGACGGCAGAGGATGCATCAGCGGCGTCTCTTGACTCAAGCTTCCCGTTTTGACTGGCAGCGGTGTGACTGCAGTACCGAGTTCCTTATTGAAGCTCAAAAAGGCTCGACGCAGCGCATCAGGTACTTGCTCATCCTTGCGCAACTTTTTCAGCTCTAAGGCAAGATGCTCCGTGAAAAAGTCTTGGAGGTGCTTTGCAATTTTGCTACCGCCGTGTGCAATAGGCGAACCGTCAAACATACCAAAGATAATTTCAGATTCTTGACCTTGGAATCGAGGAATGACCATGTCAATGATGGAAAGATGCTCATTGCGACCAAGCGTGTCTGCTTGACCGTACGACATATTGCTGATATCAGAACCAGACAATCTCACGCGCCGATCTTCCGACTCTTCAGGCACGGAGTCAATCGTCAAGGTCAGGTCCATCAGGCCGAGCACGCGCAATTTATTGAGCGCACCAAAGTCACTGAGATTGCGGTCCCGAATGGTGGTATTGTTGCTCGGCTTGATTTCGAGGCGCTTATTGCCAGACAGATTGAGGTACTTAAGATCCAAATTCCAGTTCCAGTTCCAGTCATATGGCCAATTGGCAGTATTGTACTTGAGATTGTTGGACCCAACGTCAAGGACCATGAGTCTTCGAATTTTTCCAATTTCTGCTGGCAGCGACTGCAACTTGTTGGCATTGACATGTAGAACGCGAAGTGTTTGCATGACCTCAAGATCATCGGATGGAAGACTCGTCAATTCATTGCCAGACAGGTACAACTCGACAAGGTGGTGCAAACGCCTGAGACCACTCGTTGGTACTTCGTAGATATCATTGAAGGACAAATTGAGCACACGAAGTCCTTGCAGCAACGTGATTGCAGAGAAGCAATCGTCATCCAGGCGATTGTCACCGAGAAACAGATATTTGAGGGACTGCGCCATAGCATTCAGACCACGCGTAGTCAACGAAGCCTGACTGTTCTTCCTCGGTGAGTCTTCAGCTTCTTCCACAACAGTCAGCAAAGTCGAGCCATTAGTCGGTACCTCGGAAGCCGGCTTGACATTTGCTGGCGGGTCCGGGAATGCTTTAAGTAAATTTGATGATGCATTGAGAGAAATGAGACCGCCAAGCAGCCAGACCTCGCCGGGCAGACTCTTGAGGTTATTGCTGTGCAAGTCTAGCACGCGCAGGTCACACAACTTGCCAATCTCACTGGGCAACTCCGTTAACTGATTGCCTGTGCAACTGAGATGCTGCAATCGAGTCAAATTTCCAAGCTGCGGTGGAAAGTAGGTGAAGTGATTGTTGTCCAGCACCAGCTTGATGAGATTTGTAAAGTTGTCAAACATGGCATCTGGAATCATGGGCAGCTTCGCGTTCGACAGGTCCAATGAAGTGAGCGTCATTGCATTCGTGGACATGCTGAACTTCGTCACGGGGCATTTGTTGAGATGGAAGAGTCTCGCGGCAGGGAACTTGCTGTCCACCACGGTGATGGCGTTGTGACCAGCGCTGATGCTTTCCAGTAGCGGACACGATGCCAGAATCTCGAGTGTTGTGAGCTGATTGAAACGCAAGTCCACCTCGCGCAACGATACAAGCTGTGCAAAGCTGCCCGGTAGGCTGCCTGACAAATAATTGTTGTTGACAAGCAGGCGTTGCAGCCTCGACAAGTGTCCAATCTCCTTTGGTAGCCTTTCCAGACGATTGAAGGAAATGTCGAGGTCCTCGAGATGATACAAGTCGCACAGCTCAATGGGAAATTCTGTAAAGTGATTAAAGGACAAGTTGACGCGTCGAATATTGATGAGTCGTCCCAGTGTCGATGGTAGACTCATGAGCCTGTTGCTTCGCGCGATAAAGCTCAACAAATTCGTGAGCTGATGAATGCGGGAGTCCAGCTCCGTCATCTTGTTGAAGGAGACGTCCAGCAAGACAAGTGAGCTAGCTGCCATCACGTTGCCTTGTAATTTTGGAGATTCATTATGCGTCCAGACAATCGACTGCAGATTTGGACAACTCTGTATAAAGTCGATGGGAATGTCGAGAGACAGATTACGCGAGAGGTCGAGTGACCGAATTCGGCTAGCGTACTTGTACAATACAATTGGAATTGTTTGAACGTTTCTCCCAGACAGGTCAAAGTGTTCGGTATTGCCTGCATCCGTGTCGGCATCCTGTTATTAGCTTTTGCAAAGCGATTGACTCTCTTACCACTGAGAATGAAGGCGCTGAAATGGTCTTGAAGATGAAGCGACAAAGATACGAATTGTCTTCTCTGCCAATTTCCTCGACGCGATCATTGGGTGTGTATCCAGCTTGCTCAAGCAACTGCTTTTGCAGCAAGAACGGCTTTTCCCAGGCTTGCAAGATGCGCGACAGGCCATTACGCTGCAGCAGAATTTGGTGGTTCGCAACAGAAGTGAGGAAGAACTTGCGGCCAATGATGGACATGAGTGCTTCAGTAGTGGTATTCAGCGGACAAGACACAGTGGCAAATGTCCAGTCGCCGCGGTACAATCGCATCTGATGATGCGGTACGCCGCGCTTGTCGGATTGGGAGGGCTGCTTGCCGACTTCTTCGTTACTTGCAGCGGTCGGATGTGAGTCGTCTAGCGGGTCATACTCATCCAACAAGCCATCATCCCTTGCGATATCTTCGGGTCTCCGCACAGCCCATGACTCAGGCGGCGCCCAATTCGCCTCTTCGTCTTCTGGCGGCTCGCTGAAGGGCGCCACTTCTTTGGAAATGGTGAAGTCTTTTGATGGCCGCTTCGAGGGAGGAGCTTTTTCGACGTCAACGATGCCGCTGAGCTGTGAGAGATCCGTGTCGAGAACGAGTTCATTTGGATCGCCTGGCGTGATGGCATTTGCTCGAGAAGTGCGCGATGAGGTATTTGGAGAAACACCAGAGTTACGCCCCGATGAGGACAATCTGTCGATAGTTTGTCTGCGCATGGGTGGAAGTCTGAGTGAGGATCGTTTCGAACGCGGCGTGGCAGACTCACCCGCAAAAGGTGACGAGAATTGTGGCTCTGCAATAGAAGCTTGCGATACGGACTCCTGCCGCGTTTGACGTTCCTCCTTTGCAGATGACTGCTTCTTGCGCTTGTTTAAGAGATTGTTGAAGAAGCCTTTGGACTCTTTCCGTCTTTCCTTGATAGAAACTGGTGCAGATGATGGCGCGATATTGCTCATGCCAACCCTGTCACTCATTGGCGGGGAGCCTGGTATCGGGTTGAGAGGCTGCAGAAAGGGCGCTCTCAAGCTGAAGGGATTTGGTAGCTCTAGACTTGGCGAGTCCAACGCAGAGTTGTAGCCAATCTGTTTGCCTTGATAGAGGAACGGACTGACAACCTCGGGTGCAGCAACAGGGAGAGGACTTGGCGGTTGCTGCTGTTGCACATCGTCGCGCGAACTTGGTCGAAAGAGGCGAAAGACCGAGTCGCGACGCTCTTGTTGTCCTTGGACCGCAACAGACTGGGGACTGCGTAGCGGCGGAGGTATCGGCGCAGCCTGTTTGCTGGGTCCAGCAATGAAGGGATTTGGATCCTCTGAATGCGGACTGATGGCTAGAGAAAGGTTTCGCTTTGCATCCGAGCCAATTGTAGAGGGACTGGGAGGTGACCGCGATCCACTTAAGCCATGCGCCGATGCGCGTCCCGAGGAATCCGCCGTAGATGGACGCGATTCACCATTGAACAAGGACTTGTTTTGCAAGCCTCCACGAGCAGAAGCGAAACTGGAGTTGAAGTAGGTTGCACTGGGATTTGCCTGTACCTGTGAGAGGACCTTTTGGAGCTTCTCTATGCGGAGTGCATCGCCTTCGAGAGGTTGAGTGCTCTGCATTGCATTACGCAATCACCAAATTCCAGAGAGAAGCAGAGAATATCAAGCTCGATACTTGCTGATACTTCTACGACGCGAATCACTGCAGATGAAGCCCTGGCTCCTGTCTTGCCTTCGTGTGTCGGTGTCGGGTGTTTGTGGTTGTGTCGTCGTTGCGTGTTGTGGGACTCAAAATCAAGAAGCGACGCGGGGGACATAGACAAGTTGCTGTAGACGATCGATACGGACAGATCTAGAGGGTCTATGGGCAGGCCCTTGCTTGATAGGAATTGCTCCTCATCCCGGCAAAAGGCCGTCTCGAGCTTTTGCTGCTGCGTGCGTTCATCACTGTAACCTACTCAATATTGTACTTCTCCTTCGCAGCATCCAGTGCCTGCTGTCGCTGCTCAAGGCTCGATGCACCGCTGGCCAGCAGCGTCTTGTCGACCTGGTGCATCAGACACACAAGGTAGCGCTCCTGGAAGTTGAAGCCCTGCAGCTTGTCCAACGCCTGCTTTGCATCGACTGCAGATTCATAGACCACAAACGCCGTGCCCCGTGTCTGCTGTGAGTCGCCTCTGCCCCATTAGCATTCGTATCACAACGGTGTCCTAAACATACAGCCTGATCTGCCGTATGGCGCCAAAGCGGCCGAAAAGATCAAATAGCTCTTCGGTGGTGACCTTGAATGAGAGATTCTTGACAAACACGATACGATGAAAGAGTTGTGCGTCCCTGCCTGGTATCCGGGACATGAGGCCCCTCACCGCCGCTGCTCTATGCAAGCCAGAGTATGTCGTCGAAGGTGCTGCGTCATTTTCGGTGTCCCCCAAACTCAACGAAGAGCATCCCAGCACTCTCACCAAGCACTCCAAAGGCGACCAGGACACAGGCCCTTCTCCTGAATACACAAACAGACAAGCTAGGGATCCAAAGAAGCTCAGCGAATCATGCCTCCTGTCTCCGCACGAAAGCCGCCCAAGCGCAAGGGCTCCATGTACTTATCTCTACCTGCTCTACACAATGCTGATTGAACACAGGCTTGCAATTCCCGATGACCTCAAGGCCAGGATCACAGAGCTCGAGAAGCTCTTCACCATCACCCCAGACCAGCTCAGCCACATTGTAGACAGTTTCATCGGTGAATTGGAAAAGGGCCTCCGAGGCGATGAAGGTCATGACATCCCCATGATTCCTACATGGGTGCAGGGCTATGCCACCAAGGATGAGAGCGGTAGCTACCTTGCTATTGATATGGGCGGCACCAATGTTCGTGTTTGTGAAGTGACGGTACTTGGCAATGGACAGTACGACTTGTCTCAGGCAAAGTATCGCATCGTAAGCAACGCGATGGCTTATGAAGTAGAGCTAACAATCAGCCTGAAGAACTCAAGCACGGCGAGCGTGATCCTCTTTTTGAGCATATCGCCAAGTGTGTCAGAAAATTCATCGATGATCATCACGAGGGCGATATGATGAACATGCCCATTGGCTTTACGTTCTCTTACCCTTGCTCCCAAGACGCCATTGACCACGGAGTGTTGCAGCGATGGACCAAAGGTTTCGACGTCAAAGACACGGAGGGCGTCGATGTTGTGCCTGTCTTTGATGCACAGCTCAAGAAGCAAGGCCTTGAGGCAAAGACGACGGCTTTAATCAATGATACCACCGGTACCCTGATTGCCTCCAACTATGTCGACCCTGAGATGCAGATTGCCGTCATCTTCGGAACTGGCTGCAATGCCGCGTACATGGAGACTCTCGAGCACATTCCAAAGCTACACCATTTGCAGTGCGACAAGAGCACACCTATGGCCATCAATTGCGAGTGGGGTGCTTTCGCCTTGACACCACGTACCAACTATGATGCACTGATTGACGAGCAGTCGCCTCGCCCTGGCCAGCAAAAGTTTGAAAAGATGATTGCTGGGTTATACCTTGGTGAAATCGCCAGGCAGGTCTTGCTCGACTACTTCAACCAAGGCATTCTGTTCAAAGGCCAGAGCTTCGACAAGCTCAAAGAGCCCTACTCGCTCGAGACGGCTGTACTGTCTGAGATTGAGCTTGATGCCAACGAGAACTTGATTGACACGCAGGATCTCTTCAGCAAGCAATTCGGCCTTGAATGTGACTTCCCTACATTGACGCTGATTCGTCGTTTGGCAGAGCTCGTTGGTACACGATCAGCAAGACTCTCTGCTGCGGGTGTCGCAGCCATTTGCAAGAAGAAGGGCATCAAGTCTTGTCACGTCGGTGCAGACGGCTCTGTTTATGCCAAGTACCCACACTTCCGTGAGCGCGGAGCAGAAGCATTGCGTGACATCTTTGGCGAGCAAGGCGATAACATCAAGATTTTGCCCGCAGAGGATGGATCTGGTGTCGGTGCTGCTCTCATTTCTGCTGTGGTCAAGAGGCTGCACAAGGAGGGTAAGCTCGTCTCGTCCAAGGATGAGGATGATAAAGATGTGAAGGAGGTGACGGACAAGGTCAAGGACCTTTGATCATTTAACGTATCACGTATCAATGAAACCTGTTTCCAATACCACATCCATCAAAATGTCTGAACAAAGGCAATTCATGCAAGCTGCAATGGACGAAGCTAGGAAGTCCATCTACACACCGACCGCCTTTTGCGTCGGCTGTGTGCTTGTACAAGGTGACAAGATCGTGGCAACAGGCTACTCCAGAGAACTCGAGGGCAATACGCACGCCGAGCAATGTGCGCTGATGAAGCTACCAGCTGATGCAAAAGATCTTGACTGCTATACAACCATGGAACCGTGCTCAGAACGGCTCTCTGGCAATCTGCCGTGCGTAGACCGCCTGATTGCCTCGGGCAGAATCAAGCGTGTCTTGCAGGGCGTCGCTGAGCCGGCTGACTTTGTGGCCTGCACTGGTAGTACGCGGCTTAGGGATGCCGGTATTGAAGTGATTCACATCCCTGGCTATGAAGAAGAGGCCCTGGCGATAGCACGAGGGGAAGCCAAGTAAAGGCCTTGCTATAGCGCCGTCTTCGCTGTCAATTTTGATAAAAAGTTGACAAGACACCACATAGACAAAGCTCAAGACACAGACTCGAGGGCTGCATGCTCCGTCCGTGCCATGTCTGCAGGCAGGTAGGCGCCATTCGCTCATTTATCAAACCTCGGAGACTTGCTACGGCTGCTTCTGTTACGCGGCCCCTCGCATCGCCACCAAGTATAGCAGATGACGCCGCGTTACGACAAGCATTCGATATCCCGCGGCAGGACTGGCGCAGAAACCTCAAGGCCACCATCGGTCTGACACCGCGTACCGGCCTCTTTCATAATGCCTACCTCAAGACGCCCGCAGGCTTCCCGCAATTTGCAACAGATGCGCTACACAAGGCACAATGGCTCGCCAAGGAGATCTCTGAGCGGCACGCAACACTGACGCCTGTCGCTGTCGTCAAGGCTCTGGACAGGCTGAGCGATACCCTATGTGCGGTATTAGACCTTGCAGAGCTGGTCCGCAATAGTCATCCAGATCCAGCATTCGTGCAAGGTGCAGAAGAGGCTTACGATATCCTGCATGCATTTATGAACGAGATGAATACACACACGGGTCTCTTCCAAGCAGTAGCGCATGTGCTTGAAGATCCAGACAGGTCAGCACAGCTGGGCGTGCAGGAACGGGCCGTTGCACAAGCACTCTTGGCAGATTTCCTCAAGAGCGGTATCCACCTCGACCAACATGCTCGTGCGCAGTTCGTGACGCTCAGTAGTGACATTGCGCGTGCTGAGCGACAAGCTTTTATGGATCACGCTCCAGCTGCCACTCGGCTTGAGCTACCAGTCTCCAAAGCTCGCGGCTACTGGCCAGCCGTGAATGGTGGTCTCATGACACCTGATGGCCGATACATTAAGATTCCAATTGGAGGTTGGGAAGCTGAACAAGCATTACGCTCTCTTGAATTACCAGAAGCAAGGAAGCAGCTGCTTGCAGCGATGCAGACGCCACGTCCTGACCAGATAGCCAACATGGACTTGCTCTTCAAGCTGCGTGCCCAACTCGCCCAACTCACCGGGAGCAACAGCTTCTCCGACTCCCTGCTCTCCCGACAAATGGCGAAAAGTGCAGGCAAGGTCGAGGCGTTCCTAATCAACCTCGGCAACAGATTACAACCTGCGGCACGGCGCGAGTCGAGACAGTTGCAAATGCTTAAGCAAAAGCGCACACAGGTGAAGACGCTGCCGAATTTACATTTGTGGGATGAAGAGTACTACGGTGCGGCGCACGTCGAACAACAGACATTACAAACTGCACCCACGCATGATTTGTCGTCTTACTTGTCCGTTGGCACAGTCATGCAAGGTCTGTCTCGATTGCTCACACACCTCTATGGTCTGCGTCTTGTTGCTACAGACTTGCGCCCAGGCGAAGGCTGGCATCCAGATGTTCGCCGTCTTGATGTCTTGTGCGAGAAGCGTGGCTTGATCGGCGTTCTCTACTGCGACTTGTTTTCCCGTCAAGGCAAACAGCAAGGGCAGGCAGCACATTTTACCGTCCGTTGTGGTCGTAAGGTGGCAGAACAAGATTTGCTACCGGGCGAGCTCGAATTGCCAGATGGGCGACTTTGCGGGACATTCGATGGCATCACATATCAATTGCCTGTCATTTCATTGCAGTGCGACTTTGGAACGCTGAGCTCGACCTCATTTCCAACATTGACGCTGGGCGAGGTTTTGACACTCTTCCACGAAATGGGCCATGCTGTGCACTCGATGCTTGGAACAACAGACTTCCAAACGGTCAGCGGAACTCGTGTGGCTGCTGACTTTGTCGAGCTGCCATCGCAAATCATGGAATCTTTCTGCGAGTCTGCGCACGCCTGGCCACTCTTTGCTCGACACTATTCCACAGATGCCCCCGTCCCTGCTGAGCTCATGCAGCGTGCGATACGCAATAATCAGCACCTGCATGCAACGCAAGCCTATCGGCAATTCTTTCGCGCACTGCTGGATCAAAAGTATCATTCTGCATTGGCCACCCAGCAAGACTTTTCCTCAACCAGCATTTTGCGTCAGCTCCATCGTGACTGGGCACTTTCTGATCCAGAAGACACAGTCAACGCTTGGCATGTTCAGTTCACTCATCTAGCTGGCTATGGAGGAACGTACTATGCCTACATCTTTGACAAGGCTATTGCTGATCGTATATGGGACCGCAATTTTGCTCGGGATCCGCTCTCACGACGCGCTGGTGAGCAATTTAGCCAGGGACTGCTGGCGCACGGCGGTGCTAAAGATGCATGGCAGTGTGTGGCTGATGTGCTCGAGCAGCCAGAGTTGGCCCTGGGTGGTGAAGAGGCGATGGCGGAGGTGGGTCGTTGGATTTCAGCGTAGATGCAGCGGATTGATGAGGTCTACAGTGAATGTACAAGGCGTATGTGAACACTTGCCTTGGACATAGTATCAGACCTTCAAGCTGCATCTCACTCGAGCTCTTAGCTTCTTGCGCTGTATCGCAAATGCATGCGGCGCTAGCATCTGTATAGACACAAGTTGGTTATCATCTTCACAGCGCTCTGACGTGACGGCCAAGCAAGGTGATCAGCCCTCCAGGAGATTCACCACTTTTGAGCCTTCTGAGTACCTTCAACAGCTGCGCACTTACTGCTGCGCATCTTTCTACAGCTGAAGTGGTGTCGGGGTCAGTCAGTATCCAGATCTGCCCAGAAATTGGGCGTGCAGACGACGACCGCGAGTACAAAACCACAACGACATGTCAATCTGTACAGAGCTGGTAGCTTGCGCGCTGAGCTGTAGATAGTGAGGCTAAGCTGTGCGCAAGTATCAATCCGAGTCAAGACTGCTTCACACTATGACGAGCTGAAAATGAGTCATACAGGCTCAAACATACCCGCCATCTTCTGTGTACAAATGACTCACCAGCACCGGCCATTCTGGTGACACAGAAAACATATAAGGAACCCAAAGTCTGCCCTTTTGCCATTCTCTTCTTCACTATAACCACACCTTCAAAAGATCTTGATCTTCTACTTTGCCTATTCCCACAAGATGAACGCACTGTCTGAGATTGCTGTTAACCACGGCCTGGCTCGCGAGGACTCACCCTCCTCTCGTCGCCAGAAGCTCTTTGATACCGAAGGTGGGACTGCTAAAGGCCCGGGAGGAGCTCCCCAAAACATGGACTCACGCCTGCAAAGCAAGGCCATCCCTACATATCCCTTCTACCAACTGGCGTCGCCATCTGCCTTCTCTATCTCTTCCGTCGCCTCTGTTCAACCTGTTCAAGAGGATGTTCTGCCTTTCACCTCCACTCACACTACCACTACCACTACCACTTCTACTTCCGCTTCTACTCACTTTCCCGTGACGCCATACAACTCCAACTTCCTTGGTGACAGCATGCTCTCGTTTTATTCCTTGGCAAGTGGCAACGATGCTACTCCATTCCAGTCTGCCATTACGCTGGTCGAGGATTCGTCTCGCCGTCGTTCGTGGGCTGAGAGTTTTCTTTCCTTGTTCCATATGAACGAGAAGCTGCCTGTCGAGCCTGAGGCGATTGCGAATCCTTACAATGGTTTCTGGCGCTCAACGTCCACCATCGCCATCGACAATACCTTAGAGGAAGCTGCCTTAGAGGAAGCTGGAGATGAGGACGATGATGACTACGACCTATCTGTCTACGATGACGACTTCCTACTCTATAGCGATGTGGATGATTTCACCACGATAACTAGCATCTCGGCACTTCCTGCCCTTGGTTTCCGCACTCGGCCTTGGGTTGACAGCTATCTGTCGCTTCTCCAGCCATGCGAGCCCCGCGTAATTCCAAACCATAGCGAGAACACAACCACCCAACAGCCTAGTGGCCCTGAATTCCGCTACCCCGTGCCAGTCTGGCTTGGGCAATACATTGCAGTAGCCCGCATAGCCCAACCAGATGTTGCAATTGATGAACTGATTGAGCTGTATGAGGCATCCAAGTTCATGCTCGATGAAAACGGAGATCCACTAAAGATGCTTCCAGCAGAGGCGTTGCCCGAGCCCAGTTGCAAAAGGCGTGGCTGGAGGAGGGCATTGAAGAAGGCGGCCATTAAGGTCTGCGCCAAATTCAAACAGAAAACGATGCACGCAAATGGATGCACAGCAGACAGAGTGTCGTCCACGAATGGCCCGCTCGAGCAGGAGCAGGAACAGGAAGAAGAGGTAGAGCAGAAACCTGCCAAGCTGAGAAGACGAACAAATTTAGCTTGCAAAGTTGTATCGCTCTTCAAGAGCAAGGTCAAGCGATCGATAAACGCTTGAGCGTCGCAAGCTCGAGAAGCAGGCAAACTTGCCATGCCTAGTTGTATCGCTCTCCAAGTGCAGCGCAAAGGTGGTGAGCCGTATTATTTTGGCGTCGTTGTTGGTAGCCGCGCTAGAGACAACTTGATGGGGGAACACTACCTTTGTGCGTCAGGTACTGCTGGGATTTCTGTCCAGACTTGTGGCAGAGGCTTTCATTGTGGTTCAATTGTTGCATCTTCTTTCTGTTGCCAGCGTCGATGTTTTGTTTCTAGTGTGTTCATGATCGTGTTTTAGCGTAGACAGTGCGTAGCAGGCAAAGATGTTTATTTGACTAGCCATGCCTGAATGTGCTTTTTCGTGGCGTGGGGACGATGGCTAGCGTGCATCGCCAGCACTCTGACCTGAGCAGTACAAAAGGGACAACAGGACATTCGAGGATGTGATGGCGTGTAAGATGGTAGAAAGCTTAGCAAATCCTCTGCTATTTTGCTGTTGTAGAACTGCTTGACAATATCTCTGTCTGAATAAGTGTTTCGATCTGCGCTCGATGTTGTTCGTGGTCATTTGTGCGGTTTTCCATGTCAATACGTGGCACTGCTTTATCTTTAGGAAGCGGATCAGTCAGACCGAGACGCTTGCAAAGCAATCTTGTGGGAAGCCAAAGCTCGACTACCCGAGTGCGGTGTCCAAAAAGACCGAGCGGGGCCCTGGATGCAGTACCTGAGCACCCGAACATCGTAGAAACACTGCAATTGGAAATTTGCGATCGAAAGTTGGCTAATTGCGATTGGCACGAGTCGACGACATCGATGACCTCGACATTTGGAATATGTCGCACTTGCAAGTTGCAAGCCTAGGTGCTTGACGAGGGACTCGTGCTTTCAGATGGGTTCCCAGGAACCGATAGCTCGCGCCGCAACACCACAAGATGAGGAGACCTGGGAGCGTTGAATACGCAGCATGACTGCCATCAGCCTATAGCACCCAAGTGCATACAATCAAAATTCTCTCGTTTAACATGGGTACATGCATCAGTGAAATGAAAATGAATTTTGATTAAATGAAGTACCTTCACATATATCTAAAGCGGACATACGTATTTATGCCATCTCGCGGTGCTCACGGACAGCAGCATCAGTCTTACCTTCGTTTGAGATGACACGGTTGCCAGCACCCATCTCCACGTCGTCGACATACTTGTGCGAAGGTCGGAACTTTGAGGAGTTTCGAATCGTTGTCGTTGCGTAAAGCTCGTCAATCTCTTCCAAAGTAAGACCCTTGGTCTCAGGAACGAAGAAGAAAGCAAAGAGACCAGCTGCTGCACAGGTACTGCCCCAGATGAAGAAGACCTTGACACCGAGGTCGGCGTTTCCAGGTCCAGAGTCGACCATGTACGGGGTTGCGTAACCAATACCAAAGTTCCACAACCAGTTGCTTGCAGCAGAGAGAGCCATTCCCTTTGCGCGAATGGTGAGTGGGAAGATTTCACCGCAGACGACCCAGCAGACAGGTCCCCAGGTCGATGCAAAGAATGCAATGTAGATGCAGACAAAGGCGATGAGCACCTTCTGGGCGGCAAGGTTTCCAGCAGGGGTGGTCACACCGACAATGGCGACAATGAATTCGCAGAACGACATACCAATGGCACCAATAATGAGGAGCTTGCGACGGCCGAGCTTTTCAATTCCCCAGAATGCAAAGACGGTGGTACCGACGTTGACAACGTTAGTAGCGATCGAGATGATGAAGGGGTTTGAGATGCCCGAACGAAGGAAGAAGGTGGTTCCGTAGTAAAAAATGAAGTTGATACCAGTGAGTTGTTGCCAGCCCTGGAGAATGGTACCAGTGAAGGTACGGAGCAAGTGACGCTGAGAACCGCCGGGACGGAAGCAGTCGAGCCATGAGCCGCTTGAGTGAGCCTGTTCAACTTCAAGGTTGGCACGGATCTCGTTGAGCTGCTCTTGTACTTCGACGTCGTCGGGTGTGGTGGCATTGAGGCGGGCAAGAGACATGGCAGCCTTCTCGTACTTGCCCTTCTTGATGTAGAATCGAGGGGACTCTGGGAGGAAGAAGAGACCGAGAGAGAGAATAGCGGCCCAAGCAATCTGGAGACCGATTGGAATGCGGTAGCAACTGGCGTCGTTGAAGTCCTTTGTTCCGTTTGTTGCAATGGATGCGACAAGGAGACCAATGGTAATGGCCCATTGGTAGCAAGAGACAACAGCTCCGCGAATCCACTTGGGTGCACACTCAGACTGGTACATGGGAACCATGGTAGAGACCAAACCGACACCGAAACCGGCAACGACACGGCCGACAATAAACAGGGGCAGAGCAGTTGATGCAGTCTGGAGAGCAACACCAACGCTGAAAATGACCATGGTCAACAAGAGACCGAGACGACGACCAAAGAAGTCTGCAACAGGGGCACCTGTCAGTGCTCCACAGAAAGTACCAGCAGACAGAATGGAGACAGTGAGCGACTTGTTACTGGTCGACAAGTCGTACCCGTTAGGGCGCGCTTCGCTCACGCCGATGAACTCGCCAAAGTTCCTACGGAAGAACTCCATGGCGATAACACCAGAGATGTTTCCTGTGTCATAACCAAACAAGAAACCACCAAAAGCGGCGAAGACTGTGATCTGTGGGCATGTTAGAGGGAGGGCATAGGAGAATTGATGGGACATACAAGGATAGCCGGGACCTTGGAGTGTTGCTTGACCATTGTGCGTGGGCAAGAAACAACTTTGTCTATAGGGGGAGAAGAGGGAACGGGGGGGTATTGCCTGCTTTATATGTGCGACGAGGATCAGCTCCCACTCCCTCTCGTGTGCCTGCGCTCTCTCGTGTGTATTTTTTTTTCATTCTTCTTCTCCAGGAAATGCTTCTCTCCCTCTCTCCATCAATTCGGCCTCTCTGCAGCCAAATCTGGCCCAGACGCCGCCGCCCGCACGATCGCTCTTTTCCCCCCCAGGCCGCCGCACGCCCGCACCTGCCATCCCCCTTATTTGCCTTTTCCTGTGCGCGCGCTCCCCATTGGCTGCTTCGAGCCGGGGGAAAAGGTGGAGTGGCTGCCAAACAAAAGTCACTCGCACTCACTCCACGCAGAAACAGTCACGCCAAGCTCCTGAGTCCTGCTCTTGCTCGAAATAGCCTGCTTGAGCAGCTTGACGCAGGTGCAACTATGAGCTAGTAGAGCTATCATAGTAAAGACCGTTCGAGTTGTGCTTATGGGCTATCCGTTCATCAATACAGTTACAAGTTGCCCAAACTACGTACATGCATACAGGCACAAATGAGAATCAAGATAGCCTCAGCGACCGTCTCTCGCGCTGAGAACCACAACTACCATCCACTAGTGCGCCGTCCATACTCTAGACCCTGGTTACATTTCGGTTACTAGTTTGAATATGGACAACGCGCATATGCATCATTGCATCTGCTGCAATGGCCATGATAGCAAAATCGGAAATCGCGTACGTAATCGGAGACGACTCAGGAACCAGTAGCGTCTCGGTAAACCTTCAAGGCCACTCAAGCCCTGCTCAATCCTCACAACTTCCGAGGACAAGCTGTCAAGAGTCAAGACGTCCCTGGCCAGTCGACTACGATACAGTCTGACACCAGCAGTGCATGGACCTGGCCACCAGCTCAGTTGAGCTGTTAACATTAGCTGCAAAGTTCAAACACCAGTCGCGTATTCGACACTCGCGTATAATCTTTAGCGCGTGTCGATCAACGCAACGGAACGGCAGCGCAGACTCGGTGCGAACTTCGACGGTGGGAAATGGATTCATCAATCAAAGTCTCGATTGGCGAGGTGTCCAATCACATCGCTGTGACAGTTTCTACTTTCGTCGAATTTAACCGGTCACGGCGGAATCGTAATGAACTATAGGCTAGCGCATAATTTACAGCCATAGTATAACATTGGTAGATTGGCGACTATGTGCAATGTGCATTGACCACCTGTAGCTTGTAGGCTGTAGCTAGTAGCTACTTTGAGGCTACTCAGAACGTTAATGGTCAGAATTAGACTTAAAACGCTGAGAACAGTAGCAAGGCTCAGCATGGAAAGGTCGTTAGGGCGTACTCAGATCATTAGACTTGAATGCAGATAGAGGATACCACTTGTAAGTTGTAACGTACAGTCGCGAAAAGAGCTTCCTGAATCCTGAGTGCCTGCGTTTCAATCACATCGACCAATCGACGACGCTGCGTGCCGCGGAGTCGTGCACAGGCCTCGACGTTCGACGATACGAGTATTAGCTTTCAAGCTCATGAAATGGACGATATAGTTATATCGACATTATACCAAATCTCAAGATCGCGTCGCGACTCGCGACCCGCGGCCGCGGGCCCACGGCCTTTGGATTCTTTTACCCGGACGTGGAAGCCTGGAACGCCTGGAACGGTCGTGCTTCCGGCTTTGGCTTCGGCCCTTCTTCGCTGCTTTTGCCCGCAGCCCGCTGCCCGCCCACGGAAATAAATTTTCGATCAAGTCTTAACTCAAGTCGCATTCAGCTTCTAGTTTCTCAAGTCTCATGGTCTTATGGCCAGAACTAGAGTAAGCGGCCCGAAGTAAATTTCAAGTCCTTTGTAAGTTGTAAGGTGTGAGTTGTAGCCTGGGCTCTGAGAATTGAGTACGGTGTGCTGCTGTAGCCTGTACCTTCTTTAGGTCTGTCGGGCTTTCCGAGGGACGGCGTGCATGGGAAGCATGTGAAACCTCGCTGCCTCAGTGCCAGTCTGACAGTCTGACAGACTGTGAGTCAGTGACAGTACAGGCGACTTCAGACTGGCATGTGTGAGGCACACGCCCCCTGTTGTACCGCTCGTTCCCACAAATGGCAGCTCACAACCTGAAGGCCGGTAACGGCGGTAAGCTCAAGCTGCAGGCTCCTGTGCATGCAGTCTGACTCGCGCCTCTGCCTCCCGCATGTTGCGATGAGAGTCTTGAGTCTCTTGACTCTTGAGCTGCTGAGCATCGAGCAACGAGCGAGCCGAGATGTCACTGCCTCCCCAAGAAGGTCTGCAGCCGTCGAATCAGTGTCGAGCATGTCAATTTGACAAAGACAGCCATGGCTTGAAGCGCTTGTTTGCTTCGGGCACTTCGCACTAGTACTTGGCAGAGTCAGCATACGACTCCAGACACAAGTCCATATAGCGAGCATCAACCTGCATTGGGCTGCAAGACGGACGAAAGATTGGCAAGCCATCCTGCATCATACACGTTGTTGAGCTGCCTCAATGTGATTTCTTCATTCTTCCTCACAACCTCCCTCTTAACGAGCATTGCCTGTCGCTCTCGCACAACCAGTGCAATCTCGCCATCGTGTAGGGCGTTGCGCACATCTTCAAACTTGAGCGTCTCGTTCGTTGTCACCCCAGACCACACAAGGTAAAGATGATAGAAGAGGAAAACAAAGACGAGCAGATTGCAAATGCCGGAAAATAGAGCCAAGGAGCCCAATGCCGGGTCCAATCGAAGTGTGGCGAGCACAGAGAGTGAAGCCTTTGCCACCTCACGCTTTGCAAGCAGAATCTGGACAAGAACAATGAAGGCATAGGAAAAAGTGATGATGTTGGAGATGAGGAACACAAGAAAGAAGCGCATGTTTTGCTCCCCGACGCATCCATTGATCCAGACACTGACTGTCAGCAATGTAAGTTCTCAAGGGCCTTACCAGTGATGATCGTGCTTGGCGACACACTTGTTGCATAGAGGACAATGCTTGCTTCGGGCTACTTTAGATCGTCTGCATGTTCGGCAATCTTGGCCTGTTCGGTAGAGCACTTGGTCATACTTGTACCGCTGCATGTAATATGCGTGGTTTTCCGCAGTAATGATGCCTGGATCGGTTGAAGCAGCTTTGAATAGGCTCCATAAAGGAGCAGCGATGAGTATTGGCAAGCACATGCGATGCTTCGTGGAGAGTAAAGGCGCTGCTCTAAGCAAATATATGCACACACAGCCGCAGTACAATATCAAGTAAAACCAGAGCACAATGGGGTGTCGTTCATGTGCAACTCTTTGATAAGAACGCTGCAAGACTGGTCTGAGACGCCCTTGTATCAGACGAGCGTCAAGCTTGTCCAAAAGAGACGGCAGCTTGATGGTCAGCAACGTTTTTGCTTGCCCAATGGGCGTCTGTTTGAGAGCCGGTACATGGCCAAAGAGCACAAGAAAGGTCACCAGACTGAATACGCAAATGAACGTCAGGAGCAGAGGCAAGCTGACCATTACGATGCGACAATTAGCGCACAAGCTCAAGCATGTTTGTCCGGGTATTTGAGTGCAATCTAGGCGTAGCCTCGTAGGCTGCGACAAATTTACGCGACCTGCAGCAAATGGAACCCAAAAATACAACGCAGTCCAACACCGACACTCTGCAGGCAGATGAGACGGTCTATAGGGCGCCTGGCTGCGGCGCTCCTTCTAATTTCTGCTGTTGCTGCTCATGAGCACCATACTCACCAGATCTCTCCAGATGCCGTTATCTCCGACAAGCCGATAGACGCCAAGCTTTGGATGCACATCATTCTCATGCTGCTCTCCTTCGGCATCTTCTTTCCTTTGGGCGTTGCTCTGGGTGTCGCCAAGTCGCGTTGGCATGTGCCTGTACAGATACTGTCTACTGGTCTGGCTGCATTTGGTATCGTCCTTGCGCATACGCCGCGCACGGGTCGCCAGTTTCGTGCCAACATTCATGCCAAGTTCGCACCGTGGCTCATTCTCTATATGCTCATCCAGATTGCTCTTGGCTTCTACCTACGTCTCCATCTCGAGCGCGGATTGAACAAACGGTTGCGCGCCTGGATTGTCCCCATTCATGGCGTACTGGGGAAATTCATGCCTCTACTTGGGTGGATACAAATGGGCTTTGGTGGCATCACAGCGCTCGGATTCTGTAGAAATGCTACAGGCGACCATCTTGGACAATGTCTTGCTCACGGCATTATGGGCTCAGCTTTTGTCGCGTACGGCATCTGCTTTTGCATCATGCTGACCGTACCTGCACGACTTTGGTTGCAGCGCAAAAATGTAAGCCAAGAGCTGCTCGATAGTAGCGTCATTATGGCATGGGGACTAGTGAATGCACTGACGGAACATCGCTGGGGTCAGTCATGGAGTCATTCAGACTTGCAACACACATCTATGGGCATTATCTGGTTCTGTGCCGGTATCGCTGGAATCTTCCTCAGTATGGGCAACCGCCGTAATGTCGTGCCAGCAGCAGTCATATTGCTGACTGGCTGGGCGATGAGTCGACACAAGCAGCGCATCATGCTTTCCACAGATATGCACGCCATCTTCGGTCACACTCTCATGGCGGCTGGAGTGACGCGGATTGTCGAAGTGGCCGTCTTGCTACGTGACCAGCCTTACCAGCAGGAAGGCGACAAGCCCCAAGTACGTGCTTTCCAGTACATTCCGTGCTACCTGTTGGTCGCAAGCGGTCTGCTGTTCATGTTCTCCAACGAAGAGCAATTGGTCATGATTAACGATGCAAAGATTGACGCAGTCTCGTACAGCTTGCTAATCTACTCGCTGGCGTTCCTTGTCGTCTTCTTTGCCAACTTCCTCATTCATGTAGCACTGACGGCCGGTGCTCAACCCAAGGACATTCAGAGTCACGGTAGCAACCTTGGGCATGTTCCCATTGCACAGGAAGAAGAATTTGAGCTCGGCCTCATGTCTGACAAGGAAGATGAGGATGCATAGTCCCTAGTGTTGTAATCGCAATGACATAATTCGGCAATTTTGCTTCCCGCGACAAAAGGCGACTTCACAAGTGGCTCAATCTTGCGACAACACCACATGAGCCTACGTCAGGCAGTGCTTCGGGCAAGGCCGCTGCACACTGCAGGTCCAATGTTACGGCGCGGGTACGCGTCGAGAGGGCAGGAACCTGTTCCTAGGTTGCGCAAATATGCCAATTGGGCCATCAAGGGCTGCGGCATCACTGTCATCGGCCTTGGCCTCGGTGTGGCAGGCTTCTTTGCATTTGATGCCATGACCTACCACGACTCAGAAGCGCGTGGAGTCAGAGTCGCTGCATTGGCACTGGAACCGGAGCGCGGCGGACCCAAGAATCTTCCAATTGCCAGCCAGTTTATTGATGAGAACGACGATGAGTCTGCACAACGTAACAAGGATAAACTCAGACTCGTTGTACTTGGGAGCGGATGGGGCGCTGTGTCTCTAATTCAAAGACTCAATCCAGACAACTACAACGTCATTGTCATTAGCCCGTCCAACTACTTTTTATTTACGCCCTTATTGCCTTCCGCTACGGTCGGAACTGTTGAGCTGCGCAGTATCGTCGAGCCAATCCGCAAAATTGTCAACAGAGTGCGAGCACATTATTTGGAAGCATCGGCACAAGCAATTGATTTTGGCAACAAGCTGATCGAAGTCTCGGACCGGGCACCAGACGGCACAGAGCGCAGCTTCTATGTACCCTACGATAAGCTTGTCATTTCGGTCGGGGCTGCACAGAATACCCATGGTGTCGACGGCCTTGAACACTGTCACTATCTCAAAACAGTACAAGACTGCCAAAAGATTCGTCGCCGCGTTATGGACAACTTTGAGCAAGCCGTATTGCCAGTCACGACAGAAGAGGAGCGCAAAAGACTCTTGTCCTTTGTTGTATGTGGCGGTGGTCCAACAGGAGTTGAATTCGCGGCAGAGTTATTCGACATGATCAACGAAGACTTGTCCAAATTCTTCCCCAGAGTGCTGCGCAACGAAGTGAGTGTTCACGTTATTCAGTCGCGCAGCCACATTCTCAACACTTATGACGCTACCATCTCGGAGTATGCGGAGCGCAAATTTGCACATGATGATGTGGATGTACAGATTAATGCTCGCGTACAGAAAGTGCTCAAAGACAAGGTCATCTTCAGTCAAAAGATGGATGGGAAGGAAGTCACCAAAGAAATTCCATTTGGGTTGTGTCTCTGGTCCACGGGTGTTTCGCTCGCACCCATCACTCAACAAATATGTGAGAATATCGAAGCGCAACAGAACAAGCATGCCATCGAGACAGACTCCCACTTGCGAGTCATTGGGCTACCGCTCGGCGATGTATATGCCATCGGAGACTGTTCTACAGTGCAAAATAATGTTGCGGACCACGTCATGGACTTCATCAAGGGCGATGTTCGCGAGCAGGTCGATACGAAGGGCAACTGCGAGATTTCGCTCAAAGACCTTGAGCAAGTGGCTACTGAAATCAAACGAAGCTTTCCACAAGCAAGTGATCATCTTGCGAAATTGGACAAGGCATTGGAAAACTTTGACGTTGATAAGAATGGCAAGCTCGATCTAGATGAGCTCAAGGAGTTTCTCGTTTCGATTGACAAGAAACTCACTTCACTGCCAGCGACTGCTCAACGTGCGCACCAGCAAGGCACATACCTGGCCAAGAAGTTCAACATTCTCGCCCGCACTGCTCCCATTTACGAAATGAATGAGATCAAGGATGGCGACATCGACGCGGCCGTCTACAAGGCCTTTCAATATCATCACTTAGGTTCTCTCGCTTATCTTGGCAATTCCGCTGTTGGAGACTTGCCAGGTGGTTACTCCTTTACGGGTGGTCTCATCGCCATGTATATGTGGCGTTCAGTTTACTGGTCAGAGCAAGTCAGCCTTCGGACTCGTGTCTTACTTGCGATCGACTGGGCAAAAAGAGCAGTAAGTTTATGCATTGGGAGACAAGACTAACGATAGATTTGGGGACGAGATCTCTCTCGATTTTAGCAAAGTCATCTACCCTAGACTGCGTTTCTTTCACCGATAAACAAGTCTGGTTTGAGCCCTTCAACCACGCCTGCACATACTTTGATTTCAACCACTTGCTCACGGCCGTATCTATCCACTTGCGTCATGAAGAGCGTGAATGAAGCGCGTCCAAGACATCGATAGATGCGTTCATTGAAACGCAGTCGTGCGCTGCCTGGTTGCTGTAGCTGTGGTCGCGGCGTTATGCAGTTGAAAAGAGAGCTTGAAATGTAAGACGCACCCTCTGCACTGCTTTGAAATATTTGAAACATTCTACCGCTTGGCAGCCGAGCTTGTAGCAGGCGAATGTCTGGTCGCCGCTGTGCCAAGATTTGCGTCAAGCCATTAGTCTGAGGTCCGTGCGACAATGTTGGCTGGAGCACAGATTGGGGGTTGTAGGTGACTGGCATAACTCTGTCAGATCTCGCTTGCTGTTGATTGTATTCCAACGAGCCCAGGTGATGCCTCAACCCAAGAAAGTGTGGACGAGGCGTCTGCGCATCGCTCCTGGCAAGTCGTCTTGCACTTTCCTTTTGTCTTTCGTCGTCATTACTGTACAGACAAAGAGGCTTGTTGACCATTATCCTAGTTTCGGGTGCTGGCTATGCCATCTTATAAAGTCTCGACAGGGGTTGCGCTCGAGCTGGTGTGTCAGAATGATGGCCCTTATTTGGAACACCTTGACAATGGAAAGCCACCAAAATGCACTTCCAGTAGATTATATACATCCACCCAGTGCAAAGATTGACTTGATATCGAACTGCTGTCAATTGCTGGGGGCACTTCTTGCACTACCCAAGATACAAAATCGAGCAACAGGCATGGCATCTGAACTTCTTTTTCGCCTCTGGACGTCGACTTCAATCGACTTCAACCAATTGAATGAAGGTCAATCAATGGACGTCAACATCTCATGAGCGCTATCACGGCACTGGTCATAGCTTCTCTGTCACAGAAATAGACCTGAGCTGAGCAAAGCTGAGGAGGATCTTAACGACGCTTCATTACAATCATGTTGACCATGAGCTCGAGCGACCATAGGGCGGCTCTCATCGTCATGAGTCCCGAACAGATCTAGATCGCGCGTCGTGATACTGTTAGAGCCCGTGAAGGCTTTCTCTGATATTCTACAGAGTGGCAAATGCATATGCTCTGAAACCAATGGTGTATGCACATAATGCTTTCCGGACGATGACACACAGCTGCCATAAGCACATAAGAACAAGATTGGCGTCCGTTGGATATTCCCTCTTCTGCTCATTCAAGTCACTCAGCATCGCAGTAGTGAGACTTCGCAGCTATAGCTACTATCAAAGCACCATTCCCAGACTGATTTCAAATTGACAGATGAAATTACCGTTTGAGCGCGCACGGACTCCTCAATGCGTTGACTCAGACGCGTCGGACGCTCTCTTAATACAGCAGATCAAGGTAGTCCACGTGCCTAATGAGACGCTCAAGCCTCAAAGCTATGGGTCGATATCTTGCCAGTCATGCCCCAGTTCATTGCCGACTGCAATCAACATGGAGCAAAAGACCAGCATCACAGTACAGAGCGATGCGTTCCTGGTCAGCGGAGATGACAGGCGTCTAGCACAACTTGGTTATGAGCCTGTTTACAAGCGCTCCATGTCGCGGTGGGCGATCCTTGGGCTGGCATTCAGCGTTCTTTCTTGTTGGGGTGAGATTGGCAGTTCTTTGACTTCTGGTCTGAACGCTGGTGGACCGGCAGGGCTTGTTTGGTCTTGGATCGGAGTATCCATATGCACAATTCCTGTCGTCTGGTCCCTAGCAGAGATCTGCAGCTATCATCCAACATCGGGCGGACAATATTTCTGGGTTGCCAATATGGCCAGCCCGAGATATGCCCGTGGACTGTCGTATGCGACTGCTTGGGCACAATTAGCTGGTCTTGTTGGACTCGGGACAGCAGCAGCTGCAAATGTCGGCGAATCTACTTTTGGCATGATTGGGCTGGCCATGGAAGACTTTGAAGAAAAGTCATGGATGCTGGTCGTCGAAGGGCTCGGCATCATTCTCATTTGTGCATGCTTCAACATTTTCGGCAGACGGCTTCTCAACGGCACTGGCCTTTTCGCGCTCGTCTTTGGTGTTGGTGGCCTAATTGTAACAGTCATTGTGCTGCTTTCCATGGCAGACGAGTTTCAATCGGCTCGTTTTGGTATGTGCTCTTCTGAAAACAGCAAGGCTGACACTAGTTTTCACGGAATATGCAAACAACACAGGTCTTTCGTCGCGTTTCTCTGGTGTAGTGGTGTGCCTGGGCATCACCAACGCAAGCTACGTTCTTGTTGCCTACGATGAACCCGGTCACCACACTGAAGAAATGCCTAATCCCCAGGTGGATGCGCCAAAAGCCATGGTATGGTCAGTGTACTTGGGATGCGTCACTGGATTCTTCTATCTGCTCAGCATTCTCTTTTGTATCACAGATCTCGATGATGTTCTCGATGCAGACAATCCAATCTTTCCGTTTGTTATGCAATGATGGAGGCCACGCTGACGATAGCATTTACTTTCAAGCTACACACTCCCTAGCAGTCAGCTGCGTTCTAGGCGTCATTTTGCTCATGACCCAAGTGATTGCGGAAATCTCCTTTATTGCAGAGACAAGCCGTAGTCTTATGGCCTTCGCCCGCGACGGCGGCTTGCCCTTCAGCAGATGGCTCAGTCATGTACACCCGACACTCAATGTACCCATTAGGGCAATCTTCTGTTCTTCCATTCTTCAAGGGATCGTCATGCTCATCTATTTTGGAAGTTCTACAGCATTTTTGACCATCATTGCTTTGGGTACGGTCGGGTCGTATGTGTCTTATGCAGTGCCTATTGGGGTCAAGCTGTGGTCTCGTCGCGATGGCCACGCTCCGGGGCCGTTCGCCATGGGCCAGAACATCGGATTCCTATGCAACGTGGTTTCTATTCTATACCTTGCGTTTGCCATTCTGTTCTTTCATGTCCCAGCACGCTATCCAGTCTCGGCCGGCAACATGAATTACATGGTCAGTCAATTCCTCTTCTCCAAAGCTTCTAACATCAGATTGTCGCTACTGCAATCGTTGCGATGCTCGCAAGCCTATGCTGGACAATTGGTCAAGCACGCCACACTTTCATGCGGAAAACGACCGTCGTGCTGCATGAGTCCAAGTAGCTAACCGAGCGAGGCTTCGCCCAAGAGAACTTGCAGCAATTTGATGCCCGAAGAGCCATCGTCCTCCGGAACCTGGTGTCCGGCCAGCTTGAGCTGTACATAGCTCAGACCTCTTTCCTGAACGTAGTGTCCCGTCTGGCCTTTTCCCTCCACAGAAAATGGCTTCATGATTCCTTGATTGAAGCCCCGAGCGTTGTTGAAGGTCATCGATTGCAGTGCCAGTCGGGTTCCTTCTTCAATCAGGACTAGATCGAGCATCCCATGCACAACAATGACGCGACCAATTTGTTCGATAAGGTTTGGCAGCACCTGCTTGACGACATTCGGAGAAGTGTCGCCATTTGGAAAGACTGGCGAACGTGCACAGGTCGTCCAACTGGTGGGCGGCGCATTGATTGCCATTTGAACGTCCGTACGATTGAAGTAGAGTTGCCCACCTGGCGGCAAGTACTCTTGGGAAGCTGGGAAACCCATTGGGTCGTACGGAAGGGAGGAATCTGTCACTTTGTAGATGTCAAAGTTGGGGTTTTTCCGAGTGCATTCATCCACCAGCCGTTGCCAAAGTCCTGAGCAAGCTTGTGTTGTATTGAACCGCTGATCAGTTAAATCAGACGACCCGATAGATGTAGGCCCGGGGAGTTGCGATTGAATCAAAAAAGTGTAGCCACAGTCGTCAGAAATTTGTTGTATTTCTCGCATTGTTGAGTCGTCGAGTCCAAGGACCGCCTTGTTGCGTTGCATGAAAGCGGCCGAAGGCACTTCCTCTTGTAAAGTCATCGAGGTCAACACGGCTACTGTCAGCGGCGCTTTGATCTAAGCGAAATTACGATCAATCAGCATGACTCCGGTGAGTCGTACCTTGTTGCCATCGTCTAGCATCTTTTTGCCAATGTACGGAATGTACTTGCCTGCATAAGATTCCCCAGTGAGAAACAGAGGTTGGGGCTTCACTTCGGGAAAGACGTCTCTGAATTGTTGCAGAAAGCCATAAAACTGAGCAGCCAAGGTTTCCTCATTATCCGCGTTGGCTACCCCTTGAGAGAACCTAGAGTTAGCCGAAATGACTCTCGCTTCATGACATACCCAGTGCCAACGGGCTGCTCGATGTACAGCATCGATGTGTATTGCGTCCAGGAGTTAGGGTTTCTCTCTGGTTTGAGCATACCCTTCCGATACATAATGGGTCCATTCTCCTGCAACACGCCTTCGAGGGAGCTGCAGCCTGGACCACCATTGAGAAAGATGGTCAATGCGTGATTCTCTTTGCTGGGAAAGTACCAGAAGAAGAGTTGTCGCGATTCGCCAGAGATCTGAGAGACCGGCAATAGACCAGCAAAGGAAGGGCCAACGTCAAAATCAACATCAGGAATGGCCGTACCATTGACCGTAAACTGCTCTCTGGAGAACGCCCACGCGCTAGACAACAACAATGATAGAGCTTGCAACATAATGAACAAAATGCAGCTCATCGAAGCATATATCAAGGATGAAACTAGTGACGTGTTTGAGCCTGAAGCCACTTTTGCAATGAAGTTTCTTTGTGATGCCGTGTTTGCTCAGGATGCCATAAGCCGCGCTCCTCCAGCGCTTGGTCGAGTTCTAGATCATCAAGCAGTTTGACGGGCTGCGCCTGTTTTGCCAAGAGTTTCGAGTCTTGAGCAAGATACATTTGATGACGGACGTAGCGACCATTCAGGATACTGGTAGGCGTGATGCTAGCAAAAGGCCCGACCAGGCCATACTGTCTGCAGCTTTGTAGCAGGAATTGCCTTTCGGGCATACCGCCAGTTGGCAATGCCACCTTCCTGGCGATTCGCGCTCTTTTTTGCCGTCTGCTTAATATTTGTTTTGGCAGCAAGACGGTTCCCGGTAGCAGCGGACTCAGAAAGAAGACCAAAAGGGGCAACCACTCTCCAAATACAAGGAATAAGAGCCCAAAGACCGGGAGCTTCTTGGAGTCGATGGCTGATCTGAGCACCAGTTGATATTGTGCCCGGGAAAGCTGTTCTCCATGTAAGGTTGCTGGGGAAGCCTCTCCAAGGTGTTGCGTTGATGGCCCTGCCACAGGATTGAGCAAAGCGTCACCAGCAAAACGTTGCTTAATAGACTTGGACACCTTCCGGTTCGCGAGAATCTGTTTGGTGCCAGACTTGTAGAATTGCAAGTAAGCCTTACCAAGCTTGAGCAGGTATTTGAGCTGATTGGCACTCTCTGACTTCTCCGGCAAAGTCAAGGGCGGAGGAAAGGTAGAGGGTGCATTAAGGCGATCTACTTCGAGAGCTTCTTCTATCTTGCTCGCATCAGTGAGCTGCAACTGAATTGGCTTTGCTGGCATGGTTGAAACCATGCGGTAGCTGTTGAAAGCATATTGATCCACGAAACATCTGTACAAAGACCTTTTATAGCTTTGCAAGGCTGTGACCTGTAACTTCATCATGAGAAACCGCAATAGCAGATGTGACTTGTGTAGGCTGTGGGCCGTGGCGAGGTTCTGTGAGTGGACAAGTCGCTGACGTAAGGCACTCTGCCGCGGCGAGATGGGTCGCACCAGACGTCGCTAAACCAAACGCATACAGCATGAACTCGGACCACTACACGCAAAGCTGAAGGCCTTGAAAGACTACCACTTCGACATTTGACCAATGAGTACTTCTGAATTGTTCACGCTTCCTGGCGGAATATACGGCGCAACGCCAACATTTTTCCACGAAGACGAATCTGTGGATATTCAAACTTGTGTAGAGCATAGCATTCATCTCGCCAAAGCTGGTGTCGTCGGGCTTGTCCTCCAGGGTACAACTCTTCTGCATTACAACCGAGCTCACAAAAGGTTCGACTGGTGAAGCCGTTTCTTTGACAAGAGATGAGCGCAGACAAATCATTGCTGCTGCACGGCAAGGGCTAGATGATGCGCATCATCAAGAAGTCGTGATTGTTGCTGGCATTGGTGCAGGCTGTACAAGAGAGGCAATCAATCTGGCAAGAGATGCAGCAGAATCAGGGGCTATTTGCGGCATTTCACTTTGCCCATCCTACTTCATCGGCCAAATATCTGACAACGTCATCGTCGACTACTACACTAGGCTTGCCGACATGTCTCCCATTCCAATCTTGATCTGTAATAAAAATCACTCCAGAGATGCTCGCTAACATCAGACAATTTTCCTGCTGTCACGAACGGCCTCAACATTTCTGCTGTCGTGCTTGCACAGCTGGCACAGGTTCCAGGAATTGTAGGATGCAAGTTGACATGCAACTCAATTGCAAAGATGCAATATCTTTCTCCAAGTGGCGGCAACCTGCAGAGGCCCTTTCAGGTGTTCCCGGGCTCCACCGAGTTCTTGTCTGCTGCCTGTACAGCAGGTGTCGCGGGTTCTATCACAGGTATGGCCAATCTCTTTCCTTACACAGTTGTGCGACTGTGGCATCTGCTGCAGACTGGCAAAGACAAGGAAGAAGCCCAACGCTTACAGATTCTCGTTACAAATGTATGCTCTTGCGATGTCATCCGTGCTGACAGTAGTATGAGTACCACATGATGAAGGCCTTCCTGCCGGGTGTACGTGCAACACTTGATATTCTCGGCCGGCATGGCGGTCATTCCCGGGCGCCGCTGCCAGACGCAACAAAGGAGGAGGTTGAGTTCTACGCTTCGCAAATGACAGACATTGCTGCAGAAGAGAAGCGGCTCGCTGCTCTTGGCTGATGTGGGAGTCTCGTGACAGGCAGTCAAGCGCCGGATCTTACCAGGAGTTGCCCATCAATCTGCACATCGACTGCTTGGGCTGTTTGCAAGTCTATTACTCGAATGTCCCTAAGTCTCATCATGCCAATATTCATAGCAATGAATTGCAATTGGACAAGACGCATGGCTTTTGGTGCTAGAGGTCCTACACGCACCTCATTTGTCAGACAAATCAAATCCACATCACCGCCCACTGCAGTCCTTAGACTTTGGCGACCTTGCAGCGATAGTCTTTGATCATTTGATGTTGGTAGCATTGGCAGCTGCTTGGATCCTTGCGTAGATTGTGGCACTTGTACAAGGAGTGCCTTGTGTTGATTCGTTTGATTGCTCACAGCTAGAGATACTGTAATTGTCTCTCCAAGTAGACAGCCTGTCGGTGTTGTAATCTTCAGCTGAATGCCTTCAAATGGATGTCCAGCTGCACGGCTACTATTTGTAGACTGCGTCGAGATACGCCTGGAAAGCCTGTCGCCTGGCGGTTGACCCTTTGGGCTAACAACCTGGCTCGTTGGTCGTTTGCCATGCTGTGGCGGCTCATCGGGTCGGATGCGGATGATGGTTGCCCATTTCGAGCGAATTTCAGGGCTGTTCCCTAAGGCATCGGTCGAGACGTTTGGCTGAAGGAGCATAAGGAATTCAGCAGGAATTGTAGGGCCTGTGCTGAGCTGAGAGGGTGAAAGCTCGTACACTAATGATAGTTGCTCGCGCGCTCGAAGTCTGAGTGGCATAAGTGGTGCGCCAAGGGCAGAAACTTTGCTCCCATCAGAAGTGAGTGCAGTCATCTCAACCACTTCGACCCATTTGTCCTTGTCTGTTTCAACTGAGGCCTCAATTTCGAGTGAGACGAGTGCTCGGTTTGCGTGAGGCAGGAACGTGCTCTGTATTCGCAAGCTAATGGCAGACTTGCAGGGGAATGTTCGACGTGCATGCTTTCTTAGTCGGACCTGTGCAGATTCTGTACGCGCAGAACTCAGGGTAAGTAGGCGGCTTGCTGAGAGTCGCGGCCCATGTGGGCCCAAATCAGCATCATTGCACAGGCTCTGCAAGATGTTCAGGTCGCTCGCTTCTGACTCGTCAATCATATACGCATTTTGTATTTGACAAGCTTCGATGCTAGGCTCGTAGTTGAGTGTGACATTGAATGTAGTACGACTAGCTCCAGTGCGAGCCTTGACGAAAGCTGGCGTTAGCAGAACTCCAAATGCTCACAAGTCCATACGAATGAAGATTTTGGATGACCAAGCAAGCATGACTGTTTCTGTATCTTTTATCACTCCTAGAAGACATCCTGGTGTTAGACGCTCAGAGAAGACAAGCTGTCCAGGTGCTTTGCGACCGGCAGAAGCATCAGCTGACTCTGCTACTTCAGATACCGTAGCATCGACATTGATTGTGACTCCAGCAGATAGAGACTTGATTTGGTCTTCTGTATGAGCTGTAGAGAAGCGTAGTAGCACAATGAGAGGCACTTCTTCGTCAAAAAAGATAGCATTGCGCGTCTTTTTGAGAGAATCAGCAAATTGTGCAAGCGGTACGTCCTTTTGTGCGGAAGCAATCAGGATTTCAGCAACAGCAGCATCAAATGCCTTTCCCAGAGTCTCCATCACCTGCAAGCGAGCTCACTCTTCCATGGCAAGCATGTGTAGGTTGTGTCTGTTGTGTCGTGCGATTCTTGTGAATTTGAGGATGGAGCCGAAGTCTGCGACATGTACAAGAACAACTACGAGGCTGAGTACAAGCGCTATAGACACTGGGGGAACATGTCGCGGGCAAGGAGCAGGAGCAAGGACAGGCAGAGAACACCGTGGCAGGAGTTCAAGACTGAAGATGGTCGGGTCTACTATTTCAACACAGAGACGCAGGTGACGACATGGGACAAACCAAACGATACATCTGCGACCCCAGGTACAAGACCGCCTGTGCCAGCACAAGACGATGCTGCAGATTGGCAAGAGTATGAGACTCCCGAAGGAAAGAAATACTACTACAATGCCACGACTCAAGTTACAACATGGGACAAGCCTGCTGTCCTGTTGCGCAGTGGCCATTCTGCACGAGATACGGCTGCTGCGCAAGAGTCAAGAATGGACGATGCAGAGCTCGCAGAAGAAGTCCAGAATGAGATTGAACGGACAGACAAAATAATGATGGTGGATCGTGAAGGGCGTGCCATTACAGCTGCTATGTATGCCTTGTCGGACGAGGCAGTACCAGTCTTCAAGACCAGCGAAGCAGCCGAGGAAGCCTTCTTCAAGCTTCTTAAACGCAGCGGTGTGGCTCCAGATTGGACTTGGCAGCAGGCGATGCGAGCAGCCATCAAAGACCCTGTCTGGCGCGCGCTCCCGACAACCGTTGCACGCAAGGCAGCTTTTGAACAGTATCTCGTGGAAACACGCAAAGCAACACTTGGAAAGCAACAGGATCGTCTTGAGAAGCTCAAGAAAGACTGGACTCAAATGTGCACGAGGCATGATGAGATTAAACCATGGTCAATGTGGACAAACATACGTCCCTACCTTGAGGGCGAAAGAGCTTTCAAGGCGGCACTCGACGAAGACGAGCGCGAAGCACTCTTCGAGATGTACGTCATGCAATTGGCAGAGGCGGAAAAGTCGCGCAAAGTGCAAGAGGTTACCGATGGCATTCGTGCGCTCTCGCGAGAGCTTGATGACATCGACATCACGCTGAATATGACGTGGCACGAAGCAAAAGCAAAGATCGATGAAGCAAATGTGAGCTTTCGATACAAAAGCCTCAGCAAGCTTGACGTACTACAAGCATACGAGGACTTTGTCGACAGCAAGGAAAGGCAACAAGCGATCGCTACGAAGCAAGCTAAAGTGGAAGAGCGACAACAGGAACGTAAGAATCGAGAGGCCTTTACCACGTTACTTCATTCCTTGCGCGATCAAGGTGATATCTACGCGGAAATGCGCTGGCAAGACATTTACCTGCACATCAAGGAGGAGGATGCATTTCTAGCAATGCTTGGGCAAGCTGGATCCTCTCCCCTGGATCTCTTCCGTGATGTTGTTGAAGAGTTGCGCGACGCTTTGCGCGAGAAGAAGCGGACAGTGACCAAGTATCTTGAGGAGCGTCATTTTACATTTGATGTATCTACGCTACTAGACGACTTTGCCGCAATCCTCAAGGAAGATCCGCGCACTGCTGAATACGATCATGTTACCGTCAAGCAAATCCACGGGAGTCTCAAGGCTAAAGCGCAACGTCGACTAGAAGATGATCAGCGGCACGAGGAACGCCGTTTGCGACGAAAGATGGACGACCTTCGTGGTGCGATGAAGAAACTGGAGCCGCCTATTCAAGTATCAGATTCCTATGTTGATACGCGCACGAGACTCTCTATGCTGGCAGAATTTGAAGGACTTGGGGAAGATCAGCGTATTCAGGCATTTGACAAGTACATTCGCCGGCTAAGGGAGAAGGAGGAGGATGAGCTCGAGCGTCGTGCACGGCGAGACCGATACCGCGATCCACGTGATACCTCTAGTCGTCGGCGACTGTCTCGTGGTGCTAGTATAGATGCTGGCGTATCGAATGTGCGTGATGCATCTCCTCGGGAAGGACGCTCCCCGTCACCGAAGCGCATCAGGCTGCAAATGGCTGAGCGCCCATCGCCAATGGACGAAGCCATGCTTGACTATGGTGAGGAATCTGTCAAAATGCAGGTGGATGCGACCAAGGACGATGCTTCTGAGGAAGGTGAGATTGCAGAGTAGGCTGTAGCTGAACAAATGCAGAAGTTGCCCATCTGGTCGCGCGTGTACTCAAAACACAAAAAGGACAACACGACATTGGCGACATTGACAATCACACGTCGCATAGACACCCGGCCTGGCCAGCCATCTGCCTGGTTGTACTCGACTTGCTCAGATCGAGGGAGAATCGATTGTTTGTGTCTTTTCGAGGCTCCACACCCAGTGTCTGATGCCCAGGCGCTACCTTTTCGATTGCATTCCGCTTGATGGTGCCATCCTGCTCGCAATCGAGCTGCTGCTTCTGCTGCGGCTCACGGTCATTTATGTGGATCATGTCAAATCACATCCAGTCCTCACGACGGTCGTGTGTAATAGTCTGGTAAGTGAAACCTCAAGAGGGAGAAGGCTAACGAACAAGCTTGGCAGCATTTCAGATACAGTCGCGCAGCTCCTGACGCTGAGTCAAGCACGGCTGAACAATAAACGCCTTGGCAAGGATATCAGTCTCGATGCAGTCAGTGAGGAATTCCAATTACCCGTCCAAGCGCAGCAGGCCATGCTGGCAGGCGCAGAAAGAGTGTTCGATTTGGATCGCCTGGCGCGCTTCGTGTCATATAGTTTTGCAACGGCTCCATTGCAGTACACTTGGTATTCGAGCCTCGACCAGTGGTTCTCTATATCACTCTCTGGTCTTCCAGGCGAGTCAAGCAGCATGTCAGTGTTGAAGCGACTCCTTGCAGACCAATTTATTTGGGCTCCAGTGTCGCTGCTTCTCTTCTTTGCATTCATGGAGTCGATACAAGCGCATGGGCTCAAAATTCTGATGTCAAGACTCAGGAAGAACTACTGGCCAGCACTCAAAGCACAATATGTCATTTGGCCACTCGTCCAACTGCTCAACTTCAAGTTTGTGCCATTGCAATTTCAGGTACCACTGGTCAGCAGTGTGTCGGTGGGCTGGAACATTTACTTGTCCATTATGCTGGGGTCTCGACGTTAGAGCCGTCCTCAAGCATTGCATTTCTCAACATTTCTAGCATAGCCTGTTAATCTTCCAAAGACAACTCACTTGTCGTCTCGCTGGCCTAGATGATTCTTTCGTGCGAGTAGTCTCCGGCCCGTCGTCCCTAGAACTCAAAGATCAGCTTCATGCTCCTACTGCACTTCAGCTATGGCTGGTTATAAGCATCTGTATCTCAGAAGGTAAATGCGGCAATTCAGCCTTTAAGGATCGCTACTTGACAACCTTCTGGGAAATCTCTACGACGTCTTTCCAGGTCAGAGCTCGATGCACGCCGTCGGGCAAATTGGCAAGCGGTGCTTCATCGTCTTTCAAGCCCAGTGCGCGACGCTGCTCCCATGACAGTGGCGATGCGGCTGCCTCGGCATCAGGCTCTCTTTTATTCCATTGCCAGTCGCCGTACAGCGCCACTGGAATCTTTGCATTCGCATACACTTCATAGGCATTCTCAATGGAATCATCAATGAGCAGGTGCGCATCGATCAGCTTACACACTTCACTCTTGGGTCTGGGAATGGAACGAAACGTGAGAGGCGTACTGGTGGGTTCCTTCGTGTGCTCGTCCTTGGAAGACATGCCGACTTCCTTCCTATCCTGCTCGTCTTCGGCGTTGTGTGAGCCGGCATGCGCATCTCTTGATACGAATGCCGAAGTGAAGATGATTTCTGCAAACAAACCAGGATACGTTCGTTCGAGCCAGCGACAGGTATACTCTGCTTGTGAAGCCATGCGCGCAGTCACCACGACCAATCTGTGGCCAGCTTCCTTCAGTGCCCGAAGCCCCTCAGCAGCTTCTCGAATAGGTTTGATGGCTTGGACTGCGCTAGATTGGTTGAATTCTTTGACTTTATTTTGCGTGATGGTCTTATCACCCCATCCTCGCACCCGCCAGTATTGGAAATGGTAGTATTCCTCTATTGAAAGATCTGTCCCATAGGTTTCATTATGCCAATGACATATTTTGTCATTGGTGAGAGCGAGCGTATCGTCGAAGTCGACAGCGATGGTAGGCATATTGATAGCAATACAGGTCCTTATTAAGCTAAGCAGAGATGATATCTATGCTAGAGATACACGGATAGTTGCACTAGTATTGGATGGTCTTGGTTGTGTTTCACTTAAATCTTGGCAGCAGCAGATCAATTTTCACGTGAAACATCCAGACGAGCTTCGACTGCCGTACAACTACTCTTTACCAGAGTCTAAAACCAATCTACACAAGTTCCTCAACTCATGGACGCTGTCACTGACAAGATCCTCCTAAATCGCTTCGTCGTCGAGGAACGGCCACTGCGTCGACTAGCTGACAAATGTGACCTACTATGCCGTCCCTCTGCACCAGACGCTGTCGAGATGAGTGAAGCTGCACTAAAGCTTGAATTTGCTCAATATAAAGCAAGTCTACGGCGCCTCGAGCTGACGAACAAAGCACATGCACGAGAAGTGCAGCGGTACACGGAGAAAGAAGCACAAGTGCTTGCCTTACAAGAAGAAACAAGACAGAGTATTGCGAAATTACGGATAGAGCTTGAAGAGGCAGAAGGCGAGTTGGAGGATAAGAATGCGTATGATGCGCTCGCCAAAGAGATTTTAGCGCGGCATCCACGGTCTCGTGCTTCTCAAAAGACTGCCATTGCAATGCTGCAAGAAGAAATTGCGCAGCTGGTGAAAGAGCGTGATGCAACGCAAGATGTGTGGCGAGAGCGGAAACGTGCCTTTGATGAGATTTTCCATGCATTACAGCGGATGGCGGCTGATATTCGTGGTGAGAAGGAGGATGCTGAGCGAAAGGCTGGGATGGCAGATAGTGACGAGGAAGAAGATGGCCTCATCAAGGAGAAGCCCGTGCAGAGTACAGAAACCGTTGAAGTTGAAATGGCAGAAGCCGGCGAGATTGAAGAATAAGCAGGCATGTCAAAGAGAGAACCCATTAATGCTATACATGGGCGAAGCAGACATATAAGAACTCGCCAGGGCCAATACATAAAGTGACAAAACATGATAATCGTGATGCATTCACTGCATCTTGTCGCGACGTGCAAGCTCGCCATCTTTTGCAGAAACGATGCACAAGCGACCCACGCGCTCCGTGTGAGCCGCAAAGACCTCTGCCATCTCACCGCGTCCTGTACCACTCTGGTAAGCGTTGCTCAATATGCCAGACGCCTTTTCCAGTTCTCTGATGGCAGTGCGGATGTGCGGGCCTGTCGTATGGGCGAGCAAGACCAGCAGCGGACCAGACCGTGCTTCCGTCGTTACCTTGCGCAACGCTGTTTCCAAGACATCAGAACACTCCACCACTTCAAGATGCACGTTGCCGTTCGGGATGAGATGACCATGTTCGTCAACCATGGCAGGCATAGATGCTTGACATGCAGCAACATCAGCATCAAGTTCTGCAGGTGTTGGCATTGCCGTCACGGGTCGTGAGTGTGAACGTGCTTCGGCAGAATCAAATAGCGGACCAGTCGTTTCAAGAGCGAGCGGTTCGCGATGAGGCTTACCCGAATCAGAGGCATCCGTACTCACGCTCAATTCTGTGCGTTTCTTGAAAAAGACGACGTGTGCAGTGACGCGATCTGATTGAACGAGCGACGTAAGCAAGTGCATGGCCAAGACTTCATCCTTGCCGAATTGGAAGAGCGGGAAGTAGACGTGTGTGCGTTCAGCTTCAATGGGTTTCTCGTGAATGGCTGTTGCTGTTCGACGACTCGTGGGTCGAGCAGATGCGCGCATCATACTACGCAAGCTACCCATACTGGTTGTACGAGCACGCATGGCATGCTCAGGTTCGTGCGGAAGGGTATCCTCAATCAAGATGGCCATATTGGTGGTATGCGTTTCGAGCAAGGCCACAATATAATCATTGCCAGACGATTCTTCACAATCTTGAATCCAGGGCGCAACAACGAGGTCTGCCTTATGCTCGATAGCTTCCTTGGCCAAGACTGGCGAAAAGTCACTTAATGCAACAATCTGCAACGCATAGGAAAGACGCATGCCGACGAGCCGAGCAGTCGTCTTGAAGATGCTGATGAGGGAATCTGAATTGATGAGATCATCCGATTCTGAAACCTTGATGATTTGTGAAAGGCGATCAGTGATTTCCAGAATGCGGACGAGGTGCAGTCGTGTTACTTTAGCGGAAAAGAAGTGCGTGAATTGCAAGAGTGGAGCAACACCCTCGATGCGATTGACGACAAGCAGTACCGTGCCAATGCCAGTGCTTCTGGAATCCGCTTCTCCAGCTGTCGGCGTAGAGAGCTCGTTGCCCTCCCAGTCCGTCTCACCGTCGCGCCATCGCGCTACTCTATGCTGATATGCGGTCGGATAGATCCAGAGTGTCAAAGGAGTCGTCAAGAATGTTGTCACAAGCGCCATGATGACAAACATAGTGAAGACCTTTTGTGAGAGGATGCCAGAGTTGAGACCGACATTGAGGACAATCAGCTCAACGAGACCTTTGCAGGACATGAGGACACCAACAACAAGCGACTCGCGCCACAAGAAGCCGTTTAGCCGAGCAGCCAGCATGGAACCGACCACTTTCGACGCTGTGGCCATGATGATGATGAGAATCGTGTAGCCCCATGCTTTGCCGTCATTCAACAGACCAATATCAGTCTTGAGACCCGATGAAGCAAAGTAGAGTGGCAAGAACAAGACACTGACCAGATCTTCAATCTTTTCTGTCATGTTGACAGCGTAGCCATTGTCGTGAGGGATGATCATACCGACGAGGAATGCGCCGAAGATGGGGTGTACGCCGATGATCTCCGTGTAGAATGCAGAAGCAAGAACGAGCAGGATTGTGAGCGTCATCATGGTATCGGTTGGACCAGAGTCGGAGCTAGAGCGTCTGAGAAGCCATGCATAGGCAGGCTTCACGAGAAAGAAAAGGATGAGAACCCAAGCAATGACGAGCAAGATGACGTACAGCGCAATGAGTCCGCTCGAAGCATTGACGAGTGCGATGGTGAGTGCAAGCAGCATCCATCCAGTCACATCGTTGCCAACCCCTGCAGCCAACACAGTCACACCGACATTGACACGAAGCAATTTGAGTTCCGTTAGGATGCGCGCGAGGACGGGGAAGGCGGTGATGCTGAATGCTGTACCGATAAAGAGCAAGAAGACACCAAAGTCGTCCTTCTCGAGCGTGTCTGCATATTGACGATGTAAGATCCACGCAACAAAGGCACCTGTAGCAAAAGGTAGGACTAGCGACGCGATACCGACACTCAATGCGACCCGCGCATTCTTGACCACGAGGCGCATATCCACTTCGAGACCAACGATGAACAAGAAGAGAATGAGACCGACATTTGCGACTAGATTGAAGTTTGGAAGACTTGCTGGTGGGAAGATGCTGCGTGAGAAGCCAGGGATGCGACCGAATGCTGTAGGGCCGAGGAGGATGCCGCCAATGACCTCTGCAATGACGCGCGCTGTCTATTAGCCAGGCTATGACGGGCAGCTGGGGTGACTTACGCTGCCTGATCTTTGAGAGGGGCAGATGGAGGATGCGGCAAAAGACAATGACGATGGTTGCCTGCACTAGGAAGATGACGATTGGATTGGTTGGGTCGTACTTTGTCGGGTTGCCGCCCATGAGCACGCTCTGGTTTGCCATGATGGCGGCGGGTTAGGCTGGTGAGTAGGTATGCTGCTGCTAGATGGATGCAGAGTTGAGTACTGAGTAGAGTAGAGAGAAGAGTAGAGAGTAGAGTTGAGTAGAAGAGTAGAGTAGCTTTGTCTTTGTCGCAAACATCGACGCACACGATAACCAGCAAGGTGCACAACGACAGGCAGCAGAGTGCAAGAAGTGTTGAGGGCTAGTAGTGGATGCCGACATTGGCAGACGCATGGACTGGTAGACTGCTGTGAGTACCAGCACAAGGGCCAGCACACTTGACCCCAGAACGATGGCAAGCGCAACAGCCATCCACTACTGCAACAACATCAGAGACGGCCTCAGAGCAGCCAGGGGGCAGCATCACTGCACCCCAGCAGACCTGCATTCTCCCGGCCCAGCACTGGACATAGATGCGAAAGAGCTGCATGATCACCTCGCCGCATTGCACAGTGTGGAGGCATGCGACTGCACCAGCTGTGAAGCATGCCTCGCATCCACATACAACAGCGGGCGCCAGCCGCAGCTGTGTCATGTTTCACCCTGCCACGAACCCGACTGCCTTGTACAAGAACACTGCGACGACTGCGTCTCTGTCTGTGATGATGCTGAATGCAATGAGCAATGCATGTCAGTGTGCGACGATGCTCATTGCCAAGAACATGCTGTTGACTGCTGTCCTGACGTTCGCTGTGAGCTCGATACCTGTGTCGCTGCACCCTGTATGCCTGACTGTATGAGGACAGCAAGTATTACGGCTGCTAATACAGCTTCACAAGCATGGCCAACACACGACATACACGCATGGCCACTGGATGGGGACACACACGCCATGTCTGGCCTCCACACACCCCTCTCTATAGTCACAGATGGCTCACTCTTGTCACCGTCAGACGCACTCCAACCACCGGACCCACAGCTACCAGACTCCCATGTCCCCTTCCACTGCCACTGGAATGCCTGTGACCTCGCCTTTTTCGATGCAACACAATTCGACCAACACTTTTGGGTAGAACATGCACACCAGCAAGCACAACAGCAGCAGCAGCAGAGCTTACACTGTGCCTGGAACGATTGTGCCGTTGCGCCACCTAACGAAACGGCCTTGTTTGACCACGTCAAGCATGATCATGTCGAAACAGAGACGCATCATCGCTGTAAATGGCTAGTACCGGATGCGAACGGCCAATGTCATCCATGTGGCGCGTGTCTACCGACTGTGGAAGAGTTGAGCCTACATATATCAGAGCTACACGTCGGCAAGCGCAAAAAAAGCTATGTCTGTGGTTGGCAAGGCTGCGAGCGTCATCAACGTCCCTTTACGCAACGTCAAAAGATGATGCGGCATCTCGTCACGCATACAGGGGATCGTCCCTTTGTCTGCCCTGAGTGTGGCTATCAATGCTCAGAAGAGTGTGTTTTGGAGCAACACATGCGGACACACACAGGAGAGCGACCCTTTGCGTGCACACTCTGTGGCAAGGCCTTTTCTGCATCAACAGCCTTGTCAGTACACATGCGAACCCATACAGGTTACAAGCCGCTGGTGTGCAAATTTCCTGGCTGTGGGAAACGGTTCAGCGAGAGCTCCAATTTGGCCAAGCACATGCGGACGCACAGTGCACAGAAATCGTATGCCTGCAGTGTCCCTGGCTGCAACAAGGCGTTCCAGCGCCCGGACCAGCTCAAGCGACATGTGAGCAAGTTGCACAAGGGTGCCAGCTGCGATGCAATGAAAGATGGCATTGCTCAGTAAGTTATAGCAATATAGACGATGCCTTTGCTGCCGGCAAAGTCAATCAACGGGTAAAGGAGCTTTGATATCTTGGCTTCCTTGATTCACGCGCGAGAAGAGCGGACTTGCCAAAATCACTGGATAGGTCGTGAATACCTTTGATGGCGGCAAAAGTAGTAAGATATAGTTAGAAATACACTGGTCAAGGCGTCCGTCTGGGGAAACTTGCCAAGATCAAAGGTTTCTACGGCCATTCCTTTGATTTTCGCAAGTAGATTGAGATGCGGCAACAAAACTCGGACAAGTGTCAGAAGGGTTGCGCAGAGTTGCCGGAATCAAAGGATTTTGTGCTGCAACGACGACGACAAAGGCAGACAACGGAGACAGCAACAACACGACAGAACAAGGCGACCAGCAGCCAGAGGCCCGCACACAGCTCGCAAGGGCCCACCACTTGCCACAAACGGCCAACGTAGACGCGCAACTGCATTGCCAAGGCGGCCAGCAGCAGCTCCCCTCCCCTGCCACATCGCCGCCTCCCTACTCCCCCGTCGACCTCCCGCCCACCTTTGTCTTTCTCGAGGCCAGCGCCCATATCTACGAAAAGAAACGAGCTATGGCATCTCCCATTACCTCTGTTCAGCAGCAGCAGAGCCGTCCAGTCTTCTTTGGCAACAGCTACGACAATTACGATGAACAAGACGACGGCCAGGCGCCCCTCATTAGCCTATCTGTGCGCGGATCACGCTTCGACATTTCCAGGGAGGAATTGACAAATCTCCCAGAGTCCATTCTCTTGTGCTTGTTTCCGCATGGATTGATGCTAGACGACCACCAAGAGTCGCTCATCAGCGTTGATGTACGTTTCTTCTTGTCAATGCGCACCGGACTAACGGCAGTTTGACCCATTGACCCTTCAATATGTGCTCGACTTTTTCCGCAAAGCCCTGCTTGATGCGCCAGCTGGTCCTGCGCTCTCATCCAATGCAGAATTGCTGCCTGGCAAAGCCGCCATCATCGTGCTCAAGGAGGACCTCGATTTCTATGTCATCCCACCAAAGGGGCTCACACCTGCAACAACATCCGCGCTACGGCATGCAGCCGGCGCCCATCTCGTTCAGCAAAGCAGTATCTTTGATGGACTGCGCAAGTCCGGCCACAAGTCAGCAGGTACGGCAGAGCAACACCTGATTGATATGCTCTGTGCCTCTGGTTTCAATGCAGAAGATAACTGGTCGAAGCGGCTGCTTGAGCCAGGCAAGGCTGGTATCACTTCTCTGGCACTTGCACTCCTCAAACAAGGAAATACTGCTACCGGCATGGCTACGAGTCAAAAATTACTCCTATTCTGGCGCAAACCAGCGAGGAAGTGTTGGTGGGATGCCGTCTACCCGACCTCTGAGGACCTGCCAGGCGTGCCGCTCGATGGACCGGTCAAAATCTGGGCACGGCGTGTATGGACACTCGAGTTGTCCATCACTGGATGACACGACAAGCACTGGCATAGGCAGGGATAGGATGAGCAGCGGCATTTGTGTTTTTTTGAAAATGTGTTTTGCGTAGCGGCAGGCGAATTAGAAGAAGCATCTCCATCTTGACCACACATCCTCCGTGACTTTATTGTTTTGCTGTGGCTGCTACTGCATGACGGCATGGTCGCAGCTGCCGCCCGAGCTCATCTTCAAGTTCTATGACTATGCAGAAACCATAGCAGACACACGTTGCGGCGTGCTTGTTTGCCGCAGCTGGTACCACGCACTGACACCTTTGCTCTATCGAAGTCCTGTGCTGCGTCATGCAGATGATTTCACAATACTGTGCGAGATGCTGCTCGCTGCTTCAGACAAGGCCACAGAGCAGCCGCACCCTTTGGCAAAGCATATTCGGGTCCTTGACCTGCATGCGGTCTGCGGCACATTACGCGTCATCAAGCTGCCGGAAATGCTTGCACTCCTAGACAGTCTACAGGCCTTTATTGCTCCGCAAGCAGCACTCGCTGCATCGACCATGCTACAGCTTGCACAACGGCCGACGCTCAAGCTTCTTGACTTTGCTTGGGTCATTGAACGCTTCGAATTGCCGAAACTGCTGAATGCAGTCTCCCGTCTTCCAAAGCTGCACACGTTTCGCTTCCCTAGGTGTGCTGTGAGTACCGTTTTCCCAGTCAATACCTTTCCACAGCCATTAAACGAACTGACGATCCGTGGCGGCTTGCGCGATGCCTATGTCACAAAAATGGCAAGCTCGACGTACCCAACCATCAAGGCAGCGCATGTCGAGGTGTCCCATGCACCGGTCCTGACGGGCGCTCCTATATTGGACTTGCTATCGCGAGTGCAAGGTCTACTTCATGTGACTGTTCAATGGCCCTTGCCGCGATTCGCACACAACGCCATGGACACGATACTGGTTCGCCTGCCCTTCCTTAAAAGCTGCTCCCTCAGCATCGACTATATCTCTGCTCGCTTCTTTGAGAATCATCACAGTCACCTGGAAAAGCTTCTACTCACGTTCAGTGGAGTGGGCAAAACGAGGGAAATCACGGCGGAAGACTTATTGGATGCATTGGAGAACGAGGATCTATGGCCGGCCTTGCGCACTTTGCAGCTAGTTCGGCGGCTGCAAGAGTTGCTGTTCCCGACAGACGAAGAATTGGCTCATCTAGAAAGGGTTTGTGCGGCCAGAGGGATCAACCTGAGCATTATAGACTGGCATGAGGAGGAAGAGACCTCTGTGTATGGCATGTTTGGGCACTAGAAGACATTTTTGTCCTGTAGAATAATCTTGCACTCTGACCAACCACTACAATTGTAAAGCTATACATGCCTGCTACATAAAAAGTCATGTCTGATTGGCGATCTCATGATGCTGCACAAGACTTCTCTCAAAAGCGTAAGCGTGAGCTAGAATCTGGAAAGGCCGTCTCTTATGGCCACCGCTTTGATCCCTCAAAACATGAAAGAGAGCAAGAGGTGCACGACGAGCACGGCAGACGTCGATTGCATGGCGCATTCACCGGCGGCTTCAGTGCAGGCTACTTTGGTACTGTTGGCTCTAAGGAAGGCTGGGCGCCCACTAGCTTTGTCTCATCTCGCACCAAGCGTGCCACAGCGAAATCTAATGTCATGGATTTTATGGATGCAGAAGATATTGCAGACCTTGAAGAGACGATGGAATTCAAGGCAGCACGAGATGCAAACAAGCTCAAAGACGATACTGAGCGGCAGCAAGTCTTGCATAGCTATGAGGAGAAAGCAGGTGACGCTCCTGCTAACGATCCACCACCTGCACTGAAAAAACCAAGCAGATCAGGTGGCATGGCTACGGTCTCGTTGTTGCTTGAAGAGGATGATGAGCAAGACGCTTTCGATATTGGACCAAAGATCAGCTACGACAAGACGCTTGCTAAACAGAAAAAGGTGAAGCTCAAGTCTGCGGCGAATGTGCAACACACGTTCAAAAGCAGCAAAGAAGCCCAAGCGAAGGCGGCAAAACGGCAGGCCTTACTACAAGATCTAGATGGAGCTGCTGTTGTACAAGAAAAGACAGAGCAGCTCGCTCCAGTTGAGGATAAGCTGCGCCCTGCAGCAATCTCTCGGCCTCGGACCTTCGCTCCAGCTAACGAGGCAGCCAGTGCAACTTTGGAGGATAACATTCCTCCATGGCGCCGGAAAGCCTCTGCACAGCCTGCAGACTCATCGCAACAGACTGGGCCTGCACTTGACACGTCTCTTGCTGCTGGTGCCCTGAAGAGCACATTCGATCCGTATGCCCAAGATGCAGCAAAATCCAAGCGCTACCGTACCTATCTGAGTCGTGAGGCCTCAGAGCCCTCGCCATTACACATCAACGTTTCAAATCTAGACTCTGGCGTTTTTACCACAGAGCTGGCAGAGTTTCAACGTGCCGCGCTCATGTTTGGTTCATCTTCTGGCGCCATGGCTAAACGCTTCACGAGCTCCACTGGTCAAGTGGCGCCAGAGGATATACAAGTTCATGTGGCCAACGAGGATCAGGTAGAAGCGGCGAAGCTTGGTCTTTTTGGTCACCGCACTCGGGTAGTCGAGCCGTGGTTTCCCACAAGACTACTTTGCAAGCGTTTCGGTCTGACTGATCCGCATCCTGAAGGTAAAGCAGTGCCACGTATTGACATGGAAAACCGCACAAATGACCACGAACAACACCGAGCGCAGATCGAAACACTGATGCAGACAGAGGTATTGTCAAGCAGTTCTACAACAGGAAAATAGCAGAGGATGTGCTAAGCTTTCTACCATCTTGCCTGCCATCACATCCTTGAATGTCCTGTTGCCCTTTTTGTACTGCTCAGGTTAGAGTGCTGGCGATGCACCCTAGCCATAATCCCCACGCCACGAGAAGGCACAGCCAGACATGGCTAGTCAGAAAACATCTTTGCATGCTACGCACTGTCTACGCTAAAACACGGTGATGAACACACTAGAAACAAAACATCTACGCTCGCAACAGGAATAAGATGCAACAACTGAACCACAATGAAAGCTTCTGCCACTAGTCTGGACGAAAACCCCAGCAGTATCGCGACGCTCAAGCGTTTGACGATCGTTTGGCTTTGCTCTTGAAGAGCGATCCAATCTTGTGTGCCAAGTTTCTTTGTTTCCTCAGCTTGGCAGGATTATGCTCAACCTTTTCATCATGCTCCTGCTCCTGCTCCTGCTCAAGCTCGAGCGGGCCGTTCTCAAAAGACACTCTGTCTGCTGCAGACGTCTTTAGTGTCCTCTTCTTTTGGGTGAGTCTGGCGCAGACCTTCTCGGCCGCCTTCTTCAATGCCCTCCTCCAGCCACGCCTTTTGGAAGTGGGCTCGAGCAACGCTTCTGCAGGGAGCATCTTTAGTGGATCTCCATTTTCATCGAGCATGAACTTGGATGCCTCATACAGCTCAATCAGTTCATCAATTGCAACATCTGGTTGGGCTATGCGGGCTACTGCAATGTATTGCCCAAGCCAGACTGGCACGGGATAGCGGAATTCAGGGCCACTAGGCTGTTGGGTGGTTGTGTTCTCGCTATGGTTTGGGATTACGCGGGGCTCGCATGGCTGGAGAAGCGACAGATAGCTGTCAACCCAAGGCCGAGTGCGTAAACTAGGGGCAGGAAGTGCCGAGATGCTAGTCATCGTGGTGAAATCATCCACATCGCTATAGAGTAGGAAGTCGTCATCGTAGACAGATAGGTCGTCGTCATCATCGTCCTCATCTCCAGCTTCCTCTAAGGTATTGTCGATGGCGATGGTGGACGTTGAGCGCCAGAAACCATTGTAAGGATTCGCAATCGCCTCGGGCTCGACAGGCAGCTTCTCGTTCATATGGAACAAGGAAAGAAAACTCTCGGCCCACGAACGACGGCGAGGCGAATCCTCGACCAGCGTGATGGCAGACTGGAATGGAGTAGCATCGTTGCCACTTGCCAAGGAATAAAACGAGAGCATGCTGTCACCAAGCAAGTTGGAGTTGTATGGCGTCACGGGAAAGTGAGTAGAAGCGGAAGTAGAAGTGGTAGTGGTAGTGTCAGTGGAGGTGAAAGGCAGAACATCCTCTTGAACAGGTTGGACAGAGGCGATGGAAGAGATAGAGAAGGCAGATGGCGATGCCAGTTGGTAGAAGGGATATGTAGGGATGGCCTTGCTTTGCAGGCGTGAGTCCATGTTTTGGGGAGCTCCTCCCGGGCCTTTAGCAGTCCCACCTTCGGTATCAAAGAGCTTCTGGCGACGAGAGGAGGGTGAGTCCTCGCGAGCCAGGCCGTGGTTAACAGCAATCTCAGACAGTGCGTTCATCTTGTGGGAATAGGCAAAGTAGAAGATCAAGATCTTTTGAAGGTGTGGTTATAGGGAAGAAGAGAATGGCAAAAGGGCAGACTTTGGGTTCCTTATATGTTTTCTGTGTCACCAGAATGGCCGGTGCTGGTGAGTCATTTGTACACAGAAGATGGCGGGTATGTTTGAGCCTGTATGACTCATTTTCAGCTCGTCATAGTGTGAAGCAGTCTTGACTCGGATTGGTACCTGCGCACAGCTTAGGCTCACTATCTACAGCTCAGCGCGCAAGCTACCAGCTCTGTACAGATTGACATGTCGTTGTGGTTTTGTACTCGCGGTCGTCGTCTGCACGCCAAATTTCTGGGCAGATCTGGATACTGACTGACCCCGACACCACTTCAGCTGTAGAAAGATGCGCAGCAGTAAGTGCGCAGCTGTTGAAGGTACTCAGAAGGTTCAAAAGTCGTCAGATTCTTGAAGGAATGGTGTACTTTTGTCTTGCTACAGCAGTCCAATGATATGTCTCCAAATCTCATACAGCACAGGCTTCACGCTGTCAATGATCAATTGGTCGAAAATTAAATTATACATAAAACGCCTGAGGCTTGAATGATGCTTTGAAGTCTAGGCAGCTGCGGTAGCAGATTCCTTGTCGGCCGTCTTCTCAGACATCGAGTTGCTTGAAGAAACATGCTGGCCTTCCATCACCACGACATGGGCATGGTCGCGTGCACGCTCAACATAGTCGTATGCAAACTCGCCAATCTCAGCCTCGTCCATACCTAGACGCTCCGCATCTTCTGAAGCACGCAGTGAAAGGCCTGGAATGTAGTTCATGATGGCAAGGATTGCACAGGTCACAGCAAAACTGTAGGCGAATACGGTGACCGTGTCGGCGAGCTGATAACCCAATTGAATCCAGTTGCTGTCCAGCCATCCACCGCTAATGACTGTAGCGCCATCAAGAGCTGCAATAGACTTTTTTGCAAAGAGCCCAGTCATCAAGTTGCCGACCACAGCACCGATACCGTGAACAGCAAAAATATCCATGGCATCATCCACTCGCATAACGTACTTGAGCTTCGTAGCCAGGTTACAAGCAATACCACCGACAATACCAAAGACGACAGCCGACCATGGTGGAACGTAACCTGAAGCAGGAGTGATCGCAACAAGGCCAGAGATTGCGCCGGAGCAGAAGCCAACAGTGGACCATTTGCGTTCAAGTCGGTAGTCCAGCAGCATCCAGGTAAGGCCGCCGACAGCGGCAGCCAAGTTGGTCACGAAGAGAGCCATGCAAGCACGCAAGTTTGCGCCGAGCGCGGAGCCACCGTTGAAGCCCTGCCAGCCAAACCAGAGAAATACAGTTCCAAGCACGACATGGGTGACGTTGTGTGGTCGGTAGGCAATCTCACGCGCACCATGCTCGCGACGCTTACCGAGCATGTATGAGTAGGCGAGAGCTGCTGTGCCAGAAGACAGATGCACAGGCGAGCCACCAGCAAAGTCAAGGGAACCGAGCTTGAAGAGCCATCCACTTGGATTCCATGTCCAACATGCGATAGGGCTAAAAGTCAGCGTCATCCGGAGTGAAGGAAACATACTTGTAGACAATGGTTGACCAGACAAAAATGAAGACCATACACGGCAAGATCCGTCCACGTTCAGCAGCAGCTCCGATAGCAATAGCAGGTGTGATGGCGGCAAACATAAGCTGGTAGACAGCGTAAAGAATATCTGGCAAACCTGCTGCTCCTGAACTAGGCGCGCCCAACACATCCTTGAAACCAATCATGGTCAGATCGCCGATGAAAGCTGAAGCGCTGTGGCTGAATGTCAAACTGTAGCCCCAGAAGAACCACTCGAATGTGACGACGCCAAGGGAAAGGAGACCAAGGTGGATCAGCGAGAGTGCCGACTTGCGCCTTGCCAGGCCGGAATAGAAAAAGGCGACACCGGGTACCATGATGAGGACGAGGGCAGAAGAAGCCATGATCCACGCAAGATCGGCACCGGAGTAGTATTGGTTCAGGTTGACATCAAGACTGTTGCCGCCCGTTGCGGGTGCGTCGCTTGGGTAAGGTGTGGCCATGCTTGAAGAAGTGGAATACGTTGCAGGTTTGCGGTAGCTGGGAGGGCGGCGAGCTTTATGCTGACGAAGGGAGTTGTTATCTCAGGGGGTTGCGTTCCTTGTGCCGAGCCTTCCGCACGCGCTCCTGATACATCTGTGGATTCTGTGCGGTCTGGAAGGCGACTCCGTTTGCACACTGACACTGCACACTGCACACTGCCACTGCCGCTGTCTGCTGGTGCACAGTTCAGGCTGCCGCACATTAAAGTTCGTTCCCCTGAGCTGCCAAATTCTGTTATCGCTTGCCTTCAGATGGGCCAATCACATCCCGCCGATAAGAGCGCCCGACGAGATTGTTCCTCTTTAGTCTTCACAGTCTTACTTGCTTGTCCGGAGGCAGACTGCTAGTTGGTCTGCTACTGAAGGTCTGAGAGTCTGAGACTACCCAACATTGCGTTCTTCCGGCCGGCGGTACGGAACCTGCAGATAGGTAAAGATGTCTTCCTCCGTATCGCACGGCAGGCGTGTCCCAGCAGTCAACTTCTGCCCAGTCCTGTCGCGCACAACGTCCTTGTACAGGCCCTTTTCACTCAGGCTCAAGCCTTTCTTCCGTGCAAGCAAGCGTATGGACCTGCGTGTGTTAGCATGTCAATTCATTAAAACGCTGCATACCTGTTGAACAGGTCATTGCCGGTAAAGTAGAGCAGGGAAGCACCCCGCTCTTGCCAGGGAACCATGAGAAAGTCGATGCGTCGATGAAGAGAACCTGGCGCAGGCAACTTACTAATGCCTTGCCACTTTTTGCCATTATCAGCATCCGTTGAAACTATCAACGCATGCGTCAGATATCCCTGCTCTTCCAAACAACCGATCAACTCCTTGAACCTCGGCCACAAGTCATCAGCTGTAGCACCTGGGCGAGTGACAAGAAAGTCGACATCACCACAGTCTTGTGCACCGCGACGATAGGAACCCATCAAGTACAGCTGCAGTCCCGGGTCGATCTTGGCTGCTGCTCCGCGGACAATATCCTTGTGCTGCTGTGCTTCGCCGCGGGGAATCCTTGTCTTGAGTTGATCAAACAACTCGATACCCCAATTCTTTGGTTCCTTGATGGGTTTCCCTTTTCGAGAACGTCCTCGAGGGTTCTCAGCCCTTGGTTGTACCATAGTGTCGCCTGGTGCCTGCCAACGCCATAAATATCCATGAAATACAGTATCGGAGCCATCTTTGAACGCCAGTGGTCCAGCTTGCTGACTGTGCCAGTTTGCAAGAACTCCTCGATTCGACGAGCAATACTAGGTCCGATACCACGGACGTGTTGAACATCAGAGCTGCGCGTGATAGGCTTGTCAAATTGACGCATGGCTGCCGCCGCCTGTCGATACTGAACCGAACGCCATATATCAGACTTTGGGCCCATAGCTTCGCACAAAGCTGACAGCTCCATTAGCTGATCGATGAGCTCAGCATTTGGCTGGGCAGTCTGTCCTGCTCGCGGGAAGGCCTGCATGCACTTGAATTGCCGTTGCCACCCTTGATCGTGAGAAGCTTCCAGTAGCTGTTGATCAAGACCCGTGACCTGTTCAGTGGCGACCAAGTCGATCAGGGAAGCGAGCTGATCCTCATCCTCAGCTTGACGTCGAAAGGCTACCGAGGGAGACATTGAGACGGATGTTCCTCGTCTTTCTGCAGCTTTGCCCTTGACATCTTTGACTTGAAGACTCAGCGAAGATTGTGTCGAGTCTGGCTCTTGTAGATCAGTCTCCTTAACTTGGCCTGGCAGTGGCAGCCCATCAATAGCGAACTTTGCACAACCCGTCTGGAATGTATTGCTAAGACAGTCAGACACCCAGCTGTGTCGAACGACGGAAACAGAAGATGGCAGAGCTGTCAGGCCAAGAGAGTCCAGAATGTCCGTAGCAGTCAATGCGTCATCGCAGAGGATGTGAGTGACATCTCGCGTGAATGTATCAGCAATCACACCGCCATGTTGGCAAAACTTCTTCATGCGAGCCTGCCGCCAGTAACTCTTGCCGTCACTCGGGATAAAGAGGGCCTTGACGCCACCAAAAATGCTTGTAGCAGCCGCATTGACTTGCGGTAACGAAGTTGCAGACGTTTCGAGAGCCTCGGGTATTTCAGCATCGGGATTTGCTGGAGCTTGTGTGGTTTTGCTGTGAGAAGTTCTTCTCTTTTTGGAAGTATGCACTGTTCTCAAAGGGCTTGTCTGAACTGGATCTACGATGGGCTCATCCTCAAAATAGTCTCCGATCCCATCAAATATCCACTCAGCACGGCGGATCATTTCGCCCTTGGCAGCGGATTCGTCCATGATTTTTGACGGCGTCAACGCCGAAAGAGTCTTGTCATGGAAAGCAAAGGCGGATGCTCAGGAGAGCAAGCTTGAGATTAGGCAGTAGGGATTAAGCAGAACTTTAGCAAGGTAGTATTTGGTGTGTGTCAGTATTCCAAAGGTTGCACGGTGGTACTGCTACAAAGTTGATGTTACAAAGGCAAAGTATATCAAGCCTGCGTCACAAGCGCCTGGATAACGAGCCCCGGTGACCAGCCTGCATCCGATACAGTCTGCTTGCCATCGTCCTTGAGCAAACGACCCAACATCATGAGCTTCAGCCGCTTGATCCCTGCTGCTGCCTGAATCTTGGTCGCCACCGAGCTAATCTTCTCAACGAGCGCCACCTGGATGATGATGTCTTGCGAATTGTGCGACATCCGTACGCGCATATCGAGGAGTTCTGTATCCGCAGGCAAATCCTCAATGACTGCACCTGGCTTACTCTCAAACTCAGTCGATGCATCCTCCAGCAGAACATTGACTGGATCGCTCAGACACGCTTCGGGAACCTTGTAGTAGTAGCCGGTCGAATCGTAACACCCATGAATCAAATCTCCATTGCCCAACAGCCGTATTTGTGCGGTATCTAGCATAGCACGCGCAGTCTTTTCATCGTCTGCATCCACAGCAGCCTTGAGAATTGCCCAAATCTCTTGCCGTCCGCCAAACGTATCTGCCGTCTCCCAAAACGCAGCGCGAGTCCGTTCGAGGTCCCGCTTCGAGACAGCTGGCGTTGCAGTCCAGCTTCCATGTTTGCGATACTTGGGCGCTTCTGTGTTATGTCAGCGTTCTATTGGAAGAAGAGTGATAGTGGGGGACGTACCGCCACGTCCGGCAATCAATTGATCGCGCGCTTCTGCATTCTGTCTCTCAAGGGAAGTCCGAGTGCGCTCACGAGGTTGTCTGCTCGGGTACTGAGCGCGACTGGGTGTTGAACTGGTCTGTCCAGTCAATAGACTGACTTCGTTCTCATTCCGACGAGCTCCTACACGTCCTGTACTGTCGGTTGCACCGGGTTGTTGAACTCCATCGCTTGCGGGTACACTGAAGCAGCTGCCCATTGTATGTATGTCTTTTTCCACTCAGCCGCTTGCCTCGTCTGGTGTTTGTGTTCTGGTTTTTAGGTTTTGTACTGTTGCGGCCGGGTGCAATTGAAGCGGCTCGAGGATTCGGTAAACAGTCAATGCAAGGTGAGAGGACGCTTGCGAGACTCTATTACAAAGGAAGCAGACCTACGCGTGGCTGCTGATGAATTAACGGCGGCGGAGGAGGACGGTCGTGGTGGTGATGGTGCTGCTGCTTGCTGGACGGGGAAGTTTGAGTTGACAGAATTCGAGCCGACGGAGGCTACTTACTGCCAGTTACTGCTACTTAGGACAAGAAGAAGAGAGCATTACTAAGGAGACGACTGTAGACTAATCGTGAAGGGCATGAAGAGGCAAGAAGGGACACACAGAGTGTACCAAACCAGAGGAAAAACCACTAAAGCAAAGGGTGACAAAAGAGAACGTCGCGCAATCAGTCTCAACGCATGGGGCCGTGTCAGCTGGTGAAAGAGTCTAGCAGGTCTACTCTGCCTTGGTGGGAGCAGTTCCCGTAGCGCCAGTCGTCGTTTGTAGAGCCTCATCTGGCTGAGCAGCAGTAGCAGAGTCGACAGCAGTCATCTCGGTGGCTTTGCCCTTGTCAACGACATCCGAAGGCGCCACTGCACTGGTCTCTTCAATAGCAATACCTTCTGCAGGGAGATCCTTGTTCCTGTCGAGCTTGGTCGTCGAGGAAAGTTCTGTGTTGGACAAGGCCTCAGTCTCCTGTCCAACTTGTGGCAAAAGAGGTGCTTCAGATGCAACAGGCACATCCTTTGTAGGGGAAACAACAGAGTCAGTCTTGGACGCATCCTTCTTTGACTTGTTCTTGAAGAGGCCGGTCAATCGTCGCGTCACGCTGCCACCAGGAAAGGGCTTTGGGGACGGGTTGGGCGATGGCGTCACTGGCGGTGGCGTGGCAGATGTAAGCTTGTCCTTGCTTGTTGATTCTGCTGCAGTTGCATCATGCGCAAGAGGAGCCGCAACATCTGTGGCAGGTTTGACTGGAGAGATCTCTCCCTCGGCGACCTGGGGTGCGGGGGCGTCTGTCACAACAGATTCAGGGGCAACCGCGTCGACCTTCTGTCCCTCGTCAGATTTATCATTGCGCCTGAATGTTAGTATATGTGCTAGTAGAGCTGGTAACATACTTGATGAGGTTGCGGAAGAACCCTTCGACCTTGTCTTTTGCAGGAAGAGCTGCTGGCCTCGACTTGTCAGCCCTGTCTGCAGTGGGAACGTCTTTGTCGACCTCATTGTCAGCTGAGACAGGCTCTGACTCTCCTTCAGGAGCTTTTGGGGAGACGCTCTTGTCGGCGCCGGCTGGGACTGACTCGGGCAAGGTGTTGTCCTTCTTATTCAAGAAACCGAGGAAAGAAGCGCGTTTGTCCTTTTTGGGTGTTGGCACCTCCTTGGCATCCCTGTTGTTAGCATCGTAGAGGCAAGCACAGACAAACGTACTCAGGCTTATTCTTGAAGATGCCCATGAGGGAGGATGCGCGCCTGTTGTCTGGTCGCTGCTCAACCACTTCTTCATCACTCAAGACTTGTTCCTCCACCTCGGCATTCGACTTTTCGAAAGCGGTGCCTTGAACAAGCAATTCGCGCACCTTGTTGAAAACCTCCGAAGTGCGAATAGACTGCATCTGTCCCACAAACTCTTGTTGCTTCTGCTTGATGCCAAGCAAGAAAGCCTGACGCTGTGACACTTTGGCATTGGCATTGAATTCAAGAGTGTAGCTGATGTCGTCCCTGTACTTGAATGCAGCACGGTTGTTGCCATCCACTACCTCGAGCTCACTGATTTGCGAGATGTCGAGGATACCACTTGGATTGGATCCTTCGGTCTTGCCCCAGAACAAGAGACCTTTGCCGCTGGTCACCGCGTCTAGTGTTAGTTTACTTCACACACAGATGCATCATACGTGCGATAAGGTCATGTGCCTCTGAAGCTGGCATCTTGGTCTTTTGCATCTTGAGGTAGAGTGCTTGCAGCTTTTCCAAGGAGATAGGCTCGTCTTGCAGCCAGAAGTGGCGTGTGTGGAAAACACTAGATGTCAGCATACGCAAAAGATGGACAGCTTCAGTGTATCATACGGAAACGTAGCAGTACTGCGCTTGTAGGAGAGGTTGGCACTGAAGATGGGTTCGAGGGGCGCTGTCTCCTCCTTGATGGTGTCCTCAGTGGTTGCGACAGTGTCCTTGACAGCAGCATCGTCGTTGGTCGACTGCTGGATCGTGGCTGCTTCAGCACTTGTCTGTCCATTGAGCGTGTCGCCAGTAGAGACTGCCTCTTCCTTGTCTTTTGCACGGCACTGCTCTGCCTCCTCGTGCGTAGGAACGACTGGCGAGTCCAGCTTGGCTTGAGAATCTACCAGCAGAGTAGCTGCGGCGACTACCGGCGGGTGACTATCAATTGCAGACATAAGGGGCGTGATTGCAGGATGTGCAGATGCTGCTCGTGCGTAGAAGAGTGCGCTGTGATATAGATGCGCTTGCTACTGCTGCTGCTTCGTCTCTTGGAGGAGGAGGAAGAGAGAAGCGATGGAAGCTGTCTTTGTAGGGAGCAAGAGAGAAAGCTGAAGCTTGACTTGACCTGAGCTGAGCTGAGCTGAGTCCTGCCTCGTGTGTGCGGTGTGTTTGTGTGTCTCCTTCTCCTGTCGCAGCAAACAAACGGGAGGATGCCGCGGTGTAGAGAGTAGAGACAAGCATCAGACACAGGACGCAGCAGATGAGCAGATGAGCCCGAGGCAGCATCTCTGGCAAACAGATCATCGAGTCCAGGCACGTCGTCATGCTCAGGACTCGGTTCTCAGTGCTCAGTGCTCACTGTGTGTTTCAAGTACACTCATGCCATCTACAGGCCTATGACAGCTCTGACATCCCATCCCAGGCACTCCTGTAGTCTTTTCCTTCCCGGCAGCAAGATCTAGCTGCTATAGACGCAGCCTGAATGTGTACGCTGCACTTCGCAGTCGCGCGTCCCGACCTCACCCAAAAGTTCCCCGCGGATGCGACGGGGGAAGTCCTCGGCGACTTCTCCTTCAGACTCCCAAAGAAGGACGCAGTCCAACACTAGGTACCATGCAGATGATGCGATGAAATGCTACAGCGTGATAAGATGCAAATAGATGCCTACATTATGATTTCCAGGTAGCAGCAGATCCTATGTCAATCCATATGACAGGAAAGCACCAAGACGCTCGCTCGTCAGGCGCAAGCCAATCTTTTGCAACTCGAGAGCCAATTCAAGTCCACCCGGCATCTGCTGCATCTTGTCCCAACCTTGTTTGTCCAGCTTCCAAAGCACACAGTCAGACACCGTCACCAGCTGAGCAGTCCGTGGCATGCCCGCAAGGAAGGGCAGCTCGCCACAGACAGTGCCAGACGTGATACTTTCAACGTGCAACCCAGCCTCGAGCCGGTATGTGGCGCGAATCATGCCAGACTCAACAACATAGAAGCAAGTCGCCTCCGTGTGCTCCTTCCACAAGATTTTGCCGCCGGCTACCTCTTCTCGAACAAAGAATGGACAAACTCGGTGCCAAAAGTCCTCGCGCTTGTCCGTAGAATCTTGAAAGACTTGCAACAGAAGTGGCAAGGGAGCCGCAAAGCTCATCTTGGAAGGAGGACCAGCATTCTGCTTGTGCTTTGACAAGGTGTTTGTGGCGGCCTTTGATAAGAGCGCTCCTCGGGGCGAGTGCGCCATCTCGAGCGACGACTGATTGACTTGTGGGACAGCCAATTCGTTGGACGATGCCGTTTGCGGACTCATATGCTCCTCCAAGGTATAGAATGCCTCGAGCAGCTTGTTCTCACATCCTTCGAGTGCAGAGTTCAAGTCGTCGTAAATCTCGACATCGGAATCCTCATTCAGCAGACCAATCCCTTGCAAGCTCGACATGATTTCACCACCGGCACGGCAACCGCATATCACCAGATGGATATCACGCGTGGACAGGAGACGGCGCATACGCGTAAAAGCCTCTGCTGCAGAAAAGTCCATACCATTCGCGAGTGTCAGATCAAGCACCAGAAAGCGGATTGGATGCGACTTGAAGCGTCGTTCTTCAACATACTCTCGCACAATTTTTTCAACGGAACTGACAGACCCAAAAAACATGTAGCCAGAGAGCTTGTAGACTTGGACCTGGTGGCCAGCATCTCGTAGATACCGTTGCTGTACGGGAGGTCGTCTGACTGTCGACATGGCGCTCGCCCCTGAATAGTGAGCTCGAATAGGCGATTTTTTACTTGTTTGAACGACGAAGAAGATGCAGGCGAGAATAATGCCAACAACAATGCCCAGGACAAAGTCGAAAACACCCATTGTGACGACAATGACAACAATGGTCAGGTATTCAAACAAGTGTACCTTGCCAATCGTGTCAATGAGTGCCTCTTTCAATAAATCCATGCCAAGGAGGAAGATGAGTGCACCAACAACCATGATTGGAATTTTGCCAACGAGTGTCGGTCCGATAAACATGATGGCAGCTGTGCCAATTGACAGCATAACACCAGCAACGCGACTGTCGCCACCACACCTGATGAAGAGGATGGAGTTGGTGTAGACCAGGTAATTTTGAATGGAGCCAAACATGCCAGAGAGAGCATTCGAAACTCCGTGTGCCTTCAGCTCTCGATTGACATCGACGTTGTCCTCGCAGGTAGACACGCCAAGCGCAGGGATGTTGATGGGAACGTGTAAAACACCAAAGAAGGTCAAGGCCAACATGGCAGGGAATGTGCGGGCCAGAGCACCCCAATCAACAACGCCAAACTTGTACAGCGTGTAGAAATCGTACCAAGCCTTGCCGGCCTCGGGCGCCTCAAAGACCCAGCCAGCCTCTCTGAGCGTCTCCAGATGCAGGCTTGGGACAGCAGCCACCACGATGTAGAACACTAAAGGAATGGCGCAAAAGTAGAGTGGCACCACAAGTGGATGCGAGAGCAGACGCTGCAAAATTTCCAGTATGATGGCCAGTCCTAGCGGAATGGACCAGAGCAGAGCGGTGTGACCTTCGAACAAATGCTGTAGCGTCTTGAGTGAATACTCAAGGTTGCCGTCTAAGCGAGCGCTGACCTCAAGGCCAGTGACAAACAGAAACCAACCAACTCCGCCGATACAGCCAACAAGGATGTGGCGAGGGAAGTAGCCGATCAGTGAACCTAGTTTGAAGTAGCCTAGGGAGAAGAACACCAGGCCAGTGACGATGGACGAGATGGCATAAGCCAAGATGGTAGTGGCAATCACAGCATCTGGCTTGTCTTCACCAATGTCGGCCATGATACTGAGTGCCATTTGGTGAAAGAACGGCACAACCTCAATCATTTCTGAGCCGATACCTCCCTTGAAGACACTTCCGCCGAGTGAAAAGACGAGTTGCGAGATGATGCAAGAAACATAAAACATGGATATACCATCCGCTCCGAGGTTTGCAAATATTGGTGTACCCAAGGGGAAAAGGATCATGCCGTACGACAATGCGTCGAGAATGTTGAGCAGAAGACCGAGCACAACGGCAGGCAAGAAGCCAATGATCGTAGTGCTGCCTTTGACGACTGACTTGGGAGTCATCTCGATATCTTTGATCCTTGACCACTTCATCTTTGCTTTTGCCCAGCGCTTGACTTGCTGCAGATTCTTGTCTGCCTGTGGATCTTCGATTGCCTCTTCTAGATCACGAGGCGAATGTGGAGCTGTGTTATATCGGCCCGCTTTTGGTCGTGGACTATGGTCATCGTCCGATAGAAGCGCTGTATTCTCACTCATTTGTCGTGGAGTTTGCACAATAGAATGTTCAGTCACACCCTGCTCTACCAGCGCTGACTTTGACGCATCTGTGGGGGATGAGCGCAAGAGTTGAGCCAGCCCAGAGCCATTTGCACCATCACGAAAGGTCGACTCAGGAGATACTGGCTCAGAAACCTCTTCGATGGCGTCATTGCCTGGAGAAACAGTACGTGTGATGCTGCCACGCCTTGGATCAAAGTCCTCAGCGTGCTTCTGGCGCGGCGATACGGGTGAATGCGCCGAGACAGAAGCTCTGGCAGCTAATTTTTGTGTATCAAGCCGGACGTCGGCAGCAGTATGTGGCATATGTTGAGCTGCACTCAAAGACTGTGCTAAATCACGGTTAGCTGCAGCTCAAGGCACGAAGAGAGAGGCACTTACGGGCCATATGGCTAGCGCTGTAGTAGGAACGACCGATGAGCGATTGCGTCAAACTATCGCGGCGGGCTGAGCTGGCTTGTATATCCCTGCTCTGCGTCTCGTTGGTCTTTTGCGTCTTGCTTGATCCTGCGCTCAGGACGCGGCCAAACGAATCGCGGTCCCGTTGCGACATGACTTCTTTTGGAATGACTCGACTCCTGTCACGTCAGACTCGCGAATTGGGCAGCGGAAGAACGAGCGGGGGCAGCTGAAAACTGGTTCAACGTCCAGGCCCCTGAAGAGCAAGGGAACACACGGAGATCAGGCTGCTTATTTGAATTGGCCACACTGCAACCTGTCGCACATGTAATTGTCCTTGGGAGGCGGTGCTGCAAAGTCCAGTGGTCGTCGGGAGTTAGACTGTCCTGGAAGCGTCTCTATAGTTGCTGTATAGCGCCCTGCTCTCTACGTGCCTGGCTTCTCGAGGCCCCCTTCAGCTTCGTCGTTGGGTTGCGTTGCTGCGTCGCGGTCCGGTGCCTTGGCTTCTTATCTTTCCTGATGCGCCCGCTGCAGACATTTCCAACTTTCGACGACGTCCGTGCCCAGCTGCGTTTACGAGCTCGAGCAGATATGCGACGACACCGCCATTGTTCAGCTAGGTGCTATTGCTGATTCGGCCTGCAGCAAGCTTGACTCAGAGCAGTGCATGCCCGTAGCTCGGGCGGTCGCGAGCCACGCTGTCCCCTTGCCCACAAACAATACAGGGGAGCTTCAAGCTATTGCTTTGCCATGTGGCATGTGCTCACTAGCTCGTTTGCGAGCATGAAAGCTGCTGTTCCCGGCTGCAAGCCAGGCGCTCGCTTCCCTTTTTCATTGTCATCTGTATGGACGATACTCTGCGCTTCGATGGGCCAAAGTCGCAGGTAGAACCCTTCTGTAATGGGGATAAGGACAAGCTCCTGACGCCCAGCGCGGCGAATACACCATCGCAGCTTTCTCGGCCGATCTCACCATTTCTCGACAGGCCCTGGTCTGCATTCCTTGGGACAAAGCAGGTGATGCTAGAGCAATTGCAGAAGGTTACAGATTGCCCTGACGAGCACGAGGATCTTGTGGATGGGCCTACTTCTTCAAGCTATCCGCGACCGCGCACTATTTCGGACGGCGTCTCTTTCTCAGGGACTGTCATTTTCTCTCCTGATACAATTGTATCTCAGTTGCACGATCGGGCAACACTACGCAAACTGGCGTCTCTATGCGATACGTATGCAGCGTCCCATGTCACAACGCCACGTCAGCTGGGCCAGCTATTCAAAGACGCTGGCTACGAGATAAATATTGAGAGGCTCGATGCTGATGCACACATTGCGTATAATGAACTTATGTCGCTTCTCGAACAGGTGCCACAGGGATCGCTGTCAACTTGGGATCTTACGCGGCGTGCCAGTCAGCCCAGGCACGCCCAAAGAGTTGTTTTTGAGCCTATTCGATATCGTTCTCGACCGGGTTTGATTCGAGTAGATCGTGCTCCCAGCATAGTACACATTGCTCAGGCCGGCCCTTCGTCTCAGCAAGGGACCATCTCTGATGTCCCTATTTTCGTGGCACCGGCTACCTCCAAAGAGCAAGGCCACTCTCACCTTTGTAGTGACACAGCCGCTCAGCTCCAGGAAGCCCAACCTTCCAGACTCACTTTGAGCAACGGAGACACATTTCTGCTCGGTAAACGCATTGGCAGTGGCCAATACGGTGCTGTGTACTGTTCTTTGCATGCCGATTTTGGTACAATAGTGGCAATCAAACGGATTCCAATGCAAGACCAGTCTCCCACGGAAAGACAAAAACTTATGCAAGAAGTGGCACTGCTTCGGAAGCTTAAGTCACAATGGATCACGAGCTATGTAGGCTTTGCAGAGGACAGCGGCTTTCTCAGCATTGCCACAGAGTACATCGAAGGCGGGAGTCTTTTGACGATAATTAAGACATTTGGCGGGCTGTCTGAGGCACTCGCTGCGAGGCTCTGTAGATCCATCATTCTTGGTCTCGAGTACTTGCATGCACAAGACGTTGTCCATTGCGATTTGAAGTGTGCCAATGTACTCCTGACCAAGTCAGGGCAGACACGGTTAGCAGATTTTGGCGTGTCCATGCATCTTGGAGGTGACTCTACGATCAAGGGAGACGTGAATGGTACGCCCAATTGGCTGGCACCCGAAGTCATTACTCTCCGCGGGACAAGTAAAGCAAGTGACATTTGGAGTCTTGGCTGTACACTCATTGAGATGTTGCAGGCCAAGCCGCCTTATGCTGATCTCAACCCAATGAGCGTGCTCTATGCGATTGTCGAGCGAGGACCGCCTCCTCCACCATCAGATGCCTCTTCAGATTTGACATCTTTTCTGCAACAGTGCTTTGTCTGGGAACCTCGAGCCAGGCCATCAGCAGCTGCACTGTTCCACCATACGTGGCTGCAAATGGCTCATCACGCTCTAAGGCATGACGGCATGGGAATCGACTTTTCGAATGGCGCGAAGGTCTGGCTTCCATCTGATTGTCGCTCTGGTGTCCTTGCGGCCGTTCAAGGAGCTTCACATCCTGAACAAGACTCTCTTGTGTCAGATGACACAGGCTCACAATCCGAGGCCTCTCCACTTCTGCATGCAAGGCACAGGTCTGATACAGTCCCCTTACAAGAACAAAGGCCGCACTACTCCATCTGTGAACAGCAATCTCAGCGTCAAGGGTCTTTCATTGCGCAGAATGGCAGCAATTGCAGTGGATTGAGTCACGCTCTAGCTGGAGCCATTGAGAGTGTGAAGAAGAGAAGGCGTGCACCATGCATGACTCGCTATCGGGTGCTGATCAGGCGGAAGACGACTGAGAAGGTCCTTCAGGAGTGCTGCATCATGTAATTTGTCGTAGTTTATACCTTGGCAAGGAAGCCCTGGCGGATGAGCCGTTCCACATCGGACGCTTTGACGAAGAAGGAGCTATTCTTGGTCAAGGTCAGAGTACCATACTCTGTCTGAATCTCGCCAGCATCTTTCAAAACACGCACATCGATATAGAGGTCTTTTGGAGGTTCGAGAGATCCAGTCAGATCAATATCGGTCCATTGGCCCTTGTAGGCAGCCAAAAGTTCATTGTAACGCTTTGCATATTCAATCTCATCAGGCCCCAGCCGACTTTGCTCTCCAACTTGCACGCCGACTGCATCTAGACGTTCTGCCCAACATAGGCTGTCGATGCGATCAGTGCGCAGGCGATGATATGCCATGAGACACCGCTTGTTACGCTGCTTCGCCAAATGCTGTATCAAAATGCCAACGGCAGCTTCTGGGTGCTGTGAATGAGAAAAGTTCTGACTGCCACCAAGCTCCTCCAGCGTTCTTTGCTGCTCTGCATCGAGCGCTCTAACTTCGCGAGTCACAGATTGGACAAGATCCGGCTGGTAGAGGGGCAGATGATCAAGACCCGCAGTACGTTTCGCATCAGCAATGAGCTTCATGGCCGCGTCGCCATACATGTTGAAGCCGCGCGACGAGGCTAGTGTCTAGAAACTGCCACCTCCCTGTTGACTCAACGTCGAGTGTCGTCGTGGTCAATTTCAGCGTCGCGTCTTTCACGTTTCTAAATTCGCGTCTTGAGTCTGACGACAATACTCGCCAGCCAGCTGCAAACTCCCTCTATCTGTGCAATAGTCCATGCTGCTTCACGCTTGTTACTGCTGGGACGTATGACTGCGAGTCTTCCCACTCGGTCGCCACCAGAATGGCAAGGTGACCCTATAGGTCAGTATAATGAGCAAGTCAGGAAAAATCAGACAAAGACCCACGCGAGCTATGCGGCGGTGCGGGTCAATTCTGTGACTGTCTCTATCGGGGACTTTGTCAAAGTGAATCTACTTCATGGCATACGTATTTGTCTGGTCCTCATGCTCTGGGAAGACCGGAAGACCGACCGGCCCGTCACCTGCATGGCAAAAGTGATGTGCTTTGCTGACGGCGAAGACTCGGAATTACTGATGACAACCCGAGAGGTGGAAGTCAAGGTCGATCGGATACATCATAAGGTTCAGGTCCTCAGCTACAAGGCCTATCATAAAGCCAACCAATCAGAGGATCACACGATCTACTATTGTCAACGTGGGGTTGAAGAACGCCTAAGCTGCATGACCAAAGCGATTGATTTAGACAAGGTCTTTTCAAACTCAGATCCCGGCTCTCTGCTCAAATTGGCAAGACGATTGATTGAAGAGGCCCTTGAGAATGATAAGTCTACCAGAAAGGTCAGAATGGCAAAAAATACCACAAGGACGAGCCGGACCGCTTTCAAAAATGTCGACGACACATACTCGGCCTCGTCAAGTGAGTTTGAGGATGCATCGACCTCAGCAGCAGAAACATCTGAAGACGATTTGGCCCCCATCACACCTCGCAAACGAAAGCGAACGAATGTAATTACGCCCAAATCAGAACGTGTCAGAACGCCCGGAAGTCGTTCTCATCGAATCATGGCTCCGTTAGAGGTTGAGCCACTACCGTCTCGAACCGCGAGAGCCGAGGATGAGCAAAACTTGACACCCCATCAGTTGGCTCGTCAGCGTCTGCACGTCGCGGAAGTGCCAGTGTCACTACCGTGCAGGGAAAGCGAATTTGCCAATATCTATACACAGGTGGAGTCTGCCATTATTGACAACGACAGTGCTCTGTTGTATATTTCGGGTACTCCAGGAGCTGGTAAAACTGCAACCGTCCGGGAAGTGGTGGCGGCCTTGCAAGAAAGCGTTCGCAATAAGGAGTTGTATCCTTTCAAGTTTGTTGAGATCAATGGCATGAAAATCCCAGACCCAGCACAGGCCTATGCACGACTATGGGAATCCCTGACAGGCCAACGGGTAACGGCCCAACACGCTTTATCTTTGCTACAAGAGTATTATTCCAAAGAAAATCCCACCGGTATGTCGTGCGTCGTGCTGATGGATGAGCTGGACCAGTTGACCACAACAAAGCAAGAGGTTATGTATAACTTCTTCCAGTGGCCGAGTATGCCGAACACGCGATTAATCGTCATTGCCGTTTCCAACACCATGGATTTGCCTGAAAGGTTTCTTGCTCACAAAGTGGCTTCTCGCCTTGGCTTGTCACGGATTGCGTTTCCCTCGTACACTCGGGAACAGCTCAACAAAATCATCACCTCTCGTCTGCAAAGTGTTTCCGGAATGGAAATTGATGCAGCGGCCATCGACTTTGCTTGTCTCAAAGTTGCAAGCGTCTCTGGAGACGCACGCAGGGCATTGGACATCTGCCGCAGAGCGTTCGAACTAGCTGAGGCGCAATTGACAGCTCAGAACGACGGAGACTCCGGATCCAGAGGTCGGTCAGACAATATTTCTCAGCCTGTCGCATCGGCCGGACGCATCACGATGCAAGTGATTCGTGAGGCGATTCGCCTCATGACGACTTCTCCGCTGCAGAATTACTTGACAGCATTGCCGTTGCTGGCGAAACTCTTCCTGAAGGCTCTTTTGGCATGTGTTAGACGATCTGGTCTGGCAGAGAACACGCTTGGTGATATTACCGAGGACGCATCGAGGTTGTGCAAAGTCAATACACGACGAGAGCTTGAATTGATTATGGGAAATACTGGCTTGCAGCCGTATGCCATGATGGAGACAGCGCGGTCTTTGAGCACAGCAGGCATCATTTACTTAGAGTCCTTCGTCTCGGAGAAACACTGCCGTGTGAGGCTCAAAATACCGGAGTCTGACCTTGTCGGGTTTGTTGAAACTGATGCCGATGTTAGGACAATCACATGAGTGATATCTGGCAAGTAAGCTGTTCTGTGATTGAATTCTTCACAAACTATATATTTGCCAAAGGCGACCTTTTCTATATTCGTTACTCATTAGTGTCGTAGCTGCATCTGTGTAGTATCTTCTGCAAATGCCTCAGCCCAGACTGACTTGTGCAGTAAGTCGTCCAAGGCCTTCTCTTCAGTATCAGCTTCAGCAAGTTGATTAATGGGCAAAGCTGAAGTCACTGAACGACTGGAAACGTGACGTGACGAATGCATAGGCTGCGCTGCATTTGTAGACGCCATTGCTGTCGGCGAATTCCCAATATCCTCGGTCTCAAGAGACAGATAGCTACTGTCGAAATTGCCGTCTAAGACCATCTTGTTTTTGGCTAATTTCCGTTTACTCCATGCTCTTTCAAGAAAGATGACAACTTGCTCTTGTCGAAGACTGCGCATAACGCGTATGCGTATTTCGCGGCGTCTGAAGAACTCCAGAAGCTGCAGACTTCTATCTTGATCGATAAATTTGTTGTAGGCAATGACCAGCAGGGTCTGCCCAAATGAGACGCGGTTCTTTGGATCAATCCGCGTCAGTTCTGTATGGATGGACTCGTATATCAGTCTTCGCTTCTTTATGGTGTCAACATCGATGTTGCGGAGACTGGATCGCAATAAGGCAAGATTGACCTCTCGGGTCGATGGATTGGCTGACGGCAAAGTGCACTCTGCCAGCAAGCGGCCAACACAAAGTTCTTGAGGATAGATCTTGACCTCAAATACACCTGTCAGGTTGTGTAGAAACTTTGCAACATCTTCAGTGGCAATATGGCCTGTTCCGTCGTCAAACTTGGCCCAGACTTGCTTGAATTGGCGAATTTGGTCTCTCGTGATGTTGCCCATGAAGCCAGTGCGTTGGTAAACGTAACTAAAATTGGCCATTACCAGCGAAAGCACAATATTGACAAAAATGTACATAGACATTGTGTTCCAGGCAATGAAGAGAAAGTAAGCCCAAGCAGGGTTGCCGCAATCGGAGTCGTAAAAATTGGCACTGTCCGTGCAATACGGCTCTTGCACGGTGAAATCATGCATGAAGGCATTCCAGCCTTCGCCAAGGCTCATGCGATATAAGGCCACTAGAGCTTTCGAGACACTTCTCATATTAAGATTGTGGTCACCATTGTCACCAATCTTGACAAGGCCGAGAATCTGATTGAATGCGATGGCAAAGGTGATGAAGAGAACAAGCCAAGTAGCAAACAGACTCGCAAGAATCGGAACCGAAGCTGAAGCCACTTTCGCAAGCGTGTCCAGTGAATCGATAGCATGAATCAGCTTCAATTAGTAAGAGCCATAGCCTTCAGAGATTCTCACGTTCATAGCCAGCAGGACCAGAGAGACTTTTTGGAGCGTGCCAAAGGCAACGTTGTCTGCATAGATCGCCGTCTCATGTTAGCGATAAATTCAACGAGCTTTCGAGACTCACCAAAACTGAGGCTGTCATGGCGAAAGGCAGGATAGCGAGATTGTAAATGTTCCATCGACTTTTCAAGAACAGTCTCCAGCCCAGACCCACAACGCGAACCGCCAGGTTGACAGCGTAGAAAGCAAGGATGACGAAGAATAGTGTATTTCGCGTAATCATGTACGCTGGCTTACTCGCAAAGTGTTCAGTCATCAGAATGACGGTGTGAATGACATACACCGCAAACACACTTCGCTGCCATGTGCTGTGTTTCTTCACGGCGAAAAAGGCCCAGCGGCGCCATTTGGTTTTCGGGGCGTCAGCAGGACGACGACTTGGCCGGACTTGGCTCAAAAGCAGTTTGATTTCTTGCCACGAGCGTTGATCAGTCGTCAGAAACGCGAGGCCAGATCTCTCGCTGTAGTTTTGTAGAATAACAGCGATGAACAACGTCAACACAAAGACGGCACCCGCCATGTTGAAAAGCACGAAGAACATGCGATTTTCAGTAGATGCTTCAGGTTGGAATTGAGGCTGTAGGTCTTTACCGGTGATACCAGCTGCTGAAGCTGCCACAGCGGTCCAGCCTTCTTGAGAAACGATCTCGAACAAAATCAGCAGGGAACTACCAAAATCATCGAATGAGTAAGAGCGCGGATTGGCCCATTGTCGCGGCACGAGGATCGACCATGCTGCTGGCGTCGAGAAAAACTCGTTGATGCAGGAGGCTTTGTTGGCGACATCAGAGTCGTTGCATCCGGCCAGAAGCCCACTGAACATTTTTTGCGCCCAGATAGCGGTCGGAATCAATAGGGCGAGCGAGGCGACAGCAGCACCTAAAATATTCCAGAATCCTGCAATCGTTAGAGAAAGTGCACAACATGGTGGAAAAGCTCACCTGCGATCAAAACGTCGTGAAATATTTCCTTGGTCTTGTCGGAGATATTGACGAGCCTCAAGGCCCTCAATGCTTTAAAGGCACGAAAAGCACGACTGACACTGCCGTCGTCCACAATATCAGCAACACAATTCACCCACAGTGTACAAAGCACCATGAAATCGAGCCTATTCCATGTGTTGCGTAGATAGCCATTGGGGGTGAGGTAAAATCCGTCTGCAAACACCTTACAGCAGGCTTCCAGCGTAAAGACAACGGTCAGACCTAAATCAAGCCAGGTGTACCAGGCTATTCCATGCTGCCCACCCTGTAACTTATAAGCCTTCTGGTAGATTGGCGTAACCATGCAGGCTGAGATGACGATGCATAGTGTACACGCATATGTCACTGCTGAGAAGGCATACCACAGCTTGGCGGACGGAGGATGTCCTTGCATTCGCTCGCCCCAACTACAAGCAACAAGGTACTGACACCAAGAGCGTAGTTTTGCTTGCGGCTTGAGGAACCAAAGAGCATAATTATATTCTGGATGCCTTGCCAAATACGCCAATTGCTGCATGCGCAGGTCTCCGTGGGCTTCAATGACCTGTTCCGCAATGGTGTGAGGTTGCATAGAGGAGATGCTCTCCTCGGTGACAAGCTCAAAGCGACTGCTGAATGGGTTGCGCTGCTCAGGGGACTTGCTACTGAGGGGCATGACTTTTGCCACACAGGTGTCCCATAGCCGCAGAATTGGGCCTTGAAATTGATTCTGCATTGTCATGGCTCGCTTGCCGAGAGGCTCTATCTCGTCAGCCAGGAAAGCTTGCACACTTTTGGCGTTCATCATGTTCCCAAATTCGTCAATGGTTGCAGAGCGTGGCCGCGAACGTTTCACGATGGTTGCCATTGCTGGCGTGGCCTTGTCGTGTCCAACTAGCGAAGGCAAGGTCCTTTGAACAAAGGTCTTGACTTGCTCGCGCCTCTTAGCCTCTTCGCTGACCTCCAGACTCTCAGAAAGAACTGAAATGAACAAAGACATCATAATGAATTGCGCATAGATGAACCAGACAATTGCAAAGGTAGCTCCAAGCCATGCCATTTTCCATTTAGCCTGTGCCATTTGGATGCCGTACAAGATAACTGTCCAGTTCTCAGTCGACATGATTTGATACATGCCAAAGAAGGAGTTGTAAATGTTTTTGAACGTCACAAACTGCTGTTCTCCGTACAGCTCATCAGACACTTCACCCCGGAGCAGTTGTGCTGCGAGCAACGCGCCAATCAAGACAGAGACCATGACGAAGAACAGTAGATTCAGCAAGCTGTGTACGTCGCCAACGATGCGCGCCAATAGATGTCTTGTAAAGGGTATTGCGTGGATCACACGATAGACACGTAGGATCTGAAAGACTGAAAGCCATCTGTAGAGCTCATCATTGCTGCCAATGCCGCGAATTTGAGGCACCTCAATCAGACAAGTGATGAGCACAAGGAAGCTATCAAAGATGTTTGACTTTGTGAGAAACGATCTCCAATTTGGGAGATGCGCCAAGAATCTGAGGACGATCTCAACTGCGAACATGACCGTGAATACCACTTCGGCCGTATCGAGGATGAACTTCGACTGAGCTGACATGTGCGCCTTTCTAGCTCCATCGGCAGCCAGCGAGATGACAATGACACTTAGCCAGAAGCCATTCATTCGGCTCCAGAACTTGAGTCCAGGGGGTTGTGCTGCTCCGGGACTTGGATTTGTTTGCAGATTCCTCTTGACAGCCTTTGCTTTGGCCGCCAGTCTGCGCTGTTCCTCTCGATTGACAGAAAAAGAGTTTGTCACCACAGCAATGAAAAGGGAACTGAGCCAAAATGTGAGCAGAAGGGTGCTGCAAATGAAGAAAAGACAAGCAAGGAAACGATCTGAGGCCATGGTTTGGTACATCAAGTCGGTGCTCGTGTTCGAAGAGATGATGACAAAGACAAGTTCCATGGCGTTCCAGATGGTGTCGAAACTGACCGTCCCGCCGTAAGGATTCGACCCTTGGACGCAATAAGATTGTTCTGGGCAGAGATAGCCCTTTGGTGCATCGTTGGAGGACTGCCAATTGTCCAAAAGATACCCACGAGCGACCCCGTCAGAGAGATGCCCGCCGCAAGACTGCAATTCTGTAGTGATATTGGCTTGAAGACCACTTGGATCGACCCAGACACAACTTCTGCGTAGCGAGCCTTTGAAAGCCTGAACACCGATGATAGCAGTGAAGACCCAGAAAAAGGCAACGAAGAAGGCTACATCGCTCAAGAGTGGACCAGCAGTCTTTAGACTGCGTAGGATTGTCGCGGTCGCTTCCGTGATGTTGAGCAACCGAATGATACGCAACGAGCTAATTACTCTGAACAAGTAGAAATGATATTTCAGCTCGACGCCTGTGACGGACAAGCCAAATGAGAGCCAGAAACTGAGGACGCAAATGAGGTCGAACCTATTTGCGGACTTTCGCAAGAATGCCCGTCTCACGAATTTGATGCTATTGCTGACGGCTTGCTCTCGACTACGTCCGAGTGTTGCCACGATAGGCATTGTCCTGTTGTATGCAGAAAGATGCTGAGGTAATGCTGTAGATGAAGGCGGCGGCGCTCCTGGAGCATTTCGAGCACTCTGCTCTTCGGGGTTGAAAAGCACACCAGAGACAATAAGACGAGTGCCAAGCTCCAGCGTATAAAATGTGAAAATTCCAAGGAGGGTCCAATCAGTCCAATCACCCCAGCCGTTCGCCTCTGCTGTGAAAGAATCCGCTGCGAGAATGATTGCATGCAGCAGTATAACGAGAAGTACCAGCGGTTCGGTGACGGGATGCCTCAAGACGTGAAAGCAGACCTGACGCAGACCATTCTCAGGCTTCAAGAACCCTAGTGCTCTCCCCGCTAGCTGCGGTTGTGCCAAAGTATCACTTCCGACACGATCACCATCTCGTCCAGGTCTTGCCTTCGATTCCGCCTTTGTTGCAGGTCCTCGCAAATTAACGACTCGCTGTGAAGTATTGGCAAGCGCAAGGGAGACTTTGCGTCGCATAGGGGAAACCGGACGCTCTGGAACCCAATTCGACCTGAAATCTTGTCCTTGTAATGTAGCATTCGAACGACCTCCAAATTGATGGGCGTGGTCAGCCAAGCCAAGAGTATCTTCCTCGTCATAGGCATCATAGTGCCGGCCAGCATTCGGTGATTCCAGCGTGTACAAAGAATCAGACCTGGTCAAGACAATCTCTGGGGGTTCGACGCCGGCCCTTCTGCTTGCGTCCTGCAAGTTGACCAAGGGAATCTCATCTTGGCTGCTGCTCATACTCAGTAATGTCCTTGGTACATGGACAGGACTTCGACAAGATACTTCAAGCGGCTCTGTCTAGAGTATCAGAGCAGCCTTTTCTCATCGACTGCTGTGCTTCAAGCTTGCCTACGCGGCGTGCGGGTGTTTGAAGTTGAATGTATGTGTGCAAATGCGATTCAGCTGGTTGCCGCGCGGTGTCAAAAATAAACTTTGGGCGCGTCTTGGCGAATGTTGCGGGACGGAGACTTCAAAGGTGCCTACTGCAGCTGGTTGTAGAGTGGAGGCTTCGTGATCTTCAGTGTTCGCGTCCAATCTGGGATGGCATGAGTGGCTTCAATAACAACAGTCTATGATACTGACTTCAGTCACTCTCGTCTCCGTTGTCCAGTGCTTCGTCATAGTCAAGTGCATCTCGAGTAGGGCCGTCTTGCGACTCGGCAATGGCTTCACCTGCGAGGTCGTCGGCTCTGGTAGAAGTATCCTCTCCTTGAAAGAGGGTCTCATCGGCGTCATCCGCATCATCCACTTCATCGTTTTCATTCTCATCTTCTTTTCCTTCCGCTTCTTCGTCTGTATCGGACTGCGAATCCTCCTCTCCGCGGACGTCGTCAGGATCAGCAGCTTCCTCGAGCCTAGGCCTCTTGCTCTGTGTGCCTTCTTCGGCTTGCGAGGCTTGAGTAGCAGCGTCTTCCTCTGTGGGCCTTTTCTGGTTTCTCTTCTCCTTCCGCAATGCGTCTTGCTCTGCATTGTCAGTTAACATTCGATAGTGTCCTCATACTTGCCTTCATGTTCTTTCTTGAGATCATCGACGAAACGCTCAAATTCAATGACCTTTAGTGCCTCGAACACATCAACGGGCATGATCGTCTTTCGTTTTCTTGAGATGGCAATCTCGTTCGCTCTTTAGTTAGCAGTGGCCTATAAGAGGCCAGGAACTTACTGTGCTGTCAGATAGGAGATGAATACAGTTGATGCTTTCGTGAGAGCAAGCAAGGCCTCTTTCTGTATGGGCGCATCGGCCTTGAGAACAGCTTTGGCGCAGTTGCGTATAGTGGAACGAGGCATGAGGTTGTCCTCGAAACTGTTGATCTTCTCTGTCATTTCAAGAATGTTTGCTAGGTGTAGAGAAGAATGCAGCCCTAGCGGTCAAAGTCGCGTATATCCAAGGACTGTCTATATATATGGCTTTGGCATTGGTGTCTGTCGCGTCGCAGGCTTGTCCGAAACAGGAACTTTGAAGCGAAACCGGCAAGCGCATCCTGATCAATTAGCAATGGCGACCCTCGAAGCATCCACCAACTTGTGGGTCATCAGGTAGGCTCACGCTGTTGCTACTAAACGCTCCTCTCGAAAGCGCCTAGACACAGCTGCACCGCTATTGGTCTAGGCGGCTAATTTCTTCTTGATTTTGTTTTCAGCTATCGAGGTTATCATCACTGCAGTAACTTCTACCGCTTCAGCTTTCTTGTACATCAAATCTGGTCCTGGGTTATACGTCCGATTGCTTCTCGAAAGTCGTTGCTATTGACCAGCATTCTGGTACAGACGAATATCACAGGCAGCTATGCCTTTTCTTCCTGCTCTCCGAGCGGTGTTGGCATCGAGCTCTCCTAAAAACCTCGAATGGGATGACTACAAGCCCATTATCCGAAGCGCAGTAGCTGCTTGGATCGGCGTATTGCTCATGATCATCCCTCGGACATTGAGAGTTCTCGGACAAGTATACTTCCGTTCTTGAACTGACCTTCGCTAATAATGACAGGCATCTTTCCTGGTCCTCGTTGTCATTTTTGCCAATCCGCCAGATGGCCCAGTCATCAAGGTCATCTACAATGCCCTGTGGAATATGCTCTTTGTTGGAGCTGCCTGGGTCATTTTCATCGTCTCTTCACGCTCAGCAACAGCAGCCAGAATCAATGTGATTAACCCACAAACGCTTCGGTTGACAGACTTCAGTGGGTACAGTTGCAACTCGACACCACAGGAATGCTTCCAAGCGGCCATTTTCGAAGGGCGATTCGTCGAAGCTGGCCCAAGTCTTGTCTTTGCCGCTTTCCTCGCGATTGGCGTTGCGGTTGCGCTTTCCATTAAGGTGCGGTATCCGCAGCGAGTATTTTCAGTGATCTTCTCGTTGGTCGCCCTCATCATCAGTCATTTATATGGTCCGCTCTTCCCCTACTTCTATCCCGCTTTAGGGCAGGTCTTTTTTGTTCCTGTCGCTGTTGGCAACGCAGTCAATGTGGCTTGCAGTCTTGTATTTTGGCCAGAAACAATGTCGCATGCATACACTCGCCAGGTTGTAGCGCTCGTGGACAAGATCCGGGTTCTAGCAGAGCAGCAAAAGCAAGTCATGGATAGCGATCCAAACTCGAATGATTGGACTGAGCTTGGTGCAATCAAGGCCCAGTTACGCGCTGTGCGTTCTGGTCTTGCAACCTTTCGACCGAATGACTCTTTGCTTGAACGAGAGTTCGCTTATGGCAGACATGGTGCCAAAGACTTGCAGGGTCTCGTGCATCGATGCCGCGATGTCATCTTGAAGCTTGGCGGATTCTCACTCTTCTATGATCTCGTATCGTCGACCATGGAAGCTTGGGACACAAAAGTCGACCAAGGCTTGAGCACTACGGCGCGACCATCATTCGAATCGCCACGCAATGGCACAGGCGAAGAGGCCGATTTACAGGGTGCCTCCGCAAGTCACACACCTCGTTCTTCATCTGAAGAGCATGGCAAGCTCAGGCAGCCAAAGCGCAACAAGTCCAAGACAAAGCTGTGGCACGATGCTTTGCATCATCGCCTCAAGCAAACCGGAATTTTCGAGATGAATCAATATCAGGAGCACGAACAAAAGTTTCCTCGACGGCAAGAAGTTGAACTCACTGTCAGCATGCTGAAAATCTCGGCAGACGCATCAACGCCGCTCATAGATGCTGTCTGTCTAGCCTTGTCGACGGTATCCGATAGTCTGAAGCGAACAAACAAAGACCGACTCTACAACAGATTGTTCTTTCACGCCGACTACTCCTTCGACGGTCAAAGCCTGAAACAAGCTTCACTTGAACTGCAACAAGCTTTGGAAGCTTATAAATCCTCAGGCCGTTTGCAAATGCTTGGACCTTATGAAAAGCTGGCTGCGGAAGCTGCACTTCTCGATGGCTTGTCCGAGATCTCATCTCGCCCGTTGCTCAGATTTTTCTATCTTGAATTTCACTTGATTAGGATGGCGGAGAGCACATTCAAGCTCTTACAAGGTATTACCGAGCTCGGACACGAAAGGCCGCATGCGAGATGGCACTATCCTGGTCGCTTCTTCACCTTTCGCCTGAGAGCTCAGCGTCAGCATGATCACGTCGATCTACCGGTACAAGAATACGACGACACTTTCGAACACGATGATGACCATTTTCAAACTGAAGCCCGCGATCCGGTTTGTCAAATTTTGATTGAGACTCAGTTGCTAACGACAGGATGCTGAACCGCCTTCGAATATATTTCATCTAGTAGGCCGTGGCTTTGTTCGTTTGGTTCACCTTCTCGAACGTCCAGACATTGTCTTTTGTCTGAAGGGCTCCATCCTCGTTCTGCTGCTGGCCTTGCCAGCTTTTCTCCGGCGATCGGCGGGATGGTACTATGATAATCGCGGACTCTGGGCCGTCATTATGGCAGCATTTAGTGTCAATCCGCTCACTGGCGACGCCGTGTTTACCTTTGTTTTCAGAATCCTTGGCACTTTTGCAGGTGCGCTCTTTGCGCTAGTTCTGTGGTACATTTCATGTGGCAACTCGGTCAATGGGAACTACTACGGTCTAGGCGCTACGATGGCAGTCGCAAGCTTTCCACTCGCCTACATAAGATTGCGATTCGTCTACATCAACCCGCAACCTGCCATATTCTTCTTGATTACTGTGGCGCTGGTCGTTGGCTACAGCTGGCAAGATGCAAAGATGCCATCGCAAGTCAACCTTGGTGTCGGATGGTCGGTCGCATGGCGAAGAGCGGTTCTCGTGTCTTCCGGCTGCACCGCTGCTTTTATCTGGAACTTCATCCCTCGTCCAACAACCGGTCGACAAGTCGTACGTCAACGATTGGCGAAAGGTGTCCTAGAGATAGGACGTGTCTTTACGGAAGCTTCAAACTATGCACGTGGTCACCAAGGACGGACCAGAGAGGAAGGCATCCGGAGAATCGTCATACGCGCCAACGAGAAGCTTCTTGTTCTCAATCAGCGGCTGCTTTTCTCATCATTCGAGCCGCCGATTTCTGGCCGTTGGCCTAAGGAGAAATATGTCAGGATGCTAGGTCTTCAGCGCGAGTTGCTTGATCTCCTTGTAGCATTTGTCGGGTGTCTAACGAGGATGGATGAAGGCGGCGAGAGTGGGCGACATTGGATGAAGGCCATGCTCTTAAGAACCGGGTGGTATTCTCAGTCCTTCACAGGAGATCTTCTGGCTTCTTTGTTTCTAATCAGCCATGCCATCAAAACTGGCACGGCCCTCCCACAAATTGTGCCCAATCCTCTTCTCAACCGCTTCTATGATAAGAAGGAGGACATTCCGGATGACGAGCTGGACGGTCGATTGCCACGGCGGCTCGACGCTACAGTACTGAGAAGTGAAGGATACGCTGGGTTTGCGGTCGCATCAACCATAACCTTCGCTGTTGTCAAGCGCATTGATGCTTTGATGCTTGTTACCAAAGAACTTGTGGGAGAGAGTTTCCACTCGACTGGCTGGCCTGTGAGAAATATGGACGACAATTTGTAAACTTGAGGTACATAATTTGAATGCGAAAGCAGGCGTCTAGTGATGAAAAGACATCAGCCTTTGCTTACCTCGGGCAGGAACATCCATGCCCGGATGTCCTGGTGATGTTGGCGATCAGATGGAGCCTAAAGTGGCGCCTGAGTGAGGCTGAAGTTGACAATCGCGATCGCGCATCGTAATCTACGTTGTGCGGCAACACCCAACATTGCAAGCGCCAGGACTCTGCGCGCACGTCGGCAACTGGGCGCAGTCTTCACCCGTATCTCAACAGGCTCACTGTATGCACGGATTGTTCGCTTGCGCGCTCTGAAGCACCCTGCAACTCTTTACAGCACGGTGCGCACGTCATCATTGCATCAACGCTATCGCGCATTGTGAATACGCTAGACCCAAGGGGCACCTAAGTGTTCTTTGCCAACTCTGTGTATCGCAGTGCCGCCAAGTGCTTGAAACATGCAGGCAGATCCCAAGGGCCTTCGTCCTAGAGTACGGACGTCGCGATCTGACTCCCCTGACCTCACAGCAGACGCTGCGCGGCCAGCCCAATCTACTCGGGCGCAAAAGTTGAATCAGGTCGTACAGGTATATCATACCCTATGTTTCATTTCTGCTGACCCACCACAGAACTTCTACAGTAAGGCGGCGCAAATCATCATTCAAGCCAGGCAACCCGTGACACCGCTTTACGCGCGCAATAGTACAATCAGACGGCTCAACAAATGGGTAGGCTACACGCCCTTTTCTGAGAGATTATTGACCTTAGTTCAATCTGGACACCGCCGACACAGATGCATTTAGGGACGAACTTCAACTCTGGAGATCTGTCAATGTTTCATCGGATACTTTCATGGCAACACGCCCACTCGTGATAGAAGTGGTCCTCAGCTTTCGAGATCTTACATCAAATCAGCGCTTGACGCTCGTCGATGGCCGTGGCCAAAGAGCTGATGTCGCTTTCCATGATTCGTTCAAAAGATATGCAGCAGGCGAAATTGTTCTGGAGCGCTGGGTCGTTGATTGGGAGCGGCCTTCTGCGAAAGAACCACCTGAGCTAGCGGTAACATACAAAAAGTCGATCGCCGTCTTCCGTTCACTGTACACCTTGTGCAGATTACTGCCTGCTTGGAAATTGCGACAAAGGCTCTTCAAATCAAAGTTATCCTCAGCCTCTCTGAAAGTCTCCTGCCGCGTATCGCATGAGGCCAATGAACAAGCTCAGGAAGCGTATCTCAAGTTGCATCAGTCTGCAGTCCCCGGATCGCACAGTCAGGTGAACAGCTTTGCCTTCCATGCAGTAGAGACACAGACCGGGAAATTGAAAATCAGCGTACAGTATCGCCAGGATTCTGACTTTCGCGTTGATGACACAGAGGCGCTCCTCTCTTCGCATTTTGTGAGTGCGGATGTACTTCCCTACCGGCCTCAATCATCTTTGCCCACTGAGGCAGCGCGTCGACCCGGGCGATCGGGACCAGGCGCAAATATGAGCAGCTTGCCGTATCTAGCGCAAACCGACAGCCGCACGGGAAGCACTTCCTCAGTTCACAAAATTGAGAGGCGTTCATCCTTTGCAATCCACCCATTCAAGTCGCCTTCCCTTTCAGCATCTCCTACAACTGAAGCGCAAGGTCCATCCCGCTTGGCGAGTCGAACGCACTCAAACATCTCTGTCGAGCGTACCTCTCAGCGTGCTGCCTCGTACCAGCAAGCATCGCGTCCAGTGAACAGCGAATCCATGGCGCTTTCTGCATCTGGGTCGCCACGCTTATCAAGCGGAGCTCCACCAAGTCTGAAGCGCTACTCCTCATCATTTGGTCAGCGCACAAGCAGTTTCTCTGGACGTCGTCGCCCCAGTCAAATGTCCGAGTCGGTCGCTCAATTGAAGTCCGAGCACACCAGCGGCACATCTAGTCGGTCGGATCTTGTATTGCAAACTTCACAACCGGATGAACAAGATGGCCTGGATGAATTCATGAAACTGCTGGAGGCCCCTGAGCCCCTCAAGGGCATCAATTTTGGTGACTCCGTAATGCATCATGGGTCAAGAAGCTCAGAACCTGAAAAGAAGATGCGCTCTGAACTTGATCGCTACCACAAACTTCGAGAGTCGCATGCGGCACTGAGCGATTCGCTTGTACAATCCACCATCTTGAGAACAACTCCGCGTGCTGCTGTGCGGCGTATGTCACAGCACAGCCCGTCTCTGCATTCAGGTGGATCATCGCCAGGGAAGCCAATGTCGCCACATACGCCCGCAATACCGTCGCGCTTGTCAGAGACATCCATTATGCCACGCCCAGTATCGCAACGCCGAGATGACGCCCTCCAGATTGGCATAGTGAGTGAAAATGGAGCTTCTGGTCCAGTCCAGATACCTGCGCCGACTTCACCCAATGGCTCCGACGGTCGCAGACCATATGGAGACGATCATGACGGTGAATCAATGCCCCCGATAGACACAAAGTTGAGCAACTTCAGGCAGCACGAAGAGTCAGCTACTCAACCATTTGAGACCAGTGACCCAAGAATAGGCAAGCAACACACTATGTTGGCTCAGCAAATGGATCGGTCCTCCACTACAAAGGGCTACTTCGCAGCTCGTGGGACCATAGCTGCTGATTCAGGCTGCAGTCGCGAACAGCGGGATCAGCCGACGCCTCAATCACCACCCGACCGCATTGGATCTGCCGTACCAGCTGGTTCGCATGTGCCGCGAGCATCTTCTACAACGGGCACGCCCGACGACGACGATCTCTTCTTCGCGATGAGTGATATCCACTTGAGTCGAATATGACGATTGAAGCTCATGATTGAAGCTCATCACGAAGCACAGTATTTGTAGAACTATAGTCAAGCTCCGTTGTCAAGAGAGGTCGACCGGTCATCTGAAAGTGCGTGAGACTAATTTTCCAGTTGAACGAATGCGCCATCAAGGTACCACCTACTTACCTACACTACATTCAAGATCTAGAACTTGCAGCTGTGAGCCCTCAATTAAGCCTACTGGAATCGCTCTGCTCGCTTTGGCCCAATGCTGAAACGTCCGGGAGATGCAGTGCTGATGCACGATGCCCGGCAAAAAGTCTTCGTCCAGAACCGAAAGGCGTCAAAGATTGTAAGGCAGCTTTATCTTCGCACTGATATTAGTTGCGCTTCGCAACTTTGCGCTCGCTGTCAACAGTACGATGTTGCCGGAGCGAAGCAGTCATCACAATCAATCTTGGGAGCCGATCCAAAGGCCCACAGCACGCACGGGCCACACTACTTGGTTCCCGATACAAACATCTTTTACCACTGCATGGACGTCATGGAGCAAGAGGATGTTTTTACCGATGTCATTGTCTTGCAGACCGCCTTGGATGAGTTGAGGAACAAAAGTCTTCCGCTGTATAATAGGCTTCGACAACTGGTCAAGGACTCTGACAAGCGCTTCTATGTGTTTCACAATGAGTTCCACGTAGAGACACAGGTAAATCGCAGCGCCGCAGAAAGTATCAATGATCGCAATGACCGAGCAATACGCGTCGCTTCTCTTTGGTACAAGAATCACCTGGCGAAAGCTACTCGCGGCACGCAGAACAGGGCTCCGGAGATCATTATGCTTTCAGATGATCGCGCCAATCGCACTTTTGCTCGGAGCGAAGGTGTTGTGGCTTACTCTGTCGATGAATACCTTGAAGGGCACCCCAAGTCACAGATGTTACTCGACATGATCACTGCAACAACGGAGAGAAGCTCGTCTCACACAGCTCCGGGCCAGGCGCTCTATCAGGAATATTTTGGCATGTATCGATTGCAAGAAAATGTGAAGAAGGGTTTGCTGCACCAGGGAGTGTTCAACGTCTCGACCTACAATTTTCTCGAAGGCTCCGTACCGGTACCTGCATTTGACCGCCCAGTGCATATATTAGGCCGAGAGCAGATGAATCGAGCTGTGCAAGGAGATAGTGTCGTGATCGAAATTTTGCCTAAAGATCAATGGAAGTTGCCTGCAGCGGTGATCGTCGACCCGGACGAGGTCAATAAGAATGACAACGCAGAGAACGACGAGCACGAGGCTGAACCTGGAGACGAGAGTCTTACCGTGGCCGCACCGACGGATGCACAACCAACTGCGAGGATAGTGGGCGTCATGAAACGAAATTGGAGACCCTACGTTGGTCACATCGATCCATCATCCGTGACCCAAGATGTGCAATCAACCGGTTCTCAAACTGTCTTTGTTAAACCAGTGGACAGACGTATTCCCAAGATACGTATACGGACGAGGCAGGCGGTCGATTTGTTGGGACAGAAGATCGTCGTCAATATTGACCGATGGCTGATCACATCTCGCTATCCCGAGGGTCATTTCGTGAGAGCGCTAGGAAATATGGAAAACAAGGAGGCTGAGACGGAAGCACTACTGTTGGAATGGGATGTACAGTATAGACCCTTTCCCAAGGCCGTTTTGGACTGTCTTCCAGCCGAAGGTACGGACTGGAAGGTGCCCAGCGATCTTACAGACCCGAGCTGGACCAACCGTTTGGACTTAAGAAATCTCGAAGTGTGCAGCATCGATCCACCAAGTTGTCAAGATATTGATGATGCGCTCCACGCAAAGAGTCTTCCGAATGGCAATTTCGAAGTTGGAGTTCACATTGCTGATGTATCTTCCTTTGTCAAGGCCGACACTCCTATGGATGACGAAGCGGCAAGCAGAGGCACGACCGTCTACATGGTTGATAAGAGGATTGACATGCTGCCAATGCTGTTGGGAACCAATCTTTGCTCTCTTATGCCTTGCGTTGAGCGCTTTGCCTTCTCGACCATCTGGGAGCTCTCTCCTGATGGTGAGATTATCAACGTTAGGTTTTTAAAGTCAGTCATCAAATCTCGAGAAGCATTTTCCTATGAGCAGGCTCAGCTCCGAATTGACGACAAAAGCTATACCGATACCCTCACCGGTGGTATGCGAATTCTTCTTGGTCTATCAAAGAAACTCAGAGCTCGCCGACTCGCTGCCGGAGCTCTCAATCTTGCAAGTCCTGAGGTCAAGATACAAATGGAGTCAGAAACATCCGACCCGATTGATGTCCAGACAAAGGAAGCGCTTGAGACAAACTCGCTTGTGGAGGAGTTTATGCTTCTAGCCAACATCAGTGTCGCAACTCGAATCTACCAGGCCTACCCAGAAACAGCAATGTTACGAAGGCATGGCGCCCCGCCGGCTACAAATTTTGAGCAACTTCAAGATGTTCTACAAGTCCGAAAGAACCTCAAACTCGAGGTGGGATCCTCGAAGGCACTAGCTGATTCTCTCGACACGTGTGTTGTGTCTGAAGAACCCTTCTTCAATACACTAGTACGAATCATGGCCACACGCTGCATGCTATCAGCCGAGTATTTCTCCAGCGGCTCTTATGCGCCAAGCGAATTTCGCCACTATGGCCTAGCAAGCGAGATTTACACGCACTTCACGTCACCAATTCGACGCTATGCCGATGTGGTTGCACATCGGCAATTGTCGAGTGCGATTGGCTTCGAAAGCCTCCATCCGTCCCTTCAGAATCAGGCTCGTATGGAAGCCGTGTGCAAGAACATCAACTATCGGCATCGGATGGCCCAGATGGCAGGTAGAGCTAGCGTCGAGTATTACGTTGGGCAAGCTCTGAAGGATCGAGTTGCGGAGGAAGACGCCTTCGTCATGAAGTGCTTCAAGAACGGGTTTGTCGTGTTTGTCGCCAAATTCGGCATTGAGGGTGTCATTCACCTGGCGAGTTTGTCAACCCCAGAGCCTGAAAGCGAATTCAAAGAAGATGAATATCAGCTACTCATCAAGCCCGGCAATGCAACGCCATTCACCATCGCAGTCTTTGACAAAGTGCGCGTCAAAATCCTTACCGTTCAAGACGCTTCGACAGGTAAACGCAAAGTGGAATTGTCATTGCTAACGAAACTCTGAAACACGCTATTTAAAGTAGAACATTAAGCGTTAGAAGGGTAGTAGACATTCTCGAGATCAATGAAATTGTCCTTGATTGAGCGTGGTGAAACGAATCGGGCCAGGATGGATTGAGCACCTGCTTTATCGTTCGTACCACTAGCGCGTGCTCCACCAAACGGTTGCTGGCCAACGACTGCGCCTGTACATTTGTCGTTGATGTAGAAATTGCCGGCGGCGTTGACTAGTCGTCTCGTCAGTTCGGAGACCACGAGTCTATCCTGAGCGAAGATGGCGCCCGTCAGTGCATAGTCAGTGCTGGATTCGATCAGCGAGATGGTCGCCTCTAGCTCAGAGTCTTCGTAGACGTAGACAGCCATAAATGGACCGAAGTATTCTGTCGAGAAGATAGAGTGGCGCGGGTCGCTGCTCTCGACGATGGTTGGATGCACAAAGTAGCCGACCGAATCATCGTACTTGCCACCGGCCAGCAGTGTCAATTTCGAGTCACCCTCGATCGAGTCAATGACTCCCTTCAGTCGGTCGAAAGACGCCTTGTGAATGACCGGACCATTGAAGTTCGTGAAGTCCTCAACGGTGCCAATCTTGAGAGCCTCAGTAGCACTAATGAACTGCGCCTTGAAACCCTTTTCCCACACACTCTTGGCGACATACAAACGCGACAATGCAGAGCACTTCTGGCCTTGGTATTCGAATGCGGCGCGCACTGATTGCAAGACTGCGTTACCGATGTGGGTAGTCGGGTGGACCAAGTGGAAGTTACATCCTCCAGTCTCTGCAACAGCTCGTGGATATCCGCGATAGACATCGGCTGCAAGATTGTCTGCCATCTGCTTCCACAATTTCTTGAAGATGGCCGTAGAGCCTGTGAAGTGCAGAGCTGCAAACTCGCGATGTGCGAAGACAGTCTTGGTAATGAGCTCCGCATCGCCTGGAACAAACTGAATAACGTTCTCCGGCACACCAGCCTCAATCAAAATGTTGCGGACAAGATAGTTTGACAAGGTCGCCGAGGGCGAAGGCTTCATAATGACCACATTTCCCATCAGAACAGGGACAGCCACCAGGTTTCCGGCAATGGCGGTAAAGTTGAATGGAGCAACTGCGTAGACAAACCCTTCGAGTGGACGATACTCAACTCTGTTCCAGCTACCCGGTGTGTTCTCTGGAGGTTGTGTGGCATAAAGCTGCTCGGCGTACTTGACATTGAATCTTAGAAAGTCTGCAAGCTCTGCAGCGGAATCGATTTCCGCCTGCCAAGCGTTTTTTCCCTGACCCAGCATCGTGGCTGCCATGATCTGGTAGCGATACTTCTTCGCAACCAAGTCGGCCGCCTTGAGAAAGATGGCGGCGCGGTCAGCCCAAGCGAGACTTGCCCACGATTCTCGTGCAGCAAGGGCAGATTCAATTGCGCGGTGGACATGCTTCTCCTCTGCGCCATAGTACTTACAAAGAACCTTCTTATGATCGTGTGGCATTGCTTGCTCAAGAACGGTGGCTGATTTCACCTGTTCGCCGGCGATGATGAGTGGCACCTCGACGACGCCGCGAGCCTTCAGCTCATCAAGCGCCTTGACAAGTTTCTGACGCTCCTCGCTGCCAGGCGCCTGCTGTCAGTCATCTATCCTATTGTGGACAGTGATGGCATACGTAGTTGAGCATCGGCTCATTGCTAATGGCGGGCACTTTGAATGAAGCGTAACTCATTTTGATGGTAGTGTTTCTGGACCAGGAGGACTAGGTGGACGCTAGTCCTCTTATACACGACCAGGCCCCTGAGCCAGAGTTTTGACGGATCAGCCGCGCACTCTCTGCAGCGGCCAACCGAAGTCACCGGCTCTGGCGCGCTATCTGAACTTCTGAAGTCGCACCTGCCGTTTGTAGCGTTGCGCAATCTTCCCGTCCCAATCGGGCAGGTCGCGACCTGGTCACGTGCAGCCGACAGCATACAAAGCAGTAGAACGGACGAGCTGCTTCATCTTCACCGGGGCATTTGGTCTGCAAGTCGATCTCCTTGCGGGAGTCATAGTCGAAGTGTGCGTTAAGTATAAAGACATATAAACGTCGCTTTGACACCGTCCACGAACCCTCTCGCCTGCATCTACACAGCTATGTGGCTTGCAACCCTTCCCCCTGAATGAACGTAAAAGTCGTTTTGGCGAAGTACACGACTTGACAGTGCATATTCCGTGCGCCATCATCAGACAGAGTACGCGTCCTCTGCAGTCATGAACTGAACCTCCATTGGTGGGAGTCCATCATCGTGGTCGAAAAGTGCATCTGCCGCTGCCATCGACAGCTTGCCCGGCACAAGACTGTTCAAGCGGGAGAAGCTCAACGGCGACAAAGGTGTCCTTGGGGGAGACATCTGCCAACAAACCGAAGACGTTCCAGACTCTGCCTGTAACACTGGAGCACTTGACGTAGAAGTACTCGATTTAGTCAAGTGTCTAGTATTAGGCGAGATAGGTGACGGTGGCATAGTGTGCCCGAATTGAGATGCGCTGCTGGACATGATTTTGGCAGACGAGAACGATCTGCGTATCGGACTCGCTGAGTATGGCGAATGACCTTGCGATGAGCAAGATCTGGTCATAGTCTCAGCAAGGGGAGCTGCATTGGGACGCCGACGGATTCGTAAGCTGTCCTTGCCGAAGAATTCGGAGCTTGCAGACCTTAGAGAGGGTCGGCTCGTGCTCCCTGAAGTAGACAAAACCATTGGCATGGTTTGACTGCGATAGAGTGAGGGACGTTGTAATCCAGGGGCAGCCTTTTGCAGGGTCTCAATTGGACGCATGATGGCCGTCAACGCTGCTGGCTGGTCATCCTGTACGCTGAATGAAGCAAGCCGTGTGATACTGGGCCTCGAAAGCCGTCCTTCACTCGACCGCTGTGAAGACTGTTCGAAGGGAAATTCCTTGACACCAAGCTTTTGAGCACCTGAGCTTTGCCAGTCCATGGGATTGTCAAAGATACCTGCGGAAGAGGAACTTTGACACACCAGCTCCGCGGCGGTGGTCGAATGTGAGCGCGTCGCAGGGATTTGATCGGGCTCACTCGGCCGCTCATTGAAGATGCTGCGGCCATTCCCAGTCATGGATAGATTCGCGTTTCCTGTGTCCTTTGATTCTCTCGTGAGGCAGCTCGACTGGGTAGATGTCTCCCCACGCGCCGCATAGAGGACTTGTGGTGCCATACTGGCGAGTGCTTGATGTAAAGGATCAGGACTTGCGTTTGTTGTGCTCTGCAGCTGGTTGTTCAACAAGCAATGGGATTGCTCTGACAAGCGTGTTATACAACTGTTGTCACTGAATAGTTCTAGCGGTCTGCAAGACGTTGTGTCGATTGTCAAAGAGGTGACCGACTTGTAGTCGTTGCAGATAGCCGTTTTGCGTGAGAAATCATGGATGTCCAAGGAGAAGGCAGATGCATATGAAGCCTAAATGATGAAGGGCGGTAATTTGCGCCGCTGCGGCTGTGGAACATGCATGCACGCGCGAGGGCCCCAATCGCAAGAGACAGCCGGGCGAGTGCACGGTGCACCACTTGCGCATGTACATTGTACATTGTACAACAGTCAACAGTACAAGCAGCACAGTTGAGTCGAATTGCAGGCTTGCAACAGAGAACCTGAGAGCTGGCAGTGTACATCATATCTGTCGGCACCAAACAGCAGGCAGCATTCCCAGACGTTGAAGCACGGAGCCCAAATCTATGCTCACTGACTGAGCCTTCAGACAGTGAACACTGTCCGAATGTCTGGGAACAACCATGATATGCTCGAGCACGCGAATGCCAATTATGCCATACATTCTCAAGTCATGTACAAGTCCACAGTATGACGATCCTGTATGTATGCTGGCCTTGTCTCTTCAAGATTCTGGCCATTTGCAGTATCGTGTAGATGGCATGGCATCACACTACATGTAGGCCCTGTGTTATTATATTTGTGCTATCACTGGTATAGCTTACAATATACTACCAACATATGTAGCGGCTGGAATCTTCGCCTATATGTCTGCATGCATGACGTAGAGAGCCCCGTTATCCGACGCGTCCTCCCCCGGTCGAGACTCGAGACGCGCCTGATTTTCGCGACTGCTGGATAGACATTCAGATGGGCTGCCAGGGAGAAAAATCATTCGAGTTTCTGGGCCCGTGCGACAAACATCTTTTTCTTTTGTAGGCGACGGATGCGACGAAAGACGTCGCCGACTCACAATCGTCGTTAGAAGACTCGCTGTGCATTGATGGGCTTATCACTCAAGAAGAAGTCGCGCAGGCAGCCGGTTCGTCAGCGGCACCGAGTTACAAAGAAAGTCGCTGAGCACAACCGCAAGACAAAAAAGGCCGACAAGAAGGATGTGACGTGGAAGTCAAAGCTCAAGAAAGATCCAGGTATGTACTCAATCGACCCATCAACCGTCATATGGCTAATTTGATATAGGAATCCCAGCGAGCTTTCCCTACAAGGACAGACTGTTGGCGGAGATAGAAGACCGAAAACGTGAAGCCCAGCAAGCAAAGCTATCTCAGCGTGAGGAGCAGAGAGCCGCTAAGCGCGCCCTCAAAACAGCTCAAGGAGATTCGATGGCGATGCAAGTAGACGGCAATTCTGATTCCGATTCAGACGAAATGTCCGTCGACGACGAAACACAAGGCACATCGCTTGCCGATTTCGCCGCCTCAATCGCCAAGCGCAATGCGCAGGCGAATGGCTCCGACGATGCCAGCGTCGTAGACGGAGAGAGCACCGATCAGGACGAGGAGTGGACTGGCTTTGACGCTTCGGAGTCAGCTCTCAAGAAGGAGACGTCGAGAAAAATGTTTGACAAGGATTTCAAGCAAGTTGTCGAAGATTCCGATGTCATTCTGTACATCGTCGACGCCAGGGATCCAGAAGGTACACGCTCTCGGGAAGTCGAAAAGATGGTTCTCAATGCCGCTCGAGGTGAGAAGAGACTGATCTTGGTCCTGAACAAGATTGACCTAGTACCTCCACCTGTGCTCAATGGCTGGCTTGCACACCTACGCGAGTCCTTCCCTACACTTCCTATCAAGGCATCCAAGACCATCGCCTCGCATGCTTACAACCACAAATCACTGACTACTCAATCAACTGCAGCCGCACTGCTCAAATCGCTCAAGGCGTATTCACAAAAGCGAGCTCTGAAGAGATCCATCACAGTTGGTGTGGTTGGCTTCCCAAACACTGGCAAAAGCAGTGTCATCAATGCACTTCTATCACGGACGAACCACAATAAAGCAGGTCCTTGCGTCACTGGCTCTGAGGCTGGTGTAACCCGAAGTGTGAAGGAGCTCAAACTGGACAGTAAAATTCGACTCCTGGATTCCCCGGGCATTGTCTTCCCGGCAAGTGCAAATGCATCTCAGCAGGACGATCAAGCTCGCCTAGTCCTCATGAACGCCATCCCATCAAACCAAATAGTGGATCCAATACCTGCAGCGACACTTATTCTAGAACGACTCTCAAGTAACCAGCAATTGTTTGATGAAATGGTCCAGCTGTACAGCCTCCCAGCAATCATCAATCCTGGCGGGAAGAGAGGCGCAACTGACTTTCTTGTTCAAGTAGCCCGCAAAAGAGGCCGGCTAGGTAAGGGCGGCATTCCGGATCTTGAGTCTGCTGCGCGTCTGGTAGTCAACGATTGGTGCGATGGGCGTTTGGTCTGGTACACGCAGCCTCCAGTGGAGACATCGACTTCTCCGAGTCATGCTACGAACACTCACGTTAAAAGTCGGAGCGACTCGGGCCCTTCCGAGACGCAACTCGTGTCCAACTGGGCTGCTGAATTCGACTTGGGCGACCTTCTGCTTGAAGGCACAGATGATTGAGGCATTACTTTGCGTGTCCAGTAGACTTGATATATGTTCGAAGATTCGCAATGTTGACACTACGAGGTTGGCTCCACCATTTGTAGAAGTATAGCCCGAAGAGCTCAAGCCGCATTGTACCTGAGGTCCTGAGTACTTGCATATACATGGCACAGCGTAGACAGTGCTCTGGGCGTGAGAAGTTTATAGTTCTATGTGCTGTGGGGTCCCACCACAATTGCAACCAGGAGCGCGCAGCAGACGCGTATCTATCCTCGGGCCGCTGCTGAGCCCTCTGACGATTCCACTGTCGCCATGGATATTTTCAGGGACGAATACGAGAGGTTGAAAACAGCGTATCAGGTCTTGTTGCACTTTTGGCCTTCCTACAACCGCTTGAGAGGGATTGTACTCAAGATGCGTGACTTTTCCAGAGAGTCTCTTACGCACCATCCTGATCTATCTACGATTGCGCTGCTTCTCGTCATATTTTACATCAGCTTCGTGTTCTTGGTCAGGACCTGGAACATGGCCATTGGGTCTATCCGATTCGCAGCAAAGGCGATAGTGCTCGTGTCCCTCCTCGTTTTCGTTTATGGCTGTTTTGAAGCCGGTAAGCTATCGTCTCCGAGAAATGCGCGCTGACCCCAAGCAACGAACGAAAGCGCACCAGTGTTCAACAAGATCATGGAGGCTGGCCAATTTGGAATGGACATCCTGAGTGAAAGACTGGCCGATCAGCGACCCAAAGCCGCCGCTCAAACCAAGGCGCAGCACAAGCGATGGTGAAGGCCTTCAGTCGAAGGATGGAAGTGATCGCGCACTGTGTCAAAAGGATTCTCTATCAAAGTGAAAGTGCTTGAGTCGTCCTTGCATTCGCTCTCGTCTTTCAGCATTCAGCGCTGCATTGTAGTCCGCTATCGGTTTTGCTTTCTTTCGAGATCCTTCCAGTGTTTGTTCACGCTTGTGAGTCGCGTCGTTTGTGCTTGAACGGTCCGGTGCTGGCTTGTCTTCCTTGTTCGCAAAGACCTCATCTGTGAAACCCTGTTCTGACTGATCAGTAAAGCGGACTTTGAATGAAAGTACCAACCTCTAGCTCGTTGAGCAAAGTAGTCGTCTCTGACACGCTTGCCACGTACAATGATCTTGCTGCCAAATGTTTTGAAGCACTTGCGGGCTGATACAATGCCAATTGGCCTGTTTCTGTACGAATAGGGTATACTGTCTGGTTAGCTTCATTAAGCAGTTGAATGTAGCAGCGAACGCACAGCTCTTGTGCGATCAAATAAGACTTCTCGGCATCAGTCGTGATGAACTTTGTCAAATGCTTGTTCTTATTGAAGAAGAGATATGAATCTCTGTAGCCAGTTACCCGAGCAATCTCCGTCGCTAGGAACCAATAGTCATCGCCTCTTGTTGGCAGCCTGAAAGCACGCGAAGTATACTGCCTGCCTGGCAGAAGTGCCCCATCTTCATAAATTTTGCCGTTGCCTTCTTCATCTTCGTCTTCGAAGGAACTTGATGTTACTGCAGGAGTGGTCTTACTGGCGAGTAGATGCGTCGCCTTGTCCGTCTTAGACTTGCCGGCAGGCGCGCCATCGTCCAGGATCACTCTGACATTGCGCGGCTTTGATCGTATGATAACATCTTCCTCCTCCTCCTCGCCGTCGTCGTCCTCACCAGAGCCAGGGGCAGTGATCGCAGTGTTCAAAGTATCCTCGCCTGTCGTATCGGCAGAGTCTCCATCCTGTTGTACTGTTGAGGACTTGGCTCTCGGAGAGCTCCGCGAGGAATCAGTTCCTACTCTTGGCATAGATGATCTTCAACTTGCAAAGCGATCAACGAACAATGAAATCTACCGTTTGCAGCCGAGCTGAATGATGGAGCTCGCTGGCAAAGCAAATTGTCGTTCGTGTCACAGTGCTTCAAGCGCGCTTTCAAAACAAATTTGTAGGCGACGTTGCGAGTGTTGGCCCCTTTGCTTACAACTGACAAATACATTGGGAAGACTTTGAGGCTCCGGCGAGCAGATTGACAGAGCAGATGGCCGCTCATATGACAAATTAAGGCAAGTATGTACATAGCTGTCTAGAATATGTGCCGCTGGTGCTCTTGTCCAAACGTATCGAAGTCGTAATTCGATCCAGGGTCGAAGGGAGGGAAATGACCCGTCTCGCCCATAATTTCATTGATCATGTCCACATATATTACATCTGTGTCACCTCCCATAACAGCAGGCATGCTGGCGACTAAGCCGAAAGGGTCATTTGCGTCCAGGTGATCTAGTGGGGTTCTGCTCGGCATCTTCATTGACACTTGCGAAAGAATTGCAGTCGCCAAAGACTCGAAAGTATCTCGAAATGGACGGGCCTGGGGAAAGATTTGCGCGATGGCGGTCAATAGACTTGAACAATTTCGAATTCGAGTAGCCAGATCTGTGAGCACTTCCAAAGATGTAGGCGGAACCGACCAGATGCAGAACAGAAGCGTAACGCCTGCACCGAAACAATGATGCATAGTGTAAAATGTGAATTGCAATTCATTCCTTCTTTGCATGAGGATAAAATACCCGATAATCCTTGATGCCGCATCGCAACAGATGATGATGTCGGTGTTGCCTTCCCGGAGCTCTGGTTGATGCAAGGCTGTGCGGTGGAGAATAAAGAGCGAATTGTGATAGAGCAAGTCGTGGTATTCCATGGGAGATCCCAGTAAATGATGGCCCTCGGACAGATGAGGGCGGGTCCGTATCCAAGATTCAAGCTGCGCTCTCAAGGCTTGTTTCTCCCTAATGCGGCTGGCTGCATCTTGTTGAATAAGACCACAGCAAAACTTCTGAATGCAACTTTGTATGCGCCGAATCTTGAACAGATGAATCACCATAGTGAGGCCCGTGGTCACCTCTGCATCAACAAGACTGCCGTCATGACCTAGATGGACCACATCGCGTGGCAGCTTGACATCAATGTCGTCGTCACTGATGCGATGAGGGCGACCCAGGAACAACGCGTCACTTCTGTCCAACGCATAGATTGACCAAAAGATTCGGCTGCGCAACTCAATATCGGCAGGCGATTTGCCTTGCTTCAACATTTTGACTTCGACATCCCGATGTAAACCCTGTTCCATCGCGACATTCATAGCTAGGCCGACCAAACGCCAGAGACTTGTTCCAGCATGATTTTGCAGGGCGTAGATAGCCATCAAGAAAAGCGCCTGCACCGCCCTCACATCGTCTAATTCGAAAACGCTTTCGCAATGCTGTAGCGCAGATTTGTAGAAGGCTTTCGCAGCGTAGCGTTCGCTATATCCAAAGGCCGCTTCGCTGAGCCGGGCTCCGATCGCCCATACCATATTCACGAAGAACAATTCAACATCAGGCGCGGCTGTAGGATTCTGGAGGACAGAGGAGACATATCCAGAAAATGTCAGATTGCAGAGAATCGGATATTGCCAACTCATATGGGCGAAGTAAGCTCGAGTGAGACGTTCGGCGAGAAGTGGCGTCGGAATCGGAGCTGGCTCAATATCATCAAAACGAACGCGCTCGCGCAAATCAGCGTACGGACCCGACAAAGGCAGAGAACTTCGTCGCAAGTTTGGTAATTCTGCATTGAAAGTGCTTGCGAAGACACGAGCGAAGGCGTAACCACTTGACGCTCCAATGTAGAGGTGATCTCCTCTAGCTCTATCTGAAGCAGACAGCGCGAGTAAGCCCACTGAGTCGGCGAGGCTGTCACGCTCATCATGATCGGCTCGAGTACTAAGGCCAGCGTGACCACTGGAGTGCGCCTCAGCGTCCAGGACGGAATCAGGTAGTCTGCCAGAATCCACGAGGTTTACGAAATCTGGAACGTCCGTGATGTTCAAATCAATTTGCTCTCCGTCGAGAATCTGAGGTCGGATGGCCAGATGGTCTTGAGCCAAATCAGGCCTGAACGAGTAAAGCGCTTCCTCCAATTGAGCTACACGCGCCTCAAGTGCCGAGACATATCCACGCGGATAAGCTCTGTTGCTGTGTGGGTCCTCGATGACACATCGGCTGTTCGACTTCACGCAAGCTGAGCAAGATGGTGTTCCTCCATCACATTTTTGACGACGCCGACGGCAGCGATTACAAGCGACCAAGGTTCGCTTGCGCTCCGCCTTCTCTGCGGCTGGCAGGCTTGTGATTGACGGCTGCCGCGCTGCCGTTCTTACGCTGGAATCCATATGTGCGTAATTCTGGGCTTTTGAAAAGTTTCAGTCTCAATAGACTTACAGAACCACGGGACTTCGAATGCTCAGGCCTTGTTGAGATCAAGTTCCGGGGTCAAGTTGATGCAATTGCCTCGACCACGGGCAACTGTCGTGCATTAGTCGGCGCAGCGCGTAGCGTGATGTGTATAGGTGGTCAGTGCCCAAAGACTAGTCTACCAGTGCCCAAAGAATAGTCTACCACAACAAAGCTTACGCTGTCTCGGTCACAACGAGGCACTAGACCGGCTGTAGTCAGCTGGCGTCAAGTATTGATATCAGTGAATGTGATTATGTGTAGCTGCTCTTGAGAGATTGGAGCTTGGTCGCCCACGTGACAGTCTTCTCAGAGTCCCCCGCGCAGCCGCGCTCGAAGGATCGCGGCGCGCGCGCGCCTGACCTCACCAGTCTGATTCGACAACCAGTCAGGATGTCAACCTGTAGCGCCGCCAAGAGCCCTGTCCAATTGCGGTCGCCACAGCTACGCCGTCAAACTACCCTGCAGAGGCACGGCTGTCGCACGATAACTCGGCCCGTGGCCATAGACCATCGCTGTTGAGCTACCGCGGATTACACGCATATCGATCCTATATGCTGAAGCCGCTCGAGCTTCTCCTGCTTCTAGCTGCGCTTCTCCCTATTTCTCTAGCTTCTCAGAACGACAAGCATGAGACTGGTAGATGCATCATGCGCGGTCAATGCGGCAAAGAATCATTCTTCAGTCCAGAATTGCCTTGTCCTGACAACAATTTGGCAACCAAGCCTGATCTAGAGCTTCGGGAGGCGCTTGTTGGTATATGTGGCGAGCAGTATGCTACTGGGTCTGTCTGCTGCGATCAAGCACAAGTGACAGCGCTGCGGGAAAATCTAAAGAAAGCTGAGAACCTCATCGCATCATGTCCAGCATGCAAGAACAATTTCTTTGACTTCTTTTGCGGCTTTACATGCTCTCCAGACCAGTCCTCGTTCCTGAAAATCGAGAGTACAAAGGAGATGCCTGGTGGGTCAAGAGCTGTAACTCATCTGAGCTACTTCGTTTCCCAAAGATTCTCTCGCGGTTTCTTCGAATCCTGCAAGGACGTCAAATTTTCAGCGACGAATGGCTATGTTATGGACCTCATAGGAGGTGGCGCAACAGACGGACAAGGATTCTTGGAGTTTCTAGGACAAAAGTCGATTGTTGGATCTCCCATTCAGATTGATTTCCCGGTGGACACGGATGCAGAGTTGGCGGAGTGGGATCCACCATTCCGACACTGCAACAGTTCTGATATCCAATCTAAATGTGCATGTGTCGACTGCCCAAGCGTTTGCCAGAGTCTTCCAGAACTGAACCCGCCCGGGAAGACTTGTAACATTGGAGTGATGCCATGTTTGTCTTTCTCAGTGCTATTCCTCTATGTCACTAGTCTGAGTGCCTTCTTTGCGGGTTATGCCTTCTATCTTCGGTCTAGAAAGTCATTTGGAAATACACGTGGCCTGCAGCTCCACAACGAGCAGTATCTCTCCTCTGACGAATTGGACGATCATTCGACGCTATCCGATAGGCATTTGAACACGTATGCCCTGAATAATTGGCTCGAGGGAATATTTTATCGCATCGGCATGACTTGTGCATCATTCCCATACGCCTCGATTGGACTCAGTGTGGTTATTGTGCTTTTCTTGAGCATCGGATGGACGCGTTTCGCTATAGAAACGAACCCGATAAAGTTGTGGGTTTCGCCGACTGCAGACGTGGCCTTGCAGAAAAATTACTTCGATTCCACATTCGGTCCTTTCTATCGCGCCGAGCAAATGTTCCTGAGCAATGCTTCACATCCAACATCCAGCGTGCTCACCTTTGAAAGCTTGAAGTTTTGGTTCGATCTTGAAGATCAACTCAAGCGCATGCGCGATCAACATGGAACTGGCATAGAAGACCTGTGTCTGCAGCCTACTGGTCAAGGGTGTGTCATTCAATCGCTGACAGGCTATTGGCAGGGCGATTTTGAAAATGTGTCCCCATCCAATTGGGCGAAAGAGCTACAGCGTTGTGCCGATCAGCCGGTACAGTGCTTGCCTGTATTCCAGCAGCCGCTCAAGCCTCAAATGATTCTTGGAGGCTACACTGGTGATGATTGGCTCTCATCGAGCGCACTGGTCTCGACAATCGTCTTGAAAAACTCGCTCGAGCCAGCTCTCAGGTCTAGGGCCTCAGCATGGGAGAGGGACCTGCAGCAGGTACTGTATCGCGCACAAGAAATCGCGAATACCATGGGTCTACGTCTATCATTCTCGACGGACGTGTCCTTGGAAGAAGAGCTCAACAAATCAGCCAACACTGATGCGCGTATTGTTATCATCTCGTACCTTGCCATGTTTCTTTATGTCTCATTGGCATTGGGCACGTCTCGTTGGCAAGGCAAGGCAACCCTTGTGCAAACAAAGTTTTCGCTCGGCCTGTCCGGCATTGCCATTGTTCTGCTCTCAATATCCGCTTCAGTTGGGCTTTTTTCGCTGCTCGGAGTCAAAATCACACTCATCATTGCTGAGGTCATTCCCTTCCTTGTACTTGCAATCGGCGTGGACAATATATTTTTGCTCTGTCATGAGTTCGCGAACATCAATGCAAGCGAGCCATCTCTATCAATACCCATTCGAGTAGCCCTAGCCTCGAGCCGGGTAGGACCTTCAATTTTGTTGAGCGCTACAAGCGAGACACTGGCTTTTGCCATTGGCGCTGCTGTTGCAATGCCAGCTGTCCGAAATTTTGCCATCTACGCAGCCGGAGCGGTATTCTTTGATGCCTTACTCCAAATGACAATGTTTACGGCAGCGTTGGCATTGGATCAAGCTCGTGTCGAGTCTGGACGATTTGATTGTGTGCCATGCGTCCAAACTTCTGTGGACGGCAGCGCACTAGACGTCGAGCAGGGCTATGTCTTTCGGTTTATTCAGCGGAGACTGACCCCAGGTTTGATGCAGCCTGTCGCCAAGCGATTTGTCCTCTTCCTATTCTTCTCTTGGGCAGCGCTTTCAATCGCCCTTTTACCAAGTATTGAATTCGGCCTTGACCAGAAGATAGCACTGCCGAAGGATTCTTATCTTGTCGACTATTTCAGGGATCTTGAAAGCTACTTTGGCGTCGGACCTCCTGTGTACTTTGTGGCCAAGTCTCCCAACATCACCGAGCGGGCCGCTCAACAAGCTGTTTGCGGCCGTTTCACAACCTGCGATGATTTTAGCATGGCCAATGTCCTAGAGCAAGAGCGGAAGCGACCTGACGTCTCTTTCTTACTAGAACCCGCTGCCTCTTGGCTAGATGACTTCTTCTACTGGCTGAATCCGCAATTGGAAATGTGCTGCAGGGTGCGGATTGATGATCCGTCAAGATTTTGTGGTGCGGAAGAAGGGCCATCGCGCTGTCGACCGTGCATGGAAGATCGAAGCCCGGCATGGAACATAACACTGTCGGGCATGCCGGAGGGAGAGGAATTCATGAAGTATGTTCGTGCGTGGCTGAGTGCTACAAGCACCGAGGACTGTCCTCTTGCGGGAAAAGCGCCATATGGTGACGCCTTAGCCCTTCGCGATGACGGGTATGGTCTCGATGCTTTTCACACCAGGACTTTTCACACACCGCTGCGAACTCAGGTCGATTTGATCAATTCGCTCGCTGCAGGCCAACGTGTGGCCAAGGAAATGAGTCGGCTAACTGGACTGGATGTTTTTGCTTATGCTGTGCATTACATTTACTTTGCACAGTACAGCAATATTGTCAGCCTCACGTTCAATCTTCTTGGCACTGCTCTTCTTGCAATTTTCCTGATTGCTACTCTTGTCCTCGGCTCTTTGACAGCTGCCGCTATACTATGTGCAACGGTGGCACTTATTGTGCTTAACGTCGCCGGTGCAATGGTTCTCTTCGGAATCAGTCTCAATGCATTGAGTGTGGTCAATCTTGTGGTTTGCGTCGGCATCGGCGTCGAGTTCACTTCGCACATGATTCGCGCATACATGCTTCCAACGACGCATTTTGCAACTCGTGTCCTGCAGCAGGAAGAGGGATATCAGGAGCTTCGCAGTCGCAACGCCCTTGCACAGGTCGGGCCGTCTGTATTCACGGGCATCACAATGTGCAAATTTTGTGGAGTGGTCGTGCTTGCCTTCACGCAATCGAAAATCTTCGAAATATATTACTTCAGAATGTGGCTTGCCCTCGTCTTCGTTGCGGCAAGCCATGGACTTATACTGCTGCCAGTCGTCTTGTCGATGTTTGGGCCCAGGGGTTACGTCTGCAAGGAGATCGCTTCTGACCATGCTGAGTTGCCAGCGGCGTCAGACCCCTTGTGGCAATGAACATCTCGGGAGTTTTATGTATCGAAGGCTGCTTCGCTGGCAGTTCAGTCAGTCATAGAGCGCAGACTCAGGCACAAGAAGCTTGTAGCATAAGCAGCTGAGCCCATCACACCCAGCTACCAGGGGTCGCTGTTATTCGCACGTGCGCGATTGCAATTGACGACCACACCAATTGTTTTGTGTCTAGTGCACATCCACGCTACTTGATCCGGTCCCAGTCAACCCAGTGATCTGTTGCTGTCAGTCTCTTAGGAGTCCTAGGTCACACAACCATTCTATGGCTCATGAAGGGCCTTCCAACGGTCGACTAGAAGCTCTTCGGAACAACGTACGGCCTCCCTCATTGCGACACATCACTTACAGACAGTGGAAGTTCGCCGCTTTATGCCAATTCATCAGCATCTTCGGAAGCACGCTTAATATTTTAAGCTTAGATGTGGAGGTAGCAACTATGCAGAATCGACAAGAAAGAAAGCTGACTTGTCAGAAATTAGAGCGACAGTTGGCAGGAATGGACGCTGGTGCGGACTACGTGCAACAAATCCGCTTGGCATTGATCAAATCCCTGAGTTCGAGCAGAGCGATCAATCTGAGGTTCGTGAACGCCGCTCTGTGTATTCAACTGACGGCAGCAACATGGATGGCTTCATACGGCGCCAATACACATACCGCGGCGTCCTTCCCAATCCCCTAATGCGGGTCGCGCTGGTCTGGCGTTCCTCCTCACCAGTCAGGCAAGTCGGTTCCGATAGTGATGATGCAAGTCTGAGCGACGTGGAACAAGTCAAGGAGGAGCGGCATTTTGAATGGACGGAAGTGAGTCTAGCTGATCAAGTTCGGATCTTACATGATCTCTGCGAATGGCACATGCAGAGCGAGAAATTTCGCGAACGAGCCGGTGTCAGTGACATGGAGATGACCAGCTGGCGCATCGATCCTATCGGCAGGGATTCCAACGATGTTGTCTACTATTTACTTGACGACGGCAGGCTTTACTGCCGGACAGATCCATGCGTCCAATTTGCTGTGCACCGGAAGCAAGGGCGCGGCCACACTACTGATCATGTTCAACGGCAGGACGGAGAAGCCACGGAAGACTGGACTTGCCTAGCTACCTCTTATTTGGAATGGGTTGCCTTCGCGGAGACTTTGGTTGATCCATTCGGTGCAGATGAGAAGCGTCTGTACAATGTCATAAAAAAGCAGCTGCTGCCAGACATACTTGCAGCAGAGGAGGAACGACGTTTGGAGGGCGAAAGAATCGAGCAGCTACGCATCAAGGAACTGCTCCTGGCCGAAGCCTTATCCACTCGCAAACGGTCGTCTCGAATCCAAGTTATTGAAGAGCGTCGCCACGAAGAATCTGCCCGAGCGGCCGCTGAGCGGCATCAGGAAGAGCTCGAGGCTGCTGCAAAACGACTGAAGATGCAGGACCAAGGCGCGATTGCTTACATGCCGCAGCCTCGGCTAACACGAGAAGCTCGAGCTAGAGACAGAGAACTGCGCCTCTATATGCAGGACAAATCACTCTCAGGTAGGCCAGCCGATCTTGAGCATGTAGCGTTGGCACACTCGCCAGTCACGTTACCAAAGACCAACTCAATTTCGCAGGCCGCGCCGGAGTCCTTATGTGGAAGCACAAGACTTGATGAAGAGGTCGATACAGAAGCAGATCCGCGTCAACGAGATTTGGGACCCGAGCCAGTGGTTGCCACTCAGGAAGATGGCTCCACCCAAGAGAGCATTGATACGTACGCACCTGGATTATCCGTCGCGGTGACCGCATTCCAAAATAGAGAGGGCGGTGCAAAGCAGTCATGCCCCACGACATGAGTGTTTGAACTACGCTGAAAGTAGCTTCACAGGCCATGAGCCAAGATGGATGCCATCGATTACGACCGAACGACTGGTCAGAATGTCTGGATGTCCTCTACTCGCAAGAGTGTTTTCTCATGCTTCGAGCTGTTCTGTTGTCGGTGTTCTCGAAGGCGTCCGTCGACAAACTCCGAGTTGTTGCGCCGCAGACTTGTTGGCATGCGCAAATGGGAAGCGTTTTGCACAAGCACTCGATGACAACTTGTAAAAGCACATAGATCAGGTATTGATCCGAATAATTGCCACAGAACAATCACTCACGGGCCACAGACGTGTTTATGTACTTTTGCAACATGCTTCTTGCCAACGCCCCACTCACGTGACCAGTATTCATCGTTCGAAAAGAAGCTGCCATTCAGCTTCCAGAAGCTCGATCGCGACAAGGCAATAGCAAAACACCGTAGCTTGTATTAAGGGCTCTTGACTCAATGTTCGATCTACTATAGGGCTTCGCAACTTTCTCTACTACTTTGTCACAGACTCAGAGGTGGACGTCAGTCTTGCTACCGCCACTTACAGTGCTGGGTGCATGCCATGTCAAGAAGGCAATGTGGCATGCTACCAAGTGCTCGACCCTCACCACATAATGAGCGACTCGAGCAAATCTCATCCTTTCATTGTCCCAAAGAGCACGTCGGGGTGACATTTTGAGGCTCCGACCACCGGGGGTCAGTGGGTCACTCCTACAGTTCTACCAGCCCACGGTCACGATTTCTATGCGTGCGTCTTTTGCACGGCTGCAAGAATCAAACGATAAGCCAGCAGTACGCTTGCCAGCTGCAATGATTTCGAAAGAGCCAAAGGTCACACAACACCATCTCTGCTAAGCTCATATGCAGGGTCTTCTAGCTGTGTCGCGAGCTCGGCGTCGCAAGTGGCGATGGCGGCCTGCTGCCTGCCAATATTTCTGCTGTACTAAGTTAACAGCGTTTCCAAGTTGAACTCGAGCTGTCGGCCGTGTCGCGGTCGGCGCGACTGCAGCTTCGGCAGAGTGTCGATATGTCGATCTTTGACACTTTATATGTTCATTGTTCATGCTGTGGACTGCAAAATCGGCAGGCTGCCATTTCAGATCTGGTGGTCGTCTCGCAACATAAGAAGATGAAGCTGCTAGCTTTCAGCATGCATCCCGCAGCCGTGCAATCCGGATTATTTTAAGTTTGCGGGGAGATTCATGACTCACCGTCGAGCTCGAGTCACCAGTTCACGAGTCACGACTTCAGGCGGTACACAGTACTGTACACTTGAATTTTGATACAGCCACTGCAGTCGACATCAATGTCCAGTCTGTGCACGTTGCACGTACGCATCGCACGTGGACATCCAGGGAATATGTGATCTTGATAGGGTGACAGGCTGACAGCAAGTGTCAGCAACCTAGGAAGTTCGAATATCTTGCAAGCTAGTTGCAGGCAACTTGCAGCTGGCTTCTGAGTTCCAGATCTAGGGTCTAGCCAAATGCAGCAGTAATTTCAGCAGTGAATCAGCACCCACTGTCCGGATTCCGGATCGCAGGTTTCGAGAGTCGAGAGTTGAGAACTTGAGAGTCGAGACCTTCCGGACACGGGATATAACCAACTTTGCCATGTTCTGGAACACCAACTCCCGAGTCCCTGATACTTACTCGTATTATACTAGGGACTCAAGATACCTTAAACTTACTACGCCTGTAGTCGACGTCGGTCTTCAGCCTTGGGTCAACTAGTCAAATTGCGAAAATCAAGTGCCAGAATTGAAGTGGGTCCTGATTCCTGAGTCAGGACTTCAGGGCGGCCGGTCATCAAATTGCCGTCAACTTCGGTGTCAACTTGTCAACTTCCATACTCAAGGACCATGGGCCATGGCCCGGCCGCTCGGGGGCTCGGGGAATCCTGGAAATTGGAGCCTCATGTTGGAATTTTGAATCAGTTCGTGGGGTAGCCCGGGTAGAACCTAGAACGTCACGGACGTGAAATATGAAAGTTGCAAGTCGCAACTTCAATTCCGCGATTTGCATGCAAGGGATCCAAGGTCCAAGGGTAGTTGCTACAAACTGCCAGTATCGCCACAACTCAGGCTCACAAGTTGCAAGTTGCGACTTGCCAATGGTAGAGACTGGGCACTATAGCACAGCGGCACTGGTTGCCAACTTGCACCTTCCGAGTCTCGAGTCTCGACTCGTTTTGAGGCTTCGCGAACCCGAGCCAGCGTGTCGCGTATTTCTGCCAAGAAGTTCTCAAGGATTCCGAGGCTGGCCAGATTGGCCAATCATCACGAGCAGAAATCAATGTGCACGGCTGACAGGCTGTGGCAGGCTGGCAGCCAGTGACAGGCTGAGTGACAGGCTGACAGCAGACCGTCACTGGTCCGTCAGGTCCGTCAGTGGACCGTCACAGCTGTGAGTCAGTGACAGCCTGACAGGCATTGACAGCTGCAGCCTGACAGGCCGACAGCCTGACAGGTTTGACAGCTGCAGCCACAAGGCCCACAAGTTCCACAATTGGGCTACAGAAAGCGACTTGTCTAAATTGCCGGAAGCTGTCGACGCCTGTCGGCGCTTTTGCCGACGCACAGTCGACAAGAACCACTTCGTGCTCAACAAAAAGTATATACTGCAAAAGGTCCGCAATTGTTTCCGGACATGTCCGTGCCCAGGGGCCAGGGCTCTGGCCTGGCGCCAGGTCGCGGTTTCATTGCCAGTCATTGGACTCGACAGACTCTCGAACCGAGTTAACAGCGACTCGACAGAGTCGACACTGACACAAAATGACACAACAATCATTTCCAAAACGCGGGCCCGTCTCTACTCGCAGGTCACCGCGTTTCGATTGGGCACAAACAAAATTGCAGTTACGGTGTAACTGATACAGTCTTGAGAAGCGCGGAACTCAGATCTCCAACTACGAGGCTAGATTCTGAGCAGCGGCCCCTCCAATGAGCCGTCATATAAATTGGAGATTCGATTACTCGCTAATACTATTGCGCAATACTCCGGAAGCATAAGTACATCTTCAGAGGGAACTCCAGCGATTCTGATTGCACACCACAACTTTCGATCACAGGAACAGCTGCTGTCGCTTGCAGTTGAACATCTATTGGCTTCTTAAGCTTGCAACAATATGAGTGAGTCCGATACCACTGAGTTGGCGGTCTCCCCAGAACTTATTGCGACCTCGGAGGTGTTCACTGGTATCACACGCCAGCATGGCAAAGGGAGTAGAGCATGGACGCTTTATCCATTTGCCTATATCATCATCATCAACTATCTGATCTTCTTCTGGTGTTTAGTGAGTCCAATCCCAGTCGAGGCTTTGCTAACATCTCTAGCATCGCTTTGTGATAGAGAGACGCTTGATGCCTTGGCTCATTGGCCCCAGATACAGAGATTTGCCTGAAGCAAAGAAACGAACAGCCACAAACCACTTGATGAATATCTTGTGGAAAGTTGTCGCACTCTTTGGTTTCTTCCCCTTCATCATGACTGTTGTTCTAGGACATTCAATGCGGGAACGGATGCCGTCAGGGCATGTGACATATGGCGACATTCTATGCTTGGACTACATGCTCTTTGTCACAGGCTTCGTGTGGGAATTGGTTTACCGCAGTCGAATAAGCTTTGTTACTGCACTACACCATCTTGTTGCAATCTTCATTTCGACACTCGCGGTGTTCATGATGCTCACTGATCGTCATGGCCAGGAGGGAGAAAACTATTTGCAAATCATTTTTGTGTATGGTTTCTTCGAAGTGTTCTTCGAGACTGGTCCTCATGTGTGTATGTTGATGTACACACGCGATCGAGGGAATTCGAAAAAGCTGAAGCGATCCTTCTTGATCATTGCCATTATGAGCTTTACCGGTACATTCCTGGAGCAATTTGCCATCTTCTTCCTCTATGCAAAACATTTCAAGACTTGGGACTGGTCTATCAAGATACTCACGCCGATCATTCATGTCTGTTTTGCTTCGGCGCAAATTCACGGTGGTCGCATCTTCCTGTCAATGTCTCGCAAGATGGCGAAAGAACATGCTGCCAATACTTCCTTAGAACGCGGCGTAAAGGAGAGTGAGCAGCAAGAACCAGATGGATCCAAGCTGACTACTACGGTGACGATCATTGAAGGCTGAAGATGGTTGGATGTGCAAATGATGCACTAGTTTTGAGCTTGACAATTGAGAAGATAAGAGTCTATCACATTGTCTACAATCTTGCTCCAAATCGATGCTGTGGATACCTACACCTTTGGTACCATGCTGTGAGCGCCAAGAATGAGGCTCACAATTTCGTCCATAGCTTTTTCATGCTTTACTTGGGCAAAGATCGTTGGACCACCTTCACGCATGCGGGCGGCGTCGCGCGCCATGATGTCCAAGTCTGCACCCACGAGCTCTGCCAGGTCAGTCTTGTTCACGATGAGTAAATCGCTCTGCGTGATGCCTGGGCCTCCTTTTCTTGGGATCTTGTCGCCAGCACTAACATCGATAACGTAGATAATGTAGTCTGCCAATTCCCGACTGTAATTAGCCGCCAAGTTGTCGCCACCAGATTCGATCAGGAGGAGCTCCGTGCTAAACTTAGCATGAAGGTCTTCGAGCATCTGCAGATTCTGGGAAATGTCTTCCCGAATGGCCGCGTGAGGACAACTGCCTGTTTCTACAGCGCAAATACGCTCGGCAGGCAAGGCTTTGTGACGAATCAAGAACTCTTGGTCTTCTTTAGTGAAGATGTCATTCGTCACAACAGCAATATTCATTCGCGGGTGTAGACGTCTGCAAAGAGCCAAGACCAGAGCCGTTTTACCTGATCCGACTGGACCACCTGACCATTGATTAGCTTATGTCAGATTCGGGACAACGAACCAATTCCCACAGTAAATGCTCTTTCGGCAAAGTTGCGCCGATTCAACAATGGCATGGCACGTTGTAGATAGGATCCAGCTGAGACATTAGCAAGTGGAAAAGCACTTATATAGCTGACCATTGTCCAACACTTCGTGGTCGTGGTCGTCTCGAAATCAGCTCAAAGTCTGTGGGTGTTTGAGAGCTTACGAGTCGTGCCGTGCTCGTGAGCGTGTAAGTGCTGCCCAGGCGCAGGATGAGATTGGCTTGTCATGGATAAAGCTTGGAGAGTGCCTGGATTTCTCGGCTCGATGGATTCACCGCTCGCGCTTCTACAGTCCAGCTCCGGAGAAGATAGCTGGGTAGCGACCTATAGATCTACGTATCAGCTTAAGCTTAGGTTTCTAGTTCGGGCTGAACGCGTCAATCCTGCGTGGGATTTTGATCAAAAAATATCTGGGCGAAGCGTATGTCTATCTTGTACGTAAACATGCAGCTGGCAGGCGGCGACAGGAACCCAGACGTTACTCTTAGAGACAACTTTCATTGACTACAGGAAGCCTCACTATGACAGCGATAGCTTTAGTGAAGACGCTGTTGGCCGAAACGACTGTGGCCGACTCACAGCGCATAGCAGTCGCGACTCAGAGGCTGCGAGATGAGGTCTACAGTCAGCCTGACTGTCTCGCATCGCTGATCGCACTCATGCAGAAAGACGAAGCGGCGTCTATGCGACAGTTGGCTGCAGTTGAGGCGCGTAAGCAGACGCCAAAGTATTGGGCAGGCCTGTCGGGTTCCTTCAAACAAACAATTCGCTCATCTGTCCTGGTATCGACATTGAAGGAACCTGTTTCTCTAGTCCGGCATGCCTCCGCGAGAGTCATCGCTAGTATTGCCAGTATCGATCTTCCTCACGGTGATTGGAGCGAACTCATGTCAGTTCTTGTTCAGGCTGCAACTTCGACGGCCGCTTCAGACAGGGTGATTGGGGTTTACATTATATTCACCCTCATCGATGCCATCGAGGAGTTCTTCGTTCCACGTATAATGGATCTTTTCAAGCTTTTTTCCCACACAATCACGGACGCCGAGTCTGCGGAGGTTCGTTTAACAACTTTGTCGGCAATCGGCAGGCTTGCTGAATGCATAGATACCGATGATACTAGCTCTGTCAAGATGTTCCGGGGGCTTCTACCAAGTATGGTGGCCGTGTTGCAAGAAAATGTGCAGAATGACAGCGACGAGGACGCCGCACGGCAGTCCTTTGAGGTGTTCCAGACCCTTCTCGTCCTCGAGCCACATTTACTGAGCAAGCATCTTCCGGACTTCATGACTTTTGTCGTGGAATTGGCCTGCTCTACTGGCGTGGAGAATTCCAAGCGCATCCTAGCATTCTCATGGTTACTGGCCTGCGTCCGTTTTCGGAAGAACAAGGTCAAGGCTATGAAAATTGGGCCAATGCTTGTGGACAGAATGTTACAAGTAGGCGCAGAAGACGATCCGGAGGACGAGGATGAGGACTCACCAAGCCAATTGGCCTTTCGATGTGTGGACGCTTTGTCCGTGTCTTTGCCGCCATCACATGTAGTCCAGCCTCTTTTGGCTCGAGTGCCTACAATGTTGCAATCATCGTCGCCAGGTGAACGAAAATCAGCTCTCCTTTGCTTAGGCGCTTCTTTGGAAGGGGCGGCTAGCTTCTACGCCAGTCGCGTCACTGACATTTTGCAAGCAATCGCCAACGGACTGCAGGATCATGAAAGGCAGGTTCAGCGAGCTGCTTTAACGGCACTGGGATCCCTCGCCGACGAATTCCCTGACGAGGTGGCCGCAGAACATGCCACGCTCTTATCACTTGTGTTCCAGCTGATGCATTCTCCAAGCGTGACAGTCGCCAAGTCTGCATCTACTGCCTTGATCACGATTCTCGAAGGATTGGATCAAAATCAGATTGTCACTTACTTGCCGCAGCTCATGTCTTCCTTCTTTGCCGTTCTTGAGTCCAATACTGACGTCGAGGCGAAGAGTGTCGTGGTGACAGCCTTGGGATCAGCGGCACACGCAGCCAAAGGCTCATTTACGCCATTCATGAATCGCACAGCGGAATTGCTGACCCCGGCTCTATCTTCTACAATGCCCTTGGAGCTTGATTTTCGTGCTTCAGCTCTCGATTGTTTCGGCTCCATCGCAATTGCAATCGGCGCAGAGCAATTTCGGCCTTTCGAACAAAGTGTGGCTCAGTCTGCTGCGATCGTCCTCGACTGGAAGCATAGCCGTCTAAAAGAAAGTTCCTTCTACTTCTTCGCGGCGCTTGCAAGGCTTCGTGGCAATGAGTTTGGCACTTATGCAGACGTTGTCATTCCCTGGCTGCTGAGATCTGTAGCGCAGGATGATAATGGCGAGACCAATCCTGACGATAGTGACCAGCCAGCTGATGATGAGGATTTGGACAGCGAGGAATTCATGAATTCGATTGGCATCAATTCAGCCCTTGCAATGGAGAAAGAAACAGCATCTGAGGTCCTGGGGGAAATCCTCTCCCACGCTGCTGAAACATGTGTGACATACATTGGGGAGATCGTGGTGCAATTGACACAATGCTTGGACCACTACTACGAAGGTGTTCGCAGAGCGGCAGCAGGCTCGCTGTATCAGTCAATCTCAGCGACATATCTTTTATCGGCTCCGGCTCAATGGCTACCCGGCTTACCGTGTCGAGTACCTCTTCGTTCTGATGTCGAGCAGCATGCTGGGGCAGTTCGCTCTGCAATCATGGAATTTTTGATTACGGAGGATGACAAGCTCGTGGTTTCTGATGTCTGCAGACATCTAGCTCAGGCAACTCGTTTATGTGGACCAGGGCTTCTAGGCTCCGAGGCAGATCTGAAACGGCTGTGCGACATTCTCCTCGACATCTTCAAGAGAGAGCATGCCTGCCAAATCGCCGATGAAGGCTTTCCGGCCGTTGCAGAAGACGATGAAGACTTAGTCGAAGTTGAAGATGATGAAAGTGAAGAGCTCGAGGCAGCGCTGCTTGACGCTGCTTCTGAGGTTATCATTTCGCTTTCCTTCGCGCTTGGCGATCAATTTGTTCAACCATTCGGCCTATACCTTCCGTTCTTGAAACAATTGGCCAGTCCACCATCGCCCGATAGCTCTCGTGCTTCCGCACTAGCTGCCTTTGCCGAAGTTGCAGGTGGTCTCAAGTCAGGAATAACGCCCTATACCGAATCATTCTACAAGCTGATCTCATCAGGTCTTGGGGATGAAAACCCCGAAGTTCGATCGAACTCTGCATACGCTATGGGATTGCTCTGCGAGCATTCGAAATTGGACTTGTCTTCAGAGTACATGACGATACTGCAAAAGCTTCAGCCACTTTTTCTTGAAGGCGAAAATCACAGGTTTGCCAAGGATAACGCCATTGGATGCACGGCACGTATGACACTTGCCCATCTAGATGCTATGCCACTGGAGCAAGTACTTCGCGTCGTTGTCCAAAATCTGCCTCTTCGCCACGATTTTGCAGAAAACCAGCCCCTCTACCGTATGTTCTGCTATTTGTACGCACAGAACAATGCCACTGTCCTGCAGATGACGAAGGAGTTGTTGCCAATCGTCAAAACCGTGCTGCACGGCGATGAAGCACAATTGACCCCTCAAACTCGAATCGATTTGTCAAGCTTAGTTACAGCGCTCGATGATGCGCCATAGAATGTTCAAGTTAGCTTCATATTGGTTTGCAGTCTCTGCTTGAGTGGAATCCGCTCTTCGATCCGTTTCAGATTGGCGCTCAGCTCAGATTGACTAATGGTCAAAGGTCATTGACGACGTGTCCTCGAGTTTTTCTTTCTCTTTTGTAGTCTCTCATTTCATTTGCTAGTCACCACCCGGTGATCAGACAGCTCAGTTCTGCTTGACTGCTTGTTGTATTCAATGATACATTCGACACCTTCGACAGTATACTGATGTACTTTCTTGAAAATCCGACAACAGCGTCGATTCAGAGTGATTAGCTGTCGGATCTTGCTTGAAAGTGTTGAGCAGTCGCAAATGCTGTTGTGCACAGGGAAGCGATGGTACATGCAACACTGACGCTGTATCTGAATGCTTGAGAGCTTTTGGTGTAGGTGATTCGAGTTGAACCCAGTCCAGCAAATGCATGGCGGATGCCTGAAGAGCAAGGCTCGATTGAAGGCATAAAACACCGAGCGTATTAAAGGTGTCGTGACCGTCTGCATTGCTACGGATTCTTCTTGTGCGCAGGCGAGTCTCGAGCGTGAGGGTTGTGCTGACGAGTTGAATGCTGGTGAGTTGACAACACAGCTTACAAAGGCTAGTGCACCATATCCATACACCATCGCGATACGTCAGCTATCATCCGCTTACCGTTAAACTGGCTATGCACCTTAATTGACCCAATCACGCAAACGTCAACGTCAACGTCCACGCAAACGCATACGCATACGTCAATGCCAAGCAAGTGAATGTCAATGCCCTTAAGACACGCTCGGAAGGCATTGGTGCCAATGAAGGCCCCTAGTCAGCAGTCAGCGGTGCTAATGAAGGACCCGTAGCAAAGGAGCGCTACGATTCTGAGGCCGCTAACCGCAAACAGAAGCGTAGCGAGAAGCTCATGCGATATGTCCCGCAAATGGTCTTCGATGGGAAACGGGAGTCGTGGGCAAACTTCAAAGCTGTCTTCCAGATCACCGTGGAAGCCTACGCCCTGGATGACTACGTCTTCACCGACATCGACGTCGAAGACCCCGCCTATGATCGGTTCTTTGCAGGCGACGCCAAGAGGCTACTCATCAAACACCTCGATGCCAACGTCATGATGAGAGTCAACCTGGCGGAGTCGGCTGCCAAGATCTGGACCGGTCCTGTCAAGTCCAACGAGGGCAGCAAGGAACCGCTGCTAGTACGCCGCCAGGAGGAACTGTATGCTTACAAGTGCAAGGCTGGCCCCTATGCAAGAGCACATCGATCGCGTGCTTACCCTGATAGCAAGAGTGGTGGACTGCAGACGCAACGGCACAGATTTCGAGAAGCGGAGCGCTTTACTCAACATTCTGCCAAGCGACTGGGAGGTGTTCCGCCAAGGAAACGTTGCAAATGGGAAAGCTGCTATCGACCTCCTCGCCAACAGCTTGATGAGCGAGACAGAGCATTGAAAGAGCTTGGCAGGCACACAGGCGCAGCTGATGTACATGGCACCACAAATGGGTCCGGCTCCAGCTTCAGGCCTACCAGCTGGAGGCCAGGGATGAGGAAGAATTCTCGGAGTACAAGTGCTACAACTGCCAGCAGACGCTCTTGCATGGAGGTGCCAGCCTTGCACTTGTAGGCGTACCGTTCCTCCTGGCGGCGTGCTAGCAGCAACTCCTTGCAGGCCCTCATTGGACTTGACAAGACCGGTCCAGATCTTGGCAGCCGACTCCGCCAGGTTGACTCTCATCATGACGTTGGCATCGAGGTGTTTGATGAGTAGCCTCTTGGCGTCGCCTGCAAAGAACCGATCATAGGCGGGGTCTTCGACGTCGATGTCGGTGAAGACGTAGTCATCCAGGGCGTAGGCTTCCACGGTGATCTGGAAGACAGCTTTGAAGTTTGCCCACGACTCCCGTTTCCCATCGAAGACCATTTGCGGGACATATCGCATGAGGTCCTCACTGCGCTTCTGTTTGCAAGCAGCGGCCTGGGGATCGTGGGGCTCTTTTACTGTGGAGCCTACATTGGCATCTCCGGCTGCTGGTACGGAGCCTTCAGTGGCATCGACGCCTTCTGAGCGTGTCTTGGTAGGCATTGATTCACTTGATTGGCGTTGACGTTGGCGTTTGCGTTTGCGTTGACTTTGACGTTTGCGTGATCGGGTTATTCAAGGCTCATAGCCTGATTGACGGTAAGCGGATGACAGCTAACGGATTGCGATGGTACTTCAACAATGGGGTGTGCTGGCCTTTGAAGCCTGCGTTGTCAACTCATCAGCACAACTCTCACGCTCTAGAGTTGCCTGCGCACAACAGCAATTTGCTGGTCATAGAAGACACAGCTAGAAAATCCTCAGGTGCGCCCTATGTAGACATGGGTAAAACTATCGCGACGACAGACTTGACGAGGCGAGATCGGTGTGACTGCAGATGCTCCTACTGGCTCGGCATTGGGTGAGATCTACGCCATCCAAGGGCAAAGCGACAGAGGCGATGGCTGGCCTGGTCGCACCGTGCACATATATTTTGCCAGGCGAAATTTCCAGAAGTGTGAATATTGCGATAAGACAGATGACGTGGCTCTCGGGATAGCAAGACTCATAATCTTGTGAAGAGGTAGCGAATGTATGGCGAATGCCTGATGAAGAGGGCTTGGACTGCTAAGACATGGACGTATCAAGGGGCGTTCTTACTCTTGTGCTACCGGAACTGCTGTGCTGACATTTTATAGTGCACTCATTGGCGTCGTCGCAAGCTCATAATTTCCACCGCACAACAGTTTCACTTGCTTGGTGTTGGCGTTGGCGTTTGCGATTGCGATTGTGTTTGCGTTTGCGTGATCGGATTAATCAAAGCTCATAGCCTGTTTGACACTGGGCGGATGACAGCTCACGGATTGCGATGGTGTTTCTGTTGGACACAACTTTTTCGCTGTATCTCAAGAGCTCTAAAGCATTCGGATACAAGATCAGTGTTTCATATACCATGCACCTCCTGTTGGACTGGGGACGACTTTCCCGCTGCACCACAAAAGCTCTCAAGCATTCGGATACAGGGTCAGTGCTCCATATACCATTGCACCTGCGCACAACACTTCACCTGATTCTATATTCCCTCTCGGATCATAGCTTTGCGTCTATCAACACCGCGCCTAGCTTCCAGAGGTCCACATGGAGATCTATCGTCGACCCATGCCTGTGACCTCGAGCCTTCGCGACAGCAGCATTCGATATTTCACTTCAATGGACCCGAATGCAAAGTTCTTCGCTCAAGACAAAGACACCACGCCAACCACAGAAGAAGCACTGGAAATGGCAAAGATTCCCTACCAAGAAGCAGTGGGATGCCTCATGTATGTGATGACGACCACTCGCCCGGACCTCGCATTCCCGCTGAGCATCCTTTGCAAGTACATGGCACACCCGAGTTACGATCACTGGAAAGCCGTCAAGCGCCTCCTCCGCTACATGCAAGGCACGAGGGATGACGGGCTCACCATTGCACCTGGGCCCATGAAGCTTGACGTCTATTCCGACGCTAACTATGCCGGCTGCCAAGATACTGGCAAGTCCACCAGCGGCTACGTTTGCATTCTCAGCGGCAATTGTGTCTCTTGGTCAAGCAGGAAGCAGGAGGTGGTTGCCCTTTCCACCACAGAAGCTGAGTATGTCGGCCTCAGCAATGCCACCAAGGAGCTTCAATGGCTCAAGTGTATCGTCGCCCACATGACGCCGGCAGTCAAAGGCACAGACGCGGCACTCATTGTGGAACTTCACGGCGACAATCAAGGCGCTATTGCACTGGCAAAAGACAACAAGTTTCATTCGCGAACCAAGCACATATTACCTCGCTTTCACTATGTACGCGAATGCCTTCGCCTTGGCTTCATGCATTTGGATTACGTCGCTACTGGCCAGATGCTCGCAGACTTACTGACGAAAGCGCTCGGCAGCAGGAAGTTTGGCCAGTTCAAAGCGATGCTTGGAGTCGGTAGAGAGGCAAGAGGGGATATGGAACCAGGTCAAGTGTTGTGCGGTGAAGGGCTGGATGTACCATCTGAACATCAAGACCTGCCAGCTGGCAATATATAAAGGCCAGCACATCAGAATCGTAGATAACCATCAAGTTGCAAGCACCCAAATCCGCCTATAGCTCTGCACCTCCGCACAACATTTTTCCTTATGGGGTGCGCTGGCCTCTTAAGGCCGGCGATGTCAACGTATCAGCACAACTCTCACGCTTTAGAGTTACCTGGCACATGACAGCCCACATTGATAAGTTCATGTCTTCACATCTCAAGCCCTGTTCACCAGGCACTACAGGTGATGAGCCTTCTTCATCAGAAAGCCACATCATCTGTCTCATCGTAATCACCACACTTCTTGAATTTTCGCCTAGCAAAATGTATGCGCACACGTCGACCAAGAGAGTCATCGTCTTCGTCATCCTGCCAATGGATGGCATGGGGTGTTTAAGCGTCAGGCGGATTGTCTGTATTGAGACGTTGATTGTTTCAGTATTAGATATAAATGAGCTTCGAGATTCTGCGGGATTCGAAGTTGGGTCCAGGAGGTGTCTCCTGATGAGCACTGACTCCTGGATGAGGCCTTGGATTCGGGGTTCGCATCGCATTACCGTTGAGCCAAAAGTGACTAGTCCCTAGAGGACACCGCTGCAGCTCTTTAAACCCCGAATCCAAGGCCTCATCCAGGAGTCAGTGCTCATCAGGAGACACCTCCTGGACCCAACTTCGAATCCCGCAGAATCTCGAAGCTCATTTATATCTAACACTTCACCCAGCTTCGAATTCCCGCGACAGCTATCCTGCAACCTCCTTGTGCGGTGATACTGTGCTTCGAAGCCTTTCCCATAAGTTCGTGTTCTGCCATCACTACGCAACGCCAGCGCAAGGCTCATAACCTGTCGCCATCTTCACCGCCTTCTGCGTTGCCGTCAATCTCTGCCTCCACCTCGCTTTCATGAGTCACAGAGCCAAGGAACGGAGCGACACGCACTTCATCGTCGTCTGTCTCCATTTGCTCCACCTGCTCTTGTATCCCCTTGCGACCAAATTGGTCCTCAACAAACGTGGCATCCCTCGATACACGCTCCTTCTTGGATTCTGGGTCCCAGAAGCGGTATCCCTTGACCTGGTCCGGATAGCCAACAAAAATCATTTCACTTGCCTTGGACACAAACGTTTTCAACTTTGACTGCTGTGTGTGCACCCAAGCGCGGCAGCCGAATACACGCAAGTAGGAGACGTCGGGTTTGATACCTTTCCAGGCTTCGTATGGCGTCATGCTCTCGTGAGCTCGAGTGGGTAAGCGATTACACAAATGAACAGCAGTGTGCACTGCGTAGGACCAGAATTTGTCCTTCAAGCCAGCCTCATGAAGCATTGCACTTGCATGGTCCTTGATCGTGCGGTTCATTCGTTCTGCAACGCCATTCTGCTGAGGTGTCTCGGCCACAGTGCGTTGATGCACAATACCCATCTCTCGCAGGTATCTGTCATTCTCATTGCTGACATATTCGCCGCCATTGTCACTGCGCAGGATCTTCAGCTTCTGTCCAGTTTGTCGTTCGACCTCATGCTGAAAGTCTTTGAATCTCTCGAATGCTTCGGACTTCTGCTTGATAAAGTAGACATGTGTGTACCGGCTCGCATCGTCGACAAAGGTCACATAGTAGCGCTTGCCCGACCAAGATGGCACGAATGGGCCAGCAAGGTCGCTGTGCACGAGACCCAAGAGCTTTGTTTCACGAGACTCTGACTTTTTCGGGAACGCCAATCTTGGCTGTTTCCCTTTTTGACAACCCGTACAATCCGCAGTATTTGGCGTAAGCTTTCCAATATCTGGGCCAGTGACCATATCCTCGAGGCGCAACATTGAAACAATGCCCGGATGACCAAGTCGCCTATGCCAAAGCTCCACATCTGTTGCTTTGGCGTGCAGTAAACGCGACGAATCAGGTGTATCAAGCCAAAAAAGACCCTCGCGCTTCGGCCCTTCCGCCACTGTTCGGCCGTCATGCTTTGACATCAAGCGCCACTTGTTCTCATCAAACAATAGTTGATAGCCCATACCAGCAAGCACCCCGACAGACAGCAAGTTAAAGCTGAGGCCTGGCACGAACATGCAATCAGGCATTTCCAAAGGGCCGTCAATAGTCGGAATGATTGCTGTGCATAACCCTTCCGATACCTCCGACGTGTCGTTGCCAAAGCTGACATTTCGAGGTCCACGGCCGGATCGCAAAGATCTTGAGTTTACTAGTCCTCTGCTAGACTAAAGGCAGCGCAGCCGCTCTACTTATGTCCTCAACCTGCCAGCGTGTCAGCTTGGGCCCCTGATCGTCGCATCATCAATGAGCTCCTGAAACAATCAACGTCTCAACACAACACTCCACCTAGCTCATTGTCGTCCATGAGGCTAGCTAGTCTTGCGACGAAGGCCGAGCATTGCCATGAACTTTTGCAATTTCTGCCGACCTAGTGCTTTGGTTGTCAGATCTGCAATCATGTCTCCAGTAGCAACGTATCCGAGTGACATGCGAGCACGCCGTACACAGTCTCGCACAAAGTGATATTTCGTCCGTATGTGCTTGGTGCGGGTGTGGAAGCGAGCATCATTTGCCAAGGCGATAGCACCCTGATTGTCGCCATGGATGTGAAATGTCAAGCGCGCATCGGTGGCTTTGAAGTCGTGCAGTAGGTGTTGCACGATGATCTTGACCCATTCGAGCTCCTTTGTCGCGTTGGCCAGCCCAATGTACTCTGCCTCCGTTGTAGACTGCGCAATGACTTCCTGCTTCCGACTGCTCCAAGAAACGCAGTTTGGGCCGAGCATGACAATGTACCCACTGGTTGACTTGCTGTTGTCAAGGTCGCCGGCATAGTCGGAGTCTGAGTACACGTGCACATCCAAGTCGCCCTTCTTGAAGACAAGACCTACATCCTTCGTGTGCTGCACATAGCGTAGGAGTTGCTTCGCTGCCCGCCAATGTTCATAACTCGGCTTTGCCATGAAACGACTTAGGACGCCCATGGAGTGTGCCAAGTCTGGTCGTGTTGCGGTCATAAGGTACATCAAGCTCCCGATGACGGCCATGTACGGCATGGTTGCCATCTCTTCTCGTTCGGCTGGTGTGGGATCACATGTTGCTTGAGAGAGCGATAGGCCGCTCATCATTGGTGTGTGTGTACCATTGCAAGACTCGAGTCCAAAGCGCTTCAAAATCTCCCGACAGTAACGTGCTTGACTCAGGGTGATACTGCCATCAGAAGCGTAGGATAGCTCCATGCCACAAAATTGTGTGGCAATACCAAGGTCTGTCATGTCCCACTTTGTTGACAATGCCTGTTTGAAATCAGCCAGGGCGCTGTCGTTCTCAGCAATCATCAATAGATCGTCGACATAGAGGACAAGCCGAATATCTCCACCTCTGAGAACAAACAAGCCTTGCTCATGCTCGCATCGCAGGAATCCATAGGACAACAGGAACTCCGACATGACAATATACCACTCGCGACCAGACTGTCGGAGACCATATAGCGTGCGCTTGAGACGGCAAACAGCGCCATTTCCACTCTCATAGCCAATTGGCTCGTGCATGAAGACCTTCTCTGACAAGTATCCATTTAAGTAAGCGCCAACAACGTCCATGTGCCAGACCTTCAAACCCTTGTTGACAGCAATGACTAGCAGGGTGCGAATCGTGGTGAACTTTGCAACGGGAGCAAAGGTCTCCGAGAAGTCAACATGCTCCTCTTGCTGGTCCCCGTGCGCGACAAGGCGCGCCTTGAATTTGTCGATCGAGCCATCTGGGTTCAATTGAGCTTGTATCGCCACATGTTTCCGATTAC